TCACTGCCATTGTCCATGTCGGAGAGGAAGACACAGGTGGCGCCGCGGCCGACCGGGGTTACTGTTTGAAATCAATCTCCGAGAAGGTAACAAACAAGCAATCGAGACGACACCCACACTCAGCGAGGAGGAGAGTGGAGGGAGAGGACTGCTAGGGTTTTCTGGAGCGAACGACAGAGAGAAACCAACAGACGATGAAAAAAACTTCCCATTCTCCCGCTGCAGACTCCACTGAGCGACCGAGTTAGACAGACTGCGACAGAGAGTTAGAGAGAGAGAGAGAGGGTCTGTTCGTTTGGATTTTTCTAGATGGGTCGCTCCATCTTCGCCTCTAGATATCCGGGCCGATCCGGACTTTCGTCGTTTTGTTTTCCTTCATTTTCCGTCAAACGTATCGTGGGGTGGGGTGGTCCCTTGGATCGTTGGCCTCCTCCACTAATGGCCCTCGTTCCACGTGGAGGTCTCCTACTCAACACAAACTGGCCATGACCTTTGTCTGCAGTCAAGTCAGCGGCTTACGAACGACGTGGTAAGATTGAAACGAAGCGATAGTGACAACGTCGGAGAAATAAGTCGACCCACGGCCGGGTCAGGTACCAACCCCGGTTTGATTCTCATGGGCAGTTTTCGGCAACTTATGAGCCCGCCACTTCTGGCGCATGGTGTCTTATTATGGGCAAAATTACAAAAATCGCATGCTTTTAAGATAACAATATCTAACCTTCGAATTGGATCATGCTATCCCCATAAATAAAATGGCTTGATGCATTGTAGTATTAGATTAGTCATCTAAGCTAAAACCTCCCAATAATTTAATTACTGGTGCTCCACGTATGCTCCTTGGTTCAAAAACTAGCCTCACGCAAAAATACACTTTTTAGATTTGATGCGTATTTAATAAATTTCAAGGCTGCTTGTGATTCATACATCACAATCTTTCTTTTATTTTGGAGAAAAATATTATTATAATTGAGATTACTTGATAGATCATTTTTAAACCTTTGATTCAACTTTTAGAACTCGACATCTCAAAATGAATGATCTCTATTTTTTTAGCTCATGTGGCCAATGCCAAAAATATTCAGGATTTGTACCTCTTGAAATACATTTCAGAATATATGGCCAAGGGAGTCACTTATTGAAAATATGGAACACAAAAAAGTTATTTTTTATATTACAAGAGTGAAAATTAAATTGTACTAAGTTTAATAAAAACATGAGAAAATAACTTGGTCAGATATATATCAAAATTTCAATGACTTTGTAATTTTCATTTCAATTATAAGAATAATAACCTTTTTTAGTTAACACAAATGTTCTTTAATAAAATAGGACCAATGTTGGAGTGGAATTATGACACGTATTCTTAAATATCAATATCTTCTAACAAAATAACATGTGTGGTTTCTCATTTTATTTACATATTCATGGCAAAGAGTTAAAACAATTTGTAACTAAACTAAGAATGCAAGGTTATCCTAAAAAAAAATCTCATCAACTATGAAATAGATTCTAATACCCTTTTGCAAGTTGAATGGAAAATGAAAAGACAATGGTGATCTTGACATTTTGATTATATGGTTCCCTCTAGTTTTGATCAATCAAACCCACATATATCAATAGAGTCATCTCAACAACTCCTACTCTAATTCTTATATATTTTAGGACATCAAAAACTTCTCATGTCTGGTTGATTCTTCTTATATTCACTATTCAACTCTTCATCCTTGTTTGTCATGATAAGCAAAACCAAAAATAATAATCTCTCCTAATAAAGGAGAGGAACTACTTGGTGTTGGAGATTGGATGCATTTATTTAATTCAGGTCACCATCTCCCCTTGCGCATTTGTTACTTTGATATAGATGAACAATAAACCTTATGAAGAAGAGGTAGAAAGTGGATCTCATGCATGAGGTGGAAGACCATGGAAACTTCTTCTCAAGTGAAGGAAGTAGATGAGATGGTAAAGGTGAATATGATATCAACATGTTGGTTACACCCCTCTGGTACATTGTCAAGTGGTTTCGCCCCATCTCCTTGTGAAGACTCTAATCTATTTTATAAGATGTGTTTGGAATCACCTGATTTCAATCTCAATCTTCCACCACCTTCATTCTTGAACATACCACATTGCCTTTGGTGTTTTTTGGAAGTTGCTTCTAAGCATCTCATTTTACTTCCCATTCGAACCTCTTGTTTGAGGGATTTTCCTACAACCTTTTCTGCCCGTAACACTCCCCCCCACAACCAATGTCCACTCCTCCAAAGGTCATCTCTATTACATTAGATTTCACAACTTATAGTACATCTATAACACCTCCACCTCTAAGTGGGTTTGTCCACCACTAACAACATTGTCGCCGCCCTTGTTTCTAGATAGAGATGACAACTACACTATTGAAGTAGTCATCTTTGAGCCATCTATCTGCAACATAGAGAAGAATTACCTAATGACTTCATGGACATATATGGTTCTAGATATTTTCTTCCAAGACTTGTGACATGCAGTGTAGATACCATTGGTGTTGAGACACTCAATGTATTTTGAGATATATAATGAAAACATTATTTGTGAATTATCTTTAAATAAAGTAAAATATAATTCATATGTATGCATAACAATTATTTTCATCACAAGACAAATTTAATCGAGAGATATTCAAATCATATACATTAATGATGTTTTGTATAATAGTACGGTTAATAATGAATCCAAGTCACATCTTTGAGATATTTTTTATATTGAAATAATATAGTGTAATATTAGTTGAAGAAATAAAATATAAAATATTTTAACTATATATCTCAAATAAAGTATCACGTACCTAATGAAATATCACACATATTTTAAAAAATCAAAGTCACAAGTGAAATTCGAACATGACATTTGAACAATGTAAAGAAAGAAGTATTAATAATAATAAAAAATGAAATATCAAATACACATAATGGTAGATAAGATTCAAACTCAAGAAACAAGTTAATAGGAGTGAAAAAGATGACAACCAAAATATTCAAATCTAAGTATGGGTAGAATTCAAAATCAACAGTATTATAATAATGCATAGAAAGTTGGAATGAATATTCAAAATAAAAATATATGATCAATGACTGAAGGAAGACTTGAACCTATAATCCACAAGACAACTAAGTTGGACTATTTGCACGAAATAAAGGAGGTGGAGAAGTTGTAATCATGTAACCTACATGATGACACGTCAAATCATATGTTGAGAAAATAACAAAGTAGAAATGACCAAACTTTAACCTAGTATCAAGTGGAAGATTAATTGTTGAAGAAGTACAAATTTCCAAACAAAAGCTTTAAAGACCACCTATAAGAGGCATGCATGTTTAAAAGTAAATATAGACTCAAAGTTTGCTTCACACACTATAGATAGTAATACTAATTAAAGTTCATGAACTAAAAAGCTCAATAGCATCATTATAGCTCGACTTTGAAAATAAATATGTATGTTGTTTAGTTAAGGATCTTCATACATAATATCAAAGATGACATATTGACTAATTGAAAGATCTAAATTTATTTATGACTAAAAGTAAGAATATATATTATGGATAATAGCTTGTTAACAGAAGATGTGGACTAAAGATAAGTTTAATAATCTATTTTATGTAAGATCTTGAAAGAAAAAATATTAATCGAAAGACAATCAAATTAATATGAGTGTTTCTAAATACTAGAATGACATAGATCTATTGATTCATAAATAAAATGAGTTAAGGACAAACAAAACTAATATTAAATGAAGAACTGTTTCATTAGTATCACTCACATGAGTTCAAGAAGAAATTTTATTTAATATTTCATTCATATCTCTCACTCTTGTTGTGATAGTGAGTACAACAAAGTACCAAAATGTAATTATCTAATAATAAGTTAGAAATTAAGTGATCAAAGAAATATATATATAAAAGATCATATCACATTGTAACTATATCTAATACCACAAGTACCACAAATTAGTCTCTTATAGTTCTCATATTATGAGGTATCTTCAAAGAAATCAAGCACTCAATATTGGAAGCACACATTGAAAATGTACTTTACCTTTTCCAATCATTTTGGCCTTTAATCTGATCCATTATATGATTTTGGGCAGTCAAAAAAAATCTCAAACTTTGACCTGCCCAAAAATCAGCTGCAGAAAATATTAAAAAAAATGTTTAACATAATACATTTATATAGATGTGTCCACTCTTTAACTTTGGCAAACATTAGACAATTTTATGTAGTAATAAAATTTGACTATAGATAAGATATTGGCCATCATATCACAAATGTTTTCTTTTGTACTACCCTTCATAAGTTGAATAACCCTCGCAAAAAAATTCACATAATTTATAAAATCTAATGTCAATGTGTTTAGCTCAATGTGTAATGATACACTGGATCTATCACAAGACATGACACTTTGACTATCAAAATGTAATGACTTGAAAGATTATTTGATGTGAAGTTCCTTAAACAAACCCTTTATCCATAATGCTTCTTGTGTTTCTACCTGAACTATAATAATATATTCAGCTTCAGTAGTGGAGAGTACAATAATATTTTAGAGCATTGATTTTTAATTAAGGTTACCGTCACTTAAGAAGAAAATATACTCTTCACTAGATCTTCTCTTATTGAGGTCATCTATATAGTCTAAGCCAAAATATCTAATAAAAATATTATAATTACTCTATTAAAATAAAAAAACAAAAATTGTCATGTCACTAGAACAGCACAAAACTCATGTTATAGTATTATGATGTCCATTTCCTAATTTTTGATATATCTATGAATGACATTAACAATCTATGATAAATTAGATCTTGCACAAATCATTGCATACACCATACATTTAACCACATTTACATATGATATTATAAATCTTTCTTCATGTTCTCTCTTAGATTTGAGACATTATTGCACAAATAATTTAAACTATTGAGTTAAAGGTGTACTCACTATTTTAGTCTTTAACATATTAAATTTTTTCAACACTTTCTCAATATAACTTTTTTGTGTCATCCATAATTTTTGCTACATTAGTCCCTTAAAATTTCCATGCCTAGGATCCTCTTAGCATTACTCAAGTCTTTCATTTCAAATTCCAAACTAATTTAAATTTTCAATTAATAATTTCATCCATATATTTTGATGCAACCAATATGTTATCGACATATAACATAATAATAATTATAAAACTGTCACTAATGAAGCAAAAATAAACATAATTTATATAAACCATCATTGACGTACGTACTTATTGTGTAATTATGTGACAATATAAAATGGTCAAATTTTTGGTACCATAGACAAAGAACTTGCTTCAAATCTTAAAGAGATTTATTTAACTTATAAACTAATTTTTCTTTGCATGCTGAACAAAGCCTTCATACTGAATATATAAATCTCTTCATCCAAGTTCTCATGTATAGAAACTATTATCACATCAAATTGCTCTAATTAAAAATCAAACATAGCAACTGTGACAATCGTAACATAAATCTAATAATATTTCACCACTAGGGAGAAAGTCTCATTAATTTATTTATTTTTTTGGCCAAAACCCTTGGCTACCAACTGAGTCTTGTATTTGGACAGTTCTTGTCATTGGCATAGCTTCTCACTTCCTATACACCCACTTACAATTCATTACTTTCTTATTTTTGAGAAGTGTTACTAATTCCTAAGTATCATTTCTATGGGGATAAGTCATCTCTTCCTCCATAGTAATTTTTCATTTATTACTATCTTTACTCTAAATGTCTTCTTGAAATGTTATAAGATGGGAAGAAATAATACAAAATATATAAGTAACTAAATATGAAAACCTTACTAAAATTTTCATTTCTCTTCTTGCATGACTTATAACAATATAGTAAGTGTCGTTACGAATTTGGTGCACTAAAGACTAATTAAGGGGTAGAAAGTTTTATGAATTTTTGTTGACTCCATTTGTTTTATCAATCAACTCTACTTTAATTGAGCTATTGATGACATTCTTATAAGAAATAGTGAACTAAGTATTTTTCACCAATAATGCTTTATTAAATATGATATCTCTACTAAGTTCAACTTTCTATGTTATGAGATTCTATAACCTGAATCGATTGACACCTTCCTATGTCCTAATAAAATATATTATTTTGACTTAATATCTAACTTGGTATGTTCACTATCTTGCAAAACAAATTGAACTTTTTTGGCAAAGTCATTGATAAAGGTAATAAAATATCAAGCTCCTCCTAATGTTGTGACTACTGATGGACCCCAAAAATCTAAAATCACATACTCAAAAATATTTATGTTTTTTTTTAAAGAAGTAATAAACCTGACCTTGCACTCTTTGCCAAGACAAATGATTTGCAGAAATTAATTTTACAACATGTGACACCATCGAGTAACTTTTGATTATATAATTTTAACATTCTTCTCTCACTCATATGGCCAAGCATAGCATGCCATAGCATAGTGACATTTTCATGAGATGTAGTGACTAACTCACCATGAACAATTGTCTCAAACAACCTATAAAAAGTCTCAATTTCTCTCCTTTCATAACAACTAAAGTAATCTTTTTAATTTTCAAAATATTATCGCCACTAGTATAATTAAAACCATTTACATTTAGGGTACCTAAGGAGATTAAACCTTCCTTAGATCATGCATATGTCTTATATCTATCAAAGTTATAATTTCTCTATCAAACATCTTGACTTTTACTATTTCTATACCAATAAATATGCATTCCAAATTGTTTTTCATTAGAATCTCTCCATCATGAGGTTTGTATGTGTCAAGTTAGTCCCAGATAAACATGTGATAGAAACAACTTGTATAAAGAATCTAAGTTACAAAGTAACATAACCTAAAGGAAGTTGAAAGAACATCTACTTGAGCTTCTAAATTAGATGCATCACTAGCCTCCAAAGTTAGTTCTTTTCCTTTTTTTTTTCTTTGAGCTTGGGTAGTCTGATTTCTAGTGACCCTCTTTTTTATAGTAATAACAAACATAAGTTCCCTTCAACTTTGATAAAAAATGATTTTTCTTAACAATTTTATACTTTGAACATCCTCTATCATGATCAGGATCTTTAACAACTGAACTTCAGTGCTTGTGAGAGGTTTCAATCTAAAATCATTTGATAGTAATATTGATTGAACATCTTCCATTTTTAAGGTGTCTTTATTATATAAAATGGTTAAAGGATGTGGGGTAAGAATGTAAGAAGAAGAATGCCTTACTCTTCATCCTCAATTTTCACTTTCACACAACAAAGTTAAGAGATCAATTTATTCAGAACATTCAAATATTCTAGAAATTTTCTCCTTCATTGATACATAACTTAAAAAATGTTTCTTCAAAGTTACATATTCGTAAGGGTCTTGTACATGTACAACAATTCTAATTTTTTTCACATATCAATACTAATTTTTATATCAAGGATGTTATATATAACTTCATCAATAAGGCAAAGTTAAATAGTATTGACTACTTTCAAATATAATTTAGACCAATCTTAATCAATTAATTTGTCAAATTTTTATTTTCTATAAAGAGCCTTTATGTACTAATTCCTTGTTGTAAAAGGTGTGTCTTCATTCTCTTTTGTCATAGATGGAATTCAATTTTGTCATCAAATCTTGCAACCTCAAATTTCTTCATTGACATCTTCAAAAAATAGATTTAATAAGGAATATAAATTCAACTCTCATACCAAATGTCATGATAGTGAGTTTACAGCTTTGAAAATAAGTAAGAACTTAGATGAGCTAAGAAATATAAAAACCGACGAAGGATGTCAAATATTACTTGTATGTATACAGAAGATCATATCGCATCCCATGTATACCTAATGTCACAAATGTACTAAACTAATGCCTTATATATTCCTCTGTCTATCCATGTATCTATCTATCTGTTCGACTCTCTCTCCCTCTCCCTCTCTCTCTCTTTCTCTCTCTAACTCCCACTCTCTCACACTCTCCCTCTCCCTCTTTCTCTCTTTTTCTCTCTTACTCCCACCCTCTCCCACTCTCCCTCTCTCTCTATCTCTCTCTCTCTTCCTCTCTCTCTTCCTGTATCTATCTATGTTCCCACTCTCTCGCTCTCTTACTGCCTCTCTCTTCCTCTATCTGTCCCACTCTCTCCCTCGCTCCCTCTCTCCCTACCTCTCTCTCTCTCTCTCCCCACCCCCTCTCTCACTCTTCCTCTATCTATCTATTTATCTATTTTTCCCACTGTCTCTCACTCTTCCTCTATCTATCTATTTATCTATTTTTCCCACTGTCTCTCACTCTTCCTCTATCTATCTATTTATCTATTTTTCCCACTGTCTCTCACTCTTCCTCTATCTATCTGTCCCTCTCTCTCTCTCTCTCTCTCTCTCTCTCTCTCTCTCTCTCTCTCTCTCTCTCTCTCTCTCTCTCTCTCTCTCTCTCTCTCTCTCCCTCTATCTATGAATGTATGTATCTATCTATCTATCTTTCCCTCTCTGTCTCTTCCTCTATCTATCTTTCCTTCTCTCTGTCTCTTCCTCTATCTATCTATCTTTCCATCTCTCTGTATCTTCCTCTATCTATCTACCTTTCCCTCTCTCTGTATCTTCCTCTATCTATCTATGTATCAATCTATATGTCCCTCTCTCTCTCTCTCTCTCTCTCTCTCTCTCTCTCTCTCTCTCTCTCTCTCTTTCTCGCTACCTCCCCCTCCCCCCACTGTCCCCCCTGTCTCACCCTCGGTTATGCTACTTTTCGGGGAAGGGAACGTCACCTCCCCGCCCTTCCTGGAGGTTGTCGAGGTTACTCATCTTCCTCTTACGCGAAGAACTGTTAAGTGCTTTGATGATTATGACCTTACGAATAGACGTAATAACTCCGGTGTCTAAACCGACGTACCATCCAACACACATCGTTCCATTCATTGATCAACGAAAACGAGCTCTCTAATCTCCATATCGCACCGTTTTCAAAACCAGGAACAAGAACTTTCATCCGCAAGCCACAAAGTGAGACCTGAATCAGCCAAACATCAAAAGGAATTCTGCTTAGACGACAGATTCTGACGTTGCTAGTAAATACTAAACTAGTATGACTCTTTTTAAGAGAAGCAATTAACTTAATGATAGAATGGTGCATTTCCCCAACAGCGCAACGTCTGCCCTATCCGAGAAACTTTGCTCCTTGAATCAATTCTTCCATCCAACAAGCTTATATTTCACCTCCTAGACAAAAAAAATTGAAAAAACAACGTTTAGAGGATCTCCTTCCTAAAGAGCATGAAAGCGGTGTCTTGTCCTTTTTGTTGCAATACAAAACGTGAGAAATGAGGCAAACTGGGATTCCTCAATAATCAACTCAGGCAGACGCTCACGTGAAGTTCAAGCACGCAAAACTGTACGTGCTATTTTGCATGGATGCGTAGGATGCGCAGGATGCGCAAGGACAAACACCAACAAGCGCTTGTGGCACACAGATTACAACGCAGCCAGGCAGTCGTTGACGTGGGCAGACGCTGGTGAATGGACATGGGAGGACTCATTTAGAGAAGGCGTACGCATTAATACAAGTCAGTGGACGGGAGTACATGCCATTAACGATAGCGAGAAGGGTTTATGAGCTGTCCTCTCTCTCTCTCTCTCTCTCTCTCTCGCCACTCATTGTAATCTCTCTGGGGACTACATTCACAGAAAGATGAATCTGATCTCACGAACAAAGAGACAAAACAACACAAGTTGCATAGGCCCCACTGGCCAGCCGACGAAAATAGACGAATGACACCGAAAAAGGAAATATCAAGCAGATACCCAGTCGTTTCGAGTGCAAGGGACTAGGGAGGGAACCCTTAAACACCGAGGACACATGGAATCAGTGGCGGAGGGGAATTGCGACGAGGGCGAGTTATGCAAATCGACCTAGCGGTAGGGCTCGAACAGATCCTTGGGGTCGAGCTGCTTGCAGATCCCCAGGTAGACGAGGTAGAGGACCCGGTCCTTGGCCCCGGTGCGGTGGTTCCCGGTATGCTTGCAGAAGTACTTGAGTTGCCTGAGGTTGCAGCACGCCAGCGTTCCCCCGAGGAGCAGGAAGAGCCAGTTGATGGCGCGCTTCTTCGTGGCGATCACCGGCTTCAGGCTGTTCTGACGGCCGCAGACGGTGCAGTCCCGGAAGGTCGGGGCCAGCCACTCCGGTCGCGCCCTATCGTGCATCTGGTCCTTTACGCCTTCGATGAACTTGGTCACCTTCTGGAACATCTCCTCCAGGTCGTACGATATCGAGGAGCTGTGCTCGCACCACCTACACTTGACCTCCCCTTCGATGGCGCGGATGCCCTGCGCCAGGATGTAATCCTTCCGGTGGACCACCGCACGGCGGTCAGTGGCCCATCGGAAGGGCGCCATCACGGTCTCGTCCTTTCCCTTGGGTGGGCCCTGGTGGGGGTTCTTCCTGGCTCGGGGGAAGCCCTGGTTGGACCGATGCGATGACGGAAGATCCCCGATCGTCGGAGCGTCGATGTGATGGCTGCGGTGAGGTGGGATCGGTGCAGCTGTACGGGAAGAAGACGGGTTATCAAAGGGAAGAGCCATGGCTTGATGCGGCTTGCGGGGGACGGTTAGGGTTATGGTTTTCTGGGATGGGGGATTCTGGCTGCCAATCACGGGATCTGAAGATGAGGGCGGCGGCGGAGACAAGGAGAATGTCACATCGGGGGTGTTCCAGTCTTGAGTCGTAGGGGTTTGGCCGGGCGGGGAGAGGGAGAGAGCGAGTTCGTCGTCGTCCTTCTCCTTGCGCTTCTTCTTGCGGGGCCCCTCACGGTCATTGTCCATGTCGGAGAGAGAGAGACAGAGAGGCGGAGCCGCCACCGACCGGGGTTACTGCTTTGAATCGATCTCCCAGAAGGCAACTCCCGCTCAGCGGGGACGACGAAGAGAAACCTACAGAAGATGAAAAGACCTCCCCATTCTCCCCCTGCAGAATTCCACTGAGAGAGACCGTATTTGTCGGGCAGATGAGAGCGACCGAGTCGGACAGACTGCCAGCGAGAGAGAGAGAGAGAGAGAGAGAGAGAGAGAGAGGTTTTTTCTAGAGGGGTCGCCCAAGCTTCGCGGCTGGATAATGTTCGTGGCCGTTCCGCCCGTGCTTTTGTCTTTTTGTTGTTTCCTGATTTTCGTCTAATACTCATAGACGGCAGATGCGACGTGATGGGGCTTCCCCTGGGTATTCGGTCTCCTCCCCCTCCCCCCCAGGCGCGTTATTCACGTGGATGTCTCTTAGTCGAGACGCACCGGCCGTTCCGTCTTTCTCCCCGTCTAAGTCAGCAGCCAACGAACGACCTGCAGCGATAGAAACGGAGGGATAGCAACAGTATCGGAGAAATAGACCGTCCGGCCAAGGACCCGGCCCCCCGTTCGATCAGAAAAACTGCATTTTTTCAGTTACTACAGAAAAACCTCATTAGTATGGACAGTACTTCTCTCTCTTCTCTTTCTCTCTCTCTCTCTCTCTCTCTCTCTCTCTCTCTCTCTCTCTCTCTCTCCATTGTGGGTACTACAAGATCCTACATGATCGTTGAGACAATATCCTTACAGAAATGATGAATTTGACTTTCTACTAGATGCTCTCTCTTCTTCCGTATAGATGGCCTACTTCTATAGATCCTAAAGCTTTGGGCTATTTCTACCTGGTTTCTTCATATATCTTCCAATTTTTCACTACCGTAAAATGCATATTTTGTCGGTCCTTCGATTAAAAAAAATGACAAAATGGTGATAATTTGAAAAAAAAATTGTGTGGTGGCTTATCTAGAAAAGTTCATGGAAGTTTGATATTATTAATTAAAGAAAGTCAATTTCAATTTTCACCAGGGCATCGACCATGCATACTCCCTCTCCCTCTCTCTCTCTCTAAAGGGATTCAACTGCACTGCAGATAGGTACGGATGTTGGACCGCCCTAGATGAAACCAGACAAAGCCAAGAAGATAGGTACGGATGTTGGATAGATGGATTAGTGGAGGAGGAGATATCCGAAGCGACCTAGCGGTTGGACTCAAACAGATCATGGGGGTCGAGCTGCTTACAGATCCCCAGGTAGACGAGGTAGAGGAGCCTGTCCTTGGCCGCGGCGCGGTGGTTCCCGGTATGCTTGCGTTACATATCCGAAGTACCTGAGTTGCTCGATGCTGCAACAGCACAGCGTGCCCCCCGAGGAGCAGGAAGAGCCAGTTGATGGAGCGCCTCTTCGAGGCGATAACCGGCTTGAGGTAGTTTCCATAGCAACAGGCGGGGCAGACCGGGAAGATCGGAGCCAACTAATCCGACCGCGTCCTATAGTGCATCTGGGGCTTTACGCGTTCGATGAATTCGGTCAGCTCAATGGAGAATATGTTTTCGCACCGCCTGCACATGACCTCGCCGACGATGTCGTGGATGCCCAGAGAGAGGATGTAATCTTTCCTTTGGACCATCGCACGGCGGTCAGTGGCCCATGGGAAGGGCGGGTCGATGGTCTCGTCCTTTCTCTTGTGTGGGCCATGGTTGCGCTTCCGCCTGGCGCAGGAAAACCTGCTCGGCGATGGCAGGATGACGATGGGATCGCCGGGCGCCGCTGGGTAGGGGTACTGCGATCGCGGAAGATCCTTGATCCTAAGACGGAAGACGTGATGGCGGAGCGATAACAAGGGAGAACTCCGGAGGTCCGTCGATTGCAGCACGGGGGCCAAGGAGTGGATTAGGGTTTCCGAGGCTAAGGGTCCCGGTAGCGCCGGCCAGGAACCCTATGGACTCTTCGGCTTGCGGGCAGGCGGGGAGAGCGTGAGGATGAGTCTCTCCCCCTCGAACTCCTCGACGATTTCCTTCTTGCGGGGATCTGCGTCGTCCTCCTCCATGCCAAAGCGAAACAAGACCTTGGGGACTCGTCCTCTGCACCAAAAGATGAGGAAGAAAACGAAAATTGCAGATGGAGAAGACGACGGCGATGACTCACTTCGCGGCCACCCACCACCTCCCGGGAACCAGACGACAGAAGAGAAACCCCAAGGAAGAAGAAGCAAGATCCTCCACTCTCCATCTTCTTACCCCCACCGTCCATACCCCCCAAGAACCGTCCGCTTTTGGAATCGAGACCAGCACACAGAGATGGAGACTAGAGAGGGAGAGAGAGAAGATGAGAGGGAGAGAGGAAGAGGGAGAGGTGTGGACCCCACCGAATCCCACTCCGAATCAGCGGCGGGAAAGCGCGCCCGACTCGCTGCTGATTCCGTTATCAGGTAAATTCGAACTGCCCGGTGACGTGGCACCAAGAATATGCCGCCCGTCCGAGTCAGCATGTAAGTTATGCCCCAGATTCAGACGGCGATATCGAGGGACCGTCGTCGCGAATCGTCGTAGGGGCATCGAAGTAATTTAATTTCTTACCGTATCTAATTTCTAAAAGAAAGAAATCCGACCCAAAACGGAAGACCGACCACCCTTCCTTCTATGCAGGGAGGCCGCTTCAAATCAGATAACCAGAGACAAAGAGTGAGGGAGAGAGAGAGGGAGAGAGAGAGCTTCTTCGTTCTCGAGGACGAACCATGGAGTCGCACTAAATATTTACAGACGGCTCCCGGGGGGGAGGGGAGGAATGTATGTACACTCTCTTCCCTTCCGCTGCTGCTAATCCTCCACGCTCTGGATCTCGCCCATCATGATCCGGTTGCTGACTACGCTAAACCCTAAAACCGCGGGGTTCACCTTCTTCCCTTTCTTGCCCTTCTTCTTCCCTCCGCCGCCCTTGGCTGAGCCGTCGAGATCGGCGTCGGCGTCGTCTGCCGCCGCCGGCGCGACGGGCTCGGGGGCGGAACGGCGCGGAGCGGCGCTGTGGCTCGGCAGCGGCTGGAAGGCGATCTCGATCACGTCCGCCGGCAGGAGCTCCTTGTAGTTGAGCAGCTTGTCGATGAAGGCGTGGTCTCGGTCGAGGGAGCCGAGGTTCTCCCTCAGAAGCGTTTTCGCCTCCGAGGTCGACTGCTTCATGCAGAACTCCAGGAAGCTCGTATCTGGGGGGGAGAGAGAGAGAGGTGGCAGAAAGAGGAGCCCATCAGTTCGGCTCGTCTCGCACATCGCCCGGCGCCCTAACAGTGAAGAAGAGGTACCTTTCGCCCCGGTGAGTCTGACCAATTCGCCCTCGCACCAATCTCTGAAGTCCATCGCCTCTGAGCAAAACGAGATCCAGATGAGAATTCTAGAACCAAGAGTAGAAAAAACGGAGAGAGAGAGATCCGCCACCAGCAGCTCACCTGAATATTTGGACGCGGCATCTCTCCTCCCTTTTGATGGTAGCTGGGCGGCAGGCGGAGAGGAGAGAGGGTACTCGGTTCTACCGGGGACCATTGAGGGACTCCTCAATGGGGCGCCCTTGGCTCCCCAGATGCCAGAAGGAGCGGAAGGAAGGAAGTTGGGCCTGTTTAAAAGAGAGAAGGGCACAAGGAACAAAGAACCCATATTCAATGACACAAATTCAGTGACAAAATCATGAAGCTTCTGGGAAAATAATTCACAGGGTATTTATGGTTGATGATGACTTGAGAAAATTTATAAAAAAAGCATATTTATTTACACTGTTCTTGGTGGACGTGGTTGCATGTTCATGAAAAGATTATAACAGATGAAAGAAATATTTTTCAAAGGCAAACCAAGATAATCTCCCCTTTATGCTCAAGTAACCCATGATTCAGTTGCAGGGCAGGTTCTCATTCTACACGAAGGGTAAATTCCTTTCTTTTTCTTTTTTTCTTTTTTTCTTTTTTTCTTTTTTTTGTTGGGGAGATTTGACCCGACTGAGGAAAATATCAAAGAAACGACGAGGAATTCCGACTACAGGTGTAATCAAGAGACGAGAATTTTCATGGAAACGATTAAATTCCTAAGGAAAAAGCCACATCATCAAGTAATCAAGAGAAAGAATACTTATTTCTGCATCATTAATATCGAAGGTCCTAGAGAATGAATCATGAAGTTCAATAATACAGCGAAAATTTCAGGACTTACAGCTTGTTTTCCTGCTTTGGTTGATCAAGAGGGCCCCAAAACAACTCATCTTCTGTCTTAGATTTAGTCAGAGTAGCCAGTGACCTGCTACTGCCAGGAGATGAAGCCTTAGAAGGGGATGTTCCAGAAGTCAGCCAGGAAGAGCTACCCACAGGGACGTTCCTGCTATGCTGGAACTTGGCGGCAGGAGCAGCTATCGGGATCTGCTTCAAGGTAGACGGCGTCTTCTTTTCCTCCTCCTTGAGAATATCTCTCAAGGACGTAGGCTTCTGAGCTTTCATAGAGTCAGTGGACCATGCAGGGGCAGGGGCAGCGCTGACCTGATCCCCTTTCCAAAAGACAAAGTCCCCTAAAGACGGCCCGGTTGGTAGAACAGATGAGACCTCTTTCTCTTGCTGTGCCTGACGAGCGATCTTAGCTCTTCCTGCAGGGACTGAAGGAGTAATATCAGGTGAGACAATTGGTCCTGAGCTCTTAACCCCAGCACCCTTAGCTTTTGCTGCCTTTTTTCGGCTTTTCTTTGAGTCCTTTGCCTCAACAAAATCATCATCGTCCACGTTTGAGCTGTCTGTTCTGGTTTTCATCTCTGATGATGCGGGCACAATGGTACTCCAGCCAACAGAACCAGCGGTATCAACAGCATCCTCAGTAGGCATGGACATAACCTCCTCTGCCAACAAATCATGCAACTGACTCTTCCTCTGCGCCGAATTCATACCATTCCCAGAGCTTCCTGGTAAGAGCTGTGCGTTAGCTCCACCTCTGATGGCATCATTGCCAGATTTAGATTCTGAATTGGCAACAACTCCAGACCAACGGGCTGGTGTAAGAACGGTGGCAGGAGCACCAGGAGATGTGACAATGTCAGGGGTGGATACTTCTATCTGCGCCCTCTGCTGCTCCTCCAGCTGAATTTCCAGGAGAGATTTAGCCCTGGGAGCCGGTGCAGGCTTCCAAGCTCGCTGCACAGGCATCTGCACATTAGATTGTTGAGCGTACTCACCTTCTCTCACTTCCGTCTTGCCTACAGAGGGTTCCACCTCAGTGACAGAAGCATATCTGGTGGATGAACTATTAATCTCTTCAGAACTCGGAGGTTCTACATTAGTTGCCCTCGGTTGTTCAGATGAGATCAATGGAGATGTCCTGGAGAGTGATTCTCCCTCTTTTGTCTGAGTTTCAGAAACTGTTCCACATGAAACATTTGCTTCGTTCTCAGCATCCTGCTTTAAAAGCTGTGAATGAACCATTTTGGATGAACCCTTCGACTGGACTGACGTTACTGGTATCTTTGCATTCTTTTGCTTCTTTGATTTCTTGTCGTTTGCTTTCTTAGCCACGGAACCTTCTATGGGCTTATCAACTTTGGATGATAAGGACTGACTGGAAGGCTGCTCAGAGATACTTTCAGACGTGCTCTTTGTTTCATCGTCTTGCTGCAATGCGAATGCATGCTCAGAAGCATCGGGAGTTTCACTGAAAGATACAGCACTACTCTTAGCTTCAGATGTAACCAATCCAACAGCTTTATGATCTTCATGTCTCGAAATGACATCCAAATCTAGGGCATTGTCTGGTTGAACAAGAACATCAGAAGATTTCTCAGGGACCCCAGAAGCCAAAGAACTGTCTACAGATGACATTGATGGAACGGGGTCAGAGTTTGAAGCATTATCGTTTCGTTCAGGCAAACTAGCCCGTTCCTTTGCTTGGGCCGTATGGTCATAAGTTTGTGGAGCAGTGGACGGTAATGATGAATTCGAGCTAACAACGCCACCAAGATCTTGTGAAACCTGCACGGAAAAATTTGAAAGATTGTGTCCACGTCCATCTTGTAGATTCAGAGCCCGCATCTGACTATTAACCTGAGCTGTCTCGAGCTGTTGTGGAAGACCCATGTGACCCGGCGGATTATTTCCAACAGCAGCTTGTAGGGATCTGTAAGGAGGTTCACTGAAATGCTGTTGAGACCGCTGTTCAGACAAAATCTGGGAAAGCAAATGCTGTTGTTGCATCAATAGTTGCTCCTGTTTCTGATGCTCCTTCATCAAAATAAACTTATCCATAAGTGAAAGCTGCGTAGGGATGGGCATATGAGATTGAAGCTGAAGCTGGGATAGCATATATTGTTGCTGCAACATGCTCAAAAAATTTGGATCTTGAGGTATCCCAGAGGCCAGGGCATGCTCATTAGGCACGAAGCCAGGAGTATGATCACCAGGCTGAGGGACCATATGTGGTAGGGATGGTTGATTTGGCTGCTGCAGTCTCCGTGATGGAATACTGTACCCAGCAGGTGAAGAAAAGTGCTGGTTAGGATGCATGTCTATGTTATCTTTAAGAATGTCCATACCACTGTTAGCTGTATTTTTAAGAGATCGGGGATCATGAAAATTTGGCCAAGCAGGGACACTGGTACTAGGTGGAGCCTTCTCTGCTGCAGCTTGCAGGATAGACAGTAAATCGACGTGCTGGGCCTGAGAGACTGAAGTTGGAATCTCTGCCAAAGAAGGAACATTTTGCGAACTCTGGGCGGACGAATCTAAAACAAGCTCAGACTTTGGGGCCAAAGATGCAGGATCCATCCCTGACCAAAATGGAGGATGATTAGGCAAAGCTTGTTGTTGCTCTAGCGACAGCCGCTGTGCCAACAGATAATTCAGGCCCTTCCCAGGTTCTACACCCGCGACGGATGTGCCCGAGCTGGTGCTGGCATAACCTCTAAGACCTAGAAAAATGAAAAATATGATTAGATATGCATGTAACGAAGAAAAAAAATCAACAAATCTGAAAAAAATCCCATTCACCTTCAGAAAACGGGAAAGATTTTGCCTGAGCGGTCACATTCCCAGACATCAATGACTCTAGAAACCGATTCTCTGCTTCAGTTGATGACTCGTACGGATTTCTTTGTCCACTGTTGAACTCCAGTGCACTCAGACCTCCATGAATATTCCCCTGAGCAACCAACTTACCCCCAACTAATGTATCTACATTTTCAGTCTGCTTATGCGCAGCAAATCCAGGAGGCGGCCTGGCTTTCATCTGCAACTGAGGAATTACATCACCAAGTAAAGAAAACGGAGCATCAGCCGGAGCACCGGCTGGACGAACTTGCAAGTCCAGGCCAAAATATCCAGCTTCGAACCACCCGATAAGATCAGTCCCCGAAAATGGACCCTGAACGAGCCCTTGTGGATCTTTATAAAATAGAATTAGCTCTTCTGGAGAGGATTGCCGCTGAAATCTTCTCCCAATACCTTTGTCACCAGAGATTAAGGAATCACTGTGAGGAAGCAATTTGCCTGTTTCCCTTTCTGTATCCAACATTTCAGACGACTGCCTCCTAAATCGCATATCTCTGCTTATTTCTGACTGCAATGCTTCAGCATTCTGCAGATGCACTTTGTTGCCATCATAGAATGATGAAGAAACAGCCTCAGTACTCATCTGCACTGCAGAAAAATCAGTCCAATGTTTTGATGATCCTTCATAATTTTCTCCCATTGATTCTATCCTTGATGGAATCGCATGACGACTTGATGAAGATCCTTCCAGTGCACTCAGTTCTCTGTTAGCCTCCCGCTGGTTGACTTCTGAAATTCATTGGACACTCGTCACTCGACTAGCCTACATCTTTGCGTTTTAGCAGATCAACTCTAAGACATACAAAGTTACAGATTTGCAATTTTATAATGGAAACGACGAAAACATAATTTAATTTGTTTAACACAGTGCTTACACGATCCTTTTGTTCAGACATGGAACCTGATTCCTTACAGAGACTTCAGCATTACTTGAGACCCGACCAAAGAATGCACTGAGTTCAACTACCTCCCGATGATAACAAGTGCTACAAACGTACACATTGAAAGGTCACTAGACAAAAGGACTGATTTACAGATACTCATAGGATGTTCTGGCACAAGTTATTACAGGAGGACAATAAGTTATTATGGTTTAAAGTTGCTTTGGATAGGCCTTGTATCGATGGTTGTGATTTTAGTGAAGATTTACGCAATTTTGTTCCTAACTACTTAAAAACAACTTATACTGACATAAAGTTAACCTGATATAAAAAGTATATGCACGTCAATGACTATTTCCATTGAAATCTTAAGTAAAACCACGTTTTGCGCAGGTATCAAAAATTGTTGCCACAACTGTAAGGTAAATAACCACCATCTTCTTGGTGACAGCCTAATAACAATGATCTCTAAGAGTTTTTACACAATGATGAAAAAAGCCCAACGTTAGTTCTACACGATAAGACTTACCTTTAACAGTCAGAGTCCCATCCTGAAGTGGACGAAGATTCTGGCTCAAGTCCTCAGGTCCATAGAGATGCATCTGTCTTCTTAATGATACAGCATCAAGGAGACCCTGTTGGTCATCTTTGAACCTATCCAAGATCTCATTTTTAGAGTCATCAACAGAAGATGACAAACCTTCTCCACTCCCTGTTTAAACGCAAATGATGTCTCAGAAAAAAAAAAAGATGCTATTGATTAAGTAGAATGATTACACCATCAGCAAATATCACATAGTTCGTGCCTACCTGATCTACCATGTCTAAATGGAGTAGGGTCAACGAAGTTGCGACCAACAGCAGCATCTTTAGTGATCTGAGGGATGCCGCTACTGACAATTTCTCCCTTGTCAATGCTTTTTAAAATAGCCTGCAAAAGCAATGCATCAGACAGGGAAAAACTAACGGGGGAAGTTTAAAACAAGTTGGAAAACCAATTACCAATTCTTCAGGGGAAGGGATAGATATCGCCAAAGGTTCCAATAGTTCCATCTGGGTAAGAGAAGGAACCTCTATAAAGCCATCAAGCGGCTTTTTGTAGCTTTTTACATCCATCATTCTGTATATGTCAAGTAGCTTCATCCTGGTATACCTTAGAGAAGAATCTCCATAATCACCAAATGGTATATCTGGCACAGCTCCCATAAGGTTGGAACTAAAAGCATTAGTGGAACCCACGGCAGAGTTGAACTTTCCACGACCAGCAGAAAAAGTTGAAGAGCCATTTTCCCCTCTTGCCCTCCAATATCCGAATGGTTGTCCTTGTTTGCTCTGGCTGAATGAAGAATCTCCCCTTCCACGAACAACAGAAGAGTTTGGCCGCCATGGACGTGAGTAATTCTCTCCATCCTTCTCATCCTTAACGGAATGAACCTGAGGGGGGGGTATACCATTGTCACGAGATCCTTCCACGTCCCTTCCGGAATCCATCTTCTTCTCCCTCCAACCATCCAACTCCTTGTCATCAGGCCCCCAACGGCTATTCCACTTGCTCTCTCGTCTGTGGTCAAAACTGTTATCCCTGTTTGGCAATTCATTCCAACGATCGGATGGTGCTCGTCGTACTTCCCCAGAAAATCTAGAGGAATTCTCACTCCGACGTTCCCTACGAGTATCAGTCAGGTCCTTGTCCCTATCCCCATCCCTCCACCGGTCCCTGCGAACAGCAGAGTTCGTCTCCCTTTCTTCATCACGCCAGCGATTCTGGCGCCCACCCTCAGCATCTGTAAAGGATGACCGCGGTGTGATGATGCGCTTTTCAGCATCTGGAAATTCCTCACTATTGTCAAAAGCCTTTACAGAATCTGGGCGATTTGCATGACACGGGCTAAAATGAGATTCCTGAAACATGCATAAGTTAAAGCAATATTTTCTGTCATCTAATAGCTCGAACTCAGGCATTGAGTTTCAAATAACTGCAGGTACAGATTTCACCAAATAGATATTATAGTTAACAAAAGCATGATACTAATGTGATTCTTCATACATTTTGAAAAAAATGCACTGTGGATACAGTAACTTCTGAAACATTTTCAATTGTAAAATTTCGAATTTGAATAGTATTTTGTAATGAATTTACTATGGTTAATATTTATACAAAAGAATAGTACTTCTTTCGATGTCATCAAATCAAGTCTTACTTGCGGGAAACCAATTTTTTCCCGTATAACTGGTAGGGAGGGAGAAGGAGTTCAGATTTCCTCACACAGTTGGATCAACGGAAACATTTCGCAGTCCATTAAAATTATTGCATCCTGTAGCTACTGGTTACAAGATTCCATGACATGAGCCAGAAACTTGGTATATATATCCATACAATGAGTGGGAGAGATACATAAACTAAGTATAAAAAGTTGATTTCTGACTTTAATTGAAAGACTGCTAGAAGCAGAGCAATAAATAGAAAATTGCCAACAAATCTGCCAGGATGTAGGTTTACCACAGTGATGATTCCAGGTCTATTATCCCCAGGCTTGGGCAGAAGCCATTGCGGGGAAAGAGGAATGGGGCTGTCAGGTCCTGTTAAGTCTGCAACTGTCAAACAAGAGATGGATAAAACCTGTTGTAAGACTTTAAAACTATTATATGACACAGACAATATGGAGTGTACACTTCTTCATAAAAGAAACGATGATAGAAACACTCATCAAAACGCAAGTCAACTAATTCCAATGTCTCGTACAGGCAACCAAATATTTGTGGCATTGAACAAACTTAAATAACATTTATTGTTGCAATTAGTACAATGCGAATCAAAATTTTCAATCTAAAGAGCCTCTCAGATAATATTAGCCTCAAATACATCTCCACGCGAGTGGAGTGATTGGGCATACCAGAGAAAATCAATAATCAAATTGACATCCATGAAATGCAGTTGGAAAAAAAAAATAGGATGATGATGAGCAGACAATTTATAAGCATGAGGCTCATCAAGCTATTCCAGAGTCAGCACATTTTGCAAGTCTTTGCCTCACCAATCTGATCAGAATCCAAACTGTTACATCATATAAAGGCTAGGCCATTTGTCGGACCTCAGGACATTCTTCAAACGTGAAGAAATTGTGATCGTCATTCTTCAAACCTAATCAGTCGCTCTAGAAGCCTTGCCACTCGGGAATATGAACGAACATAACAAGACAGAATGTATCAACACCAAAGTTTTAGATTATTCTATCGAATATTCTGTTACTTATAAAATGGCAAACAAAAGAAATTTAGATATTAGATGATTCTATGTGGCTGTAACATGTTAAGCGTCTTTTCTTCAATGGCTAAGTACACTTTCCAATCAAGTTTCAACATGACTAGCCGGATAAAACACCAAGGTTTTCACGCATGAACAGAACTAGATTATGATGGAAACCTTCCTTCTTCATGTAATCCCCACGTATTGAGCCATTAAAAAAAAAAATCCACGCTGAGACAGAATATAAACTGAGGAAAATGGCAGCAAACAGTTGAGGAAGCGCAGACATGCTATCTCAAATATTCTTAGTAGTACAAAAAAAGAGTCAAAAAGTCGACTCCATCCAAGGGTATATTGCATTATGGCCAAGAGATAATAAATTGATGTAAATTATCTACCGTACATGATGAATTATTCACTAAAAAAATCAAAAATAAATAAATAGTCTTTTGATTCCTCAAAACTAGAACAATACAACGACTAAAGTGAAAGGATTTATCCACAAACAATGTTGAATCCACCAACCTGCCTCCATGATAATGAGGTCAGCAAAAGAAAAACCATCCAGAACAACAGGTTTCAATCTTATGACAGGAAAAATAAAGAATCTAATGAAAAAGAACACGAATGTGTTTTAGAAATGTTACCTACGAAGTAAAATATGATAGAATATAAGTGAAAGAACAGTGAATAGATCGGAAACTTCAACACGTTGAATTCCTCTTCAATATACTAGAAAACATTTGTGTAAACATGTAAAGCTTGATTTATTTCCCACATTTAAGAAATTATCATTCCCCAAACCAATGAAGTCTTGCAATGTGCTCAGAGCAGATCAAACATCTGTTCGTCAATGTAACCAAAATCACCCACAGAAAGCTTGACTTGTTTCCCCCATCACACAAAACTATTATTATTTAAGCACATTGAATCTGTAACAACATCCTCAGAGCAGGTCAGCCACGCATCTATTTTACAATCTAAAATAGTGAATTCAAAAATGACAACGCCTTCATATTATCAAAAAATGCCATTTACAAAGTAAATTGTTAATGAAATCATTTATGTTCACGTCAGATGTTATAAGGAGAAAAAAATCAAATGTAATGCATCCAATTCCCGAAACTCAAAACCCTTAAATTCACAACGATGTCCTAAAGTAATGTAGCTAGCACTACGCCAAAAATAACCAACAGAATAGCCCACGAGAAATGGTCTGTATCCAATTTAAATTGGTTAATAGTATGACCTTGTGTAAAACGAGGAAAGCTAAGCATACAATAGAAACTTGCACTTTATTTTAGTTTTTTTAGTGATTCATAACTGGCTATTGACCATACTATCAGACGAATAGAATGTCTGAAGGCAAGTAAAGAAAAAACAATAACAGAGCTACACGAGAATAGAGACTTGCAATTCAGATTTTTCACGAGTGATAAAACAATTAACAAAAAATATGGAAAACTTGAAAATCTTGACACGGTGAATAATTTTTGGGCGACACATGAAAGCAAACAACTCTGCGATGATTATTGCACACTACAACGAAGACAAAATTAACAGCGATTCTTTACTTCGACAAAGTGTAAATTTGAGTAACGATCTGGAGAGGATTTCCGTCATAAAAAAACAGTGCCTTCATTATTCAAACGCAATATCAGATTCAGAAATATAGGCCTGAAATACTTAGGAACGTCCCTGAAGCACAAGGGAAAACTAAAGGAAGATGGGAAGAAGGCACAGAAAGTCTGAAATAAATCGGTGGAAGTAAAAAATATCTTCACTACGGAGGTCAAAGCCCCCAGCGTCCACACCCAGGCATCAGCGGTACACATGGAAAACCGAAGCGTAGAGATCGACGCGGAGCCATGACGGCAGAATCTAGGGTTTTCGATAAAATGACAGTTACAGCTGTCCGAGAGATAGAATGGTAACACAACAGAGAATGGGTAAAACAGGCGCGAGAGAATAGACGTCCAGAGGGGGAAGACATGAAATTGGGAGCCAGCGACGGCACCTCTGGGGATCTGCTGCGGCGGAGTGTCCACCCTGAGGTGCTGGCGCGCATCCGCATTGCTTTTCTCAGCCATGGTCAGCCCGAGGAGAGGCGAAGCTCGGCAGCGCAAGAAAACCCTACCTTGCGATCCTTTTCCCTTCCGCTCTCGTACCGTGACTGCGCGCGGCGGCCTGGATAAATTAGCGTCAGGCTCAAAGCGCGGATAAAATAACTATTTAATATTATTATTCTTATTATAAATTGCCAAATATTATTATTATGAAATATCCTTCCTATCCGGCTCCATTTTTTTTCTAGGGCTCTTTTTTTTTCTCTCTCTCCGTAAATATCGTACTATATATTATATAATTTAAACATTTTGTTTAAAATCTGCCTTAAAATGATAATTGCTGGTTCTCTGCCACGTGTTGACCTAAACCACCTCGTGGCTGCATGTAGATTCGTATCATTATTATCATGAAATTACGATATCAAAATGGCGTATATAGACCCATTTATCTGCCGTTCAGATGATCTATTCGGTAACTTGACCGGGATATTTGACTTGTCTGGCCGTCTGACTTTGGGAGTGTGCGGTCCGCCGGACAGACTTTTCATGGCCCGAAGTCGCGAGGGAAAATAGTGGGTCAGGCCCAACTTCTCAACTGGACGGCCCATTAACAGCGGCGATTAACAGTTTTGAGCTTTTTCACCGAATTAAACCTCGTCCTCCTTACCAGTGAGGGAACAGAGGAGAGAGACTCCGACCGCTACTGTTACTGTGGGAAGACGGGAGGGGAGGAGGGGGGGACGGAGAGCGGGGAGTGGAGTCGACGATGGAAGAGAAGGGTCGGGAGGCGCCGCTGACGGCGAATGCGGAAGCGGCTGCCACCGAAACCCTAGGTGAAGGATCGAGACGGCGAGCGACTGGCACGAAGAGAAAAGGGCCATCTGGTGCGTCTTCGTTCTCGTCCTATTCCACCCCTTCCAAGCGCCTCGCCAAGGAGAGAAACCTCCCGAGCTTCCACTCTTACGCGCACAATGGCCCGGTCACTAGGGCTAGGCAGTCCCCCAACAAGTTCTCCGCCACCGCAGCGTCCCCCCAGGTCCTGGCCGAGCAGCCGGCAGCATCAGGTGCTGCAGATGCTGCTGGATGCGGGGAGAACGGGGGCTCTGGTGAACGGATGACCGGCGAGGGTGAGGAACTGGACTCGATGGGTGGACCGGTTGTTGATGCTGATTTTGACGTCATTCGAACCCGCGAAAGCAATGTTCACGTCGTTCCAACACACGCTGGTAAGCTCTTCTGAAATCCTGCGCTCTTCGTGATCCGAGCAGGACCGCTTGACGGTTTTCTAGGGAAAATTAAGTCTTTCAGTTTTCCTTTGAGTATGAGAATTTGCGAATATTTTGTAACCGCCACCCTCTCCGTTCCTTAACTCAGTTGGGTCAATATCACCGATCTGTAAAGACTTGGCGATTGACGGGAAAAAAATGATGCCTTGGATTTCCGTGTTCCCTACGTCTGCTCTCCCATTTATTTACAAAAATGATCTTGTCATGAAATTCTTCTTCTTTTTCATCCGTAGGTTGGTTCTCTTGGGAAAGAATCCATCACCTGGAGGAGCAGACTATGGATTCCTTTTTCAACGGGAAGTCAGAGAAACGGACGCCTGAAATCTACCAGAAAATACGTAATTCAATAATGGAAAAGTTTCATAGTGACCCACAGACAAATATAGAATCAAAATATTTGTCTGAATTGGATGTGGGGGATATACCTGCGAGGCAGGAAGTGATGGACTTTTTGGACCACTGGGGTTTGATTAATTTCCATCCCTTCCCACCTGGTGCCTCAAATGCATCTGTTTCAAAAATGGAGGGATCAGCTAAAACGGCGTCTTTATCTGAAAGATTGTATCGGTTTGAAATGTCTTATCCTGCACCACGGTTAGCTCCTAAGAAATTTGATCCATTAGCTCCAGCCATGCCACCACGATTATTTTCAGAGTCTGCCATGGTCGATGACTTGGTGCGACCTGAGGGGCCATCAGTTGAGTACCACTGCAACTCCTGCTCCGCAGATTGTTCACGAAAACGCTACCATTGCCAGAAACAGGTGTGTTTCTTAACCCAATCTTGATGCTATTCATACCTTATCCAGTTTATAAAAAAAATGCGTAGCCTGTTGATACTCCATGATACTAATAAAATGCTATAGTCTGTGAATTGGGAATTGAATTTCAGAAGGGAAAGAATGTGTGATCATATGATGCCTATCCTCCCCTGATTTTATGACGTTCATTTTTCCACATTCTGCTTATCTAGTCAAAATAGAAAATAAAAAATAGTGAGGCTCTCCTGATACATTGCCTGAGTGAGCCTAATCTACAATAACCTGGAAATATTGCAAGATAGATGTTGGCTGTGTAGCTCAAACTTCTTCAAATGTATACGCAACCAGTCTTCAAATGTTTATTCCTCTTTCAATAAGTGGGAAGTCATCCAATGTCTAGAATGAACAGGTCCTGGAACAAGGTCAACTATTTTCAGAAATCACATCCTGAGGAAGTTTGTTGCATAATTACCACGATAGGTCCTGTCTGCCCAATGAAGCTTCGACTTTAATTGCATTGGGCCCTTGTCCTTGATAGGTCTTCAAGATGTTATATCAGTCTTTGTATTTGAGATTACACATTCTGTTAAGACGGAGTCTTTAGTTGCTGGTGACCTGCAGGGAGGTTCCAACAAGTTGAATAATTCAACTTGTTGGAACATATGCTAAATTGTTGGATGTAAATCCTTTCCACCATAATTGGCACTGAAAATAGCGATCTTTATTTTTCTTCTTAAGTGGGTAGTTTCTTTCAAGTTTTTCAGTTTATTGGAAAAAAATTGAAAGCACATTATGTGTATGTTCGATTCAAATAATCACTTAGTCAACGAATGTGATGCAGTTGGGTAATGCATTTTGGCCCCTAGTCAAGCACAGGTAAGCAATGCCTGTGTCCGCTTCATTTCCTTGACCACTGTTCTGTGAACTTTATTTTTTAAAAATAATTTTTGGCATGATACCATCGAATCATTCAAAGAATGTTTTTCGTCATGTAAAGTTGTACAACAATCAAAGAATAACAGTAAATGTCCTTCCGAATAAAACGTAAATATTTAATGGTTATGTGCTTTGTCAAATCTTAGAGCTTAGCAACCTCGTTTGATCCTCTTACCCATTTAATGTCAATGAACCTATCTACATAATAGTTTTCACGAAGGCATAAAGAATTTTTCTGTATGAGGATCACTTAATACGGTATAAAGTTAGTTATGAAGATTGTTCTATTTAAAGAGAATTATAATTTTATTTTTTAGTCTTGAAAAAAAACGTTTTTCCAATTTTTACAGCTTTTTGAGTTTTTTATGAATGCCGTTAGATACACATAATTCTTATGTCGTTCACATGACATGTGCATCAATTCCCAATTAATTATTTAAACATGCATGATTATCCTAAGCTTTAGCAAAAAAATTTAAAAAGTGGGTGGTGCTACGTGTTTATTGATTTAAAAGAGAAAATGTTCATCTGTAGAGTCTTGTTTCCTATTTCAACCCCTTTGTATTGTGCAACAACTTTATAGTCTGTTTCAAGGTGGCAAAGGCTATATTAGTCACCATTTGTCAAAATATCACTCTCTTATTACCTCAAATTTGTGCTCTCGTTGTCACTCTATCAGTGAATAATATTCAGCTTCAACATTCTCACTAGTAAAGTGGACATCAGATCCGAACCCCCCAACATCAGTAATGTCGGGGTAGCTTTTCCATAGCCACCAGAAACTCTTTTGGGATCAGAGAAGCCAAGAGGAAAACGTTGTGTTTAATGTAACGGATAAAATTATAAAAAGAAGAAATTGAAGAGCTTCCTGCCATCAGTACTCTTATGTAATCTAGCTGCTGTTGAGGTTGATATGAGCTGTTACATCCCCTAAAATAATGCGATGTTTGCTAAAATTCATTGGAAGCAGCTTTAGGTAGCTCATCACCAGCTTAAAGCGCGCATTACGTCTACCACAGCCTATCAATTAGCAGCCCCATAAGGTAAACGGCGCATGAGAGATGATCAGCAGCTGTCCCGGATGTCTCTTGTTGACAAGCACAACATCAATTTATTGGATTGTGGAAAAACCTGTTTTCAAAAGGAATGCATTATTGATTTTTCATCCGTTGGTGGATGAGGATATAGGATCGAGTTAACAGCGTCAATCAACATTACAAATTCCCACAGGAACTGAAAAGAATATTTTTCAGGTCACCTTTCATGGATATATTCCCCTTATAATTGAACAGATGTTTCAAACTTTACAGAGGGCAAAGATCATATTCTTTAGAAGTTACCCTCCCTACAAAGTCGTGTCATTGTACTCTCATGCTAGATGATTTCGAGTAGTTAATCTCATAGATTCAGTTATGTTTCAAGAATATGGTGGGCTAGCTTCAATTTTCATCTGTTCTTTCTCCCAACCGACAGTCCTATGAATTTCGTTTGTTTGAGGCCACAAACTGATGTGTTTGTATGGTATAGGCTGATTTTGACCTGTGCACCGAGTGTTACAATGATGGGAAGTTTGGTTCTGGCATGACACCAGCTGATTTCATTCTTATGGAACCTGCTGAGGCACCTGGCACGGGAGGTGGTAGCTGGACAGATCAGGAAACCCTTCTTCTTCTGGAAGCGCTGGAACTTTATGGAGAGAACTGGAATGAAATAGCAGAACATGTCGCAACGAAAACAAAAACACAGTGCATGTTGCACTTTGTTCAAATGCCAATTGAGGATCCATTTTTGGTTGATGATGCGAATACAGATGAGAATCTATCCAGGAATGGTAACAATGTTCCTTTTTCTAAAAATTCATCAGCATCAGATGCCCCTGAGAAGATAGACACTGAGATTACAGAGAGTGAAGGCAGACATGCTGCATCCTCAACTAGCATAACAGAGGAAAAGGAAGATTGCAAAACAGAGCCTGCTCAAGAAACCAGCTCTTCCAGCATTGCAGTCAGTGCACTGAGAACTGCGTTTCTGGCGACTGGATCTCTGGTAAAAGAGGGAGAGCCACTTTCGTTTGCAGACGCTGGGAATCCAGTCATGACATTGGTAGGTAGAATGGCCTTTATTTTATTTGCTAATATAATCATATCAGATTTGATGCGATGGTTTTCTGTGTTATATGATCATTGCAGGCTGCATTCTTGGTGGCCCTCGTTGACCATGATCTTGCACTTTCTTCCTCACGAAGCTCCTTAAAAGCAATAACTGAGGAGTCTCCAGGAATACAGCTAGCTACAAGGCATTGCTTTTCTCTTGAAAATCCACCAAAACACCAGAAAGATGAACAAAGTAATGGAAGGTAGTATCTTGGCTTGGGTGTGCATAAGTTGTAAGGCATAGTTATTTTCTATTATATTATTCAATTAACTGGGATGACGACATATGCAGTGAAGGAGCTCAGATGGAGGAAGCCCAGGCCCCAGCTACAAAGGTCAATGATGAGCCAGATAATGGTATAGAAAAGACTGATAGAACAGCGAGTCCGCCAGATAAGCTACCTAGAGTTTCTTCTGAAGAATGTGCTCAGGATCAGGTAGCAAATAAGTCAACTGTGAAAGATGTTTCAGTCAAGGAGGCCACTCCCATGAAGGATTCTCATGACTTATCTTTCCCAGTGGGCAAATCTTCTCAGACAAGTACTGGTGACTCACATCAATTGTGTTTGCCAATTGAGAAGACTTCAGATAATAATGTTAATGGTTCAAATGATTTGAATCGACATGGCGAGAGCAGTTTAAATACAACGATGGAATCCAGAAAAGCACAAGCAGATGAGGTCACACCGAGTACAACGGATGAAACAAAGACAAAGGACTTCACTTCACCAAAGGGAAGTGATTATTCTCTGACTGATGAACAAATGCAGGATGCTGTCAAGGATTCTGGCAAAGATTCTGATCATGTGATATCACTCGAGGGAGGAAAACAGCCTTTCGAAACATCAAAGGCTTTGAACATGTTACCCACAGAAGAAAAAGGGCATTTGAATGGAATTGATTCTGATTCTGCACTGGGAACCAAAGAACCAGCAGGTTTGTCTACTCCACCCTAATACACGCTAATACAATTAATGAACTCAGTAATTTATTGATTTTATTACACTTTAAAAAAAAAACAGTTTCTTTCTTCCTGTATTTTTTATTCGTTGATATATTGACCAAACCCTCTCTCTCTCTCTCTCTCTCTCTCTCTCTCTCTCTCTCTCTCTCTCTCTCTCTCACACACACACACACACACACACACATCAGTGTCATTATCCACCAGAATCCCCACAGATCCTGTTCAACTATTCTGCTATCGAATTGCTTCAAAGGTGTATTTTAAATGCGTAGCTTCACCTCTTTCTTCACTGTTCGTCTAAATTTTTCTCAAACCTCGTCATCCATTTTCAGAACCCTCAAAACGAGAAGATCATTGTGTCATTATTCTTCTTCTGTACAATTTTCCAACCTCTTTCTTCTACCCTTTTTTGTTCCTACTCTTTTCTATATTTGTTGCAATCTATTCTTTCCTACATGTCAAATGCATTAAGTACTAAAATTTGCTATTTTGCACAAATCATCTTGTGCCAACTTAATTCATATCACGTTATTCTTCCCTTCTGGTCACTCACTTCTTTTGCATTATTATAGTTTCGAAGTCCGTTTCTGTTGAAGTTGTAGAGATTGCACATCAAGGAATTGAATTGTCCTCAGAATAATGGGATTCGGTTACTGTTTTCCAGCAGATTTCTTACCATCCAGTTCTTTAAGCAGAGAACTGCAATAATAATTCTTTTGCTGAATGATTGTCGTGCATAACATTCTTATCTAGCCCTCAAATCAATTCCAGATTATTATCGAAGGAAAATATTAACTATTTGTGGTGGTAGGCTCTGGAATTTTTCTTGAAGACGTCTGAATATCTTCTCATGTACGATGCCTTTTCAATTAAAGTGGCAAGATATCTTACATGGAAAAATGATATTTTTCTCTGGGTTAATGATGTGTATAATACTATCTCAGTCACGTATGTCTGAATTTAATCAATGAACTTGGAATATCTTATCTTACTTGATACCTTTTCAACAGCCTCTATTGTTTTCGTTCTCCTTATTTATTATTGAACTGAAATTTAGTCTTCTGTCTGCACCTCTCAGCTGAATCGTTAACCACTGCTATCTCTTTCCCGCTTTATATTTACACTTAATTTCTCTCGTATGGGAAAGACCAAAGGATCCTACCCTCACCAAACTTTATATTTACGGAGCTGAATTGACTTCGGCTAGAGATCCTATCAAAGCATTGGCCCGTTCTACATTGGTAACAAGTTTGGATGGTTTGTTGTGTCCGAAACAGGGTGAAGAGATTTTTTCTGGAAGCTATCCGAAACAGTCTTAGGCTGGGCATTGACGAATTGGGTAGAAAGAATAGAATCTTTCTCGTCATGAGTATAGAGAAGAGTAGAGAGAGAAAATGTGCGTCCAAAGAAAGGCTTCTCTAATGAATCAAACAGAAGCAAGGAGCGAATGTTCCATGGATGAAGGATAGAGATAGGAATACTAAGTTCTTTCACTATACTCAAGTTAAAGAAAAGAGCTTCAAAGGAACATTCACTCAATGTAGAGATAACAGAGGCTGATTTCATCGTAACCTGAAAAAAAAAAAAAAGGATAAATACGTATATAATATATGTATATGTATCAAGGGTACCCTTGATAAATACATATCATAGGTGATTTTAAGAATATAATAAAAGGTAAATATATATATATATATAACTTTCATTGAGGACTTCCATAGACAAGGAAACGTTTTAGTTCCAGCTTGTATCCTATTGCCTCCACCCCCGTTTGCCTCCCTCCTGTCTGGATTTCAGTGGTCATAGACAAGAAAGCAGTGGAGGTAAGGGTAAGGAGGAGGGGTGGGTAGCAGAGGTGGTTGCTGGTGGTGGGGTTTGTATTCAGGGCAGGCCTTATGGTCATGGAATTGAAAAGGAGGGGGGTTGAGTTTATATGGAACAGCAACTCTTTTGTCAAAACGAAGACTTTTCTACAGATTAGCCGAAATCTAACCTAATTCCTCAAGGAGACTCGATTTTGAGGAAGCTTGCTGGAACATCATAAGCCACCATTTTCTCACCTGTGGAGTCATTTACCTCCCTTTGGAGGATCATCTTCAAACAATCAGAGATACTCCAATGGGTCAAGAATATAGCTGCACCCTCTTACAAAAACTGGATGGTTTTCAGTCAACATTCAAAAAACATCTAGCTGTATGAGTATAGCTCCCCTCCCTCAACTTCTCCGATTTGGCTGTGGGGCTTGCATATGAACTGAAAATATTGAAATTTTTTAAAAGTACCCAGTAAAAGTATAGGAATTACCTGATAAAAAGTTTCCTCTGAGATTATTCTATTTGAATTTTGATGCCCTCATATCCGTCAGGTGATGATGATCCCAAATCAGCAGTTAGCAATGGCGAGAGGGATTCCAAATCGCATAAAACTGAGGACGAAGTTAGCATAGCTAAGATAAGGAGGGCTGCAGTTTCTGCACTTTCAGCAGCTGCTGTTAACGCCAAGATTCTCGTTGACCAGGAGGAGAACCAAATTCGTCATCTTGCCTCTCTGGTCATTGAGAAACAGGTATTCCTGAAGAAATGGGCATAGCGTTTGTATGATACATTGATTGTTTCTGTTGTGGGTCATCGACTGATGAAATTGTTTTCCTGCAGCTGAGGAAATTGGAAATTAAGCTGGCGCTCTTTGGTGAGATTGAAAGCGCGATTTCACGGGCAAGAGAGCAATTAGACAGGGCAAGACAAAGGCTACTCCACGAACGCGCCCAAATCATTGCAGCCCGGCTCGGCTTACCTGCTTCATCCTCGAGATCTATACCACCATCACTGCCTCCAACCAAGTTCGCCATGGCCCAGGGTTTTGCAGGCCCAAGACCATCAAATCTGGCCCCTCAGAAATTTCCTTTTAAGAGACAATGAAATATTACGTCGCTGGTCTTGTCAGTGTCTCTCAATGATTGCATCCCTCTACACTCAGAACTGAAGAAAGATAGAGATCTTAAAGGGAAACCAACATGTCCATACTCATTGATGTCGATTCCACCCAAGCTAATCATTCATCTGTGCGGTCATTCAAGTGAGTCCCTTCCATTTCGATAGCTCCATCTCTATGGCATCAATCATTTTATCAGTCTGGGTTGTTGGAATCTCTGATCTGTTCTTGGGCCCGAAAATACAGGCTATGTGACATGAATTATGTCGCCATAGACAATGGAAGAAGGGTGCAGATTTCTATCATGTTTCCATTATGGATATCTTGTCCGGAAGTTCTTGGTGATTGATGCATGCACTGACCTCATTCTTTGTATATTGTTGAAACAGTAGTTAGAGCGCGTGCAATGTATCTTAATGTTACTGAATATTTTTCTTGGATCTTTCTGTTCCTGGGTCCATTTTCTCTCCTGCCATCATCTGTGTGCAGTTCGCTGCTTCCTCTGTCTTCCTGTGAAACAAGACCCGTGGAGAATTTCTGCTTGAAAAGGATCCAAGTGAATCTGAAACCATGTCCTCTGCATGTCCATGCTGCCAAGTCTGGACATGATTTTGACTAGGGAGTTAGCATATTCTTCTCACAAGTAAATATCCACGGCCTGGGAGCAGATGCAGATCCCTCAGGCGGAGACTGTGCACATAATGTATGAGTTCACTGAACCAAACAGTTAATAATGCACTTATAAATAAATAAATATATATATATATATATATTAGTTGAGCCGTTAAATCATTTCGATGTGCAAGTCTCCATCCATGCATTCCCAAAGACCTAATCGCATCATCATTTTGGATTAGAAATCCAGCGAGATCTTTGAAGTTTTCTAGGTTTCTATTGTTTGCAAGCGGTTGGAAAAACAGTTAATAATGCACTTATAAAAATCTATGTTGGAAAACTTTTAGGCATCGTCCAAAAGGTTTTTCTCCTTTGAGGAACAGTAAACCGGGATCACTTATCTCTGAACTCTCTCACACACACATATTTCCTAGTGCAGGAAGAAAATAATATGAATTTGGAAGAGAGAGAGAGAGAGAGAGAGAGAGAGAGAGAAAGAGAGAAGTGGGGGGGGGGGGGGGGGGTTCTCCGCCAGAAGTCCATGGGCATCACTCACACTGCACAACACAAAGGTCTCCTTAATAAGCGAGGCCGCCAAAGTCTTTCCACACTAGTCAATGGATCGACGGGGTGGTAGGGGAAGAGGTCTTCAGACAAGATGAAAGGGTAATTTTTTATATGGAAAGAGGACGACTGATCTCATACCTTCTCTTATCAATCTAGGCGTCTGATTCCCGCAGAAACAAGGTGAAGTGCCTAGCACTCGCATCCGGTGGATCTCTGCTGACTCCCACCGGCAACATCAATTGTGTCTGGGAGGTATCTGTGTAACAAAAGTGTGGGCGTGATGCTTTCATGCCATAAACACGAACCTTTAACGATACATCTAATATCTAGTTGATCACATTTTTTCTAATATTAACTTATAAACGGAATTATGACTAGATCATCAGCTATCACTCCACCCACTATATGGGCAAGTAGTCTCTCAGTGAACGAAATGACTGCCAGATAAGTTAGCGACCCATCATTCTGATTATATTTATTTGTTATCATTTCTTATATTTTATTTTCTGGGAAAAGTTTGTGATGAGATATTACAATATTTCGTTTATAGTGGTCTAACTTATCTACCACAGTCCAAGCAAAACCTGAGGTGAAACCAACTGCCCACTGAATCAAAATGATCAGTTCTTAATTTTCCATCGACTATGTCTAAAAATACCATCATCCCAACAGACATGAATAGTTGAAAAGTCCCCACCTCTACTCACTTTTTTGTCCGACTTCCGGCCTTCTAGGCAGTATCTTGTTAATGACTACCAGTATCCAATAACCAGACTGTTTATTATCGTTTCAGTTGGGCTCCAGCCTTCAATGTTTTCGGGATCTGGTCTTTATTGGTTCCAAAGATGAATATTTTCAGGCATCTACCATTTTCGTTAATGGATAGTATATAGCTCGTTTCAAACCCAATATGTGGCATGTTTATCCAATAAGACTACATTTAGAGAGCAACAGTAATATTTTCAGAAAATCCACAAATTTCTGGAATTATTCCTCAATTTCTTCCTCGTCAATTATCAGTTTGCAATCTGCATATTTCCCAATTGCGAAACAAGCTACGAATTTGGGTTTGACACCAGATCTACCATGAACTGAATCCCGAAGGGCAGCTGGAAGGCAGTGGAGAATAACCTATCTCAGGATCCATGAAACCGTCACAGACCAAATAAAATTTATTATAAATAAGCAAAATAGAAAGGGGAGAAAACGAAAAAACAAAGCAGAATTAAGAAGTTAAAGCATGTCTGTCTCGTGATTCTAAGACTTAAATGCTGGAGATCGGAAAGTAATATGCGCCACTTACATCTCTTCTTCCTCTCCAGTCTTCAACGTTGAATACCTCTTTGGCAGATGTCTCAAAGTAGGGAATGTTGCCCTTTGAGGCACACCAAGCCCGGGCTTTTTTTTCTGAAACCTGAGAATAGAGTAATAGGTATCGAATCAATTGCCACGAACAGAAGAAACAGAAGTGGGGAAAAAACATTCACTAGAGTATGCCGAGAAATTTAACCTACCGCCCTGCTTTCTCCTTCATCCACATCAACTTTGTTACCAAGACTACAAAAGGAAATTGTCAGGATCTGAGGGAATTGCCTGCAGAAGTGCACTCGTCAAAAGTTAAGATCGATAAGAATGATTAAAGGATCTAGTATAGCCTGGAAAAGGGTTCCAAAATATCACCTGAATAAGAAATTGGTCTCGCCAGTTATTCAGATTATCAAACGACTTCATATTATTAACATCATACACAAGGACACAGCAATCTGCGCCACGGTAGAATGCCACACCTGAGCTCTGGAATCTCTCCTGTCTAGCTGTATCCCATGTCTGTGAGAGTAGATAGAAAAGAAAAATTATACAGGACACAATATCTTAGAAAATTTGTTGTATGAAAACCTGATGGCATTCAAAAAAAGGCTGGGGTAGGTGTATATTTTTTCTGCTTTTCAACAGTTTCAGATGTGGTTGCAGTTGAAATATAGAATGATGGACATGTTTCTCAGAACTGGAGAAAATTCTATCTTCAATTGAGACCATCAGGGCTGGTACACTAAAGCGTTTAATTCATATACCCCACCTCAGGAAATTATTAAGTGACATAAAATGTTTTCCAACTACATGTCATTTATGTAGCTACTACTCGTCGAACAGCTACACACTACAGCGAAATCGAAATGTTTGAATGAAAAACTTCGAAATTTCGATATCATATTATAAAATCAACGAAAATCATCAAAAAATTTGTAGCCTAAAAAATATGCATAAGGCAAGGAAGGGGTGAGATTGATGACCAAATTTGGAAAAATGGACTTCTTAGGAAGATGGAATACAAATGTCTGGTTCAAGGTATAACTGCCTTTGTGATAATCAGACCAAGAGGTATTTCAAATACTTCTATATGCATGAAAAAAGAACTTCACGGGATAAATTTATACTGATTAATACAGCGAAATCATTTTCTTACACGAGGAACAATGGTCTAGAGAGTTGTACCACTATGGTATGACTTTGAAGAGAGTGCAGAAAATGTGGTAATAATCACTGACGACCAAGACATCATTATAACCACATTTGTTTGTTTAATTACGCTTCAAAACCAGAATTAAGGAAAATTATAAAAATAAGAATGGCATTGTAAACATTGTTAGGAAGAAATCAACACGAGCTTAATCTATATGTTGATCATCAAGCGGGGTAAAATATTTTAAGATAAATTTTGAAAATGAAAAATAAACCAGACAGGCAACGTGCGAGGACAGAGATTCAGTTAAGTTTTAGAAAACAAAATGCAAAAGATTAAGCCAGCTACCGGCCAAGCTGATCTTTGGACACAACAGAAGCTGTGACATGAAATTCGCGATGGAAAAAACCCGGGAATCCTATTTTATGAATCAAAAATAAATTAAAGACTCTAAATGATGCAGCGGGGAGGTGCCCCACCTGTAAAGTGAAAATTCTGTCTTCAAACTGAACTTCCTTCGTGAAGAAATCAGCTCCAATTGTGGCCTTATACTGGTTGCTGAACTTCTTATGCACATATCTAAATACAATCAGAATTAAGGGGGACAGAATGAGATAAAATAATTGTTTCTGGAGACCATAAAGATGACTGATCGACAACAGAGCATCACCACTAAACCGTTAAAATAACCAGAAAAATAAGCCCAAAGGGGACGGATACTGGTTCATCAAGGACGTCTTCCCAACCCTGCAGAGAAAGATAAAAAAACCACGTCCAATCAGCAACGATATGAGACCGAAGAATCAAGAAAAGTAGACAACACTCCGTGGCATAGGATGTGAACCCCGAAGTCTGACCGTACACTGAAGAGGGCCCAATGTATCTAATGACATGAAGACACTCCTCGATCCCTTTACCGGACCATGACCAGACGATTCCAGGGAAGACGGGGAGCCCGGATCCATTGGTTTTTGTCACGGTAGCAATAGAGTTAATTCCCCGAGCTTGTGGCAGCCGTGTTCATTTCTGTGTGCTGCAGAGACACAGTAACGGGGGAAACGCGAACTCACCCGCTGTCGCCCAGGATTATGACCTTCAGGAGTGTTCTCCGCCTCGCTGCCATTGCCGAACCCCCAGTCACAGGACCGCGCTCGATCTGACTGTATCACACTACAACGGAAAGAGAGATCCAGAGATCCACACTGAGAGATTCCAGACGAACAGGAATCTCCGAAGGAAGGCTGTCGTGGAGGGATGCGCCCTCTCTGCTCGGTCTCGTGATTGCTTGTAGAGAGAGAAACGCTCCAAGAACAAGGAGGTACACGAAGATAGTTCTCCACTTCTGTCTCCGACCGTTACCTCCACTCCCTCCTCGTAGATTTTTGCATATAAGTACCTATAACGACATGGCTACGCGGGTCGGATCGTATGGGGCCCCTCAACCCGAGACCCTAATGGGTCGTTCAAGGAAAGCCCAAGGGAGAGCTGTACGAGCACTATGCCGGTCTGGGCTAGGCCCATTAGGGTATAGGCACGGCAGGCACGAAATCATCCGAACTTATTCGGTATCATTAAATATTTATTTTCCGTGTGCAATCCCGTACTGGTCAGCGTAAATACCCATTAATGCCAATCTTCCATTCTCCGAATGAAAGTAGTGTGTGTGTGTGTGTGTGTGTTTGTGTGTTAGAGAGAGAGAGAGAGAGAGGACATGCCCATCTTCTTGACCTGAGAGACAGCGAGAAGACAGCACCTTAATACCTGTAGAGAGAGACACACACAGACAGACAGATGCTCATCGTCTTGACCTGAAAGAGTGTGTGTGTGTGTGATAGAGAGAGAGGGGGGGAGATGTCATCTTCTTGACCTGAGAGAGAGCAAGAAGACAGCACCTTAATTTCGCCGTGTTCTTCTTTGATGTTTCCCTTCATCCATTCTTCTTCGCCTGAGCTTACCATGCCTCGCCCTGAGATACATGCGCCATTGCGCCTGAAACCGTACAGAAAGTACTTTGCGGTGGCGATTAGGTTGTGTGAGGGAGGGATGGAGACGGGTTGCAGACGAGAAAAGAAGAACGACTTCGTGGAGGATGATGATACCCTGAGAGCACAGAAAACGGGACATGGGACGGTTTACAGAAGGCCATGGGTATGTCCTTCTGAACCGATTTCTTCCAAAACAGGGTGAAGATGTCCCAGCAAAAACAGACGGAGAGGAGAAGGTCGGCCGTCTTCAAGCACCAGTGGATCCAAACCCGCCGGCGCCCCTGACGGTGGAGTCCAGGTTCTCAACCTCGACCACCTCCGGCGTCATGATTCTCTCGATAATCAACTGCGCGATCCGGTCCCCGGCCTTCACCTCAAAATGCACGTCCGAGTGGTTGAACAGGATGACGCCGACGGGGCCGCGGTAATCCGCGTCTACCACGCCTGCTCCGACGTCAATGGAGTGCTTCCACGCCAGTCCCGACCTGGGAGCTGCATAATCGGGCATCCCGCCCAAACGAGACAGCGTCAGAGCAAATATGGCAGAAACAACTACAGATTATGGCAGAGAGGCCTACCGATTCGAGCATAGGTCCCTTGAGGAATAGAGATGCTGAGATCTGTGGGAACGAGGGCCTTTCCTCGTCCTGGAACCTTCATGTCCACCGCGCTGCGGATCAGATCTGAGACGTTAAGGGACCCGTAGGAGCGTAACATCAAATGTTTGGGAGGACGATGAGCGAATACCTGGAGAGATCGTAGCCGGCAGAGTAGGGGGACCCTCTGGAAGGCAAGACGGCATTCTCCGACAGCCTCTTCACCCTCAAAAGGGGGACGTCCTCGGAGGCGCCATTGGACTCGACATGGAGGAGCTTCTGGAGCTTCGGCACTGGCCCTACCGCAACCTCCACGCCGCCGTTCTCCGCATCACCAGCCATCTTCCTTCCGGATCCCAGGGAGGAGGTGGAGGAATCAGAGGTTACCGCGTCGGGGGGAGCACGTCGTGTGGAACAGAGTCTGAATCTCCACGCTCTGCTGCGGAAGTTATCCTCCCAGAATAAGCTATTTTTGGCGCCAAAAATTCCCGCCACCACAGGCCAAGATGAACTGATCGAGGACGGCGTCGCCAAGACTGACGTCACCAAGACGCAGAGACTCTGTGACGCTGGGTAGAGACGAAGCATGAGAACTCGGAATCGGCCGAATCTGCTCTGAATCCGCCAATCTGATCGAGGAAGAAGAAAGCCCTCTGAATTTGGGGGGTTTAGGGTTTGGGTCTTCACAGAGAGCATATTCGGACCCGATTTGAATGCTCCGGGTGTCCGGTACGGACCTCTAATGGGCCCAACAAGGAAGATGGAGTGACTAATGGGCTCCACAGACTGGGGCCCAATTGGTGTAAAGAGAACGTCCTTTTCGTCTCCGTCCACGTGGAGAGAGATCCATACCTTCTTCAAGCTCCGACGCTGCCCTGAAGCTTCCACGGAGGAATCGGGCACATCTGCACGGTACGTCGCGCGCGCGCACAATCATCTCCACCACATGAAATGCAGGAGAAGTCAGGAGAAAGAGGAGGAGAGTACGAAGAAGGCGATTGAGATCGACGACCGCGGCGATAGAGCACGCGGTTGATCTTGCATTCCACGGGAGGGATCAACAGCCTGTCGACCGACGGCGATCGGGTCCGATCCTCTCCGATCGATCCCGTAGGAAACTGTGTCGTCAGGGAGCCGGCCAGCGGACGTCGGTGATCCGACTCGCGCGAAGCACCGCCGAAGCTTCCGCGCCGATGAGGTCCCCCCGCCTGCGTCCAAGCGAGTGAGACACCTTCATCTCTCTCTCTCTCCAGCAGAGGAATCTGGAGCAGCCTGGCGACGTTGTTCTCGTGCAAATTAAAGTGAACTGCCTCTATCGAGAAATCAACAACGAGGATCGGAGAGACTACAAGGCCTGCGCGGCATGAAAAACAGCCTAAAGTTGGTATAATACTTTTCCGGCGAGCAACCAAGAAGGAGATGCCTCACTGTTGTGGAAGAAAGAGAGAGAGTCACCTAATCACGGACGTTCAGGCCGTGACCTTGCCTGCTTGGACCTCCGCCGGCGCCCGTCGCTGTCGAAAACGAACAGTAATCGATGACGATCTCACGACACACGAATGTCGGACTTCGCACGAGTAGCATTTCACGCGTGCGAGATCTCCCACCCCCCCGTTCCCCCTCCATTTTCGCACGCGCGCGAAGGATGAACGCACATTTACGTTGTTGCGCGTACGCACATCACATCAGGTCTATTTCTGCTCTGAATTCCTCTAGGTCCACGTCAGCAGTGAGTCCAGATCGGCCACCCACCACCTTCGGGGACAAGGGATGCGACGATCTAGCAGAGCCATCTGGAAGAGGACGAGGAAGGTCTGTGGAGCTCCGCCGCTCAGAGCAGGTGGGAATCTGGAATATTTGAGGAGAGAAGTCAAAGCGATCTCAGTTGGGCGGCCTCGGGAAAGAGAAGAGAGGGACCGCCACGACAGCAGAGCTCTATAAGTGGGAGACTGGGAGAGGAAGCTAGAGAGAGAGAGAGAGAGAGGGAGTTCACCATCAGCCTTCTTCCGTGGTGGCGAAGTGGTGTGAACTGCAGGAGGAGATCGTGGAGCCATTTCTATATACGCAGGCCATGCGAAGAGGTGGGAGGAGCAGTAGCAGGTAGCGGTGTTGTTCATACCGAGTGTTCTGTAGCTGTTCGCTGTTGTGCACCGGACGTCGTCTGTTGGGGATGGGTGGAGCATGGGATGGCAGCCGGCGGCGAAGGGCGTCGGGAGGTGTGCCCGTGTCAATGGCGCTGTTCGGCTCCTGCTGTTGCTGCTGCCTTGTCTTAGCTCAAGTCGTCAGCGCAGAGAGGCCCCTCCGGTCATTGGGAGATTCCGCGGTGGCCGACGTTGTCAGGGAGGAGGTGGCGGTAGAGTCGTTCATCACCCGCTTCGTCGAACCCTTGCTTCGCCTGTATACTCATGTTTGGCCGGTGAGGGCCCTCTCTCTCTCTCTCTCTCGCTCGCTCGCTCTGTGTACGGTTTCTCCGGGATCTGCCTCTGAACCGAAGAGGTTAAACAGGACATGGAGCTAGGTTGGAAGCTGGTGCTTGGCTCGCTCATCGGCTTCCTAGGTGCTGCCTTGGGGAGCATTGGTGGAGTCGGCGGCGGCGGGATCTTCGTTCCAATGTTCACACTCATCATTGGTTTCGACCCTAAGACGTCTACAGCACTCTCCAAATGTACGATTGTGGGATCTTCGTTCTTCATAATCTCGCTTCGCGAGTGTTCTTTGTCTAAAGGTCTTCTTCCACATTGGTATGAATTTTGCAGGTATGATCATGGGGGCGGCGTGTTCCACTGTTTACTATAACCTTAGGATGCGGCACCCGACTCTAAATCTGCCAGTGATAGACTACGATCTTGCCCTGCTCTTCCAACCCATGCTCATGCTGGGCATCAGCATCGGCGTCACCTTCAACGTTATTTTCCCTGATTGGGCCGTCACCGTCCTCCTCATCATCCTCTTCCTCGGTAAGTTCTTCCTTCATAATTCCCCAATTCTTATTTAGTTCTTACCATTCAATAAAACGAGAAGAAAGCGGATCCTGAAATTCAATTGATGAATAAAATGCTTTAGAGAAGATCTGTACGTTTTCTCTGTTTATAATCCATTGGAAAATGCTAGGTACTTCAACGAGGGCATTCTTCAAAGGCATAGAGACCTGGAAGAAGGAGACCATAATGAAGAAGGCGAGGCCTCCACGCCTCTCCCTCACTCCCCTTCCTATACTCTGGCTTGTCCTTGTCTGTTTTATTTACTGGGTTTTATTTCTTTGTGCGAACAGGAAGCGGCTCGTCTGTTGGAAGCATCCCCGCAACCCAGTGGTAGATCCCTCAGACCGGCGTAATCTCTAAGATTACTCCCTAGATTATCCTGCTTGATTTTCCTTACAAAAATTCCTATTTGATTTCTTCATTTCAGACAGCCCTGCTCTGGGTTATAGATCTCTCTCGGGCGGCCCGAATGCTAACATGCAGATGAAGTCCCAATCAGATGACAAGGTGGATCTAAAAAAGTTTACCTGAACTCTTCGGTGATTGTATGGAGGAAATGATCTTTGCTTTGTCTTCTAGGCGTCCTTTGTGGAGAATGTTCGATGGAAAGATTTCACACTGCTGCTGTTTGTGTGGGTCGCGTTCCTTGCGGTGCAGATAGTTAAGGTGACAATCATTCGTGAGGATTCACCGACTGTTAGAAACCTAATTTGGTATTCTTTCATCGGAGCTGAAACACTTAAAATATACGGATATGCTTCTCGTCTTTAATTGCTAACAGATTAACATGTATGACCCAATTAATTTATTTTATGTCACATCAGTGTGTGGTCATATTATTCGACTGCACTACTTACTTTTATTGTGTTTTATGCAAAAAATCTGGAGGTCAACTTTTATGCTGAAGGATGTGAAAAACCTTTTCTTTGAAAGATTCATTTACATTATACGATCAAATGTGTATAGACTGTTATTTATCTTTAACACAACTGAAACACGGCTATAGAAATTATTTTCTCTGGAATCACCGTTTATGCTTCCGCACAATGTTAAGTTGCATCATTATGAGTTAAACTAATATGTGCAGACATTTGCCAAGACCTGCTCCACGGAATACTGGATTCTGAACGCACTTCAGGTTCGAAAGACACCCGCCTATCTGTCAGTCATGTAAATCAGAAGGATATCATCTAAAGAGAATTGATCCTACAGTCAAAATGAGATCACCCACATCATTTGTTGGCTATCCGAGCATTCCATTATTAGTTTGGGATGGTAGTACTCACCGGAGGTCCATTAATTTTTCCCTACACAAAGGTACCGATCGCCGCTGCTGTGACTCTCTACGAGGCCATCAGCTTGTACAACGGGAAGAGGACCATCTTGTCAAGGGGAAAGCTAGACATGAGTTGGAAAGTACATCAGTTCTTCCTCTATTGCTTCTGTGGAATACTGGCTGGAATCGTGGGAGGCCTGCTTGGTCTTGGGGGAGGATTCATCTTGGGGCCTCTCTTCCTTGAGCTCGGTGTCCCCCCTCAGGTGATGTCCCTTCCAATCTCTTAAACATGAAACACTAGACATTTCAAAATTTTCGCACCAGACTTACTCAAATGGCTCCGTATTATTCACCGAAACATGAGTCAGACCAACTGGATGCTCAATACTGAAAATCCTGGATGTTCTTCCGCCACAGGTTGCAAGTGCGACTTCAACATTTGCCATGGCATTCTCATCTTCCATGTCTGTGATTCAATACTACCTGCTGGATCGCTTCCCTTTACCATATGGTAAGATCCTAAACACCCCTCCCAACCACGGAAAGCACCAAAAACTGTATTCTAGAGACCCCAGATTGAGTCCAACACAAACACCCGTCTCTGCTGCAGCCGCCTACTTCATGTTCTTGGCCACGCTCGCCGCCTTCACCGGCCAGCACATCGTACGGAAGCTGATCATGTTGCTGGGCAGAGCGTCACTGATAATCTTCGTCCTCTCGTTGATCATCTTCGTTAGCGCCATCAGCTTAGGTGAATATAACTCGGTTTATGACGTTCTTCGCCATTTTCGCTCCTAGTTCGTGCCGGAGCTCTAATTATGTCCGACGCAGGTGGAGTGGGCATAGCGAACATGATCAAGAAGCTGGAGAGGGATGAGTACATGGGTTTCGAGAATCTATGCTACCACTAGAGATGAACTTTGGTGGAGCCCAAAGGTGAAGATGAATTTTACTGTTCTCAAGGGGGATCCTTTCTTTCTCTTTGTTTCTGTTCAGCGTATGCTCTTTCTATAGATGCAGATCCCAACCTCCTATATATCTATATAAATATCCTTAATACAGACAGGTGTGGATGGTGTCAGAGAGTCTATTAGAGTATGAATACAACAGGCCAGCTCTCATGCTGTCCTAGTTATGGGCCCAAAAATGTCGGCCCATATTGGGTGTACATGTATTCACACATGCCCTTTTACAGAAAGAAACGAAGATCAGGCCTTACAGTACAATTCATGCACACGTCCACATGTGTACACAGTGTCAGAAAGCCAAGAACCCAATAGGAACACCCTCATATAGGCCCACTAGGTCAGCCCATTATCTGCTTGGTATATAAATAGGTGATAAGAGGTGCTAGGGATCAGTTCCCTGATATATACTTTCCATTTTTGACAGATGAAAGAGTTTTAATGTCAGAGGCTGATGATACATTAGCAAGGTCTTCAACCTCACCATTCCATTTGGCTTCATTCAGAAGGCTGAGTGTTCATAAGAGCAGAATGAAGATGCTAAGTATTGGTGAGATAGATATGGAACTGGAGCAATCAATCAGAATCTGAGTGGGTCATTGGGTTTACTAGGAGCTAATCAAATGTAGGCCATGCAACAGTTTTCTTCAGATGATGATACGAAGGGCTGGGTGGGTCAATGAAATCACAACCCATGAGCACACTTTGTCGGACACCTTATTTTTAAGTGAATGCAGTGCAGGGAAGCTACCTGAATCAAATCAACCGGGTAGTTCAGATGATCACAAAAATAGCATGGAAAAGAGGACCCGAAGGACAAGAACTGTCTAATCACGAGCTCTTATCGCAGCTAGCAGACGCAAAAGAGAGTCAAAGGGGCCCCGATGGAGTTAAATCGCACGAACTGGCTTCACTACAGGAGATTGCCACACGTTCATAGATGCAAAAATGGGCAGAATCCAGCCGACAAAAGGTCACCTTAGATACCCATGGGAGCTGAGGCTATGAGAGATAGAGAGGGAGAGAGAGAGAGAGAGAGAGAGAGAGAGAGGATTCCCTACCCGGAGGAGACCAACAGGTGCATACACGAACTCTATATAACCCTCCTGTGTCCACCGAATGCCCAGATCTGCAAATAGACGCAATGCGAAAGAGGCTTACTTGGCAGTGACAAGAATACATATAACACAAAAAATTTCATGATCACCACCTGGTAGCAGTTAGTGGCAAATAGACACCTACCTTCAGGTTTTTATCCGAGCTCCCTGTGCACAGGGCGCTTCCATCAGATGACAGACTGAGACTAGATATTCTGCCCTCATGAGTGTTCTGAAGCGTTCCCAGATTTAGAACTACCTGGCATGCAAAGGGAGGTGGAGTTAGTACCAACCAGGATAATCATCACTAGAGGCTACCATACAACATGTTCATATATGCACATAGACCTAGAAAATGTACCGAAATTAGCACAAAATCCGATAGAAAATAGAGACCGCCAACCTCATGTTTCCCAAAATGCTATGAGGATTTCTTCCCAGTGTGAAACCAGTTGGTTCCATTTTTTGAGAATTTCTGCTACTCTCAAGTACTTCATCTCTCCATCATTCCATATGGTAATATAAAGAGTAAAGAGGAGTATGTGAACTAAGTAAATTCATCCACTTTAGGTATTATTGATTCATCAAAAAAGACACTTTCCAGACAGAAAGAGACTCCTTCCTGTACGAGTAGCGAAGAACTATAGAGAGCTGTGGTGTGGTTGATGTGTCACTGGGTCTTCCAAAACGAAAGAAATTGTTCCATCCATAGCCACATTATTTGCTTAGTATATCCGTATATAATATCAGGAGCACATTTATGTCCAAAGTTTCCATAGTTTAGACAAAAACCGTGTGTGCATACATAAATAAAGAAGATGAACAGCTCGGATTGTAAGGTGGGAACGACAGCATACCTGGGCGACTAAGGTGTCCCAGACATAGCAATCTCCATTTGAGTATGCAGCAAATAGTAGTCTGCCCGAGGCGGAAAATGCAATGGAGGTGACAAGCGGGGCATCGCCTCCGTCGTATGGTTCTTGGCTGTAAGCTTGGAGTTGATGCCCAGTTCTTAGATCAAATAATCTGCAAGTACCATCATCAGATCCGGTCCCAAATCTTTTCCCATCAGGGAAGAACTTTACTGCGTTTACATCCGCTGCATGGTCATGGTAGGTGCGAACAGCCCGACTGGCAATTCGCATATCCCAGAGCCGAGCAGTTGCATCGCATGATCCAGAGACGAACACTTTTGGGTCTGAACTGTTGATGGAGATGCTGAAAAAAGGACATCACAAGACCACCTGAATAATTGGGCGCGGCGCTCACACAATGCTAGAAAAAACAACGAAATAAAATAACATGACATCTGCAAAGTCCCATTCATTTTTTACGTTCATGTTTTCTGGTTAGTTTCTAAGATCCCAAGGCAATAATTACTTGATGTTTGCAACTCTCAAATGCAAAGAATTTAACAGGTATAAAAGAGGAAAAAGATTCATCACCATTACAAGAGATGACACTGTTCTTAAAAAAAATGGATTTTATGTTCAGTGCATTTTTTTAGCAAAGTTTGCTTAGTCAACTGATAGGAAGGATAAAAGATATTCGTAAAGATATTGCAATGCATCCATAAGGGACTTAAACAGAAAACATTAAGGACAGCAAGACCACTGATGTAGCAACGTAAGCAAGTAGCCAGCTTCTCAGTACAAACAAAAATGTGGATACTGCATGCGAAAAATGGGCCAGAACGTTGACTTTTAGGAAGATATCAACGTAAATACCATGATTTCTCTCTACTCTCTCTATATCATCCCTTGTTTGGGTTTAACTGTCCGCTTTCCATCGATCCCTAGTAGTTTTATCATTTAGGTGATCTAACACTGTCAATGTACACACAAAGAAGCAACAAAGTTCTACCTTTCTCCATGGAAATGAAGCTTTTTCTTCAAGCAATGGAGGCAAATTTTCATCTAATAAAAACTATAACGCCAAATGTATGTTATAGCACCAAATGTATGCTAAATTTTATTTTAAAAGGTGAAGAAAGAAGATTTTGATGAAACATAATTATAGTACTGCATAAATATCATGAAGAAAAAATTTCTCTAATATTTCATGCAATTCATACCAAGCAATATTGTTAATACTTTTTAATTTTTTTTAGTTCCCATCGAAACAGATTGATGATTAGGATATCGTAGCCTATTCGATTTTGAAAAATCCCATCCAGATATCTTCTGTTACATCAAAAACCCATGTCACTGCATATTTATATTCTTTCAAGCTGAGTTGACTTCTCATTTTCTGTATAGAGAAAGAAATAACTCATTCTAAAAAGTATTTAGAAATGAGAACCTTGCCCCCAAAATATATCCTGACATTCTTCTGCTACATTAAAAGACACTAAAAAGCTATAAAAAAAAATCAAGAAAGAGAAAAAAATTGCCTTCAAACTTAAAAACTGGTTTGAACATTCTCAGCTCCACCTCAAGTACAATAAATAAGTAAAACAGCCCAGCCTAGGGTTAACGTGTGGATCTCTACGACCTCTATCATGCTAATTTCTCCTCCATATTTTTCGTTATTAAAGAGATAAAACTCCACATGTTTTCTGTCACCTTCTGTAATATTTAAAGCATGGGAAAAATTTAGCTTAAGCATATAAAATATCCCTCATTTTCCATTGTCTTCTCCAAGAAATTCGAGAGGATCTGCACCTTTCATGGTCGTGTCTGTTGAAGAACACATTTAGAAGATGACTGTCATGTACTTATAGCACCATATATGGACAGGACGGTTCTATTTTGTCCATTGCAAAACCTAAGTTATATGCTCCATGAAGTGCCAATGAGTGCCAATGGCCTTGCAGGACATTCAAAGGCGTAGTCCTCTAACAATGAGTAGAACTAAAAAGCTAAAAAAAGTTAACAATCACGAAAAAAATAATACTAAATAAAACATAATTATCCACGTTTGACCAATGCCCTTGAGAGCATGTACCTCAGCACATCTGCAGTGTGCCCAGATGGAAATTCACCTCCAAAAACAGAAAGCCTCTGACCAGTGGTGATGTCCCACAAGACACAGGTTTGATCGCCGGACCCAGTAATCAGATGAGTTTCTTCATCGGGGACGTATTGGCATGAAGACACATAGCCCTTGTGGCCACTGAGGGTTCGCGCTACTGGGAGGTTTCCATCTTTGTCAACCTGGGCATTAAGATCGAATATAGAGCACGCACTGTCCAACCCACCGGATGCAATATATTGACCACTGGGCCCAGAGGCGCATGTCATAACCCATGCACAGGGTAGCTTTATAGCATGGGTTTTCTGGCTTGTTAAAGCATTCCAGACAATCAACCTCCCATCCTGAGAGGCACTGACTATCCGGTTCTTCTCAGGGGTCCAGTCCACAGAATATACCTGATACAACGCAGCTTCAATCAGCTTTCCATATATGAGCATTCTATTCATGCTAATTTCTAGTTTACAGCAGAGGAAATGATACAAGAATGGTAATGTAACTCGATAAATGAGACTAAGACAGTCATATGAAAATTCTGATGATCAGATATCATGAAACGCATGACCAAATGAACAGAGGTAGCAGAGACACAGATTATCCATTTGTGTTTGCATAAGAAAGTAAATTAGAGTTAAATAAGTTAGATCGTGCCTGAGTAATTGTAATGGAACAACGCCAAAAGCATGCATGAGTGCTACCTTATGAATATTTCTCCAAAACATCTGTCTATGGAGGCAATAAAGTGAAAAATTGGTCATAAATAATAAGGTAATGAGAAATATACGGCTAGATATAGATGCAACAAAAATATCAATGTATAGATAAATAGTAATGGTTGTATGACATCGTATGACTTCCAGAGGAAGAGAAAGGAAAGAAAAAGAATCTCACGTTTTCTTCTACTACTTCCTCCAAATCATATACGTGATTTATGAGTTTATTTCACTGTGTTGATGATGATTGTCAATACCCAAATGACAACTCCATCATTTGGCATGATGGCGTCAAAAAAATAATCTCAAGAACCAGATAAAGTAACTCAAATTACTGTTTATTTCCAGTGCATTCTCATCTATGATTTGTCAGGTTTTGACCCAAAAAAAAAAAAACCTAGATTCCTATATTATCTCTGAAATTCAGCCACTCTCTACAAACCAATCTGAAAGTAATCAAGGATAGAAGCTTTTCCTTGCAGAAACCATCTATAATGCCTCCTGAACAAACTCGCTTTGACTAGAAATGGTATCACCAGCAATACAGAGACTGAACAGGTCTGCGGAATCCTTTCATGTGATTCCAACTCTGGTATCTTCTCCTCACAGGGAAGACATTAATTGAAGGATAGAACGGAATCTTTCATAGTTGCCTTGCAGAAACGACTTGGTTATGCAGGGAATGGCCGAGCAACAGGAGATGGAGGGGCTGACCTTCCCTGTATGACCCTGGAGAGTCCTACAGCAGACAAGATCCGTGGAGCTGAAGCTGACGGCGGCTCTCCCCTGTGCTCTCGAGTAACCTGCCACTGCAAAAAAGAGAGGACACGCTTCGGATCGACTGCTTCCTCCGAAAAGTGAGCGACGGAATCGAAATCGGAAGATAGAGAAGAACAGCAATGGAAGAGAATTGTACTGTCAGTGTCGAGAAGCAGTTGCCGTTTGTGCCTCAACCTCTCCTTCAGAGCATTCACGGCCGCCTCCGCAGCCCCATGGCGCTCCTTCAACTCCTTGATAGACATCTAAAACTCCTACTTCCCGCACCGGGCTGGGCCTGTAGGATCAACTTTCTCCGACCATGAATCAACCCCGAGCTCGCAACCAACCCCTTGTCGTCCAACCCCGCCCCGCAGATCCGGCGACGGTGATCAGAAGGAGCCGGAATCAGGAAACAGTCAACCTACAATTCTATTTAAATAAACTAGAAGGCGGAGTTGCAAGAGGGTTCGATAGGAAATGAGGCAGCAGGCTGAAAGTGGTCGTCAAGAACGCGGTGACCGAACTGAGAGGAATGGGAGGGGGGCAAGGAGGGGCGAGAGACCTCTCTCTATCACTGTGAATAATGGCAACTCCCGAGGCAGGAGGCGGATCCACAACAGGAGGTTACCGGAGGGTGATGGTTAGTTAAAACGGCAACTCGCACAGGCACGAGGTCCACAGGACGACGCCGTAACGGTAAACTTTGGAGCTTTCTTGACGGCCATCTACGGAGCCGACCCAGTCAACGCGGTCCGTAGCTTACACCCGCCAACTCCAACTCGGGCTGGACTTCCATGGGCTCTCTCTCTCTATCTCTCTCTCTCTACATCTCTTTGACAGACGCAGTGGGTAGTTACCAAACGACTGCCAAGCTTCAAACTCCAAAAGGAGTTAAGACGTCAGCTCAGCTGAATAGTTGACCAACACGCCGACATCATCCACAAATAGTGTCCGAAAATAGATAGAAAGGGCCGGATGAGATTACAGAGTTCGGGGTTTCTCCTGCCCCTCCAGTACACGGTTACATATTGGTGATTGATTACGGTTCAGACATAGATCGGGCTTATGCAACCCCAGACATCTCTTCTATGTGGAAAATGCCGATGAGTCAGGTACTTGGAAGCACCGTGGAAGCACTGGAGATCCCCGACTCAGCCTGTGAGAAGAGAGAGCCAGACAGAAAGAGTCACAGAGTCATAAGAGAGAGAGAGAGAGAGAGGTTATCAAGTGTAGAACTTGACAGGGCCACGTATAAGAGAGAGAGAGAGAGAGAGAGAGAGAGAGAGAGAGAGGTTATCAAGTGCAGAACTTGAAAGGGTCACGTAAGAGGGAGGGAGAGACAGAGAGAGAGAGAGAGAGAGATGATAAATTTTGAGACCCAAGAGAAGACTTGGACTGGTTCAGACATGGACGGACCTCGAGATATCTCTGCAGCAATGTGGAGGTGCTGTAGTTGAATCCCTTGATGGGCTCCCCGGCCGTGCGGGAAGAGTGGAGCTGCTTCCTCACTTGAGAGGCCAGCGACTGTTAATCCAAAGGTTTAACGAAAAATTAATCGGACATCAAGATCAAACAGAATAATAATAATGTGGATATTAAGTAAATAAATAAAGGTGGGCCCCCCGAGATAATCCTCAAGAACAGACCTTGCCCAACTCCACGCCCCACTGGTCAAATGAGTTGATTCCCCATATAAAACCTTCAACCGCGACTCTGTGCTCATACATCGCCAAAAGCTGCAATCATTGGCAGAAACAGGGGGTGAGCGGAACCCATATTCTCTCGCAAAAATAGTATTGATTAATCTGTAAAGTTGTTCAAAGAAAAAGGAAATATAGAGATAAAATAAATGGAGAAAACAAATATTGTGAGTATTTAATAAGTTGAGAAAAAAAAAAAAAAGATACCCAACCAGAAGACTATTAGATCAATAGAAGAGAAAATCCAGGAAAAAGGATAAGGATTTCCTAATTGGGAAATATTCGAGAATAATGTCAACGATAAGCAGAAGAGCACACCCAAAAGAAGTAATAAAGTAACAGGAAATAAGTCGTCCCTAATATGAATATCCCAAGACCTTCACTCACCTGTCCAATGTTGTATGCTGTCAGAGTAGGAAGCAAAATGCTTAGCGACGGCCGGTTCCCTGAGAAGGTCTACAATTTCCACAATTAGAAGGAAACCCAATTTCTGAAACGATAGAGAACAAACTAGTTGACCACATAGGAGGGAGGGGGGGAAGTCAACCTTGTGAGAAACAAGATGATGGGGAACTTTCTCATTGGTCAACTGCTCAGGCGTCTGGATATCATCCATAACTCATGACTATGAGAGAGTGAGCACTTTAAAAAAAAAAACGTGAAAACCAAAAATCACCAACCTTCCCAAAGGCAAGAGCATCTGGCTGTGCAAAAAAATTAGACATGAGTTCGTCGTGGTTATTAACCAATTCACCTGGAAGATAGAAGGGCGATCATTACTAAATGCGGCAGAGAGGACCCAGAAATCATGATAGAACCCTAATCATTTAGATGGCACACGGTTACTGGTACCTTTCAGGTAAACGGGTTGTTGACTTTTCATGATACCGATAAAGTCGCATGGAATGATCCTTCCCTGAAAGTTTCACAGGAAGATCTCGATAAGAACAGCAGGAAGGACAAGACTGTCTCCAGGAACAGATCATGAGGAACAAAGTAGTCCATCACTGGGAAACCAAAAAATTAATAAATAAATAAATATATAAATAAGCTTAATATTTTATGCCCTTCTGCAAACCAGTACCCCGCCATCCTCTGTGCAATCCAAGATCTCCCAAGTTAACAATCCACGTCAAAAAAGGCTTCTAAAATAAATGGACCCCATGGACATGGTGGCAAAGACCCATGTGAACCTCATATTTTTTAGAGAATTTGATGAAATCTGTTGCAAATAGGATGATCTCAATGTGCAGACTGTCTAGGTGACTGCATAATCCACATAGGGAACACTTGTCTTGACTAGCCAAAGGGAAGATTGAACTTCCTCATGATATTTATTTACTGGTCACAAAATTGAAGTGAACCTTTGAAGCACCAAAACCAGTTCGCAACAATGATAATTGTAATTAATTTGAAGAAAGTATGAGCATCATCCCCAAATACTACAAGCCCTGAAGCTTTTAAGTTGATCGGGTTAATGAGATTTCTCTTTATCTGTCCGGGGTAAAACACTTGCCAAAGTAATATGATATGGTACCCCTAAAGACATATTCACCATAGAGAACAGTCTAGAAGCTACTGTAGTAAACATTGGGATAGAAACAAGCTGAACAATATAAGTACCCTCCTCTGTGAATAAGAAGGGGTATTGTGGTAGAAGGTCACGAGAGGAAAGGGAGAGTGGGAATTCTCTCAAACTAATTTCCGTCTATTCATTGTTTTCTCTGTTTTCCTTGAATACATTACTCGTTTTCCCTTCTTTGTCCAAGAGGAGAGAAGGGGATCGTATTAACTAATTTCATAACTTGACTTACGGATGCACTAAAAATATTTAATGAATAATTTCAGCCAGATCAAAATATTTCATAAATAAAGCCTCCTAATAATGCAATAAAACATGCAACAAATCTTATACAGGAAATATCAAATAGACAATAGAAAGTATAAGTGCATATACAGAAATAACAGTCAGCCTTGGGATTGATAGCTAAAGAGTATCCAAATCACGGTGTCCAAAAGGAACCTATTCCTGACAATATGTTTTCTAGTTCTTGGTCAATGGAAAATGCAATATGGTTCATAAATGCAGAAGAAAAAACGTCCTTTAAATTTACGTAACCTCGGTTCACTGTTATATACACTAAGATAAAAATTTATTTCCTCATTTATGTCTCAAATATATATCCATCTGTCTACCTGTTTTCAATTTCGTATTGTACTGCTATGAATAGAATCGTCATAAAAGCAGCACCTCATTCTGATCCTAGAGAACTATAGACAGTTAGAAAAATGGATAGACTTTCGTATCCAAATGAATCATTAAGCCATCCAATGGTGTACAAAGAAGAAGTTTATTTCTGAGCAACTGAACATTAAAGGTTCCGTTGGGCATCAACTATGGCCCATTGCCAATGTCAAATGTAATGGACCCCTTATGTTACCGCCCATCCTAGTGGCCAAACTAAAGTTATGCCCCTTTATGTTATGGTTTAGGGTTCAGATATAAACTCTAGACCATGATCATTATCGGGCTTGCTTTTTGCCATTTTCACTTTCTACATTGTATCAGAGCGAGTTTATTCTGCCAGGATTTCGTCGGCTCTGTCCGACATCTGTTGTCTGGAGGGAGTGCCATCACTGCGACCACCGGGGTCCGGCGGTATCCGATGTCTTCTATCTGCTGTTATCGCCTCTGTTTGGAGACATACATGTTACAAGTTAGGGTTTCAAACCCTTCTTTGTCCAGCGAGGCCTTGTCAAGTACCTTTCCGGTGAAACACTCCCCCTTTGCCAAGTGTCACTTTTTTGACGAGGTTTTCCACCTCCACTGTATTCCTTTCCGTGGTAAACTATGACAAAAGGACATAAAACTTTTGTTCCACTTACCATACAAGGTAACTTCATAACAAGTCACAAGCTGACATGAAGGAATTATCATCATTGGCAACGATCAATGCTGATTTATTTCAAGGGACAAGGCAAAATTAATCATCTACTTGAAGGTGTGCCATCTAACCCTAATCTCCGTGCTCAGTGGGAGCAACATGATGTAGTCCTATTAAATCTACTATGGAATTCTATGGAGACTCACACTGCTCAGTTGGTGAATAATATGGAGACATGCAAGGCAGCATGAGATCACCTTGCATTGATGTATTCCAACAATATTTCTCATATCTATGATATGACTGTAGAGTATTACAGATTAAGGCAAGGTGATACAGATCTAAGTCAATATTTTTGTGAGATAACACACCTTACTTAAGATCTTAACTCATTACTTTCTTTATCTACTAATCTCCAACTGATGCAGAAGCAATGAAGTTCCTTAGTAGACTTCATCCTGAATATGAGAGCGTTCGCAATCAAATACTAGCAAAGACTGAGCTGCCAACACTTGTTGAAGCCTATCAACGTGTCTCTCATGCTCTTCTAGACCATGGCACTCCAAAAACCACACCCCTTGTGGAGAACACAGCATTAGTGTCCACTCAGCAACCCTCTAGTGGGCACTCTCATGGTGGTCGTTCAGAGAGGGGGGGGTGGAGGTAGAGCATCTGGAGATCGCCAAAAATATGAGTACACAAATTGTGGCAAAAAGGGGCACACAAGGAATAGGTGTTATGCATTTCATGGTCATCCTCTTATAACCGCCAATGTTGTTGTAGGAGGAGAAGATGAAGGATCTCAAGGCCCACATCTCATGTCACTCTCTAGTGAGGAGTATGCTCACATGCTCTAGTTTATAGCTGCCCAACAAGCATCAATACTAGTTACCACTCCATATACACCTAGGACATCTACAATGTGCTTCTCTCACACATCCAAATCCTCTTCAAGTGAATCACCCTGTTGGATTCTTGACTCTAGTGCTACTGATCATATTATAGGTATATCCAACAATTTCATATCCCATTTTAGTCACCATGGTCTTTCTACTATCACCTTAGTAGATGGCTCTACTACACATCACAGGTATAAGGTCCTTATATCCTAACCACAACCTTCCTCTTAAATCAGTTTTACACATACCTAAATTCCCGTTTAACCTTATTTCTATTAGTAAACTCACTCAATCCCTGCAAGCTGCAATAACTTTCTTTCCCAATTCATACTTCATTCAGGACTTAAAGATATGGAGGAGATTGGCGAAAGATATGAAAATGGAGGCCTATACTACTTGGGAAAAGCTTCTTCAGCCATGTGTATTTGATGCTTTACCTCTTCAAGTCCATAATCAACTAGGTCATGTATCTCTAGAAAAACTCAAATTGATGATACTTAATTTGTCTAATCTAGAAGTATTAGAGTGTGAATCATATCAATTAGGTAAACATCATCATTATAGCTTCGGACCCAGGGCTCTTTCAAGAGCAAAGTTTGTTTTTGATTTAATCCATTCTGATGTACGAGGTCTTAGTCAAGTTACTTCTAAATTTAGTTTAAAACATTTTGTTACTTTCCTTGATGATCATTTTCGTATTACCTAGTCGTATCTCATGAGAGTTTAACCAGAGTTACTTACCATTTTTGCTCATTTTGTGCTGAAATTAAGAATCAATTTGGCAAGAATATTCAAATACTTCGTTATGATAATGCAAAAGAGTATTTTAATTCATCCTTTACACAATACTGACCACCCATGAGATTATTCATCAATCATCATATCCTTAAACTTTTCAACAAAATGGAATAAGGGAGAGGAAAAACCGTCATATCATCGAAACAGCTCATACATTACTTTACATATGAATGTCCCACTTGAATTATGAGGTGATGATGTTCTTCCATCCACCTATTTAATTAATCGAATGTCATCATCAATTTTAAATCAAAAGACTCCATATTCTATTCTTTATCCTACTAATCCACCAAAGATTTTTGGATGTACATGTTTTGTCCATCATTTAGATATATGTCAAGATAAACTTAGTCCTAAGTCTGTGAAATGTGTTTTATCCTTCATTCTTACAAGCTTCATTTCATAGACACTATTTCTGCTGATTTTACATTCTTTAAGAGTATCTCTTTTTTCATTATGTCACAATGTATTAATTATCTAAATGAATCATTATCTCTACCAATTATTATAGAGCCCATCTTTGTGGATAATCTTAGTGCGATTCTCAAGTAATTAGATGATAGGGTGGAAGATATATGCCTTCCAATCACACAGGTGTACATGCGATGGAATACTCCCTCAACATCTCTTGAGGCATTTACTTCTCAACCAATCCTTCCCATGTCTAATGGACTAGAAGCGAGCACATCGATGACTAGTAATCTTGATCTCCCAATCACCTCACAAAAAGAAAAATGTTCTTGTATAAATGATTCCATGTCTAACTTTGTATCCTATCATCACTTATCTCCTACCTACTCAACTTTTATATCTACCTTATCTCACTATCCTACTCCTAAGATTATTTCAGAAGCACTAAGTCATCTCGGATGGTGTGCCATTATGATTGAGGAGATGAATACACTTGAGAAGAACCAGACTTAAGAATTTGTCCCACATCCTCCTAGAAAGTCTGTTGTTGGCTACAAATGGGTCTTTACAATTAAAGTTAGACCTAATGGTACAGTTGATCACTTGAAAACTCATTTGGTGGCGAAGGGCTTCACTCAAGTATATGATGAAGATTACTTAGAGACTTTCTCACATGTTGCTAAGATTACCTCAATTCGTATTGTGTTTACCTTGGCAATTCACTTCTTTTGGCCTCTCTATCAACTTGATATAAAGAATACATTTCTTCATGATACTATAGAAGAAGAGATATACATGGCACAGCCTCCAAGACATGCACATAGGAACTCTAATATGGTTTGTTGATTACACAAGTCTCTTTATGATTTGAGCCAATCTCCTCAAGCATGATTCATTGGTTTAGCAACACTTTGAGTGAGTTTGGTCTTCAGAGATGCGGCGTTGATCACTATGTCTTTTATCAACACTCTTCAGCTAAGTGTATCTTATTAGTTGTCTATGTCGATGACATCATTATCAATAAGAGTGATTATGTTGGTACATCTCACCTCAATACCTTTTTGCAGAGTCAACTTGTCACTAAGGATCTCAGCAATCTCAAGTTCTTCCATGGCATAGAGGTTGCTCATTCTAATGGAGAGATTGTTATCAACCAACGGAAGTATACTCTTTATTTATTTGCATAGATAAGTATGACTAAAGCGAAACCAGTTACTGCTCTTATTAATCCCCATTTAAAGTCGTCTCATGTAGAAGGAGAATTATTAGACGATCCAGGACGACATTGATGTCTAATTGACAAACTACTCTACTTGACTATCACTTGGTCAGACATCTCATTTACTATAAGTGTTGTAAGTCAGTTCATGGATTGACCTCATAGTGGACACCTTGCACATGTTAAACGGATTTTACGATATCTAAAGAAAAATGTAATGAAATCTAAAATGTGATGTACCAAGTTATGTGAATCTGTTAAAAGCAAGCATTTTGTACTGCGAGCATGTGAAAAACTAGACTAGACGACCTAAAATTAATAGGGCAAACTAAAAGGCATCCATATACTACATTTATGTCAATATATTTTATGATGTAGAATGCATTACCTGATGAATAAGCTGGTAAAAGCTATGCTGACCATTTGTTCCAGGCTCTCCAAAATCAATTTCACCAGTCTCATATGGAAGTGGAATCCCATCAATTGATACCCCCTTTCCATTACTCTCCATGCTAACCTGCGGCATAGAATAAACAAGTACAAGGTCACAAAACAGAGGAAACACTGCAGTTCACATAAAGAAGAACAAAGTACCTGCTGAATATGTGGTGCAAACTTTTCCAAGGCTTGACAGTACGGTAGTATAGCCTGGTTAGAACAATAAAAGATTTTTAAGAAAAATATTTAACAAGGATTTTGAGAAAAAGAATATTGTTATCATGTACACCTTGAATGAACATATAACATGGATCATAAATACTCACTCTGGCAGGATATCCAAGAAATGACACATTCCAAAGGCTTAATAAGCCCAGAAGAACCTGTTTGGAGACAAACAAAGAATTAAAAAAATTAAAAGGTTTAAAGGACCACATCTAGTAAGGCTGGCAATAACTTACAGGTATGTTCTTCTCAAATGGAGTTGAATAAAAATGGTCGTCGATGGTTGAAGCACCATTCAAAAACCTTCACAAGAAATATCAAAATATTTTCATCCACAAAAGAACTGAAATCTCATCACAGGACCAGCAAAAGTTGCAAGTGATGTAAACTATCTGTGGTCAACAAAGATCAAATATCCTAATGGCCACTGCAGGCATGTAGCTCATAATGGAGCTAATGGATGATTAGCAACAATACTCATATGATAATCCCTGTATTATGCACATTAGTCATTTATTCTACGTAATATGAGGGAAGGCTAATGTACCCAGCCCACAACTCATGTATTCACTCTATTGCTCTTTTCTGACATTTTTAACCCCCCCCCCCTCCCAACCCACCCACTGCTATCAGTAGTGGGTGGGTAAAGAGCACATATAACAACATAAAGTTGGATTTATGTGAAGTTACTATGGAAACATATACTTTAAAAAGAAGATGAGTATATTACCTGCTAACGGGGGAACGTACACATGTGTGGGCACACTAGCACATGAAGACATATATATATATATATATATATATATATGCACATATATATGCATACGCATATATTTGTACAGAAAGGGTTTTTCACACTCAACTTGAATATCCAACCATGATCACATTCTTAGTGTCATTCTCTCATCATAGACTCATAGATACCGAAGGATTTGAGTATTGATATTGACATTTTTTCATCCCTCGACAAGACTGCATTAAAATAAAATTATCAGAACACCCCTCACGAGAATCCAACCATTAGATTCCGTTAATTGTGACCTTCTATCAATATAATTTCTGAAGGATGAGTATACATTTTCAGTGTTTATCCTGACAGGTTTTTCATCTCACAACAGCGATGCAGAAAAACAAAATAAGCAGAATAACTAGCACGATCACTTCTCTGTATGGGACTCTTTATTGGCATTACATGGTTCAAGTTTGTTCAGGTAGCATCCAGCCTCTTAATCAAAATCAAAACGTGCCTTTGAGCCCACAAAAAAATGATTTAGCCAATTCATTTATTTCCATAAATAAAGGGTTCTAAGGGCATTCCCTAATTACATGACTCTATGTTCTTTCTTAGAGATCTAAAGACTGATCAAAGGGCGTGGTGGTATCCTGTATGACAAATGAGAGTTACATGCCATCGGTCCTCCAAAATGATGAAGATTTTAATATTGAAACACGTACTTTTCAACAACTGAGAAACCATACTGCAGAGACAAAGGAAGGACACCAACAGCACTGCAGACTGCAACAATGTGAAGAAAATCATTAATGGGCAAGGAAATACGCCAGAGAATTCAGCAAATAAAATCATAAAGCAAAGATTATTAGTTAATTACCACTATAACGACCTCCAACCCAGTCCCAAAAGGCAAAAGCATTATTAGGGTCAATTCCAAACTTCTCTACAAGCTGCACCATCGGCACATGTTGACTATCAAGGTCATTTCAAATCACACATTTACCAAATAATTTTCTTCAGAAATTTACTAAGGTGATTGTATAAAAATTAAAAGCACAGCATCGATTCAAATAACTTCTCATTTGGAGCGTCTTAAAGAAAAAATACCAACGATTGAGCCTAGAAACAAAAATGAACAAATTCAAATTCGAAAAGATGAAATCACATGTAGAAAAGACAAAAACTACGGTTTCCTATTCCATTACCCAAACTTATTTTCTGCATTGAGTAGAAGAAGCCAGAAATGAGTATTTACTGCAAATGAATGCATGACTTTTTTATCGGAAGATGCATCAAAGAAAATTTTCAGTGAATGATTTTACACATCGGATGAACAAAGAAACCAATGTACTGGAGGTAAATCCAAGATTGAAAGTAAATATTTTCGTTTGATCCCAATGGACGTGAAAACAATGACACTTGAGTCATCCTAAACAATGACATGCAAGGTAGGAAAACCGTTTATTGACTACGAACCAAATCATAAATCCAGCCTTGTAGTATTGAGAAGAGTCATGGAATTGTGTTGCAGAAAAAATGGCCTCAAATGTTGGAAAATTACATAACTCATGAAATATGTACTAGTCTGAACAAATTGTAGAAGAAAGAATGCCATGAATGCCAATCTAAATATCTGTCTGACGGAAAAAAATAATCAAATCATTATGGTTACTGAAGCAAAAGCTTTAGTAAATCAATGTGTTAATATGTTTAAATATGAATATACCTCAATGTTTGTGCTGACTGCGACCATATGCTTTGCAACCGACTGAGGGCTGAAAAATAAGTCAAATTGAATAAAATCAAAAGGTACGATAGGCCTCAGCATCTAAAAAACTAGTCAGCAAATCATGCTAACCCGAGTGCAGAGGAAATCCACTCCCTCAATGTGCGAGCATTCAACATGGTTTCAGCTGTTGTAAAAGTTTTTGAGACCACCACAACTGCATTTAAGGCAACAATGCATAAAAATAAAGTAAGAATACAAATACTGTACTTGCTGATGGAAACCACGAGGACAAATGAATATAGGAGATCGATACCCAATGTAGTCTCAGGATTAAGACCAGCAGTACTCCGAGCAACATCAATCGGATCAACATTTGCAAGACTGATGGTGGGGACAAGAGAAGATGAAGCATAATCAATTAAAGATAATCATAATGCAACAAGAAATAGGAGAGACCATAATAGAAGGTATTAGCCTAGCTAAAAAATAGAGAAGAAAAACTAGCGGTAAAAACAGCTGCTCACTACAAACATCTTAAAGCCCACTTTCGTCAAGGGCAAAAATATAGTGGATAAAACTTACTACCAGAGAAAAATCACTAAAAATCAGGATTAAGAACTATGCGCAGAAATGTGATAATATTATGTGCGCTTTGGCTTCACACAAACCAAAAAAAGGGGCATCCTCTGAATAAAAGCATGATTAAGAAAGGACTACGTCAACAAAAGATCCCACGTAATCACACATAGAGTCCTAACTTCCATGCTGGAACAAAAAACTCCGGACATGAAGAAAATTACCTTTGAAAATATAAAGATGATTTCTCTGCTAAATTTTGGTACATTCATAGTGATAATTCCTGATATTTTATGAAAAACCTTTACAAAAATAGCCAGGTAATATGGCCTAATGTATCTCTTATAAATTATTCTACACTAGCATAAATATAATCCAATTACCATGGAAAATAAAAGTCTATAGTCCACAAACATGGAGCAATCATGAGATCAAAAATGGCTACGCAGCAGAAGGATCCAGGTGTTGAAACAATCTGAAGAAGTTTGCATCAGGAAGCTCAATCGACCAGTGATATACAAGCACTAAACGACAGAAATCTGCGTGCACATAAACAAGAAAACTCACAATCTCAATTGTCGTCCCTTTGCACTTTCAGAAGCCTCTCCATCTGTAAGAGTTTCGTATTAACCATGAATGCTGAACCATTATAGTCAAAATTAATTAAGTAAAGAAGGTTTTTCGCAACATCAATTTTATTGCCCGTATAAGAACCTGTCTGAAGAGCTGTATGAACAAACAATGGACCCAAAAAGCTTCCACCAATTCCAACTGACACGACATCCTGTAAGGCTTTCCCAGTGGCCCCAACCTGCCAAAGTTTAATTACGCGTTTAGACACGGTGCACTGTATTCGGGATTAAAAGATATTGTAGCACCCCTTACCCAAGAGCCATTCCTGACACTTTCGGTAAATGATTTGATTTTATCCAAAACATTCCAAACATCTGGGACCACATTATTTCCATTGCTGTAGATAACAGCATCTCTGGGAGCTCGCAATGCCACATGTAGCACAGACCTATTCTCAGTGCTGTTGATCTGAAAGAGGCCAAAAATGGCAATTAACATCCACATATCTATCGCATGCTCCTCTCATGGAGATTGCAAATTTACACAGTACACTGACCAATTACACAGTACACAGACCTATTATTTTTTTGCATTCTATCAACAAAAAAATAATGAATGAAGATGAACTCGGGATATGCACAGATAACCTGTGCTAGATTGCCAGAATAATACCCTATGCTACTGAAATTTATGATACATTGCAAGGAAAAACTCGGGACATTGAATTAGAGTGCCATCACTGAAACGATTGTTATATGCATTACATATTAATTAGATAAACAATGTCATAGAAACAAAAAAAAAATAGTTAACTGCAGACACTACTCGGTTGACCACAATTTCACCCTTGATGAAGTAGAGTCTTTGTCTTCGATGCAACATAATAACTAAAGAGGTGAGACTACATTGCAGGTGTCCTACCCTTTTCGCAGTTTGCCAGACTATTTAACCTGTGAGCATTCATGGGTCCCATCGTGGTTCATGGGAGGAAACCAGGTCAATAAGTGAAATAGAAATAAGCTTCTTAATAGTCAACACCATGACAACATCCCTTTACATCATTTTCCAAAGGACGTCAAATCATCATCACTATTTCTGACAAGTTTTCTCAATAAAACAGCAATAGGTGAATACCTTTTCTCCGCTGTACATTTTGTTGATCTTCTCTTTGAGTTGAGCTACCTACATATGGAGAACAGTGACGACTAATTTGTTATTCTGCAGAATCATCGATTATAAAAAAATGAATGGAGAATAGAAATCAGACCTCAGCTAACTTGAAGAGCTGCTCCATTGTCTCCTTTTGGACCTGTTGTCGAGAATAGTCCAAAACTATCCCATCGTGTTCTCTGCGTAGAGGAGGGTTAGATGAAAGTTAGACAACGTTGTACAAGAATTTCGATATTTTTGCGAGAATATTTATGAGCCGAATCAATATTTCTTACACAATCATCGACTTGCATCTTTCCTCATCCTTCAAGAGGTCACGTAAATGATTCTTCTTTATGTCCTCGACGTGGGTCTAAATATAATAAACGACGAATTGGATGAGAACACCTCTGTTAATGTCGACAGAATCCCGCGATTAGCACCAGAGCGGCGTAGGTAGAGAATTGATCTCACCTTCAAATTCTTCCACGACTCGGTGTCGCAAATCAGAGGACAGGAAGCCATCAGTGGCTGCAATCACACCAAAAAGAAACACGACTGTCAACTCGTGAGCCCAAAAGAAAAAAAAAAATCACGACGTCTAATCCCAATTAAACAGGGAATCACTCTTCCTCTCGATTGCGCCGGAATCGGTGCCTCCGATCGACCCTTCCACCGAATACTTCCCAGTATTCCCCAAATAAAACAAAAAAAAGAGACGCCCGAGAACGTCGCTTCGACGGGGTCAAAGAGATTACCAGTCGCTGAGTCTCGATCTATGAAACACCGCGAATGTCCGGAGAACCTCCCGGCGCAGATGCCAAACCGGGGGTTAAAACAGGGAGACTTTCAGTTCTCCGCGTCCCAATCTATCTCACCCACCTCCAAACCAGCGGCGAACCTCATTTACCTTTTTCTTCCTTTTTCTCTATTTTTCAACAAAAAACCAACCGACTCTCTCTCTCGCTCTCTCTATCTCTATCTGTCTCTCTCTCTCTCTCTCTCTCTGCTTACGTGGCTACGCCGCCGGGAATACCAACAGCCGGCTGTCCTGACAGACCGACCCATTAGATTCGCGTTTTGTGGGCCCGTTGAAACCAACAGCCCACTAGAACGGTCAAATGGACCTGTCGTAAATTGGTCCCGCGCGTGCTGTTTTGGCGGACAAGTCAACGCTAATCTGACTTGCTCATCCTGGCATCAGAATTCTTTTCCAAGTTCACTGTCCACGACTGCTCTGACGTAACGATTTTATAAACTGGACGTGCGCCGCCATTTCATCTCGTTGACTTCTAGACGGCGAAATGTCCACGGGGGTAAAAATAAACAGATTAATTAACTGAATTTTATATGAACTGGGTTTTACTTTAATAAATATAATACTCGTGAATAATTGGATCAATTGGAGGGGAGTTTGTTAGTTTTTTTACTGCTTTTTTAAAGGGCTGTAAATACAAGGCTAACAGTGCATACGTCGTCTATAATGATACCACGTTATATTCATATGCTTCTATCGCATTTAAACAAGAAGCTTAATTATGTTTAGGTCCCTGTGGACAATAATTCACAAAAACTATAACTTACGCCCATGATGATTTATTTTTTTACTTATTGAGAGTTATAGCCTATTTTACTTTATTTTTTAAAATATTATGTTTACAATTATATTTAAAACAATAAAATGCTTATTTGGTAATTAAAGATGGTCGATATGTTTCAGTAGCATCTGCATATTTTTGGTGTGTTTTGGTTGGTAAAAAAATATTCACAACTACCTCTTAGGTATATATATTTACTCTTACGCCATGAAAGGAGGATGTCTCACGAAATGTTATTTTCAATCAATTATACGAATGAACTCCCAATGTCATTGGGGACCTAAAGGGAAAAAGTAAAAGTATTAAGTATTAGTCCATAAATCTCTTGGTTTACATAGACTTAAACACATTTAATCCTGAAATATATTATTTTTAAAATTTCCCAACAAAATGGGCTTGAAAATGAAGCTATCATGAAACTTTATCTAAATTGGGAGACTTCCAGATAGAGTCCTTAATGGTCCTCTAAAGTTAGGCTCTAACAAAAGAGAGAGAGAGAGAGAGAGAGAGAGAGAGAGAGAGAGAGAGAGAGGGAGAGAGGGAGAGCCACAATTTTGAAGGGGTCGACTAGGCCTTTTCGTGGGATTTAATTTTCAGGGTGGCGTCGGTCCAAATTTCTGTTGCAAGTTCTCCAACGGTCAACTATGGGTCCCACTGGAAATAAAACACACTTCTCATGGGGGAGGGAGGGGGGGTGGGGAAATGGAGCAGGGCTAATATTGTAAATCCGCTTTTTTCCAGAGTACCACCTACTGCACGATTTTCCCGCCCGTTCGGGCTGCCATGTTTATGTATATGTTTCTGTCACCTCGTCGTCGCACCAGCCCTACTCTTCGTCTCCCGCGCCGACCAGCCACACTCCACCTCCAAACCCGGAAAACTCCCCCGTACCTCGTGGAACTCTAGGTAAACTCTGCTCCGGTCGACGAAACTAGCATATCATCTTTATTCATCGTTTTTCTTCTCTCGGCGATCGAGGGAGAGGAAACCCTCGCTGATCATCTCATTCAGCTATTTTTTCAACGATATTATTCGTATATTATGTTTATTTTTGTTGCTTCTATTTTCGGTAGGTATTGTCGTCGCGTTCAGGCGGACCGGGGGGGAGATGGAAGCGCAAACGGAGAGCGGGCTCAAAAGCGAGGCGGCTGCAGACTCGCCGACCTCTGTGCTCGAAGACGAGGTCGTATTCGACAGAGTTTCTCATTTTGAGGGCTTATTCTTGATTTATCGAAGTGTTTCCACTCTGTACGCCGATTTGTTTAAGAGGAATTTTTGCGCTAAATGTTTACTCTCCTGTATACTGTAACTGTTCCCCCGCGGTTCTTACACAGAGGCTTGAAAACATGCACTTTCATCTTGCTTGGAGTAGTGTGTCATTCGCTGGTGTTTCATTTTTCATTCAACGATGCATTTCGATTTTAGGTATTTTGATATTGTAGAATGCTTTTATCGACTGGTGGAGTTCATTTTCTTGCTTCATTTTCTTTTGCTCAGCGTTTTTCCACGTGCTAGGTACCTGTTTTGTGTAATGTTGATTTGTCACCGTCATATTAACAGGACACTTGCAGCAGCATGGATGGTCGACAGGCCGTCTCTGAAGAGGGAGAGAAACCTATGCTTGACGACGGCATGCTACTGCTTGATGCGAAGAACGGCGACGTCTCCCTTATCTCGAAAACCATGGCTGAGGAGGAGAAAAAATTACTGGAAGAGCGAACGCGAGATGATGAAGGGAGTAAGAGAGACGAGGTCAAACCAGTCATGGACAGGAACTCACAGTTCAGTAAACTGGACGAACTATTGACGCAGACGCAGCTGTACTCGGAGTTCCTTCTCGAGAAGATGGATAACATAACCTTTGTATTAGCACTCTTCAGATTTATCGCTATGAAATTTTTGTACCGTTCCTTCTATAGTAATACTATTATGGATCTCTTGCCTGCCAGAGCGGTGCTGAGAACCAAGCCGTAGAAAAGGATTCCGTCTCGAAGAAGCAAGTAGGGAGAGGCAGAAAGCGAAAACCCACCGTGCAGTACAACTCGGTGAGCTGTTTTTTTTTTCTCGAACTCTATCTCACGCGATTGACAAATACAGTTTACGTTTGTCAACACTTCTGATTGATCGCCAATGGTTTTAGTGTGACTTTTTCTTGTCCGGTGTTTATTAATGTATTCATTGGCTTTCTGTAAGCATTTGCAAGGTGGCCCCAGCCAAGCCCATCTTTGGCCTGGTTGAGGATCAAGAGTGGTCCTCCTTGTTTGGCGAAGGCCAAGCTTCCGAATGTGAGGAGAGACTAAGGGGAGCGGCTGTTGTGAGAGATATGGAGGATGTGTGGCAATACAAGAGGGCTGGAGTAATTGAGGGAAAATTGATGTATAGGAAGATTATGTGGTCATTATGTTCAACCATCGGAGGTTATGGTGGTGCAACCTCTTTGCTTACCAGATCAAGAAGAGAGGGGATGGGAAAAAAAAGTGAGGACGTGGAGAGTGGATGAATATGACGGGGTTAAGGGAAGGGAGCATTTGGAATTGGAGTGGTTATGCTTCTTTCTCTCTTTTATATGTAGATTATGCGTTATATTGATCCTGACATCTTGTACGTCTTAATATGTGATATACTTTGATAGTATCATTTATAAGTGCATAAGTGAGAGGCCTTTTATGCTATATATTATGTTTTTAAAAGCCGTCTACTCCTGAATGAAGTACTCGGAGTATGTTCAATTGCTGGAGTAACAGTCATTATTTTATCCTTAAACGGAAGAGAGGTAGTCAATTTTTCCAATGAGGGAGAATAAACCCAGGCACGACGCCACTATGATTTGCCACAGGAGCAATGTGCTATTTTATCATGCGAGGATGTACCTTACAAAGGTAGAGGCTAGGTAAGAGTTTATGAGTAAGCAAACAAGGCATCTGCACGGTATCTTTTCCATCAGGGAGTACTGTTACGAACTTTTGAAGGTTGCCATTGTTACCAACATTGGCAGGAAAATTTAGCCATAAAAAAATGTGTGCCTAAAAATCTTTTGTTTTGTTCATGCTATAATCGAGATAGCTAGAAGTTTTTCTCATCTTCATCAGTAGTCTCCGTCTTCCCCATTTTTTGAAAGCGTTCGGTGTCTATCATTTTGTTTACTCGCAAAATTTGACCTCTGTTTCATCTCTTTGGGTATTTATCTCCGTTTTGTGACATGCATTGTCATAATGTATTTTTCTTTTGGCACTCTTCTTCACAGGGGAGAGCCAAGACTGCTGTTGCAGCCATGTTGACAAGAGCTCAGGAAAGCACCGAGTCTGAAGATCTTCAAGTCTCTGAGGAGGAGAGAACTGAGAAAGAACAATCTGAGCTTGTACCATTGATGACTGGTGGAAAGCTAAAGCCGTACCAACTGAAAGGTGTGAAATGGCTGATATCATTGTGGCAAAATGGCCTTAATGGAATCCTAGCTGATCAAATGGGGCTTGGCAAGACAATCCAAACAATTGCGTTTCTTGCACATCTTAAAGGCAAGGGTTTGCACGGACCTTATTTGGTAATCGCCCCACTTTCAACACTATCAAACTGGGTGAACGAGATTTCAAGGTAGAATTATCATCCTCATTCCATTTAGTTTTATTTCACTGAGTTGAATGTTCCTTATGTAGTTTTATTTCAGGTTTGTTCCTTCAATGAGAGCAATTATATACCATGGGACGAAGAAGGAGAGGGTTGAGTTACGGAAAAAGTTTATGCCTAGAGAAATCGGTCCAAGGTTTCCAATTGTAGTGACGTCATATGAGGTTGCGTTGAATGATGCTCTACCTCTATCTACTTACAGCTGGAAGTATGTTGTCGTGGACGAGGTTAGCTTGATATAAATTGTCTAATCAGTGTTTAGTTATTCTTCCATGTCTGAGTACTGGAGCAGAAGCATGCTATCATGGCACAAATTTTGCTTATTCTTTATGTGTTTTTTTTAATGTATGCTCTTTTTATTGTCTAGGGTCATCGGCTAAAGAATACAAACTGCCTATTGTTGAAAGCATTGAGACGTTTGCCAATTGAGAATAAACTTTTACTCACTGGAACTCCTTTGCAAAACAACCTAGCTGAATTGTGGTCATTATTGAACTTTATTTTGCCTGATATTTTTTCTTCTCATCAAGAATTTGAATCCTGGTAAGTTTCATTAGTTTTTTGCTTATCGATTTTTATGATGAAGCTTGCACTTTTTAAAAGTTTGCTTTAATATTTATTTTCATTATTAACAGCTTTACAGTGTAACATATTTAAATCACCGGCTTAGTTATATATCATGCAGATTTCTTTCTTGGATTTATTTTTGTATTCAGGATTTGTGTTAAAAAAATATTGCGACATTTAGTTTCTCTTCCTTTTCATCGTTTTGCTTTATGTGCAACATCTTTCTAGAACTCACGTGATTCTTGTACTTGGTTAATTGAACAAGATTGCCCAGCTTGATTACTTGATTCATTTAATTTGATATGAAATATGGCTGTCAAGATTGATTACAACACACTGAAACATCCAATCTGGCATAAAATTAGGGTGCTACTTGGCTGACCATGAGCCCCTTTTCCATTACGGTGTTCTGTGTGAAAGAGAATGGGTTCTGGCAGTTATCGGTCATCCCGTTATTTTTTTGTCACCGTGGGCTGTTGATATAGACCTTTTGGGATAGAAATAAGGTTGGCTGCACTATGCCATAAAAAATAAATCTTTTATCCTTGGAGTTCCAGGTGATTAACCCTTACGTGTTTGACTATTACGAACCGCTTGTGCGAGAGCCATGCTTATGCTTGCTGCCCATTACCAGGGAAGTAGCTTGCTTACTCCTAATTGACGACTGGTCCACGTGACCAATGCTTGTCAAAGGGAACCCTAATGGTGGTCCTGCGTGTGCATAGAGCGCATCCGCTGAACTATTGAAATTTTCGCAGGAACTTAGCTCAGTCTTTTCAAATTACCAATGAGTTATTGATTTTTAGTTAGATGTTGAATGATGTTTTGTCGATGAGACTATAACTAATTCAAATGTCTCAAGTGAACTTATTAATATTAAGGAGGCTTATTTAAATGCTGACTCGTCATCTCTTGAATAATTGGTATGATGCTCTGCAACTTTATGAAAAATGTGTCTGAAGTCTAATGTGGCAGACATACGGGATCATAATCTCATATACTGTGTAAGATTCTTAGACACTGGTGAAGCCATGTAATACATAGTCACAAATTCACCATTGTGACTCTAGGATCATTGGTCTATGCGTTCCTGGGTCTATCTTACCCCTTGTCAGTGCTGTCTCAAATTGACCTTCAACAGCTTGCCACCTCAAATAATGCTATATGGTCAATGGTTTATGATCATAAATTTCGTTTTTGAAATTTTGACTTTGCTTTGGGCTGGTGGTTGCATTGACTTTGCATTTTGTTGCGAACTTCTATGGCTGCTGGTTTCATCATTTTGTTTGACGTGGTATCCTTTTCAGGTTCGATCTATCTGGCAAGTACAGCTCAGATACTCATAAAGAGGAAAGCGAAGAAAAGAGAAGGATCGAGGTATCCTGTTGCTTTCTCTCCTTATAAAATATCTCTGTGTGTGTGTGCGTGTGTGTGCCTATGTGTGATTCTCCGTGCATGCATCATAGTGCAGATGGTGTCAAAGCTCCATTCAATCCTACGTCCATTTCTATTGAGAAGAATGAAGGCAGATGTGGAACAGTTACTTCCACGGAAGAAGGAGATCATCTTGTACGCTAACATGACTGATCATCAGAAGAAAATTCAAGATCATTTACTCGATAAGACACTCGAGAACTACATGGAACATCAGGCAGAAAGCGGTGAGCAAAATAAATTATAATTGATCAAGACGAATTATAGACAATTATATGGATATTTTGAGGCATTGTGGAAATAATTTTTCTGCACTTCTGCTGCATTGTTCCTCAAATCCCACTCGTCCGTGCCGCAGTGATATGGAAAAAGGGTGTGCGGGGAAAGTTGAATAATTTGGCAATTCAATTGAGAAAGAACTGCAACCACCCTGATCTCTTGGAGTCTGCTTATGATGCATCAAGTATGCTTCACAAAGTCGGTTTTACTCTTTGCTCTGACAACTGTCATATTAGTATCGTAATGAACTATCTGCTTTCACAGGTTTGTATCCACCCATTGATAAGCTGGTTGAGCAGTGTGGCAAATTTCGCTTGCTGGACAGACTATTGACTTTGTTGCTAGCTCGGAAGCATAAGGTACTAATAGAATGAATTGTTTCTGTATCACCACCATTGCGATTTCCTTGTGTTTCCTAACATGGAATGTTCCAGGTTCTGATTTTTTCTCAGTGGACTAAGATTCTAGACATCCTAGAATATTTCCTAAGCGAGAAAGAGCTTGAAATTTGTAGAATCGACGGAAATGTGAAACTTGATGAAAGGAGAAGGCAGGTTCGTACATCTTCTTTAGGTCGCCATCCTTGTCATATGTTTCTAGAACGTTAATCTGCCAGCATCATTGCAGTTCATCTTGGTCTTTCCAAGTCGTTGTGCTCGCTGAGACGTGTAGATAATTGATGTTCATTAATGTTTGCTTCAGGGTGGTCATAAACTGATGCCTGGATCTGGCAATCCAGGGATTGGGCTTTCATACCATTCTCAGATTTTTTTTCCTTTTTATGCATGCTATATTATCTTTCTGTTTCTAGTCGTTTGTGTGATGGCTACATTGGTCTGATGTTATTATTTCTTAAACGATCAGATTGACGAATTCAATGATTTAAATAGCAACACGAGAGTATTCCTTCTCAGCACCAGAGCTGGTGGACTAGGCATCAACCTAACTGCAGCTGATACCTGCATAATTTATGACAGTGATTGGGTATGCTGCTTCTCGCCTCAGTGCGGTCATTTCTATTACGACCAAAGCTTTTGAAGTATACCTGATCAGATAAATACTTGCTGTGATCCAGAATCCGCAAATGGACCTGCAGGCGATGGACAGGTGCCATAGGATCGGACAAACAAAACCTGTACATGTTTACAGGCTGGCTACTGCAAACTCAATAGAAGTATTTATGTGCCACAATTTGATGAATACAAGGAAACCTTCATGTCTCTACTTGATGCATTTCATCTGTGTGCAGGGTCGGATGTTGAAGAGAGCTTTTAGTAAGCTAAAACTGGAGCATGTTGTAATCGGAAAAGGACACTTCGAGCAGGAGAGAAGAAAACCTGATACATTGGAGGTTGGTCCGCCTCTATATCTACATTAGGCCCTCCCATGCGTCTAGCCTATGTTGAAGGGGAATGGGTGGGAGTGATACATGCTGCAGTAGCATGAAGATTGGTCGTTGGGTTCTGGCCCAAGTTGGGCTAGGCCAGGTCCAATTTTCTTACTGAGCTTGATGTTGAAAGGCATGTTTGGGAAAAGAATAGGACAAACCCGAGCTTGAGGATTGGCCCGCTAACATTCCCTACGAAGCATGCGATCTGATTTTCTTGATGCATCGGTTTTTATTCCAGTGTGGTCTAATCTGATCTGGCGTCGTTTGGTTGTCACTGTAAGCTGCAACCTGTCCTGAGCGGGTTCGTCTCATTCGTTTCAGGAGGAGGAGCTGTTGGCATTGCTCCGAGATGAAGTGGATGCGGAGGACAAACTAGTTCAGAGGGATATCAGTGACGAAGATCTTCTAAGGGTCTTGGATCGCAGTGATCTCACTCCTTCAATTGCCGACGAAGGGAGGAAACATTCTGTCAATGAAGAAGTTTCATCCTTTCCTCTGAGAGGGCCCGGTTGGGAGGTCGTCCTGCCAGCTAAAAGCGGTGGAGGTCTGCTTTCTGCAGTTAACAGCTAACCAGGTACACAAGATAATCAACTCCTCTTTTGCCGCCGCCTATGAAATATGTTAGGAAATCCGGGAGTTGCCCCGGCCTTTCCTCGATACTAATTAAGGAAGGTCGATTTTCTGGGAGAAGCCATGCTTTCAGTTGCATGAGCTGCTCAGTTTTTGTGAAGATAGCATGCTGTTATTGATTACATACTACTTTAATGAAATGGGTGGATGAAGATTTCCATAACCGGCAAACTCACGGTTTCCCAGGATCCCATGTGGCCCTAGCCTCGCATCATCGGATTTTCAAGACATAAGGGGTGAGATTTTACTCTTCATTTCGGCAAATCACATGCAAAACTTAGGGAAACCTTGGTATAATTGGTCGAAAACTTAGGAGAGCTATCTTCGGGATCAAGAACTAGGGTAGGCATCTCATTAGTTTATACTCCATTCTCCTGGAAACTCATCAGTCGTCACACGCTGAAGAAATCCCAATAATGGCAGCTTCCAAGGAAATTTACTTGCTCAAGTCGCATTACTAATTATTGAAAGCTGGGAACCTTCCTCGACAGAGAATGCGGCTCCGATAGATACCGAAACAACCATAGATTGTCCCTTGGGCTCTCTCTCTCTCTACCGGCGCGAAGAGGGACGAACAGCTGCCCGGCGGTTAATGTCCCCAAAGGGAAGACAAATTACAGAGTGGAGCCATGCTAATCGCCATCTTTATTCACATTTCTGGACGGAGACCGAGGAGCAGGCCAGAGGAGCACCTTCCTCGTTGACTTATTCCCTTGGGTCTCCCCTACAGAGGACGAACCGCCCGCTCACTGTTCTCAGGCACCCGTCCCCGGGTAGGTACACTCGCCGTAACCTACCACAGAAGAAAAGAAGAGACGAAGGAGCACCAGATCAGTATCAAGAAGGCGGCCGGCCTCAGCAAGTCAACAACGAAGGGGAGCCATCCCAGCCACCGGCGGACGGGGGAGGAGGGCGCACTTGGGTCGGTGGTCGTGACAGTGGCCGTCTGCTCGTAGTTGCAGCTCCCGGGGTTCTTCCCGGAGACCTGGTAGAGCAGGTTCATGGCGTAGCCGGCGTGCGACGCCACCGTATTGGGGTTGTAACAGGCGCCGCCGGGCTGTATGGGGGCGCAGTCCACCGGCGGTTGCCCGCAGGCGTAGTCCAGGTTCCCCTGCAGCTGCTGCTCCGTCACCCCCGGCTTCGGCATGCACCAGTCCGCCGGCTTCTTCCTCGCTGGCGCCGGCGTCGGGCTCGTCTGTTCCACAACAATGAGACATCAGTTCGCCAGAGGAGGAGAAAGAAGCAGAGCTGAGAAGAGGAGGTTTTGCACCTTGCCCTGGGAGGACTTGGCGAGGCCGGCGTCGTAGTTCATCGAGAGGTCACCGGGGCGATAGAGCCCAAAGGAGCGCTCTGAGGCGGGGCCGGGCTTGAGGTTCTCGTCGTACAGCGCGAAGAGGTACGTCTCCACGGGTTTCCCTGGCATCAGCGGCGTCCCAACCATGGAGCGGAGGTGCGCCACCAGGTTGCTGGTGTAGGCCCGAGCGTTCTCCACGCCGGCGCCGGCCTCGCTGGGGTCTCCATTGTAAGGCCAGCCCGTCTCGGCGACGACGATCTCCACGCCGGTGAATCCCTCGCGGTCCACCGCCGAGCGGACGGCGTCCACCTGGGCGTCGAACATGTTGGTGTAGGTCTTCTTCGAGCCGTCGTCGAAGCGGCCCTGGTTCGGCTGGAAGAGGCAGAAGGCGAGCGTCTCGGGGCGAGGGTCGCTCTGGTAGGCGAAGAAAGGATAGGGATTGATCATGAAGGGCCCACCCGTCTGCTCGAGGAAGCTGAGGACCCCCCGCAGGGTGTTCCCGTGGGCCGGATCGAAGGCCCCGGCCGAGGGCGGCGCCGACTGCGCCAGCACCGACATAGGGTGCACCGTGGAGACCTTGATCTTGCCGGCGAGCGACTTGGCGGCCAGCGCCAAGCGGAGGTTCTGCATGGCCGGGAGCAGCTGGGCGGCCAGCGCGGCGTCGCCGTAGAGCAGGACCTCATTGCCGACCGAGATGGTGGAGATGGCGGAGGCCGGGAAGTAAGGAAGGACGTTGGCGGCCACCCACGCGGCGGCGGCGCTTGGGTCGCCGGCGAGGGACGGGATGTCCCCATTCGCGGTGGCGATCACGAGTGAGATGTTGGTCCCCGCCAGCGCCTGGATGACGGCGGGGTTGGCGCCGTACAGTCGGATCTTGGAGATGGACGTTGACTGGAGGAGCTTCGCCGTGTCCGCCGGCGGCGGGAGGTTGTTCGCCACCTCCCCATAGTTGACCCCGATGAAGCTCTGCGACTCTGGAAGGAAGAACACGAAGCGGAGAGATTCCTCTTTGTCAGCTATGATGATAATTTAGACCCATATGGACCTCGAAATCCCCACCGACACGACTCCCAACAGTGACGGACGCCGTCGCTGACTACGACTCGGAAAGAAACTCGTCGTCGTCGCCTTCCGGACGTCTTGCTTTCACTCGAGCCGCCGCCCTGCTTTCAACGCGGGTTCTCCCAGAGCAGACGCAACCTTTTTACTTTGACGAACGAAACCAAAACCAGGAAACGGAGAAGCGCCTCCCCTTCCCCTCTCCTTTCGATTCCTCATTTCAAGGCCCCTACCCGGAATCACAATTCCGGCGCCAAGGCCGAATGCCCCGGCGAGCCTTGCCGAGCACCAATCTTCCGCAGGCAACGGCCTTGGCGAGAGATGAAATCAGAGCAAAGCTGAGGCACGGATGGAGAGGGAGCTGGAGCTTACTTGCGGAGGACACGGAGGAAGCGAAGACGAAGAAGAAGAAGCCAATTGCCGCAGAGGAGCTCCCAAACCAGAGGTGACTCTTCCCCTCCATGTGAGCAGCAGCCCGCTTATCCGTGGGCTCTCGGACGCCGAGGGAATCGGGAAGCAGGAGGTAGAAATAGGCGGCTGCCGAGCAAGAAAGACGAACTCGCTTGAGCAGGCCCACCATCGTAAATAATGTATCCGTTAATTCATTTACCGATAATGAAAACCGTTCGGACTGGCTCTCCCTCTCCCAGCCTCCAAAAGGCGGCTACGGCCGCCGACCACAAGAGCAATTCTGAGGGCACTGTGGTCATTTATTAGCATTTAGGAATGTCAAGATCTTGACAGGTGGGTGACCGTAACTCTGTGGGTCCAGATGGCCAAAAGAAGCAACTTTTTCGATGCGTCCACGAGGACCGTTGGATCTTCGATCCACGGAGAGAAGTGAGCTCCACGCGGAGGAGCCCAGCCTTTAGTTGGCCGGCGGCCGCACCAATTCTCCACTTCGCGATTTTTACCGTCCCATCAGTTAAAATTAACCACGAAATTATGAGATATATTCTTAGCGTTGACTCCAAATAATTGACTTCTCAGTGTTGACCCATCCCACATCGACTCGGCTTTCGCCCGCCCCCTTCCTCTACTTGCGGGTGACTAGGGTGAAGGGGAGAGATGACGGCGGAGCTGGTGGTGCAGCTGCACCGCCTTTGAGTATTCTTTTTTTTTCTCGCCCGGAAATCTGGTCTCTTCGTCTTCCGGTAGGAGACGGTGAAAACGGAGAGCTGAAGCTGTTGACGTCCTACCGTCAGGAAGGAAGAACGCCGGCGGAAAAGACGGAGGCCCGGTAGGTCGCCGGGGGGTTTTCTTGACGGCGGAGGCCGGAGATTCCTTGCCCTCCCTTGCTCCGATTCTCAACCACTTAGGAACCGTAGAAATAAAAAAAAATAAATCAGGGGTATAAAGTATTTCCCTGAATTTTGGGTGTTTTTAACGTATATATATTTTGTTCACATTTTTGTTTTATTTGACAGAAATAATCATTTTTCACGTGCCAAACAGTGATTCACTCTGGGAAAAAAAATCCTGGCCCTCTTTTTTATATTGGGCCGTCGTAGTGTTGGTCTGGATTTATGGGCCCGTTAAGGCCCATTTTGCAGTGTCGGTGCCACTATCGAAATCTATTGGGCATATCTTTAATTTTTTTTAAAAATGATATCGTTATAGAATTTTTTTTAACAGGATCTCTTGTTTTTTCTGCAAACTCTAAATCAGATTGTTGAACAAAAGAATAAGAATATTGTAACTGCGTTTTAAAATATTTTTTCGAGGCCGCTTCCATTAATGGGACTGGATTCCCGGTATGGGGCCCATTTATATATCAGCAATCGGCCCATCGGAGGCCCGCGAAGCGGGTGGAGGAGTCCTTCCTTGGAGATGAGGTGGTGCCTGTGGTGCGGAGCTCCTCTGACGGCGCTCAGATGTCAGGAAAAAAACCCTTTCGGCGGGAACGGAGACATCTCGAGCTATTCAACGGTCAGGTTGCGGGGAGAAGCCGGCCCGCTCTCTCTCTCTCTCTCTCTCTCTCTCTCTCTCCGGATGCCATTCTGAATCAAGGAGCATGCCGACACTCTCCCTTGTCAATTTGCGTTTGAATGCCTTGTTCGGTTGCTCCACCGTCTTCCGATGATTCCAAGCTCCCCCTCTGACGGCTCTTCAGACTGTCAGGCCGAACGATGGCGCGCCCTTTTTTGGCAGGGGAGAAAGAAATCCAGAGTTTTTTTTTTTTTTTTTTTTTACCGGCCGATTAGGGTCTTCCGCTCTGTTGCTCCTCTGGTGGGGAAGGGGCGACCTCAATCCCCTTCCTGTGTTCTTCGTGAACTCCGAACCTGCCATGTGGGTTCAATTATTTCGTTGGATGGGAGCCACCCAGAGGAGGATTCCCCATCTCCTTCTGTGATCCGGGTCCAGAGAGTTCATGTCTGTTCGGAACCATCGAGGTGGAGAAGGAACAGTTCTTCCCTTCTTCCCTCTTTCTCTGCCCCCCTGTTCCCTGGCGTGTGCTCTCACTTTCCTTGCTGCCGATCAGAAAAGCGTTTTTAGAGAAAGAAAGAAAGAAAGAAAGAAGGAAAGACAGAAAGGTGGGCTCTTTGTCGGCAGAGCGCACATGGAACCGTCTCCCCTCTGTACGAAATCCGCAGGTAGATCTCTCTCTCTCTCTCTCTCTCTCTCTGCCCTTCCCTTCCAGGAAAGATGGGGAGGTGTGGGATGGGGATGGGGGGCCAACATCCTCTGCCAAACGATGTCAGTCGCTCTCCCCAAGTGTTTCGCCAGCGGAAGACCATCTCCCCACGCTCTCTTTTGATCGATCTGACCGGCGGGCCGTCGCTGGCCTGTCGAGTCCCGAACCAATCAGATGAGGCTGCACGGGCGTGGACTGGCGCCACCTTTTCTGGCCCGTCCTCTCTGCCGGCGAGAAAAACCGTCGCTCGGCCATTCCCGGCTTCCAGTTTGGGGCTCCCCGCAGGATTGGGCTACACCTTGCTCCGGCGCTACCTTCCGCGGCCGCTAGCTGGGGCCCGGTTTCGGCGGCGGCGGCGGCGGCGGCGGCGGTGGTGGCGAATTCACGCCCGCGGAGAACCCTCTGGATCAAAAGACGAGTCGGCAGCTCGTCCAAGAAGCCATCATTCGGCAAATTCCATCTTTAGGGGGCGGGGGGGGGGGGCGTGTAGGCCCATGACGCGGCTTGAAAAGTCGTCGTCGTCTCGTAGGCGGTGATATGGACAGGGGAGGGGAAGAGGTCCTCGAGCGGCGGCATTCAAGGCACAGACCCATCACCTCCCCTCCCCTGCACATGACATCAGAGCTTCCCACGGCGAGCAGAGACCGGGGCGGCCTCCGGATAACTCTAGGCGAAGACACCCGAGTCCTTGTGTCAAAAAAGCCAGAATCCGGAGCCCACCTGGACCACCGCCCCCCCCCGGCGGGTCCTTCCGCAATGACTGCCAGGACCCTCCTCCGGCGGTGAAGGCCACCACCACCTCGATTCAGAGAACGTCCCGTCCCATCCCATCCCAGATTAGAGCCGGGAAGGAGAAGGAGAAGCAGGAGGAGACCGCCGAGTCCATCGTAGGCCTCACGGGTCGCATCCATTCAATCTACCACCAACTCACCCGTTCATTCCCCGTCAATCAAATGTACGCCCCAGGGGGGGAGTCTGCGGCAACAGTCAGTCGCCAACTCGGCCGCCGGTGGCGTGGTCCTCCGCCTCCCCGCGCCGGGCCTACGCCGCCGTACACGCCGGGGCACGCGCTGAGCGTAGGCCGCGGCGACGCCTCGGGCCGCCAGCCCGCGTGCTGAATCAATGCCGTCGCACGGCCGGGCGGCCCGCTGATGCCGGCACTCGCTCAGCCCACGAGGGGCAATCATTGGCACGCCGATGTGGGCCCCACTGGCCACCCGCACGGGCGCCTGGCGCGGCTCCACACCCCCACGCGCGTGAAATTACCGCGCCGGCCCCTCCAACTACACCGCATCTTCGTTCAGCCACGCCAACTGTTCGCCGAGAGCGACGCCCGAATATAATACCTCAAAGTTGGCGCATCGCATAGACTTTACATACACAGACGCAACATAGTTTTTCATATTTGCAAGCGGGGCAGCACGTGGGGGGCAGGAAGTGGTTCAATCAGGAGGCGACACGGGGCGCGGGGGACCTGACTGGACACCACCACCCAGATCAAAAAGCTAGAACATACGACGGGTAATATTATATCCATGTGTGATGTAAGTTGTACTTTGGGGACAGGGGGGCTTATCGATTGGAATGATGACGATGATGGAGCTCGGGAGCACGTGGCCACCATCACCGACGTGGAGACCCCCCACGTTCCCCTCCCGATCACGGCTTTAGACCATAGTCCAAATCTTGTTTTGACCAAAGTCCCCCGACAGATTAATGGGTAGGTGGGTGGTTTAGCCGCTTAATATATATGTATATTGGGTGAGGTGGTGAGATGAGGTAAAAGGAGAGAGAAAGTTGAGGAGGAGTGTTACATTAAGTGCCCACCAATGCTGCCCATCTGTTCTAGACCATAACTCTGCACATGCGGACATAAAGCTCGGAGAGGGCTCTCCGGACATTTCACACCGGCGCCAATCCGAGGGCTTTATAAGGAAAACCCGAACTAAGCGTCCGTTGGTCGGTCGCCTTGCCGCACGGCGGAGGACAGGAAAAGCAGGCGAGTTGCGTCCATGACAGGGGCGGGCGAACTTCTCCTTCTTCTTCTTCGTCTTCTTCTCGTCGCAGTAGTCTCAGTGGCCATCTTCGTCTATCTCCGTCGCATCAGATGGGCGAGGAGCCCGAGGAAGTTCAGCAACCTACCTCCGGGTCGCCGAGGGTGTCCTTTTATCGGAGAGTCCCTGGGCTATCTGAAGCCCCACCCCGCCATCTCCATGGGAGAATTCATGGAGGATCACATATCTAGGTACTTTCCTCCTACCCAAGTGGCTCTCTGGCGGCCCGCCCTCTGATTTAACGCTGGAACTGTTGCAGGTTCGGGAAGATCTATCGATCCAACCTGTTCGGAGAGCCGACAATAGTGTCTGCCGACGCTGGGCTGAATCGCTTCATCCTTCAGAACGAGGGGCGGCTCTTCGAGTGCAGCTACCCCAGGAGCATAGGGGAGATACTAGGGAAGTGGTCCATGCTGGTGCTGGTAGGCGACATGCACAAGAACATGAGGGCCATATCCTTGAACTTCATGTGCAGCGCCAGGCTACAGACCCAGCTCCTGCGTGAGGTCGAGCACCACGCCGTCTTCATCTTGAGGTCTTGGCGTGAAGGTTCTACATTCATGGCTCAAGACGAAGCTAAGAAGGTACTCTGCCGGCCGATTACTGCGTTCCATTAGTCGCGTTTAAGAGAGAGATTCCACTGACGACTAGGTGTGGGGGTTGCCCAGTTCACATTCAATCTGATGGCCAAGCATATCATGAGCATGGAGCCCGGGGAGCCGGAGACGGAGAGCTTGAAGAGAGAGTACATCACCTTCATGAAGGGCGTGGTGTCTGCTCCTCTGAATTTCCCCGGCACTGCATATTGGAAGGCCAAGAAAGTAGGAAACCACCCTCGCCCGTTTATCGCACGATCTTCTTCCTTTTCTCGTGTTCCTCTCCAAATGTACCGAACAGTAGATACCGTCTCAACGAACTTTCAGTAATGATCGTAACTCGCGAGTTTCAGTCGAGGTCAACCATCCTCAAGGTTATCGAGAGGAAGATCGAGGAGCGGCTACGGAGGAAGGCCGACGGCCGCGATGGTTCAGAAGAGGACGACCTCCTGAGTTCGGTCTTGAAACAGGCCAATCTCTCCAAGGAACAGATCCTTGATTTGATCCTGAGCCTGCTGTTCGCAGGACACGAGACCTCGTCGGTGTCCATTGCTCTAGCCATCTACTTCCTCGAAGCTTGCCCCGAGGCGGTGGAAGAATTGAAGGTACGATCAAGACGGCCCCGTAAATCTCGTAAGACCACGTTGATTCTCACGGCGACCCAGGTTCCGTGAACGATATTTCAGGCTGAGCACGGGCGAATCGTTCAAAACAAGGCGCGGAGGGGAGACGACTCCCTCCTGAATTGGGAGGACTACAAGCAGATGCACTTCACCCAATGTGTTAGTCTACCGTCCCAGATGATCAGAAGTAAAAAGTATTTACTGTTCTTCATCCGGTTCCGCTGACTCTGCTGCGTTCGTTTGGTCGTGAAGGTCATTAACGAGACTCTCCGCCTCGGCAACGTCGTCCGGTTCGTCCACCGGAAGGCCCTTCACGACGTCCAGTACAATGGTATGGGCCGGTCTCTTAGTTTTGTCTCCACCATCCGATCGTATCGCCGGAAAGGCGCTGCCGGCCGACTCACCTTCCCCCATATTTTGTCTCCCTCTCGAAGGATACGATATTCCGGCCGGATGGAAGGTCCTGCCGGTGTTCGCTGCCGTCCACCTCGACCCTTCCTTATACGGCGACCCTCAGCAGTTCAATCCGTGGAGGTGGCAGGTTAGTATCATCTTTCAAATCATTCTCATGCGGATGAGAGCGATAGTTCCAGGTCTCACAATTCTGATAAAGACGGCCCCCCCTACGATCCATCCGAGAATTCACGATCCACAGGTTTACTCGATTTCTCGTCACCAAATCTTAACTTAGTCAGCCATTTATCATAATGTCAGAGCTTCAAACTCCGTACTCGTATTTAAAACACTAGAACTACGGATTGCGCAATCAATGTGCTCGGAACAGCGTGGCTGGTCGTTTCTTTTCACCTCTACTCGCCCCAGCGTCATGGAGGCGAATGGTAGGCAGGCGGTGTGGGGAGCTCGAGTTGATTGGATTTCTATCCACCTTCACGATATGCTTTGCGCCGCTAGTTTTGATCCGAAAACGACCTGTCGAGTGATGGGTCCTCCTCGCTGTTATATTATTATGCTTTTTGTGTTCTTCTTCATCCCTCCTTCCGGGGATTCCATCGGGCGGCTCCAGGGTTCATGCTGAGAGCGTTGATTCAGATCGTTGGAAGCGTATGTCTTCCGAGCCAGCCTCGTCTGGCCTTCAGATGTGTCCGCATCAGGGTGTTGGCCGGATCCAGAAACCAGCGGAGCAGAATCTCCGGGGATTGTTGGGTCCGGACGTAGCAGGACGGCGCTGTCTTGTGGGGGACAGATTTCGTGATCTCCGTCCCAAATAATTCGGGACGTTGCATGGGCTTAAATGCTTAGAGTTCTACCCCGATCTCGGTCAGATCGCTTGCTTATTACTGTTCCCCCTTGATTTGGTAGCAGCGGCGGAACTGCGGCGGCGCTTCGGTGGCGACGGCGGCGGCGGGGGCCAATTTCATGCCGTTCGGGGGAGGCCCGCGGCTCTGCGCGGGGTCTGAGCTGGCGAAGATGGAGATGGCCGTCTTCCTGCACCATCTGCTGCTGAGTTACCGGTGGGAACTGGCGGAGCCCGATCAACCCCTCGTCTTCCCCTTCGTTGACTTCCCCAAGGGGCTGCCCATCAGGGTCCACCGGACCACGTGATCGCCGCCAAATGTTCCGTTCCCCTGCCGGCGAGGGGGATCATTTTTCGTCTCCCGCCGGCGGCGCTCTGGGGGAAGCTCGCCGGGGCTCCGCCGGTGGAAGAGGGAGAATCTTCGCGGTAAAGGATAAGAAAGGTCCCGGTGGGGATGACTGAGAATCCTTCCACCCCTTGCAATCAATGCCCGCGGAGAACTCGCTCTTTTATCTGTGGCCGGACGTCGAGGAAGACTTGCGGACAGTGGATTCTCTCTCCTCTGTCTGTCTCTCGTAAGAAACACATCTACATGTACATCATGCCTGAACAAGACTAATGAAAACAATCTTCTTGAGATCCACAGAGAAAGAGAGAGAGAGAGAGAGGGTAGGAGAGGGAGAGAGAAAGAGAGGGAAGGAGTGAGAGAGAAGGAAGGGAGAGAGATAGAGGGACGGAGAGAGAGAGAGAGAGGCGAGAAAGAAAGAGAGGGACGAGAGAGAGAATGAGAGGGGGAAGGGGAGAGAGAGAGAGAGGCGAGAAAGAGAGGGAAGGAGTGAGAGAGAGAAGGAAGGGAGAGAGATAGAGGGACGGAGAGAGAGAATGAGAGAGGGAAGGGGGAGAGATAGAGGGAGGGAGGGGGAGTTTACGTCAATATCATCGCTCCTTTACGCCGGCCTCGAACCAAGTTATTATACGTTGGCCGCGACTGAGGTCTCTGTTCTATGGGGAGAAATCAGCACGTTTGCGACGGTCTAGATTTTTGACCGATTTTAAATGGCCCAATAATTCCAATCTCCTTGTTGGGTCGAGTATTCGCCCTCGTTCGGACAATAGTGGACGGCCGCCCTTGCCGGCTACCGCAAAGACTTTGGGCTTTTAATGAGCCTACACGGCCCGTGTGGAACCAAGCCCAAATGTACGTTCTGGCGTAAAACATCGGGATAGCTATGGCTGATCTAGACCGTCCAATACTGATGACGCGTGTCAGGGGCCGTCGATCTGACATGGCAGAAGGAGATGAGAAAGTCGTAAACGAGCGGTGGGGTAGGCGCATTCTCCTGGTGTTTTCGTTATTGCTAAAAAGTGGGAGGTTAGATCTGGAAACCAATTGCTCGCATTTGCTAGGGGGCTCTCCCCCCCCCCCCCCCTCTCTCTCTCTCTCTCTCTCTCTCTCTCTCTCTCTCTCTCTCTCTCTCACTTTCTCTCTCCCTGCCTCTCCCCTTCACTGGGACTTTTGGCTTGTCTTTCTGCATCCTGATCAGTTACTGTTCTTTCTGGGGGAGAGGAGTCAGAGGGAGGGTGTTCTTGGAGGCCTGAGAGAGATGTGGCGGTGCGTGTCTCGGAGCCTTCGGCTCGCCTCCGCGAAGGGGAGCCCGATCGCCAGGAGCGGGGCGCCCAAGCCGCTCCTCCGCAGCTTCCTCTCAACGGACTCAGTATGATCACGGGAGAAACCTCTTCGACCCGCGTTTAGTTGTGTTTGTCGATCAGTTAGAGTCTCTGAAATTCACCTGTGTGAAATGATCGTCTGGGTTGTCGGGTTTAGGGATCGTCAATTGGACTCACTGTGAACCGCTCTATGTTACTTTTATGCGACTCACTTTTTTTATATTCTCTGATGTTGGAACTCATCGGCATTTCTTTTTCCTGGGTGTTTCAATGGCTTGGAAAGCTTGTTGAAATCATTTTTATCATTCATCTCTTTCAGTTCTTTCCCATGTAGAAACAAAATCAAATTTAACCCTTTTTATCCTTTTCGCGGGGCAGGCCGGAAATTACACTCTCGTGGATCACACTTATGATGCGGTTGTGGTAGGAGCTGGTGGGGCAGGGCTCAGAGCCGCCATTGGGCTCTCGGAACACGGATTCAACACAGCCTGCATTACCAAGCTATTCCCCACCCGGTCCCACACTGTCGCAGCACAGGTATTATATTTTCTTTTAGGATTTTGTGGCTAATCATTTTCTCCCAATCAATGATAACGTCCATTTGGTTGTAAGAAAGAGCAATGTGACGGGATGCACACTGAAGTCAGCTAGTCGTGCAAATAAAAAAGTTGTATGCCTGAAACTGACGGAAGATAGGATGTTGTTCCGGCCCAAGTTTTGTGTTCTGTAATTTTATCAGCATTATCCAAAGATCAGTCGGAAACTAATCTTGAAAACAGTAGGGGATTATTGATGGGGCAGTAAACCAGAGGTGCTGGCTCAGGGAGCACATTGATGATACTTACGTGAAAACCATTTTTGAATTCAGAGCCGCTGATATCATGTGTGGCTTTCAAATGTTTATGGAAAGTACAATAACATGGTGTTCTTTGTTGATTTAAATTCTGAGCCATTGGTATCACCTGGAACTTGCAACATGTCATGAAATCACTATCTCCTTTGAAAGACAGTGTTCTACATTGAAATTTAGGTTGGCATATCCCAAGAGGATTTTGTTGTAGAGAGGAGATTTTTTTCAATCGAGGATAGCCTTTTTCAGAAGATACTCACTAGCTAGTAATGCTTCTCAGCAGGTACAAAAAAATTAGATCAACACAAGTGTCTCACATTCCAAATCGACGAGATGCCTGAAAACAAAAAGAAAACATGTTACAGTACTATCCTTTTCAAGAATGTCAGATTCCTTGTAATGTTTTTTGGGCACTTGGTGGTGGCAATTTGTGAGGGTTGTGATCGTATATAATTTAGTAGAATAAAAATGAAGTATTTTAATGTTCTGTGTCTGATTCTATGCTATGAGTAACAACAGAACGACGCGTCAATGGTGGGTTCTACCCTGAAACAAATATGGAGTGGAAAAAACGCAAATACGAGCAATTTAAAGACTCAATCACGCTCCCTCTATTATGAGCCTTCAGAAACGTTACACTAATTTGAATTTACTAATCTTGCACCATCAAAGTTACAACTTCAATATGAATATTTCAGACAATCCTTATTTTTTATATGTAGTCAATGCCTACGAGTAAGTGTTTTTTCTTGTCTGATATTGCTTTTTCACCTCTCGGATCTAAATTCTTTAATATCCTCTGCTTTAAGAACGAGACGAGTAAAAATCAATATTTGAGTGCTAAACTTATTTTGAATGCTTGTTCGGGACTTTCTGCAGTATTTTCCACCACTCGTATCATTTGGTGCTCACTGTGCTAAATGTTATATCAGAACTCCAATTCCTCATCTTCTCGTTATATTTTAAACTATTCATCTTCTCCACGTCGCTGATGATCTTTCATTTTGGATGTCAGAACTTTCCTTTCTCTTTCCCTTATTCTAATGCATATCATCTTATGACTGGTTGAACTCAGTTCGGCATTAATTTTCTAAACCATTATTGTTTAGTACTTCTTACTTTTTTTAGTCCGAACACTGTAAATTCATTTGTCAGGTTTAACTGTTAGCCCTTGCTAAGTTTGGTGATAGCTTTCATGTAGGGCGGTATAAATGCAGCTTTAGGCAATATGACTGAAGATGACTGGAGGTGGCATATGTATGATACAGTCAAAGGAAGTGATTGGTTAGGTAAGTTGTGCTTTGCGCACTGGTGTTAGGACAGACTATTCCAGTGGATTCCGTGTTGCTGTTTTTACTTGCCACAGAGCATCAGTATCACTTTTTTTGTTGCATTGACACTCTAGTATAAGTATATAGATGAGCGTGTGAGTAAATGTCCCGAGTTTATTGTCGTCATGAATTGTCTTGTGCTCTTTTTTTTGTGCCCTGAAGATTTTGACTGGAGCTGTGTGGCTTTTCTATTTCTTTTTCAACCAATGGACAATGATGTTCACCTCCGTGGAAATCATTTATTACATATTCTATTGTACCTGCATGACGGCTACATGGAATATTTGTAGGTGATCAAGACGCTATCCAGTACATGTGCAGAGAGGCACCAAAGGCTGTAATAGAGTTAGAGAACTATGGATTGCCATTTTCCAGAACAGAGGATGGAAAAATCTATCAGCGTGCATTTGGTGGTCAAAGTCTTAACTTTGGAAAAGGTGCAGAGGGTCAGAATATTGAATTTCTATCGTGTTTTCTTGTATGCTTTGGCTCTTTATTTACAGATATTAGTTTATGTGCTTTCTGTAGGTGGGCAGGCATATCGTTGTGCATGTGCTGCTGATCGAACTGGGCATGCTCTTCTGCACACACTTTATGGACAGGCTATGAAGCATAATACACAATTTTTTGTGGAATATTTTGCGTTGGACCTTCTGATGGATGATGAGGGTAAATCACTGAATCATCCTTTTATTGATCTTATTTATGATATATTAAATTAAACCTCCTGATAACTCTCTCTTTGTGGTTTGACGTGCCTAAGAAGTTGCTGCACAGTGATGAGCTTTGTTTCTTTGTTTAATATGGATGCTATACTGAATGTGCTCCGAATGGTAAATTTTTAATTTTTCAGCTCGTTAGCTCATATTGCCTAAGAAAAATTACACACACTCTCTCTCTTTATACATATCTTTATATATCTCTGCAAGGTGCTCTTAGTCTGTGACGGTCAGACAGAGCGTGAGAAATTCTGTTGAGCACTAAATATAAATATTACGCTCATCTGCAGTGTATGCTTATCTGACCTCTTGCCGAGGAAATTTGGGCCTGTTAAAGAAAATCGAACAGGGTCATGACTTTTGGATTCGTTTCAATCGATGCAAGATGATTTATATTTAGATTTTGTGTTTGAATAATACAAATCAGCACATTTTATGCCTCCATGTTCTCATATCACCTGTGGGTGCAATTTTTGTCCTTCTCTCCCTCTTCTCTCAGTGTTGAGAGTTGTTGTAAGTCAATATTCTGCACGTGTCTCCCTTTCTTTGCATTTGTTTCCCATACATCCTTTGAAAACTATTTCATAAGCATGGTAAATTCTGGAATTGCTGTTTTTTCTATCTTAATTTAACAAACTAATGAACTATCTATTACTGAAATATACATTTATATGTATATATATATCTCACTTACTTTGAGACTTTATCTTTTGGTAATTGGTGTTGTGTGGCTTCGTTTGAAGGAGAAAATCTTGTGCCTCCCATCCTCAAATACACACACACACACACACACACACACACACACACACACACACATATATATATATATATATGTATCCTGGAACCGAAGCCTGATTGGTAGATGATGAAACTGAAGCCACATTAACAGATGTTGAAGCGAGATATATATATATCGAGAGAGAGAGAGAGAGAGAGAGAGAGAGAGAGAGAGAGAGAGAGAGAGAGAGAGAGAGAGAGAGAGAGAGAGAGAGAGAGAGAGAAGGGTGTCAATTATGCAATGTCTGAATTTTTTTTCAGTAGTTCCCTGTATAATGTTTGGTGGCATTTATATTTGTGTGGTCCTATCTTGTACACGTTGAGAGCCATTCATTCTTCCAAGGTACAGCTGATTTGCAGTTGATACGCTATTGTTCATGGAGAATAATTAAAGGTAATGAAAAGAGAAGAATAAGAAAGGGAAAATAGAAGGTGTACCTGTTTCCTAAATAGTGACCCTTCCAGCAGTTGCTTCTATGTCCGGAATGGATACCAGATTTGCTAACTAGGATTGACGCTGATGTTGCTTTTTCTTATCATCCATACATCTGTCTCTATCATCTAGGTTGGCTACTTGGGAAGGTCCATAAAGTTTGAGAATGTTTTCTTATAAAAGATCCATAGTATTTGTTTGGTTCAGGTGCATCTGAAACCTTGGTTTCAGACTCAGATCCTCAACAACGTATTCAATACTTTCTGTGATTCATTTATGTTTTTAAGGAAATTTAGCAAGACAATAGAAAGAAATAAAATGATAAATAAATATCAATGCGATTGTTTTGCATCTTGTGAACATGTAGGTCCCTTGCATTGTTAGCCATATATCATCTTTAGTTGAAATTCCAGGTCGATCCTGCACTTAGAACTTGTCCATGTGCTGTACAAGAAGTGAACACATGAAGTTGACAATAACAGAAATGTTGCTACTATTTACTCAACTACAGCTTCTGAGGTTCGTGTTTCAGCTTTATATCAATCAATAATTATTACAGTCAAAGGGTAAAGGCGATTTTGGGGTACAGTGGACCAACGATTTATTCAGCCACCTGTACCAAAGTTGCTCGAACAAATTTTCGCTAGAAGTTTCCTAGGTTTATAATTTTAACTTCAATCAGAAGTCCTCCACATCATTGGCTTAATTTCTCCTGTGACACAATACAAAGCCATGAAGATGAGGTTGGGGGAAGATATATGTTTTGTTAAGCCTAAATCATTTTCTAATGCATTAACTTTTTATTCGATTTTGTTTATCTGATTACTTTTGCATAGGAACGTGTCGTGGCGTGATTGCACTGAACATGGAGGATGGGACCCTTCACAGGTTCCGTGCTGCAAATACTATCCTAGCAACAGGGGTATAAGACGTTAAAACCAATCTCTATTGCATGATAAATTGCCTAATGTTGTTGGAATACTGACATATAATATTGACCTTCTCAGGGTTATGGCAGAGCATATTTCTCTGCAACTTCGGCTCACACATGCACTGGGGATGGCAATGCCATGGTTGCTCGTGCTGGTCTGCCCCTTCAGGTTCACATGACAACCTTTGTCAGAAAGAGGCAGTTTCTTTTATTCTGCCCACCAATGATGTTACTCATTCTTCTTGCAGGATCTTGAGTTTGTACAATTCCACCCTACAGGCATATATGGGGCCGGATGCCTGATTACTGAAGGTAATATTTCTAACGTTCAAGGATTTATGTCTCCAGAGAAAAATTCAGCTCCAGTATGTGATACTTTATGGAGGAATATTAAATTACTTATCATTTTCGGCTTTTTCTTGAAGGGAATTCTTATCTTAATGTCATTACTATTCAATTTTTATTCTTTTTTCGTCTAATTTAATAATGTTCTCTCATGGATGCAACTTGTAGGATCTCGTGGTGAAGGTGGTATTCTTAGAAATAGTGAAGGTGAGCGTTTTATGGAAAGATATGCTCCCACTGCAAAAGATCTTGCATCAAGAGATGTCGTTTCAAGATCCATGACTATGGAAATAAGGGAAGGTCGTGGTGTAGGTATGTGATCACGGAGGATATGAAATTTATATTAATAGATTTCCAGTTAGCATTGTGCATACCGAACCTAGGTTTAATTATAGTTCAAACTCAAACAAGTAGTGGAGACGTGGTTAAAATAATTGTTAACTTTTTTCTTTGAGATCTTTTCCTGATTTTTTTTTCTTGATCCACTTGATATTTATCCTTATTGGATATCTTGCCGGGATACTTGTCACGGACATGCTACCTGTGGTTTATCAAAAGCGGAACTCTGCTGATGAAGAACAATTTTCATTTAAATGGAATTTGAAGAACTTAAGGCAAATTTAAGTTTCTATATCTTTCACGCAAAATCGTAGGCTATTATCATCTTTGTCCTTGATGCATTTGTACTTCGAATCTAATGTCATTTCCCCGATCAAAACTGTTAATCATTCAATTTGATTTTGTGCAGGACCACTGAAGGATCATATTTACCTTCATCTTAATCACTTGCCTCCGGAAGTACTGAAGGAGAGGCTACCTGGCATATCCGAAACTGCTGCCATCTTTGCAGGGGTTGATGTAACTAAGGAACCAATCCCTGTTTTGCCAACTGTACATTATAACATGGGTGGCATCCCTACAAATTACTATGGGGAGGTAAAGTTGAAATTACTGGGATTACATGGAACATATTTAAATGTACCTCGTCATTCATGATATATATTAATATTATATATATATATTTTTTAGGCTATTCACATAAAGGGTGATGATCCTGATACTGTAGTTCCTGGTTTAATGGCGGCTGGTGAAGCAGCTTGTGCGTCAGTTCATGGTGCCAATCGGCTTGGTGCCAACTCTCTGCTTGACATTGTTGTTTTTGGTCGAGCTTGTGCAAACAGAGTTGCAGAGATTTGCAAGCCAGGCAGGTTATTTGCATCTCTAGCATATCATTAACAAATGCAGTTCTAACATAGTTTTACAAACTCTGTTGGCAAATGTTTAGGAGAGAAACAGAAGCCTCTTGAAAAGAATGCTGGAGAGAAGACCATTGCTTGGCTGGATAAGTTGCGGAATGCTAATGGTTCACTACCTACATCAAAAATCAGGCTAAACATGCAACGGGTGATGCAAAACAATGCTGCCGTTTTCCGTACACAGGAGACTCTGGAAGAAGGTGTTATACATTCAAAATAGAAATTTCCATTTTATCTAGATTTTCTAGGAATCAATTATAAGATGCTATAAGAAGTGTGTTTAATGGTCCATTTTTCATCCTTTCTTTGGCTCTTGATAGGTTGTAAGTTAATTGACAAAGCCTGGGAGAGTTTCCATGACGTCCAAATTCGTGATCGTAGTCTCATATGGTATCTTTGTCAGATTCAGCCTTTAGCTTCTGTTTTGAAGATCTGTTTTCTATGATCCTTATTATATCTGTTTTGATAGGAATTCTGACTTGATTGAGACCATAGAATTGGAAAACCTTCTGATTAATGCGTGTATTACTATGCACTCTGCTGAAGCAAGGAAGGAGAGCAGAGGGGCTCATGCCCGTGAAGATTTCACGGTGAGATTTCTTCTTTTTGGATTGCTGAAGAACTCCAGGAATACATAGACTAAACTCATACCTCGTGTCCTCTTCACAGAAAAGAGATGACGAGAACTGGATGAAGCACTCACTGGGGTTAGTTTTCCCTGTCTTAAATTTAATACATGATTTGCAGTCATAAAAATTCAACAGTGTATTCCAAACTGTGTACGATTTTTACTTTCCATTTTGCACTCTGATATGTTAGAAAACTCGTTGAACCATAAAAAATGTGTCTTTTATTATATCTCAAATTATTTTGATTTTGAGGGGTGTGATCCTTTAGTGAACCCATACGACTTTATTTTCTGTTCATTATCAAGTTTGATTGCTGAGACGATCCAGTAGATTCTTCTTTGAAGTTCTTTATATCAGATGAATCTGGCTATTTTAGGTGAAAGGGTTCCTCTCTTAGTAGCTAAATACCATATTTGTTTCTTCGTCCTTTAGGCTTCAATTTGAAAGTGTTTCTGATGGAGAATTTATGCTTGTTGCAGGTACTGGGAGGATGAGAAGGTCCGACTGGACTATAGGCCTGTCCATATGAATACGTTGGATGACGAAATCGAGTCATTCCCACCCAAAGCACGTGTATACTGATACTACTGGTTATATGTCTCTCATGAAGCAGTTATAGACATTTTGACGGCCAAAGCACATTTCTCGCAATAAAGTCGAAGCTGAAGTTCTATATCTAATGAAGACTGTACGTGAAATTTATTTTCATTGTGTTAGGCTGAGCCTCAGACGTGGGGACTTCATGAATTTCTGATCTAATAATATTCAGTCTTGCTTTCCTCTCACCCTTCTTTCTACATTCTGATTGCCTTCGGATATATATTTTTTCCCTTCGCAATCATGGTTCTGTTCTCTGATATGAATGAGATATTATTATTCTTGTTGTTGTGTCTGAGGAAATGACCATGTTCTCATTGATCTTTATTTCTGCGGATAATTTATTATCTTTTCTTCTTGTGTTTTGATTAAGTTAGCTGTCTCTTAATGAGTTTTTAAATGAGAATGAAAGCGTGTCCCTATTAGGGATAAATTTTTCCTGTCAGTGAATTCTTTTAACATCCCAATAACCGTGCCTTTTTTGTTTACTTAATACATGTTTCTTGATAGCAACCAAGTGTAATGTTTCATTGTTTGTCTGAAACTTTATTTTGATTATTTTGGCTGTTTTATGATGAATGTTTTATGCTGTGTATTTTGCCACCATCCTTACTGTCAAAGGGGAGATGGTAATTGCATACTCCTATTTACCTTTTTTGAAAGAATGCTGGTGATGAATAAGTTCAGGATAACATAACTACAGTTTTTTTTTCCATTTAGTTTACTTCCTATGCTTTATTCGAAAGTAAACTCAGTATACATTGGATACCATTCTTGGATCAGAAAAAGAACCCTGATCTTTTACCCGGGCACACCTTCATAGAAAATAGTCATTCATGCATGATCCTTACATTCAAAAGGTCTTCTACAATGTGGTCTATGAGTCTATTCAGCACATGCTTCTCCACGTCTCGTATAACTTCAGCTTTTCCTGAGCATACAAATACATCACTCTTCCAGCCCAGATCCCACATGCAATTAACATCTGGGTTGGTGATATTGATGTCTCTCGTAAGGATTTCATGGAGAAATTCTGACATATCAAGATATTCCTCATTGGAAGAGGAAAATTGTAAGTTTTCAATGTCACTGTTCAAGTCCTTGATCAAATCATCCAAGCATCTCACTCTCGCAGCTGCAGAGGACATTTCCATGGGGTAAAGGAAATCAACTTCTTCTCGTTTGCCTTTTCTTCTCATTACTTCATTGGCACTATCTACAATGATCTTATTTCCTTCGTCTTTCCATGCATTTTTGCCTGCTTCAATGGTAGTTTCCGGAACGTTTATCTTAAACAATGTCTTTGCAGTGCTCTGGAAAAGACTTCTTGTTAATATTTCTCTGATCTGCTTCTCACCATCTGTATGAAACTCTTTATCAAATTCAGGCATTGACCGATCGTGCTCATTTGAAGAGTCAGACTTGGTTTTAATGCATTGCATGATTTTTGTTGATCCTGTAATTCAGAAAAATTATTGGTTAATCGGTTTCTCTTCATGTACGTTTCTTTTAGATGGTAATTTAATATGCAGGCATGGGATACTAGTTTTATGCCTTTTTCTAATAGTAGAAACCCTCCCAGGATGACCCCTTACAAGGAGGCAAGTGGGCTAGCTGGATAGGTGCAAGGCTACAAGTTTTCTGGTTGTCTCCTGGGCTTGTTATAGACAATGCCCATCAGAGCTTCCAACAATGTATTGAATTGTATAAGCTGCCTCAGACAGCACAGGTGGGTTGTTTTAACTATATTTGAAACTATCATTGGATTACCTGAGACCGAGTTAGTGATGGTGTGTAGGGGATGTAGCTCTTGATCCACTCTGACGGAAAGTTCTGAGGGTTGCTTTTCTGGAACTTTGTCTCTCATATTCTTGTTGATCTGCATCATCGTAGAAGACAAACCATTTACAATCATGTGTGTAACTGTTTAAATTTTCAACAGTTGCCTGTTGAACTGTATATGGGAGACATAGTTTAGAGGTGTTTATCTGTGGAATGGGGAACTTGGGATTTTTGGTCACGATCCCTTATGATTACGTTTTATTTCCTTGTCCTAGGCTGATTGAGTAGACTACGCAAAAGCAAGTGTTCTAAATTTACTATGTCTAACGTTTGATGAAAGCAAGTTTATATCAGAAGATCGAACTTACATTAGCGTATGAAAGTTTTTCTCCATATTTCCTTTGTGTCATCATGCAATGGCTTGGGCTCAGGTCTAGCATGTCACAAGCAGTGGATTGAGCTTTCTTCTGCAATTGTTTCTCCAGATTCGGTAGATTAAGGCTTATAATCTCTTCTCTTCTAACATTACCTTCTTTCTCCTGCGACATTTCTTGTGAAATATGCGTCTGCTTCTCTGATGGGGGGTTCTTGGCAGTACGGGATTGAAATCCGTCGGCCTCTGTCAACCTCTTCCCTACATTTCCTCCTTGAGGTAGTGACACTGCACCTGCATTCTGCTTTATTTTTCTGGATGGGAGAGAGTTTCCTGATGGAACCAAGAGCTTGGTATTTTCTTTATTTGATTTTGACGAACCTGTCCTCGAGAGTTTTCCTAATTCTAGCGTTTCCTTTGCTGCTTTTTTTAAAACTTGATAGCCAATGTTTCGTGTACAACTAATAGTCATCTTTTCTTGGTTCCTGCTCTTGAATGAATTTTTTACGTGCATCTTATCAATTGCACTTGTTGATCTCTTGTCGACTGCAAACCCGTTACTCTTTGGTACCAATCTTTCATTTCTTGTTTCACGAATGGACCTTGGGCTGTTCGTTTTGACTTGAGCACTTTTTGTTTCTAGCTGCAGTGTTTTTTCGTCATCTATGTCGTTTAAATGACAGCCTTGCACTGTAAATCTTCTTTTGCCATTCAGAACGTCTTGATGTCCTCTACAAAACTCTAGATCTCTAGTTTCACTGTGTGGATTCCTGTATTGATTGGACTTGGTCGCATGCAAGTTATATACCAAAGGCGGATCTTGTAAATCCTCGAAAACTAGCCCTACCTCGGTCAATGTGCTTGCATTTCCATCTGCTTTTGGTTCTGAACTTGTGGTTCCAGAATTCAGACCTTCCGAGCTTCTTATGATCCGGATTGCTACTAGTTCCTTCTCTGGCAGAACTCTTGTCCGCACTCCCTTTCTCAGGGCGCTTTCTTCTGCTAATGTTTCCATATGAGTTCTCTCTTCGTTTCCTTCCATACTTGGTCTCAAATTCTTACTTGTTCTTGCCTCTTGCCCAGAATGAGTAACCTCCTTGCCTCCTCTGTTCTTTGATTCTGTTATGAATGTGGGAAGAAGATCTTCGAGTCCCATCAACCTCGCAATAACATTTGGAATCATCTTCTTTTCGTCTCCATAACTTACCTGGGAAGGAACCCTTTGGGTGTCACGGATGGGGGCGTTATTCTTGCTTACAGCTTCCATGGGTGATTTCGAATCAGAGGACTTGTGAACTCTCTCCTTGTTGGGTTCATTTCTAGAAGCCAAGACGGTGGTTTCAAGTCTGAAGCTCGGAGCGCAACTCATAGACCTCCTGTGGGAGCCGATCTTCACTGAATCATCGACATACTCGCCTGAGTTTGGCTTGACGGCCGTTTGCCTCTGCAGCCCTCTGTCTCCTTCTAGAGGATATTTTGGCACACCATGAAATGATAATGTTCTGTTTTTCAGTGTCTTATGTTTCTTTGACCGTTCGTCGTCTTCTTTTTCCTTGAGCAATGCTGCCCCCTCTCTCTGTGGTTTCTTCGCCATAGAATCCGTGGCCCCTTGCAGTCTTTGTAACCTGCTCAAGGACTCTTTCAAGTCGATTACTCCTCTCAAGAGGTCCCTCCCAATGTCCACCGAACCCCGGTCTGATTCATACTCCCTGTAGTAGGCCCTGAGAATCCTTCTGATCTTCTCGGCCCCCCTCGAGATCTCTTCCATTTGCAACCGAGAAGCGTGTGGGGTTGCTGAAGCTTGGTTCCTGTCTTCTTCTTTTCCTCCGGAGCTTATTGACGACGGGTGCAGAAGAAACCCGCTGGCCGAGGGCTTCCTGTGAGCTTCCCAGTTCATATATCTTCCTCCATGATTGAAGCTTCCCGTGTGTCCCAGTTCGTATATCTTCCTCCATGAACCTCCGGCAACGACTGTTCCGTGCGTCTGCTCCGGCCCGCTCCTCTGCAGTATGGAAATAGTATGACGAAGTAATGAAAACACCTGCGGGTTTCTGGGGTTTGCTTGGATCTATGGAAGATGCTCACCATCTTCTTGCCGGCTGTTTCTCCTGAGCCCCTCAATGGCCATCTTGAGCCGTCGTGCTTTTCTGAATATGAGAGGTATACGAGAACATGAGGCTCGAGCATAAGGTAATCTGTAGACTAATCTCTGTTATTCGAATTGGTCTATGCTTCCAACGAAGAACTGTGGAGCCAAGCTGATTTTTTTTTTTTTTTTTTTTTGTTGTTGTTGTTGAACCGCTGATGGGTCTTTGATAGATTTTTTTTCTCGATGAACGGAGTACGGGTTCGAGTGAGGATTATTGAAATCTAATGATGGTCTTCGCCTATCATGTCAATCACACTCGTCAGTGGCTACCAGAAAACCGATGACGAAGGTTGAGCTTTCCACTCAAACTAGACGGGTTTGACGACCCAGGCCTGCCTACCCTAAAAAGCCTGGTGGAAGTACGCAGAATCGTTTCTAGGTCAAATTCCTATGAGGTACGATCTACGTGTAATTGCATCCATGCATTAGAGAGAGAGAGAGAGAGAGAGAGAGAGAGAGAGAAAAGGGGGGAGGGGTGTCCATGCATGAGTAGACTGATCAGGAGACAGACGTGTGGTGATGAAGTAGATTCCGGTGCTCCAAATCTTATGGAATGAAAGGTTGAAATCGGCTGAAATGCCCAAGGGAAGTAATTATCGGAGTGAACTGAAAGAGCGATCTCACTCAGTGTTCTCGGATTTGACAAGGATTTTCAGTAGAGGACGAAGTGAAAGGCCACGAACACGACACGGCGGCGCGCATGGAGCTTACCGGTGGGCCTTGGGTCAAGGTCAAGCCGCCGTGTGCCCTGGGGCAAGTCCATCCTGTCCTTGCGAGCGGGGAGGTCATCCGGCGGCTTCTGCGCAAAGTCCGGCTGCTTCGCCATCGGAGGGTCGCCGTTCCGGCGGCGTTTCTCACCGCTGCCTCGTCTGGTCGCTCGCTGCTCTCCGGTGGGAGTGAGGAGAGGTCATGAGGGTGGGTGGTGGGCGTCGTCCTCTTTCGAACCAAGCTAGTGGAGGTTTGACGTGAACGCCAGATCTCTGGTGACTCCTGGATTACGCTTGACCTGCACCCCATTTGAAGCAAAGCAGATACTGATTGCATGGGGTGCTCCCAAGGTAAGTTTTATTCGACTAGATCTCGCTCAAAGCTCCCACTGCCTGTCTCCTCAGGTGACGAGCCTAGATTCGCTTGCTCTGAGGTCAATCTCTCTCTCTCTCTCTCTCTCTCTCTCTCTCTCTATCTCTAACCCAAACAATAATGAACAGTTTTGTCTCAGCGAGCGCAGCGGCAGATCTGACAATCTCCTCCAAATCCGCCGATACCTCGACGAGACGTTGATTATATGGAGGGTGTCAGGTGGGCCTCACGGTTGGCCTCGCCGGTCACCTCCTCCCTTCGACCGCACTCGCACAGCCGACGGGTGTAGCTTGCTCTCCGTCGACAGTTGACCTCTTCATGAAGGCCCCTGTCATCAAGAGCTGAGATAAGACGCCGCCTGCATCTATCCATCTCCACAGTGACTCGGAGTTGGGAATAGATAGACAGTCGTTGGTCTTCCACTCGGGCGATGGCGAGGAGATGGTGCGTCCTTTTCCTTTTTATCTGTCGGTTTTAATTATCTTGGCGGGGCTCGATCACAGTGTTGACCCTTTTGGGAGGTTTCGTCCTCATCATCCTAGTGCTGCACTCCTCGTCCTTAGGCCGTGATTGCCTCAACGGCTCCCCGGGGAATCGCAGTGGACATATCAGTGGCCGCTGCCAACCGCGCACTACTCCGCTGGCTCATCCCGGGGGCTTCCGCCGCCAGAACCGGGCAAATGGGAGCAATCTTGCTTCGTTTCCTGCCTCGCGATAGTAACTACTCTGCAGCGGTTGGGAGGGAGGAGCGGTCGTTTTCAATGCTGGCGGGGGGACTTTTTTTTTCTTTTTTTTTGTAGGCCATATGGTTGATGATTTTACCTAATGAGAAGAAGCGCCGTGCGGTGCTCCAAGGAGCGGAGAGAGAAACGTCTCGAAGAAGGACTCCTGCGACGGAGACTTCGCAGCGGTCCTCGACGAACCTGCGCCGCCCTTCCCCCGAGGACTCTCTCTCTCTCTCTCTCTCTCCCCGGATTGGGTTTTTTGGGACGCGATCTTCGGGGGGGCGACTCAGCTCGCCTTTCCTGCTGTTATTCTCGGCAAGCTTCATGAATTGACTTTGAAACCTGCAACTTTACAGGCAGGAACGGTGGATCCATCTTGACCTTGCAACATGAATGACGCCCTTCTTCGTCTTCTTCCTTCAAGGGCGAAGCTACGCCGACACCTCATGCAGGCACCGACGCTGGAATTCGTCGACGTGATTTCTACGATGGCTACGGCCGCAGGCCCGCCGTAGGTCTCCCACGTTGAGACGGAGTTAGCGAGAGAGAGAGAGAGAGAGATGACGCGAACTGACCTAAACTCTGGTTCTGGCGCTCGACTCGGACGGACGGGGCATTCAGTGCATCCGACAGCTGTTGTCCTCTGCGAGATCCAATCAGTGACTCCCCAAGATCCAATCAGGAGGAGATCGTCTTCTTTCTTCGGTGATAACTACGTTTCCATAGCCTCACCCGACACAGACACAAGCGGAGGCGAGATAGCGAGAGAGAGAGAGAGAGAGAGAGAGAGAGAGCTCCCGTTGTCGTCTCGTCCTTTTACCCAACTCCAACGCGGCAGCTCGCGGGGGGGTGTGGTCCGAGTGGCCGTGGAGGAGTCGTTGATCGGTATTTTGGACCGTTGCGCGAGACCCAGAAACGGAAGCCGTGGCCCTCAAGCTGGACGGGCCGTCGTCTCCGGGCCCCACCCCCCGTCGCTTTTGCTCTCCGCCTCGAGGGGGAAGTCTCCACGGGCCCTCTGGGGCCCACAACAGCTAGTCTCCACCACATCTCTCGCCGTCCGATTTCTGCCTCGCCGCCATCAAGGGCCCCACTCCGCCGCCCAAAAAGCAAACGCCAAATTGGAAGACGGCGCGCTCTCCTCCCTCCTCCAGGTCTAGATTCAAGCACCATCGCATCCATTGATCTCATGAGCCTCGATCTTATGACTTTCAGTTCCCACTGAGCTCGCCCCACGTTGACGTCAGGCGAGATATTATTAGCGGCCCCTGGTGTGGCCTCCACGTGGAGCTCCCTCCGGGGCGCACGTGCTGGGCTCTAGTTTATAATTAGCCGCCGTGTTTCCGTTAACTGCGATGGTTACGTCGGAGATTAGGGCTACACGTGCTTAAGAGGAGGGGGGTCGCGTGTGCTTTCGCTAGGGTTGATGTTGGGTGATGTCGTGGGGCCTACCTGAGTCTGGTCTTTCTCCCTCGGTCTGGCCCGTCGTCGATAACACTCGGTCCCCCTCTGCAACTCGCTTCATTTTGATCTCCGACCTCGGCCCTCGTCGCTCGAGCTACGGGACGCCGCATCGTTCTTCTCGGCTGGCTCGACGGGAAGAACTCCCATTCGCACTCTCTCTCCCTCGTACACGGCCTCACAGATACGTACTACAGATCGATCACTCTCTCCTTCCTGGCCTCCTCCGAGATCCATCACCAGATGACATAGAGCTTAATTCAGGGGAGGATTCAGATTTGGGGGAGCGGGAACAATGGCGTACATGTGCAGCGCAGATAGCGGTAATCTGATGGCTATAGCTCAGCAAGTGATCCAGCAGAAGCAGCAGCAGCAGCAGCAGCAGCAACAACAACAACAGCAGCAGCACCAGCAGAGCCACCACCATCAGCACCAGCCGCAGCAACACCAGCAGAATCAGATGGCCACCGTCAATCCGTTCGGCCTTCCGCCGTGGGGAGTCCACCACGGGTTCCCCTTTGCGGACGCTGGCTTCTCTGATCCCTTCCAGGCGGATGCCGGCGGGGCTGCCGTGCTAGGGTTTGTGGCTCCGTCGTTGCCGATGGACCATGGGGCTTTCCGTCTGTCGGATTATGGGAACTCGACAATTGCGAGTGCCGCTGGTGGAGGCGACTTCGACACCGATGAATGGATGGAGAGCTTGATTGGGGAGTCCACGGCGGAGAGCTCCGAGCTTATCGGGGATACGTGGCCCGCTGATGCAGGACACGAGTTCGCCCCGCTCTTTGGGGACGCTTTTCCCTCATGCTCTTCTTCACCGGATGATCTCAATCGAGTATTCTTCTCTGAGCCGCAGAAGAACCCTAGCACTATTGCTCACCACACAGTGACTTCCCCTCCCCTGCCTCATCAGATCCAAGCTCAGGGATGGACGCCGACCCCCCCTCCACCGCCACCTCCTCCAAGAGAAGCAAGCGCGCCCTCGGCAAAGAAGCACCCGCCGCCGCCGCCGCCGCCGCCGCCGACCGGTAAAACCGATTCTCCGACCGCACCGTTGCTCCAGTCGCTATTTGATTGCGCCCGCCTCGTCGACTCTGATCCAGATCTGGCTGCGAAATCCCTAGTCCAGATCAGGGCATCGTCATCCGATTTCGGCGACCCTATGGAGCGACTCGCTTTCTACTTTTCTAAAGCTCTGTACTCCCGCCTTTCTCTGGAGAACCTGCAATCCCATTCTTCCCCATCTCGTTCCCATTCGAGCTTCGATTCGTCTCCCGAGGAGTTCATTCTTTCCTACAAGGCTCTGAACGACGCCTGCCCCTACTCCAAGTTCGCCCACCTGACGGCGAATCAGGCAATCCTCGAGAGCACTGAGGCGGCGGCGCGGATACACATCATCGACTTCGGCATCGTCCAGGGCGTCCAATGGGCGGCTCTCCTGCAAGCACTCGCTACCCGTTCTTCCGGGAAACCGGCGAAGATCCGCATCTCTGGCATTCCCGCACCTGCTCTGGGGGATTGTCCTGCGGCGGCGCTCGCCGCAACGGGGAACCGCCTCCGCGACTTCGCGGCGCTGCTGGACCTGGATTTCGAGTTCGACCCGGTCCTCACGCCCATCCAGGATCTCACCCTCTCCAGCTTCCGCTTGGCGGCCGACGAGGCGGTCGCCGTGAACTTCATGCTGCAGCTGTACAACCTCCTGGGAGAGACCTCCGAGGCGGTGGATCGGATCCTGCGGATCGCCAAGGCCATCCAGCCAACGGTGGTGACGCTGGGCGAGTACGAGGTCAGCCTGAACCAGGTCGACTTCCTGCAACGGTTCAGCAACGCGTTGAGCTACTACGCCGCCGTGTTCGAGTCCCTGGAGCCGGCGATGGGGCGCGACTCGTCGGAGCGGCTGCGGGTGGAGCGGCTCCTCTTCGGCCGCCGCATCATGGCCGCCGCCGGGCCGTGGGAGGGCAGAGAGAGGCGTGCCCGGATGGAGGAGAGAGTCCAGTGGAGGGCTCGCATGGAAGGCTCCGGCTTCGAATCGGTGGCGCTGAGTCACTACGCCGTGAGCCAAGCGGGGATTTTGCTCTGGAACTACAACTACAGCGAGAGGTACTCTCTGGTCGACTCGGAGCCGGGGTTCCTCTCCCTGGCGTGGTGCGGCCGGCCCCTCCTCTCCGTCTCCGCCTGGCGGTGAGTCAAAAACTCGGTCCACCATCCCCATCCTCCTCGTGGGTATTCTTTTCCCCCATTTTTTCCCTCCGGCAAATCCGACACACTATGTGCGATGAGTCTGCTTCTGATCTCCGTCCGGCCAGCAACCTTCCTGGTTCTCTCCTCTCCCTCTCTGCTGGCGTCCCCATTGGCAATCAATTGTATTGGTTAGGATTATCATCATTATCGTCATCAATTACTATTATTCTTTGGAAGCTATGGACACCGGCGTTTGAACTCCGCTCCCGCCAGTTCCCTCGTGGAAGGCAGGCATTAATGGAAGCTCTGGCCCCCCCCGCCACCCGGTGCCATGCCCAGCAACGGGGCACTCACCGCTAGGACTCCTCTATCGGCGTTCATCCCGGACGGCGCCGCCCTTCAACATCTGATGGAAAACCCCTAGCTTTTGTAATTAAATATCATAACCAACGTTTGGAAGTAGCGAACCGAACCGTTCAGTGGGTTCGTCCATCCTCCTGAGCCTTCTTCCTCCTCCTTTCTCGAACGGACCCGGCAGCCATGGCCGACACCCATGGCCCCGCATCTCTTTCTTTACCCTCCGTCTCCTCTCAATAGGAAAAAGGGGGCTCCTTCCGCCTTTATCCTCTTCACTCCTACGCCTTCCGGAGCCGATCCATTGATCTGCTCGCCTGCCTCTCTCTCTCCTCCACAAACTTCCGAAGCTGTGGGACCCACACCGCCGCCGCACCCCTCTCGGCTTCCCCACCGGAACTGCTAAGCTCCACCGCCGCTCTGGCGGCTCGTTCGTTTTATCTTCGGAAATAATAAAGAACAGGGCGATCGCCCTCCGCAGTCGCAGTCTGCATCACGTCGATTCAGCGGAAATACAAAATGTTTGATGACATTAAAGAAAACGGAAGCGACATCAAGTTGATTTCTCTCTTTAATAATCTCGGCTCTCGTCTCTTCTGCTGTTGTTTTCGATGAATCCAATTCCCCCTCAATTCTTCAACGAACCCCTTCAACCTTCCCCAATTTCCACCTTCCCCCTCTCTTTCAAGTTCTTATTTTTTTGGCCACCATCGTCCATCCATGGGTCCATCCATGCCCATTAATCTATTCTTCTTTGAAAAACCTAATAGATCAACCAAACCCCCTCTCTTTTGTTCTAATATGTTCGGGCATCCCTCTCAGTTCGATTCACTCAAAGCCCACCAGTTCGCCCCTCGCAGCTCTCCCCGTGCCGTGCCGTGCCGTGGTCGTCTCCACCCGGCGCCCGGCGCCGGGGGGGTTCGTAACTTCAACCTGAGGAGATTGACGGGACGCCCTCGCGGTGCCCGGTGGGGTCACGGATGAGCGAATCGCCGCCACGGATTCAATTCCAGGGGCTTCCAGATTTATTCCTCTCGTGGAGATTGGAGCGGGCAACAGGGGGCCGCCCATTAGCGCCGGCACACGCCCGCGGGCGGAGCCCCCTCCGGCCAACCCACGTCGAGTTTCCCATCGACACGGCTGCAAAATAGGGGGCGTAGCGCTGTCCTCCATGGATTAGGGGGTGGGTAGCTAGCTGATGCCTGCTTGATGCTGCCTACCGTCTGCCGGGCATCGGCATCCCCGGGGAGACTGGCTGCTGTTGTTGAGCCTCTGCGAGGAACAGATGAAAGAGGCCGACAGGAAAGCTTAGACTTTAGAGCCGACAAGAAGTAGGTCAGACAGATTTAGTTTCATAAAAGGAAAATTATGAACGCTCACACGAGCGAACACCATTTCCGGGATAGAATTCGGGCCGGGCCCCACTAGCCCTTGTAAACACTTCAACCCGTTCCTGGGTTCTTTGGATAAGCCCAAATGCTGACCTCGGCCCAAACCTGAAGGTTGGCTCGGCTCACACCAGAGATATCTTGTAGACAGTCACATGGGGATGAAATCTCTATAATCTTAGTCTGCTTTTAAATTATACTTATCGAGCACATTATTCTCAGGGCATCATGAATTATCTTATCTCGAATATTTTGAATTAAGCTCATTGTTTGACTTTCTCACCCAAGAAAATTCAGGGACATGTCAACGGACAGGATTCAACCCCAAACTAAGGAAGAAATATGGAAGAGATTTCATGGGATGAATCTCCTAGAAAAGGGCACATCTGAAGAGCTGTTGATAGAATCGTTCAGGGTTATGCGAGGACCCCAGCAGGAAAGAGGACCAGAACCCGATGATTTCTCTAAATCATTCATTGTTCAACATCGACGTGGAAGAAAACCCGCGTTTTCTGACCCAATCAAGAACAATTTACAACCAAGAAAATTACTTTATTTTTCATGTATTTACTCGCGGCTCACCTCCAGATCGAACGATCTTTCTCGGTGCCGCCTGCAACCTTCTCAAAAGGGCTCCTGCTGATCGTCCCCGTGGTCACCGCTTGAGGACTTTTGTTATCAGTGCCCTGGATGAACCTGCGCTCCTGTAGGACAGAATATCAGCCAAGGTGGCATCCAGAATCTAGGAAATATTAAATCAAATAATATGGTTTTATCGGCCTACTGTTCGAAAAGGGAACTCGTCTCCTTCGAGCATGTGTACAATTTGGCCCATCTTTGGGCGCTTCTGGGCATCGGCATCTACGCAGCGGAGGCATACCAGGATGACCCTCTTCAGTGCTCTTGGCGAGGGCTGCACTTCCATCAGTGGGTCCACCAATTCCTCTGCTCGTCGGCTTCCCACCATACCCTTGAACCATTCTACGAGGTTTACCTGAAGAGCCATCAGAAGGGTTTGATGATCACTGCAGAGAGCATTACACAGACTCATTGGAATGAAGGAACTGGGTTACCTCTCCAGGAGGCCTACTGTAGTCAACTGGGCTCCTCCCAGAAATGATTTCCATGAGAAGAACTCCAAAACTGTACACATCACTCCCCTCATTGAGCATACCAGTGCTAGCGTACTCGGGGGCAACATACCTGCACCAAAGTTGGAGAAGAATTACCCATCGATCAAGAGACCATGCCCAGTGCTTCCTGTCCAGATTTATTCGGAGAAGGAAGAGATTAAAGAAAAGCGGGTCGGTGAGAGCATACCCAAATGTCCCCATCACTCGTGTGGTCACATAGCTTGATCCTGATCCCAAGAGCTTGGCCAGCCCAAAGTCGGAAACTTTCGGATTCCACTTGTTATCCAAGAGTATGTTGCTAGACTTGACATCTCGATGCACAACCTTGGGCTCTAAACCTTCATGCAGGTATGCGATTCTGCAACGATATTCATCACGTTCATATGTAAAACTGTCAATGTGGGCTGTGAGGCCCCCATAAAACCTTAAGAGGGTATAACAACGGCTAAAGAACAAAGTTTACAATAATTGATTGAACTCATCAGTTGACAAAGAGACAGATTTAAAGGTCAATCAAGGGCGGGCTGTTCTCTTTTTTGGCTGCGCCCTTTCTCTTATGCTGTGTTATTTGGTTATCTAGGAGGGGGAGAACTTTACACACAATTCACCATTCTCCCTCTATTCAAGGCCGCATTCCCAGGCACACCCAGGATGGTCTGTTCCAGACTACGTCAGATTTGCCCTTTTGATAACTTGACGAAGAGGAAGAAACATACCCTTTGGCAGTTCCAATGGCAATTTTCATTCTAACATCCCAAGTCAAAGGGCTGACGGGTCCCACATCTCCATGCAGCCATTGCTCCAGATTACCATTATCAATGAACTCGTACACAAGCATCCTGAGTGGAAAGAAAAAAGGTTTAAAAATGAGTTACAAAAAAAAATAAAATCATTTCCACCATACAGCTAGTATAAATGAGTTCTACCTTTGACGTCCTTCTGCACAGTAGCCCACAAGCCCCACCAGATTCTTATGCCTCACCTTGCCGATTGCTTCAACCTCTACCTTGAATTCCTTTTCTGCTTGACCCCTGCAGCATGAATGATCGTTCAAGAATGGGTAATTCATATTTCATAAATCCTACATATGTGGTAGAAACGAAGCGGGATGGCGTAGAAAGTGAAACTATACGCAATCGCTAGTGTCTGAAAAAAAATAAAATGATTTTAATGAGCTGGCACCGAGGCTCAATTTTATATTGCATAGTGCCAATAATATTCTAGAAAGTGATGCGTACGAGTGAAGACACTGATAGAAATTTCTGCTTTCTTCGAAACGGGGATCCTCTACAGCACAATGACTGATAGGACTACATAACTCCATTCTAGATCTGACTGCTCCTAAAATGGAAATCACATCAGATCGTGAAAGAATGACTTCCAACATCGCTTTCAAGCGCTAAAAAAGGAAAGCCTTCGATCTAGATGGTGACAAAGAAGGAAGAAAACGTCCGAAAGAGTTCTAAACAGAAAAAAAATACCAGGACGGCAATCTCTGGCAATGACGAATAAGAACTTCAAGACGTATGAGCTGAGAAGATCCCTGAGAATTGATATACTCTAAAAAAAACTGTGAAATAAATAAGAACTAATCTCGATGGTAGATCTGTTCGGTTGACAGGATATCATTCTTAGAAAAGGAAAAAAAACAAGCCGGACGTGTCAAGTTGAATATGACGTCATGCCAGGCGAATGATCTCGCATATAGTTTTCCTATTTATTCGGCGGGATAAGTTATATTATGTAGCATTTTGTATCGAGGAATACTTAAATTTATGATACATAATTGGGCTATTTTATCCAAACCGAACGCAAGAAAAACGATTCAACTCCCTGCAGTCATCAATCTTAGTTCTCACGTCCGCTTTCTCCGTTCTAACATGTCCAGATTAACAGTTAAAACATCGAAATCGCACAAGAATCAGACACAAAGCATGAACTGAAAATGGGAAGCTCCCATAGCCTTCCAATAATGCGTAAATAAAAAAAAAGAACACACATCGTTTTTGATGATTTTACAAACCTGTTGTCGAGTAGATTCTTTACAGCGACCACGGAGGAATCCGGGAGGATTCCCTTGTAGACAATACCATAGCCCCCCTCCCCCACAACGTTCTCTCTTCTGAAACATCCTGTTGCCGCCTCCAGCTCCGCCAGCGTGTACCAGCGTCCCCAGCCTATGTTGCTCATCATCTCTGCCGATGACGTGGACGCGACTGAAGGCGATCCACCCGACGCCACCTTGCTTCCCTTCTCCGAACTCCGGTCACCAACCAAGCTCAAACCGTTCTCCTTCTCTCCCAGGACTTCCCCGGAGAACCTCTTGGCGGCGTCGATCTCACCGTTTCCTGTCTTCAGCACGGCGATCTCCTTGGTGACGGCCGGTGTTACGCCAGACGCGTGCTTCAATCGCATACGGCTCCATTGTGGCCTCTTGGATCTGCAGCTAGAACAAACTAGGAAGAGGATCAAGAGGAGGCCGCCGACGACGAGGCCCCCGGTGCAGACACCCACCAGCACGGGGAACCTGAACCCGAGCAATGACGGCTGGTCACCAAGAAGTTTGCGGCCCAGTGCGCCGCCAGCGTACGCCCGGCTAGCACCGCCCATCGCCGGCGGGATCTACAGTCTCCCCCCGAAGCACGCCTCGCGCCAATGAGTCCTGGCTTCCTTGGCGTACGACGGGGTGACTGGAAGAGAAAGGTTGCAGTGGAAGTGAGCTTTAACGGGCAACGGCTGAGAGAGAGAGAGAGAGAGCGAGGAGGGATAGAAAAAAATATAATTAGAAAAAGAAAAGCGTAGAACCAACAACAAATACCCCGTAATAGTCCGTCATTTACGACCTTTTTACAGCACTACCCCTAAGCACGCCCGATCTACTGACCCCGCGCCGAGAACAAGGGAATAAAAACATTCGCGCCTCGGTTGTGACTCGTCATTCCTCCCCGAGTCCCTCCGATCCATGCATACGACTCGGTGCCGCCGGCTCTCTTACCCACCCACCAACCCTCTCTCTCTCTCTCTCTCTCTCCACCTGCTCTGTACAGATGCGTAAGACTCTTCTCAAAAGTACGATTCCTTAGGTGGGTTTAGTTTTTGGTCAAAGGGGGACATACTCTACTAGAAAGCCGGCGGTCAAAAAAAAGGGGCACGCGCGGCGAACGAGAAAGCGCTGATTGGTAGAGCCGTAATAATTCCCCCTTCCAGGGGTGGCTCCCGTAGAGGTGGTAACCGAGCGTAGTAAAGAGTGGGAGGGGGGCATTTATAACTTTCTTGGCGGATGCGTGAGTTCCCTGAGGCGAGTGTCCTCAACACCGCCTTGGGCCCACCTTTCCATTTACATCCCTCCGTACGAACCCCACTGGGCCCCACTAGATTCAAATCTTCCCCTCCACCTCCCTGGGGCCCACAAACGATGGCCCACTAGCCAGCCATCAAGCGGTTGCTCATCGGTCGCCGTTACTTCGCGGCCGGCCAAACCCCCCCGGGGGGTTCCAATTTCCTGGCATTAAACTGAAGTTCTTGACCTCATATTTCATCTTGGTTCAGTGGGGCCCACAGATGAAATGCGCGGATCTTCTTGGCCTTTGCCGGCTTCAAGCCGACGCCTCGGTCGGGACATTTGGGCCGTACGGGTCATGTCCTCTTCAAGCCATCCGCGGTAATAATCCAAGCGGGTCGAGCCACGGCTGGGCCGCTCTCGAGGGCGCCAACCCACCCAACTTGATGTGGACCGGGCTGCTACCAAACCCATCTTGATTTCGAAGGCACGCCACTGCAGGGTGGCCCATTAAGGGAAGGGCCCACTAGCCCAGTCGGTATTAGGCGGCCCATGATAGTCGATGCTGACGTGTGCCGAAGATAAGGTTAAGACAACTCAATGTCGACACCGCGGAAAATCGGTGGGGCCACTCTTCTTCTTCTTCTTCTTCTTCCTGTTCTTGATCCTTATCGTCCAGGACCGAGATTTGTTGTTGGCCCCTTCTCCGGTCGGAGGGATTTCCATCGGAGCTGGCGAGCCGCCGACGATAATGCTGCAGGGAGGAGTGAAGAAAAGGCAGCGCACCGGCAGCAGTGGCCGCCTCGCCTCCGCCGCGTCCGTCCCCGACCTCGCCGGCGCCCTCGCTGAGGACGCGAACGCGACGGCTTCGGCGCCGCCTAGTCCCGGGGGATTCAATGATCTGGCCACCGCCGACGTCGTCCTGAGCCTCGAGCTGGACCTCGAGGCGCCTCTCTCTCCCTTTTCGCCGGATGCGGGGAGTATAGCCTCCTCTCCCCTTGCCGATCTAGCCCCTTCCCTCGATCTGTACCTCCACTCCGCTGTGTTGCGTCGTTCGCGCTACTTTGCAGCGCTCCTTTCCGACAGATGGCATCATATAGACCAGGAAGAGTGTCCGTCGGGGGAGAAGATTTCCCGTTTCATTCTGAAGGTTCCTCTCGCTTCTGGAACTCGTCACGGCCCATTCGATGCGCATGCTGCGGTGCTCAGGCTGCTCTATACGTTGGATTTCGCCTCATCCATTCTCACCGTGGCCGACGCTCTGGAGTTTCTCCATGTGGCGCTGGAGCTCTTGTTCGATGATTGTGTCCGCGCATGTGTCCGCTTCCTGGAGGCGGTTCCGTGGACAGAGGAGGAGGAGAAGATGATCCTCAATGTGATTCCGTACCTTCCGCAGGAGGAATCAAGTGACCTGGTCTCCAGGATTGTGCCGTCCATGGATGGAGGCAACTCGTCGGAGGAAATGCTGCACGGCTTAGTACTCTCTGCAATCCAGGCCCACCCGTCTGTGGCGTCCGTCAAGGCATTTGTGGCGAGGCTGCTTAGGGACTTCCCGTCTCGAGAATCTGTCAGGAGGGTGCTGGATAGGGCATTCTTGGCGAATCTAGAGACAGTTAAGGGCTTGCTCGCTGAGTATGCCAGCCCCGATTTTCGGACCACTAGTGACGATGACGAGACGGAGGCGATTCAAAGGTTGAACCTTCATGCAGCATTAGTAAGCACGAGGAAGCTGCTATGGTTAGTTGAGCGGATGATAGAGTTGAGGGTGGCTGACAACGCCGTCAGAGAGTGGAGCGAACAGGCACCGCTTGCAGTGGATCTGCAAAAAGCTTTCAAGGATGAAGCATGGAGGAACATAGCTCCTGGGTTGCCAGCATATGTGATGAGGTGCACTAGCCGTCTTGCCAATGCTGTAGCTGCCGGGTCAATCCTAGCTGCCAGACAGGTAAATTGTCTTGTGTGGATTTTCATGCTTTTTTTTTTCTTTTCATTTCCACACATTTGTATGTACCAACGGTTACGTGCTGGTCCTGGATTGCAGATACTTCGGCGTTTCATCTGCCTTTTCCCAGTTATGTGGATATAACTGACTTCTTCCGTCCGTCTATCTTTCATGTCGACCCTTTGATATGGATTTCACTCTACATCTTTGTTTTGTTGAAAATTCCGCTACATCCAGAGTGATCATTTCATAACATACTAATGTAATTTTGGTGTTTATCTCTTTTGAATTATCGAGACTTGGGATAGATTAAATTGAAAATGGGTGATATCAATAGATACATGGGTGACCTGAAGTTTAAAAAACAAGGTTGGGTTGTGTTTCTGGACTTTTTAAGGTAAAATTTGTTGCCCTCTCCACGAAAAAGTGGATACGAACTGATTTTTCAGAGTCTTGGGGAATGTGGAGTTTGCTGAGAAGATCCCATATTCTATTCTATCAATTGTTGATATGATGTCTTAAAGCACAAGTTTTTAGAGATGATATGCAGATTGATTTCCCAGAAATAATGCGATATGTTCATTTCTTGTCTTTGATTGGGATGCGGATATGATGTACTGTTCTCTGCCTTCTGAGTCATCTTGATAACGTTGGCGGTTATACTCAAGTTGAAGGGTAACAAGAGAAAGTTTGCCATCAAGAGTAGATAGTCGCAGATGTCAAAGATTTTGAAGAGAAGTGAAAGTACGAACAAATATTAATAATACATTCGTCGTTCAGTATTGAATTTATATTGATCATAATGCATTCTCAGAAAGACTGTGACTATGATGTTGAGTGCCAACAAAGTACGTATTCCACAAGTCCTGGGTATTATGTCACCGTTTAAGGTTTTTATGTGGTAGCAAGTGGGCCTTGGGGTGTATTTATTCCGTTTAATTTGATAAGCATTGTGATTAACCACGCTGTCAAGCCTTATCGTTCTTCAAATAAACTCTTTACTGATATTTCGATTCACTTTATCTTTGCTCTTCATTGCTAGTGGTAAAAAGAAACAGTTCAGGGAATGAATGAATCCAATTATTACAAATAAATCCACTTTATAATGAGTCCCCCAGATCAATTGTTCTACGGCCGCAGTGCATGTTTATGACCCGGTGCACCTCAAACATAAGTAATCTTCATGACATGATGGCTACGAGATGTGTGTTGGGTGAATAGAAGTTAGGCCTTGTTTTATCGCCATGATACATCCTTAATTTGCCTTGTTTTGTCGCCATGATACATCCTTGATTTTTTTAATGTGATAGCATATATTTCAAGTTAAAGTCGCACCAGATATTTGAAACAACCTTTTTAGAGATGAGATTGATCAATTTTTCTTGGAGGGTGCATCCTTTGTGATCTATTCATCTTTTCTTGCTTGATCATTTCCCGATACATCCACTTGAAAACAGAGGACTCCTGCACTGACTCTCGTGTCATTGCTCGTGTACTAAATGTGCTGATGATTGTACAAGTATATTGCACACGTTATAGAATCTTATGCATTTGAGCAGTTTCAAGTTTTCCTAATGGTCCTGTTCTTCAGGTAAGGATGAGGCTTGTGAAGGATTGGCTTCCAGTGCTGAATGTCTGCAGAGATGTCGGCTCACCAATGCATTCTGGCCAGAAACTGCTCTACCAAGAACTGGAGGAAACATTTCTGCAGATCATCTCCACCCTACCAATATCTGATTCCCAGGAATTGCTGCAGCAGTGTCTTTGCTTCTCCACCCGCAATGTTGATTGCCCACACTTGCTCTCAGCTTTTAACACCTGGTTTCGACGGGCGAACCGACATCTGGGCGAGGAAAACGGCAGTTGAAAGCAGAATCCATACTCCATTCTGATTCTCAGTGATGGTTCATTCCAGTGGGTTCTTGGTGAGTTCAATCTACTGTGAATATGTAATTGAAAACCTGTAGTCACATGGGTATCCAACGAGAAAACTGCGCGTTTATGTTTCTCATCATCTGTAAACATGAATTCAGAGTCGCTGGTGTAAAACAATACACTGATTGTGCACATATTTCCGGTGATTCTGAGTCAATGATGTCTGCCAATGTAAATTCTTTTTCCCACTATTAATAATAAGTTCAGGCTCCGCTGACTTACTGCTTTTACTATGCTTCAATTATTGATTTTTCTTCTGTGTGAACATCAAGATGCTTCCTAGTCATTGCGATGAACTGGGTGAAGACACAATAATCTGAAGGTCGGTGACTTATTCCGAAACATGTGAAACCTAGACAATCCATCTAGAGGTAAATATCACAGAGCACTGCGATTGTTAAGGTTATGGGTTTCGGTAAGCAGTTCATTGCATAGCCACCCCAAGGACTTCTGTGTGCTGTTATAACTCAGGACCATAGATATGAGCTATATAGTTCATTAGAGTAGAGGGAATCATCTACAAGTTGGGAAAGATTAGGGTTCTCTGATGCTACTACTATTTTCCGATAGTTTTATTATTGAATTTTAGTCATCAGGATTTTTTTTCTTGAAAATTGTGGAAGTGCATAAGGAAATAAACCTCTTTTCAGAGAAATGAAAAATATTTACAGAGAAGGAAATTATAGTGAGGTAGGGTTATAAACCTCTTTGTTACCTCCAATGAGATGTTAATAATCCTAGTTGGTGAGTCTAAGACCCTTTATTTCTCTCATAGAGAGAGAGAGAGGAGATATGGTTTTCTGCAAGAGAAACAATTGATTGTTTGGTTTATATCTACAACTCTACCGATCACTCAAGGCAACGACATATTTTGCTTAATACATTATCATTAAGAATTCGCACATCACACAAATTAAGGATTTTCTCTAACTAAAAATTTATGATATTTATTCTTTGTGCGTGTAATAATAAATATGCAAAAATATGATCACAATAATAATAGAAACTCAATTTTTAGATATTAGTGAGAGTAAATATATGAGAAATTACCAAGTTATTAGAAATTTTGATGAGAATAAGATTTTCACCAAATATCTCTAATTCATGTCTCAACAACCTTGAGATGACTTACACACTAGAGAGTTAGCAATAAATTATTCTCTCATTTTATAAATACTTCACTTGTAATAAAAAGAAGAAGATAGACCAAGAAAAGAGAAAGAGAGTTGATGAGAAGAAAAAATAGAATAAGAAAAGAGAAATTTTAGACATACATTTAAAGAGAGTAAATACATGTCTTATTTATAGAAAAAGTAATAGTTCTCACAAAAGAAGACATTCTTGACTTATGTGGGGGCATGCCCACACAGAGGTGATTGTTTCAGTAAGGATGAAGTGACAATTGTAACACCACCCTTTACTCCTCTCACGTCCTCCGAATGAGTTACACAAGAAAAGATTCTTCACACATCTTTTGAACTTGACATAATAGATTGATATTGTCAACAAACTTTACCTCGACAATTATCATTACTACATCTGGAGTTGGCACCTATCTATATTATAAGTTTGTTCAATAGTGGTACTGAACTCTTGGCCCACTAAGGCCCATTGTCTATCTCTCTCTCTTATCTCTCCTCTCTCCTATATAGAAGTCATGTATTCTATCTTGAGGTTGTATGAATTTTAAGATTTTTTTTTCTTGTGTCAATAAAATTCTTCATTTTTTTACAAGATATCAACACTTTAAATTAAATTTAAATAATATTTTAAATTCTCTACTTTGATGACTTTTGTCAATATATCCATTGTATTCTCTTCTATGTGAATATTATTTAGAGAGATATCTTCATAATTTATCAACTCACAAATTTTGTGATATTGTATATCAATATATTTTGAACATATATGATAGATCTAATTCTTTACCAAATAAATGACACTCTAACTATCACAATGTAGAGTAATTTCATCATGTTGGATCCTAAGATTGCTCAATAATTCTTTTAACCACAAAGTTTCATTGACCACTTCAATAGTTGTCAAGCACTCCACCTCAGTAGACAATGCGATAGTAGTCTAAAATATTGACTTCAACTCACATATTCACTAACAACGGTAAACATTTATTATGTCGTAGATCTTCAATGATTTAAATTTTTGACAAAATTTATATCAATAAAGTCAATAGTAAAAAGATCACTTTGTTAGTCAAAATAGATTTTAAAATCTAAAGAATCTTTTAGATATTGAAGGATCTATTTTACTACACTCTAATACTAATTTTTTAGATTGCTCATAAACATGTTCATAAGCTCAACTGCATGAGAAATATCTAGCCTTATACAGAAGAGAGCCAATTATATTACTATAAGAAATTTATTTTATCTTAGCAATATTTTTTTCAGATATTAGACACAATAGTAGATAACATGAAATGACTAATTAGATAAGTACCCACTATTTTAACATTATCTATGCTAAATAGATTTATCAAATTTGAGAGATAACTCTTCTATGTCAACCATAATTGACTTTACTCTTGATCTATATGGATCTCCATACCAAAAATCTTTGTTGCTACACAAATATTCTTCATGTTAAATTTTCTACTCAATAATTTATTCAACTTAGCAATTATGTGAATTATTCGAAGTAATATATTTATTATCAACATCGAGTATCAAAATGATTAGAGTATTATCACCACATGTTTTCATGTAAATATAACAATCAAAATCACATCTCATATAGTTAATCTTCAATATGTAAGAGTCAAACTTCTTGTACCACTACTTTAATGTCTACTTTAACTCATAAAGTGACTTTTTTAATCAATAAACAAGATGTTTTGACTCATGCACAATAAAACCTTCTGACTACTATATGTAAATAATCTCTTATAAATCTCTATGAAAAACTATTATCTTCATATTTAATTACTCAAATTTCATCTCTTCATTTGTGACACTAACACTTAACAAATGAACATGTGCTTCACAACAAGTAAAAATATTTCAATATAATCAATTCACTACTTCTTTGTAAAACTTTTTATAATAAGTCTTATTTTTTACTGTGATTGATCACCATCAATCATTGGTCAATTCTTCTTATACACTTATTTATAGTCAATAGCTCACTTCCTTATAAGAAGATTCACCAATTCTCATGTATGATTTTTATTTAAAGATGTTCATTCCTCAAACATCGCCACTTTTTCTTTTTAAGACAATTAATTATCTCTTAAAAAGTTATAAATTCACCATCCTTCAAATAATGTAAATATAATATTATCACTAAGACGAGAGGAAGGCTTCACATTTACCCCATATAGTAATAATACAATAAATAATATCTGATGATTATGTCACTTGATCTCCATTGTTAATAGAACTAGAAGGACTTTATATAATTTTCACATTTAATCTTGCTCTACCTTCAACACAAGTATCATCAAATTCTTAAATCATGAGTTCTATAGAGAAGGACTTCAACATGTGATCTTATCAAAGATAACATTCATACTGAAAATAATCTTCTTTTGAATCTTAAAGTTGATACCTCCTCATACTAGTGATATAACTCAAGATGATATATTTTTTAAACTTTGGATCCAACTTTCATCTCTTATCAACAAGAGTGAAAACATATCTTGGACATTTAAATATATGTAAATTTGAATAGTCAATAGGATTCTCAATTCATATATATAACAAGGAAGTCGGCTGCTCTATAAGAAATCTTTGTTGGATACTTGGGTAATTGGATCTTTAACATGCCCACATATGACCAATAAAGATAATTTTAATAATCTAAGGTGCCTCATACATGGGGCCGAGGGTTCTTCTTTATAAGTGGTCTTCAAGTCAGTAGTCTCACATTTTTAGTATAAGATTAAGAGTTCTCACACTAAGTGACATTGAGGTAGTGACGTACTCTACTCTTCTTTCAAATGATGTCATGCTTGTGACATCATCGCTGCTCTCGTGGCTTTGGGTTGCCATGTCAAAATTATGCACAACATATGTGTAGTCGTCACACTAGTGCATGTCTCCTATGCCATTGGGTGTAGGTGCCACACATGTATACATGTGTGATATACTAGCATGTGTAGGTGTCACTTGTGTGGACGTTATGTTGACGTGTAGGTGCTGGTTGGTGTGTGTTGACGTCATGTTGATGCGTGCTACAATGTTGTTGCTAAAGGTGTTTCTTATGGGAGGACCCTAATATTTACTCTTGTGAGATCCGACGTCCTCGTCGAATGTTGTTGGCCATAGTAAAACTCAAATTAGATCGTCAAATGACCACATTCACGTCCTTCTTTCACATAGCCGCCTCTCATGGTTGTCTTCCTCATTGAATGAGGTAAATTGTGTTACAACAGATATGGTTGTGCCCACCTTTGTTGACCACATGATGATCTAATATTGTCATTGTCGAGTTAGAATAATGGGATTGAATCATTAACGATGTCGGTGTGGTTGGTTCTACTTCAGATCGTCCTCATATATATGATAAGTTTTCAAAAGAAATATGTGAAAGACTAAATATACTAAGAGACGTGGAGGAGTTAGAGTCGATAGGTTAATTGTCCCACACATGCTATAATTTAGAAGGGTCTATCAAATTGAGGAACTAATCTATTGTGTTGCTTCTACCTTTGGAGGCTCTTGTGAGTGAGAGTAAATATGTAGTAGTACCTAATCACTTATTCTATATTTAACCTCTCGTCGGTGTTGATCAACATTTTTATCTTATGTTTGGGCTGCCTTCGTCAATGTTTCTTAGGCCTCTTCAACTAGGTCACTACAATTCTTAGTAAAATGGTAAGCAATTGGTAAGTATCTTAGACCCTATTACTTCACAAGTTCTAAGGTTGTCAATGATTATTTACTAATAATGAGTTTAAATGGTAAATGTTCTATAGACATACACTATTCAGTATTGTGGACAAGTTGGGTAATATCAAGGAGATCAATCCAATTATCTTACCTTATTGTGACATAATATCTTAGATAATCTTTCAACATCTCATTTACTCTCTCCCTCTATCTTTTTTTTCTGTGAATGAAAAGTAGTGAAGAAGTTAAACTTAATATCAAAGAAGACGAAGAGGGTTAACTAGAATTGACCCATGAAATAAAGGTCGTGATTTGAAACTAGATACCCACAACTTGACGATATGATGAATGCTCACCCACTAATTGAAGGTCTATGATGAAGTCTATAGACAAAGATTCTCATGGTCCCTCTAGTATAGGCAAAGGCTCTAATATTTTTGTGACATTTTATCATTCTACTTTATCTTGTTGACATATTAAGTATAAATAAATATTTTTTTTCACATATCACTCTATATTAATTTAAAAGTAGCTACCGACTAATAATATTAGTGTCCACTATTGCCCAAAGTGTCTCGCATGTGGTGCATCGTGTGTCTCTCACAAGAGACAATATTGAAGTTGACCTCCCTGTGGAACTTAAGGTCATCGACCTTCTATGTAAAATATATTATCTTCTATTTAAAAATGTCAAGCTATCTCCATCTTTGTCTAATGAATGAGATGTTTGAGTGTTGGATCCATGCCATCTATAACCTATATGTCATTTAGTAAGTCTCTTGTACTAATCAAGAAGGCAACCACTTCATATGTGGCTCTCCAACAACTCAAAGTGTCCACTACTATATTGGTGCATCCAAACTTGTATTTGAGTAATAAGTTGTACTCTCCTAAGAAATCTTGTCACTATGCATATTTAAGAGATAACTTATTATGCGAGTTGTTGTAGCTAGTGGTCACATTGTTAGTATAAACAATGAAATGATTGCTACGAAGATAGTGACTCTATACTCATAGGTAGTGAATCACTACTATTATTTCTTTCTCGTGTACCGAGTAATATTATTTCAAATTATTTAGTTTTTGACCTTTGAATGCGATCGAGTGTCCTTCTTATATTAATAATACTCTTATAGTTACTTTTGATACATCGATATAAACTTCAAAAGATTTGTTGAAGTATAGAAGTTGAAGTACATGTTTTTTCGTGACTATTGCACGTAGGTCGTTAAAGGCATATTGACAATCGTCAGACCATACTTACTTCTTATCCTTCCTAAGGAGCTCTATTAGGGGTGCAACTATTTAAGAAAAACTCCGAATGAACTTGTGATATTAATTAACAAGCCCTAAGAAAAACCTCAATTTGACCACCTTTTAGAGTGTCAATCATTCTTTGATTGTCATCACTTTTTTTTGATCCATGTGTACTCTCCCTCTATCAACTATGTGGCCAATGAATTTCACTTCTGTGATAGTGAAGTTATATTTTATAAGGTTCAAATAGAACTGATGACACTTTAAGATTTCTAATACTTCTTGTAAGTATGACAAGTGTTCTTACATATTATGACTACATACCAAGATATAATCCAAGTATATTATAAAAAATTTGTCTTAAAAAGGTCAAAAATGTAATTAGAGCATAAAATATCATTGAGGCATTTGTCAACCCAAAGGTATCATCGTATACTCATATGACCCATAGCGTGTGACACATGCTATTTTCTACTCATCTCCTCCCTTGATGCGGACTTGATGGTACCCACTCTTTAAGTTTAGCTTTGAGAAAATCTTTGACTCTCTAAACTAATTGAACAAGTCCTTCACGTTAGGCACTGAGTACTTATCCTTCACAATAATCTTCGTCAAGGCCTTATAATCCACACAAAGCCTTAGTGTTCTTATCTTTCATTCATTGAAAGAGAATCAGCGCACCAAATGGTGTCCAAGGAGCACATATGTCTCTCCCTTAGTAGTTCTTCTAACTACTTCAATTATTCCAAGTGTGCCAAAGGCATTTTGTATGGGGCCTTGGTCAGAGAGTGTTCTTCTAATAACAATTTAATGACATGTTCTATGTCTCGCCTAAGTAGTAAGATAGCATGCAACTTGGGCATAATATCATTAAATTCATCGAATAAAGACAATACATGAGGATGATCCACCTGCTTCTCTTTCTCTTCTATTGCTCATAAGGTGATGAGGAATGTGTTAGTATCTCACTAAAGATCAGTTTTAAATTGTATAGTCAAGATTAGTTGAGGTTTCTCTACCTCCCATGTGGATTTGCATGAAATATGATTAGTCTCTTCTACATATAATAAGCTCATTGTAGTGAAAGAAGATCCTTGTCTTCGCCCTGATGATAAAATTTATTTCAAGGACAATATTGAAGTCATTCATCTATAAGACTAAGAAATTCAGTTAATATTCCTATATACTCATCTGGGTCTTCACTTATCAAGCTAGCCCAATATATGCTTGGGCCTCAGAGTTGATAGCCTTAATCTTCTTATTTATTTGGACCAAACTTAGTCTAAGGCTAAGATTATGAGTGGCCCTTGAGTCCACTAACGTCTTAATTGTGATGGCGTTGATTATTGCCTCCACGAAAAAGTAGTCTTATAAGGACTGATTATATGACCTTAGCTTGCACTGCATTCAAAAGTTCAATGGTGTTCAAATTTAGTACCACTTCGATCACTAGTGATGACTACTATTGTGCTGTTATAGGGTTGAGTTAGGCTCTTGCCATGTGATGATTTACTCAGTCAGAGCAATCGACTCTATGGTGGGGCCCCTAACAAACTTGACAACTCATCTACTTTGGGCTCTAGATTTACAAGGTGCCTCCATTTTGCCCTCTATTAGTTTGTTCCTAGCACTTCACTATTATGGTTGATCCTCTCTATTTTATGTTATTGTTGTGACCCTTATTTTCTTGGGGTGTCTCGTCATTGTCATTTTGCTGCTAATATTAGTTGTCAACCAATTTATCTATCACAATCATAGCTCTTTAGATGTCTTAGACACCTTATCTCTAGATTTCATTATGAGCCAACATGTAATCCCTTCATTAAGTAATGTAGTTTATCATCTTTATTCATTTTGGGTACCTCTAGTTTTTCTACATACTCTTATATAGCTCTAGTGTGCTTCAATTACCTCATAGTTGTGCAAATGGCTTATCTTGAGTTCACCAGAAAGAATTGCTCTCGAATCTCCTTGATGAATTTATCCCACCCTATCACTAGTGGTCTCAAATGATTTTTGGTTTGGAGCCTTCACCAAGTCTTAATATGCCCAACCAAAAATAAATTGCCAAGAAAAACTCTCTTTCTCATAAAAAGTATTAGCATTGAGATACCCCTATAGATCTTAGAGGAAGTTTTTGATCAGCATAGCATCTTACCCCTTGGAGTATGATTTGGGTTTAGAAACCTTGATTCGGGACAAACTAGGTCCTAAGTCTTGAGTTTGGAAGTTGTCAATTCTAACTTGAATGTTGCTCACAACCTCCTTCATATGATGTCACAACTTTAACATTTGTTGGGTAAACTCTCCCTGTAATATCAAAATCTCTTCTTTTTGGGCTTCATAAGATGTGGCCATTTCTCCCCTTTGGTCGTAGATCAACTAAATTTCTTCATTGAATCTCCTCATCAAGACATCAATTGCCTCACAAGTCTATTATTTTATTTGGGTCATTTGGCCCACCATCTATTCCTATAAGCTACTAGACTTAGCCTACAACTAATTGTAGGGATCAATAGCCCTAGCCATAACTTTTTACTATTATATTTGTTGGGCAATTCTTTGTGCTTAGGTACCACTCATACCCATTTTACCCTTTGTCTCTATGGTGCTACAATAATATTGAAGAAGGGCAAGGGTTATAAGAGTCTAACCTTTTTTGTAACCTGGCTTTGATACTATTGTAATAAGAAAGTTGGTCGCTCTACACAAAATCCTTATTAAGCATGCTTGGGTAATCAGATCCTCAACAAGACCACGTATGACTAGTATCTTGATAATCCAAAGTGCCTCATACATTGGGCTAAGGGCCCTTCTGTATAGATAATCTCTTAGTTAGCTATCCTCACATTTTTGATATGGGATTAAGAATTCTCACACCAAGTGATGTCAAACTAATGACGTCCTCTACTCCTCCTTCAGTTGATATCATACTTGTGACATCATTGTCTGCCTTCATAGCTTTTGGGTTGCCACATCAAAATTGTGTGTAATATTATTGTACCTTTTGGTGCCCGCAGTGCATATGCATGCGTAGTCATCGCACCGACACACACACATTATATGTTACTAAGAGCATGTGCCATGTTGTTGTGCACAAGTGTCATGTTGTCATGGTGTAGATGTTATATTGTCATGTACATGCATTGTGTCAATGTGTGTGGTGTCATGCAAGTGCATGTTGTAGTATTGTTGCTAGTGTTGGTTTTTTGCGGGAGTACCGTAGTAACAATACCTCTTCAGCCACTTTCTTATCAAGAGTAGAATCTAACAATATATTCACCAAATAAATTCTCATACTCACGACTTCCACCCAAAACTCTTTGGACAAGTTGACATTCTCAACAATTTATTCTCTCAATAATTTTATGATTTATTTGCTCAACAATATCATTTTGTTGCGGAGTATTCTTCACTAGATATTGAATGCTATGATCATCACAAAATTAATCAAATTAAGAATTCTTAATTTTGTATTATTATTAATACATAAGACTTTGATCTTCATTTTCATTTAATTCTTCACTTCACACTCCAAAACTTGAACTTCATAAATACTCTTAATTTGTGCTTCAAGAAGAATATTTCTATATTTATGAAAAAATATCAACAAATATTAAAAAATAAATGTCACATCAATTGAATCACACACATTTGAATGAATATAATCAAGCACATCACTCGTCTCATATTTGTCATCTTGAATGTCACCCTACACTATTTTTTCATGATATAATATTTATAAAATTTTAATTTACAAGTTTTTACACTAAATAGTAATTTTATGTATACAACTTTTACATACATGTCTTAGTCATATGAGTCAATCAAAAGTACTATTAAAGAGTGTCATTAGTTATGAAATCATCTAGTGTTGTAACACAAATTCTACCTTCAATAATGTTTTCCTCAAGTTTATTGATATTTGCTCATTGACATCTTTCCATCATTACAATAAGTGTTTCTTTTGATAATTTTGAGAATCTCATTCTCACTTTTAAAATAACATTCATTCGCCTCCAAAATTTAAAACGAAATCAAAATCTAGTGTAATATTGAAATATGACAAATATTTTTAAGCTCTCTTACCACTCCATCAAACATCTAAACCTTCACTACATCAATGTCAACAACTTTAGAAGCCACATTATTTTCTATGAAAATAACTCACATTCTACTCATGTATGAATTAAACCAGTTAACATTATGACACATATGATAAGTTACAATAAAGCCAAAATAGACTTTGTCATCTTCTTTGTCTTCAACTTTCATAACATTAGTTGAATTAAATTCATCTCATGTTGTCTTTTCATTCTGATTCTTCAAATAATTTTTCGACAAGTGTCTTTTATCATGACACATGTGATAAGTTTAGTTTTTTAATTAATTCATATATAACTTAGACCAACTCTTATTATCTCATGGCAATCATTTCTCTTTTTTCCTTCCACACTCTTCAACCCTTCACAAATAAATATTTACCATGAGCCTCACCAACATTCTTTTTTCGACAATAATATTGTAACAATGAATCAATAACATCTTTAAGAATGAGTGTTGTATTATCATGTAACAAAATTATATCAAGATAATAATATGAAATAAAAAGAGAAATAAGTAGAATAATAACTTTATTCTCATTAGAAAAATATAATTTTATACAAAGTAAGTCGTTCAATAATTAATTAAATAATCAATATGAGATGTCAAATCATTTCTTTTTAATATACATAACCTAAATAGATTTGTCTTCAATGTCAAGTTGTTCATCATCAATCTTCGTACACATCACTTCTTCAACTTCTTCTACAGTTCATTAATATTATATTTATTCATGACCTATTAAAGAGCTTAATTAGATAAACATGTATGAATAAAACTTTAAGCTTTATTCACTATTATCTCTCAATCATTAGTATCGATCTTGTTTGACTTTAGTCCATCAAAAGTCATATAAGTAGATCTACAACAACGCATTATACATCATGATTTTAGATATTGAAGTTAAATGACTTATTCAACTTTTAGATTTTAATGTACACCTTAGAAGTTATATGCCGTACATCTAAAAAGGAGCATTACATGCCCTATTTATAGAAAAAAAGAAAAAGGTAACCACCCCCACAAAAGGAGACAGTCTTGACCTATGTATAAGTAGGCCCACACATTTTGAAAATGATGAATTGAATCACCCTCATTTTTTGCTCTCTCTCCTTACACGACCCCCAAATGGGTCAATAGAGAGGGGGTGACAACCATGACAATGCCCCTTACCCCTCTCCTTACACATCCCTTGAATGAGTCAAACATGAGGAGACTCTTCACATGTCTTCCAAGCAGATCAAATGTGACGAGCTGACACCACAATAGTGCAAGATATTTCTAAAGTCTGAGGATTATTTCCAAAATTACTTCAATAGAACTTAATCCACAATGATGTGTCCATATTCAATCTTCCTTTTGTGTGATGGGGGAGTCAAAAGGTTATTCACCTCAAATGGTGGATCAAATATATTGAATTATTTATAAGATTATTCAGTAGTAAAACTTCTTAGTCAAATGATGGCAATTTTAGGATGACAGTTATAACATACTGAACTTGAATTTTCACTTTAAAAATAGAGATATCACCATAAATTACCTTGCACTAAAATTGTTTGAATTCATAAGTCTAGACAATGGATGGTGACATAATTGATCACCAAAATCATGGTCTAACACTAATATGATTAAAGATGGATGTTGCAAGTTTTGAGAGGTTAAGATGAAGAAGTTTTAGAGAGCTCACTTTATGTGCCCCAGTTTTTCACCAACATTGATCAATTCCTCAAATAGCACACTGAGCGAGCTGCTCTAGCGAGAGAGAGAGAGAGAGAGAGAGAGAGAGAGAGAGAGAGAGAGAGGATGTTACTTTGGCTCTTGTTTGTTCCTCATAGGATATGTCATATTGAGTCAAATAAGGTTTCTTCAATAGAATTATTCCTCTAAGAAAGAAAAATCAACATGTAAATCTAAAACAAAATGAAACAAGACAAACAAAATTTATTAACTGTGACTAAGTCAATTAGGTGTGGGCAATGATTGTATTGGTCCTTAGATGGCTTACTAGTGAAAAGAGAAATAGTAGACCGTATCTATTCTTAGATTATATTTGTAATTTTTAAATGAGTTTATGTTTTTTTTTCTTCATTTTATTTAATTAAGTTTAAATATGATTTACTTATGTTTAATTATTGAAGAAGTACGACATACAATGAAGGCAAGATTTTACTTGTGTTCTACTAATCACTAGATGTGGTTGACTTATTGGGATCAATTGTCTATTACACTTAGACTCTTCAAATCTACGAAGTTACTATAGAAATCTAGGTTTTAGTAATTTTTACTTATGGTTGAACACACCAATGAACACACCAATGAACTCACATTGTTTTTAGCACAACATAGATGCTTATGAAGGATTTGATCACACCTCCAATGTTCTAATAGTCAAAGAGCACATCAAAGATGCTCTTATAGCAATCAAGCACACAAAAGGTGATGTTGTTGCACCCTAGTACTCCAAACGTATTTATGAATAACATAAATACTCAATAGGTGTTTGTATATTAATAAATATGCATAGGGAGTATAACTGACTTTTGTAATAATGATAACGTCAAGTATGAGATGATTGTTTTTTTGTGGATACTTGAATAGAGAAAATTTTCTTGGATGAAGATGCTTTGTGTGAGTTGAATTGGAGGACGAAGGAGGTGACGGTTACTATGTCTTGAACTTTTTTTCTTCCTTTATGATATTTTCCTTTTTAGCCTAAATTTTCATCATCATACCTTGATTTGGGTGACATGTTATTTTATTTTTTGGGCTTATTGAGTCTAACAATTGGCTTAATGGATTCTTGAGCGGATCTTAATAACCCATACATTAATTTAAAAAAACACAAAAATTTCATCCATAAGATCTTTAAAAATCATAACCCTTTGCCAATGACAACGTGAAGTAGGTCCTCTAAGTTAGCAATATTCTACCTCTTCGCACCAAATATGGGATCTGTATCAATTAGCCCTAACTTCATCTTTGCTTCTACCAGCATTGTTCTTTGCTTCTCTCCTTGCTTGCGTGAGACCAACATAATGAAGAGGATTAAGAAACAAAGAGAGTTTAAGAAAAACTCGACAGAGCAAAAAGATAACATCATAGTGAATGTATTTACATATATACTCACATCAAAGTTGGTGCAAAGCCAAGGGTTGGGCCGTTCTCAATAGACCCACTGGGCCCAATACAAGGGTCCATCAACTAGGCCCAATTTCTTTGTTTTGTACACCCAGCGAGGTTTAATTTTAGCGCATCCAGGATTTTGACTGGTTTGGGTGAGTAATTTTCTGGGCCACTGGGCCGGTGATATTTTAGGCCGCCGAAATCCTTATTGGGCTAAAGCTATGGACCCCTGTAATCCCTCACTGCACCTCGTAGATGGGTTAGAGAGAGAGAGAGAGAGAGAGAGAGAGAGAGAGACCGAAACAATGGTGTATTGCAGAAGCACAGAGGAAGAGTAACGAGTGACGGAGAGAGGGCTGTGAGGGACTCCCGGTGTCTTCTCTCCGTTCATGCCCGGGCTTCAGTGGGAGCTAGCTACTCTGATACTGCATCTGCAGTTGTCGGAATCATGCTGCCAAGCTGGTTCGCCGTCCTACTCCAAGCAAGTTGAAAGTAGAGTGGTCACCTGCGCCTGCTCCGGCCATGGTTCCTCCCTGTACCCGGCAGATGCGGGCGAGCAGGGCGGGGACCTCATAGATTCTCCACTGCCTGTCACAGTGGTGGCGCTCGGACGGCGCCGCCTCGTAGCCCCTCGAGACGGTCGCCGGCTACATCGGAGCTCTCATGGTACGCGATTGCTTTTGGGCCACGCTACCTCGGGCAACCTTTTGACTACTGGTCATCCCTCCGGTCCTCATCCTCTATAATACGGCGGAGGTTCGCCGGCGCCGTCATCGGCCGAAACCTCGGTCTTGTGATTCAGAAGACTCGCACCGACGAGATGGGTTGTCCTCGTACGATCGGAATTCTCCTTTTGCCGCTGAACCACTCGCCGGACTCTGCCGACGCGTGCCGGCAGTGGCGTTATCCATCCATTGGGGGGTTCAGGGGGACGGCCCCGTTCTGACCAGTTTTGGTCCCCCCAGCCGTCATGTCGGAAGGCAACGTTTCTTGTTCCTAGAAGCTAGTCCCTTGCGTCACATGGCGTTATCCATGACCCAAGTCGTCTTCCCGACGACGAGCCTCCAACCGCCGGTTCCCGCCGCCGCCGCAGAAAACCTGCAAGAGTTGGGTGACGCGATCGGCGAGCTCCCGTCGATCCATCAACCGGAACAGGCCTTCGTTCCGCCTCGCGGGAGACGATTTCTTGCTGATATCTGTGGTCCGGTTGGGGTGGGGGACGCGAGTTCCATAGGATACTCCTTGTCAGAACAGTCACTGAGACGACTTGTTGGGATTACAGTTGTCACCGACCGTCTCAGCTGCTGCATTCCCGTTGCCATGTTGGCCATGGAATCCCCTTGAGACCTTAAACCTACCGCAGCCGAGACGGGGAGCCTTTCCTCGGTCACAGCTTTCAGATAACGAGGGTATCGAGTGGTCAGGGTCACCCTCCTGGAGATCTCCCTCTCTCCCTCTCTCTCTCTCTCTCTCTCTCTTATTTCTCTCTCCAAGTAGGCGTCTTTATGATGCGGTCCGACCATGCCAACGGCCGTTGCTGCGACGGCTATCTACTCTGGTAGCGATGTACACTGTACTGAGGAAACAAACGGAGAGTATCGTCCTGTAATCCCACTTCTTCTTTCATCTTCAGGAAGGTAACCTGGTTTGATGACGATTACCACTAGCTAACAAGCCCTCCCGCAACCTGATCCAGCCGACATAATTTATTTCAGGGGAAGGAGATATGGGACGGCGGCGCTTGGGGTAACCATGGTTCGGTTAACATCTCACGGCGGATGGCCCTGTTGGCCTTTTATCCTCGTGCCCGCCCTCTCCATCGTCTTGGTCTCTCTCTCTCTCTCTCTCTCTCTCTCTCTGTGCCAGCTCCCCCCACCCCCCACCCCCAGCTTGGATCATACTGAAGCAGGAGAATGGCATGGCCCCCCTCTTTCTCTCTATACCAGTCATCTGGAGGCCCTGAAAGCGGCCTGGAGTAGAGAATTGAGTAGCCAAAAGATAGACTTTCCGATCCAGTGTCTTCCCCTTCAGGTTCTAAGTAGCGGAGAGTTCGTCGTGCCGGTGGAGATTGAGAAAGAAAGGAGGCGCCCTCACGAAGGGATCCTGCTTGTAACATCGAGATGAGAAAGAAGAAGCCGAAGAGGAGCTCGACTTCATTGACGGACGCATCATCTACCCTAGCGGCAACGGAGCAGCAGAAGCGTCCCAAGAGGAAAAGAGGACGACCCAGGAAGATGGTGATTGAGGACCTGACGGAAGAGACGACGGAAGACCACGCGGAGGACAGCGAATGTAACGCTCTGAAGAAGCCCAGAGATGAGACAGAGACATCGGAGCAGAAGGAGGCCATAGAGCCGTCTTCCTCAGCCACTGCCGAAGAAAGGAAGGAAACCGGGGAGGAGACCGGCCACGAGGAGAAACCACCCCGGAGCAGAGCCCGACGGAAAGGCAAACCCCAGAAGTGCACCTGAAGAGCCTACCGCCGGCGAGAAGTCTGCGCCACTGTAGCTGCTACTAATATCCATTCTATCGTCTCACCCCCTCCCTCCCCACCGCCCCCCCCCGCCCCCTCGTCTTCACTGCTCGGCTCCTCCATTTGTGATGGTCTGCGGCGAGAAGATTTCACGAAGCTCGAAACGTTCGCCATTCACGTCCACAGATGAGAGATACGAACGCCCATCTGCCCGTTTTCCTCTCGTGTCTTCATCCAAAACGCCCTCTTCTTCATTTGATCTTCTTCCATCGACTTCTCTTCGTCCTCCTTGCGAAAAGCTTCAGCTTCTCGTTAACGCAGCCGCCGATCCTCCTGCCCAGATTGCAGGAGCCAAGCCTCTCTCTCTTTTCCTCGTCCTCATCGCAGGACAGCCCACCTCTGCTTTTCCGCCCAGTTTTCCTCCGGGCAATCGGGGAACCCGTCTACGGCGCCGGCGAGAGAAGTCGTTTGGGCAAGAACCGGATGAATCACTTATCAGATATTGAATTATTGTATCAACTGAAGAAAGAACGATGGCCAAATTGGCAGCCGAAAGTGCTCTCTGGCCGCCGAGGAGGATCAAGTAACAAAGAACTGGCCTACACCAAAGTGGGAGGAAGCTGCTGCCGATCTGCCGCGGATCAAGTAGACAGTCGTCTACCTCGAGAGAGCGGCTGCTCCATGGCGGCGCTCCTTCTTGAATCGGCGCTGGTGGGGATCGAAGCCACCTTCCTCTGCACCATAGACGGCCCACGAAGGTGTGGGCGCCATGTAGTCTGTGCTCCTAAAACTCTGCCCAGAGGCCACCTGCATTTTGATGGGGATTAACTGACGACCAAAATCTCTTGTGTCGCCATGAATAGAGAACACGCTCGGGGGACAGATTGGGTCCTACCAGATCTTGAAACTTCTCGTAGTCGATCCATGTGTGCCATTGCTCGTTGACCTTGAACTTGTCAGACTTGGCCAGAAGAACACAACAAGAGTGGACATGCTCGCAGGCGACTTCGTAGACGCCGCTCTTCTGTGACAAAGCTTCTGAGAAGGCCTTCACATCGGAATGCCAGGGGACGTTCTCCATCGTCAGCTTGGATGTGGCAGTCCTGCAGATTTAGGGTTTCTCAGAGAGTTTAGGAGATCTCTGCTGAAAAAAACGAAAATAATGTACATCAGGAACGCTTTTCTGTTCCATCATTCACGTGAACAGTAAGCGAAAGGTGAAGAAACTCACGAGCCACAGTATGTGACGCCTTTGATTTCAATAAAATCGGGTTCGCCAATGTCCAATAATTTCAAGTAAGCGTCTATATCTTCTACATTCCACCCTTTGACCAAAGTCAAACGGTAGACAGTTCGCTGCTCTTTTTCTCGCAGAGCCTTCAGAGACTCCTGTGAAAACGAGGAACCAACATGAATAATGGTCGTTGACCAAGAAATAATAACATATTCTACAGATTAGAAGCCACCCTTCATAAATTCTCCTTTCCCTCAATCAACCACACAGAGGGCTTGAACCCAGTTTGACAACGGACACGCTCCGCATTTGATCTCCAAAGAAACCGAATAGGTGCGCTGGTTTTGGAATGATGAACTGACATATCAGATTTAACTGTTTTTCAATGGATGGAATGTAGGAAAATTGTCCAGTCATGGTTCAAACAGGGAATCAAAGGACATGACTTGATCCCATGAGTGACAAAGGATTAATTTTAATCTCAGGTGATTGAATGGGGAATCATCCGCACATTAATTTTAATCGCTTTAATGACTCGCTTCCACCCACATGACACTGTTCAGATTGTTTTTCAGGGTTCTCTGAGTCCTCTGGAAATCAGTGATAATACTTGTTCATGAGAAGACCAAATGAGGAAAATAATTTAAGCTGAATTATGCCACATTGCATACAAAAAAAAAAAAAACTCGAGGTAAAACGTTCATAAGGGTGGGTGCACGCATAGCATGAGAAATTACTCACAATCAAACGCTCCCAGAAATCTCCAAACAGAGGTCTATCAATGGCCTTCAAACTCTCTCTCGTTGCAGCATCCACACTGACATAAAGCTGTTATTCGAAAGTAGTTGCGCTCATTAAGAATGCCCGGAATCATTAGAGAAAGCAATAATCCAAATGTGTGGCAAGTAGAGCACCTGAGTGATGGGCCTCAATGTCCTGATCTTCTCTGGGAATTGAGCATTAGTAACCAGGAAGGTGGAAATCTGCCTACGGTGCAGTTCATCGACCAGCGAGTTGATCTCTGGGTACATTATGGGCTCACCAACAAGAGATAAGGCACAATGCTTGGGAGAAAGACCTTCCAACAATTTCTCTTCCTTAACCCCTGCAGAGAGCAAAAACAATATCGAAACTTAAAACATCGAATGTATAAAAACACACAAAAGTCAGAGCCATGAGGACTACTCTGCAAGGGTTATTATTCTTTTCACTCTTCAACACCTTTGAGAAGACATGTGAGCGGACGCTTTTTACCCAGACAATGCACACAATAATGGGTCCACGTAACTTACTATATACTCAGCTGGACTCCCTTCCTAACGTGTGATGCTTGAGAAGATGCTCAGCAACATTCCTTTCCAGTGTTAGTTTACCCGCAAAAGGAACATGATGCACAAAGTACACGTGCACGTATATGCAAACAGATGTCGGTACTGTTTGATAGAAAATATGAAGAAAACCATCAAACCAAGTTCACACCAGCATATTCTTTTGGGCTGAGAGCTGAGAGTAAATAAACTAACACCATTCGATAAGCACCGGGCCAAAGGCCCACAGATGCTCCCCATGATGCTCTTGGACTTGCACAGTTTCTCGGCAAAACCCAGAAGACACGCTGATCCCAATAAGCGAAGAAAACCATTTTTAAATGTCACACACATTTGGAGCAAGTTATGAAGCATTGGGTTGCTGAGACAATGCTTTTAGATATAGCAGAGTTGGACAGGAACATTGGACACGACTAACCTGGTACCCCCTTCATTTGCTTTATCATTTTTATATGTTGATCCAGGGCAGCAGCAACGATCTCCAAAGGCTCATCCATCTTCCACTGCCAGCTCTTTCCCACCGGATTTGTATGATGCCTCCAACAGAATACGCATTTGTTCGCACAAGCCAGACTAGGAGTCGCTTCCATGCAACTATTTTCCATTAATAATGTATATTATATTAGGAAATATTGCCACAGAATTATAAGCAATTCCAAGAAAGAAAAATGCGAGCACAAAAATAGAAAAGAGGGGTAAGAAGGCATGAATATCAAACTGAACATGGGATGAATTAAATGTCATAAGAAGCATTATAAAGCAGAATATTATTAGAAATCCTTACCGATGACTCTCTATGCCATAAAATGAGTGTTTGTAGCAACCACCACGGCCTCTGAGTTGTGACTTGGTCCATCTACAAAGTTTGACTCCACTATGTGAGCCAATAATTTTGTATCCCTGCATGGATAAAAGCCCATGGTGAAGTTATTAAGTTACATGATTTGAATCCCCTATCCAAGAGAAATAAATAATATTAGAAAATGATGAAGATATCAAGTCATGTGCTGCCCTCTGTCTGTCTGTCTGTCTCTCTCTCTCTCTCTCTCTCTCTCATCAGCTTAACATGGCAAACGTGAAAATTTCCTAAAACTTGATTTAGCATATGATATTTGAAAGAGATCGTAGATGGGAAGCCTCTCTGATTGCAGGCTTCCTTTTGTTTTCATAGATCCTCCCTTGGAAAAGGGTGCCCAGAATTAACAAAAATGAGAGACATAGCTGAAGTTCATGGGCTCTGATAGAAAACACTAGCTCATCTACCATCTACGAGAAATTGGAGATGATTTACGAGAAAGTTAACCATAAAAAGGAGAAGAAACGTTCCGAGCATCTAATTTCTAACAAATACTGTGGAGGGTAGGGTACCTGCTTCTCTAAGTTCGTTCTAATAACCGGAGACACCATCTCTTTCATTCCATTCATATTCCCATTAGCCGCGGTCTTTTTCACACCATTCGATCCCCCATTTCTTGAGCCCACTGTTAGCTTCACCGGGGGGGCTTTACCCGCAATATCCTCCAGATCAACCACCTCAGATTCCACCATCTCGTCCTCGTCCTCGTCCTCGTCCTCACTCTCATACTCTTCTACTGATCCTACGAGTGCGCCGTCCTCTGACTTGGAGAACGGAGGTCCACCGGCTAGGAATTCACCTTGCAGCAATTGAACAACATTCCTGCTCCACGCCCTGAAGATTTCGTCAACATCGCCGGCGTCCACGTCGCCCTCACAGACGGGGAGCACCTCGAACGCCCCGAGCGACCTCATCCATCGCGCGAAGCTCCGAGCGGCCGCATTGAAGCCCTCGCCGTAAGACCGCGATCCCACCCCAAACACCGCGAACTCGCAGCGGGAGAGGAGCATCGACCCCACCCTGAAGTCGTCGGCGCTCTCGGAGAGCCACCGGGCAAGAAACTCCGCGTTCGGCGGCGGTCTCCCGTCCTCCCATGTCGACGTTACCAGCAGCACCACGCTCTCCTTCTGGAGGTCCTCCGGCTCGTAGTTCCTAGCATCGACGAGATCGAAAGCAAGGCCCTCAGATTGCAGGAAGCCGTGCAAGCGCCGGGCCAGAGCTTCAGAAGTCCCCGTCTGCGACGCGAAGAAGACCTTTCCCCTCCTGGCGGCCTCATCCCCCCGGAGCGACGCCGCGAGGGAGGCGAGTCGCAGGTGACGGGCGCGGCGGGATTTGTAGATGAAGAAGAGGGAGGAGAGGGAGAAGAACGCGAGGAGGGCGAAGCGGGCAGAGAGAGGAGTGCTGGCCATGTCGGAGGCTGCCGGTGGCCTCGCCAGAGTCGTTCCCGACTTTCTTCAAGCTCTTAAAACCCTACCGTGGAGCCCGTGCCACTCCAACGCCTCAGTGATCCGAGTGGTTTAAAAGTCAAACTGGACGCTTCGGTTTATCCCGGCCCGAACGGTCAACCCTCTCGGAATTTCCAGAAAACCTCCCGTAGATCCCAAAAAAAACTGTTCAGCACCAAGTTTGTGTAATTACAACGCGGCATCTTCCGCAGAGAGAGAAGAGCAACTGATTAGAATTCGAAAAAAATCTCGCCGCGAGCTCAGAATCCAAGTCTCCTGATCTCGCGGTGAACAACCGAAGAACTCGCGCCAATCTCTCTCACTCATTCATGAAGGAAATCAAGGGCTTCGATCGAGGGAGGAGAGCCGCTGCCTCTCCGGCGAATCGGGATCCACAGAGGAAACTCACGGCCGCCAAGTCGTCTTCTCCGCACAGACGATGCCCTCGCTGTCCTTGGAGTACGTCATCCTGATCTCCCAATGCAATGTGCGCAGAATCTCTTCGAGAGGACGCAATATTTCCAGCTTTTCTCGGATGATCGCCCAGCCACCGGGCCTCAGAATCCGGTCCATCTCGGCCACGATGCCAACGGGATGCCTGCACCTGAAGACCGAAGGGGAAGTAGGGGAACCAACCAGTTCATCTCAGGAGAATCAGCAGTCATTAAGCGCGGAGAATCCCGGGACCGTACCTTTTCTTGAGCCGCGAGAACACATGGTCGGCATGGAGGAGGTCGTAGGATCTGGGAAACGTGCTGAAAGGCTCGCACCAATCGTGATATACGCCGAGGAGACCGCGCTCGAAGATGACGGGAAGAGTGTTCGGACCATGAACTGGAACCACATTCATCACCCAGACCTTGTAGGGAGCCAGAGCCGCCGCTAATCTGCACAGATGGATCTAAAGTCAATTCGACTGAAAAACTTGCATCCCCCCATACGATCACATCTTTTTGCAGAGAAAGTAAGCTTCAGTATCAGATGCATACCCTCCATAGATGGCTCTCATATCCATTACATTCCTAACTTTTGACCAATCGACGCCCAGCCCGCTGAGGTAGGATCTGTTGAGGGTCTCTCTCCATCGTTTGGCGTCTGCGAGGATTCTTTCCTGGGAGTCGGCCAGCCATTCGGGAAAATGCTCGAGCCTCTTGGGCCAGTCCTCAGGCCAGTCTGTGCCACGTTCTTCGATGGCAGCTGGGATTGTGTGGAGGCACGCCGCGATTGGAGTATACCTGGAGATATCGATATTGTGGAGAAATCTCGTAAAAGTCAACAAGGTAAAGATACACATATATTATACCAGACTGATGTTACTAAAAGATACCAAGCAGCATCCTGGTTTTCGTTTTCCTGGCACAAGGGAGGGTTCTTTGTCCTTCTCAACTCATACACGTCATTTGAAGATGGTTTTTGATATATTTTGACACCCAAGTCGCTGTCCTCATCATTTCTATGGGCCAGGACACTCCAGGAGATAGAGTCTATCGATGCAGACATGCCTGAAAATAGAAGCACCATGATGCAGAAGACCATGAATCATTGAAGGAAAATAAATCCATCGTAATGTTCATCATCAGCAATGATCCAGGATTCATTTTCATAAAAAAAAGATGCATTATTCAGTACAAAATTCATTTTCATTTCTATGGGCCTTAGGTGAGTGTTTACATTCAGGAATAATCTTTCAGAAATTTTGAAGATATGATCTTTTAATAAAAAATAGAGTCCAGTTGAATTCATGCTCTTCAGCCGTTGACTCATCCACGGATAATTTTGAGGAACGCAACAAATATATTTGCTTTAGGTTCTACTGTTTGGACGCCTTCTGACTGGCTGCCATCAAAATGATATGACCAAGATCAAAACTCCAGAGAACAACCACAAACATCATCACAAACTATCAGAAATCCCATAGCAGAATACCCTGAAATCCGATTGAGGATTATAGCTTTATTATCGAATTTTTTGCTTAATGGTAATAGCTTTAGAGAACATCCAGAGAAATCATCAATCAAGAACCGCACCTTCTTCAGCTTCAATATCTCCATGTTTAAACGACATGATGCAGTAGCCTCCAGGTCTGAGAATCCTGTTCATCTCCAAGAGCGGCCTTCCACCTGGATCACGACGACACAGTGGCCCACTCTCAAAACCCACAAGAAGAAGTTTGAACGCCACATTGCTACTGCATTGGTAAATCAGTGACCACCTTTTGAATGCCAGGGGATGCTGCAGTCGCCACAATGTATGGCGTCAAATACTCCGCTAGGGAAGGGGAGCCGTCTTATGCCCAAGTTTCCGACTACTGCAGGGAAGCCACGCTCGAGGGCGAGCTGAGCCAGGTCTGTCTGATCCCCCATCAGCCCTAGAGAGATAGTCAGCACCTCCTTCTCGAGAAGGGCGGCCCCGAAGCTGGAGTCGGTGCATTGAATGTCCAAGACTATGCGGATATTCTTCCCCCAGTCGATATCCGGCACTGTCTGACTAGAACAGAAATTTTTCCACCAAAGAGATGAGAAGAAACTTTGTGAGATTGTTCTAATTTTCTTCCTCATAGGGCATGTGGTGCCGTAGATAATTGCAGACGAGGGGCTATCAAACAGGCAGGTTGGATGGGCTCACCTCTTCGATGAAATCGATAAACTGGGCACCACCATCCTGGAGAATAGACTCGTTGCGAGGAAACAGAAGAAGGTCACCATCAAGTCTCAGCCATCTGTGACCTTTCATGTAGGCGGAGAGCATCGGGTGAGCCACATTTGGGAAGAAGATCTGCAGAAACCAAGTTGATGATCACAGGTGTATCCCACGCAAGAAAGATGGAGGAGGATTCCGAAAGAGAAGTGGTGTACCTGAGATCGGCTTTCGGGCCAAGAGACAGGCGGCTTGTAGTCTGGAGGAAGAGGAACTAAGCACATTGGAGGCGGTCTCGGACAGCTCCTCTCATGATGACGATGGCCCTGAAATTTTCCAGATCCAGCGACTTCGAGATCGATACAAGGAATGTAGTGCGGTCCCTTCTTCGCCGCGCAAGATTTCCAGCTGTATTGGGCCGTCGGATCGAAAAGGGGTCCCAGTTTCTCATTACCGATCCCTTTGCCAGACGTCTCATTCTCGGTGGGTTCTTCTCCATCGTCCGCACCGACGCCGTCTTCCGGATCTCTATCGGCAATGTCTTCCTCTTCATTGGTCTGTTCTTCTATCTCCGCGTTGTCTTCCCTTTCTCCACCTTCTTCCTCCTCCGGACTCTTCGGTTCATCTGCCTTCAAATTCTCGTCATTCCCACCATTCTCCCGAATAGTCTCTTCTCTCTCTTCTTTCGCGGGCGGGGACTGATTCCCAGAAGAAACCGGAGCACGAGTAGTTGCAGCGGGCGTTCGAGCCGCGGGGGAAGTGGGCTTGCGGAACGCACCAGATTCCTTCCCCCTGATTCCTGCTTGCTCGGCAACATCGCCGAAGCTGGTTCTCCGGTTGGACACTGCGGATGAGGGAGACGACAGCGCGAACCATATGCCGGTGAAGACCAGCCCCAGAAAGGCCACCAGGCAGACTTTTGCGCAGAATCCTAGACGATGCCGTTTGATCTTTCCTATAAATTTCGTAGCAGCCATTCCTCGCACCGGAGCACCTGCAAGAAAACAGCAGAGTACGCGTCCTATGAGAGAGAAAGAGAGAGAGAATTATAGGGAAGAATGGAGCAGAGAGGGCACACGAACCTGGGGAGAGCCAGATCAGAGTCGGTCACTCACGAACGCCATACAAATCGCCGACAAGGGAGACTCCGGCGTACGAATTATCCAGCACTGTGAGAATCCTTCCTCCCCTCTTCTCTCCCCTCCCTCCTCAACATCCGACGTAGATGCCCGTCGGTGGCGAGTAGCTGAAGCGTCCCCCTATCGGAGCTCACTCAACTGTCCAGGGCCTGTAACAGATTTCCACGCCCAATGGATGCGGACTTGCCCGAACCAGACCCGGACCGAGACATGACGGATAATTGGAGTTGACTTGTGGGGACTGAGGCCGAGATAGCCTAGGGGCATTAGCGGTAGGAGGCAGTCGTGGAGGTTTCTCCGTCGCCGGCGGTGCTGCGGTGGGGCTTCAACAGGGACGAGACGGCACTTTGTCGAGCTGCGAATCCCCGGGTAGCCGTCGATGCATGCACCGGCCGTGTGTGGCTCTCTTTCTCTCTGTTATCCCCCTGCTTCTTCTGAGGCCCACATCAGCTATCTCTTAGATGGCGCGGGCCGGCTGAGACGCCCCTGGAGAACCATGCCGGAGGAGGATAGCGGCAACGGGGCGGCGCCGGAGCGGCTGACATGGCCGGAGGAGCTGGAGCTTCCGGCGCTGCTCGCGGCGGAGAATGTGCGGTCGCTCCACGAGACCATCCACAGCGAGTGGGGGTCTCTGCTGCGGTCGGCGTGCCAGACGGCGGCCGGCAGGGCCCTGTGGAAGCAGGTGATTCGCGATCCCCTCGCCGAGGTTCTTGCCGGGGAGAGCTACCTGAGGAGCCTCCACGACAAGATACGCAGCGACCAGCTGAACCGCGCGCGGGAGGTGTCCGGGGTGATCATCGCGGTGCGGACGCTGTGGTTCGACTCCAGGCTGGAGAATGCCGTCGGCGCATTCGCCGGCGGCGAGGCCCAGGTCGTCCTCCTGGGGGCCGGTACGTAGCTGGCGATGATCTCCGATATCATACACCTTTATAATAATAATTCAAAGAGTGTAGGGATGAAGAATTGAAAGTACGACTCTGTTTGCCACACGCAGGTATGGATACGAGGGCCTACCGGCTGGGTTGCTTGAGCAGAAGCAGCGTCTTCGAGGTGGACTTCCCCGAGCTCCTAGAAACGAAGGAAGCGCTCCTGCGGGAAGCGCTCGGCTCCGCAGAGGAGCAGGGGGCGGCGGTCATGGCGAGGTCTTTGATCAGGGTTGCAGCGGACATCGGAGAGAGTGAATGGCTGGAGAAGCTCCAGAGGAGCGGGTTTGCTCCCGAGAAGAACACGGTGTGGCTGCTGGAAGGGATTCTCTACTACCTCTCGCACCAGGCTGCCGTGCAGCTGCTCCAGTCGATAGCAGATAACTGCTCCTCCACCCGATCTGTGCTCCTCGCAGACTTCATGAACGAGTCTTGTGTCTCCCTCTCCCATTCCACCTTCAAATTCCACTGTGATTGGCCTGATCACTTGCTGCCGACTTTAGGGTTTTCGCAAGTAAAGCTGTCACAGATTGGGGATCCTGATGCCCACTTTGGGCTGATGCACGATCCTGAGAATCTGTTCAACAGGCTCAGGAACCTGCCTAGATCTATGCAGACCCACCCGGATGACGGAACGCCTTGTCGCAGGCTGTATCTGGTAGAAGCCTCGGGCTCCGCTCAGGAAGGAACCAGATAGGAGACCCATTGAAAGGTCGCCAATTATATCTGTCATTCATGGTCATTTACGCCTCCTGATGGAAATGATGTTGATGCACACACTGTTTCTGTTAATATCGTGAAGTTCCAACCATCCATAACTCTCAGAAGAGTATTAGGGTGAAGATTTCTCTAAAGCTTTCAACTTCCGGTAAAGGAAATTGAGATGTCTGTAACAAGATGACCCAAGTTTTCTAGGAACGGGTACGAGCACTTCCAGCTTCTATCATGGCATCCTTGGGAGGTGACAAAGAAATACCAAAGCTTGGTTAGTCATTCCCCAAAGGAACAGGGGATGGGAGATTCTTAAGCCACTAATTCCTTGGATTCAACGCCAGTTAAAAAAGTTTTGAGAAAAGTTTGTCTATGGAAGCTGTGGTTCTCTGACTCTGTCTGACTTCCGAACCTTCGGCCAGACTGAGCAGTATTTTTTCGAGTAGAAGTGGTGGTGTCTTCAGCCGGTTGCTTCTCATTCTGCTCTCTCTCATATGAGTGGGATCAGATTTTAGTTATTAGCAGACCCGGCCACTGAGTCAGCCAACTCACATTGTGCCAGGCTGATTGAAAATAAAAGAAAATAAAATAGAAGAAAATAAAAGAAATCAATGTCGGCCACTGAGTTAGCCGACATTGATTGAAAGTAAATTAAAGAAGATTAAAGGATGACATAATTTTAAGAAAATAAGTATGAAACTTATTGTCTGCAGTACACAATCTACATGAGACATACTCCGTATCACGTTAGTGAGATGCTTAAGGGTAAACCAAAGCAAGGCCAGAGAAGAATAATACAATTTATCCCCAAATTATAATAAACGTGGAAAAAAAATAACAAGATAGCAATCAGGACAAGAATCAAAAAGTTTCCTAATGAGAGATCATAATCAAAGTTAAATTGATACAATAGAGGGACTCAATCCACAGTACGTCGCAGAAATATCAGTTTTCCCTCATTAGAAGCCAGACCCAGAAGTAATTGATGTAACAAATGAACATATTCCACACTATCAAAGAGAGACACGAAGGTTACCAAGTGCCTGAAATAATTCGCAGGTATGATACATATAAGAAGAAAATGAACACCTCCTTCAGAATTTGCAAAAGGAAAGCCCGATGGGGAGCTTTAGACACCTAGACAGTCTTTAATGCTTTCCTCAAATTTTCCTAGGGCAAAAATGGTGTCATTTAGGCCAACTTTCACCCTCTGCCTGCAGAAACGGGAAAAGAAGTGTCATGAGTCCTTCTACACCAAAAAGTGTCCCAGTTAACTCGTGGTGAAACATAACTCAGAAAAAGATAAACTATTGGAGTCAAACACGCCAGAAAATTCCCGGTCATAATGCGAGCATTAATAAATAAATAAATAAATCTAATAGCGAACCAAGAAAAAAATATAAAACTATTGCCAGAGGCAACAAATTCTTGGAAGAAGACAAACGAAAACACTTTAATATGGGCACTGCGCATCTTGATGTATCATAAAAATTGACGTTTTTCAGAAGTTAATAATTCTAAATGCCTAGGGATCTGACGTTCAGCCTCAATAAATTAAAAAAAAATGATGGCATCCAACGAAGCCTCACAGTTATAAAAACTTAAATAGATATCATCATATTGAAAGAGAACTAGCACAGATATTTGAAGCGACCGAAAATGGTGTTATGCTTGTTGAAAGCAGACTAACCTATTCGAGTCAAGCTGTAGGTCAGCATCGTCTATCATCTTTCCAAGGAGTGTGAATGACCTACAAAAGTGTGAAGATTCATCACGGAATCAATGAATTATTCTTTCGCAATGCCATTTCAGAATAAATCACATCTACAACAGAGAATTTGCAATTTAAGGCAAAGAAGATCCTCAAAGACCCCTACTAGATTTACCAATTAGGCTAACATTTTGTCCATCATTGTATTCCCCCTTAATAGGAATATATCCCAACCAGAAAGGATGATTCTTGAGACAAATATCATATCCTGATCAAGATATCTAATTTAAGTGGCGCATTAGAATATATAATCTAATTTCGAAACTCAAGTTTCAGCGGGCGGTTTGCTATTCATGAGGAAAACCCATCTTTTCAATAGAATAAAAAATTTATTACCGTTAACACCATCATCATGAGACTGGGCTTGTCGATCTGGTGTTAGCTGTGGTCAATAAAACACTTGGAAGATTTGGTAAAGTTTCAAAGTCAACTGTCTGCCTCATGTCAGCCTTTTACAGAGTACAATTAGGGATACCTGGCCAATACAGGGGTTTTAATGAGAGCTTCGACAGGCTAACTGATGGGTACAAAGCTATCTCTACTGCTTTTCCATTATTGCCTAATGTCCACTGAGTGAGCCCCAAGATTACCTCAACATTGTTCAGGATGTCTTGAAATCTTCTGTCAGGGCCCGTCTTCCATTTACAAAAGAAATCTTCTGTAATCCAGAAGACGAAATATAGAGCAAAATGTAAACTCAAGGAATAAACTTATGACTTTGGCAACTTAATCAACTATCCAAAAGTGAGAATAACTATCGAGTGGATGCAATGATCCAAGAGGAGCTGTAACACGGGCTCAGATTTCCTTAATCAGGGAACACCGATGTTTGAGTTTCAAATGTTTCATGTTGGATTATGCAACTGATGGATTTTTTTCAGATACAAGTTCGAATATTCAGTCAAGCTGAATAATGTGAAATACACTAAAATAAATAACGGAAATATTCAATGGTATACTTAATTTTTCTTCCATTATATCGGAAGTTGCCTGTTTCCTAAATTAAACCGCAAATCATTTTTTTAGGTTTCAAATGGAATTTATTTTTTTTCAGTCCTAGTAGTTCCAGTAAATACAAATGAAGTCTAGCACATACAAGTAAGCTGGCATAAACAAGGGATCGCGAATGGAGAAACGTATTTCAACAGTCAGCTCTAATGCATCACCATCAAATACCGTTAGATTCAGGGCAGAAGAGCACAAACAATGGGCTAGAGTGGCTACCTTATAAGCGTATCAAGTTTGGCTTCAGCTTCCAACTTGATAGGATCATACTTGTCGAGCAACGAGGACGCATTAGTCAGAATCAAACGAAATGTGCAGACCTGATCACATAGTTATACAAAAGTTTCAATGAATAGCCATTAGACAGATTAAAAATGCAGTTACTGATATTCTTATACAGTTACTGAAAAAAAATTTGTGAAAATGTGAAGAGCGATCTCTTCTCACTGGAAATCGAGTTGATTTAAGTAAAAAGTAAAAAAAATAAAAATAAAAATAGAGGAGCGAATTAAAATCTGACCTCTACCCCTGTACGTGCTTGAAATGCGACTATCGAACCCCTATCTTCGGCAACGCAATCCCTTGCTGCCGAGTTGAGCAACTTACGTACCTGTCCAGGATCCTCCAACCGGGATTCGGGATCCCTGGCTGCTAATGGAGATGGAGAACAGAGAATTCTTAACATTAAGTACATAGCATATTAAAGAGAAGGAACAAGAATATGGTAATGGCGATGACGCTTACAAAGCAGGAGGTAGGCAGACTGAAGGCCTCGGCGTGAGGCATCGATGGGAGCCAAGACGAAACGAGCAGCATTCTTCTTCTGGTCTCTCAGCCATTCCTTTGGTCCCGCTGACACCGGATCCAAGATGAAACGATAGAATACAGGATAAAATTTGCCAAAGAAAACGACCTGAGTGCTGGACGGACTTACAGATGCCAAGCGAGAAGGCGGCGACCGGCGGACACCACTCGGAGATGGCCAAAGCGGGAAAAGCCGCGAGAGACAGAAGCGACAGTGAAGCACTCCTGCGCGAAGTATCTACTGGAAACGAACCGTCCCCTTCGGCCTTCGGAGATTGCACCTGCTCAGACCTCGGAGGACGCCGAGGAGGAAGAGGAGGCGCTCTGAGGGAGGAGATAAGACGTACTCCGCTCATTTCGGGCTCGTTCTCCCCGCTTCCGACGTCCCGTCTGGGCTGGATGACCGTTTCCCCACGTGCGGAGAGTCTTCTCACGTGTTATGCGCCTCCCCGACTCAGTTAAATGTATGGCATGACTGGGCCGAGCCAAAGGAAGGGCCACGCCAATGGATAAGCCCAATATTGGCCCATAAAGCCGAATCGGAGTGGATTTAACCGTGGCACCGCCAGTAGTGTTGTGAAGGCGTCGGTCTCGCGGTGGAGCCGCTGGAGAGAACTTGGTCATCCCCTCTCGCCAGCCATGGCAGGAACTTTGGCTCGGCAAACTCTCCTCGCCTTACGCGCCCGCCAGTCGGTAGGATCTGAGTTCCCGGTGGATCTAATCTCTCTCGGATAGCTTGCTATTGCTCCGTTCGATCCGTCTTGTTTTGGAAAACCCTAGGCCTTTCTCTATGCTATGTATTGAGTCAGTGGTGGTTTCTATCTCCTGTGAAGTATTAATGTGGATAGACGATCGCCGCCAAAAAATTTAGGGGGAAATATGCCGCGTAGAAGTAGAAACCCGTTCCCTATTTCCCATTTTCTTGGCAGGATGTCGTTCGTCATGTTTGTTATCAAGCGTTAAAAATGTACCGTTACAAATAAAATAAAATTAAGAGGAGGTTACGTATAAATGATTAATTTATACCTTCCTTCATGATTTTACCATGAGATGCGAGCTTATCTATGCACAGCCGCACAATATTTTCGACTTCTTTGGCTGTCTTGTTAGTACTCTTTTGCTATCTCGCTGAACACCGCTCTACATGTTGGCACGAGTGGTCATCGCAATTTTTTTCTCGAGAATTTCTCAAATGGAGAAAATATCCAATTTCCTTTTTAAGGGCATCTATTATTTTTAGTCATAATCTAGAAAGGGATTCTTTTTCGTCGGGTTATTTGATGTGGCTTATGTCCATTATTAGGTGCCTGTTATTCGATTATATTCTACATGATAAACGTCGTATTAAATCACAGTTCCGTAATTTCTTCTGTTCGATTTGTCGAGCAAGTCTCTTGGACCACTGTTCTTCTTCAATAGGCGTGTGGTAGTCAAGTATGAGTGAGAATTTTTGACCGACGCTGCATGTTCAAGAAAACATCTTTTTCTCGTGGAAACTTGACAAGGTTACTATGTTTAGCTGTGGTAATCTCTCATCCATGGTGTTACAATATAAGCATCCAGGTGACCGCCTGTTGAATATTTGTTGCCAGTTTGTCTCAAAATGCTTCATCACCGGAAGCTGGACTAATATAATTGAGGAGACCCAAATGTCTTTAGTTAGAGTAATAAGTGCCATGGATGGTGGTTTATGAAGGCAAAGGAATATCTATAATTTAATTTTTATTCACAGTATGACCACTTTGGAGATCAATATTTTGACAGAAATCAAATCATTGGGGGTAAAATAGACTGATTTTTTTCGGAACTCTGCTTGTAACTTTCAGTGACTGAAAGTTTTCAAATTTTTTAAGTGACCGGAATAAATGAGACGTGCTTATCATTGCTATTGAAGATTTGGCTCTTGAATGGGTTAGACACTTTATCATGGAGGAATAATGCTGTGTGCCCTCAGTAAGTTACCAAGTTTTCTATAGCTTCTAGAGTAACGTGAAGAATAGTGCTTCTAAGGGGAAATTTATTTACGTTAATACGGATGCAATCTGACAGCATATTCAGAATGTTAAATGTAGGTTTAAATTAGTCCATAATATTACGTTCTGTTGGGGCGTGTGATGGATCCATGGAGAAGATTTGAAATTTACAGGGCATAAAGATGGAAAAGCAATAATCGTCACTCAGATTATTTTTCTCGGAAAGATAAAGGAGGTATTTGAAATAAAAAATTTATCAACTACGACGTAGCCTAAACATGATGACAAAAGATGTGAGATGAACTGCTGCTTACATTTCATCATGCATCGTTTGGTTATCCAGAAATCTGTCAATACTCAGGCAATGACAGTTGATGTTGTAAATGATTCTTGATCCAATTCTTAGTAGAGCGAGTATGCTCTCTAGAAATGGTAAGCTTTGAGATCTGCTGTTAAATAAAGTTGAACTTCAACGCACTAGTAAGGTGTCCTATAAGATTTTTGACCGGCGTTCTTTCAAAGTTAATACTTGATGCTTTTACATCTTCTTTTAGAATGGAGGAAGAATTATGTTAAGAATGTCGGCTTGTCAGCTAGCATTGGATGATTGAAATCGGGTTCATAGGATGGGACTCGTGATGCTGAGATAGGTGCTCATAGTTCTTAGTTACTTGAGTTGCATTTGCTATAAATCCCTTAAGTTTACAAATATTATAAATCCCTTAACGTGAAACCTGTTGACCATGTAGAATCGATGCTCTTGTTTTTATCCTTGACAGCATTAACTATCCCGTTATTGTTTTGTATTTATATATTACTCTTCTGATGAGTGTTAGTTGTTTCCAGAAAATGCTTCTGTATGGTTTGCCTTTTTTATTATTATTGTTTTGTTAGTTTACATTTTATTTTTTTAACTCAATTGTAGGCTCGAGTTGGTCTGTCTGCACAGGCTCTGCATAGTTCTTGGTCACCACTTGGTTCGCAACATTTTTCTACTAAGAAAGGTTAGAACTATCCTCTAAATCTAAATTTTCTTCTTTCTTTCCTGCTGTTTCTTGCATAATTGTAGAAAAGTGAACACCCTATTTCTCGTTAATGACTTTATGGCCTCAATTTTCTATTATTTTCCTGTACGGGAAAGGTTAATCCTACATATAATTATGGATCTGCATGTCAGCTCCGGAGGAACCCTAGGTCGCTGGTCTCCGAAAGGAGTGTCACCCGAGGAAGACCAGGGAGAAAAATAACTGCAGAAAAAGTTGTCAATTACAGCCAATAGTCTAGGTTTATACTAGACTTACATCTTAATGCGGATCTAGTCGGAGGGGTCTATTAGGGTCTATTAAGGTCATGATTACAATATCAAGAAAATAGAAATACAATAAATAAAAGTGAAAGGGAAAAAGATAATATTAATTTCAGCACTACAGTATGCTGTTTGTTTATTATATCAGGGAAGTTATCACTTATTCAAGATGGGTACTATCCTGTGAATCCGTAGTGGTTGCTAATATGCTAATTACCAGTCAAGGCTTATTATGGTAAGGCGTGTGGTTCTGATTCCCACTATCAGAAAAGCGAAGTCTGCAGAAGCAAACTTTCAAAGAACTTTTTCGTTTTATCAGTTTCCTCTAAGAATGGAGTTATTTTCCGTTGCCATGTTGCCATCATCATGAGTGAAGTGATGACCAATAATAATAAGTGTGTCAAATTTGAGCTGGGCATAGAAAGATCCAAGATTCAACACTGCTTTTGCACGGCTGGATTTTGAGCTAGAATGTTAGAATTAATCTGCCGTTATTTTTATACCAAAATCATCTAATATCAAATGTCCGCATGACAGCTTGGATATTCTTGAAGACAGGTTAATCTTAGGATGTCTTGCACACTTATCTTATCGAACAGTTGAGGTGGTTATTGGCCAGCCAGACCTTTTGGTACTTCCAGCAGACTTTCTGATCTTGCATCTTGGTCAAGAACCTGGGACCACCGTTTGACATTGTGTAGCCTACTTAATGGTCTTAATTTTGTTGACAAATCTTTGGAAATGATGGTCTAGGTTGGTACAATAAACCTTCGGAAATGAGATTTTTCTTTCAGCATTTGGACCCTCAATTCTCAATTTAAGTGGTGACTGTTTGTGAATCGCTGTTTTTCCTCCTTATACATGATCCAGAAGGTATATTCCGGGAGTGCTAGCGATTAGAGGTCACAATTATGCGTTCCACCGGGGGAGCATAACTACTAAAGTTGTTTTCTATATCTTATATAAAGTTCCTTATGATCCTTGGATGAGTCAAATTGCTTATTGATATAACTCCTTGAACAGATCGTAGCTGATACTAATCTTGACTACGTCTTTTCTCTTGCTGCCATGATGATGATGTGTGTATGGGCTTTTTGTTGACGACTAGTCATAGAATGTAAATTGTCAGCAGATAGTGTAAGCCTGTGGAATGTTTGCGAATCGTGGTGCATTTCAATGTTCCATGGGCGTCTTCATTATTCTTTGCACATTTATCTTCTTTGCGTTGGAAAATTCTCAGATGATGAAGAGAGGGAACAACTTGCCAAGGAGATATCAAAGGACTGGAGCGTTGGTACTTCTCAACCATATATTTTTCCATCTCACCTTTTTTCTTTAAAATATTTGTTTACATTCTTCTGAAGAGTTCTGAATTCTTTCTCATGCTTTGGATGATCATTTGCAGTCTTTGAACGAAGTGTAAATGCATTGTTTTTGACTGAAATGGTTAGAGGCTTGATGCTGACGCTCAAATATTTCTTTGAAACGAAAGTTACCGTAAGTTATCTCTCTGCTCTTCCACTGTTGAACATCATCTGCCTTTCACAGCCTCACGTCATTTTAATTTTTTTTCCACATATCATTCGAATTATTATACGATGTTAGCCTGACGGTTCATATGAATGTACATGTAGATTAATTATCCGTTTGAAAAAGGCCCTCTGAGCCCCCGATTTCGTGGCGAGCATGCTCTTCGTCGGTATCCAACCGGAGAAGAACGTTGCATCGCCTGCAAGCTGTGCGAAGCTGTGAGTATCAGTGCTCTTCTTCTTGCACTAATGAAGATCTGAAGTAGATCTTCATGAGTAGATGAAGCTGGTCAACGAGTCCCAATCCTGGTGAACCAGACTTTCCTTAATGAGATCTCTGTTGACTTTGCCAGATTTGCCCGGCGCAAGCCATCACCATCGAGGCTGAGGAACGTGAAGATGGCAGCCGTCGGACCACAAGGCACGAGCATCTTACAGCGCGGTTTCTCATTATATGATGATGATTCTGTCTTGCATGGTCCAACCGGCTTCTACCTTCCGTGTGATTCACAGGTACGACATCGACATGACCAAGTGCATCTACTGCGGGTTCTGCCAGGAGGCGTGTCCAGTTGACGCCATTGTGGAAGGGCCCAACTTCGAGTTCGCCACTGAGACCCACGAGGTGGGCTTTCTCGTTGACTTGCTCGCCTTCGCCTTCTCTCCTTCGTGTCCAGGATCTCCTGAACTCTCTTGTGGCATCTCATGTAGGAGTTGCTTTATGATAAGGAGAAGCTGCTTGAGAATGGGGACCGGTGGGAGACCGAGATCGCTGAGAATCTCAGATCGGAGAGCCTTTACCGGTGAGTGTTTGACTTTTCCGGGATCCAGGGCCTGGCAAGGACAGAATAAAGCCGTGATGTGCCAGACCCATGTCTTCTCTACTGTGTTCCTGCCCCGTTGACCATCTCCTTGGGTTGGGAGCTTTCACCAGCGGAGGCCTTCCCTACTGCTTTTGTTTTTCTTTGCATGCAAAGTTTTCATTAAAAAATAATAATAAAGAACTCCTTCCATGCACCTACTGTTTTTTAGTTATCGAATCGAGAGATTTGACATCACCTAATCAGAAATCACGTGTTTTGTATTGGTTTGACTAACTTTGACGTGGTGTCTTTTTAAGTTCAAGCGTTGACCATCATGGATTTTAAATTCGAACCCATGGAGAATGCAAAATACTGGGTAGCATACAGCAAGATCTTCTGAAAACACCACCTTGCTACCACCTCCTTGATCCCATCAATCTGTTACCGTACACATTTACGGCAAATGGCATCTGCCCATCTGCAGCAGTGAAAAGCATGGCTGTCTGCGATGTCAAGCTTATTAAATCAAGCAACTTGCTAATCCCAAGAAGAGTTCAGGAACATCAGAAGAGGGACATCGATGCATCGAGGAGCGATTATCCGCCGGCGGCACGGGCTTTCTGGACGAAGCGGTAGACGGTGATCCCCACTCTGGAACCCGGTAGAGGGGGGTCGGTGTGGATCACCGAGACCTCGAAGAGTTTCCTGGCCTTGCGGAAGAACACCGCGTCCTTCTTCCACCTCCTCAGATGGGCCAGGACAAACACAACCTCCCCAGTGACGAAGAACTGCAACGTCTGCAGCAGAGGATCGAAGAGGTGGTCGTGGTAGACCACGTCAGAGGCCATGACGAGATCGAACGCTGGGGCGTCCTTCTCCGACGCGCCGCCGAGGCCGGCGGCGTCCTCCTCGTGACGACCCCATTCGAGCTGCCGCACCTCGACGACGCCGCCTCGGGCCGCGACGGCGCAGGCGTTGGCCTGAGCGTTGAAGAGCAGGTTGGGCAGGACGTGCGACATGTCCGTGATGGTGACGCGGGCACCCAACACGGCGGCGGCGGCGATGCCTACTAGCCCTGTGCCTGCTCCGAGCTCCAAGATGTTCAGATTGGGGAGACAGCGGCGGCTCGTGGGGAGAGATGCGAGGAGCAGGGAGGGGTTCTGATCGAGGAGGGAGACGAGGGAGGAGGCCGCGGGCCAGAGCTGGAAGGAGAGTCCCTGAGATGGGAGCTGTCGTATAGTCAGTACCGCGCCGATCGATCCGAGCTCGTAGTGCCGCTGCTCCGGCTCGTCTCCCGGCGAGTGGTTCCCCATCTCCTCCGGCTTCTCCCCATGGCTCCGGCCATCTTCACGGCGCAGGACGGCCAGGAAACCGATCTCGCCGTCGTCGTCGCATTCCTCCGCCTTCATCTCCATCTCCCGCCGCCACGACGCCCCCGGTAGGTCTTCTTGAACTGGAGCTTCCAAACCCCAGTGGATCGATAGCAAAGTTTTGATGAAAGCTGCCCGCTTGGTGGGCGGGGACGATCAAATGGGCCGCCGTGCCGCATCACATAGAAGCCGAAGATAAGGAGTAGTTGGCCCGGAAGCAAAACCTTGAGGACGATCCAATGAATTCATGACAGGAGCAGAAAGAAAGCCAAGCTAGGTTCACTGGGCTAGCTAGCGGCCATGTTTCCTAATCACCGTGCGGTAGCCAGACTTGGTGGGCTTCCCCCAGGGGGACACCGACGGCCTGCCACCCTTGGTGCGGCCCTCACCGCCGCCGTGCGGATGATCCACGGGGTTCATCGCCACGCCGCGCACGACGGGGCGCCGGCCGAGCCACCGGCTGTTGCCGGCCTTCCTGAGCTTGCGCACGCCGTGGTTGGGGTTGGAGGCCACGCCGACGGTCGCTCGGCACCGTGAGTCCAGCACCTTCTCTACGCCGGAGGGCAGCCGCACCAGGCACTGCGCGCCAGGCTCCTTCACCACCTTGGCGAAGGTCCCCGCGGAGCGCGCCAGCTTCGCGCCCTGGCCCGGGTGGCACTCGATGTCGTGCACCCACGTCCCCATCCGCATGTTGCCCAGCGGCAGGCAGTTCCCCACCTGGGAGTTGGGGTCGAGGATTCCATGGCAGTAGGCTGCGGCCTGGTCTGAGCTTGTGCCACCTTTGGAGGGCTTGGACAGGTCGCAGTTCATCACCACGCTGCCCACCTCCAGCTGGTGGCTCGCCAGTATGTACGAGTAGAGGTGGAATCCAGAGCCTCGCTGCAGCATGACCACAGGGCAGCGAAGTTAAGGTCGGAATTGTGTGATCGTTGGTGGGGAGGAGATTGGAGGGCCAACCTTGTCGCCGAGCTTCTTTGCGCCCGGAGCCTCTGCCGCGCCGGCGGTCGTCTCCGTCACCCAGCGTCGGAGCAACAGCCCCAGAGCATTTGAGGAATCTGAAATCAAGCACTTAAAAATGAGGATGGCCATGGCCGGGGCCGATGGGCTCTGCAGTTAGCTTACCTTTTATCAGGGGCTCTTTGATGGCCGCCACCCGTCTGCAGATCGTCCTCGATAAGTTCAGCATCGTCCTGCCTTTCAAGTTGTACAAGAAATCAGTGAAGGTCCCCATGTACTATGATCGCACAAGCATATTCATGGGCATGGAAATCGCGACTGGTTTACTGACGGTCTAAACTGGAGCACGAATTTTCGATATCCCCCTCACAGTTTACGAATCAATGAGCGAGTAAACTTTGAGCGATTGATCACAAGAAAATGGGCGAATCATGGAGTTCGTCTTCATACAATAATTTTTTGTACTGAGGCCGCTTCAGTTTGCGGTGGCAAAGCCCAGACTGGTAATAAACATATTAGAAACCACCGAGGGTCAACAGGATAGTACCAATCTTGAACAAGTAGCAACTACCCATGATATATAATAAACAAAATCATGTAGATCCATAATTGTGAGTAGGATTAAGCTCTCCCCGTGTAGGAAAATAACAGAAACTTGAGGCCAGAAAACATTAACGGGAAATAGGGTGTGTTCACTCTTCTGCAATGCCCAGCTTAGAGAGACAAGGATAATAAGAAAATTATCCAAGAAACAGCAGGAAGGAAAGAAGAAAATTAAGAATTAGACGACAGTTCTAACCTATCTTAGTAGAAAATTTTTGTGAAGCAAGGGCTAGCCAACAACTATGCAGAGCCTGTGCAGACAGCCCAATTCGACCCTATAATTGAGTTAAGAAAAAAAAATGTAATGTTACCAAAAGAAGAAGAGGAAAAAAAAAAAACTGTGCACAAGCATTTTCTGGAAACAGTTAGAATTCATCGAAAGATTAAAAAATATATATAAACGCCATAAAAGGGATATTTTTACTCTCAAGGATCAAAACTTAGAGCATCTATTCTGCGTTTTAACAGCTTCAACATTAAGGAATTTAAAATATTTAAAAACTTTAAGAAATCAAGCCCAAGTAACCAAGAACTATGAGTATCAATATCAATATGCTATTAGCCTGCATTCAACCATCCAATGTAAAGATAAAAACTTTTGGGAGAAGCATCTGAGTAGCTGGCCTGCCTGACATTACTCTTCTACCATTTTACAAGAAGAAGAAGATGCAAAGCATCAAGTCAAGATTAACTTTAGAAATGATATCGGTCAAACACCTTACAAGACAGCTTATCAAGTGACTTGAATTTTAAACTTATTTAACTGAAAATAAATTCTAAAAGCTTTCTGTATACGTTGAAGAATCTTAGGTGCTATAAATGATGGAAAAATGTGAAGCTTAAACGTATGCAATCTCGGGGATTTTTTTAATATCTATGAAAGTTAAAATCATACAATGAATTATGCATGCCAAACATTATCTTCATTTCTAGAGAGCATCTTCCATCCGCTAAGAATTCCATCACAGAATCATTTCAACACCACTGATCATTGCCCACTATGATGACTCATTTCTGGATAACCCGAGGATGCATTGAGAAATGCAAGTGACACTTAATCGCCCAATATTTAGTTTTATTATATATCGAAGATATTTCTCAGTCGATAAACTTTAGACTTTTGAGATACTCCAAATACACCAATTACCCTTACGGCGAAATTACATATTAATGATGATGATTGCTTTTCCATCTTTATGCACAGCACGCATAAAATTATCTCCATGGGTCCATCTACACACCCCAAATAAACGGTAAAGCTATGGAGTTATATTATCATCATAAAGAGCCTCCCCAGTGTATGCAAACATAAACCAAGTATAGTGGAGAAGGAATCCCAACAAATAAAATGACGCCCATTACCAGGCTAGTATAAACGTGACGAGGTTCCCAATAAATTCATCCACTCATGGGAACAGTCCATATGATGCCAAAGTTGAGCACCATACAGCTACATGTCACCAAAGACAGATTGAAATGTCTCGACAGTAAATATATCAACTTACAATGCACAAGAGACAAGTGACATAATTCCACGGTTTGATATACCAAAATCATGATACATAAAGAGACGAGGCCCCTCTCTCCTCAATGAGTTCATCTACTACCACGTACCAGAGCACCCATGGACACGATAGATTATTGCGGCAGCCAGATGAGGGAATATCATAGAAAAATTAATTAGTCCAGATGCAAAAAAATGCTATTCCTTTCAGAATCCACAAGATTTCAAAAAAACGCCACAAAGTATAACAAACACAGCAACCTAGAGGCACTGAATTTCTACCCCATTGTGGGACAAACATACGCAGCTCAAAGGTAAAACCTCAGGAGGAATCGGATCTATGCATGCTAGACAACACTGGATGAAAGAGAAATTTGGCATCTTCATGAAAGTACTAATTTTCAATGCCGAGACATTTAAAACGTTCAATTTTTATTTTTTTTGGGATCGATTTACATGAGATTCGCGACGGAGGGTAGCTACTACCCTTCTCCTCTCGCCTTCATTTTTTCTCTTAAAGCCTTTCACAAGAGTAGTCAGATAGCGGCGCCCACTGGGCACTTTTCTTTCCGCACATCTTTTTGAATTAGGGTTCACAGAAAGTAGAAAACGTCAACCAAAGGTGAGTAGTGAAATAGGAGTGCTTGCCGGACAACATTTTTGAAAACTATCATGCAGCCAGTATAATCAATTATGTAGTGGAAAAAAGTCGCTTCCTTTAAGCCACGTTCAAGGGCAGTGTCCCATTAGTTGTCTCAGTAAAATGTAAAAGCACATTCCGCTGTTCACAAGAATCATAATAATTAAGTGGATCATACCCTACTGATCGTCTAAACCTAATAGAAAGATCACAGCAGCTCTGAAATTGGTACCCTAGTCAAGTAATGTTCTACAGAAAGACCGCCCAGCCATGCGAAAACAGTCAGTCAGACGATCAATAGACCAAAAAAAACTGGGGTAAGAAAAGTTCCCATTAGGCACCCACTAGGCCCTTTCCATAGTTCGCAGATCAATCGAACACAGGAAAAGCCCGTCTTCCCATTGTCTTTGCAAGTGTATTATAGAAGTAAACGCACTCAATTCGATGCATCATGCAGGTGAGAGGCAAACAAACATATGCACGAGGGAGATTATCTCTCTTCAGTACTTGGCGAAGATCACGAACCGACCTTAGCTCAACCCATCCACCACCTTACTCACACACGCGCAAGATACATCCACGCATGCACAGAGGCAAATAAAGAGAGAGCGGAACGGGATCCTTCAAGGCCACCAGTCGCTCACCTCACTCCGGGGTCTGTTCCTCAGTAGACAGTGACGACTTCCACAGACGCAGCGGGCCACGGACGCAGGAGACGCAGCCAACTTTCGCTGCCACCGGCGCTGGCCGGGCAGGCATAGAGAGAGAGAGAGAGGGAGAGAGAGAGAGAGAGCGTAGGGTTGGCGCGAGGGATTCGACGGAAAGGATCCACTCTCAAAATCTTCGATCGTAGGCCTCGACTGGGCCCATTGCAGGATATGAAAGTCGGTCGTCAGATTATCATCAGACGTTGGAGAATTCCCTAGCTAGGAGATCCCAACTCGGGTAGACTTCGGCCCATTGGGCTCGTCCAGCAAAGGCCCATATTGGACAAATACCCAGGCCGCGTGGCATTTTGGAGAGAAAAAATATTCTTAGGGATATAAAAATAAATTTCCTGATAATTTCTCAAAATGCTTTTCTTTTTAATATATAATCGACGTAGCGGCTGTGCGATTTACAGAGGAGGCTGAGAGAGGCAGCCGTTGACTCCTAGAGGTGAGCCGAGTGAAGTAACTTCCCCGTTGGAGAGCAGATTCTCCTCCACGCTGATGGATTCAAATCTTCGGCGTTTCTCAAGCGCCTCCTTCACTCTCTGGTCGAAAGCTTCATCGGAACCAGGCAGCATATATCGCAGCTTAAGATTTATCCGGTTCTCCACCAAGATCCTGTGCCGCGGGATGATTCTCCCATCGAGGGAGTAGCTGAAGAACCTGGGCAAGAAATCTTCCTTCAGTAGAGAAGATCATCGGCAGAAAAATCACATCTTTAGATCTCAAACGAATGAGAAACAGTCAAATGAATGTCGATGGATACAAATAAATGAAGAAAATTGATTTTTTTTTCGTGGGTTCCTGATGGGCATTCAAACCATGGGATTTGAGGACATGAACTCGGATCAGAAGACCAAGCTGAGGGGAACTGCGGATTGGGTCATCAGGAGCAAGAAGTGGGTCAAGAAGAACTTGCCTGGGGAACTCGATCAGATCCTGCAATGGCCGAACCATGACCCGTCTCAAGTACCGGTACTTGGGACGAAGAACATCCAGATTATACTTCAGTAGCATTGGAAAATCGGCGATCATCTCCCCCAGTGACCGGAGGGGGATTCCCAAGGACAGAAAGTACTTCACATTGACGTCGAGCTTATCTGTGATGCTGCACCCAACAAGCTCTGGCTCCAAAGCTAGCACCTTTCCGATATCCTCACGGGTGACGCCGGCTTTCGTCATTAGGAATACAACCTGTGCATAAACTTGGTGATGAAGATCACTTTCATGCAAGAACATGACGACTAGATTGATGAATCACACGGGGAGGGATAAGGTGAAGAACATACCACTGGTCGGATTTTCTTGTAGAGACTGTATGTTAGTATTGAGGGGAACTTGACCAGCACTCCACCGATGGCTTCCGGTCGGACACCGATGTCCTGTAGAAATCTTACCTTAAACCGCACAAGACAGAAGATACGCCATCAGAAGCTGAAAATTTCACGGTGCAAGAACAGGAATGGAGCATTTTTAACAGATTTTCTGTCCTAAAAAATGTGTAATGATCGATGAATATATATACTATATATTCAACAAATTGGTTACTGAGACTACTCTGAACTGATACCAGAGCTCCAAGATTCCCAAGAACAGAGATCATCGTCAGACTAAAGAGAGATTGTAACAGTGAACGAAAAGGAAATGCAGCAAAGGTTTTTCTCTAGCAAACGCTGTGCATAATGTTTGCACTGGAAGATTCAATACCTTCGGGGCAATCGTTGTCTCTAGATCAACACAAAAAACCATAGGTTTCATCAGTAGTATTCTTTTCATCCCATCTCTACCAACTCCGAGGTAGTACAAGTACTTCACGAGCGGTTTCCATCTCTCCTCAATGCTGCAACCCATCAGCTGAGGCTTATGGGCCAATAATCGTCCAAGTTCATCAGTATTCAAACCGAATTCTCGAAGATAGTCAACCTGGCGCAACATGTAATGCTTATTCAGCATGGTGTCAGAAACAAAACAATTGAGGTTTTCTGGCATGAAAGCAAAACAAAGACATTGTTTTCTGAAGAACTGATGCAAATTAACTCACTTAAAGCGGTTCCAGATAAGGACTAGAATGGAGCTTCAAAATTATTCATTACATGCACCATAGAAATGCTATTTCGACTTAGAGTGAATACCTAATGACAAGTAAGCTGCAAGAACTCAGACCGCACCAAGAATGAAAAAAGGGTAAGAAGAAATCTAATAAAAAGCTTAGTAGATAAACCTTCCTACTATGACAAATACCCAGCTGATAATTGTGCGATTATTTATTTGTTGCTAAAGTTCTTGGATTACTACTCCACGACATCTTAAATTCATAAGAAAACTCAAAAATAAAAAGATTCCCAAGAGCTGATACCATGCCACAACATGAATACAGCTCGTCATACCATGCTGCAATATCCCACTAGAATTGCATAGCATTACGACAGGAAACTGATGCTATGTTCAGCATTTTAGAAGGAAAAAAAAAATGATGAACGTTACCTTATCATTCATCACGTCCAAATCAAAGAAGCCCAGTGCCTTGGGATAATCATAAACCATGGTGCCGAAATCATTCCTGTTTATGCCCATTTTCAAGTAAAATTTCACACGCTGCTCCAAGTCTTCCATGCTAAAGGTCAGAAGCTGCGGGCATCGGCCTACAACAAAGCCCACCCAATCCCTTCTTACTCCATTTTCCTCGAGGTATTCAACAAGTTCATCCAATTCATCCGTGCTACGATCTATGAGATTTTCTGCTCTGGTGAGAACCACACCGAGGAAGGCCCCCTTCACATGAATGGACTTCAACCACTCCGCCAGATTCCTCAAGCGTTCTAGATTACCTGTGCACATGCATATGGCCTTTCCGATCTGAGGGTATGACAGCGAATTGTGCTTCAGCCACCTGATGCAAGCAAAATCCCGTCTAAGAATCGGAAACATCAGATAGAAGATCGAAATCCTAGACAGGTATTTCTGTAGAAGAAATCAAGGTTTTACTTGACCAGCGGGATGACGCCGGAGCTCTGTATATAGTTGTTCACACGAGCATTGAAATTCATATGCGAGAATTCGGGGTTCCTCTTCATGGTGGCAGCCCCGATCAGCACTCGATCCACAAATTCCGACAGGCGAGATACGAGGTTCGTAGAGTATGTTATGCTGAGCTTGGATGCCCGCATGGCCTCCTTCAGTATCTCGGCGACGACACCTCGCCGGACCTCGAGAGCCTGAAGCAGTACTCTGCTATCGCCGCCCACAGAAGCTGGGAGAGTGGGGACATCCTCCTCTGCCTTTGGGAAGTCGATGGCACCCGGAAACCTGGGCTTCCTCCGGTTGACAAGGGAGACCTCCAGCATCTTCTCCTTCTGTAGCTCTTCACCATCTTCTTCTCCCTCTTCCTCTGTCACCAGTATTTCATCTTCACCTTCCTCGTTAACTCCCGTTTGCGCATGCGACCCAAGGTAGCCGAGGACGGCAGCAGACCTGGCGTTGTGCTTCCGAAGCCCCCCGGGGCGGAAATCACCCTCCTCATTATCACCATCGTTCGTCGCTGCGGCTTCCGACGCTGCCGTAGAGGCGACAGATGGCACCGGTCTCCGCTTCCCGTCTGCCTGGTTCTGGAGGGAGAATTGGAGGGAGTTCTGTGGCAGAGAAATGGGAGGAAAGATGGGAACCAGGGGGATTTTGGAAGTACATAGAGGGAGGCAGCCATTGCGGAGGATAGCGGAGGAGCTGAAGGGGGCGCTGTGGCAGTGCCGGCAGAACAGCATCCGACCTGCGACGAGGGAGAGCGGATAACGCGGAATGTGGAGGCTATGGGGAGGGAACGGGGAGATGGCGTCAGCGACTGAAATCTCAGCTTCCTTGAAATCAGTATAACCGCTTGAGGGCAACCAGGGCTTCCACCAGAAGCCAAAAGCCGAATTGACCCTCGACGGCGCTCTCTCCGTTTGGAAGAAAGGCCCAATCATTTCTGTTCGAACTTACTGCCTCCTCTCACAAGGTAAGCCACTCTTTTGAGGAAAATTATGAGCCGTTAACGGGCTCCATACTTCTCTGAAGATGCGAAGAGCACCCTCAGAACTTACTTCCTCTGAAGTTAAGAAGAGCGCTCCATTGGGTGCGCGCGCGCGCGCGCGAGAGAGAGGGAGAGAGGGAGAGAGGGGGAGAGAGAGAGTCCCCACCTATGAGTCTCTCTCTCTCTCTCTCTCTCTCTCTCCCTCTCTTCCTATTAATTGGGAGAAGAAGATGAGAGCGAAGGCAATGATCGCCCAGATTGCACACCGTCTTCACGGAACGGAAGTGAAGCCCAATACATTATTCAAGCGGCCGGCGGAATCCCTGTTACGGCAGACTCTTCACAGGATGCCACAGACAAGAGCATCAACAACATAGAGCATAATGCCAAGGCCGCCGCCGTACACACCAAGATCGAGCTCCTTTGCGAAATTTCGTGTCCCTCAAAAAAAAAAAAAAAAAAAAAAGGAAAAAAGAATGACGCCCGAGACGGGAGGAAAACCGCAACCTCCATGGCCTCCCATTGCCGCAGAAAAGCCCTCTCTCTCTCTCTCTCTTCACAAGCCAGGAGGGAAATTACTGATCTGCCCCTGCTCCAGTGTGTCCTGGTTGTTCACCTTGTAGGCAAGCCGCATCCGCATGGCGAGGGCTTTCTGAGAGAAGAAAAATGAGGGTTTCTCTTCAAAATATTTCTCCAGAGCACAACTCCGAAGCCCTAAGTGAGACGGAAAGAAGACGAGAAGAAAAGGAAAGCCTAAGCCGAGTACCTGCCCATGTTGGCTGTTGGTGAGGCTCAAGCTCTGCGTGACTGCCCCCTTGCCATTCGCAGGAAGGATGTTGCTGCTGGCTGGATCCAGATGTAACTGGATAAACTGTCGAAAAAGGGCAGCTTGCTGTGTCAGAACTGCGCAGAATAATTTCCTTTTAAGGAAAAAATGATGCGGCTGATTCACGAAAAATCATGCACTGAAACGGGCCTTCAACGCTATCAGCTACTGACCTCCGAATCTAGCAAACTCTGGTTCTTTCTAAAAATAGATCGTGGTGTGGGGGCGCTCAGAGTCATTATCAGATGAGAGAGAAATGTTTTTCGCCATTATTTTGGAGATTCGCATATCGTATGCTATATGCCGTTCAGATCATTTACTCATGGGCGTTGTCCACCAGAACCCAATTAATGTAGATCGTATGGCAGTTTCCTTTATTAGGTTAATCTTTTGATTGCTGACAAGGGAACCCCTATTACCAAACGAGGAGAAGTCAACAGTACTAACCCCTTCCTCCTAATGACTCGCTTACGAGGAAGAACTCCTAATGGCTCCGTCTAAGGATTCTAAATTTGATGATATAGAAAAACTGCTTCTGAATTTTCAGAAAAATATGAGATTGAAGGAAATATTAAAATTCAAAAAAAAAAAAAAAACTTGATATAACTTTGAACACGCTTTAAATTTTGAAATTTGATCCTACTAGATAAATTTAACCAAAGTACCATTCAAGGAACAGGAAAATGTATTGATTGTGATGTGGGATCATCTGGTACGGGTAAAAAAAAAAAGCAGTATAGAAAGAAAATTATGTATCATATATACGAAATGAAACACAATAATACTGAAAATATTGAATAAAAAAAAATCAGATTAATACACTTTACCTTAGGAACAGCTGCTTGGAAAAGAAAATCCGTGTAATCATTAGATGACAAATTGGTAAAAGTTGCTTGGATTACAGTCACTTGTGGCTTTCCAGGTTGCTTCGAGAATTGGAAGGTTATTTTCAAAGAGCTGCTCTGGAATGCAGTGATAGAAGGAAAAGCAGGGGTTTCTTCTCCTGATTCAAAACAAAAACCATTACCACTAAGTCTTATCATCAAGCATACGCCCAAAAGAAAATTAAGAACGTTCAAAGACTTACTTGGTAATAAATCATTGGAATTAAATCCATCCAACAAATCAACAACCGGGGACACTCCAGGATTTGGCTTTGTTTTCTGAGATGGGTCTTGGAAAGAATCCAATAGTGATCTCTGAGGGGTAGAAGAAGCTAGAGATGAAAGTGATAATCTATCAAGGGACGCGATTGCCTGTGTGTTGTCCTGTTTCAAGGAAATATTATCAGGAGCCAATACATCGGTTGGTACAGATGGTGTTCCAACTGATAGCAGATCCATCAAAATATCTACTCCACCAGAAGCCGCAGCAGGTTTTCCTGGACAAAGAAATACAGTATTAGTAGGTTCAATTCCCTCATTAATAAAATAACTAAAGGCAAAATCGTTCTATGAAATGGGGATAAAAGGGGGTTTTCACTTGTAAGTGTTCTAACACCATTCTGAGGAAAACAGCCAAGCACAATGGAGCGCTTTTTCTATTCAAGATGTCTGTAAAGGCTGAAAATAACATTTTTGCCGTTAATCTATATTTTTAACCACACAATAGAAAAGAAAATGGTATCTGATTCAACAAACAATGTGGATCGGTGCTTAAAGAGTGCTACAGTTCACCTTCCTTTGTGCTTTGGTTTCCCACTGCCGGTAAGAAAACATAGTGAAATAAAAGCTAGCCCTTTAAGGTTCTACATAAAATAGGAAGTTCTCCCTCTAAGGAAGGCTATTATCGAGAAAAAAAGAAGGTTGGCCCCGGTAACAGCGAGTACGGTAACAGAAGGAACCCAAGTGTTCAAGGCACAGAACGATAACCATGACTGTCCCGGCAAGAGGTGTGACCCTCTCCATCACCATGTCTAGAATTCATTAATCACGAGACACAATCTAATCAAAGAAAATCTCCATACAAAACCACCTGCAAGCATGATTATATGTCTTAGCCTATTGCAGAAGTAGCGTCATACAGATTACTCATTGCGTTTGGTTGTTCTGCATGGCAACTTAAGTAAACACTTTCACCAGAGAAATATGCGCCTAGCAAATTACCCATCTCCATCCTGACTCAAACAGTTTTGCATTTGACCCAAAACCAGCACATACCTCCAAGTGTAGATCGCTGTTAGGTCAAATATAGCATATGATAAATTATTATGAAATTTCTGAAAAAAATTACCCAGGAGTTAGGTCTACGGATTCCCTTTCATTTCACTTGTTAATAAACCTATAAGAATGAAGGAAAATCGTGAAACAAAGGCCAACCGTGCACACAGATGTCTGAATCAGACAAGCAACGATCCTCAGGAGTTGATAAAAAATGAATGGATACTTAAGTCGTGTTTTACAAAGTTCTTTCATGGCAAAGAAGTTCACGATTATTTTCAAAGAAGCAGGTTCCGTAATTCCATGAGTAGACTTGTGAAACAACTTTCTCCATAGATTTGGACAGTGACACAACTACTTGGCAGAAATACCCAATGATTCGTTACCAAGGGTAAGGAGATATGGGAAGATGCTGTGATGAGTAGATTAGTTCGGGGCCAAAGACTACATTGAGTGTCGTCCAAAAAAAGTTAGTTCCATAACTGAAGCAGTGAGGGGACAATGTTTCATCCTATCAAATAATGTGCACAAGAATGTCAACAATCGATAAAAAAATCGTGTCTACACAGTGCTAGAGAAAATGCATTCACGTTATGATCACAACTGCAAGGACCTTCAAGATTATAGGACTTCTAATCAACATGCATAAAGAGGCATCAAAATCACAGTAATAATTGCCACGCCTATAACATCAATAACATTCAGCTGAACTGGGCGTCCATCGGCACTAAATGAAAATATGATTGGCTTTCATCCACCAAAATGTTATTAAAAGTAGAAAGCCGCAGTGCTAGAGCACTCAAATTTTCCTACATTCTGTAAATGGCAGAAAGATGAAGGAATCGAGAGTCATACCTGTTGAAGAGGGAGTCGTCAAATCCATCCCAAGTAGGTCGTGCAGAAAATCACCAGTAGAGGAATTCGTTTGAGGAATATCATCAGAACTTAAATCAAGCAAATCCACCAAGGGAGCTGAAGTGTGGTTATTGACTCCATTTGGAAGCTTGATGGAAGCTCCTGAAGAAGATGTCTGCGTTGCCTTTTCACTAGCAATGCTTGCTGGGGAGGAACCAGCTCTCTTTAAATTATAAGTAGACATATCTAAGACAGGCATTCGCTCCACTACAGATGATCTGAGTTTTTTCATAGAAAATCATGAAGCCACATTTGATTAACACGCGTAAAGAGCTCTATGAGAAAAGGCGGAAGACAAAGTCATCATTTACCTGATATTCTGATGCTTCTGGATAATGGAATTAAATTCTATAGATCGCTGTTGCAATTCCAGTACAAGGCTTCCCTTTTGCTGAATCATAATTTCCTGTATCCTCCTGCAAAATGACTTAAGAACATTATCCTTTTTTCCTTAAAAATATTGATTAATTTTTTGACTAAATAAACCTTATTTATCAAATAGAGAGGAGAAAGGCAGAACGCCTAATCTTCATTAAGACAATAAACTATGGTCGCTAAAGTTATAATTTACAGGTGTTTAGTTTGCTTATAAAATCAAATGATTTTTGAAGGTGGTGACGCACTATATACATTAAATATCAGAAAAAAAAAGCATGCATATGAACAGCCACCTCTCAACAAACCCTCCTACACAACAGTAATGTACTATAAACAGAGAGGCACATATACATGTTGAAGACTATCTAAAAACATCTCCTTGAATATAATTAGCCAAAAAGACAGTTTTTATAAATTAATTAAACATCGTGTGGGACCTTTAGGATACAATTTCATCTGCAGAGCACAAAACTTACTCTGAGCAGGTGGGGAAGCGGGAGGAGAGCTTCAACAGGGCAACAAGAGACATAGCGCGTGTTGTGACATCAGATGAATGGCGTTTCAGTGCAATCTCTACAACATCTATAACATCAGACTCTGCTACCTGCGCGGAAAATGTTTCGAAATTAATAGAGCATTTATGATATGTGCCAAAGTCTACATGATCATGTTCTGCCAACATGCAATGACAACAAAACTCATATTTGATCACACAAAGCACTCAGACCCACGGGAAAGCGTTTTAAAAAAGGATGGAGAAACACCACAATGAATTTTAGAAAAAATCATGGAGATTGAATTTAACAGCATTATGAGAATGATATCAAATACAAAGCCTACCATTAGTGGCTCATGAGATCTACAGAATGTCCTCATAAGACAGCGGAGAAGGATATCCAGAAATAGAAGATTTTTTCCTCCCCCGTCAGACGTGGAATTTTTTATGCAACAACCTTGGGAACTACATCATATAAAAGGCTCACATCCAAATGTGACCTAATACAATCCATTACTTGTTGAAGTGAAGGCAGGGAAATCGTTCATAACAGAAGGATACCAAAGGTATCAAGGTTTTATGGAATTCGAAGACCCTGATATGGCCAAAGAACAAACAATAAGCAGAAATGATGTAGCAAGAAAAATTGGTTACAAGGAACTTGCGCGGAACACTATTTACACCAGCAGGGAGCCCTTCAGAGAAATATCACATTAATCTACCCTTACACAACTTAAATCAGCAACTAATTTATTGTACATTGAAAAATCAATTGTAAAAACCTGCGTTTTCCTTCATCCAAACACTACCATCTATAGCCTCTTGTTTAAAACTTCTTTGTTCAACTCTAGTAGTCAACCCCTCATATAGTAGAATGCATCAATAATAGCCATCTATAGAGCGAGTTTGAAATCTATCAGCGGATATCCTTCCTCCTCTATCTCAAGAAACCATGCAAATTGAAGCACAACTTCTGCGAAATTTCAACACGATTGTGGGCAGTGATCAATTCAGCTAAGGTGATCTTGAGAGAGCATGGGCGTTTGGACTCTCAAACTTATAGTGGAATTGGTGGAGGCATCAACCAAAAGATGACTGTTCCTATTACGAAGCAATTACTCAGTGACAAACTTGATGACTGAATCATAGAAATTCCTAAAGATGTGTTTAATGATTTGAGTCAGGAACACGCGAAAATAGAGAGTGTGACTTTGCAACAGAAAATTAGAGCTATAAGCAGAAGAAAAAAAGTGGGGAAGAATTAATGTGGCAATCCTTGACACGAGGATGAAAATTTTTCAGGCGAGAAACAAAAAATGCAAACCATAAAGTTGAGGTGTCATATTTTGCATGTAAAATCAACAAGATCACTTGCCATGAACGTGAAACTGAATCAGATTAAAGTTTCTGATGAGCTAAAGACTATTTTCTGGTCACCCAAGTTAAACAGTCAAAAGAGCCTCTTATTTGAGGAATTAGTTTTCACATGGTGTCCACACAAAAAAAGAAAAATTATGGTAGCAAGCCAAAAAGCAAAGCATATTGCGCCATAAACAGAAAAGGTGTGATTTATAAAAGTAATACATCATATACCTTTTTAATGCACCCACATTTTAGTACAACTGATGGGAAATAGCTAAAAGTAAGTGGCTTTTTGTTCAAAAGGAAAAGTAAGAACGAGCTCCCAACTTCCTTGCTCCTTCCAAATCACAGTCCGCATCAGACCTTCTGCGACATACTACATATTTGTAACTATTGAATTGGTCTGACATTTTGCACTAAGTTTAACAAATAATAGACAATTCGTTTCATAATTAGGAATTAGCAAGGCAAAAAACACGAACTTTTCGGACGGGTTATTTTCTCCTGATAGACCGGGAGTTGAAAGTGTATTGCAAGAGACCCTCAAACCAAGAAGTTTGATACTAAGTATACTCTTGTGGAATGTTGCATAAACAATATATAAACGAGAGAAATAGTCAGATTTTGGGTATCTCAAATGAAACTTCAAATAGATTCCCCACAAAGAACAGAAACACTTACAGTTATTGTTTCCTCTTTTCCAAGCACGCCAACATTATTGATCAACATATCACCGTATTCACCAATGCACCACACTGCTACCCGAACTAGGCTTTTCTGTATAACATATCGGCAGAAAATTTAAAAACAGATGATATTGTAAATGCAGAAAGCTCAGCTTTGGTAGAATTATTCAATACCTCCTCACATGATGTCTGCAAAGCCTTGAATAGGGATCTTACAGTATATCCATGAAGTTCAGGTGCATTGCTTATCACGACTATGAGGGCATGCCAGACTTCATCTTTTACAAAATTCCCAGCCTACCAAAAAAAATAATTTATTTATCTGATTTTATCAAACATCCAGATATAACATTTTGAAGGATAAACAGCGCTGTCTCGTGACATATAAAAATGTCTGAGCACATTATGTTGCTTGAGCATGAGCCAATTTCATGACCAAATACGTCACCTCCAAAGAACAGTGATCATTTGAACTCAGAACAGACCAGAAACGACTGGACATATTGGTTAAATCATGAACTGACTTTCAAGCTTCATTCATATGGCACTGGGCATTTCGTTTTTCTTCTGTCATGTAAAAACCAGGCTACTATAGACAGAGCAAGCTTATTGATGCTCATTACATCGAGCATAATTAACGGCAGCATCTGTTCAGCATCACCAAACTTCTAAACAACAACGAAACAGTCTACTTTGAGGCACATGCATTTCATATGTCCGAAGTGTATGCTCAAGAGGACCAAAGAAGTATTACTGAAGACAACAGAGCTAGTCTCCATGAAATCAAAAAGTACACAGTGAAAGAGATCTTGGTGACAGTCTCTAAGTAGACCGCTATGAACCTTGTGTAGATCGTTCCATTTTTTCTCACTGCACTATTGTTTTGAGATAAAATATATGTCAAAGACGACTTAAGAACAACAAAGAGATCGTCACTTACACACTGCAACAAAAGGCTGCTAAGGTGAAGGGCATGACTTATTGGTCACAAAGAGGGCATGAATTTTTACAAATGTAGGGCGAAACGCAGTCGAACAAGAACCATGTTATAGTGACATGGGTCATCACGACAATACCAAACTATAAAGACCATGCCAACAAGGGACCTTACTGTGGAGCCCTCAATGACATATATTGGCAAGTAAAAAGCATAGAAAGCCAAAACCCATTTAGAAAGATAGCAAAAAACCATGTGATTTGACAGGTCCATATTGGCATATAGAAAAATATAAGTTCAACTCAAGATGTTAAAATATTCAGCTTTCACCCTGCACGCAGATCGGGGCTACCAATGACTGATTTGTCGTAAAGGCTAGAACAGTTCACAATCTTGCAAGACAATCTGAAGCACAGAAGCCACTTTCTCCACAATTACTAAACTCTAGACCACTTTGGTTAAGATGAATAGTAGGTAATGAATAGCCTGATATGCAGACGCGCAGACAAGCCCAAACTAATAAGAGGTCAGTTCAGTTAGGTCCTGACTTAAAGCGTCAACTTTCCCTATTTCCCTGGCAAACCAAGAGCCTTGGGCTGGATATTCCCCGCCGACAATGGCAAAGGTCAAGTATCTCACAAACATTGCCTTAGTATGTACCAGAAAAATAAAAGGACATCCTGGACCTGAACATTGCTGAAAAAACTCCCTCATTCAACAAAACAAGCGCTTGTTAGGGGGAATAAATTGTTCAACAAGGAGCCTTCTAGCAGTAACTGATAAGAAATATACGGAATAGCGCATCCATGTGAAAGTCAGAGGACAAAAAATTTAATAACTGAATTCTAGAACCATGATAAACAAGAATACATAATAGGCCAGCCTACCTCTGACAAAACCTTGAGCATTTGATCGATATACCACAACTTCTCCGGGGAAAATCTAAATGAATGGTAAATTACAGATCAGTAGAAATCAGCAAAAACGTCCATAGGACAAGGAGCAGGGAAAAGTTTGAAGGCAAAACTTCGTGAAATAGAAGATACACATAATCTAAAAAACTGGAACAAGTCTAAATAATAGTAAGTAACGAAATCAACAGAAAACTATTTCCCAACCTTAAAATCATGCATTCCAACATAGTCCCACATAAGTTGAGAAGTAATTAAATCCATGGATATCAGAATACATCTAATTTGACAGTACAGAAAATGATAATCATAGCCTTTTATACTGTTTCCAATGTGGCAGCATTATAACGGCGTCAGTTCTATAGTGACAGCCTGTTCTAATCTTCTCCTCTTGTGGCTATTTAAATTTAAAACACCAGTCAGAAAATTCATACATTCCCTTGCATCATTAGTAATTATTCCCACAATTTACATCACTTGTCAGAGGACCCCGATGCTTGCTGAACAGATTTCCAATCGTAGGAAATTGATTATGCTGCCAGTAACTCTCACCAACTTTAAGATTACCACCATGCTCACAAACACAACACAATTGTTGTTATCGACTGCACTTATTCGATGATTGCACGATATTTGATACTAGATCTTCGTTTTCCTGATGTCAGCCTAGACGAAAATCCCAATTCACGACAGGTTGGTTTTTGGGCCACTTAGAAGCAGGCCAGGCATCACGTCAACATGCTGAGTGAGTCAAGTGAAACCAGAAAGCTGCCTTGGACAGTGGCCATGTTCATATTCTAAAAGCCCATCACTTGTAACAAGCATCCAGGAGAGTCTCTTCTACCCAACCTTAATGAGTCTTCAGTCTTTCCCTTTCCTTCTGTGACTCTCTTTCCTCCCTTGCGACTTTCTCATCTCCTTTGTCGACCCCATGTCATCACCTCAAGCACTCTATAAATATCCAGGACATCAAGAAAACTTCACATCTCTAAATCGTAATCAATGATCCCCAACCTCATCAAATAAACGAGTCACAGACATAATCCCAACTACAACAAGACATAATCTGATCACCTGCAGACTAGACATCCCAGATAATAAAAAGTAAACAAAAATGGGAAGGCAAAATTTTATGCTAAAAAAACCAAATCAACCCCACTCACATCCCCAAAAAAGCACACAGTTTCTATTATATCAAAGTACCAGTGATAGATGGTCCTCTTTTCAATCATAGCACCTTATCCCTCCAGTCACCCGCAATCTTAGGATCATATATAAGAAATTTGAATTACAATTGCCTCAACAATGGTCGGTTCATCATCGTTGTTTATGTTTCAAATGCCAGACTAGATATTTATAAATCACCAATCGAATGCTATTTTATTCAGCCACCTTGAAGTAGCCAATTGGCCCAAGGCAAGCCCTCAATAAGTGGTTCCATGGGTTCACCAGCATGAGAAGAAAAGGTGAAATAATAGCACATATCACTTATTTATAAAGCGAAAAATGATGCAGCCATCAGAGCATGGGAAATTTCTTACTTTTCCACAATTGAACAAATCTTCGCAGCAAGGTCTTCCTTGAAATCTTGGTCACTTACTACAAGATAATCTATAAGTTCCTGTGTTAAGGACTGCATGTTTGTTTCATTAACAAGAAGGAAGATGAGCTCAAGGGCCCTTTTGCGAATTGATGCATCAGAATCCTGTACGATTCAAAAGCAAAATGAAGTTATGTTGATATATTGAACACGGATTTGCAATTCCGTCCCTTTCAGTTCAATAGATCAACAAGACAAAAAATGAAAAGAATCTCAATACCTTGACACATTCTAAAATCGTGGCCCTATGCCTCTGTACTGCTTGAGAATCAACTGCAATAGCCTTCATTAGCATATTTAATGCAACATACCTAAACAGCAAGGAAACATAAAAACACGATTAACTAGTGCATGATTAGCTGCTTATCAAGCATTTACATTCCCATGAAACTAGTTCACAAATTCAATAGACAATATACGTATAAAGACAAATAGAATACAAATCATTTTTAAGTAGAGAAAAAAATGCCAAAAAATCGTGGACATATAGACATATCAAAACCCACATTATGGAGAAAGGACTATCAAACAACTAGTAAATCGATAGCATAATGAGAGATATATGTTATCCATAAGAAAATCATTATCATTATTCAGCTTTATCCACGTCTTAGAAGAGAAGTCTCCACAGTTATGAAGAACATTTTTGTTCAGAGGACATGGCAATGATCCTTAAAAAAAATAGAAATGCAAAGCAAAATAAGATCATCTAAAGTGTTAATTCTAGAGAAGTAAATCCTATTTAGGGTAGGGAACACTAGAAAACTTGCTAAAAGTATGCTTCCTGCCATTTACCATTGTATGAACTTAATGAAAGGACTGGTCATATTTGGTGCCCAAAAATATACCTTTAAATAAAATGATCTGGTAAATAGCTTTAGCACTTTTTTAAAAAAAATGAAAATACGACTATACATTGATTAAGAAATTACACAATTCCGTGTCCTTTCACATTGAATTGAAAATTTGTCTAAGGCAAGACGAAAGATAAATGAACGCAGAAGCAGGAAGGTTTAGGAAAGAGCATACTTGAAACATCAGCAATTTTTACATATCTGATGGTGGAAGCAGACGACTTTCTTAAAGACAAACTAGAACACAAAACTTTACGTCAGCAGAAAGCACAAGGAACTGCAATACACAGCATTGCGTTTGCAGGTTGCTCGCAAAGATTATTCAGAAGAGCAGGTAGCTTCTTACCAGCAAGAAACTTGTGAACAGTAAAAGAAGAGAAGTTGAAAGATTGTTGATGGGAATGGACAGGACGCATGTAGGGGTGTCACTAGCAGGGTAGCCATTTAAGATGGCACATAGCATAACATCGTTTCTTCGAAGGCCTGAGCATGGGTCCTTCCAGGTGACATAATTTCAGAATTCAGATGGCTTTCAATTTCGTATTTACATTGAGATAATTTTTTGTTTATATAGTCGTGTCTTTAGTGGGTATAGATCATTCAGATCATTTTTTCATTTAAGTGAAGGTGTCACCATGCTATTTAAAAAATAAATAAAATTATGAGCGTACACGAAAAGTAATATAATAATGCCAGAAACTGCGACAATGAAAGCAAGTATTCGAGGAACAGCCGGGATGAAACTCACCTGATATTGTTATCACGGTTGGATAAGAATCTTCCCAGAATGTTAATTGCAAGCACACGTAAGCCACTGGTGGCTTCAATCCCCATAATAGTTTCAACGCATTCATATAAAATGGCATTCCCAGCATTCTTATTAGACTCGGTTTTGGTTGCAACCTAATCAGAAAATACAGTTGTTCAAATGGTATTCAATAAACTTCTAGTAATACAACCACTTAAAATCCCTGGCTATTGAAAATACTAGGACAACTAGCTGTTTATCTAAGCGATTTTTCTTTTCTTTTTTTCCCATTATTGATCATGGACCAAATAGAAGCACGAAACTAGACAGAAATCAAAGCCTAAAAAACACAGTTAAATTTCCCGGGATTTGGTAGGATTCACCATAAACATAAACAGTAACAGAAGATTAAGAAAGGTATTGAATAGGGAAATAAAAATGGACAGGTTTTATTAAAAGTTGTAGTGCCACGATATTCTTGAAGATAAGAAAATAAGTGTGTAAACCACGAGCACCAAAAAACCTTTCTACATGTCATCATAGTCCACCAATAACGTCGAACCAAAATTAAAAACCATACAACCTCAAAAGAAGAGTCTCCTCTCCTTCAAACCATCCAGTCTCACCCACTCCATCTTGTCACGACCCCACTTTAAATCCTTGAAAGACGCACCTCTCTCCGTTCTGAAAATGTGCATGTCTGTCTCCATCTATATAACCCAGATAAACACATACGAACCAACACACAAGGAAGCGTGATCTATCTTCCTTTTCCATGCATATTCCACCACAGCCAAAGATCATCAATATGACATGAGGATTGCTACTATATACATATGTTACAGGATAACGATTGTAAAATCTCCTAAATAAGGAGTAACACGTGAGAAAATGTTCCCGCATTTCTCCTTCCTCCTCATAGAGTCTGCACACATTGTGACTACCATCCATAATGGTAGTCAGTCGATCATGAACAGGGAGTCTCCCCTGTGACTTCATCCACACCGAAACTTTGAGTTTTAGAGGAGAAGGCGAACTAGTGTCTTCATTGGGGATAATACAATATAACGACTGACAGAGAAGACTCTTAAAACATCCCAAACCCAACATCAACCATCAAAGAGAAATATTAAGCAGTTTTATAATAACAGCCGGCAGTTATATGCAATGAAACGGTGGTTTGGAAGCATTCAAAAATTCTAATCAATCATAATTTTATATTGAACTAAAAAATGATAATTCGATCAAGATAACCACAACAATGAAACTCACTTGCGCAAGAATGTCATTCATATATTCACTGGCATCTGCATCATCCTGACCTAACATGTGCATGAGTCTAAGCACTCGGATGTGCAGGAAAGGATCGGTTATACCCGCAACATCGTACTCTGGTGCATATGCGCTATTTGACACATCTTTGAGAATTCGAACTGATACGTCTGTGCAGTTCTGTAAAATAATCGAGTAGTATGAAACTAAGATAAATGCATTCAAAATTTAAGAAAGCATGAAGCTAAAAAAGCAGTCCTCAGTTTCAAGACAATAAAATCTGCATCATACATTACATCCAACTATCGTGCTATCTGTATGAGTTAAAATACAGGGACCAAAGATGCATACACTAGACTAAAGGTCAAAGAAAAAATATCGAGCACAGTAGAGGTTGGTTTCACCCAGGGATATCACAATGGAAGAAAGCTCTTGACAAGTGAAAAACAAAGGCACAGAAATTAGTCCTCAGGTGCAGTGTTAATGCTTTTCATCGTGATTGAGTTGTGGCTATAATGGTGATTAGAAATGAATCGTTTACATGTTATCTTCTGGGCGTTTCTTACGGCTATGCCACATTTCTTTTCTGCATGAAAACAGATGCAAAATCTCGTACACGAATGAGAAAGCAAATAAATGATCAAGTTATGCCATGGACCAGTTCAGTGACAACTAAAAGAATCCAGTATTTAAAAGGAAATTCCACTGAAAATATTAGAAAAACTCTAACACATCTGTGCATTTGAATAACCATCATCTATAAGAACCCTACCTTTCTAAGATATTCAAGGGCCTTAACACTTGCTTTGCATAGATCAGTACAGAGTTGAATTCCAGCAATTAGGACGCCATGATGTTTTTCCTTGAGTAAAGATGCGGCAGGACCCATGAAATTCTCTGCTAAGTCTGGTACTTTTCTTATAATCCTTATGGAGCATAAGGCAGCCTTCCATGTAAGCAAAAACAAAGTCAGCCAACAAACATTGAAATTATGAACCATAAATCCCAAAAAAATAGAAAAGAAACTCCGTGGTATAGCCGGAATCCAATTACTTTCATATATAATAACATGTTTCTAGCTATCTTCCATTAAAAGGGAGACAAAAACGTAGAGAGTGTCATTTGGAAGCACTCAACAACATATCCCGTATTCTTAACTGATTCAGCCCGATGGATGTGAAAGCCCTCAAGCACATTCATGTTACCATTGAACTGCTTTCATCCTTGTAAAATCACCATTTTACTCAAGGTTACACAATACTGTCGATTAGTTATTCATCTCGCATCAGCTATACCTTTTTGCGGTTTTATCTTTTTTTTTCTTTAAAAAAAGGATCGTATACTATTCATAAACAACAAGAGATGAAATAACTAATAAATCAAGTAAACTTAGATCTTTGAAAATATTTCCTAATCATTTAATGTAAACAAAAACTACCAGCATTCGAGCAAGCATCCACCGGCAACAACGACTCACATAGATGTAAATCGGCAGTCTCAGTTCACAGAAACTCCTTTAAATGTACCTTCTTCTTAATGTTTGGGTCTCTAATTTGAAGAAGCCTTTCTACTTCAGGAGCTAGATCATGTGCCATTTCTGCTGAACATATGTTCCCTAGGGCACAAAGAGCGAGGCCCACGATATACTGATTGGAATGGTTGAGATCTCTGCAGAAAGGTCAAGGTTTCTACAGAATAACAGCGGGTTAATGCAGTCATTAACTTTGAGCAAACTAACGTGATATCGAGAAATGGTGAAATCAAAAGACAAAGAGCATTCGGTAAAACCATTTGGATACTGTTTCAAGGAATTTGTAACCAACATGAGAACTTCCTGTCGTTCATCAAGAAGCAACATTAGACCCAGATATCCAATTCGTTTCTCAGGAAACCCTGCCGCAGCTATTAATTTGAGGCATTCCATCTGACCAAAGTGAGTGGGGTAGCCAAGCATATGAATGAACATCAGTTTCGCTAAATTTCGGTGCCTGTAATCTTGATCGTTTTCACTGATGGCGGCACGTATCGAAGCGCACTCCTTCCTCACAACAGCACGCTCTTCTGCTGCAGTCTTGCAGGCACGTATAGCCCGAATCATATCCCTGCGGATCGACAGTTAACAGGCATCAAAGGCTTTTTCAAAATTCAACTGGAGACTCGGGACATTAAGTTAATGCCAGAAATGAAAAATTATGGATCCTTCTCCACGCATTTGAAGATGAAACCAACGAAAACACGCTGAGTTGCTGAGCTCACCTCAGCCGAGTACCGGACGAAAACGGGTTCATGGCTCCTTCCGCTGCGCGATCCCTCCCTTCCACGAGTAGTTCTTCAGCCTCCGGTCAGATCAGAAGAGGAAGAGCAAGAAGAATAGCCAGGAGGCTGCCCTGGGCTCCGACGAAGTGCTTAGCTTAGATGCCTCTGGGAAGATGCCGAGCACCGGGAAGGAAGAGGAGCTGGATCTGAGCGAGGACGCGATGGTTGCTATGTTGGAGTCTTTTTTTTCTATTATTTTACACAATCAATATATGCATATGTAAATATATTTGTTATTCTGCTTCAACGATTTACTCATTGTCTTAGTAAACATCCCCGACTGTGAAAATAATGATGATATTACCACTGTAAGACACATATTTAGATATATACAATTTTCTCAATCATACCCTTTTATCATCGCGAATATCAAATAGACCAGATACCTCCAAAATAATTGTCCAACTTTGCTCTAAATTTATTTATTTGGGCATCAGAGTAAAAAAATTTATGGGTTTCAGATTCGCGTCGTGGTGAGAGTTACCCCCTTTCCCAATATCCATGGTAATCTCTACGAATTATCTTTCTCTACAAAAAATTAAATGTATTATAAAAAATAAGTTAAATTTTTATGCACTAATTATTTTACTTGAAATAGGGGAATTGCTATCAGTGACGAAATAAAAATATCACATTATAATTTATTTTTTAAAAGACAAATCACAGATATTTTGTTTGTGACAAAGTATAAACTAAAATTGTAAGACGTATATATTATTTTTAACTACATTTTATGATATTTATTAAAATAAATTAAAATAATACGCATTTATCGATATGACTTGATTTGTATCACAACGACCCATAAAACACTTACTCTACCCCCAATAATTACTCCTATATGATAATTTTCATAATCTTGAAAGGGTCAAGACCATGTGATTGTACATATGAAATTAATATAAACCATTGAAATTAACGAGATGATGCTTTTCACTATATACTAATAAACTTGATGTGAAGTTCAATTCTCAAATTTTTGACATATTTTAAGAGAAAGAAGATGTTTACTAGTCACAAAATGGTATGATCTATTTGCATATATGCACGTTTTGTTTGACCTTTGATATTATATTTGCCATCAAGTAAACACTAACGGTCTATTTTCACATAAAAGTGATGTCGAACCAAGATTTTCAAAATTATTTGTTTGTTAATTTTGTGACGTTAGATATTATAATAATAATAATTTTTCTCATTTAAAGTGAGAAAAATAAAAAGGTGCCATTAGACTGGTTAATATCTGTCCCAAGTATGAGCTTCAATAGATTTTAGCAAGGATGTAGTACACTTATTGCCGAATAATTATCTCTCTTGTGTATAATTTATTTATCAATAAATACACAATAGCTTGTAAATATCTATTTTAAAAAAGATGGAAATGATAAAAAAACCTTTAATGTTCCTTTTTATATATATTTTCCAATTTTATACTGCAGTTGATATGGTAAAAAAATGGAAGGGGAAATATATTTTAATTAGATAATTATTGGAAGCTGTAGTTAACAAAATAATTTAGGGACATTTAACAGTATTTTTTACATCAATAATACGATGCTAATTACGCAGCTTGGACTCTTAAGAAGTTTGTGAATACGGGCACATGATCCCCATAAGCTTTCAAACTCGTAATGTTTTCACCTAGGAAAACCGGACGCTATGAGGAGGCCCTGACATGGGGAGACGAGGCTGAGGATCCTTCAGACTTAGCGGAGGATCGGCGCCATTTCATCTCACGTTGCTGCGGATTTCTTCACGTCCTGAAGAACAACGTGAGCAGCATTGCGGCCAGGTGCCCCCATCACGCCGCCTCCCGGGTGAGCTCCACTCCCACAGAGATAAAGGCCCTTCACCGGGGTTCTGTAAGCCGACCTGCCATGATCCGCCGCCAGCCTCATCAGTGGCAATGGAAAGGTGGGTAAGAGCAATTTCGCTCATGTCCTTCAGTAAATCTACAATCGCAGGCAATATGAGATTCCCTACCATCCCTTGACTGGCCTCATCAAGAATATGGAGTCCAGGTGCATGGCGCCGTGAAAAATATTCCCCCCTGAAAATATTGAAAGAAATAGAAGATTTGAGATGTGGGTCAGATGCATGGCAGCATGGGAAAAGAATGGCGCCAGAAAGTATAATACTTGTCTGAACCCAGTGAATTTATGAGTATTTTTCACCTGTGAGGCCGAACTCCCTTTCGAGATCAGGGGGAGCCAACATCTCATACCCGATTACTGAAGAGCTGAAGCCCGGGGCGTATTCATCAATCAGGGAGAAGCATCTCTGAGCAAATGATTCCTGAATGAAAACACAGCTCACAGATGAATACATGTCCTCAAGCTTCCATTATCGGGAAGAAAATGAGAATAATAATGCATGTAATCATGGGTCATTTGCAGTAATCTTCATCAAACCCTATGGAACGAGGTGCATAAGTGGTAAGCAGGGAGAGAGACGAATCGTCAGAAACTGAGTTCACTCACCCGGATGGATGTCTCTTCCCAGCTGCCTCTGGCAAGTTCATAAGGAGTGTATTGGATAAATAAATTAATGACATGCTTACCTGCGATGCAACAGACGTAGATAAAAGTAGCACTTCAGAACGGAAAGAGACGATTAAACTGAGCAGCCGATCATATGCAGTTGATCGTTCCGAAAATAACGAGTTTGTCCCAAAAGAGGTAGTTGAAGAAGGAAAGAGTTTATGGATGATGATGAGGAGGGATTCATCTGCATGTTCTGACTTTCATTTGGAGTGCATGGTGCGAAGACAACTAAAAGTCAAATGCTAGAATTAGGATGAAGTCAAACGATACTCTCCAGCAAAGGAGGTTCTGTCAATATGCAAAGGGGGAGAAAACCCAAGAAGGTGTTATCACAAAGTGTTGCAGCAGGCAGGGGAGAAGGGAGGGCCAAGCACCAAAGTTGGCCATTAGTTCCTTTATCCCATGAGAATGTACGTGTTTAGTGTGGCATGCATTGCCTTACATTTCAGATACTTTTGAAAACTGTTTATAGAGACCCGGTTTCAGAAATAGGCGATGCCATTTCAGATCCAAGCCTCAGAAGGGTGAAGCAGGAGCAATTTGAGAGACCCATTAAGCAATGTTCATTGTACTTTTAACTAGAATAACGCTCATTAATCTTCCCACATGCTTTAGATCAATACTATAGTTCAAAGAGAGTACCCATGAAAATTAGAGGTCATACTATCTTCTTCTGGTAAGGTAAGAAGAAAGTAGTGGATCCAGAGAACCTAAAAGGCAAATGCAGGTCACCTGGTCTGTTTTCGTGCTGTATAAACGATAGAGAAAGTGGTCCAATGATGATGTAACGCGAGTTCCCATCACTAAAATGGGAAACTTTGAAATAGAAAATTTATGGAGAGAGACAGTTTGGGGATTGCAGATCCTGTTGGATAAGGTTTATGAAATGCATAGTTTCTATAGGCAATTTTTTTTTATGTGGGACATTACATCTCAGATTATCAAAACATTACATCTATTAATTTTAGTATTATGTGCTAAATAAGCAATGAATAGAAAAATTACAAGAATGTAAAAAAGGATTAATTCCAGATTTCAATCTTGTGCTCAATATTTATAAACTGTAATGTAATGTCCATCCCCAAAGAAAGCCTTTAACTGCTCATCAAACTAAAGCTTCCTCATCAGCTGATGATTCAATCCTTAATGTTCTTGCATCGAATCACGAGAAAAATAATAGTCTACAGAGCTGCCAAGAAAGAAAGGTTTCTTTGGTACAGATGAAGATACCCACCAATGCTTGCTCCATCCGACAGAGATCAACTAAAGACTAGGAAAAGTTGACACCAAAAACTGCCCAGGATTGAGTTTCTGGACAATATGCGTACACTGTAGAAGAATAATGTTTTTATTCATTAACATATACGGGCTATTTCAACTCCAGAACAATGAATGAAGGAGTAATCATAGAAGATATGATGTGTATTATATCCACTGAAAAGCATTGGTAAAATAAATATCAGGGGCGACATCTTCCCTTACCAGGCGGGGATATGGTCTTGTCCAGGACTGATGGAATTGTCATCTCGATGACAGGCCTTGCAGATGGTAGCCCATTCAATGCGTCTCTGCAAGCCATGTCAATCTCCTCCATACTGTAAAAACAACAGATAAAATAAGGGATAGGAGTCGAAATCGTCTACAAGAGGAAGTAATATCATGCTATTAAGCCCTTGTTAGTGGTAAAAGAAGACGTTGCTGACAGTACAGAAAGTTTTCTATGAGTTTTTTGGGTTCTTGATTTAATGTCCTAAGATCCAGATAAGTATGACATATTATTATGCTTATGGGGGGTGGTAGAGGTAATGATGCACACATCTACCCAGCTTTCGCAGACAATAAAATTTGGAGGAAAAAATATTTTTAATGTATAATTTTCACCAAAATTACGAATTTTGATCCAATCTAAGCTAACAGACATATCTATTAATGCACCGAACATTGAAGAACCTAAATTCTAAAATATTTTATTATAATCTTAATGCAATTAGATGGGGAGCCTAGCGTCATATATTGGAAAAAAGAATCGACAAGATTGAATCGGTTGAAGAAATTTACATAACCATTGATGAAACGAGATTGTCGCAATACCTCTCAGACCCAATATGTATGGTGCCAACATGCTCAGGGCCAGACTGTGAAAGAGCAGATTTGCAACATTGAAAAAGAGGCAACTTATCCACGGCTAGGTTAATCTTTGTTGTTGCCTGTTCGAGTGAAAAAGCAACCAACAGAGGATCAATGCGGTTTTTAGCAGCATGTATACTTCAGCTCAATCGGTTAGCCACATTTTAAATATCTAAAGCCTACTAAATCCACGAGCCAGCATTATCATTCAGTTTCAAAAGTTGAGGATGCACAAGACAAATGCTGTATGGTTCAAAACATGATAAACTAGAAACCCTTGATCATACAAAAAAATCTAGGTCATGGAACAAATGACTAAGTTACTTTCCGTTAGAGGTGCGCATATAAGCTTTCAGCTGGATAGCATAGCTACTTTGGTGTATACGGGTGTCTGAATGCCTTATTCCGAGACCACTACGACTCATTTTGATTATGTAAATGTGTCTGGAAGACTTCAGGATGTTTAAGGATGTCTTCAAGGGTTTAAGGAACACTCCTGAATGTTACACTCCTGGATGACCAAATGCTACACTCGAAGTCAAAAAGGAGCCACTGATGTCCTGAGGATCATGGAATCTCTCACCCAGGTTCTAGGCCCATATCTCAAATGATTCTCCTTCTAACCTCCTGAATGTTTCTGTTGTCACCTGCATAAATCTTAGCAGTACCCTCCAATTTCAATTACTTTAATAGGCAAGGACGAGTACAGATAAGAATAAGGTTAAGGCCATAACGCTATGTCGACGATGAGTAAAATGAAAGATTAATGACAAGCAAGTACGATTCAGTAGGACCAACTCCCCAGCCATCACATGTAACTGAGGAAGCAAATGCAGCAGCTGCCCTCACAAAACAGGAACTTATAGGCACAAACTAAATATATTAGCATATAAAAAATCCCATTTGATTCCTAGCTATAGATCGTATGATGTCAAACACTAATTGGTGATGGGAAGGGGAGGGTAACTGATACAGGATAACTGATTCGTAGATATCCATGAATAAATAAGGAGAGATGAGGATATTTTCGAATAATTTTCAAGGACTCAAACTCTCCTCACCCTAGAAGGGAGAGGAAAGGATCCGGGATGATACAATACAACGCCAGACCCCAACTAGGTCTGATAGCCGTACGATTCAGGGTATGACTTATAACTTGTTCAGGATTACTTATAACGTCAGACCCCAACATCCGGCATGAAAACGTGTTATAATGTATTCAGGATTACTTAGGATCCCATTAGCTTCATTTTTTTTCTTTATCCTGTACCAGATTCCTTCAATAACAGCCATAAAAAAAGAAGCATACAGAAGAAAATTTAAAAGGCAAAATAAGAATATAACGACCACAAATGCAAATTAATGTAAGCTAGAGACCTTGAAACTATGAGATATAAGCATGAAATCGGATTGATTCCAGAGATTCAAAGTTACTACTGTGAACGGAAAAGAAAAACGCAACATGCTCCACAAAAATGTTTTTCTCTCTTTAGGCTTTTTAATAATTAAGAATAAAATTAGGAGTCTTACAGAGCTGTAGTCAGAGTTCTTGATGCCACTTAGAAACTCGTCAGGGAGGATATTTTCAGGAATAAATTCCTGCATGAGAAGAAGAACATGTAGCAATCATGAAATTGTCTCTGATATCATCCCAAATAACCCTCAACGGTGATGCAATTGAATTATTTTAAATCACTAATCTAGCAAAATATATTACACGAATTAACCAACAGAAATATATACCACAAAAGTCCGATATGGGGTTGCATTTGACAAAACAATCGAAGAATTCACCTCCGTTCCATCCGCCAAAACAACCTGGAAAAGACATCGACTAAATATTTTATGTTCAAAGGATTAAAAATTAAACAATTTTGGTGCATGAAAATACTCACTCCAGTCACTACAGAGCTTTGGTCGACCATCAACTGGGAAACCTAAAAAAATTGCCACATACTAATTTGGTGATAATAAGATTAGAAAACACGGTATAAGAAGAGTGCATCCATACCTACATAACGGTACAGTTTCAACAAGAAAATTTCATACCAACACCTAATCAAGAAAAAAAAAACCCAAACGTCCAAAGGCGTTTCTTAAATGAGTGAATGGTGAGGATTGAATGTGATGTGAATCACTGACGACTACATGATTCACAAAAGAACTATTTTACTAAAATGTCCTGTCAATCAGCTGAAATTCAAATGTGGGTAACCAATATGATGACCAATTTTATGAATTTGAAAATAGATTATCACCGTGAAGAAGCTTTACATCATCTGCTTGAGCAACACAAGGTCAGGAAAGCTCCAAAGACAGGTCACCTGCTACCCATTTAGTCAGATTATCGAGTAAGCCAGAAATAAAGCAATCATCTTTTCCTTCGTCTCTCTTTCTTTATTTTTATTTTTCTGCTGTTAATGAAAATTTCCAGTGGCAATTATGTGGTAATGATAACAATTTAACTACCTGAATGATCAATCAAAGAAAAGGGCAAACGATATCTATAGAGAAAAAGAAGAATAAAATAAAAAGATGTAGAAGAAGAAAACAAAATTCGTGCTTGTAATGTAATGCAAACGGTAGGTCCATAATCATTGCTTGACATGAGAAAGAACAGATTCAATGGCTATCAGCGCAATGTAAGGTGTCAAGTTAATGTAAATCATCGGTTCTTCTAAACCAGTCAGGTCATGAACGACTTCAAGAGGTGCACATGTAGGTTGCCATGACCCTCAGCCTCCTATTCCAGATGTTTCCTGTATATTTTTGTTCATCTACAAACTCAAACACGGAAACCAAGAATCTTGGAATAAGATACCTCTGTATTTGTTAGAATATGGGCACCTGCTTCTCTTGCTGCATTAGCGATAGCCAAGGAAACTGAGCCCATCCCACCTTCAACATACCTAAAAAAATGCAGTTTTCCTTATGAACTGATAATGAACCAGGTATTGAGCATATGACATCAAGAGAAAAGCAGGGAACAAATGGTGTTTCAAGAGCACAAACTGACGGGCTTTCATTCAGAACATGATTATCTTTATGTTCGAATTTATGAAAGACTAGTACTGTTTTGTGGTTATTCAGCAGCGAGTAGACATTTTAAACGTGAATAAAATTAAAAGAACAAGGAAGCTCCTAGGCCATATACATCCTTTGGAATTCTTAAGTATCGACATTTCAAAACTATATTGAAGACGGGAAATGCATGTTTGTGCAAAGTGTGTAAATAAGAGTTTGCAGGCAAGAGACATACGACCAAACACCCCGATCGCCCCCTGATTCACCCATTACATGGTGTAGGAGTACATAACCACTTCCAGGGGTGTGAACACTCGCCTGAAAATGTGAAGCTAGAACCGTTATTAGTGAAAATCATAAAAAGAAAGGAAAGAAACAAGTGACAGCCAGAATAGCCCAATTGAAGTCTTTCCTTTCAAATAGATTATTCAAGCAATTATTCATCCACTTCGGTAAATACAGAGCGTAGATAAAATGGTCTCCAGTGTGAAATTCTTAATTGGTTAACATTACCGAGTAAAATATTTTTCTCAAATCTCAAATCTCTTTTCAAAGCCGGTAATTCCCACGCAATATAAAATCAGAGACATTTTTTATTCTCCACACAGAAAAAAATAAAATAAATCTTGGAGGATACCCCAAAAAGAATCCGCATAACGAAGGGCATGAACAATAGTGTCACCAAATAATTCCAAAATCATCAGCTGCCAGTAGGTGGTAAAGTCATAAGTAGGCACCCGAAGAGCCCAAGCCACCCTATGCAAACGCTAGTACTGGCCACTACATCCAACATCCTTCCAGTCGTACTTTCTGACGATGACTTTTCATTTTAAATGGAGGAAAACGGCAAGGAGACCTGGTCCAACAGCAAGTTGCACAGAAAGTTGGCACTTGCGCCAGCTTTCACTGTTAAAACTTCTAATAGGTCTTGGAAAGATGTTTGAATGTGCTCTAGTTTAATTACAGAACGAAAATAAACTGACCCATGGGAGCAGACGTGAAGGATTGGAAGGTAGTCCACCATTCTGCCTCGTGTGATGCAAAGATAAAGAGGAACAGCAAAGTCTTCAGAAAACTTCCAAAAATCTCAAGTGGGCGGTAAAGTGGATAAACAACTATTGAAAATATGGTATTGCCTTGGGATATGCAGGGGTATCTCCAATTTTGTGGCAAGGTAATTCCTTTCGTAGTACAGTTGAAAGACTAACATCACACTGTCGCATGGCTTAGGATCTTCTTCTACTTGTTTGTCGTTGAAAAGATTGATAGGTTTTCACAAGTCCACTGTAGAGTTCTGGGAGGTGTCTGTTCTGCTATGCATAATCAATTTCGTTCACAAATGACATGAAACACAAGCTGCTTTCTATAAGAAGTAACGTCCACTGCCTCATGGATGCTGTGCATTGAACAATCACGAAAAGTTATCCTCTCAAACATTCAGTCTCTACATCTTGCAATTAACTAAAAAACCTGAAACTAAGGCTAATAAGTGACCCATCATAGATTTCCAATGAATCTTAAACTTACAGCTAAAAAATAATTGATGCCAGCTTCACAGTGGTCATTAGTTTGGTGCATGTAATTGATTATAAGAAAGCATAAACTACAAACCATTTATTAAATAGCATCACAAAAAAGGTAAACTGTAAATATAGTGATTTTTTTTTTAATAGAAAAGGCTACTAGTTTTTTATCCATGCATAACAGGAAAGAAAAACTCAGCTACTACAATTTTTTTTGATAGGGTGTAACCTATGTACTATATTTGCTATAGACAAATACACCAAATGAAAAATGACATGTATGAGTTATTACCGTTGAGCCAATGACAGCATCAGTAGCCAGTGTTGCCTTTAAAACGTCACTCTGCAGATGGAAAAAACAGCAATAGAGTCAGAATGAAGATTTTAGGCGCAGTGAAATTCCATAACTTTACAAAAATGTATAACTATAGAAATCGAATTAAAAAACTATTAAGTTAAAAAATTGATATTAGTTAACTTTTCGAGAGTCAGGAACTCAATTACTTGAGTTTTTTAATAAAATAATAATAAACTGAATTAAAGAGCTGAAATCGAACAAGGGCCAGGCATTCGGTATTTCCATTTGAAATTGATTATAGATCAGTTATATAATAAATTTCTGTAACTCAAAATGCCATCCTAGACTCTTCAGGAGAAGAGGTGTGCATACAGAATACCAAGATAAGAATATAAAATAACAAATATAATTTGTTCCACAGCTCTGGAGATATATGTATACAATTGATTTATGATTAAAACGTCATAAATGATGATGATGCAGGACACCAAAACACCAATTGCAAAGGGTACTTCAACAACCTCAAACCAGTTGTTCAGAATTTTTGATGCAGGAGATACCAAGAGTTCCATGAAATCCCTGAAACAAGTGCATCCGATATTAAACACTGAAAAGGATACCACTCAGGAGTGTCGCGTATACCACTCAGGAATAAAAGCTTGTAAATGATGTAGCACCACCGATGACACATACTTCAGTAGTTTCCGAATCGCCAACGACATACAAGAACGACAAAGCGACAGAGACTCACAATGAATCCTTCTGTCCCAGCTGAACAGCTTCCCTTAAGCAGCGGAACCAGAAAGCGGACTTCTGCAACTTATCTTTCATCTGAGACGTAAAGGGTAGATCGCTGTGGTTTATCTCTGGAGTCGGCGTATCCAGGAGAGAATCCATGAAAACGGAAAACGTTTCCAGCTGCTTCTCATATCTGAACACGATAGAAGTGAGATCAGAAGGCGTTAGACCAGGCTCGGTGACACAGACTACTTTCATTGCATCGTACATTGGCGGCACTCATGGTACCTTGGGTATGACAATGCGTCCCTTGCCGAGAACTTGGAGATCTCCGAGTGGTTCAGATCAGAATCTGGGCCCAGAAGGAGATAGCGACCATCGAGACACGGGGTGAAGGAGGATGGATTCCTCTTCAGGAGCTTCAGGCCATGCCTGCCCAGCTCGAGCTCCCTTTTTTCACCCAGCAAACAACAGAGTGTCAGGAGGAGAACACCTGAGAAGCAATGACGGCGTACCGACCGCAGATGGGTGCTTACCGAATGAGCGAAGGGCGGAGGAGGCTCTGGAGGTAACTGCAGCGAGAAAAGCGGAAACCAGGGACAATCTCCTCCGTCACGGCGGCGCCGCCGATAACGTGACGTTTCTCTAGGACAGCCACCTCAAGTCCCGCCCGCGCAAGATAAGCGGCCGAGGTCAGCCCGTTGTGGCCACCACCGACGACCACCGCGTCCCATTTCCTCTTGGGAAGAGAAGCAGAAGATGAGAACCCCCTGCAGGCGACCCTTCCCGCCGGCGACATCTGCTGGGCCCGCCTCCCCCTCTACGTCGCCGCCGTCACCTTGCTCGGTGATCTCAGGCAAAACTCCGTACGAGGCAAAGAGAATGACGCAGAATACAAGCATATCATCTCAAAATCATTATTTTTCCCATGATTAGACGCTGTACGGTCGTAGCTAAATGGCGAGAACCCCTCCGCGTCGCTGAAGCACGTAGTTCACAGGGTCCCAGAATATCAGATTTGCATTAAAAAAATAGAATTCTTTGCCAGACCAGAGCAAAATGGGGAAATAAATATACAAATCTCCAGTGAAACCCACCCACCAATCAGCTTTACATCGGCCCAGACCACAAAGAATCGGGATCAATTACACAGGGATTGCTTTCAGAAACAATGAAGCAGAGGAAGAGGAGGGAAGGAGAACCTAACTCCAAACAATGAAGAACGCAGCAGCATATCTCCGTCGTCTCCACTGATCAAAACCCAGACGAGCTCCGTCTACCAGAAATCTGATCCACCTGCCCGGCAAAAAGATGGTTTCTGGGCAGACCTCAAACTCCCTTCAACTTCCTGCGCTTCCCGTTCTCCACCGAGGGCGTGAGGATCGGGGTCTGCTGCCAGCGGGTAGGCACTCGAATTGGGAGCCCACAATGAATGGTTTTCGAAAGAATGGCAAAACCGCCTTCAGTCCATGTCGAGGTCACCTCCTCCAGAGGGCTCCGGGAAGATCTCCTTGGACGGTTTTCGGCGAGAAAACGAGTGTTCTCCATTACTGCCTTGGGAGCCCACAGTGCCGGAAATCTTGAAACTAGTCCCCTCCCTTGAGGGTCCAGGCAAGGAGGTTATGTCCGATGAACTCTGCCGCCAGCTCCCGAAGAGGGCCGCATTCCAGGAACCTCGGGAGGACGTGGTCCTCAGGCGGGCAGAGGTGGAGGGTTCCTCCCTCACCACCTTCAGCGGGTTCTCCAAGGCCTTCAAGATGTACCTGACAAGTGGGCGTTTGGAAGGCTTGGGGTTTAGGCAGGACCTGGCCACAATCGCCATCGCCCACACTTCCTCCAGAAGGTCGTCGTCGACAACCAGCGATGGGTCCAGAATCTTCGTCACAAGCTCCTTCTCGTTGATGCTAATGTAGGGCAGAGTCTTCTCCAGCCATTCATTTGTGGCAGCATCGTTAGACCCACTAATCCCGAGCTTGCCGGTCACTAGCTCGAGCAGGACTTTCCCCAGGCAATACACGTCGTAAGCACAGGTTGCAGATGCCGAGCCTGAAAATTTAGCGACCAGAAGGGATTTAATCTCCATACAACGGATTTAATCTGGAATGAGAAGAGTACGAATATGGGAATCCCCACATACCTGAAGCTCCTTGTTCAGATGCCCTGCAGGTAATGAAGAAATTGCATCAGTTCAATGAATCATGTCAAGCAATAATTTTTACTTGTCAGAGGTAGCCGCATTTAAAATAAATGAAAGAAAAAACACGAGGACAAAGCTATTAATGCTGGTTCTGATACCATACAGAGAAAGAAAACGAGATAACTGACAATAAAAGCAACATCAGATGTAGCAGAGGAATGCCTGACAGATACCCCAGACTCCTCCTGAAGGCAGCTTGGTCTTCTAACGTTTCAATCTTGAATGAAATCCCCAATTGAACACTTCTAATCCTGAAGGCAACTCAAGTGACGTATGGAAAGCTAACCATTTGAAAAGGAAAGTACACAGCTTCCGTGCGTTCCAACATTCCAGGAAAGGGGGGCATTCTTTCCTTTTGTATACCGATGTCAACGCTTCAGTTGGACTAAAATAAACATATCTAAAATCTACAGCAGCCCCTTCAGAGGTTGAATTTTCCTAAAATATCATTTTTTGAAAATATATCTGATCATTCATAAATTAGAGACCTGTATAAGAAAACTATATTCCAACCCACTTGGATGACTTCAAGTGTACCCGCAGAAGCATCACATGACAGAGATGAAATTTTGCCATACTACACAGAATCAGGCAGAGTGATCGAATTAGCTAGGTACAATCTGATCCAGATAGGGATTGGAATCAGATCAACCAAATATACTAATGTGGTATAATTTTGGGGGGGCATTTAGTATAGAAAACAAAGAAGAAACAAATTCATTGGTCACAAAGAAGAAACTATATTTCAGAGAACGCAGCAGCAATCAACTTATCAGTAGATATTCTAGCAATGTACAGTCGTAGGAGTGGCCACGGCCATGGCCAATCAACCAAGTCTATGAGTGGGTAAGACAAGCTGACCCACCAAGATGACAGCTTTTCACCATATCAATACCAGCCACGGGATTCCTCCACCGGCCAGAAACTAATGAGAACGATTGGATCTCACTCCAACTTTTCAGGTTACCTTGTTAGGAGTGCACACTGTGGGTTGTAAATCAGCAACAGTAAGCCAATCAAGATGATATCTCAAACCCAAGAACATCAGGCCATCGTTGTAACACGGATACGAGAGAAAAGAGAAGAAACCAAATCACGGAGCCATTATAGATTGAACAGATATTTCAAGATATTCATCAGGATGAACATGAATAAAAGAATGTTGTTGTGGAACTCACTTTCGAAGGAATCTGGTGATGACACTCTGGTGTGGTTCCCCTTCTTGAGCACACACTTCACTCAAGCTTCCCAGACGTACTTCAAATTTATCATCAAGAAGGATGCTACTTGCTTGAATATCTCTACAATTACCAGGGAAAAAAAGAAGTACTGTTACGCGTTGAAGTTCATACAATCCCTCCTATCCAACAGACAAGACTCATTAAAACATCTGTTTCTGTAGCACAAACAACAAAAAGACAGAGATTATATTTGTCAATGGAAATTATATAATTGATTTTTAGGTTTACAGCTCACATTCAGATGAAGTGTGCTAACATGGCCCCTAAGGCATCAGTTTTTAAATCATGCAGCTCATGTTCAACCTTTCCAAAGAGCCTCCACTAAGAATTTGTTGGAAAGGGAAACTCTACATAACACAGGGGAGGAATTGAATGATATAAATAATATTTTTCCAAAGTCCTGAACTTTGATCTACCACAAATCGCATAGCAGAGGCTCTTAAGCCAGCTGCAACTCAAGGAACAGACATGAACAGATTACCAAATCCTGATTCGAGTGTAACTGTAATCTGTGCGATTAATGAGACCAAAACTGGACACAAATCTCTAATGATTTGCTAATGATGCAATAAAAAAGACAAGGCACAAAGAAGCTCTAGAATGCATACTTGTCTGTCATAACTATGTTGGCAAAGTCAAGAAGTACCTGTGAACAAGGGGAGGTGAGCACTCATGGTGGAAGTAGCATAGAGCCTCGGCAACTCCGATCGCAATCTTCAATCTAGTTATCCAATCTAGTGATTGCAGGCCCTCTCCTTCCTGCCCTGATTTCCGAAACAGTGAGCTGGACAAGTCACGGTTTGGCATGTATTTATACACGAGGATCTTCTGATTATCCTCCAAACAGTGCCCTACAAAGGGGACAATTCGGGAAGAGGAAGTTTTGGCAAAGAAGTCCAGCTCAACCCGATATGTTTCCTTCTTAGACTCTTCCAGATTGATCCTCTTAACCACCACTGGAGTCCCACCTTCCAGGAAACCCTGGTAGATATCTCCGGAGTGCCCACGTTTGATGAGGTTTGACTCTCCGAAGTTCCCTGTCGCCAGAAGCATCTGCTCAAGTGTGAAGGAATCCCCTACAGCCGAGATATTTACAGATATGGCTGATGGGGGAGCCTCCCCTCCAGCTGCAGGGGGACTCCCAGTGACCTCCTTCTGCTCAGCTGCGACAGCTCCACACCTCATCCAGAAACAGAATAGAAGAAGAACCAGAATCACCAAGAGGCCAATGCCACCGAATACACCAGCCAAAATGTACGTCTGGCGCCTGTTAGAGCCAGAGTCTCCATCTGGGCGAGACGTGTTCGTGGTTGGTCCAAAAGGAGGGAACGTCAATCCTCTGGAAGCATAAAACTTGGCACAATCTTCATAGCTTCGCTGGTTCAGGGTGTTGTTGAAGCAGTTGGATTCGAAAGAAGCATTCCGAGATGGATCGGAAGGTGCTTGGCCTTGGAAATAGTTGCCTGAGAGATCCACCAGATCGAATCTCCGGAGAATGCTCTCCACCCCATCAGGAACGTATCCATAGTAAGAATTGTGAGACATGTTCAGGACCCTGGAGCTGGCGTTGGCGTTGGCGTTGGGAATTGCCTCAGGTAGACTGCCGCTGAGATTGTTGTAGGAGAGGTCGAGGAATTGGAGATTTGTCAGAGCCCACAAGGAATTCGGCACTTGACCGGAGAAACTGTTGTGATCCAGCTTCAGTGATCGGAGAAGACGAAGGCCCGGAAAGAGGGTTTCCGGCAGAGGACCTGACAAAGAGTTGCTGCTCAAGTCCAATTCAAGCAAGCTCCGAAGGTTCCTGAGCTCCTCGGGGATGCTCCCAGACAGGAAATTGACGCCGAGTTGCAGAGTAACAAGTAATGAGAGATTTCCGAGCTGAGCGGGGACTGGTCCGGATAGAGAATTCGCAGAGAGATCCAGAATAGTGAGGTTGGAAAGCCCCTCGAGGGAGGAGGGCAAGTTCCCCGTCAAGAGATTCCCGGCTAGGTAGAGCTCGCGGAGCCCCTTTGCGTTCCCCAGGGAGAAGGGTATGGAGTTCGAGACGGAGCAGCGACGAAGGTCGAGGACGGCGAGCGAGGTGGGGAGGCGGGAGCCGAACCATTCGGGGATTGGCCCCGGCAGCGCGAAGCCTGATGCGTTGAAGACGGCGAGGCGAGTGAGATTCTGGATGCCGTCGACGGCGAATCGCGGGGAAAGACGCCCTAGCCTGGTCCGCCGGAGGCCGGAGATGTTGAGTGCCACCACCCTTCCTCCCTGGCATCGGACTCCCACCCAGGCGGCGCAGGGGTCCACCTTCCTCGGCCAGTCCCTCGCCCGGAGCCCCAGCGAGGAGCGGAGGCTGAAGAGGGCTGTGAGCTCGATGCCGGAGAACAGCCGCGGAGGCGGTGGCGGAGTAGGAGGAGAGTTTTGCGCTAATGCCACCCATACGGAGCAGAAGATGAAGAAGAAGACGACTGCTCGAGAAGGCGGAGCTGCCATGGAGGCCGACGTTCCTGATCTCTGCTTGGACGGATCACTGCCGCGATCTCCGCTTCTTCCTCTTCGCCCCCATCGTCTCTTGGACTACCACCGCCTCATTCAAACATGGAAAGCACCCCACCATCTCCCCCTCCCTCCCCTTCCTTCCCTCTCCGTTCCTTGGCGGCAGAAACCTCAAATCCCTGTTTCGACCTTCCCTTCCGAATCTCGACGAGGGAACGAAAAAAAAGTAACAGCAGCAGCAGCACTAACAATAAATATAAATAAAATCAGATTTAATGGATGGCAGTGAAATAAATAAAAAAGCTTGAGCGGACGGAGGTTTCTTCCTCCTGTTCTACAGCTCCCCCTCTCTCTCTCTCTCTCTCTCTCTCTGCGCTCCTTCACTGTCACGGCACCGGCACAGACACTGGCACAGCACAGCTACCCTCCCCGGGGCTCATTAAAAGCGTTCTCTCCGGCGTTTAATGCCGGAAGAAACACATTCCAACCTCCACATCTCCCTCTATCTGACCATCCTTTCGTCTCCGACTCTCGACTGGCCTCCGTCAGGCGCTCTCTGCCGCCTTTCTTCTCGGCCACACGCACAGGCGGCGGCGGCGGCGGCGGCGGCGGCTGGTGGGGAGGTGAAAAGGGCTGCTGGAGGAAGAGGATGAACTCAGAAGGTGCCAGAAGGAGAAGGGAGGAGCGCAGTTGACTTGGGCAGGTGGGGAGCCGGGTAGGGGGAAACAAACACGAGGGACAGCTAGGCGGGGGGCGAGAAACCAGGAGCCGAGATTTCAACATTTAATAGTCGCCCATCTTTAACTGGCCTGCCATGGCCCTCTACCTCGAGTCAAGGATCTCCGTCTCTCTAGCTTCCCATTTTCAGCTACCCTTCCACCCTCCCCTCTTATCCCTCTCTCTCTCACTACTTCCCTACCAACTCTCTCTCTTGCCCTCTCTGTGGCGGGGAGCTCCTCCGTCCTGAAGGAATCGGAAGGAATCCCCCTCGCACTGGCTCCGCCGGATCTTAGGGACAAAGCAATCCAGTCTAGGTGATTGCTTCGAGCCGGCTGCTCAAGTCTCGTCCTGTTAAAGTTTCGATTTTTATCGCGCAGAAATCGACCCAGATGGGGTAAGTAACTCGATTCAAACTTCCCGGGCCGATTCCAGCAAACAAGCTATCAGATCTGGGGTTGTGAATAAAAAACTCCAGTTTGGAAAATTTTCAAACTTTTCTTGCCAACCTGGCGGAGCCCATCCTGCTCTCATTCGTCGCTACTCGCGTGGAAAGAGATGGTCAGACTAGCCACCACGCGGGCTTCCTGTCCCTTCTCTCTCTCTCTCTCTCTCTCTCTACTCCGGCGTCGGCCGGCAGAACCATCCGTGTGTGGGCATGATGAGCTATCACGTCACTGAGAAGCCCTCCCGACGTCCGGTTTCTAGTCTCCGGGCTCGATCGAGTTGACTTCCAACCGACCATCTAGAGCCATCGTGGTCAGCGAGGCGAGAAAGCGATGGGCCGGGGAATTCCACGCGCTATAGCGGGCGATTCGCCAACGTTCCACGCGGAAGGGGGCGGCTTTGATTGACGAGCTGGATAGTTTCTTCAGATCCACAGTGCCCCTTTTCGGGCGGCGAGGTGGGTGGCGCTGGTGAGGAAGCTTTCCGATTTAAGGATCGCCGCCGGCGAGTAATAGTCGGCCAACAACAGAGAGTATAAGGTGCGGCCAAATTAAAATCCCTCCGAGGAGATGACAGATACAGGCGGGCGGCGGCCCCCATCCGCCGTACATCTCCCTGTCCGCAGGCGGAGGAGCAATAAGCCCGCCGCCGGTTCGCCGCCGATTCGCCGCCGATCGCCGTCTGTATTTTCTTCCGGGCCTACAGTTGCCGTGGGGATCGGGAGAGAAGCTCCAGTGGGCATCAGAAGAACAATGCCGCGCATTCTCTGGTTCCCATCCCTCTCCCTACAGTATCCGGTGGGTCTTCGGGTCCCGCAACCAGGCAGCGTGTTTGAAGAACTGCAGAGGAAGAAGGTTAGGAGCTGGTAGATAAGCTCGGGGCTCCAGTCGTCTTCTTCTCAACCAGGCGGCGCCGTCTCCTGCTCCGGGGACCCCTAGAGAGAGAAAGAGAGATCACAGTGCGTTGGTGAGCTGTGGCGGGGCCGCCCTGCCTCCATTATTGAAAGGGGGGCTCCGGGAGAAGACGATCCTGCGTGGGGCTTCTCTATTATAGATTGATTCAGTCAACGGGCTGGACGTCACATCAGCCGGTAGGAGGAACTGGGCAAGGAGCGGATCCAAATGATGGGAACCCGGCCGAAATCCCTGGTTTTTATCCACCGGCACTGTACATCAATCCCTTTGAAGCTCCTCGCCGGAGACCCGACGGCGGCGCCGCTGCTTTGACCCATTTCAGAGCCCACCTCGAACAGCACGGCGGCGGCGGCGGCGCCCACCGTTGGTGGTAGTGGCCGGCTGTCAGAGCGCTGTCTTCTTCGTGCCCAACACGCCGTAAGGCAGAAGTCAGAGAGGGTAAGGCTGTCTCCTTCTTGATATTCTCTCCTCCCTTCTTCTTTCACTTCTTCCTCGCTGAAATTCTCCGTGACGATAGTCCACGTGCGAGTTCCTCCTACGACTAAGCATAAACGCTCCAAATCCATCTCGATCAGGAGGATAATGGGCTTGGGCCTCGTGGAAATCGGCCCAATAAAGCCTACCGTCTGAGAGATGCCTAGCACCACCAAGTAGTCGCCTCATTGGTGCATAAAAATCTTCTATTTTTGAATATTTGCTACTTACTTCCGACAACACGTGGCCTATTTTAGACAGTGACCGAGTGGGTTGAATGGCACGTGAGCGATGAACTTCGTAAGAGACGCGCACACGTGGGTTTCATTGTAAGGGCAGAGTCCAGAAGCCCAGTTGGTCGGCCCAATGGGCCATAAACGGGCCTACCCTCACGGGAGGCCGGTTGGGCCCACCATTGCTTTTTCGCGGTATCCTATTTATTTTTGGTCCTCGTCGAAAGAAGCCTAGTCTGACTTGGTGTCAGGGGTGACGTGGTTTTTTTTGACAGGATAGGGGTATTTGTGTAAAATGGCGGTTTTAGATATTTTCCTCCGCGTGCGCAGTACTGCCTGGACATAAATATCTCCGAGGGTACTCTATTCCGGTGGTCCCTGCCCGCCGTCCAAGTCACGATAAGCACGAATCCTCATGGGCCGCGCGGCCCAAGCCCAATCGGTCGGATGTTTCCTCGGATCAGTTCAACCAGATTGGACGTTCTACGTGGCATCCCGTCGGCGACGCCATCGCGGGGGAGAACGATAGTGAAAGCCACAGTGGGGCCGGAACACGGGAAGGACTCGCGGAGAGTCGACGGTCAATGAGACCCGAGGCCCGGGTTAAAATGGGTGAGCTGGTTAACTCTGACCAACCCTGGTTAGGTTTTGCACCGCTTTTGGATCTATAAATTGTATCGGGGGGCAACTAGGGTTTCTCGTGCTTTCGAGGGCTCCTCCCTCTTTCGTCCGTTCGGTTCTCTTGGTCCTTATTCCTCTATTTTCCGATGGCCGCTCCCGATGTTGAGTTCCGTTGCTTCGTCGGTGGCCTCGCTTGGGCCACCGACGATCGGTCTCTCGAGAGGGCCTTCAGCGAGTTCGGCGAGGTCATCGAGTCGAAGGTACTGTTTTCTTCTTCAGATCGCGTTCTGAGGTTTTTTTGTTGTTCGGTCTGTCCGATCCAATGGATCTGACTAGGAGGTTGGATGTTCTGCAGGTTATCAATGACCGAGAGACCGGAAGGTCCAAGGGCTTCGGCTTCGTGACCTTCAGCAACGAGCAGGCGATGAACGACGCCATCAAGGGGATGAATGGCCAGGATCTGGACGGCAGGAGCATCACTGTCAACCAGGCCCAGTCCCGAGGCAGCGGTGGCTTCCGCAGCGGCGGCGGCGGCGGTTACGGCGGTGGCTACGGCGGGCAACGCCGCGAGGGCGGTGGCTACAGCCGCGAAGGCGGTGGTGGTGGCGGCTACAGCCGCGGCGGCGGGCGCGACCGTGGTTACGGCGGCGGATCTGACCGCTTCTCCAGGGGCCAGGACGGTGGCTCGGACGGGTACTGGAGGAGCTGAGGCCAGTCCTGACGTGGTCTGGTTTTTATCTTTATCGAGGTTCTTGTTCTTGATCGTTTCCATGTTCCTCCTTCCCCCGGGTTTGTCTCTGCGTTGTTCCCTGCACCGATCCACCTGCCCCCTGTCATGTACGATTGCCAACAGTCCACAGACAGGATGCCAATGAATCAATCTTATCCTGTTTCCGCATCTCATGACTTCCTCGATTTCCGATCTATAACTTACGCCAAGTTGTCAGGTTGTTGGGTAGAGCAGTCGAGGAACTTGATGTCTCATCGAGAAGAACAGTCTCCGATGTTAGCTGACGTCCAGTGTTTTAAAAAACTGCGCGATTTGGTCTGGAAGAATATAAAAATGGCCAGATCTGTCGGAAGATCAGAAACCGAGGAGGGATCGGTAAGATCATCACGAAATAATCATATAAAAATGAAGGGGAAATCATCTCTCAGACTAGAGATAAACCCATGACTTAGATGCTTGAACCCGCAAATCGGACGTAATCAATGATCAGTATGAGCCCTCCATGAAAATGGGTCCTCCTCGATCATTCTCGGAAACTTTGACGATTTTCCTGGAGAGATGATCAATGTCCGTTGACCAATGCTCCAACGGCTAAGATTGTGATGCGACCGAGCGATGAATGAGCTCTTCTGTTAAAGCCATCGGCAGCCCCATCACACTATCGGAGGCTCCTACCTGCGCTACCATCAGAAGTATGTTCACTGACAGAGATGAATGCCTCCAGAAATAAATAAATAAATAAATAAATAATTCTGACCACTGCTTCCACAAATGGCAACTGCAAAGGATGTTCTAATAATAAACCGCCGGCAACATTGAAGACAACCCGCTCGTCGATCTGAAAAAAAAGAAAATTCCAGATTTTTATGAACATAATCACTTGAAAAAAATGTTTTTTTTTCCTGAAGACTTCAAATCCACAACCGTTGACTTGGAAACACCAAGTCAAAATTCCTTACCAGCTTGGCGATGATCTCGTCAGGTATGTCATGAAAATACACCTGCCCATTGCCAATTAAGTGTAAGCTCTGACAAAGAAATGATCAGGGGAATGAAGATTACCCATAGTGAGATGTGATGCGACGATGCAGACGACATGATATTGGGTAAAAACGATCAAGAAAGAAATAAGGTTTTATTTTTATTTTTAAAAGGTTTCTCGCCTGGAGAAAGACCATTTTAATTAATGAACTAACAGGTAAGACACCCTACTCAGCTTTGGTGAGTTACAACTCATTCAGACCGAATAACAAGATCATATAGCAATGTGCTCGGTTATTTCTTAGAAATCAGAAGCGTTTTGGGGTGGTTTTTGCGATAAATCATCTAAAGTCTATGCCAAATCAATAATAATGATATTAATAATAATAAAACTTTAAACCTGTGGTTTTTGGGATAAATCATCTAAAGTCAATAGCCTATAGCCTGTGTCTACTCAATAATAATAATAATAATAATAATAATAATAATAATAATAAAGATTAATGTGTTTGTTTTTTTTTATCTCAACTTTAAACCACTCAAAGTTATGCATTAAATCGAATCTCTCTTCCCATCAAACTACCATTTATAATTTTTTTCAGGGGCCTGAAATATTTTACAAACCATCACTGCAAATAAGGGATGGAAGCTAGACAGAGTTAGGAGATTACCTCGGCGGTATCCAACCCTTCTATCCTCACACCTGTCTTTAGGTTGGTAATAACAACAGATCCCACAGTTGAAACGTGGCCCCCAGAGTACCCTGAAAACAGCAAGCACCATCTCTAGCATTCTTGAGAAAAACTTCCTAATTCCAGCTACTATTAAGCAGACAGACCTTTGAGGAACTCCCAGGCCTCCTCCTCGCTGGATGGCTTTTCTCTGATTATTCCTTTATGGACAACCACCTGCAAATCAGCTATGTTCTCTATGATTTCCTACCAAAAATCCCATCAAAATGACCAAAAACAGGCACAAAGTCTAATAAGAGTAATAGTCACTCTTTCCCTGGGTACAAGGAGAACTGAAAAAAAGAGATTTTTTAGTGGATTTCCTTCAGGTAAAAGGGACCTTATTCCGGAATCCTTAATCTTTCCTTTCTTGAATCCTCTGGTGTAGTAGGCATTAGTTTGGTGAAGTAAACAGGGAAGAAGATGCAGTGGGAGGGAAAAGAGTATGCTACAAGCTCGTTCTGTAGGCTGTACGTGTTTTGGGTTATTCTTCCATATAGGAACTGCGTTGACTTGTAAATTTTCTCTATGAAATGGATGATGATGCTTCATGAAATATTAGATGAAAACGCACACGAGGTAAAAGGAATTCAGACATACAATATCCGATGTGATTAGCAGTGTTGGCTCATTATCCGTCCCTTCGTAGTCTGCAATATTTAGTCTTGATATGATTGCATCTGCCTGAATAAGAAACTAGAATCTGAGGAAAATATGATGACGAACTGTGTGATGATCAAGAAAATTCAAAGAAGATTAGGTAAATGAAACAATAAGACCGAGGAAATAAATTGAAGAGACTTTAATTGGGGGGGGGGGGAGGGGGCATTTTTTAACAAGTAAACCTTCCACAGAGCAGAAAAAAACGGGTTGTCTAGTTCATCATAACATATTTAGACAAACGTTGATCTTCTACTAGGCTCATCATGAGAAGAAACTTACTGGGAATTGCCATGATAGTTTATGACTTTTCCTTGCGAAAGAACTACAAGGTTTATAATCAAACTGGTGATTTTTATAAAAAAATAAGGTGTTTTTTTATGATATAGTATGAATAAATTATTTATGACTGCATTCAGCCTGAGACCAACACGAAAACCTCACTCTGAGTCCCCGACTCATGAATTGATCGAATTCTGGTACGCTATTAGGCATTGCCGGGGGAAAAGGGATGGTCTCCAAACAAACCATGCCAGTAACAAGCTGAACTCTGACAGGATGCAAGACCATCTGCAAAAATTTATTATCTTTTCCACATGATCACCCACTAGACCCGTAGTGGAGGAGTTTCTTGACACAGATCCTGCTGTAAGTGTTGCTCCGGGTCACTTGGCCAGCCTCATATAAGATTTCCCATATCTTCTCTGTACGAGTACAACATAAATGCACGCTCCAATGAATCCATCCAATTCATAGACAACAAGTGTTTTACAGCTTGAGGACAGAAGCACAAAAGTTGGGTCCGGTTGCTAAACTCAAACTTAGTTTGGCTTTGATGATTTTCAAACTGACAAACAAGTATGGGTAAATCGCACTCAATTTTCATTGAAGAAGCTGTAAGCTTGCCCTACAGTCCTTACTCGATTCACGACTTAACTCCATATTTGATTAGAAATATGTTTCGATCTCCTCAACACACCGCTACAACTATAGAAGAACTTTTCTGTATAGTCCAATAGTAACTTTCTTTTTGCTATAATACTCTTTCCAAGTTTTGCCATTTACATGTACAGAAACTAGGGAAAAACAATTACCCATTTTTCAACTGATAGTTGTCTACCCTAAGTTGAGATATTCCCTTAGTTCTGTTTTCACTGTGTAACTGAGTTTATTAGAATATAGATTCCAAAAGGCCTATATTAGGACCGCCAATGTCAGTGCGTCCATTTTAAGATGAAGTCTATAGGCTCACATTAGGACGTATGATGTAGCAAAACGTATTCAATTCATGGTGGTTAATTGAATTTACTTCTCTCCATTGGTACGTAACAGATCAAGGTGGTTAGAGTTCCTCTTGTGCTAATTTTTTCCCTAAAAGACAAAATGCTGAGAACTCCTTCGAGTTTCCAACCTTTTATCGATCTCAATCTTCACTTTTTCTCCTCTGGATCAAATATGACGCGTCATTCTATTTTCTAGGCCCTTGTTAGGGCTTCTCCTCTCCACCCCATGTCTTCCTTCTCAATCTTCTACAGCATATCCTAGGGAATGACATCACTGACAAAATGCACGAGTCTCCCTTGGGAGACTTCCCTTTTTTCATCACAGATAGTCATAGCCCAAATCCAAGCGACAGGATCTCATCTTCCTTGGGGGATTTCCCTCTCTTCACCGCAGATGGTCAAACCCCAAATCCCAGACCATTTTGGAACTCTTCTAAAGACGAGTTCTCCCGCATCCTTTACCGTGCTTCTTGAAGGAATCAAGTGACAGGCTGTCTCATGCAACTATGGACTTTTACTGATGATAAATTCTATAGCAACTGTCGATTTCTTCATCAATGTAATCAAGTGATGAAGATTATAGTATTAGGGCACAAAAATATGATTATTCTTGGCGGTAAACAAGTGCCAATATAGAGAAACCGTTATAATAATGAGGGCAAAATGAATGATTAACTTTCTACATTCTATGGAGAGCTCCATATTGATATTCTATAAACGGGTTGCACAAGATTGAGTGGCTCCTTGATGACAAAGTTGCTCTAGAAGAGAAGGTAAAATTAGTAGCCAAGGAACTAAAATGAGATGCCTTGTCATAGTGGTAACGACTTCAAACTACATGTCACAAGGTGAATGAATTACTCGTTAAATCATGGTCATGAACGAAGCAACGGATGCAGTTGTAACTCACTTCCAGAGATTATGAATTTTGGTGTTCTGGCAAAAAGTAAACTGTAGACAAGGCAAACAAACTCTTGAAGAAAATGCTAATACACTTTTCACGCTCATTTTGACATGATATAGACGCTTAAAATACGACAAGATATATAGGCAGCCTTCAAAAACTCACCATTTAAAGGAAGGTGCAATGAAAGTTATTCAAGAAATGAAGGAGTACAGCTGGCTTTCATCCGCCCATAAAATTCAAACAATTGAAGGGTTTTATATGATGGGGTTTTCAGGTTCAAAGGATAAATATCGGTGTTATTGAAGTGTTTGTTCAAACTTTTGGGACAACTTATCAAAAATGATATGTACATGTTAAAAAACTGAAAGATGGTCCAACACAGGAATAAAATTTTTGAAAAAAAAAATTATGCATGATTTAAAGGTGGTTAATTGGGTTCCTAATGACGGCTAGTATGATGGCCTCCCCTGATAACTGGATCATTGTGACTGGATATATGGGCTCTCAGCCACATTTATTTTTCAGGAAGCACATGACCGATAAGTGGATCATCTAAAGCTCATTAACATGACGCACATGATACTACTGGGACCATAAATTGATAGAGACCTTTGTTCAAAACATGCCTACAAATTCATCTAAGAGCAAATATTTCTGATCAATGATATGATGATAACTTTGAACAGTTTATGTATGATCATACATACAATGTTGGTGAAAGAAAATCGAAGAAAATATGCAGCGGACATGCCCTGGAAATGTTAGGGCTTTTGGGGTGCTTAGATGACTCTAGCACATGATAAAATAGTCTTTAAGGAGCTTTCAACGCTTAAAAATGTTCCAGACTAAGTGTAGGGTACTAGGAAAATACAAATGAAAAAGATATCGCAGGTAGAGAAGTAGTGAACGAGTAGAAACTACAAAGTTACCCCTTACTGAAAATTTGACACCAATACATGCCATTTAAAAAAATTAAGACACGAAAAACTCTATTAAACTTTGATTTGTGAGAGAGTTATCTCGGAGAGAAATTCATACCTTTGCCTTGGCTAGAACTGACACTAATTCCGCTGGGTTTTCTCTCCTTATACCCTTTTCATCAATGTCTGCGGTCTAGTCCAAAACAATCGATTTCATGTAAGAGATTAGGATTGAGTAAGAAATGAGGGTACGTATATGCAATCCAATGTACACATAAGCAAGAATTAGCATATGCATAGATGGTCAGTCGTGGTATTTGATAGTGGATGAGGGGGAGAAAGAGATAAACCATGACTGTGAATTGATATCCCATGTCAGCCAAGATCTTTCGGCGTGCAACTGATTTTGATCCCAAGATTATCTGTGACAGAAAATCCACCAAACTATCAGAAAGAAGGACGGCAATAAAATACCAGCTCGTGTTTCACATTATCATGTAATACTCTAAGAAAACACGGCATTAAATGTGAATCTTATAAATTATCTTAGCTTCCAAAAGTTCATCAGGAACCGCATTGTTCTTCTCTCGGCAACAACTTTCTTTCTCGCGTAATGCATTCAGTGTGTCAGCGAACATTTGGCGAGCGACTAATTCGTGAAAACGATGAAGAAAGAGATAAAATCGCTTTCTCCACTGATTTCCCGCCAACCTCCAAAACACCCATTATCAGAAACTCGGAAGCCGAAGCCCGAAGTAATCGCCATGACGTTTGGAAAAGGAGCATTTCGTGATTCATCACACGAAAGCTGTATTTACTCACGCACATTACATCACAATTTTCTGTTTTTTCCCCGGAACTTGGGACCGGAAGCAGATTTTCAAACACAGACAAACACCCGACCAAAAAATCGCATCGAAGGCACCACCAACCAACCTCCCGCACCAGATATCGCACTCACCGGCGTGAAGAACCATTTCCATTTCCTCTTCAGGCTGAGATCGAGAGAACGGAGGGAGACTGACCTTGAACGAGGCGGGTTTCGCAGCAGCCATGGCCTCGCGCAGGTAACCCAAATGCCCCACTGAGCCCCAGGAGCAAGAGGCTCCGGTGCTGTAGGAATCAAAAGTACGCTGTATTTGGGCCTTCCATGGTCATTCGGCCCATTATGAGTTCGTCCACCATGAACCTAGGCCCAAACCATATGAGTCCATACCACACTGCCCCAATAAAAAAATGATTGAGATAAATATAATATAAGGAATATTTTAATTAAGTCCTCATAAGTCAAATTATTGTGGTTATAAGTTAATAATTTTCATCCCAAAAATGCCTTATAAAATTACCTTTTCGTTTTTGGGTCCCAATCGGTTCGGTTCGTTCGAGACCGCCACCGTGTCGTGGATACGATAGAGAGGCGGTATATCGGGTCTGCAAAGGAACCATTAAGGATCCGTCAAGTGAAACGGAGGCGCCTGTATTTCTCTGTGGAAGAGGAGGGAAAGATCAGCGAGAAGGGGCGGTGCTCTTCATAAGACTGGGAGCTCTCTCGCGCAGGGGCGCGCCCGGTGTTCTCTCCTCCGCACCAGAGATGGCGGATGAGGACGAGTTTGGGGATCTCTATGTGGATGTTCTTCGCCCTGCTTCGGGTCCTCCGCAGTCGTTGCCGTCAAGCTCCATCGATGCCAGGCTCGGCAGCTCGAAGCCTGCGGCCCTCGATCCCAATTTTCTGTTCGAGGGAGACGATGATGAGGACGAAGAAGACAAGGGAGTATTCCATGGGGCTTCGGATTCATATGTAGGTCCTACTTCTAGGACGTCTCCTCGAGGACCGGAGCCGTCCATAGTTGTTGAGTCTCGTAAAGGAAGGGATGAAGACTGGATGCTCGGGGATGGGCGTGTCCCCGAGGAGCAGCCCGTGGGTTGGAGTGATGAGGAAGGCGAGGGTTTGGGTAGGGTTTCAAGCCCCAACAAAGAGTATTCCCCCCCAGAAAGAGACGAATTTAGGTTTTCGCTGGATGAGGAAGAGGAGGTGGAGAGCACGGTTCTGGAGGCTTCACGCGTGAAGGTGGAGGAAGAGAAAGATGTAGGGATTCACGAAGTTCTTCTGGCTACTGCGCCGGGGAAAAAAGCCTCAAGGACAATGGAGATCGATCATAGGGTTGACGATGTTGATCAAGAGCCTGTTATTCCTGGTCTTTCTGCCGTTTCTCCTGCACCAAGTGCCTTCCGCGGGATGGATGACAGTGATGAAAAAATCTCTAGAAGCGAAGACTTGGAGAGTGATAGTGATGACGATCTACAGATTGTTCTGAACGACGATAATGTCGGGCGACCCTTTGGTGGGGTCAGAAACACGATTGCTGGGGTTGAGGATGAGGATGAGGAAGAGGATCTGGTTATTGTCACCGACGAGGACCATCATCATCATCATGCAGTGGAGGAGCAGGAGTATGGCGACGAATTAACACAGGCGCCTCTGGATGGTGAGAGAAATGAGGTCTTGGAGGCGTCAAAAGGGAATGGGGGAGTCGGTGGCATTGGGCTGAGGATTGGATACAACAGTCATGGGTTTCATGGCCAGCATCATTCACAGTTTAAGGTCTGCCATCTTTCTTAAATAACCTATTGGCTGATGGCGGAAGGATCATAATTCTTGTATAGTGCTACTATCAAAGTGCTTGGTTGCTCCTTTATTCCTTGCGCCAGTTTAAGCTGATTTATGGGACTTCACTCATTTCTCTCTTAAGCTAATCTCAACTACCTAATCAGATATCTTTGACTTTCTGCATGAAGCATCTCATTTCCAGATATAGAATGTATTTCAAGTTTTTTCACAATGTCGTACTCCAAGTCTTGTCTTCTTGATATGAAATATCTGTCATCATGTCTTTCTGTTTGAAATAGCTTTGTCCTGAGAATTCGCATCAGTTCCAGCCTGGTCTCTGTCTGCAATGTCATGCTAGTAATGATTTTTACATGAAATCGGTGACTAGATGGTTGCTTTTATTTGTGTTTGCCTATTTTGTCGTTTCAAACCTTACATAAAAGGGTTACTTGATTTCTATCATATAGAGGTCCACTAAATGTTGTCTGAATAGATTTCCATGGGGAAATGGTAAGCATATTTAAGGTTTTCTTCCCTGAAGACACTAGCAGTTGTCACCTTGTTTTCAGAATCTGCCTTAATGATATGACTGATATCTTTGGCGCATGGAAAATCAACCAAACCTATTATCACTTTCACTTTGTTATATATCTTCAGATAGTGAATTCATCTAAGGAGAATTTCTCTCTCCTGTCACTATCACGTGCCCTTAAAGATTTTGATTCGGTCATTCTGCTAGGATCATAGTCAAGCTCAAATTGTTTGGGGTTGCGTGTCGATTTTCTTTTATGCCATGACTGACTGCATCCGCTTAGAGATTATTCATATTTCCTGATAAACCTTGGTTTTTTCTTTAGCATTGTTGTTGATTTCCTGAAATAGTAGTTTATGTTTAAATCAGATGACTGTTATCGGAAAACTGTCTTTTGTATCATCGCCAATGAAGAAATCAACATGTTATGGAATTTTTGAAATATTCAATATTATTTATCATATCATTCCTTGAACTTTATGTGCGTGTTCATAATTCTTTTTTTCCGTATATGATTCTGTAAAGACGAGTTCATGTATCCATTTTTCATTTTTTCCTCATTCCTTCCTATTTCTGAAAATTGGTAATATACAAATGTCCCTTGTTCTGGTGGGTTTTTTTTTCTAATATTAACGTTTTCATTGCTTCTTTCAGAATGTTTTTTTGTGATACTTATTTTTCGTTTAATATTTTGAGCTTTTTGCTGATTTATAGTTTTGAGGTTGACCGTCCTGGTGCTCAGTATCTTTGTACGTTTAAATGTTGTCCAAAATATGAGCAGATCTAGTACAACATTGAACATCATTTCATGCATTTACATTCATCAAGTTGGAAAGCGATAAAAGATTTGAGAAATTGATAACTTTGGTTTTTCAGTCTTTTTTCTACGAATATTGGTAATCATCTGATGCATCAACTTGGAACTTACTTTCTACTTTCTATTGCTTACCTTCTTGGTTTGCAGTATATCAGACCTGGTGCAGCAGGCATTCCTGGAGGGTCCACTGGTAGTACTGGAGCAACTTCAGGTCAGGCTCGTCCTTCACCTGCAATGGGTCCTATGACTGCTCGAACTAGAGGGATGCAAAAAGGTCCTCACTCAGGTTATGGAGGGCCAACTTGGGGAAGTAATGCAGCACGAGCCTATGGTAGCGGGTTGGATTTCACGCTTCCCTCACACAAGTAAGTTATTATGTAATGATGCGGCAAATTTAAATGAAACAAATGTATTATGTGGAGAACTTATGTCCGTGATTGACCCCTTAAACAAGAATTATTGATTGACCCCTTAAATGCTAATTGAGGGGATGTTCTTAGGCAGCCAAGAAAGTATGCTAACGGAGATGTTTGTCAAAACAATAATTCTTGAGATGTACTTTACGTGCCGACTTTCCTACTGACATTTATTGCTGGCAGTGTTTTTTCATTTTTTTACAAAAGTTTTGCTGAATATTCATTTTCTCTGCACAAATGTAGTCTGCTCCTTAAAAATGTGTTTCTGTTGTTGTGAACAAGTTAATTGATTGTTTTCCAGTTTCTAAAATGTAATATGGTGTCTGAATACTGTATCTTTCCCGCATGGTTGTCTGTTGACTGACAATTTTCAGACACTCCCATTTCTTTCTATGACTGAAATATTTTCTCGTTTCTAATCTGAACTTAGCAGTGTATTGATGAATAACGAATGAATGTCAGTTTGAGGAAAGGATTTCAGTGATGGCATGAATGCTTGCCTTAGGGCAGCGACAGTGAGCTAGCTTTACGGGGTTTTTGGGAGAGCACCTATCTCTTCCCCCTTGTCCTCCCTATCCATTGCGCATTGAAAACTTCCTTTTTAAGAAGCTGCTTTAAATACTGAAAATATCTGATTGTCTATTAAAATTTGATGAAGGCAGTTGTGTCTCCTTTCATGTGTCTAACAGCTGTTGGTTCTGGGGATTTTTTTTTAGGACAATATTTGATGTTGACATCGATGGCTTTGAGGAAAAACCATGGAGACACCCTGGAGTTGATATTTCAGATTTCTTCAACTTTGGACTTGATGAAGAAAGTTGGAGAGATTATCGAAAACATTTGGCAAGCATTTTTTTTCTTCCTTGGATATTGATAAGTGCATCCTAAAAATGGGGAGAGAGGTGAATGTCACACTGTTTTTCTTTTCTATTACTGACCAAATCGGTTTTGATACTGCAGGAGCAGCTTCGTCTTGAGGCCACAATGCAAAGCAAGATACGTGTATATGAGAGTGGGAGATCTGAGCAGGTAACCATGCATATGCACTGCTTGGTACTAATAGATTGATCCTTATTTTTTTACTTTCATGACTTCTCTTTTTAGGATTACGATCCAGATCTGCCTCCAGAACTTGCAGCTGCGACTGGTGCTCAGGATTACTCTGATAGTACTCACCATGGAAAGCCGGATGGTGGATGTATCGATTTAATTGGCCCTGGAATTGGAGCTGTCCGGTCCCACGCACAATTAGTATGAATTTCCACTCTCTCTTACTCGTTCCTCCTTGGCTTTTATTGGTATAGCTTTTCTGAATTGATGTGCAAGCCCTGTTTACGTTCATGTATGTTCTAAATGCCTGTTTTCATCATAATTTTTCAGTTATCATCTTTGTATAACCGGCTCAATTGATTTGAATTGCATAATTGGGCCTGGAATTGGAGCTGTGGCTCAGCTCTTCCTTTTACGCTTCTATCGAATTTTCCAAGCAAAGTGAACTAGTTTCTGGAATTTCATGCAAATTTTGATCTTAAAAGAAGTCTCATTTTAGTAGCCCCATATGGCATAATTTATTTACATTCATGTGGATGCCGTTAGGGTGAGGGGGGTGGGGAAATGGTTAACAGTGCTTTGCGTTATCCTGTTTATATGAACTATTATCAACATTCTATGACCAAAAAAATTGCGTTCACAAGCAGCCAACGGGAAGGGCAATACAAGTCGAGGGTGGCTGTGGTGATCGTCTTCCTTCTATTGATACCAGACGACCGCGAATGCGTGATTCTGATGCAATCATAGAGGTATGCCTTATCCAAGTTCTACATATATTTGGGGGAAGGGTCCAATTGTTGGTTGAAGGAACTTATGGTCATCTGTTGAAAATTTTCTTGCAAAACAGATTGTTCTGCAGGATTCTGTTGATGATTCGATCACATCCAATGGGACCTCGAATCAACAACTGTATGAACGCCAAGGGAAGGATTTTGGAGCAAGTCATGAATCAGAGGAGCATGATAGGGATGCTGATTCGGAGTACTTGGAACATACACTGCCTGTTTTTAGTGATAGGAAGGGAGAGATGATAGATGGAAAGGAAACTTTTACAGGGTCTGTTGAGAACAGTGTCCCAGAAGGGAACGGCATTTTGCCCTCTCCTCCAGATGTGTCACTTCAGCATTCCTACGACTCAAAATCACATAGTCCTATTTATGATGTTGACCGTCGTGGTACACGGCCAGTTGCAAGGTATGGCATAGTCTTTTGGGCAATTCGTTTGAAAAAAATAAATTTCATATTGTGCCTTTTGTTTCCTTCCACTGTTCTCGAAATTTTTGATTCTCTCAGACGAACTTCAGCCACTTTGTTGAATTTGATGCACGTTTTGTTAACCCTTCTACTGTTTATTATCAGTATTTATTTTTTTCGGTTAAAGTTAATTATCTGATCAGTCATGAGAAGAGATCAATTTTCCTCTCATGTTTGGTATTGGCCGAGTTTTGCACTTGGACATATCAAATATATGCAGTTTTAATAAGAGATGTGCTTGGAGTCTTGTTGCTGTTGGATGTGTGTAGATGTGGTAGGGAGTGGATATTGGTGCAAACTATTGGAGAATATTATTACAACAGCTCTTTAGATGTTGGATGAAACCATGTTCTTTAGATGAGGGTACAATCTTGCATGCTTTTTTTTACGTTATGCATGCGTTGCTTGATTTCTCTTAAAGAATATTCCGTCGAGTGTAGATGGCCATTAAGGTCAATCTAATTTGCGCTGTCATGAATCTGGCTTTAAGTTTTGTCCCTATAAAGATTGAAAACACTGGTACATGATAGTGGTGTGTCAACGGAAGGCCCGAAATTTTGATGAATAATCATGATCGCGTGCTGAACTTGATGGTCTATGGGCAACATCCTGCACTATGGAGCTCCCAGTGTAGTTAGTAGGCCGGAAAGGGGAATCTGTTTAAATCGCATGCTATAAATAAGAAATATGATAGTCACATGACCAATAAGTTAGGATGCTTGTGAATGTTTAGAAGAAGGACAAGATCATTCGAAAATTTTGAGCAAAGGGCTGTAAGTTGCCTTTGCTCATGAATGAGTTAAATTTTATGATCCCCCATTCCTTGGCTATACACTTTTCTTAATTGAGTCTCCCCGTAGACCTAATGTGCTTAATGCTGTTCTAAAAACCATCCAGTAGGCCTATATTTTTTTAAGTGTCAGTAGTGCAGTTTTCTTAGACCATTCTACTCACGATCAGAAAGTGTATAAATAGAGTAGAATCCCAAACACTACTTCAAATGCTTCTGGTGAATTTGATGTGTATACGTGTAACAATCTTGTGTCAAATATGTTTCATGATTTGATGCTTATCTACCTCTTTTTACAGTGGGACACAAGTTTCAATACGTGAAAGATACTCCCATGTTAGTGACGACGGTTCAAATGCTGCAATCACAACACAGAGTGATAATTTGCAAGTAGATGATGATCTCAAAGATAAATCAGGAGCCAGCAAGGGAGATGAAGGGGTCTTGAAGTTGTCGCCATCCACGGAGGGAACTGCTGGAGAGATTATCTTAGAAGGTGAAGGAGATGGTGAACAAAATGAAAGGCTTGTTTTGGATGATGGTGGTGATATTGAAGATGAAGAAAGAGGTTCTGATTTTCGAGACTCAGATGAGACTCAAAAAGATAATGGCTCACAAAATGCCATCAAGAAACAAAAGTTTACTGCTCACGATGACCAGCCTACTGTCCAAGGTGGTGGGGTTGATCCAAGGGTGACACAAAGTGGTAGTCGTAAAGGGAAATTGTTGAGCAGCAAGGATTATCCGAAGAGGCGGGATAGTGGAGAAGAAGAGGTTCAGCATGGACGGACGAGGCAGACTGGGGATCCGAAAAGACATCACGATGAAGAGAAACGAAGTTCCCAACGAAGAGATGATCATGGACGGGATGTGGGACATGTGGACAGACACCACAATGCTTCTAAAGGAAGGCAAGATTCATCTCAATCTCATCCACCAGTGGAATCACGTCCAGCACATCATGGGCGCAGGAGTGAGGGTCTTGAGAAAGCGAAGGAGAGAGATGCCTCTGTTGGTGTCCGGCAGAGAAGAGACGATGATACTTATGGCAGAAGGGGAAAAGATGAGGACACAAAGAGAGATCATGGTGAGGAGATTGGCGGATCAAGGCACAGGGATAAAGTTAGGATTGGTGAAAAGAAAGGAAAAGATGCGGATCTTCATTCAAGAAAGCATGTTGATGATGGAGACCGTAAAGGTCATCATCGAGATTCTGCAGTAAGGCAAAGGGACAGGGATGACATCCCGACGAGTAGACGTGAAACTGCTGATGAACTTCATATCAAAAAGAGGAAGGATGAGGAACAACGGAGGAGAGAGAAGGATTCGAAGGAGCATTCCCAGCATGGACACAGGAATAGAGACGATGGCTCTCTTGGTAAGAGAGAAAGGGACGATGCCTCTGATCCCAGGAAGAGGGATGAGCAAGTCAGAGACAACTCTACTAGGCACCGAGATGACAACTGGAGGCAGGGGGAGAAAGAGGACCGACAGCGATTTAAACAACCACATGAAGACACACAGAAACACAGGGAAAGAGAGGATCGGAGTGGTAGACTTGTAGAAGACAAGAATTCTAGTGGGGGTGGAAGGGTCAGTGACGGAAATTCATCTAAAGATAGAAGACGATACCCTGATAGAAATGCAGATTATGTTGATAAGCACAAACGTGCAGAGCATGGAGCACGTGAGGAAATGCACTCGCATGAAAATCAGTTAAGCAGCAAGGAGAAGAACAGCAGGCAACAAAGATCGAGCAGCAACATTGATCATCATAAGAGTGCTGATGGGAGAAAGATGAACAGGGAATCACAGAAGGAGAGTTCCAGAAAAAACAGGGAAACTGAGGGAGGCGAGTTAAAAGTGGGAACTGGAAAAAGAAAGCGTGGGGATCGTGGTGGTCTCCAGTCTGAGAAGGTCAGGCCTACCTTTAAATAAAAAAAATCTGAAGTTAGGTTCATTATTGACTAAAATAGAAAGCTCATTTACTTTTTCTGCACCTGTTCAGAAATGTCATTCAAGATTAAGGGAACTATGGTTGGATTTTCATTTGATTATATGTCAATAATATGTGTTATCAGTTAGCCTAATTAGTCTTCACCAGAACCTGTCTCTCTAAACTTTCAATTACATTAGATTACTCTACGTAAAGTTATATTCTGAATAATCATACTTCTATGCATTGTACTTCAATAATTACTTTAAATGCTGCTTTGATTTTTTGCTATTCGGAAGGAGATGAAAAGCATTTGGTGTCGATCTGTGGAACCTGGTGAAAAGGGAAAACCTGGTGGACTGTGTGGTGGTGGAGCTTTTGGTACCAAAAGCACCAAAATGAAAGCTTTTCTAGAAAGATGCTGTGAGATTTACGGCTTACAGAGAAGGGTTGATGAATTAAAGAACTTCTGAATGTTCCTACACTGGTGTGGAGCAATAATCCCTGTTGGCCTTTCGAATGTCTGAGGGTGAAAAGTTTGCTTTGCTTTGCCCTTTGGGGGAAGCTCCCTCTTTTTTTTGTTTCGTTTGGAGGGGCTGACATCATTGGTGCTGGTGTCACAAAGGGGCTACTAGTCATTGGTCTATGATGACCTGATTATGACTCCAGTTATCGTCTACCATTATTTTTCATAGCTGTGATGTGGCAGGCGAATGGAGGAAGACGACAGTACTTTGAGAGGACATCGTCTCCTGATGCTTGTTTCAAGTGCTGGCTTTTTGATTTGAAGGTTTTCAGTTATGGACAAGATGGTGGAGGAATCCCAATGTTGAACAGGGGGCTCATGGCCCGTGGTGCAGTCTTTAATGATGTGGAGGCATTGCCCCTAATGATTCATGTCGGCTCTTACAAAAGGATATTACTTGTGACTTAGTTAATAGTTAATATTTAAATTTTAATTTACTTTGTTTAAATTAGGTGTACTCTAACTAGTGGTGTAAGGTGGTGAGTAACCAACTTGGTTCACCTAGGAACCGTGGCCTTCAGAAAATTTGGAACGGCATTTTGCATCGGAGATTTTGTTGAAAAAGTCAGATTCTTTATTTCGTAGATGTGAATACAGATAAGATTGTTGGCAGTTCTATTTAGAAGGATCCTACATCATAGAGAGTGAAGTCCCCGAGTTTGTCGATCTATAACAACCTCTACAGAAAATTATATTGAAATGGAATAATTTAGAGATGGAATTCAAAAAGCAATTTTCGCTGTCATGGATATGGAATATTGCCATGGAACAATTTGATGTCGAAAGTAATTTCTTGTCAGGTCAATATTGTCTCTTGTAAAGTAGGTAATCAAAAACTTCTTACAGAATTTCGATTTTAAATCCCGACATGATTAACAAGTGCGTTTTCGGTGGTTTGCTTTGGGAAATTCTAGATTAGCCAGCTATATAAGAAAGAGGTACCGTGGGGTAAAGATTTTTTTTGTAAATATTTGATGTCCACGAGCCTCTGTAGAAGTAGGATTCTTTTAATTTTGTGGAAGATGTTTCCATCAGGTTAACATCGGATCTCTGTTGCGAATGGAATGATAAATGATTTCAGCAAAGTTTCGGGTATTACCAGACATCATGATGGTGATTGTGGTCAATCAGAATTGTATGCGATTGACTTGATTGAGCGAATGGTGGATATTATATTCCGTTTTTTGTTCTTTTTCTAGTGTGATATCTTGCTTGATCTTCTTCGTTAGAAACATGCGACTAGGCCGAGATTGTTCCACGATGTTTTGTTTTTCCTCTTGTATACTATGTTCCAGTTCTTTTATTGAACAGAGAATTTAATTGAGCCATAAAGGAGTCAATCTACGGCTTTGTGAATTTTTCTCTGTTTGTTCCGACTTCTCCCATTGATTTGGGTTCTTGTGGAGACGTGCTGTTGAAATAGATGTGTACATCTCATGTCTGATTCTCGGAAGTAGGATCGACTGCTATTAGATTGTTATGACATTAAATCATCCACGTTCCGGAACTCCCATCTTCCAATTTGGAGCCACTTTGTTGTGATGATTATTTACATATTTTTGCCATTTTGTTTTATTATTAATGTTTTCCACTGGCTATGGTCTCTATTTCTTTTGTCCATTTTGTGGGTTGAAATCTCCTCGACCCCTATTCAGTAATCTTGATGCCCTGTTTTTTGTGGTTCTTCCATATGGTAATGTGCTATGGCATCTCCACTAATGGTTATCCTGCAGTGTTGGTTTAGTTATGAATTTCTTAGCAGTCACTGGGATGCAGAAGATTCCCTTTCCAAAGTCGTTTGAGTCAGGCGAAATCACTGTATGTGTCATCAAGATGGGAGGTTTATGTGCCCATCAAGACTTCTGTTAATAAGTTACTTTTCTCACGCCCGTCATGATGGGTGGTTGATTCCCTCTACATTCCCTTTTTAGTGTGATCTTAGAAAAGTCCGTGCAGAAGTTTAGTATGATAGGAGGTTGATTCCCTCTACATTCCCTCAACGTTCTCTCACCCTGTCATTGATAAAAAAAAAATCTGCTTTTCAAATATGTGAATGTTCTCTCCTTCCATCCTGGCCAAAGGTTCACATGCCGGATGAACATCCATGTTCTACAATGACAAATTCATGCCTGTCCACTCAACAGCCCCTGAACACTCTCTCACTCTTTCACTGAAAGTGTAGGCCATGTTGGTTGTCCTCCCCTTCCATATTCCCCAAAAGGTTCACATGCTGGCTGAACAACCGTATTCTGTAGTCCCCTATGGTTTTCATTTAATATTTGCCTGTTTATGTTCTCGTTGGCAGTCAGAAGGTGCTATCTAATGCCGATTGTGTGGAACAGCTTCTGAAAAATCTCTGTTGAAAATGACGATAAAATATGTTGTCTGATGGCCCACACTCACGTAGACTGCTATCCACATAAAGAGCCATATATTTGGCCGTCCACGGCAAGGACTTCAGTTTGGTCCTTACCTTCAATGGGATGAGAATCTCTAAACTCGAGATGCCTGGGGTGGTGCCCAGGAACTTTCCTCATTTTTCATCCCTACGAGGCAGCTCCGGTGATTGACAGTCAATTGTTTTACAAAGAAGTTGATTTGATTCTCTAGTTGGCTAATCCATGACAACTGAAATCTGTTTAAGCAGTCAGATTCGGACCACATTGATCAGTTATCGATTTCGAGAGATGAAACAAATTCGAGATAAAAACAGAAATCTTACAAATACAATTTTGTAGTGTATGTACACATAGACAACTAGAAACAGTGAAAGATTCACTGAAGAGTGAATTAAACTTAAAACATCCCACGAAATATTCAATGGAAAGTTTGCACATCTCATTATCTTGTTCTCATGTAGTGCTTACGTTTAATCATCTCAAACCGTGCTCCTCCTACCCTGGTTCTTAATTTCCACTGCCACTTAGACGATGTTGAGTTGAAGTCTATGATGGTGACCCTCATTCTCTTTGTTTTTGTCTCTTTGTCCCTACTTGATATCAGGTCAAAACTCTTTTCCAGTGTCTCTGAAATTTTGAGAAGGAATGACAATGCAACCCACCATTTGACGAAAGCGCGTCTCTTTCCATCCTATGTCATTTTGCTTTCGAGTTTATGCCCAATTTGGTTCAATCCCTGCAGTGCCTTTGTTGAGTCATCTGCAGCCATCACAGGCGGTATGCCAGCAATGAGCGGCATGCAGCCATGGGGGTACAGTGGCATAACGCCAGGGCTGCTGTGGCACTCATGGGAGCCACTGCTGATCTGGTGAGTTTTTTTCTTTCTTATTCTTCCTCTGCCGTTCCTTCCTCCCCTTCTTCCTCCGCTGGTGTGAGTTCCGGCCGACTTCTTATAGGGCTCGTTAGAACCTATAAATCTGCCAATTTGACGTGATTTAGTGCCCCTAAGAATTCAATGGGATCGTGATTGAGCGATTCTGAGAAGCACGGCTCCTCATTTCAATGTTGGAGATTACGTGGATGGGTTTTGTCATCTCGTGATCCGCTTCAAGAAATCTGCTTTCTGTCATAATTTTTCATAGACAAGCAAGCGAAAGAGAGGACAAGGGGGCAGACTGTTTGAGACCTCTCCCAATATGAACATACCTCGAGCTTCCCCATTGACTTTTACAGCAAATCTTGCATAAATGACGCAATGCTGAATCCATCAATCCCATTTAACTTTGGTGCTCATCAATCTTAGCTGCTGGCTCCTTGCAAGATACATGCATTCATTCATGATCCACCAGATTTTTTTTCTGAATTCAGTCTGATGACGAACGCATTCTGGGTTGATCTAATCATCGTTTGGGTGTCATCCTTGTGATTGTTTTGTGCACGCCATCTTTAATGGGCATGTAGTTCTTCTGCCTGTGTACATGAGTCCTTTCAGGGGCCATCTCCAGAAATGGCAATGTTTGCTCTTTATAGTATATAAGCACGGTGCCCTTTAAGTCCTACTAAAAGTATTGTATTTCCTATTTAGTTAGTCTCATTGAAGCGAAGGATATCAACCTTACACACCTCTAATATTCTTCGATTCTATCTTTGTAGATCCGCTGGGGAACCATCCTCCAATTCATATTCTTTCCCTTCCTTTCCCCTCCATTAAAAACGCCTCCCCCCCCTCTCTCTCTCTCTTGGGGGGCACTGCTAGCCATGATCATTCTCTCATTCTCCTTTCCATTTCCATCAATTCCCCTATCTTCCATATCCGTATCCCCTGATCTCCCATGTTCTATGTTGATTTTATCCTTGAAGGGTTCCTATGCTTGTCTCCTGGAAGGTTTTTTTTTGTCAAGTGTGGGGCCCACTGCAATTGTGGACGGTTTATGAGGGGCTTTGACTCCTCTTTGACTGTCAGCTGCTAAAGTGGAGAGCAGACGATTCGATCAGCTCCGTGAACCGTTGAAATGAGAGCTCTCTTCTCAGTTAATGGCAGGTTCTAGTCGGTCCCATCAGCAGGGGTTTCTGTCTCACTTCTCTGACAATTGTTGCCCATCATAGTCAGGGTCTTCTCTGAGTGGAATGTCAACTCCTTGGTTTGACTTCTGGGGTGGATAAGTTCCTCTTCTTTGGTGTTACTCTGATCGAAAAAGTCAGCCTTAGGAGGGTGGAATGCACATTACTGAGAATGAAGCTCCATCCAGAAGCTACAAGAACATAGTTTTTCCCATTTAATTACGAGGAACCAGTGACTTTGGCCATGGATAAGAGCTTCTTTGGTCATGGTAAACCCGTAGATTATTTACTAATTTAGTATAGTAACTAATCTTGATTCAGGGTTGATGCTCATTGTTTCTGATCAAGTAACTACTTGTTCTATAGAAGCTAACATGCAGCGAAAGAATCATGTTGGTCCCGGCCTATTTACTCGCATACATACGTCTATTTATAGTATGCATGCATCTCATATGCCAATGCTGGTAGATTAGATAGCTAATTGACTGTACATGCTTATTGATTCTTTACTATATTTAGTTGGATGTTCTTGTGAAAATTGCCTAGTAATTCTCTCTCCGATGCTTAGGAAGGGGAGAGAGATAAAGGCCTAGTTGGTCAACTTCTCTCTCTAGGAAATTCTCATGTCTGCAAAACCCTTGTGTAGGTGGGCTCGAAGGGGGTCAACGCTCATCAAGAAGGAAGCAACTCGTCCTCTGGGTTGGTCCCTCAGAAGGGCCGCCGCCACGGGGATGAACCGGCCGACATCCCGGGGCAGAACCGTCCTCCGGGAAATCACACAGAAGAGAACTTGGCAGCCTCCGATGAAGACGACCCTCAGAATGTGAAGAGGGGGCGGTCCAAGCTGGAGCGGTGGACGAGCCACAAGGAGAGGGATTTCAACAGCAACAGCCTCCAATCTCTGCCCTCGTCGTCAAAGGCAGGGGAGGCGGAAGTCAACGGCAGTGAGGCGGCGCCACTAGAGCAAGTGGGCAAGAGCGATGACGGCGGCGCTGGAGGCGGCGCAGAAGTCAAAGGCACCGAAGCTACCCAACCATCTGATTCCACTGGGAAGGAGAACGATCGGCACCTTGACACAGTGGCCAAGCTGAAGAAGCGGAGTGAGCGATTCAAGGTTCCTCTGCCAGGAGAGAAGGACGGCGTTGGTGCAGCAAAGAAATCTGAGGGCGAGGTGCCGCTGACCCAGAGTGAGACTCCCGTTGACTCCGACATCAAGCAGGAGCGACCTGCCCGCAAGAGGAGGTGGTCTAGTAGTTGACCCACGAGGAGAATTGGGTCAACCCAGGTTTTCCTTCCAGGGGGAGAAGATCTCTGTTCTAGGTTGGATATTTATGTGGTTCGGCCGGGAGCTCAAGCAGCCACCGCCTCCCCCCTGGGGGGGGACTTCCAAGCTCTCTCTCTCTCTCTCTCTCTCTCTCTCTAGACCAACTCACGGGAATAGGCTTCCATTTCTGCTTGCTGTCTGGTCAGAAGAACTGTACATATTTGCCCACCATTTCTTGGGCCACCCTTTTGAAACGTTGGTGGTGGGCGTTGGGATTTTTTCGCATGTATCCTCTGAATACTCGTCAAGTCAAACGAGGGCTATTTTTGTAGAGCCGGGTTTCTATTCTGAGTAATTCCCCCTGACCCATCTATTTTAGGGTTCTTACAAAAATAAATAAATAAATAAATAAATAACCCTTCCTTCGGAAGATGTCTTCATTGGCGAGTCTAAGCTACGGCCCAGCCCATTAGCACGGATATCTACTAGTAGAAGGATTTGGATGGTAGCTTTCGCATGCCGTGTCAGGGATGTCGTGATTTGATACCGCCGATATGTCTCGTAGCCAACAAACCTTCAACGGGTGAAGAAGGCCTCCGTGTGCCCACCCACCCTCGGAAGGCGGGGATGGCGATCTCTCGGCCGGAGTCCGAGGTTCTCCCGGCCGGCGACGCCGATGCCAATCCGTCGTGGTTCACTCCGAAGAGGTAGGATTCTCATTCCCCTCTCAGACTCTCCTTCGCTGGCGCCGTATCCTCCCACTGCACTCTTCCGCTCCTTCGCGTTTTGTTTCCGAGACCTAATTCAGAACATAATCTGTCTTCGTAGTCACCTCCCCCTTTGGTTCTTTGGTTTCTGTTGTTGTATCGGGATTCGGTGATGCATCGGTTTACCCATCAAAGAGAGTGCTCGGAGTTCATACATGTGTAGATGGGTTGAAGTACCGAGTTCAATTTTAATGTCCAGTTCCGTGGGAGTTTTATTTCATGGGGATCCTTTCATTGTTTCGAAACTGGCCGTTTATGTTCTAGCTGGAAAGTTTAGACTGGCCGTTAAATGCGTAAATCCGTTGGTGTCAAGCGATTTAAAAAGCCATTGTAAAATAAAGGTAAAATTTTCCACTGAAACATGCCATATCTTGTCCAGTTTGTACATCTTTGGCAAAGTTGGGTTGGCTACTGAATAACATAGTCAGTGTTCAACTGCGGTAGCGATTACCTGATGTCAGGTCCTCTCCGTGCCACCTGAAGGATCCGTTGAGGTTACCTTACACACGCACACACACGCACACAGACATTTAAGTTTGGAGTATCAAGGCAGATATCTCTTTCATCACTCGAACCGGGTTTGACTTTATGCATTCAGGAAATAGGCAAAATAAGAATGCGGTAATCCAAAAGGAAGAGAAAAAGACGATGGATAATGTAAATCTATGTTTTTTAGGGATAGCTAAGAATAAACCAAAAGGAGGTGAAGAAAGATTCAATAGCTTGACAAGAGTACACGGATTCCAAGAGCATTAATTTGATGTCATTTTAGAGGAATGGATTGGCATTTTCTTGAGCTTACCTAATTTTCAAATCCCTTAAATCTCTATTTAAATATGTAATTACCTTGCTTCATGTTCAGATTGTGTGTTTTATTAAACTTTCAATTGAAACATGTGAATATTTAATAATTTTAAATTTTATGTCAAGTTCTATTTCAAAAAAGTTGAGTTCCTACCTACCATGTTTACTTCTGCACTTCTTCTAAGGTGTTGGAATCATGATACAGTCGTTGAATGAGAGGATATGCATAAAAGGAAATTTAATTTAAAGCATTTACTTGAATACATAAAGAACATTTATAAAGATGGCCCATAAAATTTGTGTAAGGTAAATGCTACATTCCATTCTGATTTCAGACGAGATGTTTTACTTTTGAGCCAGAAAAGGAATGCAGTTCTATCCTTCCCCAGATTTCAAATTGTTTATCTTCATATTCTTTGAACCGAAAATTTTCATCTTGTAGTCAGTAATGATGCCTAAGAGATTTTTTTAGTTAGATGATGTTACAGAAGTAGATTGTTTAACCCAATGATCTCTGGTTGCAATTTTCATTTTTACATAGTTACACATGAGATATTTCTAGTTGATATACTTATATTTTGAACAGTGCTTTTATTAAGAAGTTACATACCTCACTAATGTTTAACCATATGTTTCCGTTTTCTCATCTCGCTTTGTCTATTACAATTAAATATTGGGGACACCTAGGCCTAAACATGGCAATGTTTTTTCTTTATGGTTAATGGAGGAAGAATACATGTGCATGCGTATAAAATGGCATTGATATCTCTACTTTCATCCTGAGAAAAACCCCACTTTTAGCAGTTGATGCCTCTCTTTTATATTGAAATTTAATGTCATGATTTGTATTCTGTTAACAATGTCTTATTGCTAGTTCTTCTTTCTCGTGGAATTCATAGTCTTCAAAATTGAAGAGATGCCTTCCATTTCATTTTATCGTTATTCCATTCATCCCTTAAGGACGACCAGTTTGACCTAATCGGCCACAGGAACCTTGGCTAACTCACCACTAAACTTTGTTGTTCTACATAGAATCCAGTTTATTCACTATTTTGGCACTGTTTTGCAGATTACTTGCGATCTTTTGCGTCATCAATATGTTAAACTATATTGATCGGGGTACTATAGCAAGCAATGGAGTAAATGGGAGTGCCAGAACATGTAGTGAGAGTGGGATATGTACTGCGGGTAGTGGAATACAGTATGTATTGTTGTGCTTTTCCTTAGATCGTCATATTATACTCGCATGCATTGTTTCAAAAACTTTCCTTGTTTCTATGATTGGTTTCTCATCGTTGCCTTATTTTGTGTGCAGTCCAATGCTAACCTAAAAATGATTTGGTAAGATGTAACCTGTTGGGTCATGGGTGTCTGGTGGTTGTTTTGCCTGGGGATTGAGAAGTAGGATCCATCTCCCTTGATCTGGAAGCATCTTTTTCTGGACTACGAGATATTTCAGCATATCACCTGTAGGAGATCCTTGAAATTGATATTGTTCTCCTCTTATCCTCATTATTTTTTCCCTTTCTTGGTACAATGAAGATCATAAAGGTTAGTTAATTGTAAAACACATCACTTCTGTTTTGTATTTTCCTTCAGAATTTTGGTCTTTGAGAATGACTATAGTTCTCCAGAATTTTGGCACGTGGGAGATTATTTATGTCAAACTAGTGCTTATTTCTTCCCTTATTCGGCCTCTTCCAGCCCTGATCATTATAGTCCTATTTTGATGAATATGATGGCATCAAGAAGGTTGACTATTATACTACGTATAACCCTCATACTTACCAAGAATGAGGGTAAGGTTACAATGTGGGGGCCTTTAAATAGGTCTAAAAAACCGGATCAGTTATAATAGTACTTCAAAGCAGTTTCGAAGCATTGTAAAGCAAATTCAAAAATGCATACAAAGTGGGAAAAACTTACAGCACTAATCTTTGACGTGTTTCTCACCTGTTTTGTTATGGGCCTAATGTTATTCGGGTGATATTATCCTTGTAACCCATCCTTCAAGCTTTCAAAAGGCCTGGCCCACCGGTTTTGGGCCATCTAGCCCAAAAAAAATTTACCCTTCTCTTTGTTGGAAGTGATATCCAACTTCAATTTTCATCATCGTTCTAGCATGCTTCTTTGACTGGATGACACATTTTCATCTTCATAACTGTTACAGGTGTACAAAACTGGCAAATTTATACCTTAATAAAAAAGATGAACGTTTTGTCCAGAGTTTATTCTATAGTTTTAATGAAATATGGCCCTTACTTTTCAGATAGAGGAAATCTATGTTTATCATAAAACATTATGCCGCAATTTTGATCTTTTCTCATTCACTTATTTCTTTCTAAAATGTTTGGTTGAGAGCTTCTGTTTGAATAAAGTAGAAGACTAAATAGCTGTTGGGTTCTTGGTTGACTGCTTAATGATGTGATAAATGGGTGCAGGGGAGACTTCAACTTGAATTACTTTGAAGATGGTATTCTCTCATCTGCTTTCATGGTTGGACTTCTGGTTGCTTCTCCAATATTTGCTTCCTTGGCAAAAAGGTTTTTTTTCTTTACTGATGTATTTAAATCTCTTTTGCAATTTTATGCAGATAGAAGGCCATGGATAGTGTTTTTATCAACAATTACAAAAGATCTGTGGTGTTATCGTTTTTCCAATCCTTAGGTTAATGTAGGCGGATTTTAGTTTCTACCCAAAAAGTTGAAATCTAGTTAGGGATTGTCTCTTATTGGTGTCAACGTGGAAAGGAAAAGAGGGGTGAGATAACATGCTGCTTTCTTTCTCTACTTTATTCCTTTCTAATTACCTAGACTGATAAGGGATCGTGGAAGGTTGAAGAAGATCATTGAAAACCTGCAATGACTTTTTTTTCTTTGAAGTTTCCCTAGGAAATATTCCTTCAGAAAGCTTTCATAAGAGTTTTAACGGATAGTCTGTATTGCCTTTATGTGGCCCTGGGGGTTGACCCTGCCCTTGAAGGTTAATATGGCAATTCTTTGAGTACGGTAAGTATTCATTTAATCATCCTTTAATTGTGGGGTTTTAGTGACATTTTCGAGCTGGATCCTGCCACTTAAGTGGTTATAAAATGTTTAGACGATGCTTTTGGCATGCCGCTGTATGTGCCTCACGTGAAACATTTAGAAGAGTTTTTAAAATGATGTACCTAATTTGGTTGAGAACGAGTTATTACTTATCACTTCCTCTGTTTTCTGTAAGAATTTTACACAAACCATACAAGGATAAACAGTCGGGAAAAATCTCTACTGCTTCTCAAATCATAGAACAGTTGACAGTTATATGCAATTACCCTGGCCACAAAAAAAGGAAACTTCATGGATTAAGGAAACTGAACAGCAGATACTAACTCCTAATCACACGTTTTTCCCGCTGAATTATGTTCTGCTTCTCCTGTATCTTGACTGCCTTGTGTAAACCACGGCGCAGTTGCTGCCCCTCTCTCTCTCTCGTCCTCCTTCCCTCTCTGTGTCTACTTCTGATACTCTTCTCCTATCTCTCTCCTTAACAATATACCCCCTTTCTCTCCATTATAAACTGTCTTCCGATTTCCTTTGTCGCTCATAAAGAGGAAGAAAGTAATGGGGAATTAACTCTTTCTCCCATTCCGTTTCCATTATCCTTGTTACGTTTCTTCCAGTGTCACCAAACGGATGTTAGATGATTGGTCAAGTTGGATGGTGAACTGCTCTCCCTTACATTTTGTAACTTATCTCTTTACCAAACATCCTTTCCACGTTCCTCTGAAGAAATAAAATCAATGCCTCAGCGTCTGCGATCCAAGATATTTCTATCACTCCCATTTCTTTTCCTCCCTCTCTAGCTACTTCCCTTCATAGCCTCTCCTTGGCAACCTCTCTGCCATATTTGCAGTTCCTTCGCGTTTAGTTTTTACCCTTTTTTTATTTCCTCTCTTTGGTCCTTTCTGTTGAGAGACCAGAAACAATGAGAAGAACGAATCAACTTTCTCTGTTATTATGTCACCTCTAAAAGCTAAATTTTAATGAACCAGATCTTGTCTTCAGGTTATTTATTCCCAATTTTAATGAAGCATAACCTTTTAAAGCCCCAGAGAAGCTACTAAATAAATCTATGCGCTTAAAAGGTTAGTTCTGTCCATGTGTATCATCGTTTACGAGAAAATTGCTGGAAAATAACAGTATTAGTATACTAGGAGAATCTTCAGTAGTTTCTTATATCTCCAGATCTTCGTGGAGAAACACTTCTGGTTAAAATAATAATGTGGGTAAACTGCGGTAATCTAGATGAGATAAAGATCATGTAGACAGAATCTAATATGAATTCGACGTGAGCAGTCATATGTTGCTACGTAACCATTTGGAAACTAATAAATGAGGTTTCCTTTATTTGGAGCATGTTCAGCTTTATTCTCAGTCAAATGATACTAGTATCTCCAAGGATAATGAATTGTTCCACACATCTAATCTTACATACCAACAAGTGGATGGTGAGCAATAATAAATATGTTGTATGGAAATACTAACTATCAAGAGCCGTATTACTTTCATAAAAAAATGTTTAATTTTGTAATTCTAGTAGAACTCATTTCAATGGGCAAAAGGAAAAGGGTTAAGGATCATGCACTGGCATGCTTTCACTTTACATGTAGATAATTGGATATCGTTGCTTTGGAAGCTAGTTTCGATTTTTTACCGCTGACATGTCATATTACTTTTTCTTTGGAAGCTACTTTTGCTTTCATTCGTTATGTACAAATAGTACTAAATATCTTTAAAAAGGAATGAAAGAGAAGAGCATGCAAGTAATGGTAAACTTATGCGCCTGAAATAGTAAATCATTGGGAAAGTCGATGCCTAAACATATTACTTTGTATGCACCTTGTGAGTCATAAAATTTGGACGTATTTGTCATATCCTTTGTACATTTTCTCTGCAGCCATAACCCGTTTAGGCTTATTGGAGTTGGACTATCAGTCTGGACTCTTGCTGCTGCGGGCTGTGGCTGTTCTTTTGGGTTTTGGTCCATTACAATTTGCCGAATGTAAGTAACGCATACCATTGCCATGTAAGATTTAATCCCTGGATAATCACGGTGGTCATCAGACTTAAGTTCTATCTTTCTAGGCTCGTGGGTGTTGGTGAAGCTTCCTTCGTAAGTCTTGCAGCTCCATTTATTGATGATAATGCCCCTAGTTCTCAGGTCTGTTTTTTTGGCTCGTTTCATATGCTTATCTGGCAATTTGATTTTTTTCACATTTAATTTGCTTTGAAGAATCATTGAGTATCTTAGTTTAGATTTTTGCAATTTACATCTCCTTGCATACTAGCTACATTTCAATGAGATAAATTTCAGACATTGACAGTTTGAAGGTTGCATTGTACATGATCTGGTAGACTCATCTTTCTCTAAAAATGATTTTTAATTTTTATTTAGGAAAATATTCATTCAGAAAACTATTCCATTCTTTCAGCGAGAGAATTTTTGTGTGGTGTGCAGGCTAGAATCTATAAACATCTCCATGCTGTTGAGCATCTGAAACAAGTACCCCGTTCTTTTGGGGACACTGCGTCACCCTAAGTTTATTTTTTATTTAATTTATTATTTGACTCTTATGTTCCCTGAAGAACTTGTTTCAGAAATGTTTTTCATTCGTCATCTGTCGTACCAAGATTATCAGTCTGCTTTTAACCGGTTATAAATGCTATCGAGGATGTGAATCCCTCTAGGCCTAACTGACTGATTCTAGTTCATGTTTACAGTATATTTATATAACTATCCTAGTCTCTCCGTTCTTAGAACATATATCATCTACCGAGATTACCTCGTTTTGTCCTGCGTTTGAGCAGTCAGGTTAATTGGTTTTGTCATATTACCCATTGATTTAATTTCTGTTGACAGAAAACAGCATGGCTTTCGATCTTCTACATGTGCATACCTGTCGGGATTGCATTTGGCTATGTTTATGGAGGACTGGTAACATTTATTTCTATGAATTTCCTCACTCTGGAGAACTTTATTTCTTTGGATAAAATTTGAATGAAAATTGTTTTAATTCCATAATCTGTGTTTTATGTTTTTTCTTTTTCATTGTATTTCGCAATCATCCTATTCTCTGATGAAAATAAAGTTCGCTTGCGAAAAAAGCTTTGCCGTGGTCTATCATTTTCCTAGAGCTGATTCACTCTCCCTTTGTCATTTAGACTCATGGTGATCAGTATGCCTCTGTTGGTAGAAAATGGAAATGTTGGTCTGACTAGAAATTTTTTATGAAGATTCTGCTTCACATTAATTTTAATCTAGAAATATTTTGCTTGGCTCTAGTAGTTTTTATAGGTGATAGACAGTTCATTTGTTGCCTACAGGTGATAAAGGCTCATATTTATAATTTTAGCCGATTGCTACTAAACACCAGGCCTCTCCCTGCACAATTTTTCTAGGAATATGGCTCCTAGCTTGGCACCGTATACAATCAATATAAAAGAGCTAGAAACAGCATTTTATCCTATGATTGTTGTTTCCCCATGCTTACGCCCAAACATAAGTCTGTAGATCCACCTCTGCTATGCCTAAAAAGAAAACCAGTCAGTTCTACCCTTCCCAAAAATAGAAGAAATCTTCAGTATTCTGAATAGGGTCGTTGCCCAAGATTTAATGTAGTATTCGTTCTTCTAACCATCTTTCAAGTTTTCTCAAACGTAGAGAGTTCCTATTCCTAGTATCTGTTCTCCAGTAGTTTGGGCAATTTATCTTTCTGCTCTCACTCTATCTCTTCGTTTTTTTCGCACATCCTGATGTTACTTCATCATCATTTCAATTTTATGTTTCCTTACCGTGTCGTAACCTACTTTGAACTACAAACAAAATGCCTATGAATTTTTTTTCCAGGACCAGATGTATGTGATAAATTGTGTTTTTTGATGCTGATCATAGTGCTAAGTAAATGTATCTGAATTAAATCAGATCATACACAAATTATTGCTTCATATAGATTTTCACCAGGTTTCTTTAAATATGTGTTCTTTATGTAAAATATCAGGTTGGAGTTTACTTGAACTGGCGCGTTGCATTCTGGGGAGAAGCAATTTTGATGCTTCCATTTGCTATTTTAGGCTTCGTTATACAGCCATTGCAGCTCAAAGGTAGTATATATCCACATTTTTTAAGTGGCTAGCAACACTATTCATTAGTAATACATCTCACTATTTTGAAGTCGGACGTATGTGCGGATTCCCATGCATTCACAAGTCGCATAAAAAGTTACAAAATGGTGCTGTATGCCAAGTTTTTCGAAGTTATTATTTAGACATTTATTGTTCCTTCCTCCTCACTTGACTGATGTTCCCTAATGACAAATAAAGAATCATCCATCAGTATTTGTCTCAGTACCCATCTTAAAGTCCAACAGCTCAGCATATAATTGAGATTTCATGGCTTCCTCCTCACTATTTGGAATTTCATGAGGATTTCCTCTCAACTGTGTGAAGGGGCATGCCTCTCCGTGGTTTAATTAGGGTTCATGGCTCCTTCAATAGGTGCTTAGTGATCATATGTTGTCAATTTCATGTGCAGTTCCAAATGAGAAATATGATCCCGCCATTGAACTCAGTACCAGAAAGCGTCTATTATGGAAAATCTAACCCTCCCTTTCGATCTGTTGTAAAGTGTATGGCGTTCTTTTCCGAAGTCCATTTTGAATCCTCCTTTTTAAAGCTATAGAAATTACTGTAGCCTTATGAAATCTCCAATCTGCTCAATCTACCTACTGTGGAGGTTCCTTCCAAATGTGAGCTCCCTATTTCCCTGTCTTGGCTGGGTTCATGCGAATATATGTGGCACTGCGACGGATCTAATGTGATATTGTGGACTTATGGGAGTGCATCTCCCAGGGTCTTTCCATAACTGCCATTATCCTGTGACATCTTACGTTCATTCATTTTCTACATTTTGGAGAGATACTTGAGGCAGCCTACATGTAAGAGATGCTCATGATATCTGTTCTAACTCCTGTTAATACCTATCTATTCTCCTAAAACCTTGTCTCACAATTCCTTAGCTAAGGCAGCTAGCAAATGTCGAACTGAAATCTTTTTGATTTTTTGATCACCAAATCCCTGTTCTCCTTTGATTATTTCCCAACGTGCATCATGTGACTATGCATTCTTTCTATTCCCGTGACTTAGGAATCTTATCTTGAGTGGATTTCTATTGCTTCCCTGTTCTATGCATTCTTTCTATTGACTATGCTTCCCAACACATGCATTTCTATTGCTTTATACTTGGATTTTTTTTCTTATTACCCATGCAAACGTGTATTCTAAACGCTCATGGATTTTTATTCATATATTCATTTCAATTATTTGATGTCCGGTTATTCAGGTTTCACTTCTTCTGACACGAAAAAGTATTGTTCTTTGGAGAAAGAGGTTATTCCAGAAGTTCAAGTCATTTCGGGTAGGTTTCTGTTGACATCAGCTCTCAATTAAATTTTGGTAATATCCAAGGTTCTTGGATAAAGATTCTCTCCATATCATACAACATGATTCAAGATATTATTATATGAACTTCCCTACTTATTTTTTCAAGTTTCGAAGGTTCTAAATTAAATAAGCATAGGATACTTTGGGGGGGAGGGGGGAGGAATAGCCTAAGTCAACCATTGGTCCTAGGGGAAAAAATTGCACATGACGCGCTAAATTCTTCAAGAGATTTAGCCTGTCCTTGACCTACACTACTTCTGTAGGAGTTGTGATGGTGCAACCATGTCTGATACTCCACTAAACTTAGCTTTAAGTTTCAAGAGTTCACTTTGGAGAAGTGTCATCAATGGGATGCAGTTGACTAGGAGCCTTGTCTGGCCTAGTCTTTTCGGCCTTGAGTACAAAAGGTAAGACCAGAAGTGACGATGGCTTGACTATTGCTTATCTGGGTCAGGCCCAAGCTTTGCTGGGCCTGTATAGAAGGACATGAGCTCCGTCCAGAATGGATGAAATTCGTCCCAAAGCAGCAGACGTCAGCATACCTCTCATCATGGGCCCAGCCTTGGAAAAATGTCCTAGCATGAGGTCATTAATATCCTCAATAAGAGGTAAATCATTGGGCCAGAAGTTCGGGCAATGTGGGTGGTTATGTAATTGGATCTACATAAATATTCAGCCTAGAGGCTCATATTAAATAATTTTTCCAATTGTACTGGACACAAGGTACATTATGTTTCTTTTGATCTTAGTTAACAATAGCGAGGATCTTTGAGTTCCCACCCAAGTGGAATCCTGGCTTGGCCTGGCCTGAATTCATCAATTTAGTAGAAAAACAGAGAGGGGGGGACAAGGGCAAGGCAATGATTGCATCAGGGAGACTAGAAGTGGAGAAAATTATCAGGGGAAAGGTAGAAGATCACAAAAAAAGGGAGAGGAATTCTTATGTGGCCTTCAGATAGTGGTAACAACAATCAGCAATTCTAATTCTGGTAGTAATGCCATCATCTATGGCATTTGAACGTACCATGCTCCTTCTTCTAGACATCAGAAAACCATTAGGATATCATTAATGGACAAATGATATCACGAACAAAGCCAAAATGAATGATCATGCTAAGATTTTGCTAAATGGCTTTTCATGCTTAGAATATCTTCTAGTGGTTTAATTTTTTATTTTTAAAATGAGATAATTCCCAGCTATTATGTCGTTTTTTATGTCGGATACTTATTTTCAAGCGTTCACTAATCTGAATTGAAATAAACCGCCTAAAATTTATGGGTTCCCTTTCCCGCTCTTTTTTTATTAGTGGTAAAAAGTAATAATATGAATGTACGTGGTCCCAAGTAATCACTAATCTGAATTGGGATAACCCACCTAAAAATGGTTCGTTTAAATGCTGTAAAATAATGATAACAATAATAACCTCAATGGATATGCAGCAACATTCTGACCATTCTGTGAACTTATCCTTTTGAAGAGCTGCTACATTCCCGAATAGAGACCATCAAGCATTCAATTGCCAGCATTTCGTTTGGTATGCTAATTCCCGGTCCTGTTGAACTTCAGGCTAGGGCTCAGGGCACATCTCTGAAGCCAGCCACTGACCAAACCCTGATAGGCTCTAGAAGACTAATACCACGCTAGGAGGATCTATTCGGAGTGTCAAGATGCCATGTGAATGTGATGAAGGTGAGTTACGGTGGTGTGGTGGAGTTCCATGGGGTTCCTGTTGAGGAGAGTGGTGGAGTTCCATGGGGTTAAAGTAGAAGAATAAAACTGTGAGGAAACTTGGGAGTTGTTTTGGGCAGCAGAAAAGAGGATGCTATGTTGTTTGCAGCATGTGCCAACGTATTACAGACGGGCAGGACCTGCTGCATCTCTAAGCCTATCATTCCTGTTGAAAGTTGTCTGTCTTTTCTCATATATGTGCTAACTTCATACCTTGTCATTGACGGTCCTAGAATGAATTTGTTACCATAAAATTTTTACGCATCATGTTTTTGTTTCAGATGAGCCTCCCAGGGATGAAGAATTAATTGATGGAGCAACTATGACGTCGACCTCGTATGTCTAACTCATGCCTTTACTGCTGAGGTTTTGAACATCTATATATATATATATATATTGACACGAATTTCATTAAAAAAAACAAGGAGGGTTTGTCCCTGCATTTTTTTCTTTTCATGCTGCTCGCTACTAGTTTTTATGTTTTGGCTATTTCTTGTTGCACTGTCCTCTGCAGATTTTAAACTGTGGTTTTATATCTCCTTGCTCTTGTGGTTACCTTTACTTCTACTCTTTAGACACTCGTGTTTAATCTCGTTTACAGTTGGAAAAACATTTATTTCAGTTTTTTAGTTTATATAATGGCTAACGTTTCCTTACCACAATTTATGAGAACTCTTCAGAGTATCAATCTTTTCAATCTTATCAGGATATTCATCTTGAAAAATTTTACTTTATCCATCCGTTTTTTCTTTGAATTCAGAAGAGCACAATTTTAACACCTAGTCACCTTCCATGCGATTTGTTGCATTATTTGACAAAGATTTCCTCTATATTTTATTCTTTATTTGTCTTAAACACTATATTGCATTCTTTATGTTTAGCGTCTCTATTTGCTTTGAAAATAGAATTCCGATGTTCTCATAATGATTATGCATGATTCATTTTCATTAATTCAGGTTATTTAATATGCATGGTTTTATTGTGGCAGACCTAAAAGTACATTGAACATTCTGAGTCAACTTGTAGTGTTGTGGAAAGATTTGAAAGTTCTCTTGCATGATAAGGTTTACGTCATCAATGTATTGGGTAAGCGTTTTAACTCTCTCTTTATATGACTGATAATCTTTGATGAACCTCCATTTTATGTCGTCCATCCTACAAAATGTATCAAAGTGCTTCATGTTCTTCAAAAGGATTATATATCTATCTATATCACTCTCCATGTTTTAAATGGATGGCCATTTTTCTGGATGTACTCCAGAGGTGAAGGAAATTTTATTCTTTGGGATATTTGTATCTTAGCTATAGAATTACTTTTTTAGTAATTTGGAATCGATATTTAGGTAACTTACTCTTTTTCTCAGGTTACGTGGCTTACAATTTTGTTATTGGTGCCTATTCGTATTGGGGTCCAAAGGCTGGCTACGCAATTTACAATATGGTAATGTGTTGAATGAGCATGGAGGACTCTATTTAATTTTATGTAGCAGATTTCATGAGATTTTTCGAACGGTAAAATTATAATGGGGCATCCTTCATTTTACTATCCGATGTTTCTAATCACGATTTTTTGTATTAACAAAGATGGAACACTACAATACCTATCTTCACTTGCAAGCCAATTTTTGGGCTTTGTAACATGTAGAACAAAAAGGGAACCAGTACAACTTAAAACCAAATGACAATTAGTAATGTAAGACTCATATATACACTTTTGTATTAACCAATATGATATTATTTCAATGTTCTCATATGTGTATCTTCCCCAGGAAAATGCAGATTTGATATTTGGAGGAATAACAATAGTATGTGGGATCTTTGGGACACTAGCCGGTGGTTTTGTTCTTGATGTCATGCACGCTTCCATATCCAACGCTTTTAAGGTAAACCTTAGATGCACTAGCGGATATTCTTGTTTGTCAGAATTAATGATGTTGATCACCTACAGCTGTTACAAGATAAATCTTTTTGACTCTTTTTTGTTTGTTTCTTTTTGGAAATGATTATTGAAATGGTTCTTTGAACTTTCTTTTTCAATTGCAGCTGCTTTCTGGAGCAACTTTTGTTGGGGCCGCATTCTGTTTTGGTGCCTTTTGTTCAAGGAGTCTTTATGGTTTCATATCACTGTTTGCAGTTGGGGAGTTGCTGATTTTCGCAACACAGGCACTGACTCTATATTTTGATATCCATTACTTCTTCACACGACGCGTTGTTGTGTTGTCTCCCTCTTTTGTGACATTTTTTTTTTGCTTGTTAATTTATTATTTCTATAAGATTAGATCTAAGGTTTGTGCTTTTTATGGGTTATCAGTCTCTTGTTTTTGAAGATAGAATAGAACTGATTCCGGTTCAAAGCTTAAGAAAGTACTCTTCCACACTTGATTATGAAGTTCTTGAACTGGAATATTAGGTTTTATGCCTTCTTCCTGGATTAAACTTTTTTTTGTTTTCATCACCCGCTTTTCAGGGCCCCGTGAATTATGTTTGTCTTCATTGCGTCAAGCCTAGCTTGAGACCACTATCAATGGCTATGTCTACTGTTTCCATCCACATATTTGGTGATGTGCCATCTTCACCTTTGGTTGGGATTCTCCAGGTTTGTCCTATGGCTTCACAGTTATACATGTTTATGTATGTGATGGTTTTTTCTCCTGATGCAAGATTAGCTATTTGGCTCGTGAGCACTCATATCGAATTTTATCAAACAAATGCGATCAGATTCAATACATTACAGGAACATTAGGTTCACAGTAGAAATGGACCCCTTGGAAGTTTTTTCGAGCGTTTGGAATATGCTTGAAAAAATAAGTAAAGAGCGTTTGGAACATTTGTCCCTTTGGAACTTCCAAGGTGCTTTGGAGTTGGAAAAGGAGAGCTCCCATGGCCCTAAAAGAGCAGAAAATGGCATCATCTGCACTGTCAAAGGATGTGTAAAGCCACCTTACCGAGGAGATAGTGAAAGATATCTAGCGTAGTGGTTATTCAAGAGGAGGAAAAAGGGGGAACGGCGAAAACATTCCATATATGTGAGCATGAGGCTATTTTTTAAACAAGGGGATTAAGAAACATACTAAGGCAGATAAAATCAGTTCAGGGCGTAGAATAATGTACCAAGTACTTATTTATGCGGAGTCACTCTATTCTTTCTTTGTGATATTTGGAAAAAAAATGAAGACATTCCTAGGCACCTCCATGCCCTAGGGACTGTTGAAATGAGCCTGCACAAGGCTTTGGAGAGAGTACCGAGAGACAGTATGAACGCTCTAGATTTCTGTAGTGAGATTGTGTTGGAATTATAGCATAGCTGCCATGCATAGAGCCATGGATTATGATTTGAATTTTACTAAATAAAATCTCTAGAAAAAAATATAGATACTTTTTCTTTCAGGGTATCTTGTGGTAGCCTATTATCTTAAAGATATCCTTGGAAGTGTTTGAATTCAGCCAATGTTGTGGGAACTGACATCCAATGAGGAAATGCCAGAGGGGTTAAGACTTTAAAACGGCTACAGGTCTCTTCTGTGGATTAAAACGTCCCAATGTCCGTGTCCATGGAAGTTTCAGTTTTTTCATGTTTATAGACAACGATCTTGCAACAACATTCGGCATACTTTTACCAGTATCAACAATTCTTCCCCACATATGCTTAGTAAAACGGTCAGGATTCGCTGTACATATCTGATTGACTAATCATTTGTTTTTCTTAGATTTTCACTCGAAGCGCCTCTTAATGGATTAATTATCCACCTTAGAAATCAAAATTTGGAAAGTCTATGATCAGGGTGTCTGCTAATTAAATCAAATGTCCGTTTCCATAGGCATTTACCGGACGCCATCTACTGATTGTTTCCTCGAATTAAATCAAATCTCCGTTTCCGTTAAATATTTTTTTAAGTTGAATATGGAGGAGCTTTAAGGTGGAACTGTGCTTACAAGAAGCAAAATGCTGAAGGGTTGTTCCTTTAGATGGGTAGGGAACTTGGGGTACAAATCTTTGTGATGCTTAATATATTCTTGAATTTAATCTGTATGTCTTAATTTTTTCTTTCTCTTAGCGTTTGTTTGGCAAGCTGCTGTTAAGTTACATTTTATGTTGGATGGCCATTCAAAGGATGCCAAAAAAAGAGTTGTAGGGAATGATTTTGCCTAAACTCAATGGACTTCGTGAATTGGTTTAATGGTAACACAGTCCCTGATCCATTGAGATAGAATTATAACGGTGGAAGTTAGGATTCTTTGCAGTGTTTTGGGCCGCCTGGATTGAGTGAAACAGGAAACGTTTTCCGTAGGCATTAGCAAATTAGCAGAGAAGCAGAGTCATCCTTGCTGGTTTTGGAAAATACCCAGAACTACTTAGAACATGTAAACCGAGAGGGCAGGGAATTCCTGCTAACTCGTATGTTCCCACTTTTTTTTCATTCTCGTATTTCTGTTCTAAATACTTGTTAAATCAGAAGTTAAGCTTTTTTATCTTCAATTTTGGAACTGGTGTTGCAGTTTTGAGGTTTCCAGTGGTGCTAAAGAATCTTGCTCTTTTTTTTTTCTACCTTATCTATAATGAAATATCAGGGAAAATAAGAGGGGTCGGGGGCACCCAGATGTGGGTAAGAAGAGAAGAAATCGCTGAAAATGCAAATGTCAATAAAAGCCCACCTCATATAGAAATATGGAATAAATCCACTTATGCTCCTGTCAATGCAGAGATGTAAAGGGAGCTAGTGAAGACTTTATCAAAGGAGCTAACTCGCTAATAAATTTATTGATATCTTTCTTGGAACCACTAATAAGAAATCGTTGATACTTGCTTAAAGCGTTGACATGCTCGTTTAATCTATGGTTTCAACTTCAGGACTATGTCAACAACTGGAGGGTCAGCGCTGAAGTTCTGACATCCGTTCTGTTCATTGCAGCTGGGATATGGTTCATAGGTATGCTTCATTTGTTAGTTTCATGCAGTGCAGGTAGAAGTATGGCAGTCTGGCCTAAGAAACCAAAGTTTATTTCCACTACCTTGGTCATGATTTGAATTGCCAATTCACCAAAAGATATTGAAAATATTAGAGATACCCATATTCCCTGATTAGCTTTGTGAGTGGAACTGTTCTTGAAGAACCTCTTCTCCCAAATTTGGCAGGCGTTTTTCTTCCAAGTACAGATAGGTCCAATGAAGTAAGCGCCCATGGCGGCGCCCCGTCTGCCGATAGATCGCCATTGCTTGATGGAAATCCTGTGGAAACAAGTGACTCTGCTTAGTATTGGTTCCATGGCGCAAGAGTCGCAGCCTGCTGCGAGCATCAGACATCCTGTCAGGTGATTGGAAGCTGCTTTGATCTCCTTCTGACAGGCAGACCGAAAGCGGAGCATCCTCAAGCTCCCACTGGGTTTCCATTGGTTGTCATGGAGTATGGAACAGAAAGAAAAACCTTGTCTATCTCATTGTATATGCTTATCTTTTCTTGTATCAATCTGTGTATTTATTTATCTCTGTACCCACCCGGCACCTTAATGCTAATTAGATGAGATTTTTCTCTTCTTGGAGCAGCTTCCCTTTGGGATTGGATGCATCTCTTCATTCATTCAGCCGCCATGTTATAATCACAGTGGAAACGATATTCTATCAATGGAAATTTAGTCAACCGCTTGGAATGGAGCGATTACTTGAAAAATTGGTAGAAACATGCATGTTTATTCAGTGGGCTGAGAGCTGGAGAAGGATCGTCTGCCGAGTCAACTCAGCTCATTTCTCAGGCCAAGGACAGTTCACCCGCAGGAACGGATCTTCGGACCAATTTAGCCCACGACTCGTTTGTTTCAGCGATAACCTTGAGAGCGTATTCCTGTTTCCCAAAGAAAAGGAAGAAATTAATTAATTAATTAATTAATTAAATCAGAACTTGGATGCAAGAGAGGCAGGCAATAACACGCGAGCTGAATATTAATAATATTAATAAAAATAACATAAATCTGATTTTAGGCAGGCAAAACCTGCGTGCTGGAGATGATTGATGGGTTTAATTAATCATGCAGAACAAAAGCCCACATTTACTAGATTTAATTAAATGCCAGTGGTGAGGGGATTGGAGTAATCATGGATTTTCGTGTGGTTGGAGTCTTTGAAAAGTCAACGCTGCCTCAAGGAAGAGCATGAAAATACATGCAAATGACTCGTTCCTTTTAAATAAATGAATGTATGGTGAAATACTCCTTCATAAACATGCATGTTTGCTTAATTATGGGTCAATCGAAGCCTGATATTTCCTTAATTGTGCTTGTTTTGGGGCAGTTTCAAGTGGAACTGACTGAAATACTCTGAAAAGGAAAGGGTTACAGAGATTTTTCAACGTGTCTAAATAGTCTAAAACAGTCTGCACATCACCCATTGCTTCCGCCATTTGGATAGATTGGGTCCTCAAGATCACCAGCCTGAGCACTACAGGCTGACATATATTTTCCACCAAAAATATTACGTTCTAAAGAGAGTAAACGCCATTTGACCTGAGAGTAGTGACATGATCATTCAAGCATCTCTATCCATTGACTAAGAACTTGTCAGTAGTATCCAAAAGCTTCGTACAGAGAGGAGGCAAAGGTTCACACGAAAAAAACATAAAAAAAATACTGGAAAACGTAGAAAATCTCTCTTTCTCACACACATGAAATTACTACAAATGATCTAAAACCCTCCAATGAAATTAGTCCTATATTGTAATTTTTAATCTTTCTAAAGAAAAATAATGATTTTATTTTTAATAATATTATACAAAGCATAGAAGACCAAAGGAAACACCAGAAAAACTGAGGATAGAGGTGCATGTAATGAAACTATGAAGCAGGAAAAGAGCGACTTGATAAGTTTGAGAGAAACCAAGTGGGCAAAAAATGATACCTTGCTGGCTGGCTTATTGCCCAGGCCAAAGTTATTGGCAGGCTTTCCATCTGGGATCTTGTAGTCTCTAAACCAATCCCTTATGGCAGTCAGAGTCCCCTAAATGATCAGTAAAACAATGCAATTAAACCAAGAAGATTCCAAAAAAAAGAAAAAAAAAGGACGTGATATCACCATCTATGCAAGAAACAGGCAAGCAATTATGTTCGACAAACAGCTAATCAGAAAACTGGTTCCAACCCAAATATGAGCCAGAAGTAATAGTGCTGGGGCTACCAGAAAAATGACACAACCTAGAGTGCTTTAAGAGACATGGAGCACATCATCATACACTACAGGTTCTAAAATCAATGAAGGAGCATGATTCAGATTGGTGTGAGGAATGTAATTCCATAGTCAAGTTGTATCCATAAAAACCACAGCAATATTGTTAAGGATAGATCCTTCAGAAGCTATTCCAGTGACATGAGCATGAGACAAAAACAACACGATGATATCTATGGACAGTGAATCTACATATGAGGCCAATCAGAAAGGCAAAGGAATTTTCCCTAGTTACATGAAATGATCCTCGAAGTAGAGTAAGCAGCTAGACACTCTACAAGCTTACAGCATACAGCAAACACAAGTGGAAGCTTGTAGCTGATGCGATTCTGTATCTTTCCACATTAAATAAATGAATAATATGTCATTATTAGCGCAAACATCATGATCACTGGATGGGACAATCATCTAATCTTTCCATGGAAGATGTAGATGCCCACTGGAATTGCAAACAGAAAGATCCATTATATTTCCAAAAAAAGGACCTTTCATCCGTGCAGTTTCTTAAAAACATCATGTAAGAAGTGCATTAAGCAGCGGAAATGGAAATATGGACATTCTTTCAAATTTTAGGCATGTAATGGTTCAAATTGTACCGGAAAATGCTTTTCGACGTCATCAACATCGTTGACGAGTGAAGCCCGTGGGTCATCCAAGGAAATAGCAACGATCTTCCAATCAAGTTCCCCTTCGTCAATCATTGCCAAAGCTGCCAAAGGTTTGACCTTGAGAATCTGACCAATCTTCCCCCGAGCATCGCCGATCTCCACAACATCAACTAGGAGCAGAAATGAGAAAGTAACCAGAAGAACATCAGAGACTGCAAATATATGCATTCATCTGTCGGAGTAAACGAAAATCGGAAGGCCAGTAAGCTACCTGGATCATTATCCCCAAAGGCCCCATCAACTTCTTCATTTGAAAAGGATGGATCTTCCCAAGTTTGAGGAAGCAGCCCATAATTCCAGTTTATGTTGTACCTGTTAGTATAATGAAGAGAATTCATAATTAAATGCACAAAATCCCACGAAAAAATGCTCTAAGAACATTATGACAAACTTATTCCTGAGATATTTCCAAAAATACACACCAAGTATCTGGACATATGGTAGATAAATTCAAGGATCAAATAAAATATGTATTAAATTTTAAAGGCTCCTCGTTTTATGGTAAATGCACTGAGATGATCTCACGGGAATGACGATGTCTCCATGACAATCTTACGAGCAGAAAGTCTCTATCGACTTGACGATCATAGAGAATCGTAGCATTATATGAAATTAGTTCCAACGATTTCCTTGGTTGATGGGAGTGCAAGAGACTTACGGGTAGTATCGGAGCTTCCCCTTCTTCGTATCCTGCTTGATGGGGGTGAACGGTTCATCCGTCGCCACCTCCATCTTCGCGCTCGTCTCCTTCGGTATCTCTACGATGAAGTTGAAAACCCCGTCCCCCAAATGCAGCGGGACATCGTGCCATGGAGAAATCTGCGAGAGTAGCCCCATTTCATCCCAAAACCACCCATCAGTCATATAAAACTAGAAACTGTAACTATGTGACTCTGAGAGAGAGAGAGAGAGAGAGAGAGAGGAACCTTACCTTCTTACCGGAGCCATCGAGGAAGAAGGCGCGGTAGTCAAGAGTCTCAGGCTGTCCCTCCTCCTTGATCTGGATGTCCGGCTGGTAGAGCGCCCGGCAGGCCTTGTGGAGACCCTTCGATCTAAAGTGGACGGCGCCAGGCCTCGCGGCAAAAGGGCGCCTCTGAAACAGAAGCCCGCACTTCCCGGCATGGGAGCCCTGCATAGCCCCCGCCGCCGTCAGGACCCTAGCGGCCGCCGCCATCCCTATCAGGCAATACGGCAACAGTTCTCTCTGAACTCCGGCAGCCACAGAAGCTCTCCACCGCAGGTGCAACCAAAATGCGCCACGCCATGGCCGGAACTTATAGCTCTTCCCCGAGCTCTATCTCCGCCGATGACGCGGCGACCTTCCATTGGACTGTAATGATCTGGCAGAAAAATCGGAACTATTATTTTAAGTTGATCTACAGTATCTCAGTTGCTTTCAAATATTTTTTTTTCAAGGAATCACTCGATAAAAATGATTTCCGATCGTTAAAATCTTCAGTCACATCAAGCTTCCTCTTCCACCGGCGACGCTCTTCTCCGGCGAGGACGGCGGCGCCGCTGGCCACCTTCGTCGCCGGCAATGGAGACCCTTGCGGCGTACCGAGGAACGGTTTTTTTCCCCTAATTATTCAATTTATAAAATCAATTAAAATAAGTTTTTTTCTCTCGGATTTCGTGCCAAAAGGGCGGGGTTTTATTGTGTTATTAGCCAATGTACCTGGGCAGAAATTATGGCCAGGTGCATCCCTCCTCACTGCTTCGTCAGCACAGTTTTTACATTATACGAAAGTCGAGGAGACTCCATCATTTCAATATTATATTATTTACTGTTTTACTCTCTTGAACTGTATAATTTATAAATATGTCCCTATTTTCTATGGGACAGTCGAATTTTAGCAATAGTCTGGATATGTTGTAGAAAATGCTAAACTACCCTGAGAGTTATTTTATTTAACGGACGAGTGTGAAAGGGTACATAAAACTAAATATCCCTGTAATCTTCGAAGTCCTCACGTGATGGGAAAGACGGGGGCGGGTGATCCTCACGTGGGGAGATCTTATTATAAATACTGGGAAATTGGGTTTTAATGGGAGCCCATAAATGTCGGGCGAGCGGATCTTCATACGTTCAATCGGCCAGCGGGCCCAGGCAGACCCATGTGGGATCCGCGAGTCTGGGACGTTTCTGCGGGTCGGCACGTGGGAGTCTGTGAAGCCTTCGAAGTGTCGGTCCGGCCCTGGTCTTATTCGGGGTAAGGTGACCGAACTTTACGGTGTTTCGCTCGTTTAACGACCGCAGTCTTTCTTCGGTCTTTCTCCTTTTCCTTGACCCATAACAGCGATAGAAAAGACCAACAGATGTGGGTACTTTGTGTCACGAATCTCGAGGCAGTAGGCGGCGGGCGATCGACAGTTTGCCACCTTGCCTCATTGCGGAGGTTCGCAGGCGGCGGTCAGGAGTTCTGGTAGATGCCGCCGATTCCGCAGCTCATACGGTTTTGGTGATGTGCTTCGATCGGCGGCGGTTTTAATCTCTTTTTGTTTTTAATCCATTGTGTTGCTCAGACTCGAGCGTAATCTCCACTAGGCATTTTTTATCTGGTTTATGGGGGAAATTTCTTGGTCCAGCTACCGAGCTTCTATGATCTTCGGTGCGTCATTTGTTAGATAGTTTCTCTGGTTTGGCGGGAGGTGGTTCGGCGAGCAAGGGGTGTTGTGTTTGGTTGGGCGTCGGCACCGGTCGCAGCGGAAATGGAAGATGCTTCTCTATTATTTTGACGCGGAGGGAGGAATGCAGGTCAGGATTTTGCTCTTTCAGCTCGTCAAGGGAGAAAAAATGCGGGAGATGAGTGGGCATGAGGTCGTGGAAGACGGTGGTTAGTTGGCATCCCTCTGGAAGATGTTTCCCCGCGGTTCTCCGAAACAAGGCAGCGAAAATCTGGTTCTAAGGTTGTTTATCGGCTGCCGGCGTTCCTAGTGTATGAATCATTTTCGGGAGGAAGGGTGAATGCAAATGGTCAAAGGATTGCTTCGTTCAGTTTTTCCTTGGACATGGTCTGGTCTACATTTCAAGGTCCAGACAACGTCTTCAGAATTTTAGCTAACTATTGATACCCTCTGCTAGGACGATAGAGACAGAGCTCGGGTTCCAGGATAATTAGTTTCTCATCCACTGCAAGTCAGGCTTATTGTCAGTAATGCCGAGCATTAGACCCCCAGCTTGGAAGCAGACTGCCACTCTCCAGGTTACAACCATCTGGAAAGGAGAACCTTTCTTATGTTTTTGCACTAATTTATTATCTCTTCTTGATATAGTTTTTTTCATTTCAGGTAGCTGTGAAGTGCAGACCCTTAACAGAGGCAGAACGTCAACAAAATCGGCATATTGTTCACGTTACAAATAATAAGGTCTATAATTTTTCTCTAGAAACATGCACTTTTTTGCTCAGAGGGTTTTTTTTCTTTTCACTCCATTGAAGAATCATTGTTAATCATACCGCAGGGTGTTATTGTTTTGGATCCTGATTTGTCGAAGGACTACCTTGATCTCATCCAAAATCGAACTAAAGAGAAGAGATACAGTTTTGATCATGCATTTGGACCTGAGTGCACTAACACGGTATGCAAACAATTTTCTCATCAATGACCAAAATTCTTGTCTCATATTTTCTCGTGGACTTCTGATTTCGGCCAACAAGAGAATGAATGTTATTATGACCTTAACTACCAGTTTAGTAGATCCCTGCAATCTCAGATATTGTTTTAATGATCGTTGTTTCTTATGGAGATTTTTTTTAACTTCACCTTATTACTGCATAATGATCCTTCGTTAGTCCTGTAATGTGTATTCTTTGGTTTGTTAGGGAGATGTATAACTGTTTTATTTGCAAAAGAGTTGCCCTATCATTGGTATATTAATAAATGTCTTGTTGTTGGAAGTTTCTCACGTCATAAAGCTCTTATCAATGATAGCTCTCTGCTAGAAGTTCTAATCATGTCTTAATCTCTTTAAAAATTGCCCAGGATGTGTACAAATGTATCTCCTCTACAATTGATGGGGTTGTACAGGGCCTCAATGCCACTGTCTTTGCATATGGGGCAACGGGAAGGTATTATTCTGTCTTAAAATGACTTGAAATGGTAGCATTGCTATTATTTTATTAGAATGTATTTGTTCACTTGAGAACATTTTCTAATGAAAAGTAAAAGAGCGTTTTCTTCTTCTTGTGGCAGTTTGTTTTTTTATTTATCCACGTCATTTGATCACGCTTGCTTGAGCTATCCTCCGCCTATTGGATAGTCTAATATGCTGGTCAAAGTTGCCTTCATGTTGCTTGGTATTAGACCCAGACCGTGTGATGTATGGGTAGTCCCAATCAAAGCGTAAAATTCTGTCAAACGTGACTATACTGGTCTTACTGTTTCATTTGCATCATTTATCTGTGAATGATTGTATATTTCACAGTTTAATAAAATATCCATAAGCTTTTCACTGGTGAATTGTCATGGACCTGGTACTTTTAACTGTCAATCTCTAATGCATATTTGATAAAATGCGCCAATAAAGTTGTGTCCGCATAAGAATCATGTATTGCAGTTGTGATACTCTCTTCTTCTTTTCTTTTTTAACTAATGAATGAGATTGCCCTTCTCCGTCTAAAAACGAGTTTTTGTTCTGACCTAATGCTTTTTGTTCTGCTGATGTTATCCATTTTATTTACGTTTACATAAATACTTCTAGATTTGTATCATATGTTTAACGTCTCATGTCTAGAAGCTTGTAATTATATCATTAAGAAACCAGAGGACCTAATAAAGTTAATCTTTTTCTTAAAGTTAAAGGACCATTCAAGGTTACGCTAATGTAATGTCCTTTTACATATTGTGATTTCCAAGTAAGAATCCGGGCATCGTGTCATATGTATTGCTTAAGTGATCCTCATCCTCATCAGAAATGGGGAATGTGAACACACCTTCGATCCTTTTTGGTCTTAGGCTGTGAATCATTACTGCTTATCCTTGGCATAATATTAAAACAACGAAAGCTCCAAAAATCAAGCCATATCCACAGGCTAAAGATTGACCACCTCAGTATGATTCTAACTGATCTTTGTTGGCTACGATACTGTTTTCCTATGAAAAAGTTGACCAATGGTTAAGACACTTTGGATACTTATGAATAACAGAATTTCCGCATAGATGATTACTAATTTTGGCTTTTGCCATTGTCATACAGTCATGTTGTATCTTAGATTACGAATTTGTTCCCACAAGTCCCCAAATCAGCAGTGCATTGGAAGAATATGGCCTCCAAGAATAATACGGCTATGATTTTAACCTTAGAGGGGGGGTTGGATGCTTGGTGTGCATACCATTAATGTTTCTCTTGTGCATCGGGCTGCATATGTGATTGTGGGGATTTTTAGGTGCAACTTCTTATACAGCTGAGCAGAACTTTTGTCATCAACAATTTGTAGTACAGTTTTCAAGTAAGTCAAAGTCTTTCTTTTTTCCATTTGCATATACATTCGCATAATGGGATTTACATGTAATATGGGGAATGAAGTTATGAGAAATCTAAAAAATGTACATTATTATCGGACAGTAAACAGCGAAAGAATTAATTATTACATTTTCTCTGAGTGGCCAAGTTTTTCATTAAAGTTTTCATTTTCTGCCCTAAAGACAAGGTTGATATCATTATTTGAATATCGACTGCCTTTTGTACACTAACTAATGCATTCAAAGTTTAAAGTGTTGCCATATTTTTGGGAAATCGACTATAATGCTGTGTTTTCATGTATGAATGTAAATTTAAACAGTTTTATGATTGATATCACAAGAATCCAATGCATGTATGCGCATATTCCTTGGGTCAAAGATATACATTATGATTTGCTTTGCACACATATGTTACAGCTTCTTGTCTTATTTGTATTTCCAGTGGGAAAACATACACAATGGTCGGGACACACAATGATCCTGGACTTATGGTTCTTAGCTTGCACACAATCTTTGATCTCATCAAAAAAGATGAAAGCTCAGATGAGTTTGAAGTCTCCTGTTCATACCTAGAAGTATATAACGAAGTATGTTCCTGATTTTAAGACAATGTCTGTCTGCTGAGCTTGGATCATGTTAAAGCCCGTTTTCCACTAGTCTTTATCCTTTTTTCTTTCACGGAATTCTAGGTTATATATGATTTGCTTGAGAAGTCTTCCTCTCATTTGGAGCTAAGAGAGGACCCTGAGAAAGGAATCGTTGTTGCTGGTCTCAGGACTATTAAGGTTTGCATTATCGTCCTTTAAGCATTATTCTATAGCCTTTCAATTTCATTTTTCTCTAGGAAAAAAATCAAAAGGGAGGTGAGTATTTTATTTAAAGGGATATTAATAAGAAATAAGTCATAACTTTTATACTCCCAGTCAATTGAGAATAGAGATCAGTTACACTCATTTTGCCTACCATAGAGAAACTGGACAATGTTCATCCTTTTTGTAATCATATTAGGCACATGGTCTTTTGTATTCACATCTCTTGAGAATCTAATTTACCTTGATAAAGTAATTGTAAATTTATTTATATTTGGTCTTGTCACGCTGCAATGTATTATTTGCGAGCAAATTGTGGAGGAAACATGACTACGACGGACTTCAAACGATGGATAGCTTAATCTAGAGTGCCACAGATGACCTCTGAGAACGTGCCATTGTGTATGTTTTCTCACTGGAAAACATGCCATTGTGTATGTCGGACTCCTTGTGTACCATGCAGAACGCATATTCCTGAATTCTTGTTGATAGTCAGTTTCCTGGAGGAAAGTTTGACCAACAGCAGATCCACGCATGTTTAAACCCTCCTCCCTCTGATACAGCTAGATTTAGTCGGGTACTCTCTGCTCACAGGTCTCATTGCTATGATATCATTAAGATAAAAGAAGGGCAAGATAAGAGAATGCGGACCAAAGAAAAGGAGTACCGTATCAAACTTTTTAAGATCCGTGCTGCTACTCTCAGAGTTCGTATATTAGGGTGAAAAACAGATCACTACGAACTGCACTCTTATGGGATAAAAGAGTAAAATGCCTTGTTATAAATGCAAATAACTGATAGACATTAGCTTTTATACCTTTCAAACCAAGTGTGCATATATTTGTTTAGTTGGACAGAAGCTCTCTGACCAGCTATATTCAGAGGAAGAGTTGCGCGCACTTTACATTGAAACTCTGCACCTCTACTCAAAAAGTTCTGAAAATGATAATTTTGCTCGTCACAATAATATGTTATCAAATAGTGGGATGTTTGAATTGTCGGTAGGACACTAACGTTCGTTTGATTATATTTTTATTTCGACAAAAAAAATTTCATCTTATATAAATTAATATTAAGTGGAAAAATTGCAATCATATGTCTGCTTGCGTTCTTGATTTATGCATTCTCATACTGGATTCCATAGTCAGCCATCTCTTATCATAGATATTCTTCTTTTTTCCATTTTTTCAGGTCCAATCAGCTGATAAGATATTGGAACTTCTAAACATTGGAAATAGTAGGCGCAAAACAGAAAGCACGGAAGCAAATGCAACTTCTTCACGGTGAGCTATGGGTACAATTCAGAGTCATCAGATTAATTTGGATTTCACATTGATGCTATCAGAAAATTTCTGGATATTTGCTTTTCATTTCAATTATTTATTTCCATTTGACATTTATCCTTGCAAACTATGCATCAATTTACAGTTTTCTGTTCAGGTCACTTGACATTTTGCAAAAAAAATCCTATAGTGGGGTGCTGGTCATTCACATTGATGATAATAACAGCCTATTGTAGCTACAATTTTCCATTGGCAATATTGATCATCCAGTATGTCAAGGTACCCCATATGAAGTGGAAACACACTTTCCTTCCTAGAGCTGTGAAGTTCAGTCCTGTTGGACACCAAAAATAGACATTTTACAAAGTTATTTTCACAAATTATTATCTCCTCTAATGTTCTAGGCATTGGAGGGTAATCTAGTATGCATTTGTTGAAGAAAAAACCGATAGCACTCACATTATTTTCCCCTATTCAACTCACGTTTGTGCATGCTTTCTTATTACATGTTTCATATTTAAATTCCTAAACATGTGAAGTCATTGCATGTCATTCTATGTCAACTGGAAGCTACGGTAGAACTTATGATGCATTGGTCACCACTCTAATTTGCAAGTCGAATGCTTCCTTAAACAGGTCACATGCAGTCTTGGAGATTACTGTGAAAAGGAAACAGAGAAATAACTACAGAACTCAAGTTCTACGTGGAAAACTTGCACTTGTTGATCTTGCTGGGAGGTCTTTAACTACTCGAGATTTTCCTTGAATTTTCAATTATTCCGTGTTTATTTATTTCTCTGTCCTTGACGCCCCTCAATTCTTTTACAACCTGCTTCCCTCAGTGAAAGAGCATCAGAAACCCAAAATGCTGGTCAAAAGCTAAGAGACGGGGCTAATATCAATCGCTCTCTTCTTGCCTTAGCTAACTGCATCAACGCTTTGGGCAAGCAACATAAGAAGGGGCTTGCATATGTTCCTTACCGCAATAGGTATTTCTTTACGATTTTAATTTTGAGTAATTATTACAAGACCATCGAATGTACCTTATTTTTTTTAATCTCTTCAGCAAGTTGACACGGATTCTGAAGGATGGTCTGAGCGGTAATTCTCAAACAGTTATGGTTGCCACTGTATCACCTGCAGATGGTCAGTATCACCACACCGTTAATACATTGAAATATGCTGATCGAGCCAAAGAGATCAAAACGCACATTCAGGTGATAGAAATTGTCCTTGGAGTTTGAAAGTCTGAACATTTTGGTTGACTTTTGCATGAAACCAAACAGACAAGATAATCAGTTTCACACATTTCATATGGCCTTGTCCAGTGTAGTAGTTCCTTTTTATTATACCAGATTATGATCATCCGATTCTTCCACATGGATTGCCTGGTTATATCTGGTGGATACCATACTATTTATATCTATTTGGGTCGAATCTTCTGACCAAAAGTATTAGACTTGCAGTGAAGTGAGGCCATTGCTGACTGTGTTCTAATATGTCAGAAAAACATTGGACCGATTGATACCCATATCACGGATTACGAAAGAATGATCGACAACCTCCAGGTAAACTTTTGGGAAATATTTTAACGTTTTATAGGTCAAAGATGGTGCCCTAATTCTGGATTGTGATTTCAATCTTGCAGGTTGAAGTATGCCGATTAAAGAAGGAATTAGCAGAGAAGGAGTCTCAGTTATGCAAAAAACCAGCCGAGAAGACTGCAGACGATGAGCTCTCTTGGTTAAATTTTTTGAGCCGTGAGACCAGTGAAAATGTTCAGGAACGCATAAACCTTCAAAAGGCATTGCTAGAGCTTGAGGAAACCAACCTTAGAAATCGGATTGAGCTTCAACATCTCGACGATGCTATTGCTAAACGCCAGGTCTGTCCATTGCGGGTTTTTTTTTTTGTTTTTTTTTTTTGTTCAATCTTTTTGCATTACTAATTTTTTTTTGGCGGAGAATATTTTTCTGGGTTCATAGTCGGGTGTATTAATTGACATTATACATTCTAATTGCTTCTAAATCTTCATTATTTTATTAATTATGTCACTGGTCAACTTTAAAACAATAAAGAATCCATTTTTATCTTCCCTGCATTTCTATCTTTGGCTCATCTTTGATGGGTTGACTTGCTACGTTCTTGCTCAGGCCGTTGAAAAAGATGGGGCGGTCGTCCAGGCACTGACCCTGAGGAGGCAAGTCATCCTGGATAACATCCGTGATAACGACGAGTCCGGCGCCATGTACCAGAAGGAGATCGAGGCAAACGAGAAGCAGAGGCGCCAGCTCCAGGACATGATCGAGGAAGCTGTCAGCAGCAATGGCAACCGGACCTACCTTAACATCCTCAGCCAGTACCGCCTTCTTGTGAGCAGAGCTGAAGATCTCTCCAATGGATTCATTCATTACCACCGCTGTTCTTGACGCTGCGATCCCGCGCTGCAGGGCATGACGAACACCGAGCTCCAGTTCGAGATCGCCATGAGGGATCAGATCATCCACAGCCAGAGGGAGGCGCAGAGGAACCTCTGGAACATGCTTCTGGGGCTGGGCCTGGATCAGAAGCAGCTGATGGAGTTGGCGGCCAGACAGGGAGTCACCATAGAAGACTGGACGGCACCCTCGGTGGGCACCGCAATGCGGCTTCCGTCATCCCCCTCCGGGGCCTTCTGCAGGCAGGAGCACCATACCTCCTACTGTATGATGTCTCAGGAGAAGCTTGCGCCGGGCAGGTGCGAGCTCCGCCCAATGCCGCGAAGACAACAACGGCAGCAGCAGCAGCCCATTTCATCGTCGTGCCAGAATTAGGTCACCATCTCTCACCCTTGCTCGTGGATTACTTCAGAGGATGATCCTCCATGGATGAGAGTTCTCACCTTGTGTCCCAGATCCCACAGCGTCTTCACCAGCTCGCCGCCGGAGTTCTCTAGAGGGCTGAGGCCTTTTAGCCATCCTCTCCCCCTGAGCACGCGGGTCTCGCCATTCCTGCCTCCTCTTTCTGTCAGCCTTCGGCGGAGTAAGCTGCCGTTGTATCATGCTGGTTCTTGCTTCCTCCTCCCTTCTGTTCTTGCAGCTTCTGGTGGGTGGGGGGGGGGTCCACTGTCAAGAAGGGTTATTTTAATTTTTACTTTGCTCCCTGAAAAACTCTAAACTTGAAGATTAATCCTTTTATTAGGAGACTAAGTTACTCTTTAATTTATTAAATAATTTATTTTATGAATATTTGCCATTCGAGCTCATTAAAAGAAATATTAGCGCCTTCTTCCTGGATAAAGTATCATATATACCCTCTTAATGGTTAGGAAAAAGGGGGTTGAGAGAGAGAGAGAGAGAGAGATACAGAGAAGAAGAAGAATGGTTAATGTATAATTTTAGGTTATCAAGGGGGAAAGCTGTTAAAAATTATGATTTAATTTGATTGAGAAAATTATGTAAAACAGTACGAGGTAAGATGGAGCGAAGAACCGGTGTTTTCATTTCCAGAGAGGAACTCGTCGGCTCTGAAGGGGTTTTAGCTCCAGCTTCGCGCCTTCGTCTTTACAGCGTCGCCTCTCTCTCTCTCTCTCTCTCTCTCTCTCTCTCCCTCACGCGGCATGAAGGTAATCCCCGGAATCGGGATATGTCTTCGTGTGATTTTCTCTGAACCCTCCCTCTCTTCTTTGTTTAACTCTCTTCTACGACCGGGTTCTTCTTTGGCTTCTCGGTTTTGGGCGGTGGGAATCAGATAGCGGTGGAAGGATGCATGCACGGGGAGCTCGACAATGTCTACGCGACCATGCAGCATTTGGAGAGGGTGGAGAACATCAAGATCGACTTGCTTATTTGCTGTGGCGACTTCCAGGTTCTCTTCTCCTGGTTTCAAATCCTAGAGAAGTGACGCATTTATTTGATAAAAGATCAGCGCGGGCTCGGCGTTGTTTTCATAAATGTATTGATATGGTCAACCTGGGCTAGCTATCTGGAAGATGATTTGAATGTCCTTCTCCCAGAATGGGGCGCAAATACAATGAGCATGTGGGTGCGGATTGGATCGTGTTGTTGGAAAGTTTAGAATACTTGGAAGACGTTGATACAGCGTGAAAACACTCATGATGCACCATAAAGAGCAATATATGGCTTGTTTTTTGTGTTGCTGTGTCAGTTTTTTTCCTCATTTCTGTGAGATTTGGATAGGATTTATATCAATAAAATCTGATTTGGGTCTGAATGTAAATCTAAAACCTGTAATTTGGAAACATATTTCCCGTTTAAACCAGAGTAAACCCACAAATTCGCAACTATTGAGAATAAAAAGGATATGCATACGCAGGAATACTCGGCAGATTATCCTGAAGGTGGTTAGTCTAGGGCAGGAAAATGTAGGTATGTGGACCACCTGCACGTATCCTTGGAAAGTTTATCAAGACTAATTGGCTTACTTTATCATTGGAAAGCAAGGAGACTCAAGTCTTGCTAGTGTTTAAATTTCCAAGTATGATACTATATGTTGTTAATGAAACTGCTTGGTTTTAGTCAAAAGTTAGTGTGGATTTATCTTAAATCCTACTGTGATTACAAAGCTGTGTCTTATCTCATTTTATATTTTCCAGTGCCAGTATATCTATTATTTTCTAGCTGCCTTTGGATTTTTTATTTTTGAAATATGCTGGTGAAACCACTCCTTATTTTTTGTCTTTTTGCAAACAGGCAGTCAGATATCAAAGCGACTTAAACAGCTTAAATGTCAAACCAAACTATCGAAAAATGAACTCCTTTTGGAAATACTATTCTGGAGAAGAAATAGCTCCATATCCAACCATTTTTATTGGCGGCAATCATGAAGCATCCAACTATTTGTGGGAATTGTGAGTTTTTCTTTTCATTCATCTTTTGTTTCTGAGGTTACGTTGAAAATACATAATTTTATACATCGATAGCTATTTGGAAACCTTTCATTAATTCATCAAAGATTTTGGAGAGTGTAGGTATTCCCTCTAATGGCTGTGGTTTTCCATTTGGTTGCGAAACCCAGATAATATAAGGATTTCCTGGAGTTTGGTGATTTTCTGGTTGATGCTGACGAAGAAGCACCATAAAAAAGATTCATCTACAAATAATCAAAAGACGGTTGATCATTGGAATGGAATATATTTTGACTTTTAAATGCTGAAAATTTTAAAATGAGATCTGCATTCAGAGAAAGTTGTTCTCGGAGCATAGAGCAGTAGAGTTTCTTGATTCGCTGGCCAGCTGATTAAATCAGTAAAAGATAAATTTTGACCGTCCCCGGTCCAGCAGAACCTGTCCCGTATGCCTCCTGTTGTCCTTTTTTTTTCCTAATATCTCCCCGCCGTCAGTTATTTAATTTCAGTCTGTAATTGTTTACAATGTTTCCGACTTGTTGCATACATGTTCCACTTCCGTTAAATCCGTTGTTTATGACGTGGTAAGAGACAAATAATGGCCTTTAAAAGTATGTTCTGTTGCAGATGAAAAGCCTGACATTCACTGTAATAAAAAAACATGCCACCATGCATTGGGAAGGCTATGTTGCCCCTCACTTCCTCTATTTTGTTTGTCACTGAAAATATATTGACGTTGTCTTTCTTTGTCAGGTATTATGGTGGATGGGCGGCACCCAACATTTATTTCTTAGGGTATGCTGGGGTTATAAAATTTGGTGACATTCGTATTGGCGGATTATCAGGAATATATAATCCACGACATTATAACCTTGGTTAGTGACGACAATGCCAAGTATGCGTTTTTTTCGAGATTTTTTTTTGTTATTTTCTTATTTTTCCTTGCGCAATTGATTCTCAACATTCTAACAAAATATACGCTCCTTTGGGTGACTTCTGATTCCTATCCCACATGATACTATTATTGCTCATGTATTATTTTTTGATTTTTTGCCAACATGGCAGCAGAACTATTAGGCTTCCTCAAATTACGAAAAAAATCTAATCTTCCCTCCCGTCAGACAGTGACTGTTACTCGGTAAGAAAATTGATAAATATTTGGAAACTACACTTGACCATTACATTTAATTCTCAATTTCTCCATTTGAAACTCGTCATATTTGAACTATTGACATGTTGGTTTCTAAATGTCATATCAAATTGGCATTTTAATGTTGCTGTTTATAAATAGTTCAGCGAAAGCCTCTAAGAAGATGATCTGTTATTTGGCAGGACACTATGAGAGACCTCCTTATAATGAGAGTGATATTCGATCCATATATCATGTTAGGGAATATGATGTTTTCAAGCTCATGCAAATCAAGGAACCAATTGATATTTTCATTTCACATGATTGGCCTCTCGGTATAACTGATTTTGGCGATTCTGATAATCTTATTCGCAAGAAGCCGTATTTTAGAAGGGAGGTACGTGTATCTATGGTTACTACATACATTCTGGATATTCTAGAGTAACCCTCGAATAATTTACATTTCAGAGTGGCTAGTAATTTCTGACCTTCATTATCTTGATTTTTTTCTTTTACTGAAAAATTTGAATAATTACATCTCCTTCATAGAGTGGTTGTAGAAGTAACTTTGATGAAAAATGCCAGAGTTTGAACACGACAGATTTATTTTATGTTCGTTACTTGGTGTTCCCTAGATTGAGGAACGATCTCTGGGAAGTAGGGCAGCAGCACAACTACTAGACAAGTTGAAACCGCCTTATTGGTTCTCTGCTCATCTTCATTGCAAATTTCCTGCTGTAATTCAGCATGGAGAGAATGGGCCTGTGACAAAATTTCTTGCTCTTGACAAGTGCCTCCCAAGGCGTCAGTTTTTACAGGTATGGTCCGTTTTCCAGATGGTCATTTCTCTTTTCATCAGTGAAATTATATTTTAGTCTCTGTCTCTGATTTTTTTTAGATTTTGGAAATCGGATCAGATCCTGGACCCCATGAAATTATGTTTGATGAAGAGTGGCTTGCAATAACACGGCAATTTAATTCTGTCTTCCCTTTGACACGAAAACCCTGGCTGGGGTAAGCGCATCACTACTATGGACAGACTGTCATATATAATCTTCCGTTGTATGCGAAGTTAATTGCTTCATGCTTTCAACTCAGTGCTCCCGAAGTTGAGAACCAGGATCACTACCAATGGATCAAAGACAAGCTGAAGGCCAGAGGGGGTAGGCCCTTTGAGTTTATCCGAACTCCTCCATCTTCTGGTAGCTAATGGTTTACTTTTTTTCTTCGATCCCCTTAATATTCTGAAATGCTGATCTGTGACCTTGGACATTCATCTCTGAAAATTTGTTCATTCACATTCTAGGTCATCAACGGAACCCTCAGACAGAATCTCTGTTAGAATTCTTAGAACTTCCTTATCTCCTTGACGTAACAAGAGAGACAAGTGTAGTATTACAAGGTAATATTCTATGCCTTAATCTTTGTCGATGTAAAAATGGTCTTCATTATTCATATTATTCCTTGAAATGTGTACGCCGATTTCAATCTTTTGTTAATAAGAAGGAAAATGAATTGTTTGGTGAAACCATGGGGAAATAATGTGAATATATTTCTATGAAACTCCATTTTAGTGCAGACTCATCTTTTACTCCTCTAGTGTGTTAGGACCACCCTGGTTAAAGTTCTCCTTTCTCATTTGTTCGTCTGATTTTGATGTCAGAACCTTGGGGTTGCTGCTATGAATGCCTTTCCCTTCCATTATTGATTCTTTTTCCATTACTCGCGTTCCCATTCCATTTGGGTAAAGGAATTCCTTAAACTGTCGCCATGATGAGTATGAAACTGTTTGTTTAATATATATGATTATCTTCACGATTAAAAAACTTGTGTGAGAGTACCTCAACGTGGGGATCTTATCTGGCGGGTGGCTGGCAGACCAGGCTAGCCTAGTATTTTGATGGATGTTCGAGCCTGGTCTTAGCCGGTTTCTGGCCTGAAAACACCACACAAGCCAAAAATAAGTCTGCTATCACCTCCATGTGATACGCTATCTACACCCTGCACCTCACCTCCTCTCTCATGTCTCCCCCGAGGGGCCTGCCTTCAGGGTCCTCCACTGCGAGGTGGCAGATGCTGTGGCGACGTTGATATAGAGTGGGGACTGGTTACCTCCTAGTTTGCTTACCACCCCTCTGCTATATGGAGGGAATTCGTAGGCGTATTGGCATCATTTGCACCTCATGATAGGTTGTCTTCTTTCTTGTAAGCAGTGTGAATCATCTCATGTTAGCTGTAACTTCATCACCATTATGCCACTCAGTTCATCTGTAGACATGCATGGTGATCCCCATGTTAGGAGGTTTCTACTCCTAACAGGGCTGGAAGCAGGTTAGGCGGTGACTTCATAGGGTCTGATATTTTCTTCTATCTGAACACAAACAAAAATATATCAAACCGATTTGACTTTCGCTGCGGCATCTTACTCCTGATTATTTTTCCTTGAATTAGTTTATCATATGCGTTTTGGCTGATAATAATATAATTGACAGATGACATTAATTATTCTCAGGCAATGTTCCTTCTCGATTGTCACTCTCTACCCATCTCCATATTTCAATCTGGGTAGGGCCTTTTTGTACGGCTCATTCTATTATATATATATATATAATTTTATTTTCTTCATTTCATTTATTTTCTGTATTGGGATTTTTCTTCTGTTTCTCTCTCCATGCATGACAATACGGCCCCTTGCGTCACAATCAGCCATGTTTTTTCTATATATATATATATATATATAGTCTCAAAAAAATGTCGTTCGTGAAATGCAGGGGCAGAGGACCAGCCGTTGGAGGAAGACGGTGGGAATGGGGCCTCTGATGACATAGACGAAATGGAAGAGCTTACAGTTGCCGGTGACCCTGATGCTTAGCCACCAGCCCTAATCAATAGGCTGGCCCTTTGGCTTCCAAAGTCGGCGTGCACATTTTCATATCTGCCCCTCTTCCCCAGCTCCTCAACCACCACCTCGATTCTGAACAGCCGACCTGGAGGGAGCTGGATACCCAAAAGAAAGGGGGCCTCCCCCTCTCCCTCCTCCTGAACCATCCATTGGCCAGCTACAGCTATATGATTATCGTATCTTTCTGGCTCCTTATCATTTTCAGAGGGTCTCGGGTGATGGGTCGGTGATTATATTATCCTTCTGGCTCCTTATCATCTTCAGAGGGTCTGCGTGGTCCTCTGCTGTGAAGAGATCAGATCCCACCTTCAATCCGGAATCCCAGGCTGCCCTAGATTTGTCTGGCACTGTCCCCGTGTTGGGTAACTAGAAAATTTCCTCCTGTCGTCGCTTTTGCCGGCCTGTCTAGCATCCGGCGCTCGGTAGAGCTGCATCAGACAGGAGAGCTCTTGCCGGCCTCTTCTGGTTCTTCCATTGAGCTGGGTTGGGTGGGGGAGTGCTTCGATGAGGACAGATATCAGCAGGTTAAGTGTGGGAGACGAAAACTGGTTGCTTAGTGGCATGTCCGGTCCGGGCATCTGCCGGCTGCCGTATTATTGAGTCGAGAAAGTCGGGGCCTTTTTCGCTTTTCCTGGAGCACCGGGCTGCTGCCTTTGGGTGCTATCTCTTTCCCTCCTGAATCGCTCGAATTCTGAGAGCGAGGTCAACCCGCCCGGCCAATGGCGGGGGCTGATGTCGCGGTGTACCCTTTTTGCCCCGTGTGGTGTCTACGCCGAGCGTCGGCTCGTGCCCGGCAGTGGACCTCTCTCTCTCTCTCTCTAGCTAGATGGTAGATGAAAACGAAGTGCAGTGGCCAGTCTGTGGGGGAGGGGGGGAGAAGAATCGGCTTTGTGGGCACAAGAGAGGAACGCAACCTAGCTAGCCGTCTACGGTAGCGACAAGGTACCCCAGCGTAGACGTTGAACCAACTCCCCTACGGGGCAGAAGATGCCGTCGCCGCTATGGACTCTACGCCGCAGCGGCAGCCACTGAAGGTGGAAAGATGCCGTCGCTGGCCCCGTCGCCCTGTCAAATGAGAGAGGAGAAGACGCTGGAGAAGAGCATCATCAGTTACCCTCCTGGGTCAGCAGTGTAGTCAATCGCCAAGCCTGGCAACACCTGTGAAAACCTTCGAGTAGATGCTGTATCGGATGATACGAGGGAGAAAGAATGACCAACCAGGTGGCGCCATGGGCGGAGCAGAAGGTGGCGGAGAACCGGAGTTCGTCATGGCCAATAGAATCAAAATCTCCAAACCCGGCAGTATCTGTGAAAACCTTCGGCAGGCGCCGTGTCGGGTGATATGAGGGAGAAAGATGGCCAACCAGGCGGCGCCATGGGCGGAGCAGAAGGTGACGAAGCGGAGTTCATCATGGGGGGAGCACGTGGCTAGCTCTAGACTCTAATGGCGGGCGGGTGGTCCGTCTGAGACAAGACAAGGAAGAATGCTCGGGGACACCGACAGTCGTCCCTTCGGCGGGAACGGCGGACCAGCGGATCGGCCTGGGTTTCGTCGCCGACACGTGAGTCGACGCGGCGTGAGGTGACCCCCCGTCCGTTCTTGCTGTCTACCATCTGGGGAGGATCCGGAAGAAAATTCGGATGGAAAGAAGGGTTCTTGGAGCGAGGGGAGGTGGAATGCTAATTAAGGAGGGGGTTAAATTCTTGAATTCTCGCGGGGGTCGTTCGGATGTTTCTGAGATTTGTTCGTCCGTGTGGACGGCGTCTGATCGAATTTTCCCAGATCGGCCTGTTCGTCGAGGCGGATACGACTGAGCTCTGGTTCAGAATCTTTCTCGTCTTCAGTACAGGGATGCGATCCTGTAGCTTATTCTTGGAGGGTAGTAGTCTCTGATGCAGCTGCATGGGTCCCGGAGGATGAGAACTCCTCGGATTCGGACACGAGGAAGGGTTGATGAAGGAGGGCATCGCGAGCTTTCCTCGTGACAGGAGCTGCGTCATCCCCTTGTGGCGGACTGGAAGAAGCCGCTGCCCGGATATGACGTGCCAAGGAGTACCGGGTTCCGAGTATCGGCACTGGAGCAGTGATCATCTAAGCTTGGGAGGAACGGGCTGTACCGTGATGGTTGTGCATGCAGTGGTGTTACGTGAATCAGTACGCTCTCTCTCTCTCTCTCTCTCTCTTTCATGGTCATCACGACGGAACCCACGAGCCCAAGCACCCTGGGGAGGCACTGATGAGAGTTTTATCCTCTGAGAACTAGATGACAGTAAGAATGGGAGGGAAATCGGTTCCTCCGCAGCAGCGGGGACTCCTAATATCACGGAACATGCCTTCTCTTTCGGCTTCTACGAAAGGCTATGCCATTATCCATTATCGCATGACTTGCGGCAGATTCTCTCTCTCTCTCTCTCTCCGAGCCCATTCCTGGCTGCTGATTGGAAGCATTGTCTTCATGCTTATGCGTCTGTGCAATCCGTGAAGACGCGGGCTTTCCGGCAGAGGAACCAGAGTCGACGGTGAGTGTTTGTGGAATTTGTATCTCTTACAAGCACATCAAGCACTAGAAACTGGAAGGAACAGTAGCCGGGTGGGGGTTGCATCAACTCCTCCTGCGCAGACCAGGAGATCCTCTCGGGGAAAGAATGGATTCTCGCTCAGGCCAGGAGGAATGGATCAGTGTCCAGAGGGACCTTTTCCCTGACCTCTTCGTCGCCATCGCCAACGCAAAGGATTCCCTCCAGGTCGCTCACCTTCGCCTTAGCGATATCTTGGAGAGCCTCCATAGAAGTGGAGGTCGGGGAAGAAGCTTTGGTTAGCTGCCGGGCTCTCTCCATCTCTGCGACCCAGTCCGTCCTCGAGATGACCAGCCACATGAGAACGACGCAGGAGGTCTGGGCAGCCAGCAGGCCGATCCAGAGGCCAGCGAAGCCCATCCCGGAGACGAAGGCAAGAAGAACGGCCACCGGCGTGCCGACCAGGTAGAACGAGCCGAGGTTAATGTTGGCCCCGGCATTGGGCCGCGCGCTGCCCCGCAGGATGCCGCACGCGGTGGTCTGCGGGCAGTTGCCGAGCTCGCAGAGCCCCGCGATGGGCAGCGCCAGCGCCGTCAGCCTCAGGATCTCCTTGTCAGAGGTGAAGAGCCGCCCCCACCGGTGCCTCACCGCGACGGTGAAGACCATGGCAAGGACTCCCATCAGCACCGCGCAGGCCAGCGCCACCAGCGCGGCGGCGCGTGCGCCGGCGGGCCGCCGCGCGCCGAGCTCGTTGCCGACGCGCGTGGAGACCCCGAGGCTGAGCGAAGACGGGAAGACGTAGACGAGAGATGTTGTCTGGATGAGGATCCCCATGGAGGCGACGGTGGCCTGGGGGTTGACGAAGAGGCCACAGAGAAGGATCATCAGCTCGTACCACCACCACTCGAGGCACACGGACGCGCATGTCGGTACGGCCAGTCGGAGCAGAGCGGACCACCCACGTAGGCAGTCAACGCCGGGGCTGACCCACGAATCCTCGTAGACGCGGGAGACGAGGATGTAGCACAGGAGGCTGAGGCAGAGGTTGAGGTTGGTCAGGACCATGGAGAGGGCCACTCCGGCGATGCCCATTCGGAGACGGACGACGAGGAAGTAGTTGAGGGGGACGTGGAGGACCACGGAGGCGGCGGAGCAGAAGGTGAGGGGGAGAGTGATGCTCTGAGTTCGCAGGTAGATGCGGAGCGGGTAGAGGACGGAGAGGAGGACCAGGTCGGGGACGGCGAAGGAGATGAACTTCCCGGCGGTGGAGGCGATGTTCTGGTCTTGGCCGCACCAGGTGAGGATTCCGGCGATGTTGAGCCAGATTATGGAGATGGGCACAGAGGCGGAGAGGAGGAGGAGGACGGTGCGCTGCAGTGCAAGGCCCAGGAGCTTGCGCTGCTTGGCGCCGAAGGCCTGGCCGCAGATGGGCTCCATGCCCATGGCGAGCCCCGAGAGCACGGAATAACCGGTGATGTTGGCGAAGCCGATGGCCAGGGAGCCGCCGGCGAGCTCCATCTCCCCAAGGTAGCCCAGGAAGAGCATGGAGACCATGGCGCGCGAGTAGAGCACCAGCCCCGTCACCGTCGTCGGCACTGAGATCCTCCCTATCGCCTTCATCTCCTCCACCACCTGAGAACCAGCAACATCTCGTCAGCTCCTGGAAGTGAACAACTTTCACACACAGTCTCTCTCTCTCTCTCTCTCTCTCTCTCCTCTCTCTTTCTCCATCTTTCTCTCCTTCGTGCAGCAGGAAGCCAGCGAGTACCTCGGAGGGGGTGAGCCATCCGTGGAGCTGCTGCTCCTGCTCCAGTTCGCCTGCTCGGCGACTGGGGAAAGAGGCAGCGGAGGTGGAGGAGAGGGAAGGAGCGCTCACGTTGCACATGCCTGGTGTAACGAGGTTATCTCCCTCCTCTGAGCGCCGAGAAGGGGAGAGAGGGAGGCCTAATATAGCCCCCCACTGGGGAGCCGAGGACGACGAGGGCCGCGTGTCGACGCGTGAGAGGCTGCCGGCTTCTTCTCGCCGTGGGGCCGGCTGGCGGCCTGCGACCGCCTTCAACGAACGCCGCAAATCGGCGTACAGACAAGACGGCGCCTTCTCCGCAGCTCCTCCTCCCATGGCCGGGGCTTCGACCTTAGCTCCTCGGGGTTGCTCCTCTGTAGCATATCTTTGTGACCACCACTGTGGAGAGCATTTTGAAAAGATCGGCGATATCCCTGCCCCTCCTGCCTCCTCCATTAAAGACACCAAATTTATGGTTAACTCGTGGGAGATGGAGGAAGCGGGCGAGACTCTGCAGCAGAGGGAGCGACAGGGACCCTGCCGTCCTGTAAATAGTACGGGCGCAGTGGGCAGGGGGGATATGGACCGTAGCAGGTCGGAAGACGGGGAACACCGCCGGATAAACCCAACGTGTCTCATGGCCACCACTCGTTCTGCACCTCTCTCTCTCTCTCTGTAGCGTCGGCTTGTCCCGTTGCGCGCAGAGGAGAGGCATGGTCTTTGCGGCACGGGAATTGTAGAATCCAGGAGGGCGCGTGGCTCCAGCTGGGGCTGAGCAGGGGCGGCGCGTGTGCATGACGCAAGGGCGTCGACCTCAGAGGGCGGAAATCATAGGCTGTTGCGGGCTGAGCCAGATCCCAGACCACCTGATGGGAAGTACACCAGCGACTGCCTCCACAGAGAAAGCAAAAGTGCTCCGTGGAGAAAATTCGCCTCAATTATCGAATGTATATAAATATTTACAGTTCTTCCGCAAAGGGGTCGTGTCATTCATTGAATGTGGAAGGAGGAGAAGGGGGGGGGGGGGGATGATGTGGCAGGAAAAAATATCTGAAAAAGATGGGCTGTGCACCTCAACGGCGGCCCGTCGTCCTCTTGGCCGCCGCAGGAGAGCGGGGGAGGGCGAGGATGGCGATGAGGCCGCTGACAAAGGCTGCGACTCCGGCTACAGCGAAGGCCGGCGCGTTCCCACCTCCGAAGAGCTGGTCCCAGGGTCCACTCCCCACGGACACAATCACCTGGGCTCGCACGAAAGGGTTCCGTCAGATGGGTTCTTCTCATAGCCTCTTAGATGGACATTCAACACCAAGCAGAATGGTCAGAAATGTACGGCGTTGGCTCAAAGAACTGGTTTTATCAGATGGGCAGTGATTAAGTAGCTACTTGGGATGAATTCTATCTAACCCATCACCACATCAGTGAACAGATTACTCCCAATCTCCGGTTCGTCTTTCAGGATTCCTGATTGTATGGGGTCCAACCGCACTAGAGTAGGGTGGGCGGCTGTGCCGGGTCTAACTAGAATTATGCAGGCGGTCTTACCAGAGAGATGCTGCTTTGGAAAGAATTGTCACATCCACGGAGCCGAAACTTCATATACATGCATGACTCTGACATAATTTGATGATGATTAACCAAGAAGGGGGAACCTAGTCAACGCCTAGCTGTGTTAGATGCTCGGAAGCACAATCAATCCATACAAGATTCGAACTATGTGCGTTCTTTGTATAGCATTCGGCAAGCAAGATGAACTACGCGGAGAAGGAAAGTCAGCCATCGTGTGACATAATTTGTTCAAGCGTGTACTAAATCACCCTTCTATCATGGCAGTGTTTGTGGGGGGGAAATCATCCATTCACTGAAATTTCATCACAGAAAAGCTCCTAGCAGCCTTCTCATGCGGTTAGTTTTCCTAGGGTGTGACAAGCCGTCTCAAGCTGCTTTTAATGCTTTGCTGCCACTCTTTGATAGAGTCACATAATAGAATTTCTTGTTCCCTTGGAACATATTGACCAACAAGTTGATAACTTTAGTCAAAGCATAACCACATCCATCACCCAACACGAAATAACCTTTTGACTTCTGTGTCGAGTTCATGGAAGGTGAAAGGAATGTCGCAGCATTTTTATCTCACTCCCTCACAGGTTTCTTCTTCAGCTCCTTTTGGGCAATGAAAGCAGACACATAGCAACCCTCCTTTGGGGTAAGTCAGCAGCGTTTGCTGACCCATCAGCTTCCGCTTTTAGATACCCAATGACCAAGGAAAGTCTTACTTCTCGACCAAATGAATCTCCCACCTCTAGCCATCTACCGAGCCTTCCAACCCCCTATATCATTCTTGTTTATAGCAAATACGCAGGTCAATCTCCTTCCCTTCTCCCCTCAATATCTCATGTTTTGCAATCGTTTCCGCTATGCAAGGATGGGGCATTTCCCCTGACTATTACTTCCTAAACCTGAGTAAATAAAAAAATTTAAGAGGTAATAATTCAGAAGTTCTAAGAAAGTAACTTTTTTTGTAAAAATCTGAGGGCTTTTAAAAATTAAAGAATCTATACCAGATGAATAAATAATAATTATTAAAATGAGGAGTACCTGCGGTATGACAATAGCTAGATTAAGAATACCCATAGCCAGTCCTGCATGAAAGATGTTGTTTCTCATCCAGTATTACTCAGAGGAAGTACCTCAATGGAAAATAGTAAAAGAACACAAACGAACCTACCTTGGCCGAGACCCAAAGGTTCAGCCCGAGTCGACATCATTGCATAGGGAACACTGTATGTAATCTGGGAACAAAAAAAACAACAAAAAAGGAATAAAATTCATGCCCTGTAGCCACGGAAGCAAGAAGAAATGAGAAAAAAAATGGACATAACTCAGAGCACTCACTGCCAATGGTATGCCAAGAACTGCGAAAACAACAAGGGCAACAATGACAATGCCATCTGGTGGAAGACCATTCTGTGAAGGCTCTATATTATTGGCCACAAGGGATATGATCAGCATTGCTACGAAGCATAGAGCCATAAAAATATTTGATATTCCCCAAACCAGACCAGCACCCCACTTCCTACACAATTTTTCTATCCCCATTGAAGTCAATCCGAGAATGATGGAGTTCAACATCAAACCAAATGCCCCCATCCGAACACCAGAGTGGTAATTTCGTCCTTGATTGGGCAGTCCTTTGTAGATTTCTCGACCCATCCAATCCGTATCATATAGCAGGAAGGGAAACCATCCAGTCCATGTCAATGCAGTGACAATCAGAATTATCCAGATTGGAGAGGTTAGATATCTAAAAGAGCCCAATAGTTCCCAAAGGAAAGCCTCCTCGGTGCCATTTTCCATTTCTGCTTCTATCCCAGAGTGCACAGCGTCACCAACAGAATTTAGAGGAATTTCATGGGCAGATGATAGGCTAATATATGTAGTAAATGTGAGAATAATGATATCAAGAATGAAAGCGGATTTCAGGTTAGCACAGTTTGTGCCGCAAGCTGCAGTGGCAGTGAAAGGGAGGATGGAGGACCAGCCGCTATAGGATCCAGTAGCGAAGCCAAGAATATTGCCTAGAGCCATGAACAGAGAGAAATACGCATTTGCAACACGAGTCCTTCTGTGATCCTTCCCTACATACAAATAACGAAGTCTTAGCTAGAAACGTAACAAGTCTGGCAAAACTATCATGTGATATAGGCTTCAGCATCACTGTGCACAAATTGTTCATCGATGAATACTGAAAAGGACTGTGCATCAATACTCGAAAGAGGTTTAAATTGAAAAGGCGCAAACAAAATAAAAAAAATGCACTTAATTTTTTCTTTTTTTTCCATGAGATGGACTTGTATTTCCTGCAATAAAGTGAAATTCTGGGCTGGCTTGGTCCAAAGGGCATTCTCCAATTGAGAGATAAATGAGGATGCGCCAATGTCAATGCCAGCTTGGTCCCAAGGGCACACCATCATCATGACAAATGCCTTAGTTCTCTCTCAACACCTGACAAACATTTATATGCAGAGAACCTACTTTCTTTGAGTACCCATGTTTTGAAAATGACTTCGAATTTCAATTCTCTCCATCTTTCCTTCTTTACAGCTGATATGGCTCTTCCTTCCCTTTCAACAGAGATTATGGTCGTTCTTTGCCCTTATTCCTTAGAATAAGAACCTTTTCTCATTACTACATAAAAATAGACTAATCTACCGTTGTCCGGTAGATTAGTCACCAAAAACTTTTTCAGTGAACAAGTTATAAGTATCTGCTTAGAGGCCCCACCTATATCACCTAGTTCACCAAAGTGCATCAACAACCTTGGAGGTTAGTTTCCACACTGATTGATGAAATAAGCCACATAAACACGTCGATTTCTTGTCAATAGGTACAAATAATAAAATCACACGAAAAATATTCAAGAACGAAAGTTTTAGATAACAACATACATCAACGTGATAAATTAAAAACAGAGTAAGTGAAATTTTATGAACTTAAATCCTATAACAGCACTATGTGTTTCTAATATGTTACTCGTCTAAATAATGCTAGTGATATCATCGACACATTGTTCTTCAACGGTCAATAATCATTTGTAGCGGAAATTATAGAAGCTGCTAGGATGCCACTTAGGAAGCATTGCTGTGTAGTGCTTAACAGTCACTTGGAGCAAAAATTGTATACTATGCACCTGATGCTTCCATGAAACCTTTTTAGCAGAAAGCTGTAGGAGATGCGTTCATCCACTTCCTAACATAAATGTATTATGTCACAAGGCCCCCAAATCAAATCATCCAGACCACACAACATTTGCAGAGGTTTCACTCATAATTTTTTGTCAACCGACGCAGTGCATAGCAACATATGTCATACGCATTCATGACAATTGGATGAAATATGAGATGAACATTTCCCTCCTAAGAGCAAAGAAGAAAGGATATGGAGCAGTACAGCAACGATTAGCAGCAAAGTAGATTTTTTTCCATCAAATACCAGCTTTGGGAAGAGTACATCAGTTGCTCACACATTTGTCCCTTTTCTGTCGTGGGTTATTGATATCATAGCATTGATGAACTTAATCAAGAAGATTCTCTAACGGTTACAACCTGTAAATAGATGTGAATAAATCTATGCAATTTTGGCATGGCCTCTTAGTGATTTCATCAAAGGTCTTTCACAAAGGAGGAAGGTTATCCATCAACTCTCAGTAACCAGAGTCTCGATCCCATAAAACAGTGCCCCTCCGTTGGGGAGTAGGGGGAAGGGGGGATGTGCATTATTCTTAATGCTGATTGCAAATGCTACCCCTCTAATTTGGTATTTTTTATGTTCACTCTAATGTATATTTGGAAAAATATTGATATTAAATACAATACTGGTTCTTCAGGAAATAATTAAACACACGTGGGCTAATCGGATTAAAAGTCAAGAAAAAAAGATATTCATCTTCCACTAAAAAGACATGCCAGTCATTAAGGACATGTACATTCATATTTTCCACTCAACAAACAACGCGTCAATATTTTAAAACGCAGCTATTTAGGCAATTACAACATACCAGTAACCTCTGATTGTTACAACAACTGCCTTATATCCAGTTATTATTGATTTTTATTTTCGTCACATAAGTGCCAAATTCCCCACTAGATATATAAAACATCATTAAAAAAAATTTGGTGGGGTAGTCAGGATTTCAGGAAATCTTATAACAGCATGAAGTAATAAAATAGAAAATTTGATTTCCTACTTCAGTAAACAAGTTAGCAAACAGCAGAACCGTGACACCCACTCTATTCAGATTCCTTGATTTACACAGGCAGATAATCGAGAAGGATTCGTCCAACTACACTGAAAACTACACCTTTTCCTCTTCCTTCTGCATATGCCTCTACACCCTTTAATCAGGCTGGCACTCTCCACATCTTTTTCTTATTATTTTTCAGACCAGTGAAATCTTAACCCTCGGAGTTTTGTCATGATCAACGAGGGACTACCACTGTGAATCAAACCCATTTGCGTCCCTATTACACATGATGTCGCGTCACAATCATTAAGTGCCACACACATCATCTATATTTTTTTTAAGATTCTGATGCCGAAATCCATGAAGAGGTAAAATAATTTTTTCAATTAAAGAAAAGACGCACTTGGCCATACACACATTTGAGTAGGAACCAAGTCATCATAAGTCGTCACTGAACTTGTGAAATCCAAAATGTTTCAATTCTTTTCGTTCTGTATTAGAATAAGTTGCCCAACCTCAGTTACAACATCCAGAGCTCTCATAGCACAATACGATGTTGAACATAGCCATTATTTCTATAATAATGGTAAATGCAACGTCAGATTTTAGGTTCTTTTATGTTGATAACCACCAATCTTCTGGTTAGTTTTAGAAACCTCATAAGTGAAGGTATTCCTCTTAACTTTCATCTTCCATCTACCTAGTAAGAGGGTATTTTATCAAATCTCATTTACATAATCTATAAATACAGGAAAACACAGGCAACAAGATCATCAGTAGATTATTCCAAGCATATATGAGACCAAAGCGCTATTTTTGTCTCCATAATCTCACAAACCGTTAAAACTCGCAAGAAGTTGCAGCAAAATTGCATTTTACCTAATTGCCTCTATAAAACCCATCACTCGGACAGCACTTTGGCATCCTGGAGTGTGTTGGCCGTGGAGATAGTGAAAGGTGACCTAGAACGGATATGATCTGCAGCACGACAGCATTTAACAGGACTATTCCAATGGCAGAAGTCTCCTCACAGGACTGAAACTCAATCTCATACTGAATATGATATTACACTTACCAAAAAAGATAGTCATATTCAAGTCAGCACTGGACTCTGACCCATGACAGCCACAGCTTCTGTGAGGGTCACAGGTTTGGCAGATGGAGCCATGGAAGCGCCAAGAAGATGATGTTTTTGGAGAGGAACAATCCTACAACCTGTGGAAGGGATGAAGAAAAGAAAAAAAGCGAAGGATCCTAGAACAGCACTACCCGCAGTCAAAGTAACTTAAAAAACCCAATTATCATTTTTAGAATATGATCCGAGCTTTCTCCTGGGACAAATGAATTATGTTGCAAAGGATCAAACTGATGATCTCTTCATGTCAATGCTGTAGATAGGGTAGATGAGGTTAATTATTGTCATTTTTCCTTAACCACATTCAAGTAAACAAATAAGCTTCTATAATATTTATCTTTTAGCAGCTCTGAACTTCAATCTGATTCTCCACTAAACCCAAGGAAGATTGAAATCCTTTTTGTTTTCCTTTTTTCTTCTTCTTTTTTTCTTTTTTTCCTTTTTATTTTTTATTTTTTTTTATTATTTTGAGGATTGGGAACGCCAGCTATTGCCACCGATGACTATGATATCACTAGAAAAGGCAAGTAAAAAAAAAAATCACGTCATGAAACTTGCAGATAAATTTTGGGTCGACCTCAAACATTGTCTGCCGCGTGCTCTTCTACATACGTGAGAAGATGTACGAGACACTGCACCATCATCGTGCAACAGAGATCACACTGAAAGAGTGAGAGCGTGAAACGTTGGAAGAGCTCCAAGAAAGGACTGTAGGAAAGATGAAGAGGCACACAAGGTGTGAGGAATGGCACAGAGAAGCTGGCCTTCGAGTCTAATGAGTATACCCTACCACTAGAAAAAGAACGCGACCGCTCCTTGGCTGTCGAAGAATCAGTTTTATGGAGGTGGGTGGCCCGTAGGTGCTGGCACAAGGTTAGAATTCTAGCTCTTCCGGAAGGAGGAGCCGTCCTTCGGGTTGCGCCGCCGCGAACGGCGGCTTGCAGGAGACAGAAACTAGCACAGGCAGGGTGGAGAGAGAGAGAGAGGATGAGAGACTTACCGGTGAGGTCGGCGAGGAGGGCGCGGGCGGGGCCCTGGGTGACGTTGTTGGCGACGTCGAGAAGCCAAAACCCTAGCACAAACACGGCGATGGCACGGGGGCGGTGAGGGCCACGGTCCCCGAGGACACTACCGATGTCTGCAGAGTGGCCGATGAGGAGGACTGCGACGGCGATGGAGGCGGCGCCGCCGGCGATGAATGGCCTCCGTCGGCCGAAGCGGCTGGTGCAGCGGTCGCTCGTGTGGCCCACCAGGGGCTGGACGAGGAGGCCCGAAACCGGCCCGCAGAGCCAGATGAGGCTGGACCATACGTGGGGGATGCCCAACTCCTGCACGTAGGGGGTGAGCAGGGAGAGCTGCAGGGCCCAACCAAACTGCACCCCACACGACACCGACGCCACCCGCAGCAGCCGCTTCAGGGGCACTCTTGTTGGCGCCGGCACCGGCGCCGCCCTGACGGCAGTCCTGTTGGCCGCGCTGTGCCTCCCGGGCACTGTCATCGCACACCCTCCTCTCCCCTTTAGCCCAGTTCCTCTGAGCCCCAGACAGCAAAAAAAAGTGAGAGAGTTTGGATGGCCGATGGAAAACCGGCGAGCCCTGATCGAGAGAACGAGGGAGAAGGGATCTGCTTTCAACTGGTGAGGATATTATATTAAGGAGAGAGAAGAGGGACCTCCATGTTTACGTGTCGCCACCGCCGTCAGCCGCAGGTGTCACCCACAGCCACGCCGAAGTGGGGAAGACGAGACTATGGAAGCCCATCACGGTCGCAGATGCCATTGGTTAGCGGCGATTACCCCCTTGCTGACTGTCTACGGCGGTTCTGGTTTTATCGTCGTGCGGTGAACCTTCCCTCCGCTCAGACGGCCGCCGTCCCCCGGAAACCGCGTTGCTCGTGCAGGAGACGGCGGCGGCACGGTGCCCAACTAGGCGCCGCGGCGTTGATGGCTTGGGCGGTGCGGGATCGGGGCTGCGGCGGCGGGCGGGAGCATGCGGACAGGATTGCTGCAGTGGAAAGGGCCTCGAACGAGGCGGCGAAACGGCGGCGCTGGCAGGCCTGTGGCAACGGCGGAGTGACGGCAGCGCACGGCGGCGGATAATCCGCGTCCACAGTCGGCCGCCGCTCGGGAACACCCGCCAGCTTCTCTTCTTCAAAATCAGACCACGTCCCTGCTCAAAATCATTGAAATTGTCACTTTTCTGAACCAAAAAATCTAAACTTTGGAGCTAATGTCCATAAAAAATATAAGTATATATAATATAAGATATATAATAATTTTATATTTAATAATAATTAGGGCCAGTACTATGCATAGAAAATATACTTAAAAAATGCCACTGACTGGGAGTTAGACGGCGGATGACGATGGCTCTGTTATTGGACCTGGTGGCCCATAAAATATACTTGGGCCTACTTATTTTGGGCCTGTAGCCCCGCCCCAGGCCAAAGCACGTCATTGCACTGATCCCTGCTCTCCATGGGAGGATGGCTTCTGTTATTGGGCTGTGGCTCATAAAAATGGACCCCTAGAGATTCGTTAAAAGCATTATTTTGGGCCTATAACCCAGGCCTGTGATTGCACTGGGCCTACTTTCGGCCTAGGCCAGAAATGGATATAAATACTGTTTCAGTCGGCGGGGATTTCTGCGTCGTCGAGTTCCCTCTACGACGTCTCCACGCCATCGGCCGCTGCTCCGCCATCGCCAAAACCCTAAGAGTGTTCGCTTCCATCTACAGCGGCAACCCCAGTTGCCGTTCGTCCTCCCTCTTATATGGAGTTTCAAGAGGATCTGCCGAGCTCGCCGGGACAGCATTCGCAGCCAACGATGTGTAAACCCTACGTTCTGCACGAAACCCTAACTGGCCACAAGCGCTCCGTCTCCTCCGTCAAGATCTCGCCCGACGGCTCCCTCATCGCATCCGCCTCTGCTGACAAAACGATCCGCCTGTGGTCCACCTCCGATTTCTCCCTCCGCGCTGAGCTCTCCGACCACGAGGAGGGCATCTCCGACGTTTCATTCTCCTCTGACTCGCGCTACGTCTGCTCCGCCTCTGACGATCGCACCGTCCGCGTCTGGGACGTTCAAACCGGCTCGCGCATAAAGACCTTCGTCGGCCACACTAACTATGTCTTTTGTGCCTCCTTCAATCCGCAATCGAACATGGTTGCCTCGGGGTCGTTCGATGAGACCGTTCGCGTTTGGGACGTCAAAACGGGGAAATGCCTGCGAGTGCTCCCTGCGCACTCCGACCCAGTAACGGCCGTCGACTTCAATCGGGACGGGACCCTGATTGTGTCTAGCAGCTACGATGGTTTATGCCGGGTGTGGGATGCATCAACGGGGCAATGCATGAAGACAATAATTGATGATGAGAACCCCCCGGTTGCCTTTGTGAAGTTTTCGCCGAATGGAAAGTTTGTACTTACAGCGACACTCGACAGTACAATAGTAAGTATATCCATATTGACCTAGTCTGTCTACTTCTCTGCATACTTCTCCAGTATTGAGTATGAAATTCATTCTTATTTGCCTAAAGCTCGTATTTCTCTGTCGTAGTCGAAATTCTTCCTCAAACATTATTTTCTCCTCGTTGTTTTGTCGGTAGCTGTAAATATTGAATTCTCGATAACTCTTGAGAGAGAGAGAAATGGTTGATTTCTTTGCTAGACTGGGACAGTGAAATTTCAGGAAAGAGTGCACAGAATGTACCTTAATTTAGAAATCCTCAGTATTCATACAGTGTTGGTTTAAGGAGGTCAGACCGCATGCGTTCGTTGGGGTCCTTTCATCCACCAAGCATGCAACATTGACGCTTCTAGACGCATCTTGATTCCTCATAAAAAGCTGAATCCAGTTTTTTTAACTATTGTAGCAAACTGAGAGTTTGTCCTAATAGTCTGAAGATTAAACTGCATGCTGCTCATTGGTAACTCTGCATGAGTGCCAAAGTCTTAGTTTTACTATGCATAATGAAATTCTGCGACGGTTTAATTTCTTTGTCACCACATTTGTATAGGGGCGAAGGTATAAATGTTATTTGTGTTTCTGAACTATGCATAATTTTTGGCGTCATACGTTTTCCTCCAAAAATACAGTTCCATTTTTTTTCTCATTTCCTTTTGATGAATGCTTGTAAAGTCCCACTTCTTTTTTTAGCAGTGGCCTTTACTATGGGAGGAAGAGCCTTAAAAACGTTGGTCTTAGATCTCGATTCCATGCTGAACCTACATAATTTCTCTGTCCATCCACTACAGTGATTACTTGGTGACTAAACATGATTGTTGTTGCGATATGGGCTTAAGGGGCAAACCCAAAACTCGAGCCAGCTTGTGCGTATGCCTTTTATTAAGGTTTTTTCAAGTTTATCCTTCACATTTTAAAACCCAGAGTAAAGGATATTTTTTAGTCTTCCCGCAATTTTAGGGTTTTTTTAAGTAGCTAAATTTCAGCGGATGCTTGAGACATCTATACTATCATTAGACTCGGAGTTCATTTTTCATTTCTTACCAGAAATCTAGAGTTGTTAGTTGAAAGGTTTGTCTTTGGGTTTGATGTTAAAAGTTTTGAGCTTAGGTAACACCTCAGGAAGTTTATACATCAGCTGTCCAAATAGGTTGGGCTGAAAGTTTTCTTTTTTTAGATTCTTGTGAAAAATATTTCTCTTTTAAAATGGACCTTCCTTATCTGTTATGGACAATGTGTAAATCAAAATGTTTAGTGATTTAACTGAGGGACAAGGGATTGCTTGTTATAAACACTGTTAGAGAATGAAGCAGAGAGTTTTTTCTATTCTTGGTATGGGAAAAAGGTAAAATGACAATTGGTTGGCTGGCCAGTAGAACTTGTTACTAATTGTTACCTAAGTAGAATTTGTTTGCTAGTTAGTTCGACTATTTCCATCCTGCATCACCTTGCTCATGTTTTCATGGACACACTACTAGTATGCTACTCCTTTATCATCATAGTTCGGGTTGCTTTATCATAATAGACATATACGTTTGCCATCGTAATTTTTTCATATATGAATTCTTAAACAACGTTAATATATAAATATATATAGATATATATATATATATATATATTCATCGGCTGCAAAGTGATTGGAAGACTGAACTCTTGGGAAACCAACACTGATTTTTGCTTCAGGATATATGAATTAAGCTAAGTTTAGCAGCCAACACAATAAAGCATAATTGTCTGAGATGCTTTGACCATGTTGTTAATTAACTTCATGGTCATCATTGCCATGCTTTTATGTTGACAGTCAAATGCTTAGTCATCATTTCCTCGCCACTAATATCAACCCTCTCCATGTCAACATTGAGCCGGCCTGCTGAGCTTAATTGCATTTTAGGCAAGATTGATGCATCATCTTGCAATGCCTTACTAAGATTTTCTCCTGCAAATTGGTAATTCCCCTGTTTTATTTTCTGTGGTATAATCCAATTTTCATTCCAACAGAGGACTATACAGGACACAGCGAAGGATACATATCATCACCGGCAGAAATTATCCATTAGCCATTTTGTTAATCAGGAACTCTATTCTCAATGGGGGGGTAACGAAATGAGCTTGTGCTCGTTCTTCTTCTCCCATTTTGAATTTTGAGAGAAAATCGGCCGAAAATAGGAAAGGTTTTTGGATAAAAGAAGGTGGGGATTACCTAACCTTGGTTACTATCTCATTGCTTCCATCTTGTCCATTTATGCCCGATCTCACTCGATTTCAGCTTTTGTAACAGCTGGTATTTAGTCCACTTCTAACCGGCTGATTAAATCTTGGGAAAAAAGCTCTGTCGATTCTGCAATCCAGCCCTAATGGTCGATTAAATTCTTCTTGTCCTAGCCGACGGGCGAATCTTTTATGCCGGTTATTCCCCAACATTTTATGTGCCACCTTCGTTGACTTTTTATATATCATGTATGTCATCTCAGCATATATGATTTTATTTCGCTTCATCCATCACAGGAAAGCAATGGTAGAACCCGACTGCCCATCACATTCACCAAGCTTTTTTTCCCATCCAAGATTTATTTATTTATTTATTTATTTATTTATTTTTCTGAATGTTCTTATGATATCGTCTTAAAGTGAAGCTCCCCTAGAAGATTATTGCCAAGAATAGCACATTGTTCATGTCGATTTCCTGACGGCTGCAATCTCCTCCTCGGTTGAGATTTCTTCTCACGTCGATTGACACACCTACCGGGCGCCTGTTGCAGAGACTTTGGAACTTCTCGACGGGGAAGTTCCTGAAGACGTACACGGGTCACGTGAACACCAAGTTCTGCATCCCCGCCGTGTTCTCGGTGACGAACGGCAAGTACGTGGTCAGCGGCTCGGAGGATAACTGCGTCTATCTGTGGGATCTCCAGTCCCGGAAGGTGGCCCAGAAGCTGGAAGGCCACGTGGACACCGTCGTCGCCGTCGCCTGCCACCCCACCCGCAACATGATCGTCTCCGGCGCCCTAGAGAACGACAGATCCGTCAAGGTCTGGGTCCAGTCAGAGGCTGCGGCCCAGAAGGAGAGTTGACCAAGCCTACCCCCTTTGTAAGATCCCGTCTCCGAGCTTCTTGTAACTCTCTGGTTAATCTTACTACCGATCGATGGACATCCGGCGGCCCAAATCTTTTCGAGTTTTCTATACCGGACCGCTATTTCTATAATCAGTGGGCCAGAGGCTCGGCCGAATCCGGGCTCAGCTGGTCTGGTAAGATCGCTCTCCCGGCGCCGTCCAAATCCCAGCTGACGGCGCCACTGAAAGCTGATTCTCCCGGCTTCCGGGGACGCCGCCGGGCGAAAATCTGCGCCTGGGATTAGGAGCGGGATTTGAGGTGGACCGGTCAACGGCTGCCACGCGCCGGAAGGCGGTTGGCATTCCAATAATAGGGCACCCCTCGCCGTTGACCCGTCGCCATACCCGATCCCCTTCGAGAGATATGATTGTTCACACGCGTATCCCCGATATCCACGGGTTTCGTCACTCGATCGATTTTTCGTTTGTCTGAGTCGGGGTTTTCTCATTTTCCACCAAAATAAAAACTATCTCTTTCGTAGTTCCCCGTCGTTTCATTGTTTAGGGTTTACAGTACAGCGTTAGATTACCCGACGAAGGGAGGTAACTATCTCTTTCGTAGCTCCCCGTCGTTTCATTGTCGACGGCCAGGTCGCTGCCGCCGCCGCCGCTCCTGAGCCTCCGCGTAGGGGGATGGGAGTTGAACGTGGCGGCCAAGGGATGGACGGAGTGTGAAAGGGCCTCCGTCGGAAGGTGACGTTGAAGCCGATGTGTGGCCGGTGCAACGTGTTTGGATTGCGGCCAGGGATACCGCGGGAAGGAGTCTCTGAGAACGCTCTTGAGCTCATCTCTGATCGCACGGTGTCAGGTATCAATCATTCGTCCCCACAGCGCCGCCGCAATAGTTCTCAAAAGGTTCATGAAGTCAGACCAACGTAATCCACGATAGAGAGAGCCAGAAGAAGGCTTTTATGAGAGAGGTGGGGTCAGGTCGAGGGAGAGTAGGAAGGTCCCTGGAGGGAATATATAAGATGTGGAGGGGATGGGGGTCGGGGTTAGAGATAACTCCGAGGAAGAAGAAGAAGAAGAAGCAGGTGCTCCAACAGAGGTGAGGTCTCCTTCCTCGCTGTAGCCCTGCTGAGGAGGGGGTTCTCCCTGATCTCCGACTGGGCTTCGTACCCCTCCCTCAGCCTCTTCCCCTCTGGGTCCATCGCGGGATTTTTCTATGAGCATCGGATGTCTTGTTAAGCTTCGTAAAATATGCTCGTAGCATATTTAAATGATTAGAATATCTCATTGAGATGGCGTCTGTTCATCACACAGTCGTGAACCAGCTCCAGAGGTCATCGCTTCGGTTTCATCCCTGCATTGGGCTGACGATCCTCGCCTTGGCTCCACAGGATCTCTGTATCTCGGTAAGGAGGATCTTCGCGTTCAATGGAGCTGTCGTCGGTTCGCTGGGTGTCCGATCTGGTGAGTACCCACAGCTCCTGGAGGACTAGTTTGGACAAATTCTTTGTCGGAAGAGGAGGATTTCACCGTACAGTTGCTTTGTCTCCGGCGAACTCTGTAGATGATGGACATTTCTCCGGAGGTGGATGATCCGAGCTACAGCTACATTAACCAAAGAGAGATGAGCTCCCTCGAGGAGTTGACCCCACAGCATATAGCGGCTGCCCTGGGGGACGACTTCCAAAGCACCTTCTCTTCCGGGAGCCACACGTCCTATCCCACCTTCACATCCTACGGCAGCGCCGAGGGCAAGACCTTCAGCTGCTCCTCCGTCGAGACCAGCGGCGCTGACCAGACTTCGACGGCGGTGCCGGACGTTTCCTCGCCGAGAATCCTCACCTTCAGCAGCCGGCCGCTGGTTGGGGGCTTTGCGGTGTCGCCGCCGCCGCCGCCGCCGTTGAGGCCAAAGGAAGAGGCGGGCTTCTCCATAACTCGTGGCTCGAAGAGGAATTACGAGACAATGTTAGCCCAGGGGACGAAGAAGGTCAACGGGGGGGCGAGGCCGCCCTCCCAAGCTCAGGATCATATTATTGCCGAGAGGAAGCGGAGGGAGAAGCTTAGTCAAAAGTTCATCGCCCTGTCGGCGATCGTCCCCGGACTGAAGAAGGTATTCTTCTCTCCCATCAAGCTATTCGTCTTGCTTCTTTCTTCGCTGGCGGTCGGAATGTGAAATCTGCCCAATCGTTGACTTGACCTTCCAAAACACGTCTCGATCACAAATAAATTGATAATTTAATTGCGATTTCTTATTGGAGCTTGCTTCAGCAACACCTCGAAGAAAGATATGGAGAAAATCCGTTGAATAATGTAGAGACACAGATCTGGTTTTCACAGTGCGTATCTCAGATGACCAATGAATTGGAGAATGAATTAGAAAAATTACAGTGTGTCTTCTTCGTCGTTCTACTCATGAATCAGAGCCAGAACCAGTCCGTAGTTCTTGCTCTTGACCTTGTTCTCCCCCACTCCGACAGATGGATAAGGCCTCGGTCCTCGGTGACGCGATCAAGTACGTCAAACAGCTTCAGGAGAGGGTGGTAGCCCTCGAAGATCAGTCAACCAGGAGGACCGTCGAGTCGGCGGTCCTGGTGAGGAGATCTCAGCTTTCGTTGGATGACGGCATCTCCTCCTCCGACGAGAACTTCGACGGTCCTACCGCCGGCACACCGCTGCCGGAAATCGAGGCGAAGCTCTGCGAGAAGAGCGTGCTGGTTAGGGTACACTGCGAGAAGCGCAAGGGCGTGCTGTCGAGGCTGCTGGACGAGATAGAGAAACTCCATCTCACTGTCGTCAACACCAGTTCTGTGCCCTTCGCCAACTCTGCACTCGATATTACAGTGACGGCGCAGGTAAATCCATTCCACCATTTAATCACCCATAAACAGTCGTCATCTACAGCTTTTATGGAAATTTGACCGAAATCATGGGTTGGGTCTCTCAGGTTGAGGACGGGTTCTCCATTACAGTGAAAGACCTCGTGAAGCATCTCAACTTAGCTTGCCGCCAGTTCATATGAAGACGAAAGAAGAAAACACGCGTTCATGAAGTGCTGGTCGCCGTTTTATCAGCTTACCCTCTCGGCGTCTGATCTTAGACTTCTTCTTCCTGGTCCCTCTCCCCATCTATGGGTCTCTCTCTCTCTCTCTCTCTCTCTCTCTCTCTCTTCATTCCCGATCCCTTTTTGCGTGGACGAGATGTCGGCCACGTTTCCCGGAGACCAGAGATCAGACTCTTTAGAATTTCGATGGAGCTGCCATCAGAGTTTGGTCTGACTATTTACAACCTCCCGAAGGCGGGCATCATCTATCTGCTTCAAATTCGGAGGTTGGAGACAGAGAGATCGCTCTTTTTTCTCGGCGGCATGGAGCATTAGATTCATTTTTTAGGGGATGGGGGGTCCTTCCATGATTCCAAGATGCTCCTCTTCCCCCGCTCCTTTCTTGTTGCTCACCGCTGCCATCCCCACCGCAGCCACCCTCGTCATGTTTCCTGTAACAATTCACTGTGTAATCAACGAAAAATAGATGATGTGATCTAAATTACTGGTTTCTCGTCCTGCCTTCAGTCCCTTTAGCCGGGGACAACGACCTCTCTCTCTCTCTCTCTCTCTAGATAAGAGTGTATATTTGCATATATCTGGGGACAACGCTTGAGCTTCATGCACGTGGCGTCGCGGACGTAGGTGGATGCGTAGTAGGGGTAGCGGACGGAGTAGGTGTGCCTTGACGAGGAGAGAATAATTGATTCGATGGGCGTCGCGCCATTAAATAGCTGTGGGCACAACGCGTCTCGCGCAAGCAGGCATCGCCGTCATCCTGTTAAAAGATCTGTGTGAAATCATAGCGTGATCGTTAAGAGCTATCCCCAATCAGGATCCTCGTCGGTATGCGATGGGAGGCAGATACTTGAACTCCATCATATCGGTGACAGCACAGAGGAGCCCACCATGGCTCCTCTATTTGTCCACAACGGGACACGCGTGCACTTTTATGTGGTGCAACGTCGCAGCTGTGGAAGTTCCGGCATGGCTGAGGGCCCTCATGGCGTCGCAGCAGACGCGTGCTCTTTTATGTGGTGATCCCTCGTTCGTCCCTCTTCGGCATTCCCCATCGCCGTTCCGTGGTCTGTATGAACGGAGGTGGGATGATAATTGCTCCGGAGCCACGCCGCCAGCTGCTGCATAAATGGCCAGTCTGCGGCGCCGCTGGCCAGTCAGACGTCCCACACCGTGCGGCACGCCGGCGGCAAATGTGGGCTTTGGTCGTCTCCGGTCGCCGCCGCAGATGCGTACTCTCGAAGCCGCAGCTCGGTGATTGGCTTTCAAAAGTCTCAGCCACCGCACCTCCGCAGTCGCCCTCAATTATCTGCCCTCATTGTGGGCCCATTTCTGGCATTCTACACGTTTCGTCAAAGGGGGGGGGGGGGGAGAATGAATCGGTGAGGAAATATGGAGATGGCGAGTTTGACGGTGACTGGTAGAAGAAGATCAGATGACAGACAGGAGGGGATGCTTCGCCCATTAAATGAAAGAGGGTGATGATAGTGGCTCTGGATAGAAAAGTCGACAGGTAGATCCTACTACGAGATGCAATCCTCTCTAGCTCCCATGAATAAATTCTCCATGTTTAGTAACTTTACTTATAAGACAATGAGCATTAAAGTCGAATGTAAAGTTTAATGCCATACGCTGCGCCTAAGGATGAGTTCCTTGGCTTTCTACTTGCTGCTGTCGGTCTCAGACTACTCGAAAATTAGGAATCCGTCACTCTTTTAACATTCCGTTAATTGCACATTAGCTAACCATAATCTCCACCTGATTTTAAAAAAGACTAATTAACCCTGAACTCTAGATCCTACACTCACTCACGTCCTTTCCCTCTCACCAATTACTTCTTCTTCTTCTTCTCTCTCTCTCTCTCTATCTATCTCTATCTATCTCTATTTATCTAATCTCTCTCTTACCTCCTCCCCTACCCCCTACTCGAGCGACAATACCTTACTCTCTCTCTCTCTCTCTCTCTCTCTCTCTCTATATATATATATATATATATATATATATATATCTCTTACCTCCTCCCTACCCCTACTCGAGCGACAATACCTTACTCTCTCTCTCTCTCTCTCTCTCTCTCTCTCTCTCTATATATATATATATATATATATATATATATATATCTCTTACCTCCTCCCCTACCCCCTACTCGAGCGACAGTCCTCTACTCTCTCTCTCTCCACCCATCGCCACACATCTCTGTGTCCTTTCTCATCCCGCCCGCTAGGTGCCACGACCTCTCAACCCATCACCACATATCTTGATTATATCCCATTTTCATGTGAATCACTTTAACGCTAGCATACACTTTTAGTTTGAATATAAATAGAAATTTTCATAAGAGAGAAGGTACAAGAAGTTTACGTCTGACCCAGGGGTCAATCTTATTTTCATGCTGAGAAAATAGACATAGGGTAAAGTTGTCATTTTGTGTCATTAAAAATCTTATTATTTAAAATATAAATGAAATATAGTAAGTTGAATTTTACCTTCTCAACCCATTTCTAGAAAATTTTCATGTTTCAGATGACATTAATAGAGCAAATATTTCTATATCAAGCTCCAAGATTTCAGGTTTAGACAATCACACGACACAAACCATTGCCTCCAAAACCTTAATATATTTACTATTTTTTCTTAGTATGAGGGTATATAATGAATGGTAAGGCCATATTACCATAACTAGTGTTGTGAATCTAAAATGAAAACTAGTGTTCTAGCTGTCTAACTTTCGGTCTCTTAAGAGTTATAAATCTCATTCATAGCTAAGCAAATCATTTACTATTCCTTTGTAGGATACTAAAACCCCAAGAACAATTCCTTCCTTCCAAAATTGGAGTAGGCAAGGGAGTCTAACAACTATATACTCTTGGAGTTTAATTCTTTTTTTTCACGTAAGAAATTAAATCTAAGTAACTATTCACCCAATTTTATATAGAATCGAAACACATTTTGTCAATATCAAGTATACACACAAAATTAGCAAACAATTTTTTGATTAGCAACTTAGGGTTTATCATTACAAGCTCTTAATGGGCCACAACTGGGCCATGGCCATATAATACACATTATGAAAATACATTACTACTTTTAAATAATCCCAAGGTTTGGACCACTTGAACTTTATAGTAATACGAAGCATTCCAAGTACCATGTGGCAAGCACCTTTCATGTAGGTGTCATTGATTAACATTAATAGGGCTTAATTTTGATTTAGTTTCATGTCATTATGAGGTTAATAATTTCAGTTACCAATTAATTTACGTGTACTATCATTTGATTTTGTTTACTAAGAAGAATCCCTCATAGATAAAGTGAATGTAGTATGTACCTTGGAAATATTTATAACAATGAATGAGATGTACTTTCTCTCTCTCTCTCTCTCTCTCTCTCTCTCTCTCTCTCTCTCTCTCTCTCTCTCTTTGCATTCTCAAAAGTGCTCTAAATGTTGAGTAAATATAATTAATGAGGCTGAACAAGCTTGATAGAATAACAACCTTTTTTATTTTAGAATTAGATATTGACAAGAAACCATAATAAAAGACTCATCTCAAGATCTCATTTTTTTTAATCAATATCAAAAACTAAAATAATATATAATATATAATAAACTTTAAACAATATTAAATAAATGATATATAAATTAAATATTTGTATGAGCAGATGATTCTTAGAATATAGATTATAATGCCTTTTCTTTATAAATTGAATTATATAAATACTTTTTTGTGTTTTGTTCATTGTACTACTTTTGACCTACTTTTACAAATTTAGCTGAAACATCATACATCAGCATCTCCTTCACTATAAAATGGTCCTTTTTTTCCAATTATGACAATGGTAAAAGGCTGATATAGGAATCAATAGGAGGGGTGAAGTTTGCTTTTTTTGGAAAATTCTATCAAAATTTCAGCATTCTGCCTAGTTACCATCAACCACCAAAGTCAAACCTCAATATCTCAACAAAGAGCACTAAAGCAAGATTCAAATATTTATAATGTTTGAAAGTCACACCTCAAAGTCAACTCCCCCATTATTAAAAGTCAAATCTTTAGATTCTACAAATACTTGACTTAAAGACTATACTTAAGTGGCCTCAAAATATTTCTTCTAGATTAAAATCTCTATGTGTCCTAAAAAATGTGTGCAATACTCAAATAAAAGTATCAAAAAAATTTAAATATATATTTCTCAGATATTTTGGCCGATATCTTCATAGATTATGCAGGCCCAGGCCCAAGACTTGCCTGTTATGACGAGTAATGTAAGCTTAATCGGTTTGGGCTGCTGACTTCTCGTGAGAATTTATCATCCTGGGTCCGGCCCAGGCCCAAACCAACACTGGCACACTTGGAAGGGACGGGATCCGTCTACGTCTCCGGCCCACCGTCTTCGTCGGCCAGCGAAGCCCAACCAATCGCGAACCCATCGCATTATTCTCTCGCACCCGATTGGCTGAGTCCTACCACGTCAGCGCGTACTATATATACCCTGGAAGAGTCGAGAAGGATTTGCGGTTCGCTGCGGGAGTTCCGTTTTTCTTTCTGCACACGGAGCGGAAGAGCGAGGAACGATCGAGGTCGGTCCTCATGGCGGGTACGTCTGGAGTTGTGGCGGCGGTTTTCCTCTTAGTCCTGCTGATCGGAACCTCGGGCGCCGTCGTCTTCCCGCGGTCTCTGAAAACGTCGTTTCCCAGAGCTGTTTCGGTAAGAAATTTTGGTGATTCCCAGACGCTTCGTTTCTCATTTGCGTTGGACGATGAGACGACTTTAGATCATCGCCTGATGATTTGTTTGAACCTTTCAGGATTTGAAGGAGGCGATTCTGAAAGGGTTGGGGTCGCACGAGGAAGGACTGGCGTTGTCGGGTTTTGACCCGCGGGACGCGAAAGTGGGGCAATCGGTGGCGTACGAGTTCCATGTGGAGATCGATAAGAAGATCATCCCAATCAAGCTTCTGGAGGATGTGAGTCGGTGGGAGTTTGTAGATTTCCCTTTTCTTGCTATGGACGGCGAGGCGGATAATGCGGATAAGGGGTTGGCGGAGATGGAGAAGGCTCTAGAATCTATGATCCTCCCTGTTCTTCCCCCGTTCCAGCTTGAAGGCCCCATGGAGCTCTGGATCCAGGATGGCGATGACATGAGGCTGGCCTTGCCAGTGAGTACATATTTCTTCCCTTATTTCCTCCATGATCCTCATATTCGTAAAGAAGTATTCATCATTAATCTCATGCAAAGCATTTGACATTTGAACTGCCTTAAGATATTTAACAATTGGTATCATCCGAATTGTTTTCATCTCCTGTTTTAGTCCTTAGATTTAGGGTTACCGCCATTATCAGTCTACGCCTGTTTTCAATCGATTGCCTTCGAAGCAACATCTATTTTTCAGATTTCTGGGAGGCTTCTGCAGTCCCAAACCATCATCGTAGCTATTGTCTTAAATAATAGAAACTTAATTGCATCAGACTAGAATAGGATGTTCGAACAATGACGAATCTCTTGTCGAAGTCCTTGGCAATTCCCTTTTTGATTATTCCGTCAATTTGCGCAGCACGATGTGGAGGCCGGCGTGCTGAAGAAGGTGCTGTTATCAGATGGCGCAAAGGTGACGGTGAAGGGCGCCAAATCCGTCGGCCTCCGGCACGCCGTTGAATTGCCTCTTCCTCTCAACCGCACCCGCGGGGGGCGCGCAGTCGCTTCCGGCCTTCTAACCATGGCCGAGGCCCTTCGCCATGCCTCTCGCTCCAAGGAGAAACCCCTCCTCTCTCTCCGAATCGTCGGACCAACCTCTCTGTCGTCGTCTCCAACACCCATGTCCTCCAGTGACAGGCTCAAGCTCAAGCGTCTGGCCCCCGGGCTCGTCGAGCTCTCATCTCCCTCGGTTCCTGCCTTGTCTGAAGATCCAGACGCCACAAGTTCCCCCTTTCTGTGGCCTCTTACGTCCCTCGACGGATCCGACTCCAACCTCAGGGGCTTCGAGGAGCTGCTGGCGTCTGTTCTGGGCAAGAAGGGGATGGAAGAAGGATCCTTCAGGTTGCTGAAGGCAGAGGTGTCTGCCATGACCTATGTGAAACTGGGATTCGTCATGGAGAGGCTGGTTTCAAATATGGACGTGGACTGGTCAGGCTTCCCCGCGTGGCAAACCAGGCCGGAGAAGATCCGGTCCCAATTCGAGGTTCTTGCCCGGGTGGAAGAGAACGGGATGATCGTCCCCGAGAGAATCGCAGAGATCTCGCCCGTCCCGGCGGTGGACTTTCAGCTGGAGAGCGTTGGATCAGAGAACGTCTCGATGTCCCGGGTACCCATCTATCATCCTCCTCCTGTCTATTTCACCCTGTGATGTCTGATCTCTTCTTCCAATTTTTCATTTTTTTTTAATACTTCCCCGTTTCTTTCAACTCCCTCGCCTGAAACTTTCATCATCGGGGAACCCAATGATCGACGTCCTTCATGGATGGACGGCCGTGTAATTACTGGAGAATCACTGGGAGTCTTGTGCTAGAAACTATATACTTAACTGGTACATGAAGAGATCATCCTTTAAAACCCTTGGCGGACGGTGAACATTATCTTGATGAACTTCACTTTGAAACACCATCCAATGTTTTGAATTCTATGCTAGAACGAACATACACCGCATCCGTTTATTTTCAGCACATTATTTGTTCTATGGAGAGGGAAGAGACAGGTCAGAATCTGGTGGGTATGATTTTTTTGAAGGTGGGTGTTATTATTATTATTATTATTATTATGGGAGGAAATACTGCCTAAGAACATTTTGTGAAGATATCTAGTCTTTTCTGTGGGATATCATCGGCAAGGTTTGCGTTATCCAAATGGTGAGGAAGTGGTCAACGGGGATGAATTCTCGGCAGCATTCTCCCTCCCAGAACACCTCCGATTCCATTGACCCATCGGACTTTGGGATAAAAAAGCAAATTTTGGAAGTTATTATGGGTAAGCTCCTTGGTTTTCCCTTGAAAGATTCCGAGATCATTTCGTTTAGTCTTCCTCTTGAGCTCCTTCTGGCATTCCACTCCGCCGTTCATTACCCGTTAACCGCGTTGACCAGGAGGGTTTACTCTTGAGAAGCCCTCTGACCTGGTCACGATGCAGTTTTAAGGTTTGACGATCGTTCGGATCGGGTCATTAAGAACTGGTGATTTCCGAGACTCTTATCGAATTAATCTATTCTCGCCCGTTGACCGAGCCGGTTCTTCCGATGATCTTAGTTCGGTTTATGGGGAAGGCTCTGTGCCCGGAGGGTGTCCGGAATTGGGGCGAGGGGCGGCCACGCCCCTAGGCGGCGCTGACTTCCTCAAGAACGGGGGCAGGGGAGACAACAAGTCCGCTCTCCGAGACTCCGGTTCCCTTGACCTTGCTCCAACGCCCACAACCCGATATAATACATCCACGCCTACTATACCAAGTATGGAAGCTTCAAAGGAGCAGTCTGTTCAGCCCAATATGACCCAATCAGCCCAATCTGGCCCGGCTTATTTTCTGCACGGCCTATCTCTATCTCTCTGTCTCCCTCTGTCTCTCTCTCTCTCGCTCTCTCTCTTAGACTGGGTTGGGGCGGCGTGGTCTGCGGTGTACAGGCTTCTGAGGAGTTCCCATCGAAATCAGAATCTGACTGCGGGGGTGGGGCCTACATGGCCGGACCCTCTTCCGCCCCCGCCCCCTCCGGCGGCATCATGACAGCGACAGACCAGGAGGCGCCCCAAGCGGCGGTGGCGCCAGGGGGCGCAGAGGAGAGAGAGAGAGAGAGAGAGAGAGAGAGCGGCTGGAGGCGGTAACCTATTCCCCCGCCGAGTGGCGGCCCACCACCACCCACCGCCGTCGCTTTTCCTGTCGCGGCGGTCCACGACCGTCTGTACGCCGAGGTCAGTCACAGTCTCGGTCCTCCGGCGGGGGCCCGTTGCAGGGGTGACTGAGATATTCGTGAACGGCGGAATCGCCGCCAGCTTGACCGTCTCCGCCGGCCGGTGAACAGAGACGGGCAATCATCGCCGCGGTGACCAACGTATCGATCTCCTTCTTTCACCATCCCGAAGAAAAATGGAAAGAATGGAGCCCTAAGCTCGATCTCTACGACGTAGGGTTTCGGGGCCAGCAAAACCAGGCTCGCTCTTCTCCCTAATCCGGATAGTTTAGTGTCTGGGCAGCGGGTAGGTAGAGAGAGAGAGTGAGTGAGTGAGTGAGAGAGAGTGAGAGAGTGAGAGAACGAGAGAGAGAGAGGGAGGGACGGGTAGGGGCTTTGGGACTCGCTCAAATTTAGAGAGAGAGAGAGAGAGGAAAACAGCAGGAAAGTGGAGCTGGAGGAATCATAAAAGCCACGCCTCCCCCACCGGACGGGGAAATCTGAACAAAGTTTCACCCTTTCTTCAAGAAAGCCAGCGCTTTCTCTCTCCAAGTCTTCTTTCTATACCCATCAACACCTCCCTGCCTCCCTTGCTCTTGTTCTCCTTTCTTCTTCTTCTCCCTCTTCCTTGAGTCACCCCCCTCACTCCGCGGCGGCGATCACAGAGTGGGAGAAATATGCGAGTCCTCTCCCGAGTCCTCGCCGCCGCCGTCCTCCACCTCCTGCTCCTTCATAGCTCAGCAACGAGGGTTCCGCGAGTGCCGGAGAACCAGATTCTCCTTTCCTTGAGGTCCAACTTCTCTGACCCACTCGGTGCCCTCGTTTCCTGGAACGCCGGGGGCGACCACTGCCGCTGGGTCGGCGTCACGTGCGACTCCTCCCATGGCGGCGGCGGCGCCGTCGTCTCCCTCGACCTCGCCGGTCTCAACCTCTCGGGCGTCCTCTCCCCCGCCGTCGGTCACCTCCGTTCTCTGGTGAACCTCTCCGTCGCCGCCAACGCCCTCACCGGGCCCATCCCCTCCGACCTCTCCCACCTTCCCTTCCTCCGCCACCTCAATCTCTCCAACAATGTCTTCAATGGCACCTTCCCGGCGGCGCTCTCCCGCCTGCAAAACCTTCAGGTGCTCGACCTCTACAACAATAACCTCACCGGCGAGCTCCCCGTCGAGGTCTCCGCCATGGCCCAGCTCCGCCACCTCCATCTTGGCGGCAACTTCTTCTTCGGCAGCATCCCGCCGGAGTACGGCCGGTGGGAGTTCCTGGAGTACCTCGCCGTCTCCGGCAACGAGCTAACTGGTTCCATCCCCCCAGAGATCGGGAACTTGACTCGCCTGCAGCAGCTCTACATCGGCTACTACAACACCTTCACAGGAGTGATCCCCCGGGAGATTGGGAACCTGTCTTCTCTCCTCCGCCTGGACATGGCGAACTGCGGGATCTCCGGCGAGATTCCTGCAGAGATGGGGAAGCTGGAGAGGCTCGACACACTGTTCCTGCAGGTTAACGGCCTGACCGGCGAGCTCACCTCGGAGCTCGGGAAGCTCAGAAGCCTCAAATCCATGGATCTCTCCAACAACGGGCTCACCGGAGGAATCCCATCGTCGTTCTCGGAGCTCAAGAACCTGACGCTGCTGAACCTGTTCCGGAACAAGCTCCACGGGTCGATCCCGGACTTCATCGGGGACCTGCCGGAACTGGAGGTTCTGCAACTCTGGGAGAACAACTTCACCGGGAGCATCCCCAACCAGCTAGGGAGCAACGGGAGGCTGAAGCTCCTTGATCTGTCCTCCAACAAGCTCACCGGCAACCTCCCGCCGGATCTTTGCATGGGGAACAATCTGGAGGTGCTGATCATGTTAGGAAACTTCCTATTCGGGCCCATTCCGCCATCTCTCGGCAGGTGCGAATCCCTCAGCAGGATTCGTATGGGGGAGAACTACCTCAATGGGTCCATCCCGGAGGGCCTCTTCAGCCTCCCGAACCTAGCGCAGGTGGAGTTACAGGATAATCTCCTCGCCGGCGAGTTCCCGGAGACCGTGGGGAGGACCATCTCCCCCTTTCTCGGGCAGATCAGCCTCTCTAACAACAGGTTGACGGGAGATCTCCCGGCCTCCATTGGGAACTTCTCTGGGTTGCAGAAGCTACTTCTGAATCAGAATCTCTTCTCCGGCGGCATACCGCCTGAGATTGGGCAGCTGCAGCAGCTCTCAAAGATGGACCTCAACGGGAACAGGCTCACCGGCGGCATCCCGGCGGAGATTGGCCGGTGCAAGTTGCTGACTTTCGTCGATCTCAGCCGCAATGCCATATCTGGGGAGATACCCTCCGAGATCACCGAAATGCGCATTCTGAACTACCTCAATTTGTCGAGAAACCACCTCGTTGGGAGCATTCCAGCGGCGATCTCAACGATGCAGAGCTTGACGGCGGTGGACTTCTCGTACAACAACCTCTCCGGCGTCGTCCCCGGCACCGGTCAGTTCAGCTACTTCAACTCCACGTCGTTCGTCGGCAATCCCGAGCTCTGCGGGCCTTATCTCGGCCCCTGCGGCGCCGGCGCCGTCGGCGACTCTCCGGCGGCCCACGTCAAGGGACCTCTGTCAGCCTCCTCCAAGCTTCTGCTGGTCATTGGTCTCCTCCTCTGCTCCATAGCCTTCGCGGCGGCGACCATAGTGAAAGCCCGGTCTCTGAAGAAGGCGAGCGAGGCTCGCGCATGGAAGCTCACCGCTTTCCAGCGCCTAGATTTCACCTCCGACGACGTGCTGGATTGCTTGAAGGACGAGAAGGTAATCGGCAAGGGCGGCGCCGGCGTAGTCTACAAGGGCGACATGCCCAACGGTGAGCAGGTGGCCGTGAAGCGGCTGCCGGCGATGAGCAGGGGGGGATCCTCCCATGACCATGGATTCTCAGCGGAGATTCAGACGCTGGGGAGGATCCGCCATCGCCACATCGTGAGGTTGCTGGGTTTCTGCTCCAACCAGGAGACGAACCTCCTGGTTTACGAGTACATGCCCAACGGGAGCTTGGGGGAGCTGCTCCACGGGAAGAAGGGCGGCCACCTCCACTGGGACACGAGGTACAAGATCGCCCTGGAGGCCGCCAAGGGGCTCTGCTATCTCCACCATGACTGCTCCCCGCTGATCCTCCACCGCGACGTGAAGTCCAACAACATCCTCCTCGACTCCAACTTCGAAGCCCACGTCGCCGACTTCGGCCTCGCCAAGTTCCTCCAGGATTCCGGGACCTCCGAGTGCATGTCCGCCATCGCCGGCTCCTACGGCTACATCGCCCCAGGTATCAACCCATCTTCTTCTGCCCTAAAATCTTGGTCGAAAGATTCATTCATTCCTTCGTTTACTGTTGTTTTTTTGTTGTTTTACGTGGAGCAGAGTACGCCTACACGCTGAAGGTGGACGAGAAGAGCGACGTCTACAGCTTCGGGGTGGTGCTGTTGGAGCTCCTCACGGGGAGGAAGCCGGTGGGGGAGTTTGGGGACGGCGTTGACATTGTGCAGTGGGTGAGGATGACGACGGACTCTCAGAAAGAAGGGGTCCTCAAGGTGCTTGACCCGAGGCTCCCCACTCTTCCTCTCCACGAGGCGATGCACGTCTTCTACGTCGCCATGCTCTGCGTGGAGGAGCAAAGCGTGGAGCGCCCCACCATGAGAGAAGTCGTCCAGATGCTTTCCGAGCTTCCCAGGCCGGCGGCGCAGAAGCAGACCGACGAAAGCGACGGCGCCGGCGGGGGAGACCAGCCGCAGCAGCTGCAACACCAGCCACCGCCGACTCCCCCCGATCTCCTCAGCATCTGACGACCTGCGCCGCGGGGCTAAATCAGCTGTCTTCGGCTCGCGTTTAGATCATCGTGTACGTTTTTTTTTCCCAGTTTGTGAGTGAGCTGCTTGGGGTGGGGAGAAGTTGTATAGATAAATCAGTGCAGTTCGCGGATGCGGCTTCTATTTTTGGTTTCTGTGTTCCAAGGATGGGAATTTGTAGCGCAATTAGTCTCTGTTCATCGCCGGACGAATCCGTAAGATCCCCTGGTTCTCCCCCATGGAAGTGACAGAACGAGGAGGCGGCGGCGGCGGCGACGGCGATCACCGTCGCGGTTGCGTGTGTCGCCGACGGAGGAGCGGCTTAGCATATCTTCGACGAGACTCATCGAGTCATCCGTCTCCCTGATGGCTCCCCGCCGGCCCTGCATGAAGGTCTGGACAAGGCTGAAGTCGAAGCTGTCGACGCATCAGATCAATAAAGGGCCCGCCTTTCAGATTTGGAACACCATTATGAGGGTAAAACCTGGGTCCCCCCCCCCGGCGGCCACGCCGAGAACAGAGAAATGCACCACCCCGCCACCGCCATCCTCTCCTGCCGGAGACTCCGCCATTAACTTACTTGCCCTCCACCTCCTGGCGCTCGTCCCATCAGGGGGACCGTTGACTGGCCCTGCCGTCGCCCTCTTTCCCCATCCTCCTGCACGTCCTCACCATGAATGTGGCGAAGTCGTCATCATAGAAACCTCACTTGACTGCGCCGAACCAGAGCACGCTCGGGCCTGGGGAAGGGGAAGGAGGGAGAGGGGGGACCCATTGAATCTGCCGCACCGCCGCCATTAAACGGCGCGCCGGCGGCCGTCCGGGGAGGAAGACGAAGCTGGCGCCGCCGCATCGGGAAGGCCCTCGTCTCAAGCGGCCGCGCTGTCGACAGGCGTTAATGATGAAATTGAAGACCCATAAATGATTTTCGAGCCCCATAAATAATTATCTCCAAAGTCTCACCTTTGATAAACCCCCCCTCATAACCCACATGAAATGCCTCAAACTAGGTATCGTTCCTCGCGTCCTCCACATTAATCGGTGCTCTCCAGCCCCGTTGACCTCAGTTCCTTAATGTTGGTCGTTTGACTTTTTCTCTTAAATTTATGATACCCTGGAGACGTTATGGCGCCAGTAAAAGTCAAAATTTACATAACCACATTAATTAAATCTACGTACTATAATGCATGCATTACGTAACCTACGGACATTAGGTTTCTATTGAATGCATGAGGGGTGCAACTGCCCCCTGTCGGAAATAGTGGCGCAGGTTGTAGAGCAGCAGGTCCCGTTGACGTCCACAGCTTGGGCTTCCCACGTGCGAGGTTTCCTCCCCTGTTAACCTTTTTATTTTTTATTTTCTCCTTTGGGGGGTGGCCTGCTCGAGTGGGTCTGGCGAGTAATCAAGAGCCAGTGGGACGCCAACTCCCCTGACCGTCGTTAATGGGTGTTCGCCGATGACAGGAAGAACGCTGACCGCCGTTAATGCGGAAGAGAAAGTGGGCCCACCGTCCATCGGGCCCTTTTAAACCCGACCTGGGTGGGGCCCTCCCTCGGAGGAATTTAAGCTGAGCCGAACAAATGTGGGCCATCCCCCGTATTCGTGAGTTGACCATTGACCGTTTTCTCTGGCAATGGTCAGGACTCCCTTCGACAGTGCCCTGTCATTTCCCGATACGAGAGATGGCCCTTTCTTTAGAATATATAGTAGTAGAAGGTTTTCTTTGAAATATTGGTAGAGGTTAGTAGATTTGGTAGAGAGGGCAAGTGCCTCAAGACCGACATCATGTCCGACAAGCAGTGGGAGCTGACAGCCGACGACGGTTCCTGCTTCTCACGTCATCTAAATCGTACTCACTGAACGCTAGGATCCTGACACGGCCCCAGTTGGGCGGGGGGAGATGCACTCCAATGGCGGAACCAGTTGGGAAGTTTTCACGGCGGAGGGATGGGGAAGGCCTCGCCGCCTGCGCCGGCCAGCTGATACAGTGGGCGGCGCCCAGATGCCCCGCCGGGAGAAAGGATGGGGCCATTAGCTTAAGCTCGCCCGGAGAAGCCGACTAGGAGAGCAGGGCTTTTAGTAGTTACAGCTTTGCAGTGGAGTAATCTAATCCAGTGGAGGGAGGAAAGGGACGGGGGGGGGGGTTCGATAAAGGGTCCTTGCTTCTGCAGAGACATGGAGATGGGTGGCTGGGGATGGACTGTGGGAACAGACCAAAGCTCCGCCAGCTTGCAGTCGCCGATGTCCACGTGCGGACCATTGCTTTCTTTTAAGTGTGGAGGGAGGAAGGAGGGGGAGGGGGCTATGCACGGGGGACCGACCGGTGGCGAGGATAGCGGGCTGCCGGCGCGGGGGCGGGGCTGGGCGTGGCCTCGCCGTTGCACATTCCCTCGGAGGAGAGAGGGCGTCAAATCGAGATCTTATTTTCAGCTCCGCGTGGAGATTTCGGGGGCATTTCGCACGAAGGATAATCCCCATGCCCGAGAGAACAGAAGCTTTTCCTTAGTCCTAGAAAGCTAGGAATCCTCGCCGACCAATCGCTCGAGAGGTGGTGCAACAGAAGAGGTCTTCCCCCCTCCTCCCCCGACCACACTCACCCTTCCCGTTAAAAGCCTGCCGCTTTATCGTAAGCGCTGTATCTGAGAGCGAGAAAGAGGAGGGGAAGAGTCTCAGTGGGTGAAATGGAAGAAAGTAGAAAGATTGAGCTATGGCCCAGTGAGTGTGACGGAAGAATCGGGGGCGGCGGCTTTATCTGGCCCATACGCCCCCCCCCAGTCGACGCCATCGGGCCCCTTTGCACCGTTCAATGGGCCATCCCACTGACGAAGAAACCAGATCATTACCGACTTGACGGAGAGACAAATAGAAAGATACAGGAGGAGGGGTCCCTCTTCGTTCAGTATTTCACGACGGAGAAGGAGACAAAGGCAACATTCAAGCCTGATCTCGCACCGTTCCCGCGTTTACTAAGTCATCAATGTTGTTTCTACGCTTAGCCCCGCCAGGCCGGGGCCCTTCCGTTCTATGTAATATTGCTGTCTCCATTATTTGCCGGCCCCCGTCGCATGCTTACGAAAGGGCAAGCAGCAGTGAGGATCTCTACAGCTCGTGATAGAGACGGAGCTGGAGGGAGAATTAAAGTCGGATGTTCTTCCTGTCGTCGGCTTGTTACAGCCCATTCCGGTTGCCCCCCACCCCCCCATCCCCCGGTGGGCGACGGCGAACTTGTCCTGTTAGCGAGTGGTGGGAACGCCGCCGCCCGTATTTTGTCTCAGCGGCGTCCGCTCCCCGGCGAGGAAAGCCCACCACCGGTGAAACTCAGGCCCACAAATGAACCGCTCGCCGGAGATGGGAGAGGATGCCGCAGCGCCGCAGGCGACGTTAACCAATTAAGAACCAGGGCCCCCGAACAGATGCTGCCTGTCGAGCCGACGATTAAACTACGTGTTTTCCAGCAATGTAGAAAGAGTTCTCTCTGCCGTCGTGGAGAGTTGAAGAGGGAAACAAAGGCTCTTCCCCTCCCCTCGCGGTTCCCACTGAATAGGTGTTGGGCCTTCTCGGAGTGAGCGGACAGTGAGGCCCAAACTAAATCCGGTGCATCCATTGATGTGCTAGGGAGTTCGTTGGGTGCCCATCTGACGATCCAAAAAAGTAAAGTGTTGGCCCTCCTCGGCTCTTTATCATTGTTCCCCCCCAACCCATCTACGAGCGAGGTGGGGAGGTTGCTTTACTTATACTGAACAACTACTTCTTAGCAGCTGGAGATTCGCTTAAGCCTAACTGGGAACCCAACCCATTTGTCGGTGCGCGATATAGATACGTTCTAGACGAAGATAAAACCTAGGTCGAACCAGAATGTGACAATAAAAATGGTCTCTTTAGGCCGCAGCATCAGAATGTGACAATAAAAATGGTCTCTTTTGGCCACAGCATCAGAATTTGACAATAAAAATGCCTTCTTTAGGTCAAAGAACCACAACATGACAACAAAAATGGTCACTATAATTTTTTACGTAGTTGATCCGGTTAAATTTCTTATTTAAATAATATTTATGCTATTATTATTAGTGTTACGTTATTTATGCTAAAACACATGTTTTTGAGTATAATCCAAGCGATTATGACATCAGGCAGACGGGGAAATGAAAATTATAGCACGTGTTAAATGCGAGCAGGCTTAGATATTATCGCAGAGTACAGGTCATGCTCATGTCATCTCTCTCTCTCTCTCTCTTCTACTCCCAGTGGCTCTCTGTCATCTCCGATGCACGGATTCCGTCCGAAGCATTTATGTACAAGTCACTCGACATCGCCACGAAGAGAACTCACGGAAAATTGTTCACACGGACAACGCCTAAGCCGCCAGCTTCCCCCTCTCCCTCCCCATGACTCTCCGGTTACTTCTGTTTCTCCTACTCCACCTGTGGAGTCTTCCTGCTCGTCTCTGCACCTCCCACCTCGCCGCCACCGCCAACCAGTCCCACTTCTTCGATCTCATGAGGCAGTTCCTCTCCGGCCCTGCCATCCACGCCTGGCGTTCCGCCGCCGACGCCGCTCCTTACTGCAACTTCACCGGCATCTCCTGCGACGGGCGAGGGTTCGTTGAGGCCATCGACATATCCTCATGGTCACTCAGTGGGCGATTCCCTTCAGACGTCTGCTCCTACCTTCCTGCCCTCCGGGTCCTCCGTATCGGCGCCAACAATCTCCGAGGAGGATTCCCCGCCGGCGTCCTCAACTGCTCCTTCCTGGAAGAACTCGACGTCAGTTCTTCGGGTCTCAGCGGCGAGTTCCCGGACTTCTCCTCCATGACCTCTTTACGCGTCCTCGACACCTCCGGCAACGTCTTCATCGGCTCATTCCCCACCTCGATCTTCAATCTCACCCAATTGGAGTCCGTCAACTTCAACGAGAACCACGGTTATGAGCCGTGGAGACTGCCGGAGGAGCTCACCAGGTTGTCAAGGCTGAAGGTTTTGATCCTATCGTCCTCCTCGCTGCGGGGAGAGATCCCTCGGTGGATCGGGAACATGACGTCTCTGGTTGACCTCGAGCTCTGCGGGAACTATCTCAAGGGTCAGATTCCGGCGACTATTGGTAAGCTCGCCAAACTGCGGCACCTGGAACTATACTACAATCTGCTCGGAGGGGCAATCCCATCGGAGATCGGAAACCTGTCGCAGTTGACCGACTTGGACATCTCGGTCAACCAGCTCTCCGGGAGCATTCCAGGGGAGGTCCTGGCGCTGCCTCACCTCCGTGTGGTGCAGTTCTACAGCAACTGCCTCAGAGGGGAGCTGCCCTCCGTCGTGGGAAACTCCACCTCATTGACTATCATCTCTTTGTACCAGAACTTCCTCACGGGTCAACTGCCGGCCACGCTGGGTTCTTCATCCGAGCTGATGGTTCTGGAGGTCTCTGAGAATCGGCTCTCCGGCGGGCTCCCGCCGGATATCTGCGCGGGGGGGCGTCTTCAGTACTTCCTCGTTCTTGACAACCAGTTCTCCGGTGAGTTGCCACAGAGCTACGGGAGATGTGAGTCTCTGCTCCGGTTCCGCGTGAGCTACAACATGTTGGGCGGCGCCATACCGGAGGGGCTTCTGGGTCTTCCTCATATCTCCATCCTCGACTTGAGCTTCAACCACTTCGAAGGAAGGATCTGGAGAACAATCGGGAACGGCAAGAATCTGTCTGCCCTATTTGTTCAGAACAACCGGATCTCTGGGTCCCTGCCGCCTGAAATATCTCGGGCTACTACCTTGACGAAGATCGATCTGAGCAACAATCTTTTGTCAGGAGCCATTCCAGAAGAGCTCGGAAACCTGATCGAGCTGAACCAGTTGTCCCTGCAGGGAAACAAACTGGTTTCTTCCATTCCTAGGTCCCTCTCCGCATTGAAGAATCTCAACGTGCTGAACCTCTCCAACAATCACTTAACTGGGGAGATCCCCGAGAGTCTCTGTTCTCTGCTACCCAGTTCAATCGACTTCTCCAATAACCAGTTCTCTGGTCCCGTTCCCTTGCCTCTGCTAAGGGAAGGCCTCACCGAGAGCTTCGCCGGCAATCCCGGTCTGTGCCTTCCCACCCACCCCGATTACTTTAGTTTAGATATGGCTCCTTGCCCGCCCCCCAGTATCCGGAAGCGCCTGAACAACATCTGGTTCATCGGTGCCTCTGCTGTGCTCTGCACAATTGCGACCCTTGTCCTCGTCAAACGCTCGATTTACAAGAAGGGAGCGATGGCGAAGCACGACGAAGCCTCCTCTTCTTCATCCTTATCCTACGACGTCACGAGCTTCCACAAGGTCAGCTTCCGTCAGCGGGAGATCGTCGATTCCCTGGTGGAGAAGAATATCGTGGGACAAGGAGGCTCAGGGACTGTATATAAGATTCAACTGAGCAACGGCGACTGGGTGGCCGTGAAGAAGCTATGGACAAGGAAGGCAACGAAGGACTCACCCTCCGGCAGACTGCCCCTCCAAAGGGAGATCAAAACGGAAGTGGAGATGCTGGGTAGCATTAGGCACAAGAACATCGTCAAGCTATACTGCTGCTTCTCGAGCTCCGACTCCAACCTCCTGGTTTACGAGTACATGTCCAACGGCAACCTGTGGGACGCCCTCCACAACGGGTGGAACTTCCTCGACTGGCGGGCGAGGCACCGAATTGCTCTGGGGATTGCTCAGGGCTTGGCCTATCTGCACCATGATCTCTTGCTCCCCATCGTTCATCGCGACGTCAAGACCTCCAACATACTGCTAGATGCGGATTTCGAGCCGAAGGTTGCGGATTTCGGCATTGCCAAGGTCTTGCAGGCCGGCGGGGAGAAGGATTCCACGGCTACCAGCGTCGCGGGAACGTATGGGTACATGGCCCCGGGTAATTATGCCCCATTTTTTAAACTATATCTAGAAAGTTTCTTTTAAGTCGTCGTCATTTCCTGCAGTATCCCTCGTCGCGTTGGGATTATAATCTGCAGTGCTTCTGTTTCATGGTTGTGGCGCCACAGAGTACGCGTACTACTCCAAAGTGACGACCAAGGGAGACGTCTACAGCTTCGGGGTGGTGCTCATGGAGCTGGTTACAGGAAGGAAGCCGACGGGTGAGGAATTCGGCGAGAACAGGGACCTCGTCCAGTGGGTCTCGAGCAAGGCGGCGACCAGAGAAGGGGCGGCGCAGGTCTTGGACAAGAGCCTATCCGCGTGTCCTCTAAGGGCGGAGATGATCGGGTCTCTGGGGATCGCCCTCCGGTGCACCCGCACCGCGCCGGCTCTGCGGCCCTCCATGAACGAGGTCGTCCAGCTTCTAGCCGAAGCTAGCGCCTGCAGACGCGCTGAAGAGCCCAAGAGGCCGCCGCCGGCGAGGAAATCCGGCGTAGGAATCATTTGATGAGATCAGTTAACGAAAGCATCCGTAAAGATTACCTAGCTCGCACTTTCTTCTCTTGCACCTTCCAAGTGTACGCGGAATCCTCTGCATAGGGCTTCCGATTCTAATTCCGCCCCCTTTCATCACGGAGAACCTGTCAAGATCAGCTTCTTGTTCACGCACGGCATCCGCCACGGGGGGAACTAATTCGGGTTCCTCTCCTCTTTTCGTTGGTAGGAGTGATCCCCCTCTCCCAACGATGAAAAAGAAAAGCACTGGCGAGAGAGAGAGAGAGAGAGAGAGTGAGAGTGAGAGAGAGAGAGCGGAGGGGGACCAAGAATGTGCACCGCCTCTTCATGTTTCCCACTCGATGTATACTCTGAGCGTCGTGGAGAGAAAACTAAAAATGAAGAGCCCGATCGGAATCGGCCGGCGTGGCCACTTCGTTGCATCGGTGGGCATCTGTCTCCTTTCCTCGGTGGGGAATTTCGAGTTTAGGCTGATCCGTCGAGACGTTGCAGCGTAGGCTGCGCCCTCAGGAGGAGCTCCGCTGCCGTCTGTCCGTCCGGTTCAGACGCCGCGGTGCCCAAGTGACTGTTTCGACGATTATCCATGGCTTGCGCTCTCCCCCTCCATCGCGATCTCGACTACTTTATCGGTCCTATCTTTGTTGGAAATCATATGATGTGATATGTTATATAGAGTGGTCGATCTTATGTGGAAGGAAATAGTGGGGGTTGCATGATTCTTCGAAAACTGTTATAAGCTAGACACAGTCAATATCAACCAGGAGAGGGACAGAAACCGGAATCCCCTCCAAAATGATGGGCCAGGAGTGAGCGATAGAGAGAGAGAGAGAGAGAGAGAGAGAGAGAGAGAGAGAGAGAGAGAGAGAGAGAGAGAGAGAGAGGTTGAAACGCGTTGGGCGGTGGCTCCCTCTTTCTCAGAGTGCGCTTGCGGGTAATGGGCTTCTCTCTGAAACACGCCATGTGCTGCGATAACGCTGGATAAGCGGTGTTCGTTCGTGAAGTACTACTGTCCACCAGAGTTTCAAAGGGATACAGGCAATGTTCGAGCTTGATAAGCTGGGGAACATGAGCTCTCTCACTAGAGATCTCTCTCTATATCTCTCCTTCTTTTATACGTGTAAATCACGGAGGAGCCCGGCGACACAGTGCATCTTAAGGGTCGACACGGAGTTCCATTGCCCCTATTTTTCCCCGGCTGGAATCGTCGGATCATTAGGAGTACCCTCGTAAAAATCCCGCACCTTTTCTGTTTGTGTTGGTATCCGTGGGAAGAAGGCGAAGAACGGAGGTGCAGTCGAATCCGTTGGATCGGTCCTCATTGGACTGGGCCAACTGGCCGGAAGGAGATACGAAGCCCTAAAAATGGGGAATTTCCCCCCCCAGCGCATGCTTGGAGAGGCTCGCCGGCGACAGCCATGATCGCTCGGAGAGAAAGTAGGAGTCAGCTCAAGATGACGATCGCCGACGATGGTGATGTCCCTTCACCTTTCCTCGAGGACATCACCGTCGCGTCGGATGACTGAGGCTTTTATGAACCGGCGACAGCGCAGGGCCCTCCTGGGGGAGCGCAGATCGTTCCCCTGCCGGCGGCGCCGCCCGCGCTGGGCACCTCCTCCTCCCTCAACAGTGCCCGCGATTGAAGCCGGCGCCTAATGCGGGCGGCACAGCGAGCCAGGGGACGTACCCGCTGCATGGGAACTGTGACGGCAGGAAGGAAGCGGGCCAGACGCACTCTGTCAATTTCCTCTTCCACTTTGGGGCCTCCCGCGGCCGTCGCCGGCGGAGCCGGCGACTCTCCCTCTTCGCATCGCCATTACTGCAGCCGCAAGTACGGGGAGTGGAGTAAAGAGGGTTGACTTTCTATGCACGGCTGCCGGTTCGCATCTCTCCCTCTTCGTCTCCTGTTCTTTTCTCCCATCGTCACCATGGTCCGTCCTTTGTGCTCCTCTCTCTCCCAGACCCTCCACTGTCAAGAGGACGTCGATATTAGGGATCGGACCAAAGTCAAAGCTTCATGCTGGCGCGCAATCAATCTTGGAGGGTTGGACGAGGTGGGCCAATTCGAAAGCTCCACGTGACTCGGACCCCAACAAAAAGTCCCTCTTTTATCCATGACGCAACTGTTTAAGACGAGGGACGAGGGACTGTGAGTGTACTGCTATGGATTTCTATTTTGGAAGGGACGGGGGAAGGAGGGAACGTCTCAGTAGCAGAGAACAGCAGCCATGATCAGAGGACGGCCGGAGATAGCAGATGCCCTCCTTCGCTAGCCGTCTCCTCCCTCCACCTCCTCCTCCGAACTTGAAGCGGTCCGGTGAGACGGGCCGTCCTCGTATCCGGGAAGAAACTTCGGCAATGACCGTGTTGCAGGGAGGTTGAGGGCTAGAAGAAGGCTGAGAAATCGGCGGCGTAGGAGAAGGAAAGAGGTCTGCGTTGTTTTTTTGATCCAATGGTCGCCGCCCCCCCCGCCGCCGCCGCCGTTCTTCACTATTCTTCGCCTCTCGAGTTCAGAGACGACAAAACTACCCCTCCTTCCATGGGAACATCCACGCCAATTCGGAGGATGGTTTCGTCAATGTAGCTCCTGCGCGTCGTACGGCTTTCGATGGCAAACAGGGTGGAGCCAGGCAGAAGTTTAGTGGTAACGGTGGCGCCGGCGGCCGTGGTGGCAGCAGTCGTCCTTGATCTACGAAGGAAAGATACGGGGACTTTCTGTCTCGATGGCAGAGGGAATGTCCGTCGGCTGGAGCATTCCGGGAAGACCGGGAGGAGCTGCGACGACGTATGGATGTGCCCTTTCGCTAAACGTATAGACATTTAATACACGCATAGGCGGGGTATACGGAGATAGTCCAAAGCATCGACCTCCTGGTCATGCTGTCCTTTTCGATTTTAATGGAGTTCTTCAATTTCTGTTCCTGGATTTGGGAACCATCGACTGGCCATTTTCTCATCCTGTTTCGCGGGGTTCCCCTTATTTTTCAGTTCTATACATGCTTTCTTTTTCATCTGATCTGTCTGGATCATTTCTCTGTAGTACCAACAGATATCCGTGTGCCGACTTAAATTATGCATGTTCCGGTCACCCCATGATCTTGAAGAAATGGGTTTTTGTTGTTGATCTTGAATTGATGGATACTTCATTCGCTGTCACGGCGAGGTTTTGGAGTTCATCGATTCCTATCTGGCTCACGCAACCTTGCTCGATCTTCTCATTCCTACAAGTACTAACGCATTCATCCCGAGCGGCAGATTGCAGGGATGACGCTGTTTCTGCGAAGATCCATCGTATTTGTCTATTTATTTCCTTGAATTGAGGATAAATCTCTGTGCTACCTCGTTGTTTCTGGGTCGAACTCTGGTGGTTTGGCCCGCCAAACTTGCCGACTTCATGTCTGCTTTACCTGTAGAATTCAATGGCAGCTGAGTGGTCATGTCCGATTGATCTTCGCCCTCTTCTTTTCCATTTCAGTTCAATTTTATAGATCATGAAAGAGATTTCTACTGTTTGTGGGCTGAATTTGCTCCAGTGAAGACCAAAAAGTGTGTGCAGATTGGTGGAGACACGAACAGATTGAAAGGTGGGTAATGCAGGTGCCTGTGGATCTAAGAACTCGGATCAGAAAGACAGAACAATCGAGTTCAATTCTGTCTTCACTGATTAACGAGATAAACCCTCGCCAAACCCGTAGCTCCAGCAAAAAGTGATCTTTTAAGCTTCTCGCATGAAGTCTGTGCTTCTCTGTGACTTGAGCTTCACGTTGACCAAGATGGATGCTGCTCTGGGCTGAACCTCTTCAGAAAACGAAACAGATGATGAATCTTTCCATGGGTGCTTGCAAGAAGCTTAAGAGCACCAGAGGAACGAAGCTGCGTCGTTCTAGCCTGGTTTTCTTCGTGGCCATAAGCTGTAGTCTATATAATCTCCTGTGTATATCAGGTGGTCGAGGATCTGAAATGATGCTCTCCGAGAGGATGTAACCTCACAACCGGGCGTCTTTTGGGTGGTGGAGCCTTCCAGCCAAGCTGCTCAGCTGAATTGGTTATGTTCTTAATTTCTGTTCCTGTTCCTGTTTCTATTTTTGTTATTTTGATCGTGTTGGATTCGAGGATATATCAATTCATGTGGGTTTAAAAGGTATATTTATAATCCTTGTTTATTTATGGATCAAGGAAAATCGTGCATTTTGGATTCAGTTCTCTTGATTTCTGTTCTTCCAGCGCTTCGTATTTCATAGATGTGAAGAAACATTTAGCCATGCGTTGACTTTGGGTTTCTATTTCTGGAAATCATTTTCACCCGGTGTGGAGTCGTCTTCAGCGAATTCTCATGATGGTAAGCTACCGGATTTACCCTCTGGGTAACTTCTCCGGCGGGTCAGCGTTGACTCCAAGCTGACTATGTTTCCTGATAGAACAAGAGTGCGAGTCCACAGAATTAGGAAAAAAAAGAGGCAGATTTTGGGGGCTGAATGTTTCCTTACTTTAAGCCAATATCCTGTGCAAGAATGTACGGTCTCCGACAAGATCGTTGACTTCGAGTGGGCCCACCCTCCGGTTGAGCCCACGTGGAGCCCATTTTGCCGGCGGCGAGTCCTCATCTCGGCCAGCCACGATGGGGACGTCTGAGCTGTTTCTTTTGTCCGGAGGAGGCGACGGTTGGAAAGTTACCATCCGAGTGAGGGCATTTATGATATTTCACTGTACTGAAACGGTTCGGGTCGACTTATGGCCCAGGATCGTTGCGAGTCGGCCGAGCCGTCCCCAACTCGGGCGGAGGGGTAGCGGGTCATAAGGGTATTTTGGGACTTCTATAAGACAGCTGGCGCTAGTTTGAAAATTGAAAAGAAGGCCAAAATTGGGCGGTAAGAGATCATGCGCCGCGCGTGACTGGCACCAGCGAGTGGCCTTTCTGTTCTCTCCTCCCTGTCTTAACCATGGTTAACTAACTAACCACGATTAGAAAAATATTTTGCCGAAAAGAAATTCGCTGTATTTCTTTGCCTATAAATATATGGGGGCGTTGCGCTAGGGCGAACCATCGGTGGTTTGGCGTCTTCATACACGCCTTTCCCCAGATCCGCCGGCCCTTCGCCAGATCTACTCCCTCAGCATTCTCCTCGCTGTTAGATTTTCCGTTTCGAAGGACTGAAAATGAGGGAGTGCATCTCGATCCACATCGGTCAGGCCGGAATCCAGGTCGGCAATGCGTGCTGGGAGCTTTATTGTCTTGAGCACGGCATCCAGGTATACTCCCTTTCTGACTTCATGTTTGATCTGTTTTGTGTTCGGATCTTTGGCAATGCTCGTTGCCTGATCGTTTCTGCTGTGTTTTTTCTTGTTCTTCCTGTACTCCGCTAGGCCTTCATTCTCCTTGAAGGTTATTTTTCATCCCCTGTAACAGATCTGCTTTCAATAGACACTTTTTCGGGTGATTTTGTCTCCATTCTCTTACTTCTACGGGGTTGTGTTTTTCAAAACAGGGAACATTTATCTGCTCGCTAGGCTCCTGCTTCTCTCCATTTTACGAGATCTATATTTTTCACTGTCGAACGTACATCGGTACTGATTTATTCTTTATCGTGTTCTAATGGGGGTTTTCTTTCCTCAGTTATGATGTGTAGATCCGGTTTGGTAATGGTTTTCTGATAGCAATATTTATTGGAAATACTCAAAATGTTATTAAACACGTCTTGGAGGTCCCAGCTCTGTCAGACGACTCACATTTTTAGTGTGTCTCGTTCCCCGACTGATAGTTCTCTCGGTCGTTGCCGTTTTGATCTGACGTTGTGTTCCTTGCAAGTAGTTTCCAAAAATCTTTTGTTTGGGATATTCTTCATTATGATCTCATTGCTAATTCACCTTTGTTTTGGCGATTTTCTGTGTGATCCGACGGGTCTACTACTTCAATAAATCAAAGCTTCAACGGCAGCTAAATTTGCATTTTGACGTATTTTTTAATTTGATACATCGTGTGGATATGCATTCGGTTTTTGGGAAGTGTTTAAGATTGACGAACTTCCAAAATTTCTGTGAAGCTCTGTACATGTATAAGTTATTTCTGGACGATGGTGCTGTTTAGACCCCTTGTACATCGTGGAGATAACTTGTTAGTTGAGTTATTGTATTTTCTGTTGTATGGTTGTTTCAGTGAATTGTTGTTTATGCAGCCTGATGGCCAAATGCCCAGTGACAAGACCGTAGGTGGAGGGGATGATGCCTTTAACACCTTTTTTAGTGAAACTGGTGCGGGGAAGCATGTCCCTCGTGCTGTTTTTGTTGATCTCGAGCCGACAGTCATTGATGAAGTGAGAACTGGTACCTATCGCCACCTGTTCCACCCTGAACAGCTTATCAGTGGGAAGGAGGATGCTGCCAATAATTTTGCTCGTGGGCACTATACCAGTAAGTTTTTCTAATCCTAGTTATAATACTGTCCCGTCTTCAATCAATATAGTTTTTTGTTCAAATGTTTTCATATTTATTTGCAGTTGGCAAAGAGATTGTTGATCTCTGCTTGGATCGCATTCGCAAGCTCGCTGATAACTGCACTGGTCTCCAAGGTTTTCTCGTTTTTAATGCTGTTGGTGGAGGTACTGGTTCGGGGCTAGGTTCTCTTTTACTGGAGCGCCTGTCCGTTGACTATGGAAAGAAGTCAAAGCTTGGTTTCACTGTTTACCCCTCACCCCAGGTCTCCACCTCTGTTGTGGAGCCCTACAACAGTGTTCTGTCCACCCATTCGCTGCTGGAGCACACTGATGTAGCCGTTTTGCTTGACAATGAAGCCATCTATGACATCTGCAGGCGCTCTCTTGACATCGAGCGTCCCACCTACACCAATCTCAACCGCTTGGTCTCTCAGGTTTGTTTATAAGCCTAAGCCCATGATAATCATTCCTAATGTTTCCCTTGTCCATACGCTGATATTGAGTTCATTTCCTCTGTAACTCAGGTGATTTCGTCTCTCACTGCCTCGCTGAGGTTCGACGGCGCCCTTAATGTTGATGTCACGGAGTTCCAGACCAATCTGGTTCCCTACCCAAGGATCCATTTCATGCTCTCGTCCTATGCCCCAGTCATTTCCTCTGAGAAGGCATTCCACGAGCAGCTCTCCGTGGCCGAAATCACTAACAGCGCATTTGAACCCTCCTCCATGATGGCCAAATGCGACCCACGGCACGGAAAGTACATGGCCTGCTGCCTCATGTACCGCGGTGATGTCGTCCCCAAGGACGTGAACGCCGCCGTGGCAACTATCAAGACCAAGCGGACCATACAGTTCGTCGACTGGTGCCCCACCGGCTTCAAGTGCGGCATCAACTATCAGCCGCCTACCGTGGTGCCTGGCGGCGACCTCGCCAAGGTCCAGAGGGCCGTCTGCATGATCTCCAACTCCACCAGCGTCGCAGAGGTGTTCTCCCGCATCGACCACAAGTTCGACCTCATGTACGCCAAGCGCGCCTTCGTCCACTGGTACGTGGGCGAGGGCATGGAGGAGGGAGAATTCTCCGAAGCCCGTGAGGATCTCGCAGCCCTCGAAAAGGACTACGAGGAGGTCGGAGCCGAATCCGCCGAGGGTGAAGACGGCGACGATGGAGACGAGTACTGAAGATGAGCTCTTCATCCCTACCACTAGCTGTTGTTGCTTTCGTATCCCCTTTCCTTTCCTGTTTTGCTATCTTTGAACCTATGTGATGTGTACTGTGCCTATGCCGTCCTCGTTTGTCCCGAGAAAAAACTCTCCTTCAGTGTCCTGCATTCCACCTGCTTCCTTGTTGGAAATTCTCTTGTCACTAAGTGTGGTCAATTAATGATTAGTGGACCAGCGGCCAGCTGTTGATTCTTGACTTGTAATCAACGAAACCATCGCCGGCCTCACGAAGGAATCGGATTACTGTACCAAAAAGGTATGTAAAGCTGTGGTGCTCCGAAGCCTGCTGACGCCCCACTATACAAAGGCCCGTTAAATCGAAGAATGGCTGCGGGGTTCTTTGCTTGGGCCTAAAGCAAGACAGGAACGGGGGCGTTGACGAGCGCTGCCGTGGGATCCCCAGGTTACTTGCACTCAATTTTCATCTCCCTCGCGAGCCGCAGTCCGTGTTTGACTCGTCTTCTTCCCCCCCCCCCCCCCGCCTTACGGCTCCTCCCTGATGTCGGCGGCGAGACCACCCCACCGCTTCTAATTTCGGTGCCGGAAGACTTGGTGGCGGAGGAGGATGATTCTGCGAGTTATTTAAGCTCCGGGATATGCCTGTTCTGCTCGGTGAGAATGGAGAGGATGACCCTCCGCCGGTCCGGCGACGTGGCTGCTGCCGCCGCCGCCGCCGCCGCCGTGGGGGTCGTCGGGGAGGAGGAAGATGTGGTCTGGGGATTGAGGAATTTCAAGAGCAGCGCGCCGCCGGCGAGGGTTCTGTTCTTTGCCGGCGGCTACTGGGAAGATTTCCCCGCGGAGCTGCTCAAGGCGCTAAGGGAAGCATTCGTGGCGGAGAAGGCCATCGTGGAAGTCCCCGCCGGGGAGTCCCTGTTCCTGTTTGACTTCGCTAGGATGCTGCAGATCGACCCGTCGACGTGCGCTCGGAATCCCATCGCCTGGATCGACGTCAACGGCCGCTGCTTCTTCCCCAGAGTATTCGTCGGAAGAGGGGTCAACGAGAACGGGGGCGGCGCTGCGCCGTCGGAGAGATCGAACGACAGCGAGGCGATGTCGGCCGCTGGAGACTCTCGCCGGCAGCGGTGGGAGAGTCTGCAAGTTCTCAGCGAAGGTGACAGGTGCTACAAGATCGTACGGAGTCTCTTTCTCACTGGGATGAGGAGGTTCTCTCCGCACACGAGGATCACTCGCATCCGCAGGGGCTTGCGGTTGAAAGCTTTCATGGCGCAGGCGGAGAGGACCAAGCTCGCTGGCGGCGCCGCCAACATCAAGTTCGGATGGTATGGCGCCGACGCTTCCGCCGTCGCCGCCGTCGCTGCCGACGGCTTCGGGTCCCCGATCCCTGGAGCGTTCTTGTCCCATGCGAGTTATCCGTACCCAAGGTAAGAACCAGGGTGGGTGACGGAGGGAGGGTCTTCCTTGCATTTTTCTGGTTTTGTTTGGTGACGAATGGTTGGGTTTCCTCTGGTGCAGTTCGCTGCTGTCGGAGGTTGATGAAGACGGCGAGAGGCATATCGTTCTCTGCAAGGTCATAATGCGGAGCCCAGAGAAGGTTGACTTTAGTTCCCCTCAGTCGCATCCCGGGAGCGCCGCCGCGTTCGTCTGCGGCGTGGATGATCTCGAGAAACCCAGATGGGATCTTGTTTGGGGCGCCCAAATGAACACGAACATTCTTCCCCAGTACATTGTGAGCTTCAAGACATCAGGTTCAGGCATTCTTCCTCTTCTTCTTCTCCTTGCTCCTTCTCGTTCTTCGTCTCATCTACTTTTCGTCTTCTATTTGACCAGATCCTCAGAGACCCATGACGAAGGGCGCCAAGGGAGAAGCGGTCAACAGGGGGCTATCGTTTCCTAAACTGTTTGCCGAAATGGGAAGCTCCCTCCCTTCTTCCAGAGTGCAGGCACTACAGGTTCTGTACAATCGCTTCAAGGTTCGTTCTTTCGTCCCTGAAGCTATCATACGCAAGGTTGAAACCTTGGGAGATTTATTCATAATCCGTTTTATTTCTGTGCGACTAATCCGTTGACGAAAACCCATCTCCTGTTCTGCAGGCCGGGAGAGTCTCCAAAGACATCTTCACTGCAGGTCTGAGAAGAATCGTCGGCGATAGGTTGCTGAGGACGGCGATTAAGCGATGTAATGGCCGCTAATAATGATGCCTCAATTAAAGGTGGGCCGGTTGTTCTTCTTGTTCTGTGATTAGTGAGTAGTGTGATTAGTTCTTAATTATCTGAGACAAGACGGAGGATTAGACAGGATCACGTGATCGGGCGATCCTGTGGAAAAAGGTGGCTCTTGGAGCCGTTGCTAATTGGGCCCGATTCAGAAGCGTAGAGCCCACTTTCTCTCACTACTCTCTCTCTCTCTCTCTAAACATGCGCATTTTAGTGGCCCGGTTGGATTGAGGTCCGGGAATATTACGCACTCGAGGGACGTCAGAAGATGGGCCGGACGCCTAATAGGTGGTCCTGACGTTGCGACGCTTCGGATCGCGGCAGGAGATAGATAAATTTATAGATTGATTGATAGAGAGAGAGAGAGAGAGAGAGAGAGAGAGAGAGAGAGAGAGAGAGAGAGAGAGAGAGAGATATTCCAAGATGGAGGTAGATTTTTTCCTAGTGGACAAGATGAAGGTGGCCGGACTGAGATGTTGAAGCGGCGAAACACGTGTATCACATGATATTGTGATAAGGATCGCGGCGAAGGGTAATGGCCAGGGAGTCTCGCCGACAAAAAGCTTAAAATATTTAGGAGTGACACCGATGGATATATACATACATATATATATATATATATATATAGAGAGAGAGAGAGAGAGAGAGAGAGAGAGAGAGAGAGAGAGAGAGAGAGAGAGAGAGAGAGAGAGAGAGAGAGAGAGAGCAGCGTTGTCTGGGAATGCCCACTTGCCGAGTTCAACTGGCGTCCAACGAACGCGAGCGTTTGATAAGCAAACATCTCTCCGTTGGCCCGATCTCCGCCGCGAGGCGATGGAAGGGGACAGGTGGCTGCTGCTCAGTCGAAAGGAGAGGGGGCATGACGGCGCATCTCCCTGTCAGTGGCTCCCCAAGTCTAAAGCTCGCTAGCCCAGTGGACGGACATCCCCATCGGCCGCTCCCTCATCCGTCGGCGAGGTGCCCGCTCGTTCCCTTTTCTTCTGGATGATCTCATCCGGAGGAGATTCTCCCAGATAAGCTCTCTAGCAGTCGTATATTAATTTCCGTCGGTGGTGGAAGACGATGCCCCCCTAGATATTCCCCGAGCTCAGGACTCCACATGGTTGAGTCGATGTCGATCACCTATGGCCCCCGAAGGAGAAAGAGAGAGAGAGAGAAAGAGATCGATTCGAAAGTCAACGCTGAGCGCCGTTATCCCAGTCTGCATCCGGCCGGCGCTCCGATAACGGCGGATGGCTCTCTGGCATTCTTTGGTCTTGGACTCTTCCCCGTTGTCTTAAGAAACGGCTGGTGCAAGAACATCAGTTGTCGCCCTGCGAGGGAGGGTCTACTTCCCATGGCGGGGAAGGAGGGCGGGCAAGGGATCCAGAGTGAGATAGGACGAGGCGGGTCCCGATGGGCCACCCATATGGAGAGCCGTTCAGCTCGGATAAGACGAGTCCGCACGAGGGATAGTGATAATGGCGTCGCCTCCCCTCGTTCGATCTCCGTCCATGGAGTGGGATCTTCGTCCTCACCTGTTCTAGGCCGGAATAGGTCGGCTGTTCCCCTTCGGTCGCCGGAGAACTTTGCGGACGGCGAGTTTGACAACTTCTTGTTTTGTTTGTCCGCAAAAATCTACAATTTATGCGGCCAAACAATCCGCACGGGAGAGAGAGAGAGAGAGAGAGAGAGAGCTGTCTGAAAATGGCATGACGGAGCCTGCTCGGTCGTCCCTTCATTCTGCGGGAATCCGAATATTCCAGCGCGTCTCTAAGTATCATTCCCGCGGGGAGGACGAGCCGTCGAGCATGGTGACGAGTTCTCCTCCGAGACGGCAATAAATATCAGTGTTGTACGGTATTGATCCGGATCTCCTTGGTCCTAGCTGACCACTTCCTGCTGGCCGGGGACCCTCAGAGAGAGAGAGAGAGGAGGTAATTGCCCTCGATAGAGAAGGGCAAAGACAGTGGGACCCTGGACTTGGGGGTTTGTCGTTCTATCTAAAATACAGTGGCTTTAGAGGTGATGGCACTCTCGGAATTAAGAGCTCGCCCGTCCCATGCCTCCTGCTACAAATGCGCAGTCGAAGACACCTCTCTCCCACTCTCTATGTGTCTCTACGCTCAATGCGCGCGTCCCCAGCTGGTCTCTTTCTGGAGGCGGGGGTGGGGAATCAAGGCATCAGTTCCGAGAATCGAGAGCTGCCTGCGTAAGGTTTGGGGAATCGGAGTTGTCTTCATGTCATCTGCACGGCCTGTGCAACCAGTCGTAACGCCGCTGATTGCCGGAGGGAACCACGCGGGGAGAGGATCTTCTGCTGTTCGGCCTTCACGTCGACGCCTTCCGTGGGGGGCTTCTGAAGTTCAGAGCTTCAGGGGAGGGAACTGGGGAGGGGAGGCAGCGTGAGGGGCGGCCAAAGATGAGGCTGAACGGGGACGCAACGCCGAGGAACGAACAGGGTAAGGAGATCGAGAGGGGGGCTCTGCAGCAGCAGCCGAAGCTGGTCGTTGGCTACGCCTTGACCTCGAAGAAGGTCAAGAGCTTCCTCCAGCCGAATTTAGAGGGATTGGCCAGGTAGTCAAGAGCTTCCTACGCCTTGTGGATTTGCGCTCTGTTGGTCACCAGAAACTCGTGGTGTGGTGCCAGTCTTTTCTTTCAATAATTTAGGACGGAGATTGATTATCAGGATGCAACAGTAGTACGCGGAAAAGCAATATTTTTCCTTGATGATAAGTTTTTTTTCATTGTGGGCAGACTGATTCTTGAATAATCTTTTTAGTGTGATGCTATGAACATCCATTTGTCTATCTCCAGCACTCGCCCTTCCAGATCTTCGTGCCCTCCTGAATTTACATCTAGATTTTTTCCACCAACTTCTCACGCTCTTATCTTCTTCGATTTCTTTGTCAAATGTTCTATGCTCACTCTTTATGTCTTGAAGTAATGCTTTGGGAAACCTTTTTGCGAATATGCCGCAGGAAGAAGGGGATATCATTCGTGCCCATTGACCAAAGTCGGCCTCTTTCAGGTCAAGGGCCCTTTGACATTGTTCTACACAAGGTGAGCTCATGCTATCTGTTCTGATACTCGGTCCTTTTTTCTCCATATTTCGCTATGAAATGTCATAGTTCCACAGGATTCATCTTTTTTCTTTTTTCTCGGTGGGATAATAAGTTATTTTTTGATGCAGCTCCGGGGGAAGAATTGGCAGCAAAACCTTGAGGTTAGTCATTTATGAAGAATTAGAATTCTCTCTCTCTCTCTCTCTCTTAGAACCATGCTTTTATTACACAAAAGTTTTGTAGATAACTGCATTTCAATATACGTCATGATCATAAACATAGATGAGCACATTATCTTTGACATTGCCGATTAAAGCGCTCAATCAGCCCATTGAACCTCATATTATCAGGGAAAAGTATGAAGATTAATGGAAATTTATATCAGAAATGGGCATTATATTTGTTTAATTTATTTTTTTAAAGAAATAAGCCTCTGAATCTGTTGTTCAGACAAAAGCTCCACAAGTCCAGCTGTTTCTTCATGGGATGCTGAGTTTCCTTCGGATAAGAATGCGCTGTAACTTGATAACTTCTGAAATCAAGCCCACTTGAGGCATTCGTGTCTCCACTGCCTCAAGATGTGAATTTAATATAACCAAGTGTTTTTTAATTCCCATGTGATGCTAATTTCCGATTATTCATTCATTTTTTTATATTTTTTATGTATGTTGAAGGATTATGTGGAGCAGCATCCCGAGGTCACTGTCCTTGATCCACCGGAAGCCATACAGCACCTGTGCAACAGACAGTCAATGCTCCAGGATGTGGCCGATCTGGACCTGTCCGACTGGCACGGTAAGGCCTCACATGCCTGACAAGTACCCATAGACGTTTGTTTTTTATTTTGACTTTTAAACTAGATTATTCCTCCCAGATTCTCTGGGCCGATAAAAGTTCATCTTTTTCTTTCTGGGTTTCGATGGAAATTAATGGTGCTGCCATTTTATACCCGGCCCTTCTTCTGACTTCTGTAATGAAACTGCCGTTTTTTCTCTTCTTGCTCATCGAAGGTGGTACCCTCTTCTCGTTTGTTTTGTGTTTTATCCTCCTTTATCTTTGACTTTACCACTTTTAGAATACTTGGGTTTGTTTGTATTATGTTGATTGACTTTTATCTTGGTCAGCGTTACAATTTGATTTGATTGCAGGTAAAGTCAGCGTTCCTAAGCAAGTTGTCATCCCCAAGGATCCGTCATCGATTCCTGAAGCTGTCTCTAAGGCGGGTCTGACTCTTCCTTTGAGTAAGCCGTTGCTTCTTCTGTAGCTAATATATTATTAGATTCGCCCGGTTTGGCCATTTCGTGGGTTATTCTGCTTTAATAGAACCGAAAGAGCTGCTAATCTTTGCATTCTATTTTTTTTTTTTTAATCTATTTTCTGATTCTTCTTGGTGCCACTGATTGCTGAACTGTTTTATCTTCTTCTTCTTCTTCTTTAGTCGCAAAGCCGTTGATTGTCGATGGAACTGCCAAGTCCCATGAACTTTTTCTCGCTTACGACCAGTTCTCTCTCTCCCTCCTCGAACCGCCCCTGGTGCTACAGGAATTCGTCAACCATGGTACATTCTAGGAAGCATCCAAGTTGACCGAAGGGGAAAAAGTCAACTCCAGCGTCGCAATCTGATTGTGCCCTCCCTTTGCAGGAGGTGTTCTATTCAAAGTCTTCATCGTAGGAGACGCAATAAAGGTCGTGCGGCGCTTCTCTCTCCCAGATGTCACCAAGCAGGATCTCTCCCACAGTTCTGGTGTCTTCCGATTCCCTCGGGTTTCTTGCTCGGCGGCTTCAGCGGACGACGCCGACCTGGATCCCGGCGTCTCCGGTGAGCCCGCCGGAGGCCCTTTGAATGCTTCGGACCATGTTTCTGTGCATATATCGTCTCTGTGTATAACCCCTCGACTGTCCTGCAGAGCTCCCCCCGCGTGCTCTGCTGGAGAGGCTTGTGAATGAGCTCCGATGGAGGCTGGTAGCTCGCTTTTCTTCTCAAAAAGAATTTTTTTTGTGATAATTTTGCTGCTCCATGGATCGAGTCTGATTGGTGATCGACAGGGTCTGCGATTGTTCAACATTGATATCATCAGGGAGCATGGAACCAAGGACCGTTACTATGTCATCGATATCAACTATTTCCCCGGTAAATTTGGTCGATTTCCTCTAGGGCATCGAACTTAACCCAGATTTTCTTCATCCAACGACCTGAATCCTCAAGTTTTCTTTAAAAAAAATTGTAGGGTACGGGAAAATGCCCGGATATGAGCACATCTTCACCGAATTCCTGCTGGGTCTCGTTCGTGGCAACTATAAGTGACGGCAGGAACCCAATTGGCTCTGTGGGCTGCGTCGCCGGCGGACAATCTGTATATATCGTCTGCCCTCAGGTGTTATGCAGCTGGCGAGACTCGGAAGAGGACGATGGCCACCGGAAGAGGGCCCAGCTGGTCTCCGAACTCTGCAACACCCTACTGATTCCACGTCATCGATCTTACAAGATGACTATGTATGTAACCCAGAAGAGATGAGCATCGGGAGCTCCATGGATCTTGCTGTAAATTGGAATCATGTTGATGTGGTCGTGTAATGAACGCTCTCATCTGGGTTTTGCACGAGTTTGTGTGAAGATTTCGTCAATGCCGGAAGGGGAACTTGATGGGATTCGTGGTTTATGAGGTCGAGTCGAAGTTTTTTCCGCCGAGATCCACCGTAGCTCCAAAGCCGCCCCCTTTTTCTCTCTTCTCTGTCTCTCTCTTACATGGCCAGGAGATGGAAACCGGTGGGTTGTGAACACTTGCATGCGCCAGGCAGAAGCTGTGGCCTCTTTCTCGCACCACAGGGAAGGAGGGACTACGAGTTAGGGTTTCAAGAAACCCGTGCCAGCTTCAGGCAAAACAACAAACACTGAGGAGGCAGGCAACTCCTCTCCTCCTCGAAGTTATCAGAAGTAAACGAGATAAGATTTGCAACGGCGTGAAAATGCGATTTCAGTTTCCAGTTTCCTCACTGGGTTTCGGGGAGGAAGAATGGGTCTTCCCCCTTGATCCATGACCTTCAACCTAAACGAATTTCAGGACAAACGGAGGGCAGGAAGGAACCGGCAAGAAGAAGCTCAGCTCCCCCAGAATAAGAGACGTGGGGGGTGGGGGGGAGGGGAGGAGAGAGAGAGGGAGAGAGAGAGGGAGAGAGAGAGGGAGAGAGAGAGAGAGAGAGAGAGAGAGAGAGAGAGAGAGAGAGAGAGAGAGAGAGAGAGAGAACGGCACCTCGAAAAGCTCGGAAAGGCGACAGGCACCTACTCTCCTCCTCAGGAAGTTATTAGGAGCAAACGCGATAAGATTTGCAACGGTGTGAGAATGCGATTTCAATTTCCAGTTTTCTCACTGGGGTTTCAGGGAGGAAGAATAGATCTTTCCCCTTGATCCATCACCTTCAAGCTAAACCAATTTCAGAACAAACGGAGGGCAGGAAGGAGCCGGCAAGAAGAAGCTTAGAAGAGCACCTCGAAGAGCTCAGAATGGCGGGCAGCTAAGATGCGGTGGCGGAAGGGGCCATGTCCTCTTGTGGGTTGTCAGATGACGAGGCCAGAGACCAGTCGGGAGGAAGCTTGGGGAGGGGAGCGTAGGCGGTGGGGCCCTTGCGGCGCACGTCCCACGGCTGCGTCTTCTTCGGCCTGGTCTTCCTGTGGTGAGCGGTGGCTTTCTTCTGCGGTCTGGAGGAGCATTCCACCGCCGCCGCCATCGTCCTCCTTGCCGGCCCCTCGCCGCCTAAGGACACCGCCAATCCTCGCTCGCCGCCGCCGACCCAGCTTGAGGAGAGCGGCAGAGACATGGCCCTCGACGCGGCAACGGACGGCGGCGCACCGGTTACCAGCATCCCGGAGATCAACATACTCTTTCTTCTCTCTCTCCCTCTCTCTCTCTCTGTCTTTCGCTCCTACCAGGACGGTTCGACGGAGGAAGAAGAAGACCGGATAGGGCCAGTGCCCATTTTTAGTCCTCTCGTTTCCTTGTATAACGGATAGGCGTGGTTCCAAGGTTCTGATGTTCCCTACCACTTACAAACGCAAACCGCTGCCTGTGGATAAGACAACAACACTAAGCAGAAAACATATACGTCCCCTGCGCTGATCACATCTACTTTTGATTGCCAGTCGAGTACGTTAAGAGTGAAATCCTTCGTCATTTACTTGTCGCATTTATCCATTTTTTACGCAATAACTTGGAAATTAATTTTAGAAATAAACCAAAAAATGCCGTCAATTCTTGGAGACTTTCTTGAAGCAAGAAGGAAAGCCTCACACCTTCAATCAAATAGGGTTATCCATGTAAGAGTATTGGAAATGGAGATAAAATAGTAACAAAATTGATTTATTTTATCAAATATCCATCTTGGGTCTCATCAATATCAATGTAAAAATGAACAATGAACATTACATTTATATATTTTATTTTATATATGAGATTTAGAAAAATGAAACAAAATAAGATGATTTCTAATACTAGTTGATAATTTACTAAGGAAACCATACTCTCATTCATAAATGTCAAAAAAAACATTTTCATTTATCAAATATCCTTGTTGGATTTCATCATTATTCTTGTCCAAATGATCTTCATATTCGAATGAAACTAATAGTTTATTATTTTCCTCTTATTATTTTTATTTTTAATATATAAAAGCTTGAAGATCTTCAAACATGAACATAATGATATACAATTATAGTTGATCATTTGCTATAAATATTTTTCTTGCATTAATTGTTGTGTTATAGATTAATCATATAATCTTTTGATGATTTATGGGAAACTTATGATTGAAGGTTACTTTATTCCAATTAGTAGAATGAATATTTATCTTGCATGAAATTGATTAAAATGAGATTAATATTTTATAGGAAGATTTAGAATTAAAGGTGTTTAGAAGCAAATTGGACTCTATGGAAAATCAGGGTTTCAAATAGGATATGAAAATCTTATTTATTTATTTATATAATTTTTATAAGCTTATACAAATTTGTATTTATTAGTTTTCAAGTTTAGTCATTGAGGCTGATGACTTAGCCCACTTATGCAGAACCCACTAGTTGGCGTAAGCCATCAGCCCAATAAGGTAAAGGGGATTGAGTATGGACTGAAAAATAAGATGTGTCAAGTTAGGAGAGCTATTACGACCTAGAACCAAACATTGTCAACTTTAAGTGGTCAGTTAAACAAAGGGTGGCCTACCCTAATTAGCCTCACTATAAAAAAGTACATCTCATCCAAAATTATAACATGAGAATTCAAATGAAATGTTAGGCGGCAGCCTTAAAGATTCTCTCTTCTCTACCACCTTATCTCAAAGTCTCCAAGATTCACAAGCAAAATCAAGATTTGTTCAAGAGAATTGTGCTCATGAAAATAAATCTCAATCAAAGTCAAGATCCCATAATCAACTCATGATGAATTCAATGATAGTTGAAGACAATGCTAATCTCATTGAAAAGTTAGTGTCTTATTTTTGACAGGATTGATGATATGTGGACTCATTGAGTTAACTAGAGCTTACACAGAGAAGTAAATATGTCATAGGCTTGTAGAACTTGATGGTATAAAGGGTTAATGATCCTATGAAATAGGGTGTATTCTTGGGTTGGTTCTTGGGAAATAGACATATGGTAAAAGAGTTTTCTTGAACTAGTATTAAATCAAATATCTAAAAATTGTGTTTGTGACATTTCATATTTATATATTAATTCAAAAAACTATTTTAAATATTAATACTACATGGTTAGAGATATCAGCTTGGTTATAGTTTAATTTTATGTATTAATAATAAATAAGAAGAGGCTTGAAAAATAAAAGAGTACATGAAAATTCAAGCGAGAAAATTAAGCTTTACCTTCCAAAGACATCAACAACGAACACAAACATGCATCCTATTTTTCATTTGACTTCAGCAAAACAAATGACATTTAATTTGAAGTGAAACACTCTCTTTAGACCCTAAGGTAACTAGGTGGTGAAGGAAGAGATTGTTAGGTGAAAGTACAAAGTGTATGCAATCAGCTTTGGCCCTAGAAGGGTGGAATATTTGAGGAGACAAACTTGAATGGTTGAATCCATAAATGCCAGCTTATATTTCCTAAGAGAAATAGTAAAATATCAGTATGAAGATTCTTTTGACACTAAATGTAATTGGGTGAGGGGCAAATCAATACATAAATCTTAGTGACTTTAGTGAGAGAGAGTTACATGCACACACATGTTGACACATCTAGCAATAACCCATATAGATGATAAACCTAAAATGAAAAATAACCAAAACCTTTAGAAACACAATTCACTCCCTCTTAAAGTTTTACCCAGTCCTATAATTTTAATAGTTCATTTTAATAGTTTATTATTATCAACCTAACCTTTCATTTTCTAATATTAGGGCATCAAATCTACCATAATTATGATCTCACTGCTAGGATGCCTCACAATCTCCATCAACACCAGAGTTAACTCTTATTGAGGCTGGTCACAATATTATGATATTAAATAAAATTAGTATCATACTTACATCAATCTCTTGCCCAACCTAATATATTATCTTATGAGTACATGGAAAATAATATGACATAGACCATCAAAGCTAACTCAGAACTCTTTCTATTTCAATGAGGAAACTAAAATATTCTCATCAAATATTTATTAAACACTAAATAGTAAAATTATTTTTTAAAAAGATAAATAATATTCTTAAATACTCCACAAGGCACAAGCACAAGTCAATGGACCATTGTGACACTCCTTGAGCAATAGATTAAGGTTTTGAGAGCAAAACCTCACAATAGGCATCAGGTTGAGTGAGCATGTGAGATGCATGCATCATAATAGAGGAATGCAATTAAATAGTTAAATGACTATTAATCTTGATCCATAGTTGAGACATGTGGGGCATGTGCATCTAACATGTGGCATGTAGGAACACATTAACAAACCTAAGAAAACTTGGAAGGAATAATTTTTTTACATTTAGAACGATTCCATTAGATTGTAATGGATGCTTGGATAGATTGAGAAAAGGGTATGTAAGGAAAGGTGGCTAATGGAGGGAGGTCTAAATAGAGAAGGTTATTTAGGCCTCTCCTTCTATAAAAAGGGGAGAACTCCACCCTATAAAAGGTAGATGGAGAGGAGTCATATGTTGAACTATAGAGATAGGAAGGTTCTCATTTATAAGAGAAGGAAGCTTTTTAGTGAAAAGAGTGTCAATAAGTAATTAAATGAGTTGTGGTGCAAAGTTGTATAGAGAGAGAGTTAGTGGTGGGTTAAGAAAGAGTTGAGAATCAAGAGGAGAATAGTTGTATTGGGATCTTCTCCATCTTTGAGGTAATATAAAATTTTTAGTACCCTATTGATAAGTCTTCATTATCATGACTTAATAATTAGTAAATAATATAGTTTTAATCTTAACTCATGATAAATAGACTTATATTTATGTTAAAGTGTGAAAAGTGATTTTTAGTAATTAACATAAATTTTTAGCTAATTATGTGATTTTCTACAAATTTATATGATTTTTATAATCTTATTCTTGAGATAAATAAAAAAAAGAAATAAAAATAAAAATAAAGCAAAATAGGGGGGACTTGTTGGGCCTACAAGTGGGTTGAAAGTATAGTCGAGGAGGAACTATGAGTAAGGGCTCAAGTGTCTAGGACCAATGGAGCACTTGTGCGCCATTCCCTTTCCACATCATTGGTGGCCAGTTGGGTGTGGGGCAAAGAGTAGTTGTACATGTGGGAGAAAAGGACTCATTATTTACAAATATAAAATTATTATATATTCACCCAAAACTTCAGTGGACAAGTGATGTGAGATTAAAATTGCGACACACCTTCCCCTAAAAGGCTTCAAATATTTTAATACTTAAAATATCCCTTATTTATAATAGAAATATATCATGATAACATCACTTGATAAGGGCATTAGAATACTTATTTCAATCTCTCTCATACATGTAGACAACCAGTAGGGATTTGAATCCTCTCAAAGTAAAAACTCATATTTTTATTTAATTATTGTGACTTTCTTGTAGATCACCAGTAAAGGTTTAAGTTGTCAGAATCGTTAGATCATTAGTAAAAATCTTGTCAATACGATTTACGAAATATTGTTACTAAATTTGCTAAATAATTCGTGATAAAATAATTACGAATCTATCGAGTAAATGATCTCTGATTGATCAACGAATAAGCCGTCGTTAAGAAGAGGATGATTCACTGAGAGACAAGTCACCACTTCTTGAGAGCATACCAGATGTGATGAAGAACCTCTTCTTATTACGCAAACCTGAAGATGAAGCTCCTTGACACGCACCCCACTTCTATTCAGCTCCTTTCCGTCAAGGGACAGCTGCCAGAGAGTCGCAATATTGTCGTTTGTCTATTTTGTCAAAGATAATTTGACAACCCATTTCATTGATCTCTAGACTTTGCAAAGAGATCTAGAGATTGTCCACGTCGTCCTTGTCTAAGAAGAGCCTTTGAGGCCTTATACACTACACGATGATCCTCTCGAATACTCAAGATTCTAGTGCATTACTGACACATCACTATCGTGACGTGGAAACTCTATTTTCTTACTTTTAATTTAATTTTTACTTCATTTAGTGATAATTTATGTGATTTAAATTTATCAAACTATACTTATTCAATTATGATTCTTCTAACTTTTACAGATCTTAATTTGATCAGTTAAATCATTTATAATTGCTTACATAAGAATTATCGGACGAAACTCTATTTTCATCTGATTTGCATTCGTTGAATAAAATTTTCAAAGATTACCTAATATTATAGTACATCTTTGTGATCGACTTGAAAAATTAATACTATTTTCAAAAGTTTTATTTAATTATAATTGATATATTTATTCAGAAATACTTTTAAATATCTAAAAATTAGTATTTTCTAATTTTATAAATTTAAATTTATGTGATTTACTATACAACGACTAAGTCACGTCACTTATCCTTACAATAAGATCTTGATAACTTTTGTAAGTATAAGAGAAGGCTTCTTGGTGTCGACAAAGTGACAATCAAAGCCAATCTTGTGTGAGAAAATATGAAGCTTAGTTTTACTTATGACAAGATGATAAAAAAATGTAATAATGAGCAGAGGATTGTTGTATTGGAGGAATAGATCTCTCATATTCTCCCTTCTATTGAAGTCTTAGAAGTATGTATCAGAACTGTGAAAGAAGGACAAAATGCGACAGAGCTAATGTTATTATAATATGTAGGTACTTTGAGAACATCTTGAGCTGATGCCACTAAAAAAATAGAGTTATGAGCTTTTGTAAAAGCTTTAGCATAAGACATATGTCTATTAAAGTGTACTTTCTCAAAAGATATGAGACTTACCTATCTTAAGTTAAGGTACATGAACTCAAGTATTTAGGATTTTATTCAATAAGTACGAAGAATATTGAGGAGTTGAAAACCTTTATTTAGGACTTTGACTATTATTTCTGAGTAATAGATATTTGATAAGTCTTCATTATCATGAGTTAATAATTAGTAAATAATATAATTTCAGTCTTAATTCATGATAAATAGACTTATATTTGTGTTAAAGTGTGAAAAGTAGTTTTTAGTTGATTAACGTGAATTTTTGGCTAATTATGTAATTTTATATAAATTTATATAATTTTTATAATCTTACTTTTGAGATAAATAAAGAAAAAAAATAAAATAAAAATATAGTAAAATGGGGGGAACTCGCTGGTTAGTCGAGCTCACAAGCGGGTCAGGAGTGCAGTCAAGGAGAAGCTGCAAGTAGGGGCTCGAGCGGCTAAGACTAATAAGGGCACGTGTGCGCTACTCCCCTTTCATGCCACTAGTGGTTAGTCGATTGTGGGGTAAGGAGTGGTCATACATGCGGGAGAAAGAAACTTGATTATAATTTTACTATATATTCATCCGAAACTTTGATGCACAAGCAATGTGAGACTAACCCGTATCACAACTTCCTCAGAAAGGCTTCAATGATTTTAATACCTATAATATCTTTTATTTATAACAAAGATATACCATGATGACATCATTTGATAAAGGTATTAGAATACTTATTTTAATCTCTTTCATGTAGGCGGGCAACTGACGTGGGTTAGAATCCTTATAGAAGCAAAATTCATATTTTTTATCTGATCATTATAATTTTCTTGTGGATTACTGGTGAAGGATTAAGCCGCCATAATCGCTAAATCGTCGGCAGAATCTCGTCAACATGATTTGCGGAGTATTGTTACTAAAATTACAAAAAGATTTGCGATAAAAGGATTGCAAATATATCGAGTAAAGCATCTCTAATTGATCAATGAATAAGCTGTCGTTAGGAAGAGGACGATTCATCGAGAGATGAGTCGCCACCTCTTGAGAGTATATCGGATGCGATGAAGAGCCTCCTCTTACTGCATGGACTTAAAGATGAAGCTCTCTGACACGCGCCCCACCTTCATCTAGCTCCTCTCTATTGGGTGATAGTTGTCGGAAAGTCGCAAAGTCGCCGTTTTTCCATTTCGCCGAGTGACAGTCACCGGAGACGATTCAATTATCTATTTAATTGGTTTCTAGACTTTGCAAGGAGATATAGAGATCACTCACATTGTTCTTGTCCAAGGAGAACCTTCGAGGCCATGGATACTACACGACAATTCTTTCAAATGCTTAGGATTCTAGTGCATCATCGACGCATCACCACCATGATGCTAGAACTCTATTTTCTTACTTTTAACTTACTTTTTGCTTCATTTAATGATAATTTGTGTGATTTAAATTTATCAAGATATACTTTATTTAATTATAATTCTTCTAGTTTTTATAGATCTTAATTTGATTAATTAAATCGTCTATAATCACTTATGTAAAGATTGTCAGATAGAACTCTATTTCTGCCTAATTTACATTCGTCGGGCATTGATGTCATCTTGACATCTATACCTTTTTTTTCTTTTTTTGTGAATTTTAAATATATTTTATTTTCATTTTCTAGTGTACAATTCATAGAAAATAGTATTGTTTGAGGAAAACTTTGAATAATTACTTAGTATTATATTACATCCTTATGATCAACCTGAAAAATTATTACTATTTTTAAAAGTATATTAAATTCTAATTGATATATTTATTTAGAAATACTTATAAATATTCAAAAATTTATATTTTCTAGTTTTATACATTTTAAATTTATATGATTTACTATACAACGATTAAGTCACGTAAATACTTTAGGCACATATAAGAGTATACTAACAAATATTTCTTTTTCTATTGATTCAAAATTATGGTGATGTATAAAAATAGAAGATCCAACTAAATCTGATATTAAATTATAGAAAAACTTTATTTAAGAAGTGTAGTAGTAATTCTTCATAATGAATAATGAGTTGATGGCTTGAGAGTCATTTCAATGACTTCATCACACTAAACTTGTATGAGAATATGTGAAGTTAGTTGTTTCACTACTATTAGAAGTCAAGAACATGTTAGACGAAGGTATACTATTCAAATTCATATTTGGATTACATAATTGAGAGCTAGTGGAGCTATCTTGATAAGGAGCAAGAGATGTTATGTTAACAAAGGCAATGGTTGACATGATTGTACCCTAACTCTAGTGATGCTTGTTAGTAGAGAGATGACCTAAAGAAAAGTTATAAGGTTGGCCATAATTATGGAGGAAATTGTGATGTAGATTATAATTGTGATTGTGTCAACAAGTACAGTTGTTGTGCTAATAATCAAAGACAATGACTACGTAGGTGTCAAAGAGGACTCAACTTCAACGTCTTATAAAATAACTTATCAAAGTAAAGTTGTTATATTTAAGTCCACATTGAGTCAACAAATGTCCATCTAAAGCTTACAAGACTCTTAGTGTCATGATGTGGACTGCTCCATCAAATGACATCCTTATTCCCAACTTTCTACAGTTACTCAATGCCTTGTAATAACATTAATAACCTAATAATCTTGGTGAGCATAGATTAATATATTTAGCAGCCACTATCAATGACCAACGTACAACAATCATAGTAGCAATGATAGATTTTATAACTAAGGCTTAGATGTGACTCTCCCCTCAATGGTAAAAATCATATTAGCATGGAGACTTGCTCTTTATTTTGTGTAGGTGATGAAGGTTGCACAACAAGTTATAATTGATCTCAACATTGTAATTGTGAGACTACTTATGAAAATGAGAGGAAATTTTCGTCATGACATTGAAGAATTAGATGAGTTTCAAAACCAAGTGCTTATCAACACTTGACACATGTAAATATCATGCCTATGATTAGACGTATTGTGCCAAACATACATGTGAGTATATTGAGACTTGTTGACACAAGTGTTGATGCCCCAATTACATTTAAAATATGTATAACTAAGCCGAACTATTCACATATTATGAGACAACATATGAAACCATCATAAATGGCGTAAAGTGAGCCACCATAGAGTTGTAGGATGTAATGTTATATTTCCCTCAAGCTCGGCTCCCACTATAGTGGGAGGTGAATCATGAAATTTAGTTATTACTAAGGGTGTGTCCACCATATTATACACCATTTATAAGATGACACTAGCATACCTCAAAGAGCTTCATTGATATTTGGGGGGGTTGCTCAAAACTAGACATATATGTCTTTGTAAATTTCTTTTATTATTTGTCTTCTTTTAGAAGAATAATTTAAAATCTCTATGATTGTGTGTAGATTACATGACACTAGATATGGTGATTGTGAATAATAAATTTCAAGTACTCAATATAAAAGAGTTGTTTAATCACTTGGAAGGAGCTCGATACTTCTCATGGGTGGACATGAGAAGTGACTTTCATCAAGTCTACATTAAGGAAAGAGACAAGAAAAAGAAGTTGTTATGAGTTTACGATGATATTTTTTGGCCTCATAAATGTATTAAAAACATTCTACAATTTTATGACCATCATCTTTAGGGATCATATTGACAAGTATATTGTTGTGTACTTCAATGACATCTTAGATGAGCACATGGGGTATTTCTGATTAATATTGTCTAAATTATTAGAGCACAAGTTCCACCTACAATTAGAAAAGTGTAAATTCTTACTTGAGAAGATTACTTTCCTCACCCATATCATTGAGAATGATGACATGTAGATGGACCTTGAGAAAGAGGTATGCACTATCGAGAAATGACTAACAACTAATTGAATTTTAAAACTTCACTAATTTTTTCAGATGGTGAATGACGTGACCTAATCATTGTATAATAAGTCATAAAAAATAAAATTTATAAAACTAGAAAAATATGAATTTTTAGATTTTTAAAAGTATTTTAATATAAATAAGTTAATTATAAGTTGATAAAAGGTTCAAATAGTAGAAAATTTTCAAGTCAATCACAAAAATGTATGATAATATTAGGTATACTTTCAGAATTTTCTTTAAATAGTTTATTTTTTATTATTTTTAGACTAAATACTAAGGAAAAAACTTATTTAAAAATTTATGAAAAAAGAAATTTAGGAGTGGATGTCAAGATATGTCAACACCTCTAAGAATGTGATTCATGTAGAAAAAAAATTCTACATGATGATTCTTATGTAAATAATTATAGATGATTAATTGATCAAATTAAGATCTATAAAAGTTAAAATAATCATAATAGACTAAAAAAGAGTTTTGAAATTTAAAATCATATAAAATATGATTAATTTTATTAATAATTAATTTTAAAATATGAAAAATAGAATTTTAATGTTATAACAACGATCATCATAATTTTGAGCATTTGGAAGGATTATCATATAATATTTATGGCCTCAAAGTCTCTCATTATGCATTCATAACGTGAGGAGTCTATGGATCCTCTTGCTAGGTTTAGAAACTAATAAAATGGGTTGATCAATCATCTTCGACGATTGTCACCTAGTGAAGTGAAAGTTTGACGACGTTTAGATCTTCTACAATTGTCACATGATAGAGATGAGTTGGGTGGTAGTAGAGCACATCTTATGGGACTCCTCAAGTTGAGTAGCAAGAGAAGGCTCTTCATCGCATTTGGTATGCTTTGAAGAGACAACAACTTGTTTCTTAGCAAATCACCTATTCTTAACGATGACGCGTTCCTTGATCAATAGAAGATCACTTCCTTGAAAAATTCATATTCTCTTCATCCATAATTCTTAGTTAGTTTCTAACGATGGTATATAAATAACGTTGATGAAATTTTTGTTGATCAGAGAACGATTATAGTGACTTGATCTTTGACTGGTGCTCTAAAGAAAAATCAAGAGTTAAATAGGTAAAAGATATGAAATTTGACTATGGTGAGATTTGAACCTTCATCAATTGTTTATCTTGTGAGAGAGAGTTAGATAATTACCTAAATACCTTTGCCTAGTGACATCATAAGAGTATTTTTTTCTTATATTGTAGGGGTAATTAAGGTATATGAGTATTAAAAGCCAGCCGGTGAGTGTTGGTGTGAGTTTAGTTCCACATTGATTATTTTTTGAAATATGAGATGAATATATATCAATACATCTTTTTATGTTCTAGTTCCCTCTCTATACTCAAAACTACATCTTCTTATAGAGTTTGGTCTCTTTCATCTTTAGTCTATACGACTCGTTTGCAACGATCAATATGCGATTCATTTTACTTTCAATCTTTTTTTCATAAACCTATGAAACATATTGAGGTTGATTGTCATTTTATCTAGGAGAAAGTTTAAGTTCAACTAGTTCTCTCGATTGGGGTATCTTCGTAAGTGCAACTGATGGACATAATTATGAAGGCTTTCTATGGTCCTTGACTTGATTTCTCTTGCTCCAAGTTAGAACTTTCAATCTTTATGATTTCAACTTGAGGAGAGGTATATATATATATTATTTTTATATTTATAGACATGGTCTACTTTATCTTTCTCCTCACCTCTATATGTATTGGGCTCTCACGTTATTTATTATTATTATATTATTTTTTATCAACATTTTTAATTTAACATAAATGTAAATCTACTTATCAAGAGTTAATACTTAAAATCAATTAATTATTAACTTATGATAATGAAGACTTAATAATGAACTATTATCATAAATTTGTTTGGAGGTACTCACGATAGATAACACCCCTAATAAATTTCCTAAAGAAATATATGCATTAATATTAGTTAGTGTAATATCAACATGGCTTCAACAATCTCAAGGGTTATGAAAAAGAAATTAGTGTTATGGTTGCCCAACTTCAGTAAGTCTTTTGACGTGCACACAAACAAGACATATTTAGTGATCAATAGTATTATGATGTAAGAAAGTTATTTGATTGTCTTCAAGAGTTTACTAATATAAAGTGATTGTACTTTGTGCATGAGAAAGATATGATAATAGTGGTTCATTATATGTAATTGTGATATCATTATCTTCTCGACAAATTATTTGTGATGTACACAAATAATGTGGCAAACATTTAGTTTGCAATACATTGAAGTAAGTAAGATGGCAATACTTCTTAATAGAGTACCACTTTAAGCTATGGTACAAATTGGAGCATGTTAATATGGTTGTCAACGCCCTCAACCACAAGGAATTAGAGGCTGTCATAGTAGACCCTATCTACAACAATGGGCACTCTCTTGTAAGAGATCTTTGTTGATGCAACATGTGGTTGCAAGAGAGACAAATTAGTTTTGGTTGGAGGATAGGGTCCTCTACTCATGGAAGCAGCAGCCATACGTGCTATAGGTAGGTGGACCGCATTGACAACTTCTAATGGAGGCACAAAATGCATCTTATGTCAGGCATTTTGTGTAGGAGCGCATGATGGCACTACTATCTAATGACTACTATGGTTTAGACCAAGACGTCAAAGCCAACATCTAGTCTTGTTTGGTGTGTTAGTAGAAAAAAATGAAATACATAAAATCAATGGGCACACTTAATCCTCTGCCCATTCTAGGCCGATAATGTGAATCCATCTCTATATAGTTCATCGTCTAATTGAAAGACACGATGTAATCTTTATTGTTGTTGATTGTTTCTCCAAGAATGTAGCGTTCATGTTAACATGAACTAATAACTCAACAAAAGAGGCGGCAAGACTCCATGAGTCATGTGGTGAAACTATGAGACTCACCACGTGACATTATAAGTAACTAGAACACGAGGCTTGCTAGTGAATTGTAGGGAACCCTCTTTGGATAGATGGGCATCTAGCTGAAGTTTTTGATGAGCTTGCTTCCACAAATAGATACACAGATGGAGTAGATCAGCGGCATGTTAGAGGACTACCTTCGTCATTATGTGACAGTAGATTAGAAAAACTAGGATGAGTTTATGGATGTCACCCAATTTTCTTATAATAACAACTAGAGCTCAACAATAGGACAATCCTCATTTGAGCTTGCAACAAGACAAAACTATTGACCACACTAAAATAAGTAAAATAAATAGATCATTCCCCTTGCTCGACATTACATATATTTGTCATATTATATTAGGAGTGCATAGAGGTAATCTAAGCGATGTTGACACTTGCAGTGTATTGAATGAAAAAGTATGCTGACCACTATCATAGAGATGTGGAGTTTAACACTAGCAATTGTATGATGCTTTGAATGTTGTTAGAAGTGTACAGGACAATCAAGTATAACAAACAACATTCCAGATAGGGTGCCATGTTACAATGACCCATTCGAGGTTGTGGCACAAGTAAGATGACTAGCCTACCACTCAAACCTACTAAGATACTCACCATTTACTGAGTGTTCTATGTGTCACCTCTAAAGAAGTACATGGCCGACGGCAATGTGGAATGCAATTATCCACAATGAGCACCACCCATAATACATGTCTAGTATTTTGAGAAGTCCAAAACTATCTTAGATTGATGAGAAGACAACTGGGGCAAGTTAAATCCCACTACCACATCTACTTTCTAATAAAGTGACATGGCAAACCCATTGATGATGCAATGTGGGAGCATGACATCAACCTTTGGCAATTCGAGGACTTAATCTATAGATATCTCGACAAATACTCACTTATGAAGATGTTAGATTCATCATGTGGGGGAAGATGTGACATTCATTGAGTGAGGCACATGTTGAACTCCACAAAGAGGGAGAACTCCAACCCACTCTCCGAAAGATAGAAGATAAGAAGAAGAGGGAGGCACATGTTGAACTCCACAAAGAGGAGGATTCTCATATGTAAGAGAAGGGAAACTTTTGAGTGAAAGGGGCGTCCAGAAGGAACTGAGAAAGCTGTGGTGTGAGGCCGCAGTGAGGAGTTTACAGTGGGCTAAAAAGAGCTGAGAGTCGAGAAGAGAAGAAGAACGGTCGTGTTGAGTTCCACATATAAAGGAGAAGGCTGCTCGATGTCAGTAGAGTGACGGTCGAGGTCGGTCTCAAGTGAGAGAAATAAAAAGCTTGGTTTCACCTGTGACAACCACTGGATGCTCCCCTGAGGCTTGCCAATAGCTCAATCCAATTTATGCATATATTTCAGACCAACTTAGCTCAACATCTGCCCACGGGATCGATGACCCTTTTCTAAAAATGAACCAAGGTACCGAATCGTCAAATAAGTTCAACATAACCTCAAGGCTAAACAGAACCGACCTGTTGCATCACAAAGCCTGCCCTGAAATCCATCGTTCAAACATATCCCAACATTCTCTGGGCTTGTACTCGGTAGCTATGTGACCTGCACCCTGAAAAAAACTGCAGAGTTAATACGTGAACGAAGAGAAGGGGCAAAGATGACAATACACACCAGTTGGTGCCTCCATCCATCCTCACACAAATAACTTAGCTAAGAGAAGATAGCAAAGGGGATGGATTCTCGCCTTAACTGTCGCGAACGTCAAGTTGTTGGCGTAAGTCCTCGTGTATCTGAAATCATTCACGCCAAATGGCTACCATTTAGCCCGGAAAAGATCACCTTGAGAAAGAAACCAAGGGAGGGCATAAGTTTAGGTAAATACCCAGCAGCTTGGCCATTCACCAACCAAGGGCGCCAGTCGTGGACGATGGAGTAGTTGAGAGATCTTAGCCATGCTTGTGTCCCTAAAAAGTTGACAAACAGATCGTGGTCGCCACTGCTTTGAGGGAAAGGACAGGACTATAATCAGCTTCGTTTCGTCCGGTACATGAGGCAACCATGTAAACATAGTGTGCATGTGTGTGTATAAAAAAGGAAATAATTTGACCGCACCAGAGGTGTTCCCACCTGTACACCAAAGCTCGAAAGCCTCTGCGTGTAACGTTGAGATGATATGGAACTGCGCTGGGAATATCAATCGTGCGGTTGGTCCGGATATCACCTCGGCATCTAACCCAATCACCAGTCCATCCCTGTTGCAAACCTTGCAGCCATCAAGCTTGGGTGTTGGATTAGGCCGCTCCGCCTCCCACAGTGAGAACCCTTACCTTACGGACCCCAAGAGCTTCTCGCACTGCATCGCTGTTCGCCCATGATTTGGCCGGCAAATCTCCAAAAGGCTGTCGAAGGAAGTCGTGTCACAGACCAGAGCCATCCACACGAGAGAGAGGAACAGGGAGAGACACAAATAGAGAGAATCAGAGAAATAATACGCTGCTTCTGTCTCTTAAGATCTGCAGGGACAACGGATGAGGTCTCTCAACCTCACCCAGGCTTCTCCCCTCTCGGGGGGAATGCTTGGGCTCTGGAGAACTCCAGACACAAAGAGGTTCCAGAGTACACTCCACATTAAGGGCCTTCAGGTTCTGGCATCATAAATAACTCCACGGTAAGAACGAATTAAACGAAGCTGATCACAGCACAAAGTCAAAGAGCCCCGCACGTCTGCTACGGCCTCAAGACACTTGGCGCATTGAACACTGCGAGGCGTAACATAGTCCCCGCCACAGCTTGCCTTCGTCGCCTGTAAATTTACCAAAGGTGCGAAAGAAAAATGAACATAGTTTTGCGCTTATGATCCATCCCCGAGGTTCTCCAAAAGTTAAGGTGTCGTGAGGAAAATGAAGACATTGTAACGTAATTAAAGGAAAACTCTGCACCTTACAGTAGAGCTCTAAATGCGCGTGGGGTGACAAGCCCCAAGCCCTTAAAAACAAAGTCTATATGGAAAAATAGGCCAACCTAGGTCTTCCTCGGAAGCTGGGCTCAGGGTGGCCTTGCCAAATCCCTGGCACAGTCCGGCTGATTATCTCCACCGTTCATTCTCTCAAACGAAAACAAAGTTAATGCATAAGTCACAAATAGGCTCAGAATGATTCACCTCGTACAGCTCGTCGGAAATAAACCCCACCCCATGGGAATATGGAATCTTCGACCCCATATCAAAACGTCCCTCGCTGGTCACTGGGTTTCCAACTAAATACCCCTGTAAAGCTCGCAGCACACGGGTCATGACAAGAATTTACAAGTTATACGACCATGGTAGGTGCTCGTTTTAGACAAGTTGACTTCTCTAATAGCCTCATCATGATATTGACGAGGGGCTTGGCTCCTGCCTCGTTTCCTGCAATATGGTTACGCCTGAATGACTTCCAAGAGAATCACCTCGGCGGAAAGCGCAAGAGTTTTTCGATTGCGAGTCGTAGACAACCCGTCCACTAAAGAAAAGAAGAGAAAATAAAAGAGGGAATGCCACGAGTGGAAAGGTGTGGCCACATGTGATGACCGAGGGACTCTACAAGGCACCGAAAACGGACCGGGCTCTCGAGCAGCACCCCTTTGCATCCATCCCACAGGAGCGTCAAAGAAGAAGGCCCAAAACGAGAAAGAACCAAATGAAAACCTTCGTACCATTTATTACTTCCTGAGCGACGATGGGACACAACTTCCCACCGTATGAATCGCCGGCAATATAGAAGGGATTCGAGATGAACTCCGGATGATCCACAAGCCACTACACCACCGGAGGTGCGAATGAGGGTGAGCCAAAAACGCAAAAAGATGGAAATCGCCGTCCGGTGTTGTGACTCCGTGATAAGATGGAATCACCTTCCTAATGAATACGCCAAGACGCCTTGATGTTTTGGTGTCCGACCATTCATTTTCCTCGGCGGCCTTGGAGTATGAGAATCCAGTGCCTACGGGCGAATCCACAAAGATGATGCTGCTGATCTACCGGAAAAAAGTCACAACAAGAGGTCAGTGTAGAGAGTGACGAACAGAGGGAGACCGAGAAGAAATGACTAGTTGTACCCTCGTCCAAGACTCCTCTCGGTAGATCAGACTGGGCAACCTTCGGGTCTCGTAAGTCTTTGTTAGAAACTCGCCGGAGAGACGACGGCAGTTAAGACGTCGCCGGCGAGATCACCTTCTGAGTCACAGGAAAAACCCAGCAGGAGGAACAAGGAAGACTATCTCGCTCATTGAAAACCTCTTACAGCCCTCTTTAAATAAGGGAGCAACAAAAGGAGAAAAGGAATAACCGTAAGCAATAAGCAACCTGTTACAACTCTAGGCGGTGTGCCTCAAGACGTGTAAGGCTTATGCCGTTACGCGAAAAGACGTGGAAGACATGCAAGGCTCCCCGTTCACGACAATCTCCTCCTGAGCCTTGCTATACTTACCACAAACATCAACGAGCCTAATCTTGGCGCGAAACTCATGGAACTTGACTTTTCCGAGTGACTTCGTCAGAACGTCTCATAACTGTTCTTCACTCCTGATGAACTCCATGTTGATCTGACCCTTTTCTGCGGATTCTCGGACAAGATGATACTTCACTTCAATGTGTTTGCTATGTCCATGGAGAACTGAGTTCTTGATCAACGCTATGGCAGACTTGTTGTCCACTTTCAGCATCGGCACGCTTGGTGCTGAGCCATGCACCTCTGCTAACACCCGAGCGAGCCACACACCCTGGCAGGCAGCATTGGCGGCCGCAATGTACTCTGCCTCGCAGCTAGATTGAGCCACCACCTTCTGTTTCATTGACTGCCAAGTAATTGGACTGTTGGCCAAGAAGAAAATAACTCCGGTCGTGCTCTTCCGAGCATCAACATCACCAGCGAAGTCACTATCGCTGAACCCTGTCAGCTGGACTTGCTTCTCCTTTTTCCTTTCATACTTGAGACCCCAACTCTTGGTTCCCGCCACATAGTGGAGAATTTGCTTCACAGCAGCCAAGTGATCCTTTCGTGGCTCCTCTAGAAAATGACTCACATAGCCAACTGCAAATGCCAAATCTGGACGAGTATTGACTAAGTACCTGAGACTCCCCACGATGCTTCTGTATGCTGTCGCATCCACTAGCGGCTCCGTGCTCATCTTGCTCAGTTTCAGACGTGTTGCCATTGGTACTTGACAAGGATTGCACCCTGCCATCCCGCTCCTCTCTAGAATCTTGGCGGCATAGGCTCCTTGGCTGATCAAGGTGCCCCTCGCACTCTGCCTGACTTCAATACCAAGATAGTAGCGAAGCAAGCCGAGGTCGCTCATCTTGAATGCGTCAGCCATCTCTTTTTTGAAATGCTTGATGTCGTCGCAGCTGGCGCCGATGATCACCAGGTCATCGACGTACACCCCGACCACTAGCTGCGCCTCCCCATTCCACCTGGTGTAGATGGCATGTTTCGAGGGACTCCTCCTGAATCTGAACGACATCAACGTTTCGTCCAACTTCGCGTTCCAGGTCCTAGGCGCCTGATGTAAGCCGTAGAGTGCCTTCTTCAGCTTAAATACCTTGTGCTCGTTGCCCGTGCTGATGAAATCGGCCGGCTGCTCCACGTACACCTCTTCCTTGAGATCGCCATTCAAGAACGCCGACTTGACATCCATGTGGTGCACCTCCCACCCCTCGTGCGCCACGAGAGCAATGAGAAGGCGCACCGTGTCCAGCCACGCCACAGGTGCGAACACCTCGTCGTAGTCGATCCCTTGGCGTTGCGCATAGCCCTTCACCACCAGGCGCGCCTTGTACTTCGCCACGGCTCCGTTTTCATCCTGCTTCACCTTGTACACCCACTTCAACCCGATCGCCCGGCGACCATGTGGGAGGTCTACCAGGGACCAGGTGCGGTTTTCCTCGATCGACGCCATCTCCTCCTCCACAGCCTTCCTCCAGCTCGGGTGGCCCTCTGCTTCAACAAAAGAGACCGGCTCATCAGAACTTACAGCGTGTAGCTCCTTTGCAATTAACGCCCGCGACGCGAGACCACGTGGCGAGGCCAGCCCAACGATGTTGTCGATCTTGTGGAACCGGAGTGGCACATCATCGTGATTAACATCCAGGTGGTCGATGTGGACACTCGGTGGAGAGGCGAACTCCACCTCCTCTCCTCCATCTTCAATCGGCGCTGCTCCCCCACTGTAGTGCACAGACAGTGGCGACATCGGCTCCGGTCCCGGCGCATCATCATCAAGTACCTCGATGGCGCCATCGAGCTCTGGAGGTACCTGGTTCCCGACGGCATACTCCAATGTGAACATATCGTCGTGGCTGCTCGCATCCCCTTGCTCCGCGCCGCTGCCCTAGTCCCACTGGGCATTCTCGTCGAACACCACGTCCCGTGTCACATGGACACGCCTCGCGGTGGGATCGTAGGCTCGGTAGGCCTTTGATCCGTACTCGTAGTCGATGAAGATCATCTTGCGGCCGCGGTCCTCCAGCTTCTTGAGATGCGGTGTCGTGTTCAGGACGTAGGCGATGCATCCGAACACCTTCAGATGGTGCACCGCCGGCTTCTTCCCGTGTCATACCTCGAAAGGCATCATGCCGTCCACGCTCTTCGTGGGACACCGGTTCAGGATGTATACAGCAGTTGCCACTGCCTCTCCCCAAAACCAGCCCGGCAGCTCCTTTGCCTTGAGCATGCTCCTCGCGGTTGCTACCACCGTGCCGTTCCTGCGCTCGACGATGCCATTCTGCTGCGGGCTGTATGGCGCCGTGTGTTCACGATGAATACCTTCTCCCGCGCAGTACTCCGCGAACTCATGTGAGGTGAATTCGCCGCCCCGATCAGTACGGAGCGCTCCCAGCTTCAGTCCTGACTCGCCTTCTGCACGAGCCTTGATCTCCTTGATGGCCACCGCAGCACGGTCCTTTGAAGGCAGCATGGCCACCCACATGTACCGGCTTCGATCATCCACGAGCAGCAGGAAATACTTGCTGCCGTTTGGCGTTTCCGGCGCAATCGGACCACAGAGGTCGCTGTGCACCAGCTCCAGAACACGCCGCGCCTGGTACTCTCCCTGTTGGGGGAACGGCGACCGCTTTTGCTTGCCAGCGAGACACGCCTCACACAGCTGGTCCACCGGACCAACCGCCGGCAACCCGCGCACCAGCTCCTCCCGAGCCATCTTCCGCAGCGCGGTCATGTTGACATGGCCAAGGCGCGCGTGCCATTTCCAAGCTTCTTCGACTGCCCGCGCCTCCAGGCACACCTGCCGAACCAGCTTGGCGTGGAGAATGTACAGCCTGTTCTCTCCGCGCATGACCTTTGCTAGGAGCCGTCCGCCTGGCTCATGGATCTTCATCGCCCCCTTCTCGATGTCGATATGGTACCCGGCCTCATCGAGTTGGCCGACGCTGACGATGTTCGTTGTCAGTCGGGGAATGTAATACACCCCCGCGAAGGACCGGTGCTCGCCGTTCTTGCACAGGAACACGATTGCCCCCCGGCCTTCGATCCGCGCCACCGAGTCGTCGCCGAACCGCACCGTCCCAAGTACCTTCGTGTCCAGCTCGGTGAAAGCTGTACGGGAACCCGACATGTGGTTCGTGGCGCCCGTGTCCACGACCCACGCCTCCTCATCACGCAGCTCCTCCTCTTCAAGGTGGGCAAACACCTTCTCTTCCCGCAGGTGGATCTGGGTCTGGGCGCCTGGCTTCCGCTCTTCTTTGGCGGCCCCTCCATTGACGGGGACCCCTTTTGCTCCCGGCGGCGGTGGGCTTGCACGCCGGAGCCGATCCTCTGCCTGCGGAGTCGCAGCAAAATGTGGTGGAGTGGAGGTTGGTGGCGGCACCGTCGATCTGGCCGTCGTTGACTTCACGAGAAGGAGCGAGGCCTCCTCCTCATTCTGGACGACGTGGGCCTGCTCTTTCATGGGCTTGGAGCGGCACTCGCGGGCCCAGTGGCCCAGCTTACCGCATCTCCTGCACTCATCACCTCTGGGCCGGCCTGAGTTGCCCGTCAGGCCGCCTGATGACGAGCCCTTGTCGCTGCCACGGCCGCGCCCGCGCCCGCGCCCATGTCTGACACGGTGCGTCACGCTGCTGCTACCTCCACCACCAGTTTTCTCATTATCACGCTTCCTCCGCCGTGCATCCCACTCTTCCTCAGTCAGGTGCAGCTTGCCGTCGTGGTGCATAGCCGACGGCAGTTCCTCGAAGGCATCCTCCGCCGCCTTGAGCCGACCCGTCAAATCCGCGACAGTGAGCGTCGACACGTCGAGCAGCATCGTAATCGCGACCACGATCTGCCTGAAATGCTGGGGAACACTGCGGATTATCTTCTCCACTACCTGCGTCTCTTCGACCTTGTCGCCGAGGGTGTTGAGAGTCGACGCCATGCTGTTGAGACGCAGCGCGTAGTCCTCAACAGACTCTCCCTCCTTGAACGTCGCCGAGTCGAACTGCCGCCGCAAGTTCTGAGCCGACGCTTTCTTTACGCGGTCATCGCCGATCCGCATGGTGGCGATAGCCTCCCATGCCTCCTTGGCCGTCTCCTTGTTCGCGATCACCGGCCACATTTCCGGCGGCACGGCGCTGCAGAGCGCGTCAAGCGCCTGCATGTCTTCGTGGGGTTCGACGCCCCCTTTCTCAATGGCGGTCCAGAGCAACCGGGCTCTGAGCTTGACCTTCATGAGCAGTGCCCAGTCGGAGTAGTTGGTCTTGGTGAGCATTGGGAACCCGGTCCCGGCGCTCACCTCACGAATCACCCTCTGGACCACTCCGTCCTTTCCTCCTGCCATAGCGCGTCTCGATTGCGCGTTCTCGATTCCAACGGCTGTACCTTGCCGCGATCGAGTCCCGGCCCGCAACCTGGGAGCTCTGATACCACTTGTTAGAAACTCGCCGGAGAGACGACGGCAGTTAAGACGTCGCCGGCGAGATCACCTTCTGAGTCACAGGAAAAACCCGGCAGGAGGAACAAGGAAGACTATCTCGCTCATTGAAAACCTCTTACAGCCCTCTTTAAATAAGGGAGCAACAAAAGGAGAAAAGGAATAACCGTAAGCAATAAGCAACCTGTTACAGCTCTAGGCGGTGTGCCTCGAGACGTGTAAGGCTTATGCCGTTTCGCGAAAAGACGTGGAAGACATGCAAGGCTCCCCATTCACGACAGTCTTGATATCGAAAGTGAAGGGGCCTGCACAGTGCCAGAGTTCAGCAAAATCGCTCATAATCTCTTGTCAATCCGTGGATGGCTGCACGCCCAAACTGCTGTCTAATGCCGGAAGGCCGTCCGATAAAGCCCGTTGGGTCGGCCAGAGGCCCCGAAATCAATCGCCCATCCGAGACTTACCATCTTGGCGCAAAGTGTTGAGGAAGGATCCAAAGCAACCCTTTTTAGGCGACCATTCAAAATCATGACGAGAGGTGAAATGGGAACCCAGGAATAACGAATCAGGTTTTGTTAAGGCTCGGATTCTTCGCCAAAGATATCAACGTACCGACTTCATACGCTAATCCGGTCAAACCTGTACAGCCGGGGCCGCCGGTCACCCACAACAGAAGGGGGTCCTCCGCCGGGCTCCGCTCCGACTTGACGAAGTAATAGAAGAGGTTCACCTCCTCCAACTCGTCCACCGCGATGTACCTGGCGTCCGGGATCTCTTTCTCCTCAAAATTCGGCCGCAATGTAGCAGGAAGAGAGAAAGGGCGGCTCACCCTGTTTCCAGTTCGAAGGGGAGGCGACCGTCGAATCCCGGCAAGTGAGTGACGAGCGTCAAGCCGGACACAGTCCGCAGCCCTGAAGTCCACAAGACGACAAGCACTAATCCCAGCTCAACTATCGCCGGCGCCATGGCCACCGACACGCAAAACGGGATGGCAAGAGTGGCCGGATCGCGAGGAGGGAGTTGTTAAAGACGTGATCAGATATTTTCCGAGAGATGTGTTTGCTCCGCTATGGTTCCCCCGTTATTTTTATCATTCACCGGCGCCATGGCCCCGTTATGTTAATCTTGTTCTACCAGCCGGTACCCTGTCAGAGTTCATCTGCATTTTCAACGCCATCTGGATTTTCAACGCCATCTGGATTTCCACATCTAGGGCCCACGTTTTTGGCCGCCCATCTACCCTTCTTTTTCTTCTCTTCATTTTCCATCCACATGCTGTCGGAGCCTTCTGTGTCGGCGGATCAAGAAAGATGTGCAGTAGCAACCAAGGAGGGAGAGAGTCATCGAGATCTAGAACTGCTCCACCATCAAGATCAGGTGGTCCCTTAAACCAGAAGAGGAGGACAGGGTAGTCCTCTCCGTTCCTCATTGGCCGAAGTGTCATAGGCCAGAAATCCCCCCTCTTTCAACCCCTTATCTATGGCTTTATCACCCTTTTTCCTTCTATCCTGAATGAGCAGCAACTAAGGCACTCTTTAGAATATAAAAACCTACTTTTTGAATGACTCCCATGAGCCTAAACGAGACCAAGCATGCGATATGGTCTGTCGTAGACGGCTAGCTAATCACTTGCTGCAGCAAATTAGACTGTTTTAATGGGAGGTTCCGACCTTTTGAGAAAAATGACTTGAAATACCATCACCAATCTCAAGAACAATACTGTGATTTCTTCAATGATCACCAATCTCAGCCTAGAGATTGAGGTCATGATTGTACAAAAGGGCATGGCCTGCGGAGTATGGAGGGCTATGCTAGTGGAGTGCCTCTACCATGTCTTCCCTCGCACTCTCTTGGCTCAAGGTCGGGTAAAGTGACCACTGATGGTCACACCAAAGCTATTAGCATTGATAAATGAGGCACTCAACTTGATTGCCACAAAACCTGTCTTCTGTGTCCTCATTTCTCATTACCTGCTACTAATCTTCTCTAAATCGTTCTGTACCCTTCCTTCCTGATCAGTCTGCTTTGCAAGATTCTGTGACCAAGCATTATCAAAACCAGTCAAGGAGGCCTCTACTATCTGAAACCATGCAGAGCTCCCTCTGTCCAAGACCAAGAGGGTAATCAAGGGCATCTACCGCGGCACAATCGTCTTAGCCACACCAAAAAACTGTTAAGATCTTCCCATATAACAGCGGTCACGAGTACATCAAGAGGGGTTTAATCATTTTCTTCATGGGTCATCTCGTTCGTCTGCTTCTCAAAGGAATGGTGCAACAAGGGGAAACAGGCATCTACCAGAGACCTCTTCCCCGAAATCGTTTCAGCCCAGGGAATTCTTTCCCCTGCTTATGTTACTAACAGGACGCCATCCCAGTCCTGCCGCTGTTTTACCCATTGCCTGAGCCCTGACTCCTGGTAAGGGAGCCACAAGCTATTTGTGGCATGCTCCTTCCGCGCCCTCCCACTCAGAAAGTGTATAAATGCACTTGACCAAAAACCTTGAAAGAAATATTTTTCTGACGGAAGTCCCGTTTTTAAAGCCGGAGACGTACTTTCACCGCCACTCTTATCCTCAAGGAGATTAGAATCAACTGATGTGTTTGATCTGATTCGTCTACTCGGCAGCTACCCCCATTGCAAGAATGCCGTTGAATAAAATCTGATTCCAACTAGAGAGAACTGCGGGCAGCTCAAAATGGGATTTTGACACACTTTGACGTGATGCAGAGGAAGACCCCTTAAACAGCCAGTCTTGTGTAGTCTCTCGAGGTGATTAGAATATAATAGGATGTACTCTGCCATGTTCGTAAGACTGATGCCATTTCACTTTCCAATCTAGGCACTCCAGCTAAGTCAACCACTAGTGCAAATTTGGAGGAAGATAAAGAAAGAGAAACTCATGAGCCCCTCTATTGAAGAATGGGAAAAATCACCTGTTCTGTGGATTGACCTCAAAAGCCTTCTTCGTATCCAATTCGGCCAAGTCGAGATCAGAGCTCCCAAGGTAAGCTTGAGCTCGTCTAAAACGCGCTTTCACATTATAGGACTCAACATCAAGTACCTGGTATCGGCAAAACGAAGGACGTAGACATGGGAATCAAGCCTGCTACTTGAGCGTACATCTCTTTAGGAAATTGACGGAGACAACCGAGGATCAAGTCAGAGTCTTGAGGGATCCTAAATCACAGGGGGTGTCACCAGCTCTGAACAAGGATGGCATCAACCTGGCTCCAATGCTTCTATTCCAACGCATTTGAAGTCAACGTAACTCTGAACACAGAATGACTGCGCTTTGAAAATCCTTCATTTTTAAGGCTACATGCACCATTCTTCAGCCTACAAGAGACCCTCAAATCTTTGGACATTTTCCGTTCATCAATCGACAATAATTCATCGTCAAAAATGTATTCCATAGCCTGGAGGAAGAAGAAAATAATGAGAGAGAAAAAGATTTTAAACCTAAAATTATTCAGGTTGCTGTCATTAATAGTGATAAACAAATTGAGTTCCGAGCACCACAACCCCTTACCTTCTCATACGTTTTGGCAGCCGGCTGATATTTACCTGTTTCAAATAGAGAACTGCCATTCTCTTCAATTTCCCTGCTGCTTCGATTTTATCTTGACCATTTAGCTCCCATGGCTCTTTCTCCTGTAATAAAAAGATAAGAAACAAAAAATTATACATACCCAATCTATCTTTAGTTCTTTAAATATTATATCTGGAAAAATACCTTAGTGAAGTCCACCATCTCGATTTAATAAATTAAGGTCGAGACGCAGGAATAGTGGAAAGTTGCCCTTAAATTCACAGTTTCCATACCCATACTCCGGTTGCACTGGAACAAGAGACACCTCACCATCAAATAATACATTTATTTGTGATGAGTTCACAACACTAATGAAAAGACATTTTGAAATGAGTATAATTGGAGAGTTAAATTTCTTTTTAAGATAACAAATCAAAAGATAAAAAAGTAAAAAAAATATTTTTCAAGAGAAATATTCTAGCGAGTTGCTCAAGAAATTCTGTTGAAAATTTAAATTTAAAGAACATCTCCACGGGAGTCTCATGTAAATTAGTTTCAATAAACGAGAAATAAAGTTGATTAAAATGTTTATAGATTTATGATAAGTTTATTATTATGTGTAAGAAGTAGTTGACTATATATTCTATTTAGTACATGTTTGTGCACCACATTTAAAGTAATTTTAGAGAATTTCAGTTCAATAAAGTTAAAAAGAATTTTCAGATATTTAGTAGGCCAAAAATTTCTAGGATTTCCCCATACCAAAAATCATGAACTGAACCTAGTTCTGTATTGCACCAATAGTCCTTATTAAGGATCGTTTCCTTCCAAATTTTTTTTAAAACTCTAATTGTAATGCATGTCCCCATAAACCAAGCCTATCTTAGAATAATGGTAATAAATTACCAAAAGGAGTAATATTTTTTTCATTAATAAAATTATTTTAACATATTAAATGGATTGCATGTTGGTGTTCTTTTCATTCATATATTCTGAATCGTAATTATTTTAAAAAATATTAAAGTTCACATGAGTTTTGTTACCGCAATGATCTTTTTGAAATTGTAGCAAAATCAATGACAAAGTAGGAACAAGATATCTTGAAAATGTGTTTATAAACTATTAGAAATGAATGAATAATCTAATTGACACTTTAAATTTTGCATGAAGTTGATGTACAACGACATATATAGAAGCATGGAAAGTTAACAATGTGGGCCAGATATTTTGAAAATGTGAAGTGGACTCAAGAGATGAGAATATTAATAAAGGCCCAAAATTAGATTAAACCCAAAGAAAACACGAATGATCCATCGGAGTTGTTAGTTTAACAACTACGTTTATGTTTGCTCATTTAAATTTGTTTTTGTAACATATTATATTTTATTTTAAGCGAGAGTTACAACTAATATGAACCTATTTAAAGGCTAACATGTTGTAACTCTAAGACACTTTTGATTATTATGATTTTTTAATTTTTTTTAGAGAGTTTGAATACTTTTCGATCGATACAACCCTTGAGGATTCAAGTGAGTTGTTATTTTGATTCTCTTAGATTTAAGAATCAACTCGTGGATACTAGGGCCTTTTCTAATCCTTGTGAATTCAAAGATTGTCCAAACCATCCTAGTCGATTCAAGGATTGAGGAAAATTGTCACCTTAGTATTCAAGGCCTGATTTTTGTTCTTCTCTCATTCTAGATTCGTGCTTTGTAGATTTAAACTTCAAAATCTCCTATTCTCTCCGGCTTTCACTATGTTAATTCATATTAATAAGATTTTCTGGCCTTTTAGCATCAATGAGAGTTTTAAGATCATTGTAGATTCAATGATGATACAAATTAATCCTTTTGAATTCAAGGTTTAAGTGAAATTCATGTCTTATAGATTTGGGGACTGAATTTCATTGGTTTAATAACTCTTTTTGTGTGCAAGTTATATTATTCTGGAAGTTCGATACGTACAAAATGTTAGGGTTTCATTTTTTAAAAAAAATCTAAACTCTTTGTTCTTGTTGTTTAGAAACTCAAGGCAACACAAGGTGGGCCATGATACCAAAGAGGTCCAAGGAAGCGACTTGTGATGCCTTGAAAGATGTCATGTCAAGCCCTTCAAAAAAGATTCCATTAGCAACGTTGAGGAATATTAGGATCACAAAACAAGGTTACAATGAAAAAATGACTCACAAAATTCCAAAAAACCTACGTGCATGTAAATGTTGTAATTGGAGTGGTGGTTGGGACTGCATGGCCTTGATCGATATTGAATTCATACCATTGGCCAATTTGAAAGACGTAATTTGCTTGTTGAAGTTTTAATTTTTTATTATACTAGAAATTTAGGTGTTTTCTTTTCCCGAGGCTCACATTTGACCTTTTTTTTTGTTCCAACTTGATATCTGGCCATATATACTCGTTGACTGTGATCAATATTATGCCTCGGATATGGTGGTTGGGGAGGAAGATTCACGACACTGATGTTCCCTTCCTTTTACGTCACTATTCGGGCGAGGGGGAGGCAAATCGGTGGCCGGTGCAACAACCCTTCTGGCTGCGGAGGAAGGCGACGGAAGGAGAAACCCTACTGCTCCATGGAGGCGTCGTTCCTCCGCTGAGGGTTCACGCTGACGTCCCCCAAGGAGTACGCCACATCCCCTTGGCTCCACCCCGCCTGGAGAAGCGCCACTGCCAGGGCCCGAACATGGCCCCCCAAGCTGTAAGCGTCGGCCGGCGATGGCTGGCCACTGGAGGATTGTTCGCTGACACCCGCCGACATCATCTCCCTCGCCTCCCTCTTCGTCCATCCCCCTTCCCTCAGCTTCCACTCCAGATGCTCCAGCAATTTCCGCAACTGGGGCGTCGTAACCGTGGAAGCCGTCCTCTCCGGCCGCCGTATAACGCGTCCGCCCTCTGCCAGCTGCGTCCACACATCGATCGGCCTCGGCGATGTCGATGCCCAGGCGGGCGCCGAATCCGGCGGAGAGGGCGCCGCCTTCCCCCCAGTTTCCCTCGTGAATTCCTCACGCTGAAAAAAATCCGTGAGATCGACGTTGGAGCGTCTCACCTCGCCGCCGCGGACGAAGAAGACTGGATTCCCCGCCGTGTTCGGTCGGGAAGGCATGTAGAAGTGCTGGTAAATGGGGACGAGAAGAGGAGCCGTCTCCATTACACTCTCGGCCACTCTCAGAGCTTCGGCAGCGCCGTGAGGCTTCGAACCCCACGCGGACTCGCACCAGAAACGTCCCCACGAGACCTCGTGGAGGAGGTCGGACGTGGGGAGACAGATTAGGAGCTGAAGCTGTTCCGGTGAAGCGGAGCGCCAGTTAGGAAACCCAGTTCCTATCGGCAGGCCCTCCCGGAGGACCTCCCGGAGATCTGGGGGGAAGAAGAACGCGTGGGACGACTCGATCCTCGAGATTTCCTCATCGGAAACTCCTTCCACGACGGGTAAACCCAGTTCACGAAGCCGCCCGACGACCGTCTTGGCGTACGCCGCGAAGGAGAAGCACACACGCGGCGGCCGCCGCAGCCGACGTTGGAGGCCACTTTCCGCGGCGGCGTACTCGTCCTCCGCCGCCATCGGCTAGATTACACGTCCTACTGGGGCTGCACCCGCTGAAACAGTACGACGTTGTTCGAGTCGGAAGGGGAAGAGGGGGGGGGGGAGGGAGGGAGGAGTTGGTGGAGCCGGAGCTGGCCAGGTCAGCGTGGAACGGGCCCTCCGCCGCAACCTCCGAGACCGAGTAACCATTTGCGTTAACAGCGCCACCCCGGTCACCGGTATTTCGGCGGCGAGTGCTGTCGTGTCGCACGTTGGACAAACTCCGTATTCCGCATGGCATGGCCCGCCGAGAGGTCAACCCCCGAGGAACGATCGACCATTTAAAGCTCGGCCCATTACCAGAGGAGGAAGAGTGGAGACTTTTGGTGTCGGACCCCAGAAATATAGTCTAAATGCCACTTTCGTGAGCTAATGTGATCATATAATGCGACATCGACCCTCTCTTTTATTAATTGATCGTTAAATTTTTCGACGAAAAATGAGCCGAATATTTATGAGCGCTTTATTTAGTATGAAATAATGTCAGAGGATGCAACGGTTGACAATGGCCCGAGCTGCTTTTGGAACGGGCTGCCTGGCTGCACCGGGTTCCTTGGCCCAAGGGGCCGCACGGCCTCCTTTGGCTCGTGCGCAGGGTGTCCAAGTAATGACTTGGATACCACGTCAATGATATCCACGGGTCGTGCCCATTTTTGTGGCAGACGTTAATCGTCCGAGTATGGCCATTGGGGCGCTCTGAGTGTTGCTCTGTTCTTCACATCCCCAAATTACGGAAGTGGTGATGCCAGTGTTCTTCACATGCATCCCCAACCAGAGGGGGGGGGTGAAGAGAGAGAGAGAGAGAGAGAGAGAGGAAGGAGAGAGGGAGGAGATAGAGGGAAGAGAGAGAGAGAGGGAAGAAAGAGAGAAAGAGGGGGAGAGGAGGGGGATAGATAGATAGAGAGAGAGAGAGACAGAGACAGAGAGATAGAGGGGAGAGGAGGGAGATAGATAGGTAGATAGATAGAGAGAGAGAGAGAGAGAGAGAGAGAGAGAGAGAGAGAGAGAGAGAGAAAGAGAGAGGGAGAGACAGAGAACGAGAGATAGAGGGGAGAGGAGAGAGAGAGAGAGAGGGAGGAAATAGAGGGAGAAGAGAGAGAGAGAGATAGAGGGTAGAGAGAGACAGAGACAGAGCAGCTGATGTGCCTGTTTCGTTCATCCATTGGGAAGACACGTGGAAAATTTTCAAGATCTATCATCTAATTCAATTCCGAAAAATAATCCTGGTTTTTTTTCGTGAAGAAGTAAATAGCATGGAATGAAGAAGGCCAGATAAGAAGCTCTGACGAGAGATAGGGGCGTAGCTGAGCCTCAGAGGGGTTATTGAACCGGCCAACTCTTCTGACGTCCACCTAAAATGGGAGCACAAACCACAGATGTCCAACATTTCTGAGTTTCAACAAAAATAGCTGATCTAGGTCTGCTAGACGTTGACCCCGTTTTATCCCCATAGACTTGGGAGATTATGATCGTTGGTCGCCCAAGATGGAATCTTGGGTGAGGAAGTAAACGTGTTCAAGTACTACCGAATTATTTATAATTTCAAATTATTAACCAGGAATAATTCAGATTGTATGCGAAAAAAAAACTAAAATTCAATTAGAAAAAAAAAGTGGGAAAAAATAGAGAAAAATAGCGCCGATCACCTCCCCTGGTCATTTATTTTGCTCTGGGGTCTTAATATCGATGGATAATGATCCATGCAGCGGTCATTATCCAAACTAAATAATACAAAAATGGGTATCTTTCTCATTACTGTGAGGGAGGTCCCGGTTGGGTACCGCGAGGGAACAGTTTTAGCCTCATGAGGGTGGAATTATTGCAATTAATCAAAGGACGAGGAGGAGACGCAGACAAACTCCCAGGGGACCTGTCTGTCTGGCGGTGACGGCCCTGCTGGAGCAACCGAGAGGGAGGCGCATTCGGCCCCACTGGCGGACAGCTCCGGCGCCGGGCATGTGGCGGTGTCTCGTCGGGATGGTAACAGCTCCGGCGGCGGGGCCGAGTGGGGCTGAGAAGAACGGCTACAGGCGCAAGCGACGTCTCGTGCTTCCTGCGGAGACGATGGCGCCGGGGATGAGACAGCGACGGTCGGGTGTTAAGCGGGTCCGACGGGACATCCGAACGGGTGGTGGTGAGATAGGTGTCAACGCAGACCGTCGTGCGGCCGACGTGGCGTCTGATTCGGGGGGCGGTGGGGTGGACAAGTGGGACTAGAACGCTTCCGTCAGCCCCACTCGCGCGCGAGCTGGCAGGGGGGGGGCCGGAACAGCCTGTAAACAGCTGTCCTCAAGCTCCCTCGCCACCACCGCTGGCCTGCTCCGCTTCTCTTGTCCACCTAATCCATTAATGGGTTCTCTCTCTCCCCGTACAGCTAGCTCTGCAAGGCTGATAAGATTCTTTCCCTTTAATCTGCTCTTCCATGTTGTTGAGATCTCCCTCCCCTATGGTTGCTGTTCTCCATTATTCTTGGATTCTTACGGTTCTTCCTGCTCGCTCAGTACCAGTTCGAGGCGCTCGCCGCCGCGCCAATCCACACGTCGCCCTCACGCCTCTCCATGGATTCCCCTCCCCCACGCTTCCCAGACCGACGGCTGTTCCAGCCTGGGTCGTCGTCGTCGTCCTCCCGCTGAAGCTGTAGCTCCAGTTGGGGTGAACCTTAAAGCCCTCCTTTCTCTCTCTCTCTCTCTCTCTCTCTCTCTCTCTCTCTCTCTCTCTCTCTCTCTCTTTATCTATCTATCTATCTATCTATCTATCTATCTCTCTCCTGTTCCTCGTCCCGGCCACGGCCTGTGAACCCTAATTCAGTCAGAGGGAAGAAGAGAAGGGAGCAGAGAGCTTAGGAGGAGGAGATGGACCCGTGCCCGTTCGTACGGGTCCTGGTCGGCAACCTCGCCCTCAAGATCCCTGTTGCGTCCAAGCCGGCGCGGTCTGGCGTCCATCCTTCCTCATCGCCGTGCTACTGCAGGATACGGCTCGGGGGGCTCCCAACACAGACGGCGGTTGTGCCGCTGATCCCCCCGGAGAACGCCGTCCCCTCCGACCAGTCGATCACACTCGCTGCCAGCTTTCACTTGGAAGCGGGCGATCTCGAGAAGCTCGCGGCCAAGTCACTGTTCGCCGGTGGCCGTCCCTGCGTGACGGTGGCGATCTACACCGGCTGCCGCGGCGCCACCTGCGGCGTGAACTCCGGCAGACTTCTGGGCCGGGTGGCGGTGCCGTTAGACATCAAATGCGTGGAGACGCGGCCGTGCCTCTTCCACAACGGGTGGGTCTCCGTGGGCAAGGAGGGAGGGAAGAGCGTTCCCTCTGCGCAGCTGCACCTCACGGTGCGTGCCGAGCCCGACCCCAGATTCGTCTTCGAGTTTGGCGGCGACCCGGAGATCAGCCCGCAGGTGTTCCAGGTGCAGGGCACCATGCGGCAGCCCGTCTTCACCTGCAGGTTCAGCTGCCGAAACTCCGACGACCGCTACCAAAGATCTAGGTGCGCCACCAGACCCAGAAAAACCTGCAACTCGATTTCCCTGCAATACGATATGACAATTTATCCTCTTGTGACAGATCACTGCAATCGGATCCGAACTGTTCGAGGAGCTGGCTGAGCTCGCTCGGATCGGACAGGGAGCGGACGATGAAGGAACGGAAAGGGTGGTCCGTCACTGTCCACGACCTCTCCGGCTCTCCCGTTGCCCTCGCCTCCATGGTCACCCCCTTCGTCGCCTCTCCGGGCTCCGACAGAGTGAGCCGCTCCAACCCTGGTGCGTGGCTGGTTCTCCGCCCGGGCGACGGCACCTGGAAGCCCTGGGGCCGCCTCGAAGCATGGCGAGAACGCGGCGGCAGCAGCGACGGCCTCGGCTTACAGTTCGAGCTCCTTCCCGATCCCAGCATCGGCAGCGTCGGCGTCCTTCTCGCAGAGTCCACATTGAGCACCTCCAAGGGCGGAAAGTTCAACATCGACCTAGCCGGAAACAATGGCGCCGGCCGGTCAGTGTCGCCGGCGGGCAGCCCCCGCGGCAGCGGCGACTACGGGTACCTGTTGTCGCCGTTGAACACTTGCCGCGGTTTTGTGATGTCTTCGACGGTGGAGGGCGAGAGGTCGAAGAGCAGTCGGCCGACTGTTGAGGTTGGCGTGCAGCAGGTGGGCTGCACGGAGGACGCCGCCGCGTTCGTCGCGCTGGCGGCGGCGATCGATCTGAGCATGGACGCCTGCCGCCTTTTCTCGTGCCGACTCAAGAAGGAGCTATGCCAGCAGCAGGACTCTTCCTCATGATCAGTATCAAAACTGAAAGCCGCTGCTCCGGAGAGTCGTTCACTTGGGTCTTGTTCGTCGATCCATCTCAGTTATTTTTTGAGAGAGAATTGATAGCTCTTGTATTAATGGTAGAGATTGATGTGGGCAGGAGAACCTGTACAGATGCAACTCGATAAGATGGTGAGAGTGAGTGTGTGAGAGAGAGATCTGTTCATCCGCTGATGTTTTTTCTTCTTCATATTCTTCTTGCGAGGTTGCTCGTGTTCATTCCAACGTTGGACTTTCCTGAGCTTCTCGAGCCGCAGGCGGACCTTCGTCTGGTTCACTCTCGAAGGAGAAGATAAAACGGGGCCGTCGACTCAAGATAACGACCCTGCGCTTTATTGTCTTCCTTACCCGATTCTTCAATAAAACTGGAACGCTCTTTGTCTCTTCGTCAAGGTCTCCTCTCATGGCCGACACTTCCTTTCCTCCCCGGCAAGCGCCCCTCTCTCTCTCCTCACGTGGTGGCTGCATTCTGAGTTTACCCCTTAGACCTCTCTCTCTCTCTCACTCAAGGACAGGGCGCATGCCAGAGCAGGAGACACAGAAAAAGAGGGTGCCGCGAACCAGGCGTCCACGAGGGAGAGTGCGATCTAGTGTCAGTGCCTTTACGAACGAGTGACCTCAGATACCTCCTCCCCCTCCAGAGTCAGGGAGAAAGAGAGAGAGAGAGAGAGAGAGAGAGAGAGAGAGAGAGAGAGAGAGAGAGAGAGAGAGAGAGAGAGGGAGGGAGGGAGGGTTATAAGAGAGAATTATTTGCCTAAGATTACATAAATTTCAGGTCGTCTGAAAAAAGGTCAAGGTGGACGTGGCGACTCCGTTGAACATTGACCGATTCTGACGACTGCCACGTGGGCAGGTCATCGACGTGGACTTGTGCCCTTTGGATGAGGACACGTAGAAAGATCTAACTGGATCTTTTTTCGTGTCCCTTCACCCTTTTCTCGCTCTACACTCTCTTTCTATACCGTCTCCATCGCCACCCCCTCCCCCCCTCCCCCCTCGATGCTCTTCTTCGCGGATCTGATCACATCGATGGAGATGGTGCAGAGAAATGCGCCCGCTCGGTCCTCCTGCTAGCGCGTGGACTCGCCACTGCCTCTGCTTTTGACTTTAAAGTGCAGGCTCACGGGTGCCGTGTTTTATATCAACCTTTTCGGCAGAGGCTGGTCCGTAACCCGAGGGTAGAACAACCCCCAACTAGAACCCTAAAGAGGCGTTCTGAGAAAGGGTATTCATCTCTCTCTCTATCTTTCTCTCTCTTATACATGTAGACTTCTTTTGTTCATCCCTCTGAGATTCTAAGGTATGTGAATGTTTTGTTTATAGGTGTCTTAGTCGGTAACTGTTGCCTTGGTATTCTTCGTTTGCGAAGAAGGGGGATGATATACCCGACCTCGCTTTTTCTTCGCATCGTTTGCTTCCTGTTTTGCTGCTTCGGTGGTTTTGGAAAAGCGGTCGTTCTCGAATCGCAGACATTTTTTGAGGTCGAAGAGCTCTTTGTGCGGCGATTTGGTGATCCCTTTCTGGTGCGGTTGTTTGCTCTAGAACGGTTTCTCCCCTTCCTTGTTTCTGAAATGATTGCCGATTGGATCACTTTATTCCTGAGGAAGTTCATCGTTGGCTGCATTTGGCGTTTTGGGGGAAAACCAGAGATGCCAGGATCTCTAATTCTTCCATTCTGATGCGTTTCTAGTAAAACCCTAATGTGCTGCTTCTAGATGATTATTTCGAGGTTTGATCCGTATGTGCCTAGCTATAGTCGCCTCCCTCCGAAATCCGAGAGAAACTGCGACTCACATCGGGATCTTCCTCTGTTTAGGTATCGATTCGAAGACAACAACCATTTCGGTGTTCTTCGAGTTCGAAACTCACCATGATGAGGCAATCGTCCATTAGAATCCACAGAAACAGAGGATGGAAGGTGAAGCATGTGCTTCAGATTTGTCTTCTAGTGACAGTCTGCGTGTGGTTGCTCTACCAGGTGAAGCATTCCCTTGAAAGGAAGAGATCCTCGGAACTGGGGATCTCGAGAGCTTCAGAGAGGATTGAGGATAGCAGACCAGAGCCTTTGAAGCTGGGAAGGAAGGATCCCCAGCTAAAAACTGCGTCTGTTCCGACCGATAGCGCGGCCCACAGTGACGACGAAGAAAGCGAAGAAGCTGAAGACGCAGCAGAACAACAGGAAGACAAACAGAATGAAGGTGAAGAGGAAGAAAGCGCAAACGGGGAGGACGACATGGACGACATCGATCGTGAGAGATCCGATGGGGAAGCTGATGATGGAGAGGGGGCTGGAGACGGAGAAGAGAAGGAATCCCAGCCGGAGGATCCAAATCTCCCTGAGAATGACCGTGAGGAGGCCGATGAGAATTCTCAGGTCTCACGGGAAGAGAATTATAAGGCAGATGATGTGTCCAGCGCTGTCGGTAGGGATACTCCGGAGGAGGCTCGAGATCACAGTCACCTGAGCATCGTTGAGAGGCCGCAGAGCAAAGAGAAGGATGGACTGCAAGAGGGAAGTGCAGCTGATCCGACCGGCACTGCTCTGGAAGAACATCAGCTGCATGAATCTCCTACAAATGCTTCACGGAAGGACACAGCTGTTGAGGAAAGAGGCTTCGTGATTGGGCCACCTCCTAATTCTACAATAGTGAACGTTTCTGCCGGCTCTGTCATGGATCACAACAATACAAGAGCTTCTGTTAGCGATCTCCTGGAGGAACATGGCAGTGATTCCACAAGATCCGAGCCCAGCAATCACATTTTGCCTGGTAACTCCACAGCTTCTGAGCCCGATAATCAGACTGACTTCGGCAATTCCACGATACCCAAGCTCGGTAATCAGACTGAACTGGGTAATTCCATAATATCCGAACCTGGTAATCAGATTGAGCTCGGTAACTCCACAATATCTGGGCCTGGTGATCAGATTGAGCTTGGCAATTCCTCCATGTCCGAGCCTGGTAACCAGATTGATCTTGGTAACTCCACTGTATCCGGGCTTCATAATCGGAATGATCTCAATTTTTCCACATTAGCCTTGCCCAGTGATCAGACTGATCACGTTGATTCCTCAGTATCTGAGCCCGGTAATCAGATCGAGAATACAGAAACACATGGTGTTTCCACGGGGAACGATACCCAGTCAACGGATTTTCCACAAGAGACGCAGAGTTCAGCGAATGAGACGCTCACTCCAACGGCAGAGGAATCCAGCTCAGAAAATGTTTCACCTTCGGTGCTTGAACAGAACGAAGTGACCCGAGACAACTATGATTCCGACATTATCCCGCCTCAGAACAGAGTTTCTAATGTCACCGAAGGTGTAGCAGAAGAAGATCACGAGGCGCTGACCGATCTCTCCAGAGTACCAGAGATCCATCTTGGGACGGAGAATCCAGAGGACCAAGGCACTGCTGCAGAGTAATCTTACAGTAGCTGAAGCGCGTCTAACTCGGGGGACGCGGCCCCAAGGGTCTGAGGTACCCTCTGTCCTGGCTGTTCTGTAGAGTGTGAGTTTTAGAGGGTACAGGTTACTGCTGCAGACTGGCTTCCGGTTCACTCACCCGTCTTCTTCGACTTTGACGTTCAAGAGGATCTTGGGAAACAGGCGGAAGGTTGACCCTTCTCCGGCGATGAACGCCGGGAGGCCCTTCTCGTGCTTATTCTGAACCTGTTTGACCGCGGTGAGGCGTTGACAGCATTTCGTTCGACTCTACTGCTTCTGCTGATCCCCGTGCCTTTTCTCCGTTAAATATGGTCTGGAGGACGCCCTCTATGCCGGACCCTTCTGATCTTGCGCTTGATCTCCCCTGCTTAGCTCATCCCCGCTGTCATCCAACTGAGAACTACGTTGACCTAGATCGACATACCACAGAGAGGGAGAGAGAGAGAGAACTGTTTGAACACCTCAAGAGAGTGAAGTATAGGGAAGAAGAGTGTATGTCCCTATTAGTAATGTACAGAACGGTAACGAAAGAAACGATTAACGAATGGCCAGTATCATCTTTACACAATCATACCCCTTTCCCTGCTCTTGCTAGTAGAGCTACCGTCGCCGGGTTTCAGGGAGTGGAATCCCGGTCCACTGAGAGGAAACGCGTCGGCGGAGATGGAGGAAAGAGACGACGTGTTGATGCGGTGGAATATCTCGTTCTGCAGCGCTTCCAGTACGCCGCCGTCGAGGTAGATTGACGACAGCTCCGGTGGGGATGCGTCGCCGTCGAGATAGCGCATCACTTGTCTCATGTTCGGCCGATTGGGCGGCAACGGGTGGGAGCAGAGCAGCCCGAGTTGCAGCACCAACTCCATCTCCTTCCCCTCGTACTTCCCCTCCAGCTTCGGGTCCGCACAGTCCAGAATGGTCCCCTTTCTCCAGTTCTTCAGCACCCAGCCCAGCAGCAGCACCTCCTCCTCTGGGGCCTCTTGCTCTATTGGCCTCCTCCCGCAAGCCGTCTCGAGAAGCAGGGCCCCGAATGCGTAGACATCAGCCTGCTTCGTGCTCCTGCCGGTCCTCGTGAGCTCAGGTGCGAGGTACCCGACGGTGCCGACGACGTGAGTCGTCATCGGGTAGTTCCCGTGGTCGTACAGTCGAGCCAGTCCGAAATCTCCCAGTCTCCCGTTCAGCTCGCCGTCCAGCAGCACGTTGCTGGCCTTGACGTCCCTGTGGATGACGATCTTCTCCCACTCCTCGTGGAGATAGAGGAGCCCCGAAGCGACGCCTCTGAGGACGTGAAACCGCTGTTTCCAGTCGAAGGTCGGTCTCCTTTGGTCGAAGATGAGCTTGTCTAGGCTGCCGTTGGGCATGTAGTCGTAGACCAGGAGGAGCTCTCCCTTCCGCCGGCAGTATCCTCGGAGCTGGACGAGGTTCCGATGCCGGAGCCGACCGATGCTCGCGATCTCTGCGATGAACTCCTTCATTCCTTGCCTGGACTCGTGCGAGACCTTCTTCACCGCGATTTCCATGCCGGAGCTGGAAAGGGCTCCCCTGTACACCCTCCCAAAGCCCCCCACGCCCAAGAGCTCCGCTTCCTTGAACCCCCTCGTCGCGTCGTACAGGTCCTTGTATGAGAACCGCTGAGGCCCGTACTCTTCCTCCCAGTCTTCAAGCAGCTCAGAGTATCGGATCTTCCTCGCCAGGACGAACAGTCCCGCAGAAATTGCCAGCAGCAACAGGAGGGCTATCCCCAGCGACAACGACAGGGCCAGAGCCAGTCTGTTATGCCTGGTTTTTCTGCTAGGAAGCGAAGGGAGGCTGGAGATGTTGAGGGGCCGAGCCTCCCCGTTCATCTTGAAGCTCCAGCCGAGAATGTAGTGAGAGGATGAGAAGGAGCCCGTAGAGGAAGAGAAACCCACGAACATCTCTTCGAGAAAAATTTCAGAGAGATTGACCGTCGAGGACAGGAGAGGGATGAGGGGCTTAATCACTCCCAGTGGAGAGAGGGTGACTTTAAGCTGCATCTCGGTGCCATCAAAGTCGATCCAGACCTGCATCGGGTCGCCGCTGATCAGCGAGAGGTTCTTGAAAATATCGGTCCCGTTGGCGAAGTACCCCGCTGCGGAGGAATTAATGGATACCACGCTGTTGACGTCGATCCCGACATGGTTATCATTGATGTCCGCCAAATCGGGGTTGTAGATGGTGTCGAGCTCAACGGCGACGAGGTGGTTGGTGGAGTTGCCGTCGGTGGACGGGCTGAGTATCCCCAAATACTGGTAGCCGAAGTTCCTGCGGAGGTCCTTGGACGGCGAGATGACGAAGGCGATGCCATTCCCGCTGAGCTGGGAGTAGCCGGCGAGGATCCCGAAGACGAAGGTGGAGGAGAAGGAGGAGGCTCGTCCTGCAGGAGATTTCTTGAATTGGAGGGGAGCAGAGTAGAAGGCTTGGCCCTTTAGGTTGGTGCCATTGGTCAGCCTCAGAAGGCCATCAAGAGTGATCTCCGCCATGCCGTCCATGCTAAGATTGCCCCGAGCCCGACTGAATCCATTGAAGACGAAGTCGCTGTCGTCGGAGGATGCAAGCTCGAGAAGCAGGAAGAGGAGGAGGAGAGCCCTCCATACCGTGATCGGGTCCATCCAAATGTTTTTTGGGCCGCTCAAGTGCTACTGCTTCCCCTTTATTATCTTCCCTGAGTATCCGCGTCGTTCTCGTCGGTGTTCAAAAAATCTCCGGGCTGAAGACGACGGGTGCGAATCCGTTCCTCTGCCGGCTCACCAAGCTGATGATTTCTCGGTCAAGGAAGCAGGAAGCAGGAACATGGCAGCGGAGGCCGGCTGCTTGCGAACAATCTTATCCAAGGTAGTCAACCGCCCCTACGCTACGCTCCGAGGAAAGAGAGAGGAAACCCACCCCCCGATAGGTTAGGCGAGGGGAGAGCCGGAGAGTCAACGACGACGCAGCGCGAAGAGGAGTTCCATGTTTCTACGCTAAACAGTCCCGGTATCATGGTGACTCGCTCACAGATGATCTTACAAACGATTTCCCTGGGTTGGACCAAGTCTATCGGGGGGGCCATTAATGGAGGACGGAAGGTCTTCTCGGCGAGACAGCGTCCCCTGTGGACTATTGATCTTCCGGCGGGCCAGTCTGTGGCAGGGGGACTCCCCCGATAGGCCCGCACTGTAGTGATGAACGAAATGTGGGATTTGGATCGAGTTATTACGCCACGAACATGAGAAGAATCAAGCGGTCAAAGAAGAGAATGTGGCAATATTTCAGTCCGTAAGGGAATGATGATCCAGGTGGAAGGGTACATCATCTGACGGAGAGAGATGGCGGTGGTCATCGGCCACCCGAGAGCAACGACCGAGAAGCGGAGAAGGCGGTGAACGACGGCGCTTGATCGTCCAAGGCCTCGTTGTAGATCAGCGACATCACCCCGTCGTTCAGATAATTGGACGTGAATTCCGGAAGGGGAACCTCTCCTTTCAAGAACTGTACCACCTGGCGCATGCTTGGCCTCGCGGTGGGCATGGGGTCGCAGCAGAGCAATCCCAGCCTCAGAACCATCTCCACCTCCTCCGGCGCGGTGTAGCTCAGCCGCTGGTCAGCGGCTTCCACGATGGCCCCCCTCTTCCAGCACTCGAGAACCCAGTCAACGAGAACCACCTCCTCCTCCGGCGCCTGCGGCTCCAGCGGCCGCCTCCCGGAGGCCACCTCGAGGAGGAAGACGCCGAAGGCGAAGACGTCGGTGGCCTTGTCGGCCTTGCCGGATTTGGTCAACTCGGGGGCGAGGTAGCCCATCGTCCCTACCACGCGGGTCGTCTGAGGAGTGGCGCCATGGTCGTAGAGCCTGGCCAGGCCGAAGTCACCCAGTCGCCCGTTCAGATCGCCGTCCAGCAGCACGTTGCTGGCCTTGACGTCTCTGTGAAGGACGACCTGCTCCCACTCTTCGTGGAGATAGAGGAGCCCCGAGGCCACGTCCTTGATTATCCTGAACCTCTGGTTCCAGTCGAGCTTCGGAGGGTTGTGGCCGAACAGCATCTTGTCGAGGCTGCTGTGGGGCATGAATTCGTAGACCAGGAGGAGCTCTCCTCTCCTGCGGCAGTACCCGAGGAGCTGGACCAAGTTCCGGTGCCGGAGACGGCCCATGCTCAGAATCTCCGCCACGAACTCCTTCATCCCCTGCTTGGAATCGTGGGATACCCTCTTCACGGCCACTTCGAGGTTTGAGTTGGGCAAGACCCCTCTGTGGACTTTGCCGAAGCCCCCGGTTCCCAGAAGACCCTTGTCGCTGAATCCCTCGGTCGCCATGAACAGGTCCTTGTATGCGAAGCGGCTCGGTCCGTACTCCACCTCCCAGTCCTCGAGAAGCTCCGAGAATCTAATCTTCCTTCTCACAAACCATGTCGTCCCGGCCACAGTGCCGAGCACGAACAACGCCAGAGCGATGGAGATCCAGATGAACCAAGTCTTCGTCGCCTTCCTCGTCTCCCTCTGGGGAAGGGAAGGGAGGGAGGAGAGATTAAGAGCCTGAGCCTCCCCGTTCATCTTGAAGCTCCACCCGAGGATATAATGAGACGTCTGAAATGGGTCCGAAGAGGACGCGAAGCCCATGAACATCTGCTCGAGGAAGACGTCAGAGAGATTGGTTGGGGATGACAACAGTGGAACTCTGGGCTTGGGTTCTTCCATGGGAGCCAAGGTCACGTTCAGCTGCCCAATGTCGCCTTCATACTCGACCCAGACCTGCAGCCGCTGGCCACTGATCAGACTCAGGTTCTTGAATCCACTGCCGTCGCTCGGATAGTAACCAGCCGGAACAGATCTGCTTGACCGCATGCTGTTGATGTCGATGCCGACATGGTTGGTGTCTATGTCTCCGAATTCAGGGTTCTGGATGGTGTCTAGCTCCACTGCGAAGACGTGGTTGGAGGAGTTGCCATTGTTTGAAGTGCTGAAGAGACCCATGTACTGATTCCCTAAAGCTCCGGAGAAGTCCTTGGAAGGGGAGAAGAACAAGGCGATGCCATGGCCGCTGAGGTCGGTAAACTCGGGGACAATCCCGAACACGAAGGTGGAGGAGAAGGAGGAAACCCTGGTCCCCAAGGATTGTCTGAAGCGCAAGGGGGTGGAGAAGAAGGCGTGGCTCTTGATTTTCTTGGTGGTGTTGGTCAGCCTCAACAATCCCTCGCCTGTTATCGTGGCCCCGCCGTCGAGGGTGAGCTGGGCTCCCCGGAACCCATTGAAGGTGAACTCGGTCTGCTCCTCTGGGGCCGCCTCGCGAAAGAGAAGGAACAAGAGAAGAACCCTAATTAGCATCCCCATAACTCCTCTCTCCAAGAAAGAAAACTCCTCTCGCCTCTGATCCTGTAGATGAGGACGAACATGGAACATCCCCACTCATCGGTGCCCGTCATCCGCCAGCCACCAACCCTGTCCAAGGCCGGTCAAATTCCGAAAGACGGAGAGCTTCCGATGAGCTTCCGCCAGAACAGCGAGACCTGAAATAAAATCTCCCCGTCAAGCCCCCTGATTATCCACCTTCGCGCCTCAGTAGTCGTCGGCATGAAAGGCCGCCGAGGACCAGGAAGGCTCACGGAGAGAGAACACGCGGAGGGAGGAGGTGGACAGATGTGTCGGCGCTTCAGAAAACCAGACCCATCCATCGCAACCAGGTTCGGCCAGGATGGGACAGCTTGGAATTCGCGGCTGGTTTGGAAAGCTGCGGGTGTGGGGGGAACGACGCCAAACTTTCCATCCTTCACCTCCTCCCAGTCTTACGACGAAAACTATGGTATTTCATTTTTAGCCACACTATATAAAAAAACACATTTTTAGCCATCTTCTTTATTGAAAGCAAGTTAAATTGTCTACTGAAAAAATAATATGCTAAAAAAAAATCCCCGTTATTTTCCGTTATTATTCTCGTAGGCCCCCTTTCAGTCAAAGTCAACGAGAGACCTCAGAAGGGGGGGATACGACTGGAGTTGTTCCACCAACCTTGGCAGGCGGATAAGGGTAATCCAAAACCCAGGACTAGCCTGATAGAGCACATAATAGTTTATCATTGATATGTCTTTCGGGACTCATTTGGTAAATTTAAAAATAGCATTGAATTTAAGAATTAAAAATTCCCATTGACTTTGTTGTTGACTCCTTGCTAAATATGGACGGTAGTAAGTGGATGGTAATGACCGTACTAAAGTAATGTCCAATAAAAGTCAAAACCAATAAAAGCGATGGTAACTCCCCGTTATATAATAAAATTTGTTATTAAGAACGAGAAAGCCAGAGGACGAGGCTAACACCATGAACGAAACAGAAGGACCATTGGACCAGCAGCCCAAACAATAGTCGTCGCCATCAAACCGTAGATATAGAGTACAAAGAAGAAGGCTCATTGCGCCCGCTAGTCCTACAGGCCAGGCCCATCGTCGTCTCCTGCCGATGGTCCGGTGACGCGATTGAGTGGGAAATCAGGTGGAAAAGATCTGGGCATGGCGTCCCCAACGGGGGAGAGGAGAAGCGGACGCGGGTAATCAGCGATCCCCGTGGAGAAGGGAATCCTCGGAGAGGGAGGAAGGAGAGGACGAGACCAGGCAACTGGCGATGGCCTCCGTCTGCAGGGACTCGACGCCGTTGCTGTCGAGAAAGTATTCGACCAGCTCCGGGAGCTCAGCGGCGCCGCCTAGATACTGCACGACCTGCCGCATGCACGGCCTCCTCGCCGGCGAATAGTGGGAACAGAGCAAACCGAGCTTCAAGACCAACTCGACCTCCTCCTCAGAGTAGTCGCTTCCCAGTCTCCCATCCACAGACTCCCGAATGGCTCCCCTTCTCCAATTCTTCAGCAACCAGGCCACCAAGGTGAAGTCCTCCCCCGGCGTATGTGAGTCAAGTGGCCTCCTTCCACAGGCAACCTCCAGAAGGAAAGCTCCAAAGGAGAAGACGTCAGTGGCCTTGGAGGCGACGCCGGTTGTCAGGAGCTCGGGGGCGAGGTAACCTGGTGTACCCACCATGCGGGTGGAGGTGGGATTGTTGTCCTCATTATCGTACAACCTGGCGAGGCTGAAATCTCCCAGTCTCCCGTTGAATTCACCGTCTAGTAGGACATTGCTGGCCTTGATGTCTCTATGGATGATGGACATCTCCCACTCTTCGTGCATGTAGAGGAGTCCTGCGCCCACATCCTTTACGACACGAAATCTCTGGGCCCAACTAAGAGTAGGATGATTGGGGTCATGGAGGAACTTGTCCAGGCTGCTGTTGGGCATGAAGTCGTAGACCAAGAGGAGCTCCCCCTTCCGCCGGCAGTACCCAAGGAGCTGGACGAGGTTCCGGTGCCGCAGCTGGCCGATGGTGGAGATCTCCCTGATGAACTCCTTCATCCCTCTTGTGGATTCTTGGGCAACTATCTTGACTGCGATCGCTTGTTTGGACCCGGGCATCACGCCTCTGTAAACCCTGCCGAAGCCTCCCGTGCCAAGAAGCCTCCCGTCTCCGAACCCTTTCGTCGCATAGTACAGATCCTTGTAGGAAATCCTCTGGGAAGAGAAGTCGGCTTCCCACTCTTCGAACAGCTCCGAGAATTTGATCCTCCTAATCACAAGGAACACCACAACGGCGCATATGATCATTGCCAATACAGGCACGAATATGGGCACCCAAATATCTGCGGCCCGCGCCCTCCCCGAAGACCCATGTCGAGGGAGAGGAGGGAGGGTAGACGGGTCGAGGGCTCTCGCCATCCCGTTCATCCGGAAGCTCCAACCGAGTAAGTAGTGCGAAGTTCGAAACGAGCCTGTCGACGAGGAGAAGCCCACATACATCGTCTCAGAGAGGACATTTGTGAGGTCGACGGCAGCCGATATGAGAGGGATCTTGGGCTTAGATATCTGGGTGGGAGAGAGCGTGATGTTGAGTCGCCTCTCCGAGGCATCGTAATCCACCCAAGCTTGCAAGGGATTCCCACTGATGAGTGTCAGCTCGTTGAATCTACCGGAGTCATCATCGAAATAACCAGCAGGAGAGGAATTAAAGGAGATGTAGCTGTTAATGTCGATTCCTACATGGTTGTCGTTGATATCCTCCATATCCCTGTTATGGATCGTGTCCAGCTCGACGGCAAAGATGTGATTCACTTCGTCGCGGGAGCTAGACTTGTTGAAGATGCCGAAGTATTGATTACTCGTGGCTCCTCGGAAATCCTTCGTAGGAGAGATGACGAAGGCAATACCATGGCCGCCTATTCCCTTATTATCGGGAACGATGGCGAAGACGAAGGCGGATGAGAAGGATGAGATATTACCGGTTGGGGAGCTCCTGAAGCGAATTGGGGCTGGGAAAAAGGCGTAGCCCGTCTGGAGCCTCTCGGGGCTCGTTAGCCTCAGAAGGCCGTCCGGGGAGACGACCGCTTTGCCGTTCAAGCTCAGATTTGCAGAGCTTAATCCATTGAAGAAGATGTCCTCATCATCGGAATCTCCCAGCTTGAAGAAGAGAAACAGCCACACGAGAAACTTCACGACGCTCCGCTGACCTTTCCAGATACACATTTGTTGATGAACGGTGTAGGTAGGGATATCAGAATCTTGAGATATCTGTACAGCTTCCTGAAATCTCTCCTCTTCGTCATCCGAGTTCTTCCTCCTGAGAGTACAAATAGATATAAGGACTGATATCTCTCTCTGCTTCATGGTTTGTCCTTAGGAATCACCCGAACCAGGTCAACTTAACCGAATCCGGCTATATTTTACTGGGCCACAACCTGCTCCGGATATACGTGCTTGAAGGGTTTGAATGGTCCAAGTACGAACCCGACCTGTGATGTCTCTCTTGGGTTAATGAACAATCCCAAAAGGGTAATTCTGAACAGACAGGGTGGTGGTCCACCCGCAACGTTGACTAGATATCTTTCAGGCATATTTCAAGATAAGTGGGAAGAAACCTCGTAGTTGCCCGACGTTACGTATCGTCCATTAAAATCCGGTGACTTGTGGACCTTTTCTTCCTCTGCGGTCAAACGACACCCTTCAACATTTGACTTTCAAGCCCTGTGACCTGTCCAACGTCAACATTCGTGAATAGTTCAAATTGAACTCAGGCTTTGCTATGAAGGCAGGCAATATGAGCTTTCTTCTCGTTTTCAGATATTAGTCAACGTGGAAATTATCGCCCAGAAAGTTGATTCGGGAAATTCGGAGAGAGAGAGAGAGAGATGGAGAGGGGGGGAGAGAGAGGCGAGGAGAGAGAGAGGGGGGGGAGAGAGACGAGGAGAGAGAGAGAGAGAGAGAGGGGAGGAGATAGAGGCGAGGAGAGAGAGAGAAGGGGGGGAGAGAGACGAGGAGAGAGAGAGAGAGAGGGGGGGGAGATAGAGGCGAGGAGAGAGATTTTGATCTCAACATGAAGATTCTTTCGGGGAGACCTTCGTCGTCTTCTAAAGTCAGTTGCAACTTGCAAATATTTTAACGTCCAAATGGAAAATCCCCGGACACATCGAATCTTAACGTCCGCAAGACGATGAACGGATTTCATGGCGAGCATCCGACTGGGCTAGATCATCGGCCTCCGGACACAAGAATCTCGGTGAGGGAGGAGAACGACCTGCTGTGATTGTCGTAGGCTTCGTTCTCTAGCAACGTCTGAACGATAGGGTTCAGAAAAGTAGATTCGTGATCGGGGAGGGGACCACCGCCTTCCAGGAACTGCACCACACGCCGCATGTTCGGCCGCACCCCCGGAAGCGGGTCACTGCAGAGCAAGCCGAGCCGCAGGACCAAGTCCACCTCCTCCATCGCGCAGTCTCCCATTCTCGGGTCTGCGACCTTCAGGATCCTCCCTCTCCGCCAGTTCTCGGCGACGAAGTCGACAAGAACGATCATTTCTTCCGGCTGGTGCAGCTCCAGGGGCTTCCTCCCGCAGACAACCTCGAGAAGGAAGACGCCAAAGGCGAAGATGTCAGTGGCCTTGGACGCCCTCCGCGTCTTGATTAGCTCCGGCGCGAGATATCCCAACGTGCCTACCACGCGAGTCATCTGAGGATCGGTCCCGTGGTCGTAGAGCCTCGCCAGGCCGAAGTCCCCCAGTTTCGCCTCCATGTCGCCGTCGAGCAGTACATTCCCGGATTTGACGTCTCTGTGGATGATAACCTGCTCCCACTCTTCGTGCAGATACAGCAGAGCCGAAGCCACGCCCTTGATGATGCGGAACCTCTGCGCCCATTTGAGTCTCCCCCCTTCCGGGCCGAATAGGAGCTTATCGAGGCTGCCATTGGGCATGAAGCTGTATGCCAGAAGGAGCTCCCCTTTCCTCCGGCAGTAGCCCTGGAGCTGCACCAGGTTGCGATGCCGGATCCTGCCCACGCTGACGATCTCCGCCACGAATTCCCTCATCCCCTGCCTCGACCCGTGGGAGACTTTCTTCACGGCGACCTCTTTCTTTGATCCGGGAAGAAACCCTCTGTAGACTGTGCCGAAGCCTCCGGCCCCCAGGAGCTGCTTCTCGCTGAATCCCCCGGTCGCTTCGAACAGATCCTTGTAGGAAATGCGGCTGGGCCCCCGTTCCATCTCCCACTCTTGCAGCTCTGCGAACCTGGCCCTTCTCCTCACCACCAACACGGCGGCGCCGGCGGCGGAGAGTACGAGAAGAGTCGTCGCAATGGGGAGCCAGATTCTCAGTGCCTTCTCACTCTTCTCCGTCCCCCCCCGAGGGAGAGGAGGCAAGCGGGAGAGATCCAGCGCTGGGGCTGTCCCGTTGACCCCGAAGCTCCAACCGAGAAGATAATGAGACGTGAGGAATGGGTCCGAAGATGAAGAGAAACCCACATACATCTCCTCCCGCAGAACGTCGGAGAGGTTTACCGTTGAAGACAACAGAGGGACCCGGGGCTTCGGAAACCCCATGGGCGACAAGGTCACCTTGAGCTGCAGACTGAGGCCATCGTACTCCACCCAAACCTGAATCGGGTCGCCGCTGATGAGGCTCAGGTTCCTGAAAACGCCGTCGCCGGCGAAGTACCCCGCCGGAGTGGAGTTGAATGATCTTAAACTGTTTATGTCGATCCCTGCGTGGTTGAAGTCGATGTCCTCGAACTCGGGGTTGAAGATGGTGTCGAGCTCCACCGCGAGGACGTGGTTCGAGCGATCGCCGTTGCTGGTCGCGTTGAAGAGCCCCATGTAATGGGCACCAATTGCCCCCCGGAAGTCCATGGAAGGGGAGACGACGAAGGCCACGCCATGGCCACTGAGCTCCCTGTCCTCGGCGACGATTCCGAACACGAAAGTGGACGAGAAGGAGAAGACGCCGCTCGTCGGAGACGCTCGGAACCGAACAGGCGACGGGCGGAAGGCGTGGCTCGCCACCAGCTTCGTTGTGTTGGTGAGCCTCAGAAGGCCGCCATCGGTGATCTCTGCCACTCCATCCATGCTCAGCTTCGCTCCTCGGAACCCGTTGAAGGTGAACGCATCTTCTTCATCCGAGCTCCCCAACCCGAGCAGGAGGAAACAGAAGAAACTTACTTTCGCATACATCTGAGATCTCCTTCGCCTAGCTGTCTTTCCCCCCTCGGCGCATTCTCTCGGGCCGGGCCTTTTCTACGTTGCTGCTCTCGTCTCATTAAGAGGTTAAAGAATATCGGGGGTTGACTGTGAGGCTTCCTATGCGGCTGAGTCAAATTTGACGAAGGCGCTCCCGCGAACATGTGCCATTTGGGCTATAAAATAATGGGAAGGCCGCATCAATGGTCCTGGTGAGGCCGGGTTCGGACCGGATTTACACTATTTTTCCATATTAATTTAGGGCCAAAATTCGTTAAAATTCAAGAAGTGAAGGGTGGAGAGAGAGAGAGAGAGAGAGAGAGAGAGAGAGAGGGCGATTCGCTTTCTTCCACGCGGATCTGAGTCAAAGCACGTGCCATAGCGGATTTGTCAAGGCTTTGCGAGGGGGGCTTCTGTCGCTTTGCAGCCCGCCGTGTCATTCACCTGCCGAGATCGCTCCCAACAGCCCAATTTGGGCCCGTCCATACTCTCTCGAGCGGGGTAAGTGGGCCCACCCACCTCCGCAAGCTTTTTGGATCATTCGGAGCGCCATCCGATTAGGCGATCCGATTTCGACGGGAATTCACTGATAAAAATGGCAGATGACTGGCTCCTGACACGAAACTATATTGAAAAATATATTAATAAATATGTTGGTAATAAAAGTAGTATGAAAAAAGAGATTTATTTTTATTTTTATAAATAAAAAACTCCCCGAAGTGGGCGGCAATTTCCGTAATTTGCTCGCACGTTTGATTCTATTGGACGGCGAGGATGACGAGACGGGATGTGATGAACGGCAGAGATGGCAGTTCCTGCGCCGCCTAGAGCTCTCTCCTCATATATAGCCGGTATAAAAAAATCTTCTCCTCCTCATTGCCGTCCACAACTTCCTTGGCGGCGTTCTTCGTCGCCTTCTTCCCCCTCCGAGCTCCACCGCTTCTATGGCGGGAAGGCACGTCGCCGCCAGACTCGCCCGATCATGCCGCTTCCGGCTGGCGGCGCTCCGCCCTCTCTCCTCCGCGTCGGCTGCTGTTGCGGCGGAGAGCGCACTGCCCCTAGCGGAGACGACCGCCGGCGAAGATCGCGACGGCGGCGTCACAATGAAAGGGGTTAGGATCTCCGGGCGGCCGCTGTATCTGGATATGCAAGCGACTACCCCTGTGGATCCCCGCGTGCTTGACGCCATGATGCCCTTCTTCCTCTCCCGTTACGGGAATCCCCATTCTCGGACGCATCTGTATGGCTGGGAGTCGGATCAGGCCGTGGAGGTGGCTCGTGCGCAGGTCGCCGCCCTCATCAATGCCAACCCTAAGGAGGTCTTCTTCACCTCGGGTGCCACCGAGTCCAATAACGTGTCCGTGAAAGGGTTGATGCATTTCTACCGCAACAAGAAGCGCCATGTCGTCACGACCCAGACGGAGCACAAGTGCGTCCTTGACTCCTGCCGTCATCTTCAGCAGGAGGGCTTTGATATCACCTATCTCCCCGTCCAGAAAGACGGGCTTATCGATCTCCAGCGTCTTGCGGACTCCATCCGCCCCGACACGGGCCTCGTCTCCGTTATGGCCGTCAACAACGAGATTGGGGTTGTCCAGCCAATGGAGGACATTGGTCGCATCTGCAAGAAGAAGGGTGTATTCTTCCACACGGATGCCGCCCAGGCTCTTGGTAAGATCCCCATTGACGTCGACAGGATGAACATCAGCCTCATGTCTCTCAGTGGGCATAAAATCTATGGTCCGAAGGGGGTCGGCGCGCTGTACCTGCGCCGACGTCCCAGAGTCCGTGTCGAACCGCAGATGAACGGTGGCGGTCAGGAACGGGGCATCCGGAGCGGAACGGTGCCTACGCCGCTGGTGGTTGGAATGGGGGCTGCGTGTGAGCTGGCGAAGAAGGAGATGGAGTACGATGGTAACCGTATAGAGGCGCTTCAGGATCGGCTCCTGAATGGAATTAGGGAAAAATTGGATGGCGTTGTGATAAATGGGAGCATGGAGCACCGTTACGCAGGAAACCTAAACATATCATTCGCATATGTCGAGGGGGAAAGCTTGCTGATGGGTCTCAAGGAGGTGGCAGTGTCGAGTGGCAGCGCATGCACGAGTGCTAGCCTGGAACCCTCATATGTGCTTAGAGCTCTTGGGGTGGAGGAGGACATGGCGCACACTTCCATCAGGTTTGGGATTGGTAGGTTCACGACAGAGGCAGAAATCGACCGGGCCGTAGAGCTTACAGTCAAGCAAGTGGAGAAGCTGAGGGACATGAGCCCCCTATATGAGATGGTAAAGGAAGGGATTGATATCAGGAGCATCCAGTGGACTCAACATTGAGATGGTGATAGGTAAAGAGCATCTATGTAAAAATGATGCGAAGTTGAAAGATTGGATGAAGTGCTGCGGTTGGTTAGAGAATGTTACCCTAATGACTTGCTTCGATGCTGGTCAGAGTTCTTTGGTACTCTTACCCTTATTAGTTCATCACTACTATCCGATCTGGATTCGTTAAGTGATTGGATGTCCGGTTTATGTACATCTTCAACTCTTATTAGAGCTATCTGTAGACGAGAAATATAACGTTTTCGTGGCTAAATTGACAGAAAGCCTTTGGATTACGAAACGGTGTACCCCTTTCCATTTTTCTTTCTGGTACTTAGTATATGCTTTTTTCTCTACTATTTTGCATTATTCTTTGTAATAAGCCTGGATTATGTCAAATTTCCTAGGAGCAATAGCCGCGTGGATTATGCCTTGAGGTTTTGTGGATTCCCACTTCTCAAGGTCTGTAAAAACAGGATCATTATGCCGTCCGATGGCCTGAACAGGCATATAATTCAGTACCCGTGTTTCGTTTCTCGAGGGAGGCATTGTTGGTAGCTGACTGGTTTTATAATCGTAAGGGGACGGTTTATGTGGTATCCACTTGTTCGGACCTTATGATGGTAATTGCTATAGTCACATGATCCTTTAGATATTCTGTGGATAGTTTGCATCATCAAGGACATTTCAAATGGCCTGGTTCACTGACTGAACTTACCTTGCCCACATGCTTATTCTGCTCTGTAAATGTTGTATCTGGCATCTCTTTCGGCAGCTGCTACTTTCTTCACCTTGGCAAATATCTCAAAGGAATGCTCATTGCCTTCCATTCTGGTGATCTCCCCAGAGACATGCACACGACATGTAGTCAAGAACTGTTGGGGAAGGGCGGCAGCGTCTCTGAATTTTGTGCCCTTGTCCCTTGTGATGTGGGCCGAGTGCCTAGCCACTGGACTGCGTGGTTTTCTAACTTCTGTGGCTCTAATTTCATATCAATTTCATTGTCAAGACGACGCGACTGTTGCTTTTAATTATTTTAGTAACTATGGCTGTCGGTCTTTCCCAGAATTTATTATATTGAAATGATTTTTTTTGTTTTCTGGATATATCTACCGGTGAAAGCCTGAAGCCATACACCTGAGCTGTGAAAATTCTATCTTTTTTTCCCCTGAACGTAGTCGGACCACCATGCCTACGAAAATTACTGGTCCCTGGGCTCTGTGTTTTCGACCGTACCATTCCTCATCTTCCATTAATTGCGGCTGACAATTTGGGTTAATATGCAGTTGACCTTTATACCTCCATGGCATAGTCTCTCAGCCAATGTCAACGTAATCCTAGTCCAACTGCACTTTCCCCCCCTCTTGAAGCTGTTGTTGCCAAGTACCTTGTTTATCTTAGTGTGCTGAAGTGCTGTTTTATGTTCTTTGTTCTCGACAAATGGAAATGGAATTGCTCAATCAAATAACTTCATCTTGGGCGAATCAGTCAGGAGAGAAAAATGGGAAAGAGCACAAAAAAAAAAGAAAGAAAAGTAAAGTGGTGAATACGGTATGAGCAGAGCATCATGGAGGGAAGGGAATAGAAGACCAAGGCTGAAAGTCTGTCATGATGGCGAGAGAAAGCAAGGCTGGTAAGGTCTCAACAGGGAGGAGTGGGACAGAAATCTACGGAGGAGAAGAAGGGATGGAAGCACAGCCACAGCAGGAGGAAGGAAATGGGAAGATAAATATCGCTGTTGTGTGGTTGCTGCAAGAATTTTAGGGATGATCTAGAGAGGTAGCAGAATGCTGGAGAAATATGGAGTCGCAGGATGTACTGTGAAGATGGAGAGTTTAGTAGATAGTAGGCGAATTAGTTTAATAGATAATCTTATAAAAAGTCTGTCCGTTTGATATTCATGCGTGCTATTGATTGCTTATTCCAGAATTTGGAAAATTTTTATCGATTTTAAATCCTCTTTAAAGCTTCCAAAAACCAGCTCTAAACATATTGCCGGGCACAGAAAATCAAATGGCCGTCTTATGATGAAATGTTAAATATTTTCTTGTTTAATCAGAGGAGGCAAACAGAAGGAAGAACTCCAGGGCGCTGCCTTCTGACTTCTGTTTTTGGCTGGTATGCTTGTCCTTGTGAACTGGGCAGGAGCAGCTTGAATCAGGACCTCACAAGCAGCTGCCGTCTTGCTCATCTCAGCCGCCTGCCTGCTGGCTGGGTGTGGCGAAGTGCTCATCTGGTTGCAGCTTTTTGTGGGCTTTATTGTTTTCTACAGACGTGATGTTTCATGTGAAAGAAGGAGATGCCGTGTACAGGCGCCAAATATATGCTGCGAATCTCTTCCCAGCGAGGAGGGCCAACGAGATGGATACGCAAAGGGAGCCGACCCAGCGGGTCTCTGATCAGCGCCACCAGCTCGCCGTTCTCCTCGTCAGCAGGTGTACAGAGGGATTTGATAGGGGAGGAGGAAGAAAACGGGGGACTATGGACAGGTGGGAGAAATGGGGTGATCGCCGCGTCGCCGGTCAGGGGTCGGTGATCATGCCGCCGCACTCGCACTTCCAGCTCACGGGCTTATAGTTGGATGTGTCGTCGCCCCTGGAGCTCAAGTCCTTGCGGCGCTGCAGTGGGACCGCCGGCACCTGCACCGCCTCGCAGTGGCCGCAGGTGGCGCACCGCCGCTCGCAGCTCGGTGGCCGTGACCCGATCGTCGCCCTCGCCATGATCTTCTCCTCGTCTTCCTTCTCGCCGGAGCGGAGGAAGAGAGGTCGCCGACGAGGTGACAGGGAGAACTGCGCTGTTGATGCGGAAGAAGGCCGCCTCACCTGGGGAGCGCGGGGAAGAAGCTCAGAGACGAGAAACGTCCCCCGAGCGGAGCACAGCGGCAGCAGTAGCAGCAGCAGCAGCGAGAAGAGAAGAAAGCAGGGACCTTTGCGATTCCTAGTGCAACTGCGACAGCAAACCATCTCTCTCTCTATCTCTCTGTGTACCGTTGAGCGGGAAGATGAGGATGGGCGGGGTTATGAGAAGGAAGTCTTCTCTCTCTAAGGTGCCACCGTCTCGACGTGAAAGATGGGCGGGGTTATGAGAGTACAGGAGTGCTATTCTAGCTGTTGGCACTGGTAGAATGCCGCACCTCCCCGTGCCAGCAGTCCGACGGAAACGAGGGGACGCGCGCATACAGACAGCGAGCGATCGATCGAGACAAAAGCCGACATATAAAGAAAACAAAGAGAGACAACTCCTACGCGTATATTCCACAGAGAGAGAGAGAGAGAGAGAGAGAGAGAGAGAGAGAGAGAGCCTGCAATCGCAAGTCTGTTGTATCTTTTTCTTGTGGTTTATTGCAGTACGGGCTGCAGATCTCTCCTCTGTGGGGGTGTTTGCTTCTGAAGGTTGGGAACTCAGGCGGTGGGCAGGCCCAATCCAACACGGCAGCTCTCGCATCCGTCCCTTCTCCCTCTCGGGGATGGAGGATTCTCAGATGGCAGCCTCCGCACCCTCTCCCGCTTTCCACTAATGGCTCCCAAAAGAGACCCATCACCCCAACAGTTTCCCTGTCACACGTCCCCGTCCTCACCGCTTTTCTTGTCGCGGTCACTGCGATCGCCCCATTCCTCTTCCTCTTCTCGATGGGATTTCACGTCTGATCAACCCTAACTTTCTTGAGGAACTCGCGGTAGGCGGAGGGCTTGCCAGCTGGACATGGGGCGGCGCTCCTCGGCGGCGCCGCCGGGCATCCTCCTCCCCACACTGGATGAAACGCCAGAACGAGCCCACATGGTGGGTTGCAAAGTTGATGAGAAACCATTGCCCATTGATGTTCCAATTGAGACATCGATTGAATCGCCTGTGGCTCTCATGGGGGAGGAAGATGGCCTCCTCAGAAGTTCTTGATGTTACAAGTCAGAACCAGCTATCCAGAGAGGCAGCCTCACAGGAGGAAATTGTCAATCATGTGGGAGATCACGTCTGCACCAGCTGAGTTCAAGCACCGGGTCTTGACCTGAACAAATCAACGGCGAAAAGGTTAGTCATTTGATCAGCTTTGGGTTCTCGGTGCCAAGATCAAGCTGCTGTGACGTAGAACAACGCCTCGGCTGCAAAGTTCATTGAATTTCTGACCCAAAACCAAGGTTATATGGGAACGACAGGCAGAATTAATCAAATGGGAAAGCAATGTTAGAGCAAATCCGTGGCTATCACTGGGCTGTTGCAGCCAGGCTCATCCTTCTTTTGAGGAGTGAGTTGGTGTGGATGCTGAGAGCTGAAGGAGCTCCCTCGAATTACCCATATGGCTACAACAATCTTCCATTGCTAAAGAGGACTGATAGCTAATAGGATTGTAGCACAGGAAATTGATGAATTAGATTGCCAACTCTCTCATCCAGCAGAGGAAGAAGCAAGAGAGAATCTTCCTGTGAGTTCACAAGCGCCTATTGAATCCTTGCCAGCCCTGGTGCGAATTGAAGTTACCCAGTAAACCCTATATTTTAAACTGAAAAATCCTAAAAAGCCAATTATTTCCTTGGACTTGACATATTCTTTCTATACTCTTGTAAGCACAGAGAGAGGGTTCTCTCTCTTGCATTCTTCTACCAAGACTAGCTTCACAAAAAAAAAATTTAAAAAGCAAAAAGCATCGAACGGCTGTGTCACACTGTTTTTATTTTTTCTTTATTTATTGAAAGTCAGTTTGAATTGGTTCAACTATACTGAAAAAACAGAGCTTTGTATGATTTTCGGAAGCAAGTACGTGCCTGAATGGTTTCGTGGGCCATGAATCTTTGTATGGTTTTGTGGAAGCTGACGTCTACTCTTTCCCATGGAACCTTGTTGAGGGAATCGATCATCGCCTCTGTGGATATCAGAACAAGAGGAAGAACATAAGAATCACAGTCAGAAGTAACTGAAGGAAAGCATTCAAGGCCGAGATTATCAGTACACAGACTCTTTACACTGATTACTCGATTAGGAATATAACTTGACTACAGATTATTGTGCCCAAGAGCCAAAAATTTGATTATCTAAATATTCGATCACTTTAATAGCAAACCAGCTCATAGCTTGCACAGGCAAAGGCGAAGGTGACTCATTAACTCAATAAACAGTGGCCAGGGCCACAATAACCATCTTTCTTGCATGTTCTTGTACAGTGGCACAGGCTAGGCCTCCATGTCACTCGCTGCAGTTCTCTGACAGCAAAATTAAGCTCTGGCAACTCACCAAAACCTCACGTATGCTTCAATGCCTAAGCTGAAATTCTGTCACGTATAGTACAATTTCCGTTTTTTTCATTTTTTCTGATACTTTAGCTAGATCATGTGATTGAACTCGGATAGAAAAAGTATGGAAGCGTTGACTCTGGATTTTCATTCCCTCTTCTTTGACTGGAAGACGTTCTGAAGTTTTATGGAAACCTGCATACAACTTCAATAAATGATGAAGCTTTAATTCTCTCTTCTGTGTAGAACTTTTTGCCTAGATTTTCATGCGAATCTCCCATTTTTTATTCCTCTCCTAAACCTGCACTTTTTTTTACTGTGGATCATCCAAACCTCTGCTTCAGCATGCTTAACTTCCTAAGGGGAGTCCAAATTCGCCATGAATGGAAAAAAGATGAGCCACTGCTTCAATACCGCTCAAATAAAATCTCAGCGATGAAAGACTGACCCATGTGACCGAAAGGTTATAAATAAATGAACGCGGAGATCACAGTCCATATTTTTTTAAGCGATAAAAGAAGAACAAAAGAACATATCGAAGGCAAACCTTGCAACTCGTTGGTCTTCATGTCAAAATCCAGAGAGGCATCCTGCTCGATATTGACGGCTTTTGGGGGCTCCACGCGCACAATGTGTCGATACCCGCTAATCTTTGTGTGCGCCTTAAGCTGCCGGATGCAGAACACAGTGTGAGTTTTCAGATACAAACTCCAACAGTGACGAGTCTCAGAGTCTACCTTTGGACGCTCATCTTGATGACGGATCGACGAAGTGTTCCAGCCAACAATGTCTATTTTATAATCGGGTTAAGATTTTATCTCAGAAAACAGAACAAATCATGGCCTGCCGAGTTGGGAATTTCAACTCTTTAGCAGATGGAAGGATACGGTCAAAGCGCACATTTGAGTATGCTACAAGCCTCCTAAAAGAACGCAGGGCAGAACTGTGGAAAGAAGACCTGATTGTGAGTCGACGAGGTCAATCCGGGACAGACACCTGGACAAAACGGAGGGTCTGCTCTGTTTGGAACCTTACATGAAATGGAGATCGTCGGAGTCTTTAACCATCTGAACGAGAAGAGGGGGCCTGCCCATGTCGTTGTCATCGAGGAAAAGGTGCCTTCCTGTTCTCCCAAGAATCCTTGAGCTCCGACGTGCCGTCTTTTCAAGGAGGCGAACTCCACAGAGCATTGGTATCTGCAGACAAACTCTGTCACAATTCTGGGCCATAATCTGAGACAGGTTTCCTCTCAGATGGAAAATAGCAGAGAAGAACAGGCTCGGGGCTTTATGAAGATTGAAATGTTCTTTCAGGAAGGAAATTCAGATAGCAAAAAAAGACGAAATCTGCTACAGTTCCGGAGGCTACCAAGGAATCATTCAAGGTGTGTCATTTTTCATAGGGAAGGACATCCCAGAATACAGTGCTTGGTGAAATACAGGAGATAAGTTAACCAACCACCAAACACAGAGAAGATACTCTCACCGTATCATACGAATTATTCCACCCCTTGAATCATCTTTTGGCGGTTGTACAAGGAAAGATACAAAAAAAATGGTTTTAATCGTATATATATTAACTAGCACCCTGTCTTGTTGCTTAGAAATCTAGAACTTGACTTGATGAGAGTTTGTGTTCTGCTGCAAGTGAATAAGATGATGATTGAGCTTGGTTTTTTTCTGTGGTTCATCGCACGTAGGTTCAAGACAAGGCAAGAATATTATAACACCAAGAAGTTCGTGACATGATATACACGACTGCCCATCATCTGATCCGACATATTTCAAGTGAATAAGAAAATTTTCTCGCCTCACCTGTCTGTGCCACCTTGATCCGACATGCGGTGTTGCAAATGTGACGAAATTCATGGGCTCCAAACCAGCAATCTTCCCCTCTGATCCCTTTTTTAGGCGTTTTGTGCCCTTGTCAGGATCTTCATGGCTGCCATCTTCTTCAGAGGGTTTTTCAGGAAGGCCTGGGTCATAGAGTTTGGCGATGGCGTACCTTGCAATCAGGCCCCCAAGCGAGTGCCCTACAAATGATATCTTTTGAAGCTTCGGCCCTTGCTTAACGATTGACAACACCTGAAAGAAAAGACCCAGGTAGTGATGTTCAGCTCATTTCAGAAACAGTTGACTTTGCCCACGGAGTCAAACCGCGGGCATCCTGGGTGGGATGAGGGAGCAGGGCACTTGGTACTAAATCAAGGAGCAACAATGTGCTGCAAATTACTGTCAGAATATAATCAGGGACCATATAATGCACCTCTTCTGCCAGTCTCGTTCCCATTACATCCACACCATCAAGAGTCAACAAATTGCCGTTACATCGGCTACCTGCAGGGGCATACAGAGAAGCAACGTTCACAAGGGGAAATGGGATATTTTATGAGATCGGAGAAAAAATCCGGGCTGGGGGGAGGGCAGATGGATGCATTGGACTCCCCCTTTTTAAGCTGCCTTCATAACGACTAGAAAAAATATAAATAAAAAATCTGATAATGCCTGATGACGGTTCAATCCACTATTTTTCAAGTAAATACTGCTTATTAATTATCTAATAATTGAAAAAAAAAGTGTACTTTCAGTTCTTGACGCCATGAACCATTTCTGAGCTGTCATCAGTCTGATCCTTACTCATTGAGAATGGAGCCCACTGAGCTTCTAGATTCCCCGGTCATTCAGATCTTTGCCATCAGCCATGACATTTGGCAAATACTTTCTAATTCGTAGTTCAGTTAAACCGTCTGAGCTAATAACATAGGGAGCTAGAAGCTACGTAATACTGTGACGAAGGGAAGGCTTACGGTGCACAGTGACATCTTGGGGTAGCCTCTTCAGAAACTGCTTTTCGGCAAATCTCCAATTCTGAGCGCTGTTTGCAGGTGTTTCGTTCAGAAACATTCAGCTACTCTAATCAGATGTTCTTAAAACAGTAAAAGACGATACCTGCCAATGATACCGTTGACCATGATAACCAAGTGCGTCGGAGCCCTGTCAATTTCACCGCCGCCCATCTGGGGGATGCCGCCTCCTACCGCTTCCCTGTGTTCTCCAGCGGCGCCGCCACAGAAGCAGACGAGCCTCCTCCGGATATGATTTTTGAGCCCGCCCTTGTTCTTGATCCTCTCCCTTCTCCCATCCTCAGCGACCGCCCCCACCCTTCTCCCGGCCGACGACAGATCTTCCCCCGACGGTACCATTGCTCGGCCCCCTCGTCTTCCCCCACAAATTTGGAGTTTGGACGTCCCTTCCTTGTTCTCCTTGCCCACTGGAGGAGGTGAAGATGATCCCTGGGATTCGTCTGTCGGGTAGGTGCTCCCTGCTTTCCCTTCATCCCAGTCGTTTAATCGTGCCAGCGAACGTGACCCTCGTTCCTTCTTTGAATTCGTCGGCTGGGGACGTCGACTCATTGACTTTCAACGCCCACTGCGTCTTGATTCCACTTGCGGATCATTTACCGTTCACTCCGTGTTCCATTGGTGGGAGAGATTCCTGCAATCGTGTCCGATCGATGAGGTCAACCTGCGCCAGGATCTCTCAAGCGGCTTCAAACTCTCCGATTCTTTTTCTGATGGCGGTGAGCTGCCGTCTGGCCCTGGTGGGAACGGAATGCGCAGCTGTTATGCTCGGTAGACCCTCGCCGTGTTTGACTAGGACCGCACCGGGCTTCGTCTAATGCCACAGAAAGAGAGACTATTTTTACGAATTTGGTTTTCTTTGCCAAATAATTATGAAAACACATGCAACATGAATAGCATTATTTCATAATGCCCTGTTTCTGCAGTAAAACAGGGAGAGAGAGCGGGAGATAGAGAGAGAGAAACAGGGAGCGAGAGCGAGAGAGAGAGAGAGAGAGAGAGAGAAACAGGGAGCGAGAGCAAGAGAGAGAGAGAGAGAGAGAGAGAGAGAGAGAGAGAGAGAGAGAGAGAGAGAGAGAGAGAGAGAGAGGGAGAGAGACTTCTATTGTAATGCAAGACTCGGAATGTATAGAGGAATATCCTTCCCTAAGTGACACGAATGAAGAGAGAGAACTGGGGTTGAGCTAGAGGGAGAGAGCTGAGCCTTCAAGAGATTGTAAAATTAGAGGTTGATTGCCTTGCAATCCCCCCCAGATTGGTTGGTCGATCATCAGTCAGTCCCCTCGCCTTCCCTTCAAGCTTCGTTTCATCCACCGCGCGGGTATTAATGGAGAGGCTCTCCGAGCGGCGTTCCTCAGCTGAGCAGGTGTGGCTGGGGAGGTGTTTTGTGGCCAACGGGACTGCGTCAGTGTCCACTTTCCTCTCTGCTCCTCACTCTCGTTGTTTGCTTCCGCCCCCATGGCCGATGCCACCCGGATCAGTTCTTCGGTTGTCGATCATCGTCAGGTTTGTTTTCCACATAATTCACACAAGGAATTGTTCTTTGTTTTATCAGCATTTTTATAAATTACCCTCCCTTATTTTTTTTAATTTTTAATGAAAATTATCACTCCTATTTATACTCTTCGGGTCTCATCTTTTATTTATTCCTTTGCATTTATGTTGCTTCCTTTAATATTATGCATATGAAATTCACTTAAAAGTTGTATATACACCTACAGACTCATGAACGCTCAAGGTTCCTAATTTTAGCAATGAAATTTTTGTAATAAATAATATGGTATTATTGATATTTTGAGTTTTGATTGAAAAATTAGAATTATGGTATTACTTTTTATACATAGGAACCATTCACTCAAAACTATAGACTCTACCGATTATATTTCTTACGTCCTTGACCTATTCACAATACGGTGATGCTTTAATGTACCTATTACTGTAAAAAAATGATAATTTAAGTATGATTATTATTATAGAAGCTGATGGGAACAGCAGTCACTTCCCCCTTTGTGATAGAATCTTCATGTTAACATCTTAATGACGCCAATAAATATTAATAAAATGAAATTTCCCTTTTTGGTGTAAGCATGGAGCTCGAGGCCAGTACCTCTTGGCGTATTATAAATTAACCTAAAAAGTTGGAGATCGAGCTCTAATATAAAGATAAAAATTAGGGTCTAAGCTATAAAAAGGACCCCATCCATTAAATTAACCACATGAATCTTGAAGGCGGTTGCTGTAATCGATCTGTGCTTGGTTCTTGGATCCGACTTTCTCTATTTAATCCCACCATTGCTTTTCCTCTCAAAGGAAACAAATACAGGAACATGTATAACGGCAAGCGGGGAAGAGAATATCATCCAGAACCCCGACTTTGAGGATGGGCTCACTGGTTGGTCCGGAAGAGGATGCAAGATCCTTGCCCATGAATCCATGGAAGATGGGAAGGTGCTCCCATCGAGCGGAAAGTTCTTCGCTTCTGCAACAGATAGAACCCAGAGCTGGAACGGGATTCAGCAGGAAATTACCGGTAGAGCTCAACGGAAGCGTGCATATGATGTCACCGCACAAGTTAGAACATCCGGAAATTCGGGCGGTAACGCCGATGTGCGAGCTACGTTGTGGATTCAGTCACCGAGTGGCCGAGAACAATATATTGGCATCGGCAAGTGAGTTTCTCTCTTCCTAGGGGGTAGTCGGTTGTCTAGGCCTGGGAACGCCGCTTTGATCGCAAGTTTAAGTTCTCTGAAGTGGTTATTTTTCACAGCGTTCAGGCATCAGACAAAGACTGGTTTAGGCTCCAGGGCAAGTTCCTCATCAATGGCAGCCCCTCAAGGGTTGTTATCTTCCTGGAAGGGCCACCCAGGGACGTTGACATTCTCGTCGATAGTGTTGTTGTGAAAGACGCGGGCAGGGTTCCTCCTCTACCTCCACCCGATTTTGATGTGAGTAGAATGATCAATCTTTTCTTTGTGAATCCGCACTTACCAAATTTTTGGATTAATTATTCAATTTAAAAATATCATTAAGGGGGCATGAATTCACATAATATCTTTAGGTGGAACTTAGGAAAATCGTTTTACATTGTGAAATTAAATGCATTATGCGAAGAAGTTCTCATCAGGCGAGTTAATTCTTTGTTTATGTAGAACGTTCTGTACGGCGTAAATGTAATCAAGAATAGCAACCTGAGCGAAGACCTGAAAGAGTGGTCTCCCCTCGGTCCGTGCTCTCTGAACGTCGGAGAAGGTTCACCTCTTGTGCTACCGCCCATGGCTAGAGATTCTCTAGGGCCACGCGAGCCTCTGAATGGTCGCTATGTTCTCGCCTCCAATCGGACTCAGAGCTGGATGGGACCTTCTCAGACAATCGCTGATAGGTTAATCCTGAACGTGACGTATCAAATTTCCGCATGGGTTCGAGTAGGCTACGGAGGAAGCGGACCTCAGAACATAAATGTCGCACTGGGTGTGGATAATCGGTATGTCAACGGCGGCCAAGTGGATGTCAATGATACCAGGTGGCATGAAATAACGGGATCATTTAGAATCGAGAAGCAGCCGTCGAGAGTCATAGTCTACGTTCAAGGCCCCGCACCAGGGATTGACTTAATGGTCGCTGGGCTACAGATATTCCCCGTTGACCGAAGGGCGAGATTTAAGCATCTAAAGAAGCAAACAGACAAGGTCCGGAAGCGAGACGTCGTATTGAAATTCAACGGGTCCGATGCCGTTGACCTAAGAGGAACATTCGTGAGGGTCAAGCAGATCAAGAACAGCTTCCCTTTAGGGTCGTGCATAAACAGATCAGACATAGACAACGAAGAAGTCGTAGATTTCTTTTTGAGAAACTTCAACTGGGCAGTCTTCGGGAACGAACTTAAGTGGTACTGGACAGAGGCTCAAAAGGGAAGCTTTAACTATGCCGACGCAGACGAACTCTTGGATCTCTGCGATAAACATGGATTACAGATTAGGGGCCACTGCATCTTCTGGGAGGTGGTGGGGGCAGTCCAGTCATGGGTTCAGTCACTGAGCAAAGAAGAACTTATGAAGGCTGTTCAGAATCGCCTCACAGGCCTCATTACAAGATACAAGGGTAAATTCAGACATTATGACGTGAACAATGAAATGCTCCACGGTTCATTCTACCAAGATAGATTGGGAGCAGATATCAGATCATATATGTTTAAGACAGCCCATGAGCTAGATCCTTCAGCGGCCCTATTTGCTAACGACTACCATGTAGAAGACGGCACTGATACGAGAGCTTCTCCTGAAATGTACGTCCAGCATATACTTGGTCTGCAGGCCCAAGGTGCACCAGTAGGAGGGATTGGGGTGCAAGGGCATATCGATTATCCTATTGGGATCATCATCTCTTCTGCTCTGGATAAGCTAGGAACGCTCGGGCTTCCCATCTGGTTCACTGAGGTAGATGTCTCAGCGGTGAACGAGCACGTTAGGGCTGAAGATCTTGAGGTCATGCTTCGTGAAGCCTATTCCCACCCTGCAGTGGAGGGCATCATGCTCTGGGGATTCTGGGAACTCCTCATGAGCCGAGCTAATGCATACTTGGTTGATGCTGAAGGTAATATAAATGAAGCTGGGAAGAGGTTTCTTGCCCTTAAGAAAGAGTGGTTATCTCATTCGAATGGCCATGTAGATGACCAAGGGGAGTATAAATTCAGAGGGTTCCATGGGACTTACTCTATTGATGTCATTTCCTCATCGAAGATATTTTCTCGGACATTCGTTGTTGAGAAGGGTGACTCGCCATTAGAGGTGACCATGGATTTCTAAACTTGGAACTTATGGAAGGAAGAACCTTGTCAGGAACAGCGGCGGACTACAACAACCTTGCTGTATTATTTTCAAACCGAGTGTTGTTGATACTGATGCACTCTTGAGCTGTACTGACGATGAACCTAAGATCACCAGTTGATATTTTGTATCAAAGACAGTATTCTTTTTCAACTTCAAGCTTACAAGCTATATGAACAAAATGAAAGGTAAATGTTTACTGGAAGCTGAAATAGAATATCAATCCCATTTGTAATTACACGATAAATAAAATTCACTAATGAAAATCAAGTGCGTCAGTTCTTAAAATAGAAAGGTCGTGAAATGTATTAGCTTTCCTCGATCTCATTTTCATTGTCATGCAGTCCAAGTTATTGCCTCTCATCCTAGTAATACAAGCTATTCATTTCTTAAGCTCACGTCTGATTATGGAAAGTATTAGCTGTTAAAATTCACATAGCCTGAAAAAATAAAAGCATTAAAATTTGAGAATCTCAAACTCAGCAAGTTTGTCTCAAAATTTCAGACTTGTTTGATTATATTAAGATCCTCCTTAAGATCTCCCTCAAATTATTCCCCTATCTAATTTTTGAAACCAGGACAAGTAATCCACACAAATAAGCCTAAAATTTGAATTGAACATAATCTGAAAACTAGTGATATTCAGTCTAGAATGATAGTCACGAGAGTTAACATGTCCAAAATATCATCACATTTTTTTATAAATACAACTGCCAGTAGATATTTAATGGAATAAATTCGAACAGTATTAACGATCAAATGACAGAAAAATCAGGATGATTTTATCATTGTATTGAATGTTTTTATCAAATAATACACAACCTGTCCCCAACTTACATTGATGTCTTAAGAAAACACTTAATCCCTCTCAAACCTGATCTAGTTCGCATAAACGGATCCTAATGGAATTGAGGTGGTTTCGCTAACAACCAAGACCATATGAAACAGGCCTCGTATTGGACAAGAGTGCAGGGGATCCGCTGACCCCAAGTCCGTAACAAACTCATCCAAAGAAAGCAAATCGAAGGTCGAGAAAGGAGAGCCACAAAACACCTCAACAGACACAAGCCAAATCTTCCTCCCCAACTCTCTTAACTCCACCATATCCCCCTCCCCCGTCACAGGTCGCTATTCCCAACTCTCATAAAACCTCCTCCATCCGTCCTGTACCTCTCCTCGACAAGGGGTATCCTCCACGCCAAACTCTTTAGGCATCAACTTTTCTACATCGCCTCCCACCCCACCCTGGTAGCCATGATCCGATTCCACGGCAATCCGCTGAAGCAGCTACGGGCGATCTTCTCCAAGTTCGACGAGGACGCTGACGGGAGCTTGACCCACATCGAGCTGACCAAGCTTCTCCGCTCGCTCGGCCTCAAGCCAACGGGAGACGAGATCCATGCTCTCCTCACCAAGGTAGACACCAACGGCAATGGGGCCGTCGAATTCGTCGAGCTTGTCGCGGCGGTTGCTCCCGTCTTGTTGGAAAAGATACTCGTCGACAAGGAGCAGCTGAGGGAAGTGTTCCGGTCCTTTGACCGTGACGGCAATGGGTACATCACTGCGCCGGAGCTCGCCCGGTCCATGGCCAAGATGGGCCATCCTGTCACCTTCTACGAGCTGACAGAGATGATGAGGGAGGCGGACCTGGACGGCGACGGCGCCATTAGCTTCCCCGAGTTCGCGTCCATCATGGCCAAAGTACTCCACTAACCTCTTTGAGGGATCATCAGGCAGTCTCCTCATCAATGAGGATGGGGATGAATCCGGACGATCTGGAGGACTGGGCTGGCCAATTAACCATTGTCGCTGCGGGGTAAGGAAGCACGCAAAGGTTATTAGAAGTACCCACCTCCATGCGAGCCAAGAAGTGCTCCTCGCAGTCTACAGAGAAGGTGCAACTTCAGATTGATGGATGCATTGGAAATATTCCAAGAAGATCTCCAAGGTGGACCAAAGGAGGCTTCTATAGGGAGGCCCATCCGAACTACGAATGCCAAAGTAGAACTTTACCGAGAAAACGGCTCCCGGAGACGACAGAAGCAGTCGCTGTTCGAACTGGGCCAGGCTTCAGCAGCATCACATTCTCATTCGTGTATTAGGGTTCTTAACTCATTGGATCCTAGTTGGAAAAGATTACCGACAACAAGAGGTCGATGCGTAAGATATTATCATGGCCCTTGCTTATCTTGCTTCCTGATTGCATCGTTTGGGGAGTGCATATCTTAATTCGTGGCAGCATATGCAATTTACGAGGTTTTGTTGACTCCTACAATGTAGCTGATTTTAGGGAAAGAAATTGATGATTTCCTACTGTGTTAGGGCATGTCATTATTGAAGAGAAACGATTTATCATTACCAACAAACGCGTTTAGTTGACACGTGAAGAGTGTCCTTACGACACTGGGTATATCTTTCACGTCGAAAGGGTGTTTAGAGCCAAATGTCACCTGATTTACCACGTACCCTTCTTCTAATGTCCTGTTATTCTTTTGGGAGGCTTGTTCTGCAAGATGATTTATCCAATTGTCTCCTTCCATTCATTTTGCTGCTATTGGCTGAAAGACAAAGGACCACAGGGCGAATATTTTATTTTATTGACCAATTATTTTGAATTTACCATCTTAATGCGGTAAACTGACATCAAAGGCAATGACGCCTTTAGATTTCCTATAATCTTTTTTTCGTATGCCCATGATAAAATCTGAAGGCAAGATTATACATACAACACTTAGAATAATCTGAATACGAAAAATTACATAAATAATTGTGACTATGTCGGTATGTGGAATCATATTTTTATCGACTGATATTGAACAGATGTTTAATAATTAGTCATTAAATCCGTAAAAATAAAGGCATAAAGAATGTAGAACCACTGGATGAACAACTCGACAACAGTCATTGGATATCGATGAATGGAACTTCGTGACAAAACAAGAAATAACGGAGAGAACCCTGTTATCCTCTTCCGTGGGGCCTTTAGAAAAAGAAGAAGCTGATGGTGGTCAAGCAGGAAATGCGGCAAATCTTCTAGGCAGATGAACTACCCTGTGTGATGACAATTGAACAAACCTCACCGAAATCATGAGGAGCCCTACACGATAGCTCCCGTCCAGTCTACCCACATGTGATAGGTTGGTAAGAGTTGGCGAATCGAGTTAACGAGAAGAGTGAGAGGGAGAATCGGCTAACTCAATTCCTCCGCAGGTGCTTCTGCGTAACGCTAGAGTAGGATCCGACAGTCCCAACTGTAGCACGTTAGGGTTTTGAACTCGTTGAGTAGACCGAAATTTATATCTTTCTGGTTTGTGTGTGTGTGTGTGTGTGTGAGAGAGAGAGAGAGAGAGGAGAGACTTGCAGCAGAAAATACCACTCTTGTCTGTAGAAGGATGACCAATTTAGTATTTATGTAACATGTCAGGGCTCCAACTATCGAGACCCGGGATGGGCCTTGCCAAGCCCAAGGTTGGCCTAAGATAGTGTTAAGAGGGGAAGAGGAATTTTCCTGTCTCAGCAGACAGAGGGGAGAAGCGGTAGAAAGACTAACTCAATTTTCATTGACGTTTATCTGCCATTAAATAGGGAGAGAATCCCATAATTCATAATATGCCGTCAGGCTACATCGTAATAGCTAGGAGTTCGGAAAATTGAAAATAGGGTGGGCCGTGTGAAGCCGTAGTCTACACAGCTGCAATCACGGTGGTAGTTGGCGGAGACACTAGAACGGCAAGGGGATCCTCCCTGGCCACCAAGAGGAACGGCCAATGTCAGGGCATCTTGACACTGAGCACCTAGTTTGGAGCGAGGATGTGTTAGCTAGCCACGAGTTGGGGGAAGACGCTGAAGGAACATTCATAGGACGTCATAGAAAGACTAAAATTTCTAAGGCGCAGAGTATTACCAGCGGAGGATGGTCTCTTCCGGCGGCAAAGTAGGTAGTGACTGCTGCCGTCTGAATTGACTCGATCCGTCATCGCACCAGTTCTACCGATCGTTCTCCCAGCGTCCCACGTTTCTACGACAGGTCCCGGGCAAGAGTCGACATGTTACTGCGGTGTCTGACCGTTGCTATTGTTGAAACTCCAATTGGAGAAAAGGCGAGAGAGAATGAGAGAAAGAGGCCCATGGCCAGCCCAGTCATCTCTTGTTCCAGTTTTCCGAAATTTGGCGGCGGGTAATGCTCTGGAAGATCTTTTGAGATCTTGTTCTCGTGGAGAAGATGATCAGCGCTTTCCAACGAAGGGCTGTAGTCATTCTTTACGGACAGTATCTCATAGATCTACTTCCACCAAAATATGGTATTTTCCTCACATGATGTGTATGTGTCAGTCATAGTTTTGTTAGTCTAAGAAGCTTTATATTTAGTTGGATTTTTGTTTCAAAATTCGATAGGTAACGAAGATGGAGTAATATCTTTTAAGATATCCTAGCATGCTTTACGCCTATCAATGGGTTGACGATCTCAGATTCTAATTGGAATGGATGTGAACTGGCGCTCAGGAAGATCCGATCTTAGTCTGAATTGGATTAATAAAACATAGCCAGAACGTAAAGAAAATATTTTCTCATGACGCATGTTACTTGCGTGTCAGTTCATCTCTCTCTCTCATCTCCTAGACATATGTGTCTTATGTGAGGGCATACTTATAAAACGTTTTATCATGTTTGTCGATATGTTGCCTAAGGTTATATCATGTAGTTCATTCGTCATAGATATTATACAAAACCCATAAAATATGTCCAGCCTGACTTTGAATTTACTGTGGGCCCTCTTGAAACTAATATTCCAAGATTTATTTTAGGCGCCTGGGTAAATCCAAACCGACGAAAGGGCCCGCAGTTGACTCATTTGAAGCCGATAAAATATTCAAGTTATTTATGAGAATAGCTTGACTTAAGCACCAACTACAAATAAATAAGTATATATGATCACGTCAGTGGGCAGTTTGAATAGTAAAACAATCAACGAAGGAGACGCTGGCATTTTAAATCGTAAATCTTTGCCGTGTATGTACCCACTCAGCCGGAGACAGATTGTTGCATTCGATTTCGTGCGCCAAAAGAAGATCTCGCCATCATCTCGTCACCACCAAATACTAAACTCCATGCTGGGGCGAAGAAAGAGACCGACGAATAAGAGTCAAAGATATATAAACAGGTAGATCACACCAACAAGGAACAGGGACCCTGACTGGGGGGCCTGTTCTACGGTGGCCATCACGGTTGCTCCCGATATATCATTTTCTCAATATATTAACGCTGGAGATGGCGGCAGTTCCCTGAATTTATGCCCAATTTCTCTTCTTCTATAATTTTTTATGAAGATAGTTAAATTGAGAGAGGCTATGGTCAGGTCAACATTCGGAACCCTAATTTTAAATTCTACAATGATGTGTATCATATTATGATAGAAAATAGGCACCTTCTTTGATTATAAATAGTATTATAAATCCGTATTATTAGGATTGCCAGTGGAACAGGTAAACCTGGACTATGATATAGCTTTTATCAGATGCTCTTTAAATAATATTAATTTATACATATTCATGCATATATGCATGGCCGAGGTCTCTTAGATAAGTCCAAACTCTCTCTCTCTCTCTCTCTCTCTCTCTCTCTCTCTCTCTCTCTCTCTCTCTATCACTTTTATATTTACATATGATGGTGTGCCGATGAATGGATATCGATGACCAGGCACGGGGTTCACGAGGGTCTAATCTGTATCTGATACGGAGAGCTGTCGTACGAACCTGGTCCATGTGTTTGTCTCCGGACTGACACTGCTAATAGTTTACCGAAATTCTACGTAAAAAATATATATAAATTGTACCCCAGACGGCCACGAGAGCGCGGTCTAAGGCCCCTCTCACGGTGGTTCGGTCCCGCGGCCATGTCGCGTGCTTGGGCGACACGTTTGAACGAAGAACGCACACCGGAAACAGGCGTAGCCACCCATCAGTGTCTTACATTATTGGGCGGTTTGGTCCAACACTGCTCGCCGACGATCCCGGCGGAGCCAAAGTCCGGATAGCGTTGAATTCTTGGCGCGCCCTCCGAAGGGGGGAACCCGGGATTGATTAGGTCTCAGTCTCACCCCACCCCGTGATAACACCACGTCAACCATCGTAGACGTGGACTGATTATTCAGCGAGGCGGCCGGAGGCCATGCAGAGGAATGTAGCAACGGGAGAAGGAGAGAGAGAGACGCGAGGCGGACCTCGCCCTCGTGCTCTCCCTCATCATCCCCTCTCTCCATTTCCTAAAACCGGCATGATATCATCCTCGGGTTGGCGATAGTGGAGAAGATAACACTGTACCGAACCCATTGGAACTGGACGGCGACCCACAACGTGCCGAGAGGAATTCCGTGAAGAGGACGACATCAAGGCTCTCTCGCCGTCTTCCATGGCGGATCTGCACTTCTGGACCCTTTCCTGTCAGCTCCGGCAGGCTGCAGGAGGCGAAGCTTGGGGGAGATGGGTGGTCTGGAAGCCGACGCCGACACCTAGTTGGAATAATCTCACATTGAAAGTGATAGATATTTATCATATGGAAGCTTATTCAACTTATAATTGAGACACAGACGGATGATCGCTTAATCGTATGAGGGTCGTCTGACCGGGGAGCGGTCGAAGGGGACCAGTTCAGCTGATCTGGGAAGTTTCTCGAGATGGGCTCGGTTGGGGCTAGCCAATGACGAGCGGGAGTTCACGTGGGAGATGACCCACCATCCGTATGGTGTTTTCTATATTCTGAGGATCAATGAATGGATCATTCCATCCTTGCGCCTCACGCTTTCGGCCCCGTTCCTTTCCAGGCTTTTCCGCCTGCCTTCACGTTGTCATCGAAGCAGACAGTCGCACGTGACACACACACACACATACACTCTTTCTCTCTCTCTCTCCCCTCTCGTAAACTATCTACCCCTGCAGTTCACGGTTTGAGGCTAACACAATTCCAAGTTCCTAGATTTAGAGTTGACACAAGTGAAAATAATTTTCTCATCGGAGTTTCGTGCGAACTTCAAGAGAGAGGGAGAGGGACAGGAAGAGAGAGAGCGCGCAAAGATGTGAAACTTCGTAGACGTTGAGAGAAACTTAGACGAGCGCCATTGACGAGTACAGGGGAGAGAGAGAGAGAGAGAGCGCCCGGTGGATGTGAAACTTCGCAGAAGTTGAGAGAAATTTAGACGAGAGCCATGGATGAGTACAGGGGAAGGAGAGAGAGAGAGAGAGAGAGAGAGAGAGAGAGAGAGAGAGAGAGAGAGAGAGAGAGAGAGAGAGAGAGACCATCATTCTATATAACTAATGTGCTGTGAAGAACTGTTTTCTGTACATCGAAGACGAACTAAAATGAGAGAATTAACAGCTAAGTACAGGGAATGATAAGTTAATTAACAACGGGTTGGTCTCGCTGATCACTGTGAAGTTATCGGATCCCGTCTAATTTTCTTCTGCCCATCGTCTGTATCACATCGGATACCACCTGCAGTTCCTTCTATAGCCACCGGAGAAATATGAACTCCCTGTCCCGGGGAAAAAAAGGGGTTTGGGCTCCCTTAACGATGGCGGAGGAGGAAGCTACCCTATCTTCAGCAGGCTGCCGATGGCGGGTGGGCTGCTGTGAAGGTGTTGTAGAAGTGGCCCTTTGGCGCCATCACGAAATGACCGGCGGCGGAGACGGGTCCCTTTGCGGCGTCGGCTGATGTGGCGGTGATCCTCTCGCACGAGGGGCACATAGTGAGCGTGGTGGTGGGAAGGTGCATGTAGAGTGGCGGGGCGAGCTTGAGGGCCTTGAGTTCTTGCAGCTCCTTCTGCAGCCTTCGGTTCTCGTCTGTCAGGCTCTCGCAGCACCTCTTGAGGAACTCACAGTCCACCTCCGTCTGCTTCAGCTTGGTTCTGCCATGGGCGAGAGCAGATTAGAACATTTTTACAATTCCATTCATGGAAAGAGAAGAGGGATGATCGACATGGGAAGAGAAGAGGGTCTAAATCGCTTGAAAAGTAAATAAAGGCCAGAACTGGTGAATTAGGTATTCGACTTAGATGAGGGTACCTTGCTCTCCGGTTCTGAAACCAGACTTCGACTTGGCGCGGCCGCAGATTCAATTGCTTCGCCAAGGCCTGCTTTTGCTTCTGATGAAGAGGAGATAGGGTTGTATCAATAAGAGATTTTTTCCACAGAGAGGAAAGAAAAGGTCCACTGAATCCGCAAAGATACAGGGAGAGAGGAAGGTTTGAATCCTACCGGATTGAGGGTGCTGTGCTCCTTGAACCTTTCCTCCAAGAGGGTGGACTGTTCCTTAGTGAGTCTAAGCTTCTTCCTGGCGCTGCCCTCCTCCTCATCGCTGACCCGCGAGGAGACCCGCTCGGCCTCTTCCTCCTCGCTCACTGCATCCTTCTCCTTCTTGATGCTTGACGAAGGGAACGCGTTGGAGAAGGACGAGACGACGCTGAGGGGAGGAGACTGCCGGGCCGACCTCGGCTCTAGGGTGGCCGTCATCCGCTGGTATGAACCATCCGAGAGGCTCAACGTAAGCGACGGCTCAGCCGCCATCTGCCATGCTACAGACTCTCTAACCTCCAGCTTGACGCCGCTGTCTCGCTTCCGGTAGCTGTCGGCGGCCGGCGGGGAGGTAGCCCATGCTTCATACCCCAGACCGAGAACCAGGCCCCTATCCCAGTTGCTGTCATCCGCCCCCATGCCTAGGTTTCCCACCCCGTCTCCTCTCCGAGGTTTGTGGCAGCTCTCCCTTTGCCCCTCCTCGCTTCCCTGTCTCCCCTCTATATCTTCCCCCGCTTCGCGACTATTCCCAGAGGGACGGGTAGAAATACGGGGGGCGGCGGGGGGGGGGGGGGACAGTTGTGGAAAGAATTTCGATTTCTCTGTCACTGCGTAGGTTGACCACGGAGATTGCTCACCTCCATCGAACAGTAGGAAAAAGCTCGCGGCAACATCTCTCTCTCTCTCTCTTATTTAACAAACTACGTGTATTCACATGGGAATAGCGGTGAACATATAATATTCGAGGATGGGTGGAGGGGTGCATACGCACATAAAGGGAGTGCCTTCACCGGTCTCCCCTTCACTGCCCACCACCCACCTCCCGTCCTCGCCACATTAACTACGTATCCCCCCTCCCCTCCTCTTCACCCTCCATCTATTATTTCCACGCCTTCCGCTTTACAGAAGAGCCCCCGTCATCCCATCTCATCTCCCTTCCATATATTCTCCGGCTCTTCGGCTGGTGGCTTCTCATCGAGGGGGAGCAAGAGCGTGTGCACGCTCGTGCGAGAGGATTCCTCCCCCGGCAGCTGTGGCCGCGCCGGCAAGCCTGCCGGCTAAAGCGGGGCCACGCCATCACTTTGAAGGGCTCACCGCCCATGATTGATCGAGCCCGTCCAATCATCATCAGATGACCCGGACCCACGGCTGCGCCGCCGGCCTTCACGTGTCCTGTCTCCGCCTTCCCGTTGGCCGTGGGGACGGCCTCTCCGGAGGAGTCCAACTCGGGCCGATCGGACAACGCGGCTCGTAGGTAGCGATGAGGAGGAGAATAATCAAAGGAGGAGTCGACCAACCCCACGATTGTAATTCCGATCGAATATTTTTATCTCGCCACGATTTCCCTCGAGAGATATGCGTTGACACCGGGCACGTCCCCGCGAATCGGATGAGAGAGCGCCAATCGGATTGAACCCGGAAGTAATCTAAGATAACAGGGGGCGGGGTTGACCCGGCTGAAGCCATCGCGCCAGCCAACCATCGTGCGAGGCACCGATCGTAGGCTCCCCCGCGCCTCACCCTGCCGCGTCATGGATGGAGCACGGCAGCACACGTGTCGCCCAGACGGGGGGAATTCGCTTGCCGCATGACGTGTGGGTCGGGCTGCCCCCGGCCTCACCAATGATTTGCCACCGCCAGGGGGGTATGAGAGAGAGAGAGAGAGAGAGAGAGAGAGAGATAGAGAGAGAGAGAGAGAGAGAGAGAGAGAAAGAGAGATAAGATTCCTTCTGTGGTTGGCAACCGCTAACGGTGAGCTCATAATTGGCAGATGACCGGTTCGGGCTTTTAAAAAGGGAAGGGAGAAACCACCTCCTCCATCATAATTCATCTATCCTGCGGAGAGAAAAAGGGCCAGCTTATTCCTCCATAATACTATTAATCTCAATATTATTATTAACTCCTGGGTTGATGGTTTAGTAGGGTTGGTTGATGGTAGGTCGGGCTAACCGGGTCACGTTCCGATCTGAGTCGGCTCGCCACCATGGAGACTTTTCCTCTCTGTTTCTCTTTCTCTCTTTTGACTAAGTCTTCGGAAAAGGCGCCCGGGCTCAAGCTGAGTTGGCGTGTTCTAGTCCGAACCCGGCCCGGTGACTACCGGGCAGAAAGGGAAATCAATTCGGTGGCGTCACCCAATCCGATCCCCTTGACCCGGGGGGCCGGGCCCGCATACTCATTTGTCGACTATGGGCTCTGGACATTATCCCACATCGGCAAAGCCCGGCCCAGGGCGGGCCCACCGGTGTAGGGCCTGATATAGAAACGCCTTACGCGGCGGGACCCACTTGTTTCGCCGTGAATAGTATGCAGATCCCATTCCGGCTTCACATGGGATCCGAATCATTACTACGTCGCCGTCAGCAAATCGCCAAAATCTTTGCAGGGCCCGCCGTCCTTTACCCTCCCAGTGGCGCTTAATGGGCCCCACTGAAAGCCATCCGTTAGATCGTATCAGGCTTGGAAAGAATGATTGGACTTCCCTCTCGGCCCATCATCACGGGGCTCCTTGACCGCCGTCGGATGACCGTGATAGCGGCGGCGTCGAAAGGGACGGTCCGCCGGCCGCCGTCGCCCGCTCGGGCGGTGATTCTACCGGCAACCCCGAGAATCGTCACAATAATAATAAGCCGTGACAGTAATCATTTCTCCGATGACGTCACCAATGATCAATCTTCTTCTCTCTCTCTCTCTCTCTCGTGAAGGGAAGAATGGTGGGAACGAAGAGTTGATGAAGGACCAGGGAAATCGGTGTCTTAACCGGGACCCGCAGAGATACTCGATCACCTTCTCGGATCGGAGCCTGGTACGCCTGTCGATCTTCGAACTAAACTAATAATCTCTGCTCGACTGGACTGCCGTCGCCTTCCGAGGAAACTTCCTGGCTGCTTCCCGGCGACGGCAATAGCTTCCTCCAACGTGCACCGTTCAACGAAGTTGAGGGGTTCGAAGACCCCTACGTAACCAGTGGGCAGCTAAGTTGAATAGCACCATGCTGAAGAAAATAAGAAAGTCTTGATTTTACTTGGATGGAAGTCGCGCGCTTTGCCCGACTTCTGACCTTTCTTGGGCAAACATGGCGAGCCATGTACGACTCAAGGTAGGACAACCCCCCACCCCCATTATTGACCTCCATGTGACCTGCTGATCTTCTCTTAGGACTGCTTCGCGCGTGCCAACTTCAGCCTTTCGAATATTCTCTCTCATCCTCTCTCTGTGGCTCTCTCTCTCGCCCTTCGCACGTGACCACCCCATATTGTTGGATCCACCGAGGCACGGATATGCCTTCTCAATCTGCTTGGCACCCAACTTGGAGGACGATTCTTCCTCGTGGTGGCTGCCGACAGCTTTCGTCGTTCCGATGAGGACATGCATAATGCCGCTGAGTTCATCACACGTTTGAGGGATAGGTTGCCGGAAAAGTGAGTATATGTGCCGACTATTGTCTAATGTGGACAGTGCTTACTTACGTCGTCAAATCCAAGTTAGATTTGATTCAGCTCTGAAAGCAGTTTGTGAAATACACGCCTTGTGAACCAGAGAAAGAGAGAGAGAGAGAGAGAGAGAGAGAGAGAGAGAGAGAGAGAGAGAGAGAGAGAGAGAGAGAGAGAGAGAGAGAGAGAGAGAGAGAGAGAGGAAAGAGAGAGAGATCGTGGGGAGGAAATCTTCCACCAAAGCGTGGACTTTGTCTTTCTTAAGGCTTTAAAACAATGGTGCAGTTGCGGTTAGTAGGCCATGAAGAAAGGAAGCGCCAGGGATGTGAGATGGGTTGACCCTCGATTCAGTTGGCGTTATCTAGCCATCTCTTCTCGGTTGTGTTTCGCATTAATACCCTCATCCAGCCCTAATTTGCATCCCATCCTCGTTGCGTGTCGGCGTATGGGGTCGTTCACTGATCACCACCCAGCAACTGCTTTAACTCAATCTTGAGCTACGCCTCGACAGAGAATATATCCGCAAAACTCTCTAATATTCAAGGGTTTTGTGATACTTTCGATTTTTTTACGGAATCTCTAACACATTTGTTAATAATTCTACGAACGGTCAAATCGTGACCGGAGAACTCGGGCCAGCTCCGCTGTTTTCTTCGTTGATGTCCCATGACCTTCTCTCACCCCTGGATCTACCCATTATCTTGTCGTTGTCCCACTCTAGAGAGAGAGAGAGAGAGAGAGAGAAAGAAAGAGCGTCGGTTGGGGTTGGGATCTTGGACGTTTCTTCAACGAGACTACATGCAATTCGTAACGCACACGCATAGTTTTGACGAGGGATGAGGCGGCCACCGACGATCCATTTCTCCTGCAGCGAACGCGAAATTCTTTGAGCCTTGTTGTGACGGGTAGAAGAGGCTTCTCTGCTTCACTCACCTAAACCACGACAAGGAGGAATTCCTTTCGGTCAACAGAAGCTCAGAAGGTACTCAGCAACTCATGCTGACGGCCACCAACTTCATGGAACCTTTCTTTTGACTTGTTCTCCCAGTCAACACCGTCCCCGAGGTGTAGTGTCTCCGATTGATGGCGCTTCACTATCCAAAGATGGAAAGTCGAAATTATTTATTTCGTATTTAAGGGTTTTCAATGGACTGGATAAGCTTGAGTTTGACTTGCACTATTTGAAGATTTTTCCAATCATGAGCTTCGAAATAGATTTGGAAATAAAATAATCCCATTATATTAAATTCATCCCTATCAATAGAATAAATAAAGAGCTAGCTGATGAAGTACATTTGTTAAACATAAAAGCTGGATAATCCACTCGTAAGATAAAAATGAGAATTTAAGATTTTTTTAAAATTCTATTTTAATAATCTAATCGATATAATTTCAACGTTTTATAATCCAAATAGTCCACATTAATTTTTATTTTAATCATGGGGAGGGGCGTCAGTACTCGGATAACGCTTCTATGCTGGGCACAGTGGAAAGAATTACAACTTAATAAAAAAAAAACTTTATTGGGTTGAACTCGGCCCCCTAGGTTTCTAATTTTCTTAAAAATAATGTGTGAAAAACTCGGATAAAACTTGGATAGTCCGGCCCATTGGTGTTCTAATGGGCCAAGTTCAGGACGTTAAGTAGGCTTAATAAGCGGGCCCAAATTATTTTTATGGACCCACCAGGGTTTTTTGAGGCCCACAATGGGCTCCAAGTGACCGTGGTTGGGCCAGGCCCATTAGTATCGTACAATGCCCATGAACCTGCAAGAGAAGGAATTCAGGCACGAGAAGAAGCTTAGACCTCACTCACACCTACTGTCTGAGAGGGAGCAACGGGAGGTAGGGGAGAAGGAGAGGGGGAAGAAGGGCATGGGCACTGTGGGTTTCCTCCCGAAGCTGTTGAGCCTCGTCTTCTTCTCTGTGGTCGTCTGTTTCACCAACTCAGTCGCAGATGTGGGACTCGACGAACGGCCATCCATGCCCTCTGGTCGAGCTTCACGCCCCCGATTCACCGGGAAGTTTGCGCGCGAGGGTGGCGCTGTAAAGACAGCGTACAAGTACGAGACCCGGTATTTCTCTCAGCCGCTGGATCATTTCAGCTTTGCGGAGCTCCCGACGTTCGATCAGCGGTACTTGGTGGGCGGAGATGGCCAGTGGTCGAGCAGCGGCGGTGCCGGCGGAGGACGGGGCCCAATCTTCTTCTACTGCGGCAACGAGGGGGATATCGAGTGGTTCGCCGCCAATACTGGGTTTGTCTGGGAGATCGCCCCTAGTTTTGGTGCCCTTGTCGTCTTCGCGGAGGTAATGTTCGGGCTTCGTCCATATGCATATCCTAGGAAGAATTGAAGGCTCTGCTCATGACGTTGTTGCGGAAGACGAATGCTCAAGCTTAGGTTCTCTTCGATTCAGACAGGCACCTTTCAGGTAGTGAGAAGTCCATGGCAGCCCGATTGCTACAGTTGCCGTTACTCTGGGAGCTGGAGCAGCTGAGCGATGTTATGCTTGCTGTTACTTCTTGAATCTGGGTGGTTACGGAATATCTCGGTGCAATATGTTGCCAATTGGCGCAAAAATATCTACTCTTTCAAAGAAAGACAGGTTTCTAGTCGACTAAAGAGACCGTCATGTTTTCTGGCACCTCATGAAACGACAGAGAGGACTCTTGTTACACATTCGGCACCTAGAATCATCATCTTCACTCCCTAGGAGTCCACTATATCTTCTTATTGTTTCCACGTCGTTGCTAAAACGTTTTCGTATCGTGTGATCACCTGTTTGGACCGTGCCTGTAAAGTGGGATTAGGAGAATCAGTCCGGAAATTATGGTACCCCATATTAATCTCACGTCTCTTTGACATGTGTTTCCTTGATTCATCCTCACCTCTATTCTATCCTCTCATAGATTATTCCTCTTGTATTACCCAGAATGCATTGAGTTTCAGGTATCGGCCTTTTCTCCCAATTCCATGTTTAATTTGTGACGTCTCTTGAATAAATGCCAATGTTGTAAGTGTTAACTTATATAGATGACTTAACCTCTTACATAATTAGGTACATGATGTATTTCTGAGGTGATATGAAAATCCAAATAGAGACTTGTTGCACTCCAAGAAGTTTTGATGGCTCTGAGGATTGACAATTTGTCACTATCAAGTAAATGGACGTAGAGTGGAGAGGACTAACCAGAGGTTTGCTCTGAAATGAAACAGGAAATTATATTATAATCTTGGCAAACTGTACCCGTTTAGCCATTACGGCAAGAACTTGGTATTTTTTTGGTTTATACATTGGTATTCTAATTTTTCATTACAGTAGCTATTTATTATGAAATATGCGCTGAGGTCCCAGTTCTTAGTTTCGCTGTTGAGTTGCCTGCTAATTTTCTGTTTCATGATTTATTTTTACTCATTTTAGCATCGCTACTATGGAAAATCCATGCCGTTTGGGAGTAGAGACAAGGCATATGAAAATGCTGCATCGTTATCTTACCTTACGGCAGAACAAGCTCTAGCAGACTTTGCCACACTGATCACTGGCCTGAAAAGGAATATGTCAGCAGAGAAGTCCCCAGTCGTATTATTTGGCGGCTCTTATGGAGGAAGTAATGATTGTGCCGAACATTTATCTTCAAGATATAGCCCAAATGCTTATTATGGTATTTAAGACATTAATTTTACACTTTTTCGTCGATGAAACAGTGCTCGCTGCATGGATGAGGTTAAAATATCCTCATATTGCTGTTGGAGCGCTTGCCTCTTCAGCACCCATTCTGCAATTCGAAGATATTGTTAAGCCAGAAACATTTTACAACATAGTCTCAAATGATTTTAGAGTCAGTAATCATCCTTCTCTTAATCGTATATTAATTACAATATATTGGTTTTTGCCTATATATGCATCTTCTATCTACTAAGACCCACACTTCTCCTGGCTCAGCGTGAAAGTTTGAGCTGCTTTAAGACAATAAAAGATTCATGGGATGTTCTAGAATCCGAAGGGAAGAAGCTTAATGGGCTAATGAACCTGAGCAGAACCTTTCACCTGTGCCAGTAAGTTGAACCATTCTGGTTCCAGATTCGTTGGTCTTTGGCTTTGGATTCAATCTGAATATTTTATGTCAATATTTGCAGGAAATTGAACGGGACTCAGGAGCTTTCTGATTGGTTAAACTCTGCTTATAGCTATTTGGCTATGGTTGACTATCCATATGCTTCCGAGTTTCTCATGCCTCTGCCTGGAAACCCAATAAAAGAGGTAACTGAAAAGGTTCAGGCCTATTATCAAGGATGTACGTTGTTCAGTTACCATTCAGTATACATCATCTATGAGCGACATTTTTTTCCCCATTGACAGATGGTCTTCGGCAACTGATTAATAAGTTAGTTTGTCTTCGCCATCTTACCTATGTCAATTTAGATGTATTTCTCTGCTTTATCTTTGAACAGTACTCCGTTCTTTCAACTTCATTGATCTCAGACTTTGCACTTTTTCTCATCTTGCTTATTTTGTCTAATTTCATACACGGATTATATTTTCTAAACCAAGACCTGATTTCAAGCAAAATGTGCTCAATTTAATTTACCTCTGTGTTTTTGTATGTAGATCCATTAGATATCTTGGTAAACTCTCGTTCCACCTCACTCCTTGGTCCTAAAAACCCCTGTAAGAAAAATACTCTGATGTTCTTGACGGTAGTCATGTCTTGATTCTCCTATTTCTGAAGGTATGCAAGAGTATCGATGATCATGCTGATGGGAGAGGGATCTTGGAGCAAATATATGCGGGAGTGAACATATATTACAATTATTCTGGAGATGTTGAATGTTTTGACCTGGAAGATGATCCCCACGGCATGAATGGTTGGAATTGGCAGGTTTGGGAGCATAATTACCCGTTTTTATTGGTGACTGTTGTTTGCTTTGCTTGAGGAAGCATGATAGGACTTTTCTGACTTTAAAATCTTCTCATTCATAGGCTTGCACTGAGATGGTCATGCCAATGTCCAGTAGCCCAGACAGCAGCATGTTTCCACCGTACGCTTTTGACTATTCATCGTACCAAGATCAATGCATCCAAGACCTTGGTGTACGGCCAAGGCCGCGATGGGTTACTACTGAGTTTGGTGGGCATGTAATGGCCAATCTATCTTTAAAGAGTTCTAACATTAGCTATAAATATCCATTGATTCTTTCTGTGCTTTGAATCTTGAAACTTCTGAATGTTTTTTTAAATGCTTGAATATTCTGATGACTGTTCTGTCCTTGAAGGAAAATGGTTTCGGACCGAATCTTTGAAACCTTAAGACGTTGACATTATGAATTACATAAATTTCTCTCTCTTCCATATCTGGGCCCGTCATCATCTGCTGAGAAATTCGGAGAATGATGGGGACAGTAGTTTATGGTGAATTACTTGGCTAGGTGTCTAGGGAAGTATGTCCTTACCAGTATTTTGCCAAGATCCATTAGGAGATTGAAGAAAAGAAACTAAAATGATAATTACAGCTAAAACATATACATATATTGGTGGATTTACACTTCTTTGGAGCAGGTGATTTGTATATTAAGAAGCTCCAAGTTCCTCAACGCCTTCAGATTTTCCTTACGTGATGCCATTTTCATGTTCCAACCTGGTTTCTTCTTCATGTTCTTCCTGGACCCATCTTATTTTAGTTTCCGATTGGCATGGGTTCTCTCTTCATACTCTTAGATTCATTGCTTGCATCTTGAAGGATATCGTCGCTGTGCTGAAAGAATTCGGGAGCAACATCATATTCTCCAACGGGCTGCTGGATCCCTGGAGCGGAGGCAGGTATGGTTTCCCCCCGCCAAACCTCATCAGGGTCTACTCACCCGCTGTTCTCATTCTCTCCCGTCTGACGGATGGAGACGGAAATCTTTCATCGCAGCGTCCTGCAGAACATCTCCGGCAGCATCGTAGCACTCGTTACTGAACTGGGTATGCTTTTCTGCGCGGAAAAATCTTTTCTTTTTGGGTATTTCATGTGGCAATCAATCTCCCGCGCGGGATTCCATTCTTCCAGGAGCCCACCACATCGATTTACGCTCGTCAACTGAGGAGGATCCTGAGTGGTTGACGTCCCAAAGAGCGTCGGAAGTCAACCTGATCCGGGGCTGGATAAACGACTACTACGAAGAACGGAGAGCCGCGCAGGGCGTAGAGAATGTCGTTGACTTTGCCGCCAGCTCAACGAACGCGTCACGCGTCCTCTGACCGCGCAGACCGTCGCTCGGCAGATGGAACAGCCACGCTCCGGGGTGGCGTCTCGCTGGCAACGGTCAGCGCGTGGGCTTCTGGGAAAATAGACGACTTTTTTCCTTCAACGAATACGTCACGGTTTACGTCTTGGAAGGCGGCGCCACCTCAAATACCGTCCTCAGTCTCCCACGGTTTTCCTATGTCGCAAGAAGAAAAACCCTTAGAGTCCTAGTTAATCTGCGGATCACCAGAACTGGGTCTCCGGCTCTATAAATTCCCCAAGCCGAAAGCAGCGTTTGGTCGTAAGGGCCGGTCGTCGGAAGAGAAGATAAGCGGAGATGTGCTACGCCGTGAAGTGTGGCACGTGCGGGAAGAGCACCTGGGCGGGGTGCGGTCGCCATGTGGCGTCGGTGTACTCACAGATCCCGGAGGGGCAGCACTGCCTCTGCCGCCGTTGGCCCGGCGTGAAGCTCCCAGGGGAGGCGGAGTCCGCCGCCGCTGGCGGCGGCTCTGCGTCGACCGCCGAAGGGGCAGCCGACCCGCAGTCGTCCTGGTGTATCATCTCTTGATCTATTCCGTCGTTTACCGGCCGATCCTGGTGTATCATCTCTTGATCTATTCCGTCGTTTGCCGGCCGATTCTTCGCCTCCTTTTCTCACCCATCATCATCATCATGGTTCATCATCAGCTTCTCCTCCCCCGTATCTAGGTTTGTCTGCTGTTAGTGTGGGGGTCGGTTGATCTTTGGTTTGATGTAAGCAAATGTGGATCGTTCACTCCTGGTGAACGGCGAACGTTGTTTATCCACTTCCCATCTGTTTGTTGTTTAAATGTTTCAAAGAAAATATACACCTCTGTAATCAGTCTGTATCATGGGAGGGGATTGGAATCAATAACCAAAATCGGGATTGGAATTTCTTCCGGATATGATCTTTGATTTGTGAGCGTGGGTAATATGCAGGTATCTTCTCTCTCTCTCTCTCTCTCTCTCTGGCTCTCTATTTTGATGCTTTACAGGGGGGTGTCTGAACTGGCAAATTCAAGAATGCTCTCCCTGTATAACTAATTGGGGATTCATTAATTACCCAATTACTGAAACGTTGACCTGTCTTATTGTCGACTCGTACAGGAATTATAGGATCTGAGCAATAATACTGTGAGGATTTTCCAAACACTTCTCGCCACTCGAATATTCAAACATTAGGCGTAGCATAATTGATGAAGTATCTGTTAGGGTCAACTGCCATTAGACGAAGATTGTATAATTTTCTGTCGTTATAATTCAACGATGTTCATGCACAGATTCCATGGAGCGGCGCAGGTTTTTGTATGAAATTCTTGACATTTTGCGGTTACCCTATTTTCCAAACCATGGCAACCTACACCGGCTGAATGCTCTTCGCTGATAACATACTGTGAAGGCATCGAGGCTCACTTAATGAACCCTCCTCTGTAAATCTTGCTCGAGAGAGAGGAATGGGGAAACGAAGAGGAAGAAGGTTGGTGTGTGTGTGTGTGCGAGAGAGAGAGAGAGAGAGAAATAGAGAGAAGATGGGAGAGAGGAAGGAGACAGAAAGGGCTGCGAGAGATACGGACGACATGTTTCCGGCGATATAGAGCAACGGTCAGTGCTGTCCCCCCTCCGTGTCTATCCCTCATCGACCCTTCTCTACTAGTCTAGATAGAGGAAATACAGAAAGAAGAGACCTTGTGCCACCTCACCTTGAGATCGTCCAAAGAGCATGACAGTGAGCTGACAGTGATGGAGAGGGCGCCGCATCTGATCTTTCTTTCTCCTCACTCTCCCCTCCAGTCGGGTGAAATTTCGTGACCGGGTTGGAAAGCACCAATGCGTCAAATGGAGCTCCTCTCTAGCTGACCGACAATTCTGTTCATTTTCAAGAACCTAAAACAAAACCTATGCCTTTAGTAAGCTGTGCCATTGCTTGTTGCATGCACCGGATATTTTTTTTCTGAAACTTGTAATGATGACACTTCACTATCGCTTTGAATGACATTCTATGTAGGCCTTATGGGAGGAAGTTATCTCAAACGGTTTGGTGAGAGAGGATGTTTACCAAGACATATTGAGCATCTGACTAAATGTCTATGTAGGAAAATATGCAATCACATGATCAGAATAATGACGGAAATTCCATTTTTGGATATCAGTGAGAGTAAATAATTTGAAAAAAAATCATCCAGCTATGAGAAATTCTAATGAGAACAAGCCACTGTTGGGTAAGCAATCTACTCTTCTCTTCTTTTATAAGAGCTTCACCTGCAACAAAAGGAAAATGAGAGGCCAAGAAAGAGGAGTAGAATTGATGGAGAGACTAAAGAACCAAAAGAGAGAAGAGAGATCCTAAGAAGAAGACAAATTTCTTCATTGGTCGTCATACTAAAAGAGATATAAATGGCCTATATATAGAAAAACAAGAAGAAAAGATAACTACTTCCCGAAAAAAAGAGTCATTCACGATCTATGTGGGCAGGCCCAGATAATTAGAAGTTGGTAGTTTTTAACTACCCTCGTTTTCCATGCTCACTCTCTGCACGACCCCCGAACGGGTAATGGGGATCGGCTGTCACCGCCAACCACTCCGTGCACGTCCCCGAACGGGTCATTTGCGCATAGGATTCTTTGGCACCTTAGTGTATGACCATTTAACGCGTGTAGGTGAGCTAGTGAGAACAGCACAACTAGAGGCCTCCGTCCTGCCGCCAATTTGAGCGGGGGGCAGATACAGAAGCATGGAAAACAGAAAGCGTTGGTTCCACTTTTTCTTCCATCGCTCTTTCTGCGGCAGCTCAATAGAAGATTCCAAATCTTGGATGTTAATCAGGTGCGTAGATTTGTTTAATCTGACAACAAATTTGTTGGAATGATGGGCGTATATGGGTGAAAAGGAATGTTTCGGAATAGTTTTAGATGCTGCCGATTGGGTTTTACCTAAACGAGATAGGGTGACTGATAATGATTGTTCAACATATCAGACAATGATTTTAGTCTTATTACGTACACTTATAGTGATTCTGCAACTAACATGGATGATGAAAGTCAATAACAGGTTATAGATTTATAATTTGATCCACAAATCGAGAGGTTCTCTCAGTGTAGCTTTATGCTCTGTCGTGTGAACCAATTCTATAGAAGCTGGTAAAGTAATATCCGATCTCAAGATTTTAGTAATCGAGCAATTTCATTTGACTTTGCTCGGCAACGGGACCCTTTCCAACATTATCTTATTTGGCACTTTATGAGAACTCGGAGGAATTGAACCAGAGAGCTCGCAACCAGCCCCCTTCAACATCACTCATAATGTCTTTATTATGGTGATATATAAATGGGTGGTTATTGTTCAGACGCATCCTGAACTAGTTTCCGACTAATTATCCCTCTTGTTGATAATTTAACTAATGACGCTTAAAATGGTCCAAATTATTCAGCATTCTCAAGAGTGGTGCCTTGTAGACATGTATCAAGTCTGGTCCTCGTCTACTGCTGATTCGGTTCTGTCCCTCTCAAGATTTAGTACATCATCTCCATAGTCCGCTGGATCAAGTATCTTGTTGAAAAGTTCTCCTTGGTGAAAGATTTTCTCAGCGTTTTAATTGTTTTTCGAGACACATAGAGGAGATCTTTTGTTTCGCTGTGCATGGAACACAACATGCGGCTATTTATTTCGCACATCAGGGAGGGACGATTAAACCTGGCGCAAGAAACAAAGCTAGGGACCCCCCTAGTAAGGACGTTCGTCGCCGTAGTTCCCGGGGGGGCTGTAGTTGCAGGTGATGAGTACGTCGCCGGTGTTACATGTGACACGGGCGCAGCCAAGCTTCACGGAGTTACGCCAAACCACCTGCGTGTAGTGCCCGCACTCCCGTCCTTCCTCGCAACTGTTGCTGTTGTAATCGTAGTACTGGTTCTCACTGACCCACAGCTCGACGGCGTCGGCAGCCGTGCCCTGAGGGCCCTTGCATAGGTTCTCGCCATATTCCCCCTCTGAGTGCACGAGTTGGCAGTCCCGATCCTCTGGTTGCGTAATTCTCTGCAAATGCAGCGACGGTGTCATCCCACTCCATCGAACCGACCCCGACCTGAGCCCGAGCTTCGTTGTGAGCGTCTAGATAATCCTGTGGAGAGTACTGGGCGCGGCCGACGCCCGCCGCTGCGAGGACCAGGACACAAGCCATACCAGTGCGAGATGGGATGCTGCCATTTCCTCTCTTTCCTACACGGATGTTCCTCTCTTCTCTTCTTGGGCTACAGAAGACAGCCAGCTGATGGTAAAGAACAGGTACTCGTTGGGTATTTATAGGCCGCTGACACCTGCTTCTGATTTAGTCTTCCTAGGAGAAAATTCAAGGCTGGAATCGTAAACTGAGCCGTCTCATACGACTGCCGCGTCCACATGCTCGTCGTAGGTGGGAGAAGATGTTGTCTCTGGCCTTTAGTTGTTTCCTGTTGACCTTTTCTGTTCTACGGTCATCTATATAACGGTTGAGAGACTTAGTCCTGTGAGTTCTAAACGAGATAGAATCAGTTTTACAGGGATATCTACTACGGTCATACTGAAGATACCACGTAACAGATGCCAAGCACCGACTCCACATAACCGTCCACTTTCTGACAGGAAATAGTCCTTTAATTTGGTCAAAGAAAATCACGCGACTAGTCTCCATGTCGATAGGTTGAATTGTTTAACTGGGCCGTGGCATAACACCGCGTGCAAATATTCGTCTCAGGAGATGGGCAAACATGGCCTCCCCTTGTAAATGTTTCCTACTTACTTTTTCAGTCTACAATTATCTAGAACAGTTGATGCCGAGGCGTATCACCTTTGAAGGATATAAAACAGAATAACTGGGATCCCATGTATACGCCATTTTCTGTAAAACACCACGAAATAGGTAGCAACGACCAACTCCACTGGCGTCCGTTATCGGACAAAATTCAACCGTCTAGTTTGAACAAAGTACATCACCGGATTCCCTTTTTGCGATTTTTGAAGCAGATAAATGGGGACAGGAGCAGATGTAGGGTGGTTTTCTTTCTTCTCTTTTCTTCTTCCTCTTCTTTTGGAGGAAAAGGTGGACGACGCGCAGGCTGCGGAGGCACTGCGGCGAAGCGTGGTTGCACGAATTCGAAATCAGTTGCTGATTATTTTCATACAGTATATTTTGGTTTCACAATGTTCATTTCATGCAACTTGTTGATTTGTTTAAGCTCACCTGTCTGCTCAACTTGACGTACTAGTCTATTTAGGTTTAATTTACAACAAATCAAATCTAGAAAAACCCGGCGACGAACCCTGTTGACCTCATTGTCTAATGGACTCCCTCGCTTACTAAGATCAGTAAAATGGTGTGGGGTGGAGATAGATGTCTTTATGACTAACATGCTGAAGAAAAAAATCGACCGGGTCTTCATGCTCAAAATCAGTAGTCGACAAGATAGGTTAGTAAGAAGCCGAGAAGGAAAGAAGAATCTCGACAAAAATCCGTCCACGAGGGTGGGTAAAAATTTTACGCTGCGAAAGATTTCGTGTACCGGTCCGAAAGTAGGAAACGCTGCCGATGGATGACACTTTCTAAAACCTAAGCCGTGCTAACGACTTGATCAAGAAGACCGACAAACGAGTGATTCAAGTGGGGAGCCGAAGTCTTGCGATGACCTTTGATCTGATCGGCTTTACGCTTGTAGAATTCCGTATTGAACTGTGGAGTTGTTTACTGACGTCAGTGGAGCGGGCACAGAATGTTTGTATCTTTGGTCGTTGTTAGCATGAGATGTTACATGAACACAAGCAAAAATCTGGGGGGAAACGACATCCTAGACTTCCGTAGAAGCTTACGTCCCGGCCCAAAATACCTCTAAGACGGAGGAAGCACACGCCATCCAGACGTAACGTTATCAAAACTTAATTTGAATTTCGTCCAACCACTTTGGCGATGGCGCAACCACGAGAAATTGGTAATAATCTCGGAGCTTCCCAAAATAATACCCAAATTAGGTCTCTGCAGGCTCTATCAAGAGAGGTGGCGCTACAACTCCACCCACCTGCATGGCGTGCCATCTGATGCGCGCGTTTTGCCAAACACTAGCTCTCTCCAATTCCTTGTGGAGTGTTGTCCAGTTGTCCTCTGTCATTGCATCTCGTAATCACGTCCAAGGCTGATTGGGCTGGTGCTAATATGGTATCGTGTTTTAATAAAAATCAATACTTTCTAGTCAACTCCATGTCTACCTCTAACTCGGCGGTGTGATGTGCAACTTCGGGCATAGTTCCGTGACTATTTTGTAAGTAAATTAACCATTCATGGTCAACTGTCTTCAGATGAGTGGCGCTGTGGAGTTGTCAGCCAACTAAAAGCACCAATTTCTACAGCCGCAACTATTATGGCAACATCAATTGTCGGGGCATGAATGCCACGTCTTCTTACAACAAATGGTCAAGTCGTAGTTGCCGAAGGGTTGTGCGTTATGATAATATCGCAACTATGCTCTACACCGTAAGTGTGAGAAGAGAAAATGCAAATAAATATCACACAAGCAGCCTGTTACAAGTGCAGGACGACAACAATAACGGAAACTGTCGAGGGATCCATATACAACAGAAAGATGAATAAGATCGGAGTAGGTCGAGGGAATAATCCTCACGCGGTTTGAGTTCCCTTTTGTAGTATAGGTTGGGGATGATGGACCTGCCTGCAATGACGCCTGATATCGTAGTGAAAGAAAGAGCACGATAAATGATAATGTCCACAAGGTAACAAATGATAAAGGGAATGAAAAATGGCTTGAAGAAGGCACCATAGATTTAATGTCGTCCGGAGAGGGTAATACACTCACGGCCACCAAAAGGAGAAGTAGAATATCTATTATTAATGTGGAATACAATACATTACTAAATGGAGTAATTGAAGCTTTAACCCAAGCCACTAGAATAGGAGGACACGCCGGAATCCTGATTCCAATCATCAGAGAGAAATGAGCTGCTCTTATCTATGATTTACGAGATTTGGACAATCTGACTTCTCAACTTCAAGCGATATTAAAACAATATCAGGTAAGTTGCGTCATAAGTTTCATATTAACACTCGGCTTCATCACTTTCATCTTCGCTCTACCTCGAGGCACGGTCGGACGGGGAGAGAGAGAAAGGAGACAACCTAGATGTTTCTCTCGACAGAAAGGGGCCGTCAGTGCTTTGTCTCCCTCCCCCTCTCTCCAGTCCTTGTGTCTCCCTCATCGTTCCTTCTCCACTGGACTATTGAAGAGACACAAAGAGGAGACCCCTTGACAGTTCTCTTGAGACCGTCCAAAGAGCATGAGAGTCCGCTGACAGTGATGGAGAGGGCGCCGCATCTGCGCTTTGTTTCTCCTCACTCTCCCCTCCATTTAGGCGAAATTGCGACCGGCTTGGAAAGCGCCAATACGTCAATGAAGCTCCTCTCTTGGTGACTAACAGTTCTGTTGGTTTACAAGGACATAAAACTAAATCTCTGTTTCCAGTAATCTGCCTCATAAAACTAAACTATTTCCTGTGACAACTTCTAACGGCAATACTTCGCTTTCGTTATGAATGGCGACCTCCTATACCTTAGACGGGCTGAATTTACCTTTTGGAGGATATTTATGGGGACTCTGGAGCTTTCAGATTGGTTCACCTCTGCTCTTAGCTATTTGACAATGGTTGATTATCCATATGCTTCCGACGCTCGCATGCCTCTACCTGGAAATACATTAAAAGAGGTAACATAAAATGAGGAGTCCTCCCTATGTGGTGGTAATTTCACCCTGTATTAGTGAAAGATAGATGAGGTTCAGGCCTATTATCAAGGACGTACATTGTTCAGTTACCATTCAATATACATCATCTATAAGCAATTATTTTTTTCCCATCGAAAGATGGTCTTCGGCAACTGATTAATAAGTTTAGTTTGTCTTCGCCATCTTACCTCTGTCAATTTAGATGTATTTCTCTGCTTCATCGTTGAAAAGTACTCTGTTATTTCAACTTTATTGATCGTAAAGTTTTTAGCTTATTCTTATCTTGTTTCTTTAGTCTAATTTCAGAACGGAATTATACTTTCCAAACCAAGACCTGATTTTCCCGCAAGATATGCTCAATTTGATTTATCTCTGTGCTTCTGTATGTACATCCATTACATCTTTTGGCAAGCTCTCATTCCATCTGACTACTTGATATTTCATTGTAAAACCCCTAGGAAATACTCTGATGCACTTGACTGTAGTCCTGTCGTGATTCTCCTATTTATGATGGTATGCAAGAGTATCGATGGCCATGCTGATGGGAGGGAATCTTGGAGCAAATATATGAGGGAGTGAACATATATTACGATTATTCAGGAGCTGTTGAATGTTTTGATCTGGAAGATGATCTTCAGGGCACGAATGGTTGGAATTGCTAGATTTAAGAGCACAATTACCCGCTTTTAGTGGCGAGTGTTGTTCGCTTGAGGAAACATGCCATGCTTTTTCTGACTTTAAAATCTCCTCATTCATAGGCTTGCACTGAGAAGGTCATGCCAATGTGCAGTAGCCTAGACAGCAGCGCATTTCCACCGTATGCTTTTGACTTTTCACTGTGCCAAGGTACAGCAAAGGCTCCGATGGTTACTACTGGGTTTGGTGGGCATGCAATGGCCAATCTTTCTTTAAAGAGTTCTAGCATTAGTTACGAATAGCCATATATTCTTTTAATGTTTTTAAATGCTTGAATATTCTAGTGACTATTCTGTCGTTGAATATTCTTATGACGTTGGCATTATCAATAGATAAATTTCTCGCCCTACCTTATCTGGACTCATACTCGTTTGGTGAGAAATTCGGAGAACGATGGAGATTGGAGTTTGCGGTTAGTAACTTCCGTATCATTGCATGCAAATTATTTCCTGAAGAGAACCATGCTATGACGAGTACAGAGAGGATCATTTTGGCAACTTTTTCAAAACATTAATGCGCGAACAGTACTACGTATTGATGAGAGTTTGAAGAAAATTGATTTTCGCATGCTGTATGGTGCCGGGAGAGATCGCCTTGGTTAACTATTGCACTTAGCTAGGTGTCTAGGGAGTATATCCTGACGAACATTTTGCCAAGATCCATTAGGAGATTGCAAGAAAAGAAAATCAAATAATACTTACAGCGAAAACATTTACATATATTT